CTTAATAGTATACATAATACTAGTATACTAGCTAAATACATAGTTAGTCTAGAGGTCTGTAAGGAGGGAGTTAAGACGTAGCTTAAAAACACGCGCAACTAGATCTAGCTAATCTAATAGCTAAAAGAATGTACTAATCTCCTGCTCTAACTCTAGCTATTTAGAATTAGTAGTAAAAGTAATAAATAAAGTAGGTTAACTAAGCTTTTAAATAATAGCTATAAAGTCTTAATAACACTATGTAATAAAGTAACTACTACTAATGTAACTTAAAGAAAAAATAGTCTAAATTCTAACTAAATTAGCTTAAAAGTTATTTTAATTTAATGCATTATATACTTTTTAATATAGATTAGCATGTAACTGTTTTTAATTTACTATAATCTACTATAACTTTTTTTATTTACACTAAACCTAGTAGTTAATAATAAATTACTAGAATAATAAACTATAATTAAAAGGCATAATAAGACTACTATGCTAGAGAAATAGGTAGAATTAGTAATACTTAAAATTAGTTAGAGTATTCTAAGTGTAAGACATGCGTAAAGTACGTAGCTATAAACTATAGTAAAACTTAAAAGTACTCTATAAAAACATTAAAACATAGTAAAAAGGCTAATATACTGCATGTGTATGTTTAATTTTTTAGTATAGAAACTAATAGTGTTTTAGATTAGAGCTAAGTTAGTAGTAAAAAATAAAATTTTAGTTATAATTTTTAACTAGCTTATTATAAACTAAAGTAGTAATTTTTTTAGTAATAAGTAGGTTCTTTTAATATTAATTAGCTCTAGCCTACATAATTAACTATAGTTATAAATTAAGAGTAATTTATAATTTTTTATTTTACTTATAAGCTTACTATAACTACTTATGTGTAGTTTTATATATCTTAATTTAAAAATTGTTATAATCTATTTTAACTATTTATAGCAGCTGTGTAAGTATAGTTAGATTAAGACTACTATTAGCCTAATGCCCTATACACGCACTATTAGCCTAGGCAGGATTGTAAAAGTACAGCTGTGCGTAGGAAAAAATGTCCCTCTTAGTAGGCTTTAATAGGCTGTGTATATAGTACATTTCTCTTATAATTTAAAAAACTTTTACACTTATACTATATACACTTTAATTTATTTATTTATAGTTAGCTAATGTAAAAGCTAAGGCTATGTTATATAATTAAAAATGCTTTTAAAAAGATCTACTAAGTAGGTGCCTACTCTATAAAAGATAACATAGAAATAAAGGTAAATCTAGAAAAGTTAGAAAGTTAATATTACTTATTAAGTAATATATAAAGTACTAAAAAGAATTTACTTAACTCTTATTAACCTGCTTTTTAAGCTAGTAAAAGGCACTATAGTTAGAACAGCTACTTATAAAATTCTGCATTAGACTAAAGTTAATAGAAGTAATATAGTCTATAGTAGTAATAATATATGCCTTTAGTAAATTATTTTATAAAAGACTAGCCCTTAGTTACTTTTAATTTTTATATATAAATAAAAATAAAGCAGGCTAATCTAGAGTGTGTTAAAAAAGTAAAAATTAAACAAGTTTTTATAAAGTTAGCTATATATTATAATAATGTATATATATAGATAGTGTAGAAGGAGTAGAAGTTAGCGTAAAGAACTTAAAAAAGGTTAATTATATATTATAATAAATTTAAATAGATAGTGTAAAAGAAGTAAAAAAAGGCATAAAAGTTTTAGAAAAGTTTTAATATATATAAAATAATTAATTAAGCACTAGCATTCTACTTAATGCAGTGTTACACCTAGCATGTGCAGGTTAGCCCTAGTATAGACCTAATTAGACTGTAGTAGCGTAAGCTTAAACATGTTTTAAAAGTTATACATTAAAGTTAACATTAGCTAATAGCTAACACACCTAGATAAAACTAAATATAAGTGCTAAAAAATATAATAATTATAATAAAGTAATATACTACATAGCTATGTCTATTGCACTAGTAATAAAAAGCTCTAACTTTATTAGTAGAAAAGTTAAAGAGAGGTTTATAGTTATTATAAACTAAGTAAAAAGTAGGTAATAAGTCTATATAGTAATAATATAAAAAAATAACACTATATAATAAGAAAAAGAGAATAAGTTAAGAAAAAAAGGTACTAATTAAAAAAAGTTAAAGTAAATTAAGAATAAATTAACTTTAAGTAAATTAAAATTCTGCCTATTAAAATAAAGTGTAGTAAGGCTTATACTACACTAAATAAATTTATTTTTTTAAAGTCTTTAAAAGTATAACTTTTTTTAAAACAGTATTCTTATTAAGTTTAAAAAAAGACTTAATTAGGCTAAAAACTTTTAAAAAAAATTTTTATATAAAAAAAAATTTAAGCTATTTAAACTTATTATTTTAAGTAATAAAACACCTTTAAGCTCTTACTCTTTATATAATAGTTTATAGTATGTAAATATGCTTTTAATTTTAATATAATTAGTATAGCTTTATAGCTTAAAGAAAAAAAAAAATAGTTAAAAGTGTTTTATATTAAGCTAATATTATGTTAGGTGTAATCTTAAAGCCTTTATAATTCTTTGTAAAGGTTAGTAGATAATGTAGAATAACCTAATATACTTATATATATTATAGATAGCTATAATATAGTAGCTTACTATAACTTATTATTATTATAAAGTAAGGTTAACTAAGGCTATAAAAGTATTAAAGCAGATAATGTCTAGTTAGAAAAGATTAAAATAAGTTAGAGCAGATGTAAAGCTAAAGCCTAAAGTTGCACTACTGTTTTACTTAACTAGGGGGAGATCCTTTAGAACCCTTTTTTTGCCTACAGCAGGCTTTACTTAGAAGGTCTTAGCAGAGCTAATTACATTTAGCAGAAAAAATTACACTATAGAAGTAATTTTTACACCCCTAACTGTGCAGTAGTTAATTACAATAGGAAAAAAAGAAGACTAGATTAAGCATATAGCATAGTAGAATAATTACTTAAAGCTTAAAAATAAACAGTAACGCAGCTTTTTAGTTACTAATTTTCTACTAATTAAATTAATAGCCGGCTTATATCTGGACTAATAGGAGAGAGGGCTTGGCGGTAGAGATAGTGTAATATTTGATGGATTTCCTTTGCCCACCGTGGCGGCGCACATCTTCATAGGTGCTAGGTTTAGGTGGTTCCATATTGTATCTTTCTGAGCGACGAATTTCGGGTTCGCTAGACGAGGTCATCCGCCCTTTGTGACTAAGAGAGGGTGCGCTTTCGTTCGGCGAAACAGCCTGACGTTCGTCTTTTGGTCTAGGGGTGTTTAGGCCCTCCTGTGAGCCTTTGCTTCGTTTGCCTTTCTCCTGATGCCTTATCGCACGAGACCTTGACTTAGATAGAACCATTAGTACCGATCGCGTTCAGCTCTATTCAACGTAACAATAGTCGCAGCACCAATGATTATAGCAGTGTGTGCACCCTGGGTCCATATACCGTATCGTAAGAATTAGCTCCGCCGCCACAGGAGCAGCAGTACCAAAACAAGTGCTTTTCATCGATTCCAACAACTGCATCTCCACCACTTCGGAATTTATTCTCCCTTGGCCGTGGGTCGTTGGCAGAAAAGTCCCGTCCTAATTTGTTCAGTGAGAAGTAGGTTAGGATCAGATATACTCTCGATCCCGGGTATATATTATAGGTCGAGAAGCTGCATTTTAAGAAAACAATTGTATGCGTTTACGTGCGACGTTTTATCGAGGTGTATCCTAGGTAAGGGGGTCATAAACACCATAGACAAAAATTTCGAGCTAGGTGATAGTGCTCATTTCTCTATGTCGGCGAGGAGGCGATCTTGTTCGATAATGAGGGGCACACGAATCATACCTGCCCTAGACAAACATCGCACCATAAACCTTGTGATGCTGAATCTCAACGGGCGATTCTGAAGTCGAGGGGCTGGAGAAGATAAGAGCAAGTCACGTGCAGCTAGCCCGTTTCGGTTAGGGCAGTAGCAGCTGATTTGTCACACCTGCTTTGGCGTCGGTTTAAATTTAGTGAGGGAGGGGCGTCATTTGGGGTACCGGGTGAGCCGATAGAGGCCATGGACTCATTAGAGTTGCTTCTGATGTGCTCAGATGTGATTTGTCCGGTGTTTACGGGTGCGGCTTCTGGGGATGTGCTAGGCTGCCAAAACGGATTTGTGCGTGCTGGACTAGGACGTGGCTGGTATGTTATTCCAAGCGCACGCATCCTGTTTTCTATGAGCTCACGAGCAAGGGCCTCCCGCTCATCTGGTGTGAATCTAGCTGGACGGGCGACAGGAGATGTAGCAGACTCTATGTTTGTAGTAGCTGACTGGGGAGGTCGACCATGCTCACTCGCTAGAAGTGTGCGAGTCGACGATTGATCGATCAACCGGCGGCGTGGCGGCTGAGCTCGCAGATCAATTCGAGATGGCGGTGATCTTATGCCCTGGGTCAATTTTGCCAGTTGCTCGTTCCCTTCTCCAGCAGTGTTTAAGGGCATCGCGCCTATCAACCACTCTGAGTGCTGGTTATTGACATGTTCACGCCAGAAACCGTAGCCTTGGAACAGCTCTCTGCAATCCAAGACCCCACAGCGCCATCGCGATTCGCCCTCCTGAATGGCAAATTGACGCAGCTTCTCTTCGAGGAGGAAAGGAGATGGAAGGGACAGTGAAGGAGGTGAAAGAGATGTCGGCTTCAGTCCAGTAGACTCCTTCGCCCTGCAGGGTCGGCATATTTTCATATCGCAACTACTGCATTCGTAGATATACCAATGTGGCCCTGAGTGGCACAGGTTGCAATTCCACGTTACTTGAGCCGAGCCCGACTTGATCAGGATGAAGAAGTGAGTACAAGTCCCAAGCAATAGATCCAATCGTGTATTCTCTAATTGCCTTCCACCACGGATCTCTTGACTTTTGGGTGCTGTAACTTGCTTAAGTTGCAAAGGTGTGGGTTCCCCATCTGGCAGTCGTGGGTTGCTGGAACGAGGCTCGCCCTCTCGATATTCGCGAACGTAAACCAGACGGCCCATAAGGTTTTGGTTACTGAGCGTCGACAGGGCGTTCTGAGCCTGCTCCCGCGTTGCATACTCTACGATGCCACAGCCCTTTGGCATTCCATTCGGCAACATTAATACATCTGCGAACAAGACTTCGCCAGCTTGTCTCATGAAATCTTTGAGGTGATGCCATTTCACATTATAGCTCAAGTTGCCCACGTAGACACGGCGGTCCTGATGGGACGATTCTTGAATATTTTGCATCATATTGTCCTTAGATGCTGAACGAACTTTTGCTGGGGTGGCCGAAGCGCCATCGCGGTTGCTGGAACGAGGCTCGTCCTCTCGATGTTCGCGAACGTAAACCAGACGGCCCATAAGGTTTTGGTTACTGAGCGTCGACAGGGCGTTCTGAGCCTGCTCCCGCGTTGCATACTCTACGATGCCACAGCCCTTTGACATTCCATTCGGCAACATCAATACATCTGCGAACAAGACTTCGCCAGCTTGTCTCATGAAATCTTTGAGGTGATGCCATTTCACATCATAGCTCAAATTGCCCACGTAGACACGGCGGTCCTGATGGGACGATTCTCGAATATTTTGCATCATATTGTCCTTAGATGCCGAACGAACTTTTGCTGGGGTGGCCGAAGCGCCATCGCGGTTAGATGATTGTCCACTCTTAACGTTGACAAATTGCAGTGCTTCCTGGATCTCTTTTAAGTTGCCGAGATCACGCCCACGCTCTTTGTCATAGTCCGAGGAATCAGGAGGCGGTATGGTGACTCCATGACTAGGTCCGTACGTCTCCACACTGTTGGTATCAAACATCCTCGGAATTTGAGGATCTGGGGCATTTCTTGACGATCGTACTTCTTCAACATCTACGCCACAAGTGTTAGTAATATCCTTACATTTACCAGCCGTATCTTACAAGGACTCGAGACCAGAGGTGCCGTAGGACTGAGTTTAGTGTATAAACTGTACCACTGCGCCTCGGCCGACTCGCCTCGGCGCTGTGGTTGAGGGTTGTTGCAAACTTCGCCGCCATATCCGTGATTGGTTTCAAACTCTCTCTTGTCCATAAAATCTTCATTGCACGTTCGGCAATGCCCCAGAAATTCGACGTGAGGTGTACGCCCAGAAGTAAGGTGGCGGCGAATATCGGACATGTGCTCTGTTCTAACACCTAGGCAAGAATGTTCGCGCCCGAGGATAGTGTCCGCTTTGAATACGGGGCAAGGAAATTCGCGTTTTGATGAAGCTTTTGGGGTTTGAGATCCCTGGTTTGACTCCTGGCCTCTAGAACTGCTCTCGAGAATCACGGCATCATCCGGTATGGGAGGAAAACCGTACCGGTTGAAGGTGGAATGGTCCTCACCATCGCTACTCCGAAGTTGAGCGTCGTCCGCTATCTTGGAAATTGATGTATGAGAGCGCGAATCAAGTGTAGCGTTCCTCGAAGCATTAGAAAATCCGAAGACCGGAACTGCGGCAGGTGATGAGGATGCAAAAGAGGCATAGCTTTCTTTTGAGTTGTCTTCGGAAGACTTTGGTGGAGAGTATTGGACTTGTAAATTAATTGAACCAAGTTCATCAATAGAATCGACATCTCGACCTAGACGGACATATTCCTCAGGCACTAACCCACTCTTTCCACTCTGAGGATCCAGAGCAACAAGCCAGCCTTGTTCATGGCGATAATAGATTGCAATACTCTGTCCCTCCACCAACGGCAGTTCGTTATCATTTTGTGGTGTGAAATCATAGAGTGCAACTGCCTTTCCGAAATGGTCCTCATCTGCTGGCGAGGCGGTGAGCTCTGGTAATTTCCTCCCAGATCTAGCTGCACTCTTGGTATCCAGTTGGTGGCGCTGGTAGAACTCCTTTCCTTTGGCGTGACTCATTTGGTTCTCCAATGAGTTGAACTCCCCTACGTCGTCGAAAAGACCAATGGGATCCAGCGCCTCAGCTATGTCCTTCTCTGTGACTGAAGTCAGGGGCCTCTGGTCGATGGCTTCGTTGGGGTCAGGAATTTCGGAGTCTTTTAGTCCTATAAATGCCACAGGGTCTTCCGCCAATGTCCGTTCTCTCCTCCAGATGCTCCAATAGTCGTCTCGTCCTTCCTGCCCATCCACAATGACTCTGCTTCCAAATGTCCGGAATATGGACCTTGCCGTCACCACAACAAGATTGCTGTTGGACCCCGCAAATTTTTCCCTCAAAAATTGGTAGTCGTCGTCTTCACGTGGAAGGAAAATAAATAATTCTGGATGCTGCTCCATGAGACGGGATGCGTCTCCATACCCAAGCAGCCGCGCGCATTCGTCTGCGAGCATGAAGAGCTTTGACTCTCTCGTTGGTAATGTAAATACTCTAACCCTGTACTCCCGGCCACCAAGAAGATTTCCGAGGCCGTCTATCTTTGTCTCTCCAGTCTCATCGATCTCCACGTTTAGGTACTCACCGCCTTCGGGGCAAAGCGGGCGACCCGCTCTTTTTGAAATGACGGGACCTAGAGGCTGTGGTTCGGGTTGTCGATCCGGAAGTCGACTAGCCAGCCATTCCGCTGATGCAATGGCAACATCGGCTTCACTCAGATCTTTTGCGTACCCGATCTGGATTGGGCTACTGTTCAGGAAGGGCACCTTGCCATTAAACTGGGACTTGGCCTTGACGGCACTTTGAACGTCTTTGAAGCTGACGTACCAACAATCCCTACCTATATCGAACCATATATTTTCGATCGGACCAACCGTCTCGAACAATGCTCTCAGAGAGGCGGATGTGGTGGCGAGGGGGATGTCGACGAGCCAGAGAATTCGGGTGTGAAATTCTGGATTGTCAGCTTCCTCAGCATTGTGGCTCAACGTGTTGGTAGAATGCGGATTCTCAGTGGGGTCTTCTTCCGAAGGCCAGTGCGAAACGCGAAGCCTCGAACTTATATCAGACAAACGGACGAGTAGCTCGGGGGTTTCGGCTGCCCAATCTTGCTGTTCTAGGATCGACAGGGCCAATTGTATCAGGGAGACCACGTATTTGTTGACCATTCTCCTCCCTGGCTCATTCGCAATTTGCCCGAGGACCTTGAATGTCGTTGAGGAGAATCTCAGTAATAGGTCTTCAACCCGCCACTCTTTCTGCGTCGACCTTCGAGACTGAGAGGTATTGAGTTCTTCTAAGAAAGATGTAAAGATTCGTTTCGCTTCGGCAGTCTGGTAAATCAGCCCAGTTTCGCGCCCAAGCAGCACGCCTGCAATCCGCTGTTCTAGTTCGGTCATGAAACCCTGAGGAAACCTACTATCCTCCGTACCACTGAATAGGAAGATTTCACGGAGGAGGCTACTCAGCGAGGTAGAGGCCGAGCCGTTTCGTTTGAGGTAATCTATGACAAAGTCTTGACCGTCTTCCTGCTGAGGTCGTGACATCTGACCTTCTTTGGGAGACGACGCAGAAAGAGAGCCGGGCCTGGAGGAGGGAAAAGGATGGACTAGTGTTTGGTGCTCTATCAAGTCTTCCATGATTTGAAATTGCATGTCGCATCCTAAGCTGGGACAGATAAGCTCTTCTTCGGGATGCTCGTATCTGATGTGTTCCATCAGATCTGAATGTTTGTCATTTCCATTAAATCGCGCATTACAGCGGCCACAAACTGCGCCATCCGGCGAAGAAGCACGATCCATGCTCATAGAAATCGGAATGGAACGAGTATCACTGCGGTCGTTCTCGTCGTCGCATTTGTCGTCGCCATCTTTCATATAAGAGGGTAAGGCGAACAAAGCCAGCTCCTCCTGATGCTTTCCCATATGGCGTCGAAGCTGAGTAAGGGAAGGGAGCTGTTGCTGGCAGAGTACACAGTTCGCCGCTGTGTCCATCCCAATCTGCCGTTCACAGTTGCGCATCAAATCATGAAAGCGGTCTTCGCTGTAAAATTCAGAGTGAACTTGGTGTACGTGGTTCCGGAATTTGACTCGAGAGAAGAACGGAAGGTTACAACCGTCAATGCATTCCCACCATAGACGATGTGAATGGAGCTCGTGATTGAACCAGTCATGTCGAGATTCGTATGTGAGATCTGGTATCTTACACTCTTCGAACGAACATACATACGGGTGAAGATCTCTGTACACATGTTTACTGGTTGTTTGTCAGTGGCTAGACGAAATAGAGGTTGTCAGAAGATGGTAAGAGTAAAGGGAAGAGTCATGCTGCAAAGCTAGGAGAATACAACTCTATAGGTCTCCCTCTGTGAATTCAAATTCTTTAGCCCCTTCTGCCAACCTTGTTGTTTGATCGCAGACCAAGGTTTTGTTTAGCCGAGATACTTCGTGCAGATGACAGGAAGCATGAATGCGCTTGATGTGCTGACTTATAACCCATCAAACTAGATCGAAAAAAAACTTACTGCCATGCAACTGCGTGTCGGACTGATGTGAATCGGAAGCACAAAGGACATTCAAATGGATCGCCATCTTGACCTTGCTCTGGAAGAGGAGGGGGTCGCAATTTCGCCGCGTCGTTGGTCGATGATGCATACGAGGTCTGGGACAGCGTGTCCTCATAATAGTCCTCTTGGTCTAAATCTGCAACCGAACTAGTAGCTTTGATGGCAAGAGGTATCGATGAAGCGACCGTACTCTCGATTCTCTCAGAGGGAACGATTATTGTAGTCGCAGCCACGCCGACCACAGAAGTGACTTCGGCGGGTTCCAGGCCTTGCTCTAGCTTCTTTCGGTGCTCGTCACGGTAACGAAGATATTGCCTCCTGCGGGATATCGCTTTCCCTAGTCGAATGATGAGCCATTCTTCCGCTCTAGGGAACTTTCCTCGGACATGGTCGATGTCAAATGTCTCAAAGTGAGAGGTGTCAATTTTGGTAGATGCTTTGAATTGGTCGTGCGGAGCGGGATTTCGAATAGCCATTGACAAACGCATCAGACAGGTAGTAATCTCAGACATATTTGACACAAGCTGTTGCAGCTCAGTCGTCCCGGACTGTTCAGCACGTGGATCAGTCAGGCCATCATCCGAAAACTCGGATTCTGAATCCGAGAGATCTTCCCAAGGGGTCCTATCGCCACTAATAATCTCAGTCGCTATAAAACGTAAGCAAGCCTCTCGGAACTAGTAGCTTGATGACTTTACCTTCTTGTATGACCGTCTCGAGGCTCTGTAGCAACTCGATTACCCTGTCTTTGATATGTGATGCTTCGCGGAGCTTGTAGTCTAACGAGCTCTTGCCCTTGCGATGAGCTGCAAGGTTAGCACACCACAGTCGAAAGCGCCCGAGCTCATCACTGATGCTGCCTCTAGGTATTTTGCATTTAATGGCTACATTAGCTTGAGCTAGGCTGCTGCAAGCCTGTTGGAAGCCGGCAAAACACGCCCGGACATGGGTCGCAATGGAAGACAAATCTTCTGGTCCGCTCGGTGCCATGACACAAGCCGTTGTGCTACTTCATAGCATGTTCTGGAGATGAGGCGCTGTCTGTTAGGAACGATGGTTAATGAGGGTGTCTTGCGTGAGACAAGATGAGGCTGAAGAAATTGGGGTCCGATTCGCTGCTAAATTCAGCACGTGCAGCGCACCTTGCTTCGTCAGAAGCTCAGCCTGGTCGAACACCAACACCCTTCTTTACATCCTATGTCCTACCTTCTAAGATATTTGCAACAGTGTGAGCGGTCCGATTCTTCTCTATTCGTGCATCATCCCCCGCCTCAGAGGCTTTTCCTCAATGTCAGGCTTCGAAATCGCCGGGGTGGTCCTTGGATCGCTTCCCCTCATCATCAGTGCATTAGAGCACTACGCCGAAGGAATTGCGACAGCAAAACGCTTCTGGAAATACAAAACGGAGTTGAGGTCTCTCATCCTGCAAGTCAACACCGAGCGTGGGATATTCATCAACACTCTAGAGCAGCTGCTCACAGGTATTGTCCGAGGAGAGCACATGGACGATTTTCTCTCCAATCGCGATCTTTGGAAGGAAAAATATGTAGACGCAAAGTTAAAATCGCGCCTGAGAGGCGCGTATGATATCTACCTTGGCAATGTCCGGGGCATGGAAATTGAGTTAAGGAAGATGATGGAGAAGCTCGTTTTAGGCCCCGATGGAAAGGCGAGTGTGTTCTCCTGTACTTGAATACCTCTCATGGCCTGTGGGCGGACCCCTGCCCTTTCCCACGAACCCCTTCAATCCAGTCCGCATTCTTAAGTTTAACACCCTTATGGTGCTGCTACTGAGACCAATTAGGCCTCGCCATACTTCTTGAGAAGTATTTAAAGGATACTTACCGATGATTAACCAGCACTGCCGTATTCTCTTGCCGCTCTAGGATCACGACTAACATGCTAATAGCCTCAATTCACCGACCCTAGCACATTCAAACAGGAATATCGGCGACTGAAGTTTAGCATCAGTAAATCTGAATATTCAGATGTCCTCAAAAATCTCAAGAATTACAATCAACAGTTGACCCGCTTAACGAAGCAGTCCCTGGAGCTAGAGCCAACTCGATCCACCGAGAACAAAAATCGATGTCCCAATTTCAAGGCTTTTCAAAGCTATGCGAGGAGCCTGTATACAACCCTCAAATCAGGCTGGCGTTGCGGATGTCCGGGCCATGCCGTTAACCTGCGATTAGAGAACAGGAGCAACAAACTCGCAACCGAGGATGAAATTCTGGAAAAGACGCCTTTCCGGGTGATCTTCTCCTATACCACCAGCTCAGAGGCCTCGGCATCCATGTGGGACTGGAAAGAGGCTGATATCAGATGGATTGCGGATACACCCACACAACGCACGCCATTATTGCCATGTGCGCATAACGCTATAGGTCCCGGCACTAAACGGAGGGTACGGTTTGAGCAGATCGGTATTCAAGTCCAAACCACAACAGGATCAACGGGAACAACGATAGTTGCATCAAAGCGGTCGACGCCCTCCAGCCCGGCGTATAGCCAAATACAGGATCTCTGCAAGACGATAGCCAAGCTGCAGCAGCCATACCAAGAGCTTTGCATCGGCTACCTCCTTGACAGCGTACAGAGAAAGCATGGCATATATCTGCTAGACCCGCCTATAACATGCCAACCGCAGCAATGGGCAACGTACTCACTCAAAGAAGTACTCGCCCGGAATCCCAATGTGAAGCGGCGGTTGACTCAGCAAGACAAGCTCCGAGTTGCCGTGGATTTAGCCTCGAGCGTTCTGCAACTGTATAAAACTCCGTGGATAGAAGAACAGTTGGCGAAGGACGACGTTTTCTTTATACACCGACCAGGGGCCTCGCTTTACGACCATCCATATGTCTGCCGCAGATTCACACCCCAAATAACCACGGGAACGCCGTCGACACCCGGGTCGGCACCGTCGTGCAGAGTAATCCGCAACCAGACGCTCTTTACTCTGGGCATCCTCCTCATCGAGCTTTGGTACGGAAAACCTATTGAGGCACTCAGTATGCCTAGCGACCTAGACTGCCGGGGGACGCCAGGCGTTGAATGGTGTACTGCAGATCGGATTGTGGAAAATGAGATTGAATTTGAAGCAGGAAAATGTTACTCAGAGGCCGTAAGACGCTGTATCAGGTGCGACTTCGACCGAAAGGATATGAGTCTTGAGAACGAGAGTTTCCAACAGGCGGTATACGATGGGGTGGTGGCGCTGCTGGAGACAACATTGCAGCAGTTCACCGGGAGCAGCCTCGATTGAAGATAGGAAACTAGTAGCAACTTGGTGCACGAACAAGACGGAATGATGGCTTGAGCTTGTTACCAGAGCCATCCAAACAGCCCAAAGGGTGCAAATGAAGGCGACGTAATGCATGAAGTGTTAGGTCCACCTCCAGGATCGTCATGAGCAGCGATTCTTTGTGTATCGTCATTACTGTGCATCGGCCGCATGAATAACGGATTATAAACGAGGACAAAGCTGATGTTTCGATGTTTGACCTTGACATTGGCTTAATGCGCAGACACATGATCTGATTAAAGGATACATGTGGACTCTAGCCGACGGATGGCGGGTTAGGGCAAGGAGATCTCGACCGTGCATTATCGATGGATGGCTCCATATCAACTGACCTGAAAATAGTCACACGAGGCGGGCTGCAGCCTTATATCAGGGCACATCTCATGAAGCGGGGGCGGTGATTGGACTAGCGGCACAGGGGGGGAAAGGGAGGGGGGGTGTTGAAAGGCGGGTTGGGAGAGAGGGCCAGGTGCAAAGGGGGCATTCCTTCAGGGTCCGACTGGAGGCCTTGGCGGGAGGGAGCGGTCCCGCGGCTAGCTCTGGCCGCTGCCCTTGAGTGACGCCGGCTGAAGTGGTGACGGGCGCGAGCGACCAACTAATCTCGCAGCAATCATAATCACGCCTGGATGCGTTCAGCTATATAATGAAGGGCTGGCTGTGCCACCGCATAGTACCCCATTGACAGGTGTCTGTTTTTATTCGCAGTCCCTTTGCGGAGTCGCCCTTCCTCGCAATACTCGGCCGCGGCAGCAGGATTGCAGCAAGGAGCCCCCCCCCCTCAGTCGCAGGAGCATCGCAGAGCAGCTTCGCCTAGACAGCTCCAGCACAGCTCCAGCACAGCTCCGACCGTCGCAGCGGCAGCTCTGCTCGACCTCGCACGCCGACTGTCGCCCCCCTTGTGCGTGACGGCATCCTGTCAAACAAGTCAGGCCTTGTCGACCATTCACTGCCGCCGCCTGTAACTTTCCGGAGGCTGAAACGCGCAAGGTCCTTCCTGCGTCCCAGTGGTGCAACTCCAGGACCACACCCACTACCAAGTACTTACCGCAGCTCTGGAATCTGGATATGTATTCAAGTGTCCGGCCGCTTGCTACCTCGCCATGACCGCTGCCGACCTCACTGACCTCACTGACCTCACCGACCTCACCGACTTCTCCTCCACTCCTCCTCCTCCTCCCTCCTCCTCCACCTCCCTTGAGGCCCTTCATGCCGACCACCTCGCCCTCCAACCCAAGGCAATGACGACCCCAAGCGCCCCTGTCCCAGGGGCCAGCTTGGAAGAAGCAGACTGCTGCAGCCTCTCTCGCCAGACGGGCAACACCAGCGAGGGCAGCCACCACCGCCGTCCCACAACCCCGCGGGCGCAGACCGACCCCTCGCCAGACTCCCTTCCCACCCACCACCCACGACCGCGGAACCGCTCTCCCTACTCACGCTCCCACTTCCGCTCGCACAGCAGCTCCAGCTCGCTCTCCGCTCCCCCAATGACGCGGGCACACTCCCTACCGACTGTCATGAGCCCAACCGGCCACCTCGCGCTCTCCCCCTCCCCAACGCCCCTGGCTCGCCCCTCCTCGCCCCTTCGCTCCCCAAAGCGAACGCGCAGCCCCTTCAGAACAGCAGAAGACTCGTTCATACACTCTGGCGCACCAAGCGTGTGCGACATATCAGAGGATGCCGAATTGGAACTGACGCCCAAGCCAGGAGGCGCATTGTCTCACACGACCCCGATTCAGTCACCCCTGGCCAATTTCTACAGCAATTCCAACTCTCTCTCCAGGACTGGTAGGCGAAGGCCCGCCTCGCCCTTGCACCAAGTCTCTGTCCCGTTCGGAACCGCCACCAGCACTCCCGCTATTAGCACGCCGACGTCCACCCACTCCTCTCCCCTGCTCTCGGCTTCCAAGTTCAACGAACCCTTCCCAGGCATGAACGCCCACTATCCGTCTTCACTCACGTCGTCCTCGGTTCCATCCACTCCGACCTCGATGCGCTCACGAAGCCCCTCCATCTCATCCCTCGAAACGATTCCAGACACGCCCGACGCAGAGGCAGAGGCAATCGAGGCAGACCGCATTGCCCGCCTGAAAGCGGCTGCAGACAGAGAGAAGGAAGGCACAGATGGCGCGAGGAGATCCAGCTTGGACGTGCCGGGCGGCAGCGGACGCACCCTTGGATTCGGCAAGCGGGACTCCAGGAAGAGGTGGAGCGTGTGCGGCGCTGAGAGACGAGGAGATCTCGACTTAGAGACCATCTGGGAGGACTGAAAGTGAAATCTTCCGCCACCAAAAAATTGGCTGAAGGGGACTGGGTGGTAGGTCAATTGCAGAAAGACCCGAACCATCCAAGCCAGGCATGAATGGTCTATGTGTACTTCATTACCGGAAGAGACTCACGGCATTCTAAGGCGTTCACGGTACGTAGGCTGCAGCCTTGATTTAATGGTGGCTTTTTATCCGGCTGGCTTGTTCAATAGGCATCTGCACCTCATGGTTTGGTCTTTTCGATTCTCGGGATGCGGGTCTTGAAATGCGGACGAATGGGCATGGAGACGTTGGATTCGCAACATACAGCAAGCAAAGCACAAAGGCACAAACCACACACAATGAGAGATTCACATCAGCATGATACCCTCCTGCGGCACACTACGGGCATGGAGCATGGGGTTCTTTTTTTTTCTTTTGGGACGATCAGCAGACTTAGCATGGCGGCTTCAGCAAAGGAAGGGTTTTGGAGTAGCTAGCCTTGTACACTGAAATCAAAGTCTCCTTCATACGATGCATTGGCACTAACGGAGAATTATTTGTGATCGTGAGGGATTGGGGGGGTTCTAGAGCTGTCAAAATGTCTTGGCCGATGACGAAAGAGCTCTCGTGTTTGGTGGGGTGAGTAGAGCTCACGCCCTCAACATCACATCGTCTTGCAGGCTCTTTAATAGCTCTGGCTTTGTTCTGAAAACTTGGAGGATACACTCTTTTTCATATTGACGTATTCCTCCTTTCACCACACACATTTTTCTGACGATCAAGCTCACCGCCACAACATCCACACCCTCAATCCTGCTTCCCTTCCACCCACCCTCCAAAATGATAAACTTTGGCATCATAGGCACCGGCTGGATCACCACCTCCTTTGTCGCCGGCGCCCACGCAACCTCCAAATGGAACCTATCAGCCGTATACTCCCGCTCCTCCGACTCCGCAAAACACTTCGCTTCCAAATACGACCAACCTATCAAAACCCACACCACTATCTCCTCCCTCGCCGCCGACACTAACATTTCCGCCGTCTACATCGCCTCCCCGAATTCCCTGCACTTCGTGCAAGCGGCGGAGTTGCTGAAGGCAGGGAAACACGTTATCCTGGAGAAACCGGCGACCAGTACGGGCACAGAGCTGGATAAACTATTCGAACTCGCAAAGGAAAACAACGTATTCTTACTAGAAGCCTACCGGCACCTCCACGAACGCAATTTCAAAATCCTGCAATACAACCTTCCCTGTCTCGGGCCCATCTACGGCGCTAGCTTGACGTACGCGCAGTATTCGAGTCGGTACGATAAAGTCTTAGCAGGAGAGACGCCGAATATCTTTAGTTTGGAGTATTCCGGGGGTGCGTTGGTGGATCTGGGGGTTTATTGCGTGGCTGCTGCTGTTGCGCTGTTTGGCGCACCGAGGGAGAGTGTGTATCATCCGGTGGTGATTAGTACTGGTGCTGATGGCGCTGGGTTCATGTTGCTGAAGTATGAGGGTTTCAGCGTTGCTATCAATTTCAGCAAGATCTATAACTCAGCAACTCCAAGTGAGGTTTATGGGGAGAAGGGAACGCTCGTCACACCGAGTATTACAGATATTGAGAGGGTGGAGTTTGTTGATTCGCAGAAGAAGGGAGAGAAAGAGGAGCGTGGCGAGGAGAAGGAACATTTGAATTTGAAAGAGGAGGCGGAAGAATTTGCGCGGATTATTGAAGAGCAGGATAAGGAGGCGGCGAGGAAGTGGGAGAGGATTAGCAGGACGGTGGTGGGGATTACGGAGAAGGTAAGGAGGGATAATGGGTTGTTGTTTAAGGTAGAGAAGGAGGCACTGTGATGGGTGGTGAGGAGTTTGGAGAGCTTAGGGATGGGAGCGGGGATGGTGGGGGGTGGGATATTGGATTTTGATTTGGAGTCGATGCGGAGGTCTTGGGCTGGGCGTGTATTGTCAGGTGAAGAATTAGAACTGAAGAAAGTGTTTGTAGGAGGATATATGTTGTGGAGAGCACGAAGACGATTGGTCGGCTCTTGTATGCGGTTTGTAGAGCGAACCAAAGCATTGATATCTAATCTGAGGCAGATCCGAATGAGTGGGGAATGCCATGCAGTGTCTTCCTGGTCATGTGGAGTGAAATGGAAAAGTTCACAATCGTTCACACAAACCCAGTGCGGTACATGAGTGAGAGATTCCCTTCCTTTAACTATGTATTATAATTATAAATCTCCGGATATTGATCATTTCACACGCTGGAGCGTCGGTCTTGAAAGCATAGAAGTCCAGCAAACACTAACTCTCCCAGGCAGCTCCTCATCGTCTCCATCCCCAATAAGCACCACTAAAGAATGTTCCTGTAATGAGCTAGAACTAGAAGAACTCACCAAACAGCCATGCACGAAATATGCAGTATCCTCTAATTGATCTGAGTCCAGATTAGCGTCAATCCTCTCATCTGGATTATTTCTTGCGAACTCAGGCAAGTGCTCTCGTCAAGATTTGGCTAGTGTAACATACTCTCCAGAGTCGCAAGATTGTAACACATAACGCCCCCCCTTGCCTTCTTGTTGCACATATCCCCCCCCCCCCCCCTGCCCAAATACTCGTCGCTGTCTGAAAATATGATGGGAGAGAGGCTTGCTAGCAGAAATAGTTCGTGGAAAACACAGACGATGCAAGAGAAAGGATTTAGAGAAGGGGCAGAGCATGTGCACCCCGCGTAACCAGCAACTAGTAGGCAGTGGCCTAAAGGTCGGGCTCTAGCTCCGACTCCTTTCTTCCAAATCAGGACGACACACGATGAAAGGACGATCCCAATCGCCCTCTCCCTAGGCATGCAAGGAAACAAAGCACGAGAACAAAGCCATCGGCTATGATCGGCCGCCGCCGTTTTCAATAGCAGACTAACCGTTCAACCCGTCTGTCTCAGCTGCAGTGCTCGCACGATAGGCATCCAGGACTTGACCGGTGTATCAGGAATACTCAAAGGGGGTCTGTATACCAGTGTGTGCAGTGGTGGTATACGCGGGGTTCCTGGAACTCCTCCTTTGTGTGACATGTCTCTGTGAGAGGCTGGAGCTGTTAGTCTGTATTCCACAATCACCCCCTTCCGCCATCCTTGAGCCATGGTCAATGTTTCACTAGAGCCTGGGATACATTCTTTGTCATCTGAGGCTTAACGATACTGTTGGTTAAGCGGAAGGACTGCCGGTAATCCGGGAAGATGTCGAAATTTTGTTCACCAATAATGCTTACATTTCGCCATGGATATGCAGTACCTTGGTTCACCAACCCCGCAGTGATGTATGCGTGACACGGACTCCATCCTTCTATCAGTCCATTCCAGCACAAGATAGGAGATGATGACTTGAGCTAGCCCTGAATGTTTGGACGAGTGCTGTCCATTCGTTTCAAGGCTAAGTACCACATAAGATCGAGCCAAAAACCATGCTGTAGGGCAAGTGGCTAGACTTCCTTTGTTTTCCCAGCTCTAGCCAGGAGGCGTACCAAAATTCTCAATGGGGCGCCTGCAGTAGCCGCGTCTCCTGCAGCTGGAAAGAGCTGTCGAATTTCCGTGGAGAATCTTGCATCAAGGGAAGGGAAAGGGAACCTAGAAGCGAGAAGGATTAGCGCAAGTGATGGGTGATTCCCGAAATGTGCAGATCCGTAGTCAGCCATGGCTTGATGCGGATGTGCGGACATTTGAAGGAACACGGAGGTTGGTATCGGGGTTGGTGAGAGCCGAATGCTTATCAGCGGTTCCCCGGTCTTGGTTTTCGGACCCTAACTTGGGTGCGCCAAGCTAAGGCCCAAAGGTCGATAGAGAAATTACGTTGAATGATGCGAGTCGTTGCATCCTTGGCTGATCATTGGTTTACTATACACATTCACTACTCGAGAGGCGTTTGCTTGTCGACAAAAGAAAAAACCATACTACGGTTTAGTGCAAGAAACATATAGTATCCAGGTCACCAGTCATAAGTCTACCTACTCTCTAAACTACTATAAAATAGCACGGTCTCAATTTACTCGCTATCAAGTTCTCGCTTCTCTGAAAGTCACATAGCGCTCCCGCATCCAAACCCTATATTTCCTCTACACTCGCATCATTCGATTCCAGCACCACGGAATCTTTCCCAATCCAAGCCCCGTTCTCAGCTACCGCCGATACATACATCGGTCATTCTGGTCGGCACCTCCTGTATACGAACCCATAGCATTGGGATCCAGTGGCATCGTAAGAATTATGTAGTAGTCTTTGGGAGTATTAGCGACAGTTACATTCTCTCCAGGACGAGCTTCAACAATGTAAGTCAGCAGTCAGTGCGGACCATTACGAGAGAAGAGAAGGTTGGCTCACCTCCAAGCATAGTATCGCACAAACACATCGCATTGGTTGGTGGGCCTGTGTCCCAGTCCTGAAAACGAATCTCCAGGTAGGTGTGTAATCACGCATGTGGCTGGCCATGTAGTAGGTAGGGCAGTGGATGATGACGTCGCTGAAAAGCGCACTGCGTTGCCATAATGTGGTTTTATAGTTGGTAGATAGCTAGAGCTATAGACGTCGTGCCATGAACGAGTGTGATGATGGGAATGTAGGGCATAGAGAGCCAATGTTAGTGGCGAGGCCGACTAACCATTATTCTCCGGATGTTGTTTTCAGTGGTGATGTAGGAGTAGCCTTGGTGTAGTGTATTAGCTTAAGACTCAGGTAGTGGGTGGGAATGAAGTACTTTCATAGGCTCTCGTATTCAGATAAACTAGCCGGTTGGCCTTTTATGAGCCCGTCTTCTGACAACGAAGACATTCGAGCCCGCCATATTCAGTAGCAGTAAGCAGCTCCTGATACTGTGGTTGCAGCCTAGTATCGCTTTGAAATTGTTGTGCTCGTGGATGTTTTACGTCCTCGAGTTGACCAAGCACACAGTCTTATATTCGTTCATTTTACTCGTCAGCCATCGTAGCTCTAAAGAATGGCTTCTTAGACCTTTTTACAATGGCTGCGCCAAAACTGAGCCTCCGTTGGCAGAGCCACCAATAATCGTTATCTTGTCCGGATCCCCCAGAATCTTTGATATTCTTACAAACCCATAGAATTACCACTCTCTTATCTACAAGTCCGGCGTTAAGAGAGCCATCTCTCTTAATTTCTACCGAAGAAAGAAATCCACATGCTCTTTACGCTGAAGGGGACGTCAGCTTCTGTGGGCCGAGAAGATACGAATGAAATACTGAAGTAGTAATGGCCATCACCACCAAGAGGCATATCTAATACCTTGATAACAAGCATAGCTCACGTCGACGATCAGATCATCTCGGCGCTGGCGCGTAACTACCCCTGGGGTCAATTACTGTACCGTAGCCGCTAAATACAGACTTGTTGAGATCTTCGATAAACATCCCCCTGATCAAAGATGTTTGGAAGAGCGTAGAGGACTGGAACGTAGGATTTTCGACGGAATAACCCAGAAGAAATTATAGAATAATACACCTACCTCCATGCAAGAAGTATAACAGCAATGCTTATCTTTCGCAATACATGAGGTCGTCCAATGTGGAGAAGAATCAAAACGTTGTATCCCTTGATTGGCTAGTTAGATCCCTAAATGCTCTCCCTACACCTCTATTGCGGGGAATTTCGCCCAAGGTTCCTGGGAAACTACATGGGGACCTGCAGCCGTCTCTTTAGGTGCTAACTCCGGATCTTGAAAAAAGCCCAGGTACCGTACCCATGACTGAGAAACTATGTTCAAGGCGTCGTTGAAAGCTCGCAACTCAAGTTCTGTGAGCGAGTCAGTGCCTCTATAGACTTTATGAAAATTTTCAATTTGAAGACCAGGAAGGAGACTCGCATCAGCCCAACGCTAAAGAAGCGAACGGTATAAGAAATAAGAGCGGTGCGAAGTAGGATGAGGTGCTGGGATGAAACGATGGATAGAATGAGTGAATCGGCATCGGGACGGAACCGATTTGGATTGAATATATCTGTTGTTATGTTGAAAATTAGGTTGCTGCCCAGTCCAGGAGCATTGATGAAATATTCTAGGCCGTATTGGCATGTCATGGTGCCCACCACGCACTCCATGACCATGGTATGTAATTGTGTGCCGGCAAGCGTGGACATGGCGGGGCCGGGGAAGAGCGCATCCACATCAAGTAGACGTTAACCCAGAAGTGCGTTGAAGCTCTTTGCGGTTCATAGAACAACGAATTACCGGAAGCTTAATGAGAAACCCGCATCTACCTTGCACGTGAAGATCCGCACGATGAAGAGACGCTAGGATTTGGACGAGCCAAACTCGCTTATCGATCGTTCCTGTGTGAAATAGATTTGGAGGCCGCATGTGAAGGATTGATGTTTATGTGTTGCATTCCACTACATGCTCGTCTATTTTCTAGAAGAGGGGTGACGTTCGAATAGGGTCATTAACGGAGATTGTAGCACTAGCTCGCGAAGGTGTGTTCCCAAGGAAGCTCCGAGACGCTTTGGCCCTTCGGGCCCATCTGGCAACCGAACAAAAAATGGAGGAGCAAAACATCCTAAATCCTTTTATAAGACGCTTTAGATTTATTCCTAGTACGCATTTTTAATCTCTCCCCTCAAGGATGTTGACTAGGGGGCCAGTTTCCAGGCCTTTAAGGGGAAATAATCTTACTTCTTTGGGCTGGATCTACCACCAGCAAGGCAGGCGAGATAAATTGTACGAGGGGCATGCAGAGACGCCTCTAGTTTGTTTCACCGCAAACATTTTTCGACGGCGGATCCAGTGGCATGAGGCTTGTTCGCAAAAGGATACAAAACCTAAAAATGATTGGTCTGAATTGTTTCGAAATGCCCCGCAGCACTTCGGTGACAGCGGTACTTCAAGAACTGAGAGCGTCAGCACTGCTTCTAATCCACCAACGCCGCTACAGTGGTAGGAACGCCTGCTCAACCGCTCTCCGGGTTCTGTTTCTAGCTTCTAGACTAATGCTGATGCGCTGGTGGCTTCGTCCTTTGCTCCTGCATGAGATGCTTATCTAGTTTCTAGGGTCGGGATTCAGCGGGAGGTTCAGGTCTGATGTGGAAGACCTGCTCTCCCCCGACTGCAGCCCCCATACTTATCAGCATGGAACGCATTCGAGAAGGATAGCCGACGGTGCTGTATCTGAAGATGTCCTCGATATGCAGACAGATGCCAGACATGGTCTTGGAGACTAAAGGAACACAAGATCACGGACCCTGGCGCCTATCCGGGCTTCCCAAGCGACTCCTCAAACAAAAAAACGCCAAACTGGTGCCGCCAGCCTCAAATTAGCCAGGAGGAGAAGGCCAGGCGCCATGCATGCCCACTCGTCTGCAAAATCACACACGAATCCGGCAGGTGCAAACTCATTCTTGCAGAGCACTGACGTCGTATAGAGGAAATTTGGTGGTGTGGTTTGAAACACTTGAGCCACTCCCGCCTTGCGATAGTATAAAGAGGTACAAAGGATGCTACAACCTGCTCCTCTCCACATCTTGATTTGTTGTCTTGTTCTTCCACGGTCGAGGAACCCAGACATTCGTTCCCACTTCCATTCTTTACTTCCTGTGGAGCTTGACGCTCGTTGCACGACATTCTTTTGGATTCACCCAAGTCTTTCTTTGTACCTTCGCGTATATATACACTCTTTCTCCAAGTCAACTTGCCTCAATCAAATCACAGATTCGATATCTTGAACCGCCTTCGTATCTTCAATTCAAGATGTATATCAACAACCTCGCTCTAGCCCTTGGTCTGGCGGGCTCAATTGCTCCAGCTTCCGCCTTCTTTCGCATGTCCTGTCCTGGACGACTTGTGCGAGAACGAATTGACCCGATTGTCAATCCCGGCGCTGTCGGTGGTCATGTGCATACCATTTCCGGTGGTTCCGCTTTCGGTCCTTCGATGACCTTCCAGCAAGCTCGCGCGGCGAAGTGCTCGTCATGTGAGATTAAGGAGGATATGTCAAACTACTGGACCCCTCAGCTCTACGTCCATGCCAAGAACGGGTCGTTCTTCCCTGTTCCTGTTGTTGGAGATGGAGGCGACACCAATGGCGGCATGACGGTCTACTATCTGTGAGCCAGTCCCAAGCCAATAGTCATAAAACACCACACATGCTAATACCCGTAAAGCCAAAGAACTGGAAGTTCCGGCGAGAAACTCAACGCCTTCCCAGAAGGCTTCCGGATGCTCGCAGGCGACCCTTACAAGCGTAACTTCACTGGTGGCCTCGACGCCAAAGCCGTCTCCTTCGCCTGCCTAGGCGCCAACAAGGCTGAAACCAACGAGATCCCAAACTACAACTGTCCTGGAGGGCTTCGAGCCCAGGTCTTCTTCCCCGCGTGCTGGAACGGCAAAGATCTCGATACTGCCGACCACAAATCACACATGAGCTACCCAGCTGGCGGACAATACAACTCCGGTCCTTGCCCCCCTGAGTTCCCCAAGCATATGATTTCGATATTCTTTGAGGTGCTGTATGACACCAACAAATTCGTCAACGAGTGGAATGGCAACCAACACCCCTTTGTCTTCTCCAACGGTGACCCAACCGGCTACGGATTCCACGGCGACTTCGTCAACGGCTGGGACGTTCCCGTGCTGCAAAAAGCCGTCGACACCTGTCTCGACGACTCAGGTAGCGTCGCCAAATGCGGTGCCGTCACTATGTTCACTGCTTCCGAGTGCAACGCGTGCAAGCTCCCCACCGTCGTAAACGAACAGGTCGACGGCATGATGGACAAGCTCCCCGGCTGCAATCCCGTCACCACTGGCCCTGGTCGCGCTGCCCCTGTTGCGAATTGCCCGACGACCCCGTTGTCAGCCCCAAGCACTAACTTCGTGGATCTAACGACGAGTAAGAAGTGGGAATATACCGGCTGCGGCACTGATAACATTGGATCTCGCACGTTCACCGGGAAGTCGACGTCCAGCGATGACATGACAGTGGAGAAGTGCGTGGACTTCTGCTCTGGCGCGGGCTTTTCCTACGCCGGACTAGAGTACGGAAGGGAATGCTACTGCGATAACACGCTGAAAGCCGAGGCCGCGCCAAAGGACGGGATTATGGGGTCTTGCACGATGAAATGCATGGGAAACAACAAGGAATTCTGCGGGAATGGCGGCGCATTGAGCATTTATCATAAGTGCGGTGCAACCTGCAAGAATCAGCAGATCGGTGGTGGAGATACTGCTCCGGCTCCGAGTGCTTCTGCGGCAGCGGTGTCATCGCCGGCAACATTGAAGCCTTCGTCTTCATCTGCCCCAACGCCAGTCAAATCCTCTTCCTCTCTTAAGACCAGTGTCGTCTCGACAAAGGCTCCCGCCACCACTCCCTCGGCCCCGAAAACCACGACCGCGGCAGCACCCAAACCAACCAAAGCCCCTGACTGCCCCCAAAACAACTGCGTGCGACAAATGTTCAACCCCACAGCCTCCGTCCCTGGAAGCAAGTTCTGTCCGACGTACACGGCGTCTGTGAACACGGATCCCAAAGCCATTCCGACATACCTAGGGAACTGCTCTGGTCCTTCAGAGGTTAGTCAGGCGTGTTCGTGTTTGATGTATGCGACGCCAACCCCTTCACCGAAGGTGAGGAGGCATGCGAGGGATATATAGGGATGACATGAGAGATAGAATAGATATGGGTGGCTCTTTGGACTTGAGTATCTTGGATGGGTGGTATGTGCGTGCATTGGATGCATAGCAACATGCATATGTTATTTTCTCCCCCGCCTAGTTTGTTTCGGCATTACGGTTCCACTTCACATTTGTATGATATTTGCATTTGCATTCGCATTCTTCGATTCTCTTCTTGTCGCTCGCTTTATTCGATTGAGTGTCTTGAAAATATTTTTGCTCTTGAGAAAAGGTAAGGCGGCGAGCAGAATCAGCATAGCTGATTTAGCTATCTAGAGAGCATGCACGAAGGAAAATATCTGATCACGGGCATTCGTCCCATCGAATTCAAACCAAAGCAGTATGGTACCAAGAAAGCCAAATGCATTCCCATCTACTCTCAAAAGAAAAACAAAAACCAAGACCCTAAGAGTACACAAAGGCAGCGCCTCCCACCAGATGGATTGCATTTTGCCACAATTGATTCCATTATCTATTCTGTCTGCCTCCCTTCCTACGTTGACCACCTCCCGCCTCCTATCTCTCCCTAATCATCCACTAATCCGTCCAGCTGCCCGTGCAGGCGGCCCACTGTAAAGAAAATACACAAATAAGACGTACAACATGTCGCACAAGATATTTGAATCCGTGAGCGCCATGCAAAGTATGAGAGATGTATAGGTCATGGGTCATTTTCGGGAGAGATGTGTTTGTGTGTCCAATAGATAGCGATACCGATGCCGGGATTCTCATCGCAGGGGAAATTGGCTACGCTGCGACGGCGAGATGGACGAAGCGTTTATGGGTTGCACGTAGCTGTGCTGCCCTTGGAATTCATGAGCAGGGCAACGATGAGACCATACAGACCTGCAGACAAAGCAATTAGTCGCCGCCCATTGATCAAGCAATTCCGATATCCCAAACTTACCCAAGACTTCGGCGAAAATGAGAATCAAAATCATGCCGACGAACAGCCGGGGCTGCTGCGCAGTTCCTCGCACACCGGCATCTCCGACGATTCCGATGGCGAATCCGGCGGCCATACCTGCAAGTCCGACAGAGAGACCGGCGCCGAGCTGGATGAAGTTGGTGAAGAGCGAGGATTCTTGCTTTAAATCGTTGGAGATCAGGACTGAGACGACGAGGCCGTAGATGCCGATGATACCAGCCATGACAACGGGGATGATGTCTGGACATGTTAGCTGTCGGGTCTCGGGAGAACAGGGGAGCGCCTGGAGGGAACAAGTACAGAGGAGGCGGGAGAGGGTAGGAGGGGGAGGGTAATGGTATAAACGTACTCTTGACTATCAGATCCGGACGGAGGACACCCATGGCAGAGACGCCAACGCCTGCCTTGGCAGTTCCGTAGGCAGCGCCAAAACATGTAAAGACGATGGCGGAGGTGCAGCCCATGGCACCGAAGAAGGGCTATTGCAGACATCAGCATGCTGTCCGCCAATTCAGCGCAGTGTAATTGTTGCTACGATAAGGGGGAGGACCGCGGAGGTCAAGGGGAGACAGTGGAGCCGACTTGGGAGGGAGGCGAAGAGGAGCATGAGGACGACTTACGGCATAAACGGGACTGGATTAAGCATCGTGTCAGCGAGCATTCATTGATTGGGGCGATGAAGGACAGAGACAGGGGGTTGCTTTGTCGACCGCAAGCTCCAGCTTATCTCGCGGAAGCAAAGCTAGAGCTGCCTGCAGAGCGCGATAAAGAGAGCTTCGGGGGGCTCACCAGTAATCGGAGACCATTGCGGCGGTTCTCTAAGCAAGAAGAGTGTATACTTAGTCGAAGGACGGGCTTGTGATGGGGAGATGAGTTGTGGTGAATGGGTAGACGAGGATGGTGTGGTGAGGGAGCCGGAGTGGTGACGATGGGAGGCAGGTGCAGTTCTTCGCTTGGCCATCCCCGTTGCCAGGGTCGGCTGGACACTCACGTGACCGACCGCCAAGATCTTCCGAACCGAAGAAATCCAAAAAAGTCTACTGAGGCTCCATCATTCACTCTCTCCCTCAACACCACCACCCCCGCACCCCACGACAGCCAACAGAACGGGCGAGCATACGCAGTGTAAGTAATCCCCCATCCCATCCCCGCCACCTGGCTTACCAATACTTCCAGGAACCCTCACGGGCGAGCCGAGCAGTGAACCCAGTTCTCCCCACCAGCACCTCTTCCTCACAAAACCCCCTCACCATGTCCAACGACAGCTCTGCCGCTTGGCCCGTTGCCGACCAGGCTCTCTCGCAAGAGATCCTCGATCTGGTGCAGCAGGCCACTCACTACCGCCAGCTGAAGAAGGGCGCCAACGAGGGTCAGTCACCAACAATCCCAACCCCTCCCTACATATACTAACAACTTTCCAGCAACCAAGACACTCAACCGCGGCATCGCCGAAGTGGTCATCCTGGCCGCCGACACCTCCCCGTTGGCCATTCTTCTCCATCTGCCGCTTCTCTGCGAAGACAAGAACGTGCCCTACGTCTACGTTCCTTCCAAGATGGCTTTGGGACGCGCCTGTGGTGTCTCTCGCGCTGTCATTGCCGCCTCAATTACCACGAACGAGGCTTCGGACCTCATGAGCCAGATTCGAACTCTGAAGGACAAGGTTGAAAGGCTGCAGATCTAAGTGAGATCAAGGCCGACTGGAACTACAACTATTGCTGGCCAAGTGCGGAATCTCGGAGAAAAATTTGTCTGGACTTCTCAGCCACCTGCTTAGGAACATACGTGCTCAGATAAGACCAGCTACAATCTGATACGCATATTATACCATATATCCCCAAGTCCACCTAATCTTATTGCCACGCCTCCAGCACGCAGCACGGAAAGTGGGAGCACTGGGCTTGCTATGACGAGGATATCCTGACCGTGTGATTCTAACCAAGCCCTCTTTGTCCTTGCCGACTGCTCATATAAACTGCCCGTCGGACACAACGACAAGGAGACTGGTCAGGAGGTCTAATTATTATATGCGCTTTCCATGCATGATCTTCGGTTCTAATCCAATAATCTGGTGGAAGGGATCCTATCGATTCCTTAGATGAGGGAGGAATAGGGTGTGATGCGAGATTAGACGAACAAGATACAAGATACATAACCCACGATAGTATATTGATAGCCCAAACTCCTCAGCTCAAACAAAGTCTGCAGAAGTATCCAGACAACGCAAACAGCTCCGTGCTTGCCCAAGACAAGCAGAGAGAGACATGAATATGACTTTTAGTGTGTTTCATTTTGGCGAGATAGAAGTTTTACATGTTAGTCTACAGAACAAACCACGACACAAGATCTCCACGAGAAGGAATAGTAGCGAGACATTGACTAGTGTGGAGTGCAGTGACTTGACGCTGTAAAGATTGGACATCCCAAGCTTTACGCTGATGTTCAGAGAAGACCGCTAGATGGTTTTCGGATTGGCGCGTCTGTGCTCTCAACGTCACTCTCCCAAAGTAAAGTACGTTCTTCTTAATTTCAAACACTGAAGAAAATTATTATTGCTTCTACAGTAGGTAACTTCAGTTCAATCGGGGCTGTGTCAATTTAACGGTCAGACATGCCAATGGTGGCCCATGAGTGTCCAGTGACGATTGTCGACGCCAAGTGGAAGACGATGGACTCTGCTTGTGCAGAGAGCGGCTCTTGCACAAAAGACATTGACATCAAACCTCATTGTGGGCTTTTGGTACGAGTATGATGTGGAGCATGGTTCAATGTAAAGTGCTGCTTTCACCCCAAACTACCAGCCTTTCATAACTAGTCATCACGTCCTGCAGCATCATCAAAACCACGCCATAAAGCTTACCAGCCTAATAATCTGTCTAGTATTGTGTCACTGAGAGGCCTCACACTGGGTTATCTCTTAAACGTTTTTGATAAACAATTGCTCCCACCACACCGCCAAATTCCAATCTTTCACCCCCCGTCTGTGCCAGAACAATCACAACACCGCAAAATCATAAGCACCAGCACCAGCACCAGCACAAAAGCCATCACCACTCGCGCAGGTTTCTCTGCCGAAACCACAACGCCTGCACCACCAAACACGGTTTCAAAAATCCTACATAAACACTTCGTCTACTAAGGACATGCTTGCCCTCGGCAATCCCACACGACTTACTGTTCGCAACATATCTTCCTCTTTTCGCAACTGAAAGGCACCAACTTAGCTTACTGAAGTTTCCCTACCTCTGGTTCTTGTCTCACAACGCCATTAATGACGGTAAACAAGCTTCTTGTCTAGTTCGTTATCAACCCGACTTTCTAAAGCCTCACCCACTTTTGCCTCTTGTTGGCGCTGTATAGCTTCTTCCTCGCACAACCACCAGACACCATAAGCCTTTCTAGAGTTCCACCTACTTCTTTCTCCAGTCTCACAACACCTCGATCGTCACCAGCCTCTTTCCAGATCTTCATCTACTTCTGCGTTCGTCTCACGACACCACCGACAACAGTACAAACCTCTCGTCTCTTTTGTCTTTCTGTCACCAACCTTCATCAGCTTCTCCTTTCTGTCTCACAGCACTACGGACAACAATACAAACCTCTTATCTCCTTCATTGCCAACTTTCTCATCTAGGAAAGCTGCATCTCGCCAGTCCATCCAGAGTCTATAGACCAGTACAGTGCAGTACAACGCCATCACTGTTGCTAGCAACCCAGAATTGCACCTTTCAGCCCTGCACAGCTCAGCCCTGTTTTATCAGCATCTACCTCAGATCCTGAGCTTTTGCCTAGCTCGTCACCGGCGCTTCCACGTTAAAGCCTATCGTCTCGTTCCTGCATCACCACTAGCTAGTTAGACGTCTTTCCTTTCGTCAATTTCCATTCCTACCATTCCTCCATCTCTCATCACCACCAACGATACCTTCTAAATGGCCCGCAGCACGAGATCTAACACATCCGCTCGCGAATTCCCTCTCACCGCTGCCTCTACTCGCTCTCGTCGTTCTCGCCCCGCTGAAAAGGCCATCACTATCTCTCGCTCGTCCTCAGGTCCACTAGCTGCCACTTCCGCACTCTCAACTCGTGCTCGTTCACTTCAGCCTACTGATACTGCACCACAATCCGCCACTCAGACGTCTAATGCCGTCGTCCAACCTCAGCCTGTCACCATGGCCAAACAGACCACCAAAGCGGTACCTTCCAAGACCAAACAGCCACCCGCGCCTCAAACTGCCATCATTACAACCGCAAAGCGGAACGCATGGGGAGACTCTCGCGCTGCCACCGAATCCCAGATGATGTCCTCACACGCCACTCTCCTCGTCCAGTCCAACATCATCTCCGTCGACACCGCCACTAAGCTCGCCCAGCCCTGGCACGAGAATGGAGTATTGGATTTCCAGTGGGAGAGCCAGCACCTAGATCCATCCCGCAAGCACGACGTCAAGATGATAGATCTAGACAAAGCGAAGAAGATGCATGCGCGGAAAGACGTAGCGGAGAAGAAAATGTTAGCGGAGTATTGCATGGGGAAGATTGATGAATGGGGTAAGCCTAAGGGCTGGAAAGAAGGGGTCGTCTTGGAGGATGAGGAGGATGTTGATTCAGCGTATGCCCAAGTCCCAGCCCCCACCCCAGTCCTTACTCCTACGCCAGCCCCGACAAGGGGGAAGAACAAAGCCACTTCCGGCCGAGTCTCCAAATCCACCCCGAACCGCCACTTCTCCACCATCATCGAAGAAGCCTCTACCCCTGCCTCCCCCCTCCCTTCCACTGTCACCACTCCCGCTGACTACAAAGAGTTCGGCTACTTCGACCTCGCCGCTATCGGTCGCGAACGCGGCCTAATTACGCGCGGTAACGCGGATGCTCTACGCGCGCGGCTGGTAGCGGATGATGTTGCGGTGCGGAACGGCACGGCGCGCGAAATGGCGCCGTATAGGAAACCGGGGGCTAAGCAGGCGCGGAATAGGATGCTGAAGAAGGAGAAGGTAGAAGAGAAAGGAAAGTCGGAGCCGGTCGATAGGAAGCAGAGCAGTGAGGACGGGGAATAAGGGGTAACGAGGGGGAGTTGAAGTGGGGGCCCAGAAGGAGGTTCGTGGTACAGGGGTTTGGAGGATTGTTTGAGCGGGTGTGAGTGTGAGATTTCATGCTGGGTAGATTAGATGGTGATTTTTAAGTTTTCTTGTAAGATAGCTTTCTGTTAGTCTTTGTACAATAATAGGCCTATAACTTGCATGCTATTTTTGTAATAATGACATTGGAGATATAGAAAATTATTCAAGCCTAGCGTTGTAAGCTTCGAGTACAACGTTTAGCCCTAAAACCCCTTTACTACCTTCTAACAGAGAAGCTATAGACCTAGTTTATTAGCTTGTGTAAGATTGCAGACAAAGTAATTTATAGGCTATTTTTAAAATGCAAACAGAGTAAGAAGATCAAGAGGTCTTTAGACATAGCGCAGTAAGCTTAGAAAACAGCATTCGACCTAAAATACCTTGCTACCTTTAATTAGAGAGACGACACATTCCCAATTTCTTCCAGGATGTGGACCTAATGCCCTACATGATGTGAGCTCCGTCTCTTCAACTCCCGCTCCAGCTCTTCCCTCTCCTCGACTGTAAGCCGGCTTTCCGCCTTCCCAATCTGAACACCCCAAAACATGACAATCAATCCAACCACTGAGCATCCAGTCGCAAACCAAAACGCGACCTTGTAGCTTTCTCTCTGCCCCAGTTCGGCCGTCTGAGTAACAGCCAGGTCCGCAAAGCCAAGGAAGAAAGATATCCCGATGAATAGCATGCTGTTGATCAGCGCTCCAGCGAGACCCTGGCGGGACTTGGGCATGCTTGTGGTGATGAATATATTGGTGACGTTGTATGTGATGTCGATACCAGCCGTGGCGCAGATCATGGCTGGGAAGATGTAGGCCCAGTAGTTGGGGTTTGTAGGGATTATGGCGAAAAGAACGACCGAGAGTATGTAGCATATACCTGAGAGGCCAAGTAGGGTCGTTCCTGGAAGCAGATGAAGAATCAAGCCACCAATGGTGGCCAGAATGAGCCCACCAACACACATCGGGGAAAACCACGCCGTGGTGAGGAGCGGGGATGCGTGGAGTATCTCCTCGATGTAGAAGCTGGCGTAGAAAAGATAGATACCAAAGACTCCGTATTGGAAGAAGAGCGCAACTACCAAGGCTTTCATACCCTTGACATCGAGCATGTCTCTAGGGAGAAGAGGTTGCGTTGCCAGCCAGCCCTCAACGTAAACAGTTCCGGCGAGAAAGAGCCATCCGATGACGAATGTCACTGGAATGTATGGAGTAGCCCATCCATTTTGGGCATGGGAACCATCAGTTATGGCGAATACCACGAGGAGCAAACCAGGAACGATAGTGAAGGTTCCAAGCCAGTCCATCCTCACTTCACAATCTTTTCTTTCTTCTTGGTCAGATGGGATGGTTAAGTATGATGCAATGGTTACTACCCACAACATGATGGAACCGAAGAAGAAGAACCATCGCCAGGATATGAGTTGAGCAGACACACCGGCGAAGAATATCCCTGCAAAGAATCCGACAGGAGCGAAGGCGCCGTATAGGCTAAAGACGAGGTTTTTGCGTGGACCAGGGCGGTACTACAAACCCATGTTAGTGTTTGAAGTTAGAATTGAGTTTAAAAGACCTACGAGACTACCTAGGAGCATTATACCAGATGGCAGGAAGGCTGCAGGTCCAAGCCCTTGCAAGGCTCGGCAAATGATGAGCATGGTGTAGTTCTGGCTGAATCCCGCAACAATAGACCACACAAGAAACCAGATAAGGCCAGAAACAAAGACTACCTTTCCTCCAAACATGTCCGCAAGACGTCCAGAAGGCAGAAGGAAAGCTCCAGTGACCAAGGAGAAGACGCTGGCTGGCCAAGTTTCTGCCTGCGACGGAATTTGCAAGGCTGTAGTCAGCACTGGCAAGAGGATGTTGAAACCAGAGGTGAAATACTCGGCAGCAAAAATGGAACCAATTAAAGAGAAGCAGAACCCTAATTCTGTCCAAATAGAACTGAATGCCTCCGGTCGTTCTCTCCCGAGTCGTTCAAACTCTGAAGGGGTGTAGGAGCCTCCGGGTCCTTCTTCTACAATTTCATCTCCTAGCGTCATTGCTGTTAAGCGAATACGGGCAGCAGATAGTATCTCAAGGAGATGATGCGATTAGATATGAAAAATTCAACTAACAGAGGATTTCTTTTGAGAGGAGAAGCGTGACTAAAGGGGACAAAACAATAAACTTGGCCTTTACTGAGGCTACCTCAATATATAAGCAAAGGGCCCTCCTAGCCATCTTCCTTTGCCTGGAAAGCATGATGAAGGTTGTGGTGATGAATAATGGCGGACTGTTGCAATGATGGCGGTGACTCGGTCGAGGAAAATGAGGTCGCCACTATTTCTGGACAGATGCAATTGATGTAGCTTGGCTGCCTATTTGAGTCAAGCAAAATGTAAGACAATGGTGCTACCAACGGTAGGCGATATCGTCGTCGACCGCAGGATTCGCTCGATGAAGTAGTAGAAAACTCCGAGAGTGGAGTTGAGTGGCTGTTAGGACCGGATCTGCACTTGTGGATCACCCACCCTACCGTAATACCAAATCTAGCCATAACATCCGCTGACAAAATCCACACCAGCAATCTCTTCCAACTGGTTAGTCGTGGTCATAATGGCCTCAGATATATTTTCAAGCCATACCCACCACATTTCCTTCCACTCATTCAGCAGAAAGGCTTGTTGCCCCTTTCGGTCACTCCTCGACATTCAGTGCAGGAAGCGCTCACCTGATGACGGGATCCAACCTCACATTGCCAACAAAAGCTTGCCACAACTGCCGTAAACGCCGCTGGAAATGCGATCGCTCACTACCTGTTTGTCAGAAATGCCTCTCCTCGGGCACCGAATGCCTTGGCTACGGGAAGTTGTTTGTTTGGAATCAAGGTGTGGCCAGCCGAGGAAAGATGATGGGGAAGTCGTTCGAGGACATGCTGTCGACAAAAAAGGAAGGCCAAGCACATTCAGCGCCTCAAAAACCAAAGAGTCTCCCAGATTGCAATAATAATGCCAAAGAAGATGATTTCAAAGCAACATCGTCTACAACCATGGCCGTTGTCAAGCAAGTGAAGATGGAGACGACAATATATTGGCCCCTAATTGATCCGCTTGTTAAGGATTTGAACCAACCTTCTCGGTACTATCTCTTCCACTTCGCGACCCAGCTTTGTGGAGATATGGTCATATACGACGGTCCAGGGCAGAACCCTATTCGAGATCTTATTCCTGCATCGTCTGTACACCCCTTACTCCTCCAGGTAATGCTAGCAAATTCTGCACTCCATGTCTATAATCTTGCACGAGAGCCTATCAACGAATCCAGGTATCACGAGAATCGAAAGCCGTGCCTGGTGGCTTACTATCAGGCGGTAAGCCGATTTGGAGGACCCTTCAAATCGGCATATCGAGATGCTCTCGTTGCCAAACAACGGGCACTTTCCTTGCTGGCTCAATCGGTAGGATCAGTGAACGAGTCGAACTTTGACATCGTCCTTGTATCCATCCGTACGCTATCCCTAGCCCTTAGCCACATCTACTGACTTACCTGCTATAGTCCTCTTCATTAATTATGACCTTGTCGAATCTGGGATGGACAAATGGAGAGTGCATATGGAGGGCGCTCGAAGATTGATAAATCTTCTCGAGACAGCACCCTTTCAGCTGCATGAAATGAGTAAACTACGGAAATGTCTCCTTTCCGATCTCCTGGTGTAGGTCTATTAACTCGATTTTTGTGCTTACTGACGGCTCTAGCTTTTTCGTTTTGGGCTCGACCTTGGACTTTGATAATACTCCAAAGAAGCTGATACCCAACTCTATTGATTTGAAGGCCATTCTTGAATATGCAGAAACCAACAATTATCTGTCATGTCCAGCCCCACTCCTCCACATTATGCTCCAGGCGTTTGAGCTGCCCGACGTGCAATGGCAACAATTCGGCGAAGAAGCTTCCTTGGCCCGTGGCCATATACAGCTGTTACTAGAGGCCGCGCTATCCTTTGATCCCATTAAATGGGCATCTACATTTCAGCCGGCGTCACCATTCGAGGATCTCAAAAAACGGATCTCCATCGCTTCAGCACACCGATCCGCAGTTTGCATATACATTACACGAATCTTACCAAGTACCCATGCAAGTTCTCTTCTCAGTACCTCAAGAGGCTCCAGCGTAAGCAGCCTCTCCGATCTCGCCACCGATATTCTAGATCACCTTTCAAACCTCAGTCCCGGTGACACTGTCTTCAAGTCAATAGGTTGGCCAATTTTTCTCGCCGGTGCCGAGTCAGACGATCCAGTGCAACGAGCCGTTATTGTGGAAAAGTTGGATGCGCTGTGGAACGAAATGTACTGGGGCTACATTTTGACCGTGAAAGAGCTGCTAGGAGTAATATGGAGTTATAAAGATCGAGGTGCGAAAGGGGAGGATATTTGTTGGGTTACTGAGGTCAAGAGGCTGGGCACCGAGCTGTTGATCGCATGACTACTTCAAGTTTAGCCTACGATACTACGTTGTCAATATTGTACGTGACTATTCGTTGTTCCCAAACAGCTACGTTTCTCACCCCGGATCCGTGTTGTCGGAACGCTCAGATGCCGAACCTTACCGACGCCTAGTCATTGAGCCCACAAAGGTTGTTGATGCCCTTCAAACACTTTCGCGCCTATCAACTTCCATCTCAATGATAGTATGCGACAGCATTGAGAATTTGTAGAAAATCGCCTGCTCTAGATTTTCGGTGCCAACGGCTCCTCAGATGAGTACTAACAGATCTTTACAATGGGAAAATAATTGCGCACTTTCAACCTTCATCTTCCTACTCGAAATACAGTGCTTTATTATGGCCGCCACGATATTCGCCCCGCATCTCACCATATCAAATCTTAACAACGTATACTACTCAATTCACCTTGTCTGAAACCTCTAAATAACCATGTTCGTCTTGCATCTTGATATCCAACTCATCCATTGTCTCCCCGACAAACGTCTGGCTTCACGAACCAATGGCCCAAACTTCGGTGCATCATTGCTATTTCACACCCACCCGCTTCCCGTTTGTGCACCTCAACACGCGGCAGTCATGGTCCCACACCTCTGACTTTGGGATGCTCCCTGGAACAAATGCCCAGACAATTGACGTGTGGGGGTCCGGATGCAGGATTACCGGGTTGGGCCGCCTAATGCAATCACGTGAGAAACAGAAGTTTCAGAATCCCCCCTTGAATTGCAATGCCTAAACGACACGCTGATGGACGATCTATCACTTAGGGGCGCGGCTCGAGGCTGTGCATAATGATCCTGGCCCCACCCTATTGGTTGTTTGGGTACGCGACTATCATTGATTGCGGACATTCTCAAATTGTGCTTTGGCGTAAGGATGCGTCTTGGGTACCTCATTCTCAAACAGGGGTAGCCAATCAACGTACCGTGAACAATGAAGGTGAACAGACTCGCTGCTGCCATCACGTTCTTGGTCTCATAGCCTGGGCATTTTCGCGTTCGATTTGCTGACTTTTAGGAGAATAACTGGGCCTTGAAACACTTCACGGATGTCATGTTTCGAGCCGCAAATTAGAGATACGGGATGGCCATCACGACAGATTCACGAACGAGAACGGCGCGTACAGAAAGATATGGGTCGAAACAAAAAGCCTCTACAGAGCACAATCGCGAGGCACTGTTCGCTCCAGTTGGCGTTCCATCACTGCACGTGAGTCGGCGTTTTCACGAATGAGAGGCATCGGAGGTTGTGGAGTTCCGATAGCTACACACCGTCGTCCGACGTCGTTACGGACAGAGCATCAACCTCTGACTTCAACACTCTAAACATACTGCACATATGTTGGTCGTCCATATCGTTCATTTTAGTTGTGTCTAACTCAATATACTCGCCAATCCAGCGACCATATAGTCTAAAACAAACTCATCACCTTAAGCACGAAAAAGCCTCACAATGCACATATTATCCTCCCTCTCATTCGCCCTGTACGCGTTCTCACAAGCGCGATCTCTCCTTAAAACGCCAAGTTATGATTTCTTAGTTGAGCAGGGGCAAGGACACACTCGCCTGAGACCCCATGTTCAGGGATACGTGGGAGTCCAGTACCAGGAACCACTAAATTTAGCGGCAAGGTGAGACTTTCTTTCCTTCATTCCCCGCTGTAATGATGGCGCATTGGCGGATCCCTCGGTCTGTCTTTCTTGATTTCAAGGCCTTTTCCCTCAATTCCCTTTGATTAGAGGGGATGGGCGAGTACAGGGTCCTTGAAAATGGGGCTCTAGTCGATCGAACGTATTGGAGGGATGCACATTCTTATAAGAATGTACCTCTACCTTCTCTTCGCGCCGTAGTATTTTCCGTTTAGAGTTTCCGTCTGCGATTTTCTCCTCTTTTTTGTACTTCTTGTATATCTTAATGCAGTCGAGATCAATACCCCGTTGCCCATAGCTATGCATCCTACAAAGTCTTTAACGATTTTGCTCCCATATACATTCATTTCTAATACCTACGCTCAACAAAGCATCACCAACGCAACCACACGAGCCGAATTTGCTCTCTCCGCTCTCCAAATCTGGTACAATGCTGGTACCGGCCTGTGGAACACATGCGGTTGGTGGAACAGCGCAAATGTCCTGACCATGGTCTCCAATCTCGCAAAATACGACTCCAATCCCCAACTCCAGGATCTCGCTAAACGAATCTTCGCAAATACGATCACACAAGCACCTGCAAAGAACCCGCTTCCAGGCGTCGAGACTCAGACTTTGAATCAGAAGAAAGTCAGCCTTGCAAATACTGGTTATGACAAGAGTATGGACGACGAAGGTGAATTGATTACGACGTACCCTGAGGGATGGAGTAAGATACGCTGGGATGAAGACTACAAAGTGGAGGATATTAAGCTCAAATTGCAAGGCGATCCGGCGAACCTCGCTGCAGCTCCGAATCCAAATGACTGGCTCGATGGGTTTTACGATGATGATCTTTGGTGGGCGCTGGGATGGATTGGGGCTTACGATATTACAAAAAATATGCAATATCTACAACTAGCTGAGGGTATCTTCATGGCGACTACTAAAGCGTGGCCCACCAGGTGCGGTAATGGTGGCATTTTCTGGTCGTAGGTGGACCATAACCCAAACTTTGCATATCCCGAGACTAATATTCCTAGGTACAAGAAGGACTATATGAACGCCATCGCAAATGAGCTTTTCCTGTCCACAGCTGCCCACCTCGCCAACCGTGCACAGAACAAGAGTTTCTACGTTGATTGGGCTAAGCGCGAACTCGACTGGTTCCAAAAGACCGGCATGATCAACGACAGGGGCACTATCAACGACGGCCTAACCGAGCAATGCAAAAACAACAACCAAACAACATGGTCCTACAACCAAGGCGTCATACTTGGCGGTTTAGTTGAGCTAAACAAAGCCTCTCCAGACCCTTCCTACCTCACACTCGCTGCCAAGATCGCCAAAGCCGCAATCAAGGAGCTCTCAGATTCTAACGGAGTCTTACACGACAAATGTGGACCTCTTTGTGGAGGCGATGCAAGCCAGTTCAAAGGCATTTTCGTCCGAAACCTCCAGCTTCTACACGAAGCTGCACCGGACGCGACGTATATCAAATCTATCCAAGCCAACGCAAACAGTATCTGGAACAACAATCGGGACGAAGGGAATATGCTGAGTATCAACTGGGCGGGACCGTTTATTGCGCCTGCGAACGCAAGCACGCATAGTTCGTCAATGGACGCCCTGGTTGCTGCGATTACCGTGAAATGAGAATTGGTGGGAAACACATGACATTACGCAGAAACGAAGGTCCTCAATGGAGCACTTGGGTGGGATGGCTTTTGTGTATAATTTCTAATGATACCCCACTACGTTAGCTGTGGCGTTTTTCTCAAAAAAACCCTGTCACTTTTCTGCATACAAATCATTTTGTTCCAAGACCCCAATCCCATTCCCTTAATGGCAGTAAACTATTTTCTCAACCCCATGAAGCCTAAGCCTCCGTCTTGGTCAACTTGGCTCCATTCAAATAATCCATTTTCCCCACATCCACGCCCTTACTCCTCAGAATGCCATACGCAGTCGTAATATGGAACCAGAAATTCGGTGTCGCAAAATTACCTAAGTAATCGAGCGCCTGGAACCTAATCTCCATCTTCTGCGGGCCAATCTGCAACACAACTTCTCTCCCCTCCTGACCCTCGAATGCGGATTCGGGCACTGATTCGAGAAACTCGATAGTTTTAGTGATACGAGCTTGGAGCTCGGGGAAAGTTTGCTCGACGTCCGGGAAGGAGGGCGCTTCAACGCCGGCGCAGCGAACGGGGACAAATTTGGCAGAGTCGGAGACACGGTGAATTTGGAAAGGAAGGGCGGCCATGTCGGGGTGAAGTCGGCTGTCGAGGTAGACTTGGGGGTCGATGCCATTGGCTTTGGCGTGCGCTTCGCCTTTCGTGAGGATCGCAGAAAGGTTCTTCAGGCCGCGGATTAGGGGCGGGATGGCGATAGAGTAGAAGGTGATAGTCATGGTGAATGTGGGATGTTTGATGGTAGGGTATGTAAGTAGGAAAGTGGAGTGTTGAAGTTAGATGGTATGGTGAGTTTGAGATCTAGCCCTCCAGCGACACCTGGCGCTCTCCTTATATACTTACCCACCTAGCAAAAGAATTAACGCTAATTAGCCCATATTCCCAAGCTTCACCGTCTGATACATTAGCATGGACTTGATTATTAATTACCCCAGCCTCCCTGGTCGGACTTCCGCATTTCTTGCCGCAAGGAGCGATTTCAAGTTCCACAGATTGCTCACACCGTATCTATTAGAGCACGCTGCGAATCATTGATCACGAAGTAGCGAGGTGGAGCATTAATCCCTCCGACAGTGCAGTGTTGATATTGTTGCTTTGTAATCCTCAGATCATATAACGTAAGCCACTACTCACCTGGCCACACCACTCATCCGGCAGCCCCACCAAAGTCAAAGCGACTCTTTGACAGATAGCTAAACAACAACTAAATCAAACCTATATAAATATATATATAAAAAATTCCTAATTACTTCTACATTAAGTCCTGTTATAGCCTTGCACGTGGCACTTTGAGCAGGTTGGTGGTGCTCGCTGATAGACCTGCGATGCCTGAGCCTGCGCATGCACCTTGACTGCCCTATCTGCCTCTGCAGCCAGCCTCTGACCTTCCTGGCCTGTGAGCGTCCCTCCTGTAGCAATATACTGCTGTCGCTGTTGCCTCTTCTGCTCTCAGCGCTAATTAGCTTAACACAGCTTAGTAACTTCCTCTGTAAGGATAGCAGTTTTCTGCATTGCAATTTCACACAATTTAACAACTCAAGCAATTGCAAGGCTAGTAGGGCTCTATAATTAACACCTAAGGCGGTCACAAATTATTTAGGCCTGCTGCTGAAGCTGGACAACTGTACGCGGCGTATCTGCAGCCAGAGGTCTCTCTCTGTCAGCTTCTTGTGGCGGCGGAGACAGCGTTCTGACTGGAGGAAGCAATTGCAGGACGTGATCAGGACAGTAGGGGACTAGACCTGTTGCCTAAAACCCGCTTTTAATGCTCTGCTCAGAGAATAGAGTAGGCCTAATACGCTTGTAGATAGCGAGAAAGTCTTGCTTGTTAATGTAGAAGATGTGATTGCGCGCGAGCTCTGACACCTGCTGTCCGTACGCTTGCTTGAGTGGCGCGAAGCAGCTAACATCTAGAGGCTGTAGAAGATGGCTGCTATGAGCTGGCATACAGAGACTGATAATCTTGTTCTCTGCGCAGTATAGATCAAACTCCGGCGTCGCATGACTACTGTGGCCGTCAAGTATAAGCAGTTGATAGACTCTGACCATACGCGATCTGGTGTGATCGTTGAAGTGCTCTAGCCAGGACAGGCCTAGCTGATCAGTCGTCCAGCCGTTGTCGCTCACTGCGATTGTCCAGTCGCCAGGGATATTGCGATACCAGCTAGCTTAATGGCGCTTAGCACCAAGGATGATAAGTAGTGGGATTGACCACCCAGACGCGTTAACGCATTCAATTGTCGTGACCCACTCGCGATTGCCAGGTTAGATAGCAGCTGCTCGTCCAACTTAATCAGAGCTAGTAACAACCTTTGATATATAACTAGCAACCCCCATCATAAATCCTGTCTCATCAAAATTGTAGATATCATCGTCTAGTATCCTGTACGCGCGGCGCGTGTTCTCTACTAGCTTGAACCAGGCGTTAAACTTGACTAGATCTTGACAGAGAGCGCGCTGGGAGTGCAGCTTCCTGTCCCACTTGATCTAGAGCTCTACCTAGGTGTTGACAAAGCGTGATACCCAGTTCTTGCTAATTAGAGGAGGAGGAGGATCCTGGCCGCAAGCTTGGAGCAGAACGTCTGCCATTCAGCGCACGTCAATAATATAGGGCGGAAATCCTCGCTGATTAAGGTCTAGGATCCAGCTAACAAGAGACTGCTCTTTAACAGGTGATAGCTTTTGTTTCTTTGCGTTAGCGACAGCCTTTAGTTAGGCGCCTGCAAGACGCGTTTGGAGCGACGATCGAGGCGTGTTATATAGAGCTGCAACGCGATTAATAGACAGATCTGGGTGGCGTTGAAGGACAGAGACAGCTAGAAGTAATCTGCCTTCTTTTTGCGCTAATCAGAGCTGTTGCTGTGGTGGTAGAGGCATTTTGGTTGAGAGAGTCGCGTTGATTTTGGTGGGGCTGCCGGATGAGTGGTGTGGCCAGGTGAGTAGTGGCTTACGTTATGCTAGCTTAGCGAGCTGTGACCTATCAGAGTGCGATACCAGGACAGTGGTTGCCTTAAGCATTACACAGTCGGCGATTGTTGTCGGCTTTATTGGGTGATTAGTTTAGAGGTAGAAGTGGGCGTGAGGCGAAGCGGGAGCGCTTTTCGTCCGGTTTTACAGGTGTAAACCTTGGAATGGTAGTGTTAGATGTATCGTCAGCCTGAGGTTTCAGAGATTGAAGGATTAACGTACCATCGTTTTGTGACGACCGCTACAGATGTCAGGGTTCCTTGTACACTAAGCCTCACTTACTCCGACGTCTAGTTTGGGGTTGAGGCGCATGTGAAAGACGTGTGTGAGGTCTCAGCGTGATGTAGAATTATTACTTATAGGTACTCTGCTTAGCATTATCATTTCTTCCATCTTGCCCCCGTCTCTAGGTATCAATTTCTAACCCTCCAGCGTATTTTTCAAATCTCGTCGTCTCCACACAAATTCTTGTCAGACGACCGCTCTGCCTCCTACCTCTTCTCCATTGCTCCATACAACTCTTCGATTTCTAGTTCATATTTCCTAATCGTTGCTTTCTTCTGAACCGTTCCTTTCCCACCTATTGCAAATGGCCTTTCTTTCTTACCAAATATGATATACTCCTTTCCCAGCTGACCTATAGTGTCCGCCAGCGCATTTGCTTCCTCGACCTTTGGCCAAATAGCCTCTAAGACAGTCTTCTTTCCTTCCTCTTCTTCAGTATAAAATTCTGATCTTAGTTCAATGATTGCCGCAGGTTTACATCTTCCATTTCCGAGTAGTATGCAGTTCTGCACTGCAGGATGCGAACTTATCAATTGCTGATGCATAATTGGATTAAAATTCCCACCACTCTGAAAGACAATCATGTCATCCTTCCTTCCTTCATATTTCCAGTGATGCGGCTTTGTGGGGTGCTTCGAATAGACATCGGACATGGAGTATTCACTCAGCCTCGGATACGCCTTGAATACGCCTTGAAAGAGAGCGTGGTCTGCGTCTGGTACAAAAACAAGCTCGTACAGTCCAGAGGTAGCGCCAGTTGGGCGCATCTGGATACCATTGTGTATTGAATTAAGGCAAACATATTGCCAGTCTTCTGGATCAGTCGAATGCTGCACAAGAGAACTAGTCTCTGTGCTCGTAATTATGTTATATAGAGGCAAGTGGCGAGAGATAACATTGCCCGTTTCATTTGTCAGGACGCCTACTCTATATTAGCACTGGAACCTGTCGCTGCATCTGCTATTTCTCTTACCGCCAACGAAGGTAATGAATTTAAGTTTCGCTAGTTTTCCTAGTATGTCTGGTCTTGTGGCAATCTCCTCAAGAGTAACAGGTAAACAGCTGGCCGCATCTATATTTCCATAATCCAACACTTGGCAGAATGTGTCAGAAGTCGCTAGCCCAGGAGGGCCGAGAACAACAACCGTATTTGTGAAAAGGGCTAGTGCGGTGCCGGAGGCGATCCCAGCGCCTTGGAAGACAGGGAGGGCGCTGAATGTCCGCTGTGTAGCATCAAAGATTGAGCCCCATATACAAGGACGCCCGTCGAGTGGTGGAACCAAGTGGTGAGAGTCTGTCGTCAGAAGTGCTGCGTGAGACCATGGTACAGGTTTTGGAAGCCCTGTAGAACCGGAAGTATGAACAACCATGCACGGGTCGTTCTTTGCCTCATCCCACGATTTGTTATACGGGTAAACGTCGCACGGTGTGTCATCGAGTAGGAAGTCCAGCTCGGGCATGCATAGCGTTTCCATTCGACATTTCTCCAAGATTCCAGACACTGGGAAACCTGCTGTGTGGAAGAGGATGGTGCATTCGGTCTTTTTTATCAAATCCGCATGCCCGGCTACGCTATTACGATGAGAACTAAAGAGGACCTATGTGGTGTGTGAGTGGAAATAACAGAGTGCTTCTCTTTAGAGGAGGAACATACCCTATGACCAGTCTTGATTAACGCGACCTGTAGAAGTAGATGAGCAGTTAGCATGACATCCAACAGGATACTATCGTACTTCTGACGTTACCCGCGTATTAAATACACAAACTAAATTCTGCGTATACTGATTTTACATACCAAAACGATGAAATGACGAACATCAGGATAGCCCATGTACATGACCGTCTCAAACATGGAACTCCGCCCTATCTCCCTATGAATAAAATGTGCCGTCTTATTAATAGCATTTGCAAACTGAAGGAAGGTTAGGAATGGGACTTTCGGATGGAGGGAGTAGAGCTAACTGTTCTGAAATTAATATCTCGAAACCCATCCGCTATATCGGCTGAGCGTGGAAATGAGAAGCATATCTACCTGAAATTAGAATAGTCAAAATAGAGAAAGGAAAGATGGCCATACCCGCTCTGGGTCATCTCTAGCAATTTCGTCAATCGTTATCGGCACGAGTCTCCTACCGTAGGGCACGCCCTGTGAGGAATCCATCACCGTATTCCAAAAAGACATAGAAACGCAAAAAGATAGACAAGCGAGTGACTAGAGGTAAATAGAAGCTCAACGAGAAGAGAGATGAGCGAAAAGCATGGAAAGATGATGTACGCCTGCCCACCAAGGAAACCTACAGATCCAATCGCCGGCGATTGCAAACGTTAGCTTTATGCGAGAGCTGAGAGCGGACGGCCAGCCATGTTTCACTGATTGAAGCTCACTGTGGCTGAGCACAGCAATGACGTTCCACCGTTCCTGACGATCAATGCTTCTCTACTCATCCTGTAAGCCGTAACTAGACGATGAGCAAAGCGCTGACTGAAGATTTAACTTCTCCTAAACTAGGAAATTCGCTGTGACCAACGTGTTTAGCGCCGCGAGATGGAGCTTCGTTGGCTGGATGGAGTGGAGTTGAAGAATGGATAAGAGCTGAAAGTGGAGACTTCTCCTGAAAGCACACGAGCGAAGTGCACGGACCACCACACGCGTTTGAATTCCGTCCAACCCAAGACGTCGGCAAGCTGCAATCTCGAAACGAAGCTGAACGAGGTTACGAAGAATGTTGCTCTTCGTTAGTTTCTGTCGCTCGAAATAACTACAGCTGAGCAATAAAGCCCTACTTACTTGGTGCAGTTTGGCCTTTCAACACTTACTACTCGTACGAAGACTTACTGGCACATTGGAGAGTTTCGTCTCGCCGAAGCAGCGAAGAAGGCCCACTGGAGTTGGGGAATCAGGCGCGCAATTTCCGTCCCTCGGCGTTTAAAGAGGCACATCTAAGTGGCGAAGGTGTGCAACAATATTCTGTATTGTTGGCTTTCGTGTGCGGCGTATGTTGGAGACATGTCGCATTCACCAATCACAACCTCGCCAATGCTTAGCATTTCCACTTCAGGCCTACCTTAAGACCCTGGTAAACGCATCGCCATTGTCTGGTGAGATTTGGAATACTGCCACTTCCATCAGGACTCGAAAGCTCAAGTTTACACAATCCCCTAGCGGAGAATGAGGCCACCTAAGAAGTTAACATAGGACAGGATGGGTTAATCGGTGGCACGACTAATACCTTCTTCGGCGTTGAATGATGCAGTCACACGCCACCAATCTCGCAAAGCGCTGTCTTGATCAATTCAGGAAAACGCTGTCAAATTCCATTACCTGTGTTTATGTATAGATATCAAGGCAGCCCCCCCAGTGCTCATGCAGTAACAAAATTCTGTATCCCTCTCGCCCGACACATGCTACACCCTTTTCGCGCGTAATGGAATTGTATTAGATGTGGCGCCACTCAAACCTGTTTTGGAAATCGTCCCAAATCCTGCTCAGCATAAACGCAGCGCCTAATCACGCTGGAGCAGGGCGGCTAAGAGAATACCTGGGTCAGATGAGGCTGGATGGCCTCAGCCTTCGCGCGTGATCCCAGGCAATAGCGTTTGTTTCGCTTGTTTCATCGAATCCTCTTCCTCATCTCACTAAGCTGCATGAAGCTGCTCGCCATATTACCAAGTCTGGACAGGTGTGCCGATAAGCAAGCCTACGGCAAGGCCACCACGGGAAACCAGATAGCTTACTGGACCTACTCCGTGCCCGTACACATTAGCATTACCCGTTTGAATATAAGCAGACTATCTCTTTGAGGGAGTAGTTCGAAGACTTGAGAATTTTTCTGCCGGATGACTTCTCTCTTCCGTTCTTCTAGACGTATGAAGGGTGCTAACTGCACAGAGGGTAGGAATAGTTAGACACAGGATTCGAGACTGCATCATGACGTATCCTAGTTCGTTGCGAAGGAATATGCGAGGCTTACACCATCGGCAATATGGAAGGACTCTTTAACCTTAAACTTTGGAAAAATATTCTCTCCGAGGCATTAAGATGGCCATTTTCCCGGGAGCTGTCTCGGCCGCTTTAAAGCATGGAAATTTCGCATACAGGATCATCTGTTGCCCGCCCCCAAATCTGGTGATCATGAGGCTGGGAAAATGTAACCCTCGATGTTAGGCCCAACCCTCTCGCTTCAATCATGAGACTCACTCATCCTTCGCACAGCTCCAGTGTTGCAACCTATCCACAATTAACACAAAGGGTTAATCTTCCCAGTCAAAAATTCATGTTCAACAACCCCCCGAATACTCTTCCACCTCGTTCTCGCATCTTCCTCCGCATCAAAAGAATACAACCAGCGATTCTAGCAGAGTTTAGCAAACACCCTAAACTCCCAAGAGACGTTACTAACCTTAATCTTGACATCCTCAGGGTCAATTTCCCTCTCCTCATCCGCCCCCTTCAGCACTCCATGCCACCGATCCCTCAAATCCTCGCCATTCGTCTGACTCTGCCTAGTCCGTCCAAACCTCAACTTTTCATAGCACCTCGTCGCAATCTTAACCTCTTCCTTGCCCTTAATTAAATCCAGGCACGTGGCCAGCACGCCCGCGCTCTCAACCGCCTGACTTGCGCCCTGTGCACTCGTTGGCAAATGTGCATGGCAAGAATCACCCAACAACACAATGCGATGGCCACCAGGAGAAACCCATGTAGGGAGCGGTTCGCGGTAGCAGATTTTCCAGTCCAGACATTTCTCCGTCTTCTTCACAATTTCACGGATATCTGGATCCAAGTCCCCCACCAACCTCCGCACTTCCTCCATATCGCCTGGCTGAAACCAACTCTCAGGCACATCTCCGTCATCCTTATGCGTAATGATCCAATTGAATTCCTCTCCACCCCTCAGCGTATTCTGCACAAGATGCATATCCGGACCGATCCAGAAATTCACACAATCTCGTCCTAAGTACTTATTACAAGCAGGGTCCTCTTTCATACTCTGATCCGGTTTAAAGAACGCCCGAAAACACGCATATCCGCTTGAAACGGGGTCATCTTGCATGTTGAGGACGAGGGGACGGGCAAGGGATTTGATGCCATCTGCCGCGACAATGACATCTGCACTGAGTTTCTCACCCGATTTGAGCGTGATGCTGGGTTGGGGTTCTGTGTCTTCGTACGCTACAACTTCGCTGTCCATTCGAACTGGAATGCCTCTCTGATCAACCCACTTTAGAAAAACGTCGTGGTAGTCCCCTCGGTGACCAATGTACCCAGCCATGTCCATCAGCGGTTGGACAGCAAGCACTTTTCCATCCTTCCATCGTCGGATACTCATGTCTGGAGCCTGGTTTCCAATGTTTTTGATGTCGGAGACGTTACAATCCCATTTTTCTAGTAGGCTGAAGGCATTGTCGCCAAGACCGAGGGAGTCGCCTAGACGGCCAAATTGCCGTACTTTGTCGAGGACGCATAGAACGCGATGGCCGTGGTGGTGTAGGGCGATTGCGGCTGCACAGCCGCCCAGGCCGGCACCTATTACGATCGCTGGGGGAGGTTTAGAATTGGGTGTGGGTTGTGGTGCTGTTGGGGAAATGTGGAAGGAGAGTACCTGTGAGTGGGGGATCGTGAGGAGACGATGGAAGTTTGGAAGGCTGTAGATCCATTGTGAAAGTTCTAAGGGAAGAAACTAAGGATAAGGACAAAGACTTAGTATCAAGGACGGTGGTTTAGTGTGAGATATGAGGTCGAAATTAAGCCACTGTAGAGACTCCAGATTACCAACGAAGCAATTGGAGAAGCCACAGGGGTGTCTGCGGAATTATTCCTCTGCGTCCCCACGTGTTACCCCAGTGCGTCGAAGTTCGGGACGTCCCCCGCGCGCAAGAATGTGGGGTTGAGGTGGATGATCGGCATTTAACTTACTGCAATTGCCCGTGTTACGGGTGGGACATCTCATGAAGGAGCTCAGACGCGTACAACCGAAGGACGATGTTGGAAACTAAATAGGTGGAGTAGCAAGTGTGCACGTTATCAGAAGTAGAAGTGACTTGAATGGTTGGTATATGGCAAGGGATGTGCTATAGCTTTGGAGAAATTGTGCCACCACCAACAGCTCTCTCAACTTCACTACCTATGAGCTGCCACCCCTTTCCCCTGTAATTCTTGGGCCAAATGCCATTGCGACCTGGGGCAAGGATGCCATTGGGATCTAGGGCATCTTTAATCGTTTCATTAAACCTCATTAGAGCATTGTTATTCCATTTGTACGTCCCGGCAACTTGATCAGCAAACAAGATATGAGTCCGGTACTCCCCATACCCCTCCTTCGCAGCGGCGGCGATTAGTTCTCTCATCAATCCAGCTGCTCTTCTCTTCTCGTCATTCGATGCACGGTCGTAGATGATGTTTGCAATGTAGTGCATCTCTCTGCCTGCCACGCACAAAGTCGGAAAGAGGTCGAACCCGTACTTCCTGTGCAGGCGGACGTTGATGTCGTGGACTATCTTCGCATCTTCAGCACGGGTGGGTGTGATGGGAGAGAAGAACAAATGAGCAGCGTTCGGTTTCCAGTTTAGCCAATCCAATTCCCGGAGCACGGGAACCCCGCTGCAGACAAGAGCTCGGGAATGGATGTAATGATCCACGGGAAGGTCCTTCGGAAGGAAGAATTTAGATCCCTTGATCTTAGAAAAGGCTGATTTGATCATATCGAGCTGAGAATTTATACCCGCATCATCTCCGTACTGTGTGCCATAGAAGACCCACGAACACTCTCCACATGGTAATTGTGCTGCATGCTTGCGGACGACTTCTCTCGGGATAGGAGAAGGCCCAGAATACCAATGCGACTTGGGCAAGCCAGTCACATTGAGCTCCTGGACGACATGGCGGAGCTGTGGGATATTGCCGAGAATGCGTTTTTGAGCAAGGGGTCTAATGACTTCGACGATATCCGGGAAGTCCTCGTCCCTCGGAAAGGTGATCATATACGACTGATGGGCGGTCTCATGCATCAGCCAGAAGCCCATTTGACAAACAATACCGAAGTTGCTCTGCGAAAAGATGCCGTCAGAGTAGGGACCGTAGGCGGGCTGGAAAGACTGCCAGGTGGGATTGTCGACGCCGTCCTTGCCTGGCAGTGCCCCCATCCCCGTTCGCAGGAGCTCGCCGTTCGGGAGGACGACTTCCATGCCGCAATGGTTTGCGAAATGGTCGCCCATAGGCGTGTAGCCAACGCCGCGATCGATGGCGTTCCCGAGAACGCTACCCCCGCCAAGATCAGGTGTGTCAATCCACAGAGGTAGCTGCCTCCGTTGGATCTCCTCGTACAGTGCAAAGTACGACACGCCGGGCTCGACGACGCATGACGCGTTTTCTGGGTCTATGTCCACAATGCGGTTCATCTTCTTGCCCAGGTCCACAACCACTGCGCCTGGCACGCGTGGAGCGCTGCCCCCATATCCGACATTTCTGCCCATCGAGATAGGGTATATTGGAATGGCGTGTAGGTTTGCCCATTTAACAACAACTTGGACCTCTGCGGTCGATGCAGGATAGACAACAGCGCTGCAAACGAGATCCTCTTGGTCGACGACGTGGAAGGCATCGTGCGTGTTCGGATGTTCAAGATACCAGCCATCGACAAGTGGCTGGTCGTTAAGGGCAACATTCTCAGCGCCAATATCACATCTTAACGATGCGATGGCTTTGTCGAACGCATCGCGAGACGTGCCAGGAGGTAATCGCACGTTGCACCGTCGGGGTACGCTTTCCGGAAGCGTTTTGTTAGACCATAGTCGGTCCTTCGCCTCTTGGGCGATTGAGGCGAGCCGCTCTGGCACACCGCTGTACTTTTCGGAGAGGGTGGGTGGAGGCGGTTGATGTGTGCTCATCGTCCAAGCTGGTCGTCACAAAGAGGCGGCATTGTCGACATTTTAACGTACAGGAGGGGAGCATGTACCCCAATTCCGCGACAAGTGCAGGGGTGGAGCTATGTGGGGAACTTTGGGAGAATTGGGGTTCTTCTCACGTGCTCCTCTAGAATTCAGGTCAGATCCAATCATGGCACATTTAGTGCATGAACCGCTGTTCGGAAACGCTGTTTATGAATGCCTGTCTTATATTTGGGGTTCTTCTAATGCTAACCATGAGAGGCTATTGAATAGCCAGATCTTCCCTATCATACGCAACTTAGACCATGGGTTGAGAAACTGAGGAAATCCCCATACTCTGGCTGTGCTTTGGTGAGTTCAATGCTTGCTTCCGTAGTGTACACCCATTCATGTAATAATGACAACACAGGATTAACGCAATTTGTATTAACCAATCTGTTGCCCGGAAAAAGAGTAGGTAGGTCACTCATATTCACAATGTATGAGCATGCTGAGTCTGCTCTCATGTGGCTCGGCCCGTCAGACGGGGATAATGACATCACCATGGACTTCATCAACGAGATCTTCAAAACACCTGAATAGGAACTGCTACTCATAATACCGGGCCAAGAATACCACATTAACTACTCGCCTCGCACTCAAATAACCTTCGTTGCATTGTACAGATTGCTCATAAGACCCTGGGCTGTGTAGGAAGTTGCCATATCTTTGAACCCGATTGCTTGGACAGAAGCGAGTGTCGCGGTTTGCTCTTGAGGAGATGTCGCACTTCGCTCAAAAGCAAATCGAAGACTTCCGCGCGAATAGCCTGGTTTTGATCAGAGCTTACCTCAGGACATGGGCTTTGTGCTTGGTCCAATTAAACTACACCCATCGATTAAACTACCACCGCTACCTCCAAGAAACCAACATACGAGCTAGCATTATTCGTCTCGCACTCTCCACATAGCGAAGCGATTGCAGTAACGCACGGGATAAGTTCTACGGTCTTTGGGACCTAGCTACCGACACTCGCCTCCCCCACATGAACCCCGATTACTCAACCCGCTTGTAGAGGTATATACCAAAACGTGCACATCCCTCTATAATAGTACAGAAACCACATGCGTGACCCAAGCCTGCTCCTGTGAAGATGGTTTCCCAACCTGGTGTCCAGGCCGGCAACATAAACCGATCCGACACACTGATCCAAATGCCCTACCACCAACCAGCTTCCTAGAAGACATCCTGGATCTAAACCGCCTGCTGCATCAAGACACTCGAGGCCCGCACCCCGCGTACGGATTCTTCTTCAACGATAAAACTCTAACGTGTGCTGGCATTCACATCAACACAGTTACCCACATTATCGATGTCGAGAGTAATACGAATATCGCAGTGATTGCACGATGGCTGGACATCGCACGGCGGTTCGCTTATGTGGCTATATGTCCCCCTTCGAATATGGCTGCAACTTGCTCTAGGGTTGTCAATACGCATGACCAACAATGTTGCTGCTATGCCATCGAACGGCTTCTTGCATCCCGGGATGTTCAAGGGATGCTCGAGGCCGTCGGGTTCATAGACGTGGTTTTAGAAATTACTCTTACAACATTAAAAACAAGGGAAGACTGTTTACTTAATTGCACAAGTTCTTTTGCTAGTTATCACTTTCTTCCAACTTAATTAATATTCCACCAATACCATCATAGGTGTAGGATCATACCGCAGGAGTGAGCATTGGGTGCGTTGCCATTTTGTAACGAAGCCTGGAGGCTCCCTCGAGCGCGCGAAAACTCGTTGAAATTGTTTTGCTACTAGTTTACGGCGCGGCGCTAGGTGTGTAGCATTAAGAGAAAGAGTGTATAAATACGATAAGAAAGGTGTATCATATGTACGAATAATTTTTGTTTTTCCCTAAGGATGTGTCTCTTGAGCTCATAATCTGCCAAAGAACATAAAGTGAGCGTTGTAAAGTAACAGATTAACAGTGGTCTAGCAATAGCTACAATTACAAGATATATCCAGGCGTTAGCAAGCAGATGTAAGAGCAGGACAGTAGTTGTATGCTTATCCCAACATTTCAACTCCTTTCCACAGCCACACCAAACCACCTATCCTCCCGTGGATAGGAAACTCGAACCACAGTATCCGCCTGTGTCTGTGTCAAACACCGTTTCACCCATAGTACCCATCCAGCCTTACGAAACAAGCACCGTCTCCACTATCGGTCGATCGAAAGCGCCACGACCGCTCTCGCCAAAAAAGCACCAAAGGAACACAGTTGTTCCGAAACCTACTGTTCTGCCGACTAAAACTATCGATTTCCGCTTTCGTCACCTTATCATGTTGCCGTTAAACCCGATTAGCCTTCAGAGTCTTATATATGAGGCACTCACACAATTCGCAGTCCCTCTTAAGTTCAGTTCTTAATATGTCGTAAAATCAAATACAAAACACAGGATTGTATCACAAGTGCAGTAGGTAGAACAGAACCAAACAATTCAAGAACAGCTTTTAAGCAAAACAATCCAGACTCGCTTTATTTACAAAACCACCCCTGCTCCTCTAAGCGCGGGGGGCTCTCCCTTCACCAATCTATCTACTGCATTAGATTGAAAGGAGCGTATCGGTGAGTATTTACAACGAGAATCCAAAAAGTTGATCAACCATCAAACCATCAATCATGAAAAAAACGCTCCCAACTGCTCCTATCAAAGCTCGTCTGGATCGCTTCTGTGCCGATCCTCGGGATATTGCCCAGCAAACACCCGTATGCTCCACATGAGACGTTTACTCGGCCTCAGGCTTGCCAAGGATACCACGGGCCATGTGCCTCTTTCGGAGGTTGTACTCAATAGCGCGCTTCTTGGCAGCCGCGCTCTGGGTGAAAGCGGCTGAGCCGCCGAAGGGACCGGCGAGGGCAGCGTTCTGCATGCGGACAATGCACACGTTGGACGCGCCACCGGCGGTGCCGGAGCAGGTCATGCCTTGGGGCATAGCGACCTAGAATTAGTCGTTAGTAGACGGAGGAGGATGGGCAAGGGGAAGAGGGTGTAGCGTACCTTGACTGGGAAGTCCATAACTGAAGCACCAGAAAGACCACCAATGCCGATTCCGGGAACATCCTGCATGACCTTTGCGTCCTGGAACGCAGCAGGGTCGGTACCCGCGCTAGTAGCATCAATCTGAGCGGTCAAGGGGCCAGCGCCGTCCTGGTTGACCTGGTGGAAGGTCATGGTGATAGTGCCGTCATCAGCAGTCGTTGGAAGACCAGATGTCGCACCCTGGCCAGCAGCCTTGGAGACACCACTCTCGGCGGTACCAGCGGGGGTCTTGGTGCCCTGGGCAGAAGCAGCGCCACCAGCACCACCAGCCTTTGCACCACCGCCAGTGAGGGCATCGAGAAGACCACGCTTGTTAGCTGTGGTGGCAGCGCCTCCGGTGGCGCCGGTACCCATGAAGGTGGCGATGGCAGAAGCAGCATCGACTGGGCCGCCACCGTTGGTGCGGCCAAGAGCAGATGCCTTCTGGGTGCCCATCTCCTTGGTTCGGATGATGGAGGTGTCGGCCTCAGAGCCGCAGCGGGGAGAGGCGCAGTCTCGGGGAGTGCCGTCGGCGACTGGCTCTCTGTTAGTGGATGTGAATGAGGAATGTAAAAGACGAAGGCATACCGGAGAGACCAGGCATGTTGACACCGTTCGCGCCCTGGACCTCAGTGATGACACCGTGAGCGGAAGCGTGGGCAGCAATAGCCGCAATCAAAGCCAATGAGTAACGCATGTTGCTTGATGTGTGATGTGAAGAATAGGATCCGGAGTGGATATTAATATGCAATATGAAGATTCTTGAAAGGATCGATGAGAGACGAGCTTTGATCAGACAATTAAACAAGCGACCTGCGCAAGAGAAGGTGTAATTAAGGGAAGGGGAAGCGAGTCTGGATGATTGCTGAAGAAGCTGATGGTGATGAGGCTTGTATTCGGGGCAGATTCATCAACCTTATATACTCGACTTTGGCGCCATTGGATACCGAGCAAAGCTTGAGCATAGAACAAGCTTCCTGGACTTGTACAGTCCCGTCGACGTGTGCCTAGAATAGCCACATCCGAGAGCCCCTGTTGGTATGCGCGAAGACTATGCTCCTGTGTGCTGTTCCCAAAGGGAAAACCGGCATGAGACAGGAAGCAGCAAGTCCAAAGCAGTCATTGAGACAAACGTAGTCGAACCATATCCGTTACCGCACCACTAAAATGGCTCCCGCTAGGGCCCCAGCAGCGGAAGCGATCGACTCCAGGAAGATGCGCTAGGTCGTTCCTCGTCGATGGACAATGTGGAGGACGGAATAATGTTATCGCGGTCACGGAAAAACGCATTGACGTTTTGGATCTGGTGAAGTCAAAATGGGCCATGGTGTTTCGGGCAGCCAGCAAGATGCTAAACTTATCTGATTCAAAACGTAAACTCCACGAGAAAAGTTTGAAGCACGTTTTGACCTATGGGAGACTTTATCGTTAATGAAGTTCCGAGGCTGGGTCGTTTTTGACCGAGGGAACCAGCATAATTCAGCGAGCATCATTGTAGCTGAGGCGTTTCGAAGAACGGGGAGAAGAGGCGCAGCACTCTCAAGCTGCCACACTCCATGGTAGGTGTTGTGCGATCGGGCAGTAGGAAGTTTAGCCTCAGGATGCAGGGTCTGGCGAGGCTCGTTGAAGCAGCATCCTCAATTGCGAATGCAAGTTCAAGGACGGATGAAGCTGTGCATCCGATCCTAGAGGCGTCTTGTTTGGTTTGCACACAGCTGTTTCCCTTGCCGGTACCCGACTCTTCCTCAAAATCATCAATCTGTCACAACTTCATACAACATAACTGCAGATCATCAACATGTTCGCCAAAAAAGACATTCCAAATAGCTGTCAATCTTACCCTTATCTTTCTCCCACTGGGTGTCGCTCTGGCTTCTCCATTCAGCAAACACTACCATTAGCAAAACACTTAATGGAGCACACTCAACCCTAAAGCGACTGAACCGAGGAAATTGAGTTTGAAGACAATTGAGGTGTGGTGTTTCGGTATCGTGAGGTGAAACTTCAGATGGTTTGAAATGTACTGTTTCTTGGCACGATCCCATCCCACCTAGGGTTTCCAGTGGCATATTTAGATTGTTTCAGGAACTCCATTAACATAGCCTCTCCACATTATTCATCCCGTGGTCGAGGCGACTTCTCTTCTCTCCAATCACAGTCCGCAGAATGCGAAATCGAGATGCAGCCTCAGCACCCAAAAACTGGGAATCGCGGAGTCACGAAGAACAAAATTCCCGAGGCCCGTTTGAAAACACCCCGGGAGGCCTCTGCGCCTGCGGCCGAATTTCCGAGCCCTTGGCATATCTAGGCGGAGGCTTGTTCGTCGGATGTGCCTTCTTCGATGAAATTTCTAAACTCCCTTACTTCTTTTATCCACACATACCTTACGCAAATCTCCTGGATCTCGTAATAGATGTCTTCTGGTGGAAGTAGCGCCTTGCGGATCAGATTGCGGATGAAGAGCAGTAAGAGCTTGACAGCTCGAATCTGTGCCGCGCGACCGTGAGCGATCCCAATGTCGTTGTCGTCTATTACACCGCTTTCACCCACAAAAGAAGGAGTCAGAGAATCAACCATGACGAATCCTGGGGGTTGGCCCATCTGTTCGGCCATGCGGAGGGCGTGCTGGATATACTCTCGAATTATGGGTGATGGCTCGATGGACAGCTGTTGCAGCGTTCTTTCCTGCAGCAATGTCGTCAAAAAATCCAGATGTGCTAACTCCACCGGAAGATGAGTCAGGTCAGATATTGCTGACTTGGGGTCACTCTCCAACCGGGAAAGCATGTTCTGGTCCCACAGTTCCCGATCGCTCAGCTTGGGTTTGTCGACAGTGGAGCCCTTCGATACCTCGAAGGATTGGTTTGTGGTAGGCTGTTTCCCTTCTTTCGCCGAGTGCTTCCTCTCATAGATGCCCTCCTCTTCCAACATTTGTATATATGGCTCGACATCGAACGGCATGGTTTCCCGGTGAATTACAACAGTCTCGTACAGCGTCCTGGGGGATGCATTTGAGAACTGAGACGAACTGCCTGCCCGAAGGAGTGACTTTATCATTTCTGCTCGGACAGAGCTGATGTGAATATGATGTAAACGGCCATTGGCCTGGCCGTGTCCCGTCAGAGGATGCGACAGTCGCTGGATTGCTTCCACCCAGTGGGACAGGAAGGGGTTGTATCTCAAAGGAGTGGCGCTATTGAGTATGTATAGCTGGTACTCGCAATTCAGGAGTATTGAGAGTTGCGCCCAGGAGGGATCAGTTCTGACTGCGACAAGTTCCGTTAGCTCCGCTTTTCTAGGCCCGTGGAGCTACCGAAGCGACGATACCTTGGGCTTCAGAACAGTCCAGCGTGTTCTTCAGACTCAGCGACTCCTCAAACGTGCTCCCAGTTGTAGTTCCGCAACTCTTGCGAACATCCCTTAGACACTTCACGGCGCGTTCAAAGCTGCACAGCGGGTCGCTCAGGGCGGCCACTTCCTCAGTTGTCAGCGCTGCGGAAATGTCCATCTGGTGCTTGCGCTGCGACTCCAGAGGCTATTTCGGTACGGGAGTGGCAATTGGGAATACATGTGGTTGTGGGTACTATTACACTGGGCTAGTTCTGTGCTGTTGGCAGTTAGTCACGTCCACCAGTTCACAGCGCGCCAAGCTGCGGCATGTCCCGTGAATACGATTCCCTTTCTAAGTAACCTGATTAGGCAATATTCAGTATAGTTATCATAACAAACTTCCCAATTTGGAGGAAAGTAAATGCAAGCTACAATAAATTGTATATCGTTGATTATGATGCTATGCTTATCCGCAACCATCCATGTCTGACCAAAAGTACAAAATGAACCCGGGGATTGCTGGCCGCCAAGTGACGTCCTGTCATGCAAAGAGCAGACCAACCAAGGCACTCATAATATTATAACACAAGGACAGAAAGCCAAATTAATGAAGCTGCGAGCCAAAGTTCCGTCATGCTCAGAGAACCGGAGCGAGCCGGGACAGGGGCTTTAGTAAAAGGAAAAGGGTATCGTGGTTGACCATTCAGTTCACCACCGGCTTTCCGCCGGCTAGAATTTGAATATAATGTACAGTGCGTGGATGATGCCCTAGGAGGTTTATCAGCGGCCCAACCCGCGAAGCAAGGAAAACGTGCGGAACTCACCGGAATGTAACCCAGGATGGTTAAGAGGATATTGATGAGAAAGTCGGCATTGCAACCTCGCTCAAGGAAGACACCTAGAGGCGGTAGCAGGATGGCGAAGATGATTTTGATGATGTCGCTGTGAAGTAAAGCTCAGCAAGAATATTTCATGCGTGCGATTAAAGGACATACCTGGCAGTGAAAGGCATGTTGATGGTAGGGTTCTTTTTTGAGCTTAGGGCTCAACGTGGAAGGTTTTGTAGGTACTTGGAATAAATTCTAGGTTGGATCGAGGTAGATGTTGAATGCAAGTTAGGGAGTGAAGATGGACAATGTCCAGTGGGTGCAGCAGTATTTAAAGAATGAAGAGCAGCGGGTTTGTCCTCCTGATTCCAGTATGACGTAGCTGCCCGCGAACGCACGCAAGACACCGACAAGGATGCTGCCACGGGAAAGCCACACCTTGGCAGCACCGCGCAGCCAACTTCCTAGTCACGGCACCTACAGTTTCTTGTTATTTACTAGGCTTCTAGCCCCTCACCGTTTTTGCAATTCCAAGTCCCGGGGTAGCCTGAATTTCGTCACTGCTGCCCAGCCTGTGTCGGGAACCTCCCAAGCCTCTGGCAAATCGCGGCTGCTGTGGCGCATGACCGTGGCGCATGATTGTGGCCACATAAGGCATGCTCAAAACACCCTCCCTAACGTGCATCACGACATCATCGGTGGCGGGCCTGTGATTCCATCAAACGTAATGTGAAAATTGTGGCAAGATACACTTTAGTCACGTTTTAAGATGCATCCTGTATCTACCGCTTGTAATCCGGGTACCGGTAGAGCAATTTGCAAATTAAAGATCGTAGGGATAAATATCTGATTGGCTAATTGTTGACTAAGTCGAGGAAGAGTTCTTGACTAAAAGGATATCATGTCCAAACCCCAAACTCCACCCATCCAAGCGTTATACAGTTGCCTCGCTAAAGCGCTGTCAGTACCTCCGGGCCTATCCTGTCGCAGCATAAAGGATATTCGCATTCTACTGAGGAGCCTGCTTCTGAAGATCCGCCTCCACACCTCGCTGCCTCGCCTTGCCATCATCGTGTTGCTTCTGTGCCTCGTTCCTAGCCGCGGGGTTGCTAGTTAAACCGGCAACGGCCCCGCCAATGGTACCACCGACCCGGTCCGAGATGCCCTTCCCCAAGTCGCTGAGCTGCCCCTGAGCTTCCTGTCCCTGACCCTCCTTGTTCTGTCGAATACCTTCTTGCTTCAGACCCTCAGCGCCGAGGAGTCCGCCAACTGCCTCCTTCGCAGAGCCAACGGTTTTGTTCCATGATCCTGCGGTGCGGTTGGGGTCGTCTTTGGCGATGCCGCCGGAGGGGCTAACGGTGAAGGGGCCGGCTTTGGCAGCGGAGTGGGACAGATCGCGTTCAACATCTCCTGTGAGCTTCTTGTCCTCGGCTTGCTTCTGTCGACACATATAAGCAAGGTGAGGAAGAGAGGGAAGAGCTTGGGAGCTTACCTTGTCTGCAGGGTTGCCAGTGATAGAACCAATGGCAGACTGAACGGCACCGGTAGCGGAGTCGACGTAGGATTGGAGGGTGGAAGTTTGGTCCTTGTTGTTGGAAGACATGTTGATGTTTGTGAATTGAGTTGGAAGGTTGATGTAGAAATATAGTAGTAGAGGTTTGTGCTTCAAGTTTGTGGTAGGTTGTGAATGAAGGAGAAGAAGATAGGACCACGATCGCAGGGCTTCTTATATGTGTTCCGCAGTTACTACGTTAGGGGCATGGGTCAATGTTTGCATGTGCACAAGGCCATGATGTCATGACGTCATAACTGCAATTCAGCCCTACGCACGGATCCATGTACTAGCTTCGAGAAAGTGAAAGAAAAACTCCACCCGTTCAACCGACCACATGGGGCAGAATCTTGGAATCCTTTTCATCGTAATACCCAGCTATTACGGACACAATGTACTATGACGCAATTCTCCTCTTTTTACAATGGGGTACTACCCGCCCGTGATATGCACATGCAAACTTCGGCAAACTTTGGAGAAGAGACTCCTCTACCAATCCATGCAATAATATAAACAAGAAACGTAGCCCCTCCTTGTCCAGATAGCTACCAATGGCATATCTATCTCCTGTTAGTTCTTGAATAAAGTATGCTCAGGGCCTCGAGACTTACACCTCCCTCACTGTCATCCACCGACCATGTACCCGCAAGTCCAACGATCTCCACTTCGCCATTAGTATGCTCATTCATCTTTGTAAGCCTCGCAACGCCATCGTTGTTGAACTCAGCTGGACCATTGTTGAGCAAACGTCGTGCCCAGGCATCGATGGCGGGTTCGCCCGTCTCGTCGCGAGCCTGTTTGAGGAATGGGATCAGTGCCGTACCACCGGTTCCGCGAAGCTTCCTCCCGCTAGTCCGATCTAAGGTGTTTGCAATATTGATTCTCTGCGCAGCAGCTTGCTTAGGGCTCAACGATCGGGAATGAGACCGCGATTCACGGGATTTGACAATGATGTATCGCGATACCATCTGGATGTGCTTGTCTCGGAAGGTTCGAAGCATTGCTAAGCAGGCATCGAAAGCCGTCACCAAAGCACGATTCGAGCGATTGACGGCTACATACTCTCGGATGTTCGAGACGCTTTCAATGTGCTCTAGAAACCTTCGATGAGGGCCAGGCATGTATTTCCGCATGTCCAGGATGAAGTTGTTGGAAGGCGGTGGTATCGGGCCTTCGGAGTCCAAGCTATCGGTACGCTTTTCGCCAGTAGGCCGATGCTCAACCCCAAGAACAATATCGAAGAACTGGATGATAGAGCTTTGCGCATTGCTCCCCCCACTGAACTGAACGTAAGGCTGTTCCCCTGTCCCATCGTCGAACATTACCCCATTTGGAAGCCCAGCTTCGGCCATATTCTTGCTCCCTGCAAGGTAGGGGCGGATGCGGTGATAGAAGACATGTGGATCACAGCTTTCGTACATCCTCTCCAGAACTCCACCGAGCTCATCTAACCTCTCCGCAAACGAGCGTAGACAGTCCGTGACCGTGTGAAAGTCATTTCGTCTCACTGCTGCAATTGCCTCAATCATCAGGGGCACAATAGGACCAGCTCTTGCTTCAATTGCCACTGAGATCATGTAAAACCAGGACTCGTCGAGTGATCCAGTGAATGTCATGAGTGTGGACAGATTTTCGAGTGTATCGATTGGCTCGCCAGTGAAGATCGGGCGCCAATTCCATAGGGCTGTGCCTGCATAAGTCGCCACCGAAGGAAGCTCGAGGTGTTGGCACGTCTGCAGGAAGGGTATTGATACCGGGGGAGGTACTATCTGTGCAGCAGTGTTAGCGTTGTCATGATAGGTTTGAACAGCTATGGCTTACATCGGAGGGTGTATCACCTCCCCAAACATAAGCATGAGCTATGAAACCCAGGATTGAGTACGCTCGCCTCCATTCCGCTTCGGTGAGGAGGAACTCGGTCGACAGGATAGGAAGTGCATCGACTATACCTCTTAGCCTCTTACTGAGAATTAAGCTTTGAAAATTCCGAACGATAGTCTCCCATGGGCCGTAGTACGAATCGGGTAGAAGTTCGAGAGGAATCTCGGATGGCAGGAAGCCATTCTTAGGAGAAATGTCGTAATCCACGAGTCGAGGTAGCGGGGGTAGCATGGTGCGGCGCGAAGCGACGAGCCTTGTTGAGGCCCGAGGAATTGTGGAGGGCGGCCGAGAAGTGGGGAGGAGAGGACTCAAGTTAAGTACTTAGGTCGTAGGTGTGCTTAGACAATGAGTAAATGGAGCTCGTAGGCTCCGTAAAAGCTTGTCGCGTGATGACGATTAGAACCCGCCCCCCTGCGTTCAACAAAGACAATGGACCGACTGCGCCACTCGTTATAGAGAAGGTCAGAGGCGAAGACGCAGTACAAGCACAATTTAGAGCAGATATTGTGCGAGAGTGTTAGACACGAGGCCCAGGGAAGTAGTTGTAGTAAAACCTCTTGTCGGCACAAGGGAAACGCTGGTGGAGCGCGTCTCGAACTGTGAGCGGGGAGACGTTAGGCTAGGCGCCTGGAACTACTTAGTTGAACGAGCGGAAGCCCGGAAGATGATGGTTAGCTGAATAGCAAACGAGGGGATAAGTGATCTGGGATGCGAGTGACAATATCATCCACGAGATTCCGCGGCCGTGAAAATGAGGACTGGAGGGCATGGCAGAGGTACAAGTCAGAAATTCGTCCTTTCCGGCATCGGTCGGTCAGAAAATGCCCTGAGCGATTAACAATTCACCTCTGGGTCAGTGGGAGCGGAAGACATGATTCCAGGCTGTCATTAGTAAACTTGTTAGGTACGTTCACTTATGGTTGCGTTCCCCACATGTGGAAAAAGGAAGAAAGAATGGTGTCGCAGCAGAGCCGCTCGCCGTCGGCGGGGTTAGTTTCCAGGGTCCAAGCGCGGCAATGGATCCTTCGGATTTTTAGGCCGAAGTCGCGCACGCATTCCGAGACTTTATGCATACCATGGATGTCTCATATCTCGGGCTACCAAAGTCCTTTTTCAACTTCTCTATTCGCATCCGCGTAATGTCCTCGTCCCCCTTTCCCCTATACTACAATCACTAGACTGATTCCATGCCCCGCTTGACAGGTGCAGGTTGTATTAAACATGCAGGCAGACGCAGGACATCACGCCGCCCCACGTGCCTCGAAGAAACTGGAAAAAGAAATCTCAAGTAGTAACACTCCAAAAAGAAACATGCTTGCAGGGTTTTGCCGCGCCAGCCACTAGTAAACTGTAACCCCCCTGATCATCAACATGTACCCACCCCATCCTATCCAATATCCGCCACCAACGGAAATACATCAGCCGACCATAGACTCAGCGCTGAAGACAAAAAGAACCGGTTTTCGGGGTATAAGCGTTGCTCATAGAAATGCATGCAAAAGAGTCCCCCATCAGTGAAACAAGTATTAGCTGTGAAACGGTATCTCTTCGTAATATCCCGACGTATTTGTTTTGTTGCGTCATTCCAAGTGATGCTCTAGTGTTGCTGTAATAGTTAAAGCCAACAATGCGTGGAGTTTTTGTGCAGTTTAACGTGATTTCTGTGGCGAAAATTAGTACACCCATTACCAAACCAACCCTCTGCTCCGGGCAACTTACAAGGCTAGCAATTGCCGCCGCTGAGGCTAGGTCGGGCTTCCCAGATACACTCCTTTGAGCGGCTCGGGGCAGACTGCTTGTGCCATTCAGCGGGGCTCCGGCAACGTTCCTTTTAACACCCGCACCCCCAGGTACTCCTTGAATGGTCGAATGTCGCCTAGGGGCACCTTTTGAAGGCGAACTGCTTGGTACTTCGCGATTTGAGTTTACTGCAGTTCCATTCTTGAAGCTAGTCGCAGGAGGCTCAGGCAGCGGACGGATGCGCTGTTGCGAGGCCTGAGTAGGAGCAAAGCGCTTTACTGGAGAGGCAACGCTAGCGTTACCATTGACCTGCGTTCGTGTTCTTGAAGATTTCCGGATGCCGGTCACAAATTCGTGCAGCATGGCTTCGTCGGGCTTCATGCGGCGGTCCGGATCCCATCGAAGACATCGGGAAATAAAGTCTAGGAAAGCCTCGTCATCACACTTCAGAGCTTGTTGTAGCGTCTTGGAACTTGGACGTCTCCGGCGGCCTTTGGTGGAAACAGTGACTCTCGGCTTCCCTAGGGAATCAAAGAAAAGCTTCTTCCGACTGCTCTTCTCGATCAGGTGCTTCTCCGGTGGGCCGAAAATCTCCATAATGCAGGCTAACTGTTCCTGTTCGTTCTCTCCGGGGAAGATGGGGTAACCCGTGAGGAGTTCCGCAAGAATGCAGCCTAAGCTCCACATGTCGATGGGCAGACCATAACTCATTCCAAGAATAACTTCGGGCGACCGGTAGAAGCGAGATTGGATGTATGTGTAAACCTTCTCGTTCTCGAAACAGCTGGAGCCGAAGTCAATGACCTTAATTTCGGAGTGAAGTGGGTGCGCAAGAAGTATATTCTCCGGTTTCAAATCGCAATGAATGACCCTATGACTTTTGAGAAGAACCAAAGAGCTAAGCATCTGCTTGCAGAACCGCCGAATAAGCCGAAGAGAAAAGCCTTTGAATTCGTGAGCCTTGATGAACTCGTACAGGTTCATTCCAAGAAGCTCTGTTGATATGCAAAGATGACCACGGAAGTAGAAACTCTGAGTAAAGTTAATCATGCTATGCTTGTTATCTGGGTCCTGCACAACAGTTAGCACCCCCTACCATAAACGCTCAATAGAATAGTTTACCCATTCACGAAGTTTCTGCAGGATGTTAACCTCCACCAAAGCCTGCTGATGAAACCGCTTCTTGTTTCGGATGATTTTCACAGCAACGAGCTGGCCCGTTTTGTGATCCACACAGCGTACGACCTGCCCAAAGCTGCCCTTCCCGAGCAGGTCGACAACCTCATATCGATAAGCAAGGTGGTCACCGAAAACGATGTTGTAATCGCCTCGTTCATCGTCGTAGCCAAAGTTGGCAGTCTGAGCATTGAGATCGCCTACGTGCTTTTTGGCACTCTTTGTGCCGCAGAAGTAGATCTCCTTGTAGTCAATGATTTCGCCCCTCTCAAAAATATTCAGGTTAACCATCTGCAGCGCTTGGGCTGCGGAAACACGCTCCTGTGGTCTGGCCCTCTTTCGGAGATCGTCCACATCTCTCGCCGCAGCCTCGAAGTCCTTCCGTTTGGACGCGAGCTTCTTCATTTCCTCATCCGCCACGAGATCGTCCCTGTCTAGGTTCGGGTCGAGGTTGCGCGATTTGAGAACGTTGCTTGAGCTCTTGGATCCAAGCATTCTCTGCATAGGTGTCAAAATTGAGGAACTTGACTTTGGAGTCGGCTGGCCGCTCGATTGTTCTGTAAAGCCGGATGGCACCCGGACACTCATGCTACCATTATGTCTGTGTCCATTCGGTCTATCAACTTCTGTGTCGCTCGCGACTGTTGCGATTGTAGCAGTAGACGTTTTTCGGCGACCGAAATCTAGAGACGGTCGGGTACGATTCGAAGGCGTGGGGCTGGCTACAAGAGATCCACTCCATGTTGCAGACGCAGGCAACCGAGGAGGAGGCATCTCACTATGCCTTGGAGGCTGGGGTGCGTGTTCATCGTTCTTATGAGAGGTAATAAGAGATTGGGAAGGGTGTGAGACATGGGATGCCTTTGAGGAACTCCGCCTCCAACCACCTAAACTGAGTTTCCGTCTCAACGAGGATCCAGACGAAGGTGTTTCAGGCTCCGTAGATGTAGAAGTGTGTGCAGACGACGATGTGTCCTTCTTTGCAAGCGTCCGAGGTCCATGAACCTTCCCGCTTTGAAGTTCTATGTCTGTATCACTCAGCTTATACTCTCCGCTGGGCCTTGAGTAGATATGATTATACTCGCCACTATTCTTCGGGAGAGAGTTTGACGCAAATGGAGTCGTCATTTGTCGCCCCGGATTCAATGTTGGTATCGGCATGGTTGATGCACCGTGGAAGGAGGAGTCAATGGGACGAAGATTGTAGGCCGAACTGCTACTCCGAAGGTGCTTGTTAGAGTCATGTTGATCCTGGTTGTGGTTCCTTGAAAAGAAAGATGCCTTGGAAGCTGTCATGGGTGTACTAGGTGTCTTATTGCTAGAACGCTTCGGTGGAGGTGTGGAATTGCGGTGATCTACTTCTGCTGAGGGCATTGGGAATGAAGAGATCTTGTTGTTAAAAGGCGTTCCTAGTGGTAGGAGGTTAAGCGGGGGTAGTCTAATAGGTTGAAGGTTCTTTTTATTGTGGTGTTGTACCGCCGGTGTCTTGTCTGCATCTGACCCTGAGCCTACGGTGAGGCCTCGGCGATGTCTAATAGTGCCCCGACTCTTTCTTGGAAGGTCCGTTTTCAATGGGTCAGTCCCCAGTGCGTCGATGTGCTGTAATTTAGTGTTATTCAAGTCATCATTCACAGTCGACTGGGAAAGCAGCGGAGGAATCGTAGGTTTGAGGGCCGAAGTTGGAAAAGAGAAGTTGCTGTGCTCAGGATCTTTTGGGGATTCGTACGCCTTCGGAATAGCTGGAACAGGCGGCACTTCCTCTTCCTCTCCTCCAGCCGAACTGTGCACATTGCGCCCCTTTGGTGTGGGGAGGCGGGAACCTGACAAAACTGGGTTGATCCGCGGTTGGAGCGAAGAACCCCCAACTTTTAGTGAATTGAGACTCGAATTTGACGAAATAGAGATCCCAGAGTTGAAGGATTTGCGGTTCTGTTCCGGAGTGCCTCGTGCAGACGAGGGGGTCACGCTTTTCCTAAATATCATAGCAGGGGACTGGTTCAAAGATCGACTCTCGAAAGAAAACTCGGCCTGTGGGGTAGGGGGGCTTATGGGACCGCTAGGCAGATTTGGGTTCATGGACAGCCTCTGCAATCGACGGGCATCTGTGGGGCTGATGGTCCTTGCCCCTAGCCCGCCCACATGGTGCATGGTAGATTGCCGTCTGCTCGACGACGAAGATGGCGTTTGCGTTCGTTGCCCCGGAGACCTGCCTGGCGAACGAGCATGGCTGATGGAAAGGCCTCCACCATGGTCTGGAGTCATGGAGGAGGCGCTGAGATGGGCAGTCGGCTGCCTCGGGGGAGGTTGGAGGGATTTTGCTTTGGCGGTGCGTGCAGAGTTTGCCATGCGCGGGGGCTCGGCCGGAGCATTCAAGTTGGTGGAGAGTGGCCCACGGCGGCTTCCTCCTTTGAATGAGGGCGTGCGGCCAATGTGACCTCGTGTGTTGTCGTTGGCCAACTTGGGGGTGCCCGGTCGGCTATCTCGAGTATCGCTGCTGCTGGGGAGCATGCCAGGGCCGATGGACTTTCGAGGAGGCCGTCCGGCGGGGTGTGACGGTGTAGGGGCAGGGAATTGGCTCTGCCGCCGGGTTCGGATGGACATGTTTGCGGCGGGTGGAGGCATAGAAGACTGGTCGCTGGGCAGGCTGGACGGGTTGGGCGTCGCTGCGTTGGCCTGCTTCCTTGCGTTGCTGAACCGGCGCATCAGGGTGGCACTCCGGGCGGGACGAGTGTCTCCTGCACCCGTGCCCACGCCCGTGAATGTGTCCGGGTCCATGTTTGTGCGGTGGGACGCGGTAGAGTTGGGGAGGATGCCACCGCCTCCCCCTGGCGCAGGGAAGTCGCTCAAAGCAGGCTCGTAGGACGAGATGCTAGCATGGAAGTCGTCAAAGGTAACGTTGGGGAGGAAGTCGTAGGAGCCACTGTTGTCAGCAACGTCCTTAGACGCAGTTGAATGCTTCCCAAAACTGAAGCGTGGATTTGATGCTCTCGTGGGCTGGGGCGGGGGCTGCGGGTGTGCAAATTGCGGCTCGCTCGTCGACGTGGGAAGGAAGGAGCGGCTGGCCGTACCCGCGCTCTGGGAAGCAACGCTCGCATCGCTAGTGACCCTATACACACAAACATTAGTCGGTGACTCGAGTTCAATGCATCCGCTGCAGCGGGAACCCACCTTTTGGACAGGTCGAGCGGGCGCGGGCCCAGCGGCACCTTGTGTTCGCGGATCGACTGCCGGCGTCCCCTAATGCTCGCCTTGTTGTCTGCAGGCGGCGGTCGTGGAGCAGACAGAGCAGACGGAGCAGACGTGGCGCTCGACTTCCTGAGCCCGTGGTCGGTATTGTTCGCCGTCCTTTGAAACTTGCGGCGGACGCGGCCTTCTGTTCAGACAAATCCATCAGCTGCTTTGTTCTCTTCCACAGGCACAACTGGCAAGCAACTTACCCGCAGAACCACTTGAGTCCTCGGCTGCCTCGTTCTTAAGAACCGGGAGGGCGCTCTCCATTGTGCGTGAAGGGCCTGGCCGGGCAGGCTGAGTAGTCATTGTCAATAAACTGAGCCCTGGCTGACAAGTAGTGTGCTTGCTGACCGAAACGTCACGATCGGAATCGACAGCACGTATGACGCAGCCCTAGAGGAGATTTCGCCTGGAGATGGGCCGTCGAAGAGTGTTGCTCCAAGCTCTAGGCTTGGAGTTGAGACTATGGGGACGTGTGCATGTCGATAATAGCCGGGTCGAGGGGGGCAGCGAGTGAGCGGCGGGCGCCAGAAACACGGGAGTGCACGATCACGACCAGTGCATCAAGCAGAACAGTACGTAAGGGGTTTCGCAGCCGGTGCGGAGGGTGGTGGAGGTGGGTGGCACACGCGATGGGGACAGTTGTGGTGTTAGTGGTAGTTGTGAAGCTCTCGGGTCCAGTTGAACGAGCGCGGCGCCACTAAGGTTGCGATGGATGCTTTCTGGATGCCCAGACCACCCCTAGACTTTGCGCCTCGTCAAATAATCATAACAATAAACCAACGTGGTATATCCACAACAACCAGCTCACCAGGGAACCATGCCATCCAACGGCAACAGCGCAGCGTCTGGGTCAACGGTCGCTATCAATGCTCGACGTGCCGACAACGTTGAAGCAGCGCAGCGGGTCAGGTAGAACAAGCGCGCCACGGAGGCACAGTATTTCTAAATGATCCTAGCACCGCGCTGCAAACAAGCATATCTAATTGTCTTGCATGCCGTCTGCCTTCTGATACTCGGAGAGTTAGGAAGGATGCCGTGAGGCCGAGGCGGAACCATGGTACGTGCCCACGACGGCTATGCAGACCGCTCTGCCTGTGAATGCACGTGTATCGTGGATTTTCATCTTGGTCCCCAGAGGAGTGCAATGGATCGTGGTTTTCTCCCCCTCCCCATCGGTGGTGTTACCTCCCCCTTGCGAAGATAGGGGGCAGGGTCAGGGACGGGCATGAACCCGCATATATCGGGCCAACGCCACACTCGCTCTCGCGGCCATGGTCGCTGCCAAGACAAGCCACGAGGGCCAGTTGCACATGCGTCATTCATCCCCGGCCAGACCTGCCGCCTCAGAGCCGTCCATCCTATGTTCTACCTAAGACATCCAAAGCGGTTCAGAGCGTCGGACGAAACCTTGGAAGTTGTCTTTATGAATATCGGGGCGCACCGACAAGTAAGCATGTGATTCCAAGCCTCGGACTACGCAACACCTCAAACAAGTTGTGGCAGTGCGTCCGCGCATCATCCCAGCATATCAACCCGTTGGCACGGTCGAACTACGACCCAGACAGAATCACTCACCATGTCCAACCACGAAGCTGATCCTTTCGTGGGCCGCGACACGCCCATACCGGTAGTCTCCATCACCAGACCAGACGATCCACCCAGTTCTGCGTCCGCCATCCCAACACCCAGCGACAAGCAGACAGGAAAGCACCACCTCTCCGCCGGCAAGCTTCGAGGCAAACTTGAATCACTCGGCCATGGGTTCGATAGACCAGAGTCGTCCAGTCGGGTCTCTGATCGACTCTTCACCATGTACTTCCCTCCATGTTCGATATCAGAACATCAGATCACATGACTAAATACCCCAGGCTCCTCCAACAAGTCCTCCCCTCTCAAGACTACGACTCAGATCCACACACCCAAAGCCAACCCACCAAAGACCGGCGCTCCCGCCAATACGTCGAAAGACCAGGTTTCTCCCTCCCTGTCATGTCCTCCAACTTTCGCCGCTTCAACGCCCGCATCGGTGTAGCATTCATTTTCCAAAACCGTCTCATCCGCCTCTTCACCTGGCGGCAGCCCACGCAAACTCTCTCCTTCCTCTCTGTCTACACCTTCATCTGCCTAGACCCCAACCTCCTCGTCGTCCTCCCCCTGGCCGCCTGTCTATTCTTCATCATGGTCCCCGCATTCCTAGCCCGCCACCCACCACCCCCAGCATACCTACCCACAGATCTCTACCCCCTCTCCGGCCCACCTCTCGCCGCCGCGCGAACAATTAAGCCTGCGCCCGAACTGAGTAAAGATTTTTTCAGGAATATGCGGGACTTGCAAAACTGCATGGAAGACTTCTCGCGGGTGCACGACGCGCTTATCGCATTCATCTCCCCATTAACAAACTTCTCCAACGATGCCCTAAGCTCTCTCCTCTTCGTCTTGCTTCTATTCACCGGCACTTTGCTGTTCATAACAAGCCATCTGCTCCCCTGGCGCGCCATCTTCCTCACCATTGGCTGGATCACCACATGCGCGGGGCATCCATACATCCAAGATGTGCTCTCCACGCCCTCGACCTCAACACTCCTCTCGGAGAAAGAATCAGAATCTAGATCTTTCCTTCTCGGCCTCTCAAAAGCCGACATCGAGCTCGAAACGAGTCCCGAGATTCGTGAAGTCGAGATCTTCGAATTGCAGCATCGTGCACTACACGACGAACATGGAGAATACGAGAGCTATCTATTTTCCCCAAGCCCATACGCTCCATTATCGCCTGCTAGAATTGCGGGCGATCGACCAAAGGGTACCGCTTTTTTTGAGGATGTCCAGTCGCCAAGGGGGTGGCGTTGGAGCGATAAAAAGTGGACATTAGATTTGTTGAGTCGGGAGTGGGTCGAGGAGAGGTGTGTGACGGGGGTTGAGGTGGAGATGGAAGGGGAGAGATGGGTTACGGATTTGCACTATGCCGATGTTCAGGATGAGAGTCCGAGGAAGTGGGGGAAGAGGAAGGAGGGTGAGGGGCATAAGGTTTTCGTTAATGTGACGAGTAGTAGACAAGGCGAGTGGAGACGTAGGAGGTGGGTGCGCGGTGTAGAAAGGGTGCCCATGATTAATGAAGAGTAGGTCAAAGGAGTGTCAGGTCTTGGATATCTTCGATGCGTTCAAGCCATATTAGTCGTCTGTCATTGAAATGGGCCAAATGAACAACATGGCCAAAATCCGGACACGCCTAAACCTGCCCAACGCCAAATCCCACCCCTGAACCGAAAGACATCTGCATACATAAAGAGCCCCCAGAAACTGTCTAGAAACGTGATATGAAGCCAGACATGCCTGCACCGGCCACAGCAGCTTTCTCACGCCCTCCCAACTTTAAAACTCAGGATCTGTAGTCCATCGCAGTCAGCCCCACTCTCCATCGCCACCTGAACCAAAAGGTTAAGCACTCACGTCATTTTTCCCAACCTTAATCTCATCATCTTCACTGACCCTCTTTCCTCCCACCGTCTCCACATATGCCAGCGGTGCATCCCCCTATCAATAATCAGCACTCCATTCAAACCCACCGTTCCTCCATCCCCCCCCAACCAATTGAAAATCAACTTACCATAACCTTCCTATATACATCACCCACCGTACTCCCCCTCTTCACAAGCACACAATCCCTAAAAACTGCCGTAGATCCCGCACTCCCAGACGTAAAGCTCCCCACATTCCTAACTGGGAAAACAGGCACTAGCCCCAACAACTCTGCCGCCCGACTCAGCACCTGCACGACCCCCGTCGAACCAAATCGATACAACACCATATCTTTCAGATTCTCAATCCTTGTCTTTAACTTCTCGTCTAACTCCTTCAACCCGCCCCCATCCTCCTCCCCTTGCTCCAAAAGATCCTCCCGCGTGTCTAAAAACTCTGATCCTTCTGTATACCTAATAAACCCCTGTTTCGCTAACTTCCGCAAGAAAACCTCGGATATTGCGGAGGTTAGCACGATGCTTTTTGCATCTACCATTTTTGCGATTTTAGCAATGTTTTTGTCGGCATCAGGGTGGTCGATTTTGTTGAGCGCAATGACGGTTGGGAATTTCTCATCAGTGAATGCATTCACGACGCGCTCGATGGTGGAGTCAGTCCAGTCTTGGAGAGGTTCTTTGAGGGCGAGGCGGTCAAGGCAGCTGGCTACAACGGAGGCTTTGCTGCCGTAGCCGGAGAACTGATTTTGGAGGGTTTCGACGGCGGTGGCTTCTGTAGTTTGTTGTAATATGAGGATTGGGGTGTTGAGGGAGGGGAGGGGATGACAGACTTATGGCAACATGACGGCGTTTTATGGAGCCCCTGAGTTAGTTGGGGTTAGTCGGGATTCTGGGGCAGAGGAGGGGGAGGGGAACCTTACCATTTCTCCATCAGATTCCCTTGTATCCAGCGGACAATTTCCGAGCGTAACCATACAATATCTTGACTTGGATCATAGCCCCTCGTAGTTTTACCTACACCAATCGATCCACGATCAGCCATTGTCTCTTAAAAATCCCCTCACATACTCTCCTTACGTTCTGCTATCTCTTCCTCTACTAAATTTGCGCGCAAACATACCTTCCGCATCCGTGGTCCCACTAACATCCACCACATGCACCAAAGCATCCGCCTGCCTCAAATCATCCAAAAACCGATTCCCCAACCCTTTCCCCAAATGCGCGCCGGGTACCAAACCCGCTACATCTAGCAATTCAATTGGAACGCTGCGTCGTCCATCCACGCAAGAGCCGTAGTTCGGTTTACATCGATCCGAGACATTGAAGCGGGCGCACGCGCATGGGATCTGGAGATAGCCGATGGCACGTTGGGGGTCTATTGTTGTGAATCTAACTCTCGTCCGTCAGGGGTTGGTTGAATATCGAATATCGAATATCGAATATCGTATATAGAATGTTTGCACGCCCGCTGGGGCGAGGATGAAGGAAGAGTGCGAAGCATGCTTACGGGAAGTTTCCTAAAATGTAGTTAGCATGTCCGATCCCAGCCGTCAATAATCACATTCTCAAACTCTCTACGAACCGACTTTGGAAGAGGCATCTGTTAGGCTGCCAGAGTCTGTCTTAGAAGAGAAATCGCGAACCGAGGGGCAGACCGCACCTGTTGAGTGTCGTAGATTTCCCGGACGACGGTTTGCCGACAAGGCCTATCAAGGGATCGCGAGGCATTTTGAAAGCAGAACAAGTAAACAACTCTTAAGAAAAAGCTAGCTTGGGCAACCAACAATATATCCATCCATGCCGTAAATTGTTCAGTGTGAATTTCGCGTTTTCCCTATCGATAAGGGTCTGGCTTAGTCAGATTACGATTGCCCTGTGACATCAAATAATACATCAAATAATACACTATCTCTACCGCCAAGCCCTCTCTCCTATTGGTCTGGATATAAGCCGGTTATTAATCTAATTAGTAGAAAATTAAATAACTAAAAAGCTTTGTTGTTCTACGTTTTTAAGCTTTAAGTAATTATTCTGCTCTACTACATGCTTAATCTAGCCTTCTTTTTTCCTTATCATAATTAAAGACAACGTGGTTAGGGGTGTTAAAATTACTTCTGCTGCGTGGTTTTTCCCTCTAAATATAATTAGCGCTGCCAAGACCTTCTAAGCAAAGCCTGTTATCCTTCCTAATCGGGACTAGCCACTTTCTTCCTGGAAAGGAAGGATAATCTGCTCGTCACAACTACACTGGCAATGCTAACTGAGTTTGAAATAAGAGCGTGAGGCTGTAGTCATATTTATGTATTATGCAGCTCTGTGCAGCTATGTACGCAGAATATGAGAGCTAAAACCCAAGCAAGTCACGCCAAGTCGAGCTCTTTCAGGATGAGCCGAACAACTCCGAAAAGGAAGTCCCATCTAAAATAGAGATTACCGCAGGAAACGTAGCCCGATAACCCTCGGGTCTGAACGTCATATCCAGCTGCTCGACAATCATAAAAGATGTCGGAATATGTGTAGAGAAACAACGTCACCAGGTCATCCTCAAACTTAGATCAAGGTCGCACCGAAGATTGTAGAGACGAGGAATACTAGGCCACAGACGAGAGGAGCCACTGATGACTCGCCCATGCGGACGGAGGAAGCAGCGCCCTTGCTGCCCTTGGCAGCTGCCGCGGTGCCGGAGGCAGTGACAGCGCCCGATGCAGCATCTGCCAACTGGATAGTCTTGGAACCAGAAGTCTGGGACCCAGCACCGGCAAGCCCAGGGCCCTTACCAGCTCCATTGGAGAAGTACTTTGAGGCGTCCTTCGGGAGAGCTGGGAGTTGGTTTGCAGCGATGGTGACGTTCCAGGTACTCGACTTCGTTGGGCAGGTAGATGCGGCGCCAGTTGCCTTGTATCCACCACCGCCATTGGGAGCCTGTGTGCCAGCTAAAGCACTCTTCAGAGCATTAAAGTCGTCGAGCTCCTTGACGTTGTTGCCGTTGAGTGAAACTAGTCCATACTTGGAGCCCTCCTCCGAGTACTCGTAGACAAGACCGCCAGAGTAAACGCCGGTCATCTGGGTGCTGTAGAGAGACTTGACCTCTTCAAACTTGCGAGTGTTGGTGATGCAGCCATACTCAGAAAGGCTGTACATATGTGAGTAGTTGCAAAGACACAGAGCATGTCGAAACTTACAAGAGCGGAAGGCTGTAATCCGCAAACTTCTTCACCTTCTGGTCCCAGCCAGAGGTGGTGAAGCTAGAAGGATCACACCAAGAGTAGTCGTTGAAAGCAAAAAAGTCACTGCGGATAGCGTCGTCGCCGCAATTCATATAGTGGGCCATCTCAATGCGGTTGGAGTCAACATCGGCGGCGGAATATCCGACGGGAATCTTGCGGTATCCCTGTGCATTGATGTACGACTTCATATCACGAGTGGTGGCCTTAACGAAAGGAGCGCAAGCAGTTGTGGTATCATCGTTGATAACTTCATTTCCGGAGAAGAACAACAGGGTGTTGTCGTACTTTTGGAATGCATCAATGGTAGCGAAGACACTCTGCAGATACACCGCATTGTAGGAGACCTCGGGCTCGGCACGGTTGATCGAGTACTTTGGGGTGTTGACGTCAAGGGCGAGATAGATTCCGGCATCGGCCAGGGCACTCATGCACTCATCGTGATTGGCCGTGTTGTCCACTGTGTAAACACGGATCGTGTTGAGCCCCAGTTTTTTAAACTCGGCGATGTCACGCTTGCAGCTCGCGGCGTCGGCAATGGGATCCTTGGCATCAGACGCTCCACCAGGCTGGTAGTCGACGCCACGGATGTAGAAACGCGAATCGCCCGCGAAGAAAGCTAGAACATTGTCAATTGATGTCCCACGACGACGTTACACAAGACACATTTGAGCGAAAGAGGATTTACCGTTTCCCTTAACAGTGACGGGTGTAATCTTGCTGGCTCGCGTGACGGCGGGGGACGCAGCAACGGAGGCCGAGAGGGCACCGGACACGGCAATGAACGCACTGACAGTCTTCATGATGCTAACCTTGGAATTGATTGAGCGACGGTGGAAGATGGTATTACGGGAACAAGCTGGGAGAACCGGAAAAGAGAAGCTGGGTGAAGAGCGACAGTGGGGGGAGGCAGTTAAAAGGGGGCGTGTGGGTTGCCCAGACAAACGAGTGTGAGAAGAATTAGTATATGGGGGAATAAAAGTCGGCGCGTGTGGAGTCGACGTCGTGCTGGAAAGAGGTAGTTGAAGAGGAAGAAACAGGTTGGGGGAGGTGCCGTTTAAGGGGGTTTATATCAATGGAAAGCACAGTGGAATGCAGTCGCTGATTGGGTGGGGTGGCAGAAGGTAGCAGAGGCTTGAAGCGAGATTGGCAACCTCAATCAAGGTCTGGCCTGGTGTGTTCAGGTCTCGCCCCAGTAGCCAACAACACACAGAAGTAGCGTTAAGAAAACCGGGCCTGTCGCCGATCGAGCTTCTCTGCACCACGTCCGCAGGTGCCTCACCGCAGGCTCTGAAACGCGTCCACCGTCATTTTTCCCATCGTCAATTGTTGATCCATATTAAATTTGCCCTTAGGCGCCACTCTGCGCCTGCCGAACGCCACCTCCAGCGCCACGCCTGCATCATCCTGGCCTATCCCCAGTGACGGTTTCTTCTTTGGCTGCATGTCACTGCGACATCCCGTCTTCCAAGGTCGATTTGGAGGCGGGAGGCGGGAGGTCCACTCATTCTCGATTTTCTGTCGCATCTCCAATGGCGTGTTATCGCATCCAATCAGCGCTAAAATAGATTGGGGATTAGCAACTGGAGGAACCGTTCACGGAGACGAGAAATCCCAAGTGCGCAGACAGTCCGTTTACAGGGAGCAGTCGTACTCCAAGTTCCCCAGTGTCCTTATTATTACTTCCACAGTGTCCTTGTTATTCCTTCTACAGTGTCCTTATTATTCCTTCTACAGTGTCCTTATTATTGCTTCCCAAAGTTGCTTTGTGTCGAATTACTTCCGAACTCGCTTCGTATCTACAACGAAGCTTCAAATTGCAGTCTGCTATTAACATTATAAACAGCGAATGAATACATTCGTAGCCTATCCTTTGCGAACTTCTGACCCTCTCCCACACCGCAGGCTAGGCACTCCCAACCACCCTCTACTTGCCGCCGTTGTTCCTCAATCCAAAGTATAGGCCCAAAATCAGAGCAAGAATACAGATGATGGCGATGAACGTAAGTAGCGTCCACCACTTGAGCTTCCTTGCGCGCCTAGCACTTGCGATGCCCGAATCTAACTGCTTGTTGGCATTTCCGGTGTCGCTAAGGACATTTGTAGTCCCATCTTCGACCTTTTTGACTGGTTCTTCTTGGTAGGCAACTGCTTCGTTAAGTTGGTTGAACAGCAAAGCAAGCTGTTCCAGTGTCTTCTCGATACGTTGGATGTCGTTGTGCCGCGCCCGAACTGCGCCAAGGACACTCGAAGCCTGTCCGCTACGGTTGCTCTTGAGCTGTCATCAATCTGTCAGCAACCTTCAAGACGCCTTGGATAACAACCTACCGCAGTCTGAAAGATACCCTCATCGCCCCAGTCAGCGTTCGCCGCCTCTTGAACCTCCTGCTCCGTCGCGTCCGGGTTGACAATGCGGTACTGCCTGGCAATAGCTTCGCGATAACGTTTTGAGTAAGACGACTCTTCATTCTGGAAATCCTCCAACTGGGCCTTGAAGTTGCGCTTCAATGTGTCCACTTGACTCTTCTTAAACGTGTTGTTCGGCTCTCGCGCCGCGTCATGCTCGAGGAATTTTATCTCATCTTTGATCTGCGTGTTCCGAACCTGAGTCTCTGATACAATGCTCTCCAGTTGAGCCGATGCGCTGGTATCAGGTGACGACAGCATGCGCTGGTGCATTGTTGCAATATGCTGGATGCTCGATGTGAGCTGGGTGATCCTGCCCTTAGCCCCCTCGATGCGAGCCAGGAAATCTTCGCGGCTCAGCGACGCGCCACCCTGGTGTGTTGGAGGTGCGCTCATTGAGTACTGGGAGGGCTGAGAGTAGTTCGAGTCGCCATGCTGTAGCGGTGGATGTGGATTCAACCGCTCCTCTTGCTATTGCATTAAGTCAGTTCAGTGCTCACAACTCAAAATATATGCACCCTCATAGTGGGCAACAAAGGCAAGCTTACACCACCATACGGGTTCGAAGCTCCATAACCACCAGGTGCGCCTTCGTACGGGTTTGATCCGCTATAGCCAGCTTCTTCCTGGCCATAGGGATTTCCTGAGTACTGCTGGTATCCAGACATGCTGGGCTATTGTTGGGTGTGGTGACTCAGGAGATTGGAATGAGTCGGAATGCCGAGCGTGGATATGTAGTTGTGCGGAAGCTCCGGGAAAACTATCAAAGAGAACAACCAGTGACTAATCGCACCAATTGAACCTTGGGGTGGAAAGTAATGAAGGAGCGATTGAGTCGGGGGAATGTCAGCACCACGGCAAATTTGTCGTCGGCTGCAAGAGGTGATAATTAAATGCGACGAGCATGTTGCCCAGTCTCCAAGCCCCAGGAAACGTCACCGCTGGACACCCCTACTGCAGCCGAAATGCACGTGATAACTAAGCTTGACATGGCTAAACGAGCGGGGATATCCACAGCCTTGTTCCACACCACCATTGGCATGAACGAGCCTAAGAATAGAACAAGGAACAACCCAACTCTCGGCCGTTGAATAAAACTCAACTTACACGTCTCATGGAATTTACACAATCCCCTTCGACCCTCACAAACAGAACTGATTCGCCTAATCTGATTCGCGATCTTCTGCAAGACTTCCCATCAGTGGATGTCCTTGTAGATTTATCAGGAGCAGAACACTTATTACCGCATCTCGCCTAAACTTGGATATATACCAACTTTTAGACCTCTTGCTAGAACTAGGAAGAATGTCAAAATAACCCACGTTCCTGGTCGTTGATTGCGACGGTTGAGAAGATGGAAGGAGACTTCAACAACAAGGCCCTGTTAACGACGAAAGAAGACAGGGCCGAGCTCGTAGCGAAGATCCCGTGTGCGAACTCTGGGCCAGCATTATATATAATGGCTACTAAAGTGACAGGATTATGATATAGCGCCATGGTAAGGCAGCGTACGACCTTTCCGGCTCCTATAGTCTTGGCTTTCAATTCAGACATGTCGGACCCTATGAGTTGCGAGTGCGTCATTGTAGAGAAGGTCTTGGGCAATCAGTTGTTCATACTATGGAGTAGCACGGAGGAAATATTCTAATCAGCTCTGATTAAGTAATTTATCAAGTTAGAAGGCGAGTTAGCGTCTATTCGTTCCCCCGCTTTTGATCACCTATATCTACATCCGTTAATCGCCGGTGAGACTTCTGTGGTACCAGCCGAAGTTTTGTACATTGTCGGTGCGCTTCAGGGGGTCACAGCAACTCCGGAGAGACTGAAAGTTTCTAACGGGCTCTCAATTTCGGTCGGTGATTTGAAACAATGGCGTGCACCACAACGTAGTACTAGTAATAGTAATTAGCTGTTGCCATACCTACCGCCTTCATCCACCCTCCGTCTATAATCTACCTCTCTCACACTTATCTCTCGCCTACAAGAGTTTCCCCTCCAAGCACGAAACTTCAGCAATTCCACCCGCCGTCAATACTATAACTCGCGCCTGTGATAAACTTACTCTCATCACCAAGCAAGAAGGCGATCAAACTCGCCACCTCCTCCGCCTTCCCACTTCTCTTTAACGCCACACCCATAGCTTCAGAGTTCCGATGCTTATCCTCCCCCGTTCCACTGCTTTCGGCTATCGCTCGTGCAGAAGCGTTCATAGGAGTTTCAATGTATCCACTGCCATCTCTTGTTAACCAGTCATGCCCGGGCCATGCCGCATATACTCTTAAATCTCCGGCGTAAATCAACTCGAGTAGATCGCCCTCCCAAAATTGAGCAAGACAGAACCCAGGCCAGCACCAGGCCCAGCCAAAGCCATCAGATACCCTCTCACATAGACCAGAAATAAAGCACTTACGGACAGATACAATTCACCCTCACGCCTTTCGCACCCACCTCTTTCGCCGCACTCCTCGTTAGCCCAATAACGCCATGTTTGCTCGCCGCATAAGCCGCATTATTTGGGCGGCCTTGCAACCCCGCAATACTTGCCGCATTGACAATGGCTCCACCTTTAGAAATAACTTGAAGTTGGGATTTAAGACAGAGCATGACGCCTTTGAGATTGACGTCCATGATGAAATCCCATTCGGAAATATCTTGGGCGGTTATGCCTTTTACGCCGATAGACTTTCCTAGAAAGAATCAGCACAGTACAACACAAAAGCTACAGACCTTCCAATTCTAAGTCACACCCTATCACAACCATACAATCTTCGCCGTCGAAGGACCTGGACCTGGACCAGACGTACCAATAACCCCGGCCAAATTTGCCGCGCCATCTAGCCTTCCATACTTCCCTACAACACTCTTTATCCACTTTTCCACTTGCTCCGGTTTCCTGACATCCACAACCATAGACATAACCTCAGCGCCATGTTTCGTGCGGATCTCATTTGCGGCTACGTCGAGTGCTTCTTTGTTGACGTCCGCGATTGATATGATAGCGCCCCGACTCGCAAGGAGATGGGCGGTGGCGAGCCCGATGCCTGAGGCTCCGCCTGTTAGGGCGATGACTTTTGATGAGAGTAACATTTTGAAGTTTTAGATGGAGTGGGAAAGGATAGAAAGTCACGTTTTTGGGGACGGATATGCGTGAGATTATGTATGGACTAAAGGCTGTGTATTTAGTTGGTACGGCATGATATAAGAAACCCGGATATGCTCTTCCGATTGGGAGAAAGCCGTGGATCAATTGTACGCTAATGACGCATTTCGGCAATATCCAAAATGCGCACTGCTACTTTGCCCTTCCTGTGCATATGACAGATATTGTAAACACGCAATACTCGAAGCCGAGGTGGGTGTTGCCTTGCATAAACATAAGAGGGGTAGTTGCTATCTTCATATATTTTCATCTATGTTAACTGTTCCTCTACGATAAAGAGGCACCACTGTTCTGAAGTATTTCTACCATGAAAACCCTGCTCTGTCCATTTGCCTAACACTGCCCTAAACCCAACCCCTCTCCAAAAACCTCACCGGCACGTCCACACTCCTTCCCCTCAAAAATTCCCCCAAATTCTTCGCCAACGTATCCAACCCGCCCGTAGAATTATATCCCCGATCCAAATGATTCTTGAGCAAAAAATGGACCACCCTCAGTCCCCGCATCTCAAACCTATCAATCCTTCCCCCACTCCAATCACTCCCTAACAACTCCTTCAGCTTCTCAACCGTTAGGAAGGATCGCAGCCAATCCCATTCGTCGGGATGGCGGACGAAAAACCCGACGTTGGCGTCGGAGGCTTTGTCACCGGAACGGGCGAGCGTGATGGAGCCGAGGGGGGCGAGAGTTGTAAGGCCGAAGGAGAGGAGGGGGGTGGGGGAGGCAGTCTCGTAGGAGGTTTGGGGTGGGTAGATGCGGGTGGTTGGGGGAGAAGGGATGGGTATTGGGGGAAGGTTGGAGAAGAAGAAGTGGGTGCGGTGGGTGCAAACTGATTGGGGGATTAAGGTAACGAAGTATTCGAAGTATGGTTTCGGGAGGGATTGCCTGAGGTCGTTGCTTCGTGAGACGCCCTGGTGGTAGCCGGTTAGCATGAATTGATTCTCGTCCGTTCTGAATTGAAGGATCGGAGGGGTCCGCAAAATCTAGTAGTGAGGCCAGCCAGTATCGTGCAACTCACCGGACAGCTCTGCAAAACCGTCTCATAGAGCCTCCTCGCAAACCCGTCTGGTTTACTCCCATCAAACAACTCCTTCCTTTTTGCCTGCGCAAAAATCCTAAAATCCGCGGTACTCCGATCCTGACTGGCTTCATTACTTAAGCCCGTGTATCCGCTGAGCTGAAACTTCAACAACGTAAATTGCTTAATCAGGTCCTCCCCAATCGCATATCGAGCCTGCTCCTCCATCCACTGAACCTTCTCTTCCATATCGAGGCCTACAAGATAGAAATGCCATTCTGCTTGGAAGCCTCCGTGAGCGGTTATGCCCACACGAGTCGTAGGAGGTGGCGGTGTGCCAGTGATACCAGAGACTCGTACACGATCAGGAGAGAGTTGTTCAGCGCAAACGTCCTCGAGATTGGCAACGACGTCGGAGTTAAAGTATAATGGACCTGAGATTTCGTAGACGAGCTGGGAAGTCACGGTTTCGGTGTTGACAATGCCTCCTGTATCCTGCAGGTGTGGTCGTCAGCTTCTTCAATCATTCTATTGTCAACACTTTTGAGCAGAAACCCACCTTCTCCTTCGTAATAACACATTCTCCCGTGTCTTCCACCTCCGCAATCGGAAACCCTAGATTAAGATGCTTCTTCTCTCTCATAAGATCTTTAAACCTACTGTAATACCCACCCGTAATAAATGCACTACACTCAATCAAATGCCCTGCCACCAACGCCCCAGCAAGCCGATCCCACATATCAGCCCTCCAACCATGCCACCAAGCACTCAAACCAATCGTCGGCGCCGCATCACTTACTCTCCCACAAATCACGATATCCGCCCCTTGCCTCAATGCCTCTGTAATCCCTAAACTCCCCAGATATGCCTGTGCGCAAATAGGCTCAAACCCCCACTCCTCTAACGTCCTCCCATCGCACAAGTTCAGAAATTCCTGTCCCTTCTTCACCAGCTCCATAAACTGTCCTGTAACCTCATCGCCCTCAACCCACGCTACTTTCGCCTCCCAGGAATCCCGTTCTAAACACATCTTCCGCACCACCTCAGCAAGTAATTCCGTATCATTCGCCCCTGCATTCACTACCAATTTTGCTTCATTCCGTTTAAGGTCTGCAATAGCAGGCTCAAAGCATTGCAAAAAAGTACCCGCGAAATTCGCACTCTGTACTTTCTCTTCAAATGAAAACGGCGATCCACGTTCGCGTTCGTGTTGTAGGTGTTTAGCTTTCCCGGCTCCGTAGCCTGTCATTACGTTTTCAGACAGCCAATCTCCGACAATGGCGTCGACGGATGGATCAGACGCAAGTCGTGAAATAGCAGCTACACGGTCCGTAAATCCGCCACTGGCGCCCCCGATGCGGATGGGGCGTCGTACGGATTGAGCAACGCTCGGCTCACAGTTAGGAGAGGATGCCATTAGGACAGCGGTGAAAGAGAATGCGGGAGGTGAGGAGGGTTGGAGACATGATGAAGGGCGGATCCTTTGGGATCATAGCACTCGCAAAGTCGGAACGGCGGGTGATGGGTGATCAGAGATTCGGAGAAGCACGCGCAAAAGTGTCCGTATGGTGTGGGGTTGGGCTAATGAATCATTAGCGTGGTAGGGCTATGAACACAAAGTATGACGCATTGGCACTTACAACGGGGCATTACTGAGATCCTGGTTGTAACAAGAATTAGCTCTTTCTCATATCTCCCTTAATTCTAGGACAGGATTAGTAGCTTAAATACACCCTCGTTACGTTCCATGTTATGCGATAACAGGCTGTAGGTGCGGCCCGATCCGCAGGCCTTGCGGAGCAAAGAATTCCCTTTCTTATCCTCCCATCAGAGGACGAGAGTTGTAATAGATAGACGTGATTAAGAGATGTTGAAATACGATCTACTAGTCAATTCACCTATCAAGTCGCTCATCTGACCCGGACCATGTCCATGTCGCCCGACCTACTTTTGCCAAAACTCCGAAGCTAGGATTAAACACAGAGAGGAAAAGATATCATCCGGATAAAGAGACCGACGACCACCTTACCATGAAATTTTAAACATAAAGAAAGGAAATGGTAGAACGCCAGGTGCGCTGTGGAACCTCACCTAAGGCCTGCTGGTCTAAGCGCATGAATGAAGATGATGAGCAGCTCTAGAGGTCGAGTCATTGATGCACGTCTTTGGCAGAAGTTGAAGAGGTCGGGTTTTACTCGAGGACCCTCAAGGCATGTCGATTAGACTAGCGAGGGAAAGCGGTCATGCTTATAAATCGGTCTTAGAGGCAGTAAAGTCCCATAGCATCTTCACCAGGTTGTCAGGGAGCGTGTAGAGATCGACGTGAAACTCGCCATCTGCGCGCAGTTTAGCAAACGGAGAATCACTCTCTTGGCAACAGCCAAACTTACTCTCAACGTCATTCTTCGTATAGGTCTCGCTTGTTTTGTTATCATGCACCATGGTGACGACGTGCAGGAGGTCGTCTTCGCTCAGCTTCTGAAGACCGTCGGCCAGCTTTTCCATGTCGACCTGTTGAGCAAGTGCGGATTAGCGTCACCACCCGAAAATCTGTAGCTGAAGGTGAAACATACGTTCTTATCCTTCCTCTTCTTCTTCTCACCACCCGCCTTCCCGCGGACGCCGTTCTCGTCGCCAGCGGGGCCGGACTCCCTTAGCAGAGCGAGGAGCTCTGGTCGCGGGTTCCTGAAGTTCTACATTGCCCATCAGCACGATCCTAATACCCCGCTTTGCATGCTCGTTCTGGACTGACCACGGTGTGTTTAGCCTCGTAGCGTTCACTCTGGAAATTGAGGTCATGCTCGAGAGTGTGGTCGCCGCCCTTATGGAAAGCTGTCAAGACGATTGTCATGTCGAACTCGCCCCATCCCTTCTCCTCGATTCGGAACGGGGGTTTCTTAAAGGCTAGGATTCGTTAGCATTGGTCTTCATCATCTTTTGTGTTGGATCGCCTTACTCTGCTTATTCTTGGGGAACGACGGATGTAGATTGTAGACAGCCTTCTCGAAGACATTTGCTTGTACTTCTGCTCCGCTCTCGTCGAGCAGCCAGATCTCGATTGTCCAAGACCGCATTGGGAAACCCTCCATAGGCGAGGGCTCGGCACTATTGGTGCCTATGTGAGCTCAATGCGAGAGACGCGTGCGAACAGCGTATATACGTACATGGGCTTCTGGGTGGTGATTATCTTCACCTGTCTCTTGACCTACGGCGGGGTTAGCGCGTGCATCGCTGAGCGAAGCCACGGAAGCGAGGGTGCTCACGTCTGGCATGATGAATGAAGAATTGCAGTCGCAGGATAGACCAAGGTTGGGGTGTGGTGGTGGAGATAACGCGCGAGGGTCTGGCGCGTTTTATATGCGGCTGTCGGTTTAAGGTGAAGGCGGAGGCGGGTCTTTGGCGAAAGCGCCAGCGGGGATGCAGCCAGCGGGAAGAACAAATACAAAAGGCTTGGCGCGCGAGATCCTGCAGTGTAAATATATCCGCCTCTAGGACTAGGGGTGCCTCGATGCGGTCGTACGGTGAAGTTGACAGCAGATTTGGGATAGACTAAAGTGCGGTGTGTGGCGCGTCTCCCTTTCTTTGGAATGTCGCGACACCTACCGAAGCTGGTTTCAAACCTCGATTTCACTTTTCGCCATGTGCTCATCATGTGCAGGCGTGTAATAATTGGGGGAGAGTCGCGGGCACTATTGCCGCGCCAATTTGATACTATCTATGTGCAGTATGGGTCTTCTACCGTTGTGTAATGGTTGGGTGTGCTTCGCCAAAAAGTCCGTGTCAGTCCTCCGAATGCTCCTTCCCACCCGTTTCCGGCTGTGAATCCACCGCCTACTCCGCCGCCTTGAAAAGAGCCTCATTCTCTTGCTGGGCCTTAATGAAGGCCTCCTTGAAGAGGTTGGCATCTGTTTTGAGTTCAAGTTAGGGTGGCTCAAATCCAGAAGAGGGGGTTTCACTTACTCTCGCTGTTTGCAAATCGAATCGCAAGGGTTTGAGCTTCTGGCTCACCCTCACTGACGTCGGCGGCGGCGTTCCACACCCAGCTGCGGTCGCTACCTACGTTGGGCGACAGCTTCATGTCGGGAACAACTAGACACACATCAGTAATAGCTTTGCGTCTCCAAAATCGGGGTTCCATACCATAGTGGTTGGCGCAAACTTTGAGGGTCTTGTCCCTTCTCATGACCAAACGAGTCTTGCCATTCTCCTTGTGCTTAAGTAACCGGACGTCACCAGTTCCTCGCTCCTTCCACTCTCGAGACTCCCTGTCGAACTTGAACAGCTTGGCTCTCATCTTGAAGACTTGCTCCTCGAGCTCTTCGTTGGTCTTGGTCTCAACCTTCTCCGTCAAGCGAACCACAGGTTCGAAGTGAACGTCGGGCTCTTCGTTCTCGGGATTCTCGCCCTGGAAGGTATTAGTAGAGTGTGCGGACAATGGTAGGGCCAGCCTACTTCTGCAGCCTTTGCCTTGGAAGAACCCGACGGCTCAGTGACGTCGTCTTCCTCTTCCTTCTTCTCCTTCTTGGGTCCACCGCCAAACATCGAGAAAACATTGTCCTTGACGGTAGAGGTGGCAGTCGTTGCGGAGCTGGAAACAGTCTCGGTGATAGATGAAGCTGGCTTTTCTTCGGCTGGTTTTGAAGCCTCAGTAGCGCTAGTCGCTACCTGCTCTGTCTCGTCTTTCGTGATGGTGGGACCAGGAGCGGCGGCCTGTCCAGCCGAGGAATCAGGTTTAGCGTCAGCCATGTTGGCGGAAACAATAGACAGTGTCGCGTAAAGAGTTAGTGGAGGACGGACAGTAGTATTAGAACGGAGGAAACGCAGGTGAAGCTTGTTTCCGTGTGTTGTTTGAAGAAAGTGAGCCCTTGCATACGGCGATTTTTGTGGAGGGGCACACCAAACACTCTCCGCCTATCGCGCTAGCCCTTTTTGGAAAGGCAGCCTATCAGGCACGTGCGATGCACTCACCGACTGAAGCCTGGATCTGCCTGGAGTATGTTGACGCCTCTTTTTGACTTTCCAAGACTCTTTGACAGTAATACAGAAAGGACATTCGAAGCCAATATAAGGCACACATGTGCAGTAATTACGAAATACAATTCAGTTACCACAGATATAAGCATTCGTTCCCCATCATATAACTAGGTCACCAAGCGCCACAACCGCAACCAAGAGCGTGCAATCCGAAGGCACCTGGGTATTGTGTTTCCTCGCGGTGTCATTTGCCAATATGTGCTTCTCATCCCGGACTCCGCATGCCCTGCGACCCTTCAGGCAAACAATCACAAACGCCTTCTCATGATGACAATGATGACGATAGATCTACCTCAGAGCTTGCCAGGAGTCCTAACCCCTGCTCCTGTCTCTCAGCTTCTGCGCCTTGATCCGTAGTTTGCGTCCCTTGCGATCCATGATCCGCTTGTGCTTCTCCATCTCCTTCTCTGAGCGTTCCCGTGCTTTCCGATCCGCTTTCTTAGCTTTCTCCCATAACCGAAGAGCGTTTTTGCGAGCTTTGTGAATGTTTCGTGATGTACGTACTCTACGGGTGGTCTCCCAAAGAGTAGGTATACGCACTCCAGGTAATTGCTGCACCAATCCTGAAAAGCGAGAGGTGCTGCCCTGCAAGTTTTGACGAATGAATGTCGCGACGTCCTTCGTGACTTTGGCTCCAGCACTCAAATGATGGCAAGCCACTCTCGAAGCCCCCTGAAGATGCCCTGCAGCGCTCTGAGTTGAATGTTGAATTCGATGTGTCCAATGCCTTGTTTGCCCAAATGCAGCTGCGGCACTGTCTTCCAATCGATCCATCCCTTCATGGAAGCCTTTAGTAACTTGGCTTGATAGATCTTTCAGATTGTGCTGCGCCATAGCAACGTCGTGCTTCAAGCTCTTGCACACATGGTTTATGTTGTCAATCAAGAAGGATATCCTGGACTTGCTGGATCCGAGCTTGATCTCAAAATCTTGGTAGAGCAGTGGCTTTCGCCTCGCCACAATGCTGACGTTGAAAGAGCCTAGTGGATATTCCCGCTCAAGGTCAACAGTATAGCTGCCATCGTTGGATCGAGTCATGCGGACAGGAACGATCTGGGAATGGCGAACGACTTGGATCTGAATCTGGGGTTTCCGCCTTCCGTTGACAAGATTCCCCACAGGTGTAAGCATGAATTGGTGGTCTCCAGTGACCTGAACCTGGAAGCCCTGCGAGTTGGCTTCCTTCAAGGAAGAAGACCGGTCCTGCTGACTTCTAGAAGGGGTTTCTTCCGAATTCACTATTGTGAGATCCCTCGATATAGACTTGATGACGGAAGTAGCTGCCGGTATGGGGCTAACCAATGGAGAAGAAACACTGACCTGTGTAGCCGGTGCTGAGGTGCATAAAGAATGGGATGTTGATGCTGTTGAAAGAACTTCCTTCTGAGCGACATTGGGTGGAGAAATGAGTGAAAATCCTGATGCGATCGACGATACCACCAACATGACTATGAGAGCAAGGACGGTTCCACACAGTTTCAATTTCTGCCACCATTCGCTTTCATTCGCACTGTGGGCATCTTTCGCAAAGGTGGGGACAATGTTGCGCATGCTCCACCTTGATTGATCTTTTGTCAGGTGCTCTTGTGCCATATTGCCTTTAGCATTAGCTAGGAATGATCGAGGATATGGATCCCCTTGAGACCCGCTGATGTATGCCAAGTGCCGATTCAGCTGTGACGGTTCGATTTGGAGGAAACCGTAGATATCAATGGGAAGAGTGTCGAGAATCTGATATTCATGGCCAGACCCCAGCCGACCTTCTACGCAGAGCCGAAGGCTGTCACCGTCAAAAGCGAATGCTTTCGGACAGTTACGAAAGGGCCAAACCATACCTATGTCGAGACAGGGAATGTTGTGCGCTTTAAATGTCTTGCGAGCAAAGCGTATCTGTTTGGTCTGTTCAATCTCTGAATCTGACTCTGGTTCAGGCTGCAATGCAGAATGACAGAGAACCACAAGATCAGGAGCTTGGAAGGCATTGGATTCGCCAAGGAGCTGAGGAGCCCTGCTTGGACCGAAGACGAGCTGCTTCCCCTCCTTTAGCGTCAACTGGATGCTATGTGGCTTTCCCGCGCGCTCGATTATCTTGAGTGGGGTGCAATCAACTACGTCCAGAAGAACGTTAGGGGACTCGACAAGCTGCACTTTGTTGGCAGACGCTCCTTCGTGTATTCGAACAACACTGAATCGAGACGAATGGGAGCTGACATCGAGCGCTGCTCCAATCTGACCTGTGATCTCGTCTTTAGCCCAGTCCGGGAAGTCTCCCACATACATCACCCTGAACGTCTCTGAGATGGAGAGGAAACGCTGAGACAAAGCTAGTCTGACAGTGAATCGAATATCGGGGCAATCGTAAGGCTGGAGGACATCGACCCCAAGGGCTTGGTCAAACACCCGCAAGATGCCACAGCCGTCCAGGCTGTCTTGTCCGGTTGCAGAGTGTTCCTCGATCTGGATGTGCGAAGCCTCGCCGAACTGTGTATCAGTCTTCGAAGTGATCACGCTGTCATCCGGGCTTGTCCGTGGCTGAGGGTCGAACGGCTCATTCGAGGATGCAGCGAGGGGGTTGGGCAGCTGCTGCGATGCATCGACAAGATCACCATCGTCGAACTCCTCCTCCGTGTCATCGATGCTTGACACATCATCGGGTGTGTGGCCATCGGTAGAGGCCAGTGACTCAGTATGGCCCTCGTCGTCAGACGTCTCATACGCATCCTCCGCCAGCATATCGTAGGTGCTGTCGTCGAGGGCACCTGAAGCCTCTTCGGCGTGCAGCCGAGGGTTGGAACGCATAATGAGGGCGTCCAGGTCTAGCCTGGCCAGAGAACGGTTGACCCGAACTGGAGGGAAGCTCAGGTCCTGGGAAGACTCTGGGCTGCTATCAGCCATGTCAGCAAAGGAATCAAGAGAAGAGCGTTGAGATAGACGACGACGGGTCGGATGAAGCTGGTGAAGTGGTGCGAAACATGGCATGTATGTAGGGCAAGGTTGCAGGGCGGACGCTGCCTAACCTTCGGAGCGTAGACGGGCGTCAACTGGAAGCCTGGCGTGGGGAAATGAGGTGGGGCGGGGACAGCAGTGCCAGGGCACGGACGGCTTCTTTGTCGGGACACAGCGAGGAATGAAGTTATCCTGCCCATGCAGTGTGCAAAACGCTGCTTGCTGGCGACTGCACTCTGGTGGATGGGGCGTGGTGTCCTGTGTAAGAGAGGCTGTCTGGGTGAAGGAGCAGGGTTGAGCAACCATCTTCTGCAGCCTTGAACCCCACCAACGGCGGGCATTGTGCATATCGGGGCCCTTGGCAGCGGCCTCCCGATATCGAAATGCAACCACATGACACGTCGTCATTCCAGACACCTCTCAGGGAGTGTCTGTTCCGCGCCAGATAAGATATCTTTGGAAGCGTGAAGCTGGTATTGCTGTTCGTAGTCGCACAGTAAATGTATCAATGGGTACACAGTGAACCCTCTCAAACGCCGCAAGACATCCCAGAACTTTGTACCCTTGACCAGTAAAACATCTGATCAAGACAAGAAGGACCACCAGCCCGCAGAGGCGGCAGCAGTGTAATCCCATACTCCAAAAAGTATTATGAAGCAATTAGAAAAACATGTAAACATTGCCCCACTCAAGGTGATGACCACCCTCCAGCAACCTCGACCCATTCAGCGAGGCAGCTTCCTTGCTTGCCCTCCACATCAACTATGTCTGTGTCACATTTACATCTGCATCCAACACCGTTCTCCTTTGGTGGATCGGGGCTTGCCCAGTATTCATCCTCTTCAATGCGTTTCTTTTCATCTAGGGTCGTCGTCTCCAGCCAAGGGATGCGTTGGAGTTGGCGTGCCGGTGCATTAGCGGGGCAATGCTGAATTGTTGTGTGTCGATAGCCAAAATCGCGGAAGTAATGGATATCCTTCGGCCCCAACAGCGCCCCGGCGGCGAGAGAGTGGATCGGAGCATCTCCCCACTAGATTGTATCAGCTCCGTTCCCACCTGAAATACTTTGACGACTTACCCGTTCCATCCAAAATCCACCACTGCGATCCATCATCTCAAAGAAGTCGTTATACTCTTTGCTGCGGAACCAGTCTAGGCGGGCAATCTCAAAGTTACTCCAAAAATGACACATGTTGTATTTCTCCCCCTCCATTGCTTCCAGGTCAATATCGGGTAGTGAACCGGTGCCCGGTTCTGAGTTGAGAATCTCCTCCGGGAGTGGTTTCTTGTATTTTGGATCGTCCTTCGGAAGCTCCTTTGGCTCCTCCTTGGGTTTCTCGACGAACATCTCCCACAAGCCTTTTGACGTGAGATTGTTCATTCTCTTGTATGCTGATGCATATCGGAAGATGTTGGGCACAGTCTCTTTGAGTTCCTTCACAGCGATGGTGAACCCGTAGGTCTTTCCTTCGCGCTCCATGTGAATGAATGGGTCGCTATCAAGAGTTAGTACCCAACCAATGTATCAGGAAGAGCCGTAAGGGGGCATTACTATGTAATGTCGCAGAAGTATTTGATTTCTGGCTCGAGCCGCCAATACCATTTGTACTTCTGGAGCAGTTCATGCTTGTAGAAGAAACTGGTAAGGTCCATTAGCATTCTCCTGTAGGGGCCTTTCTGCTGTGGACTTACCCAGAGTAAAAGCGGCACATGTGATGATAACTCTCCATACCGCCGTACATAATCGCAGCGTCACCCTGCTTCTGGATACCTTCTTTGGCAACAGCCTTGTCCACCCAATCTGGGTAACCCCACATGTCCGGACCAATCTTTCCCCATTCCACTGGCCCACTCGTGTGATTTAGCACTGTCTCTTTGAAAGTCGAGTTGAAGTCACCGTCGTTGAGGAAGACGTATGGATAGTGGAACCAGCGGTTGAAATGCCTTTCAATCGACTTTATAGACTGTATAACACCCTCCAACTCCTTGTTTCTTGCTAGCACGACGAAGGCAGCGTTTGCTCGCGGTCCGTTGACCTGGGGCTCCAAGCAACCATTCACGAATACTTTGTCATATTTGTCGTTTATCCGCCTAGTAGCCACATGAATTAGTCCTGTCCACGAGACCGCAAGGGGACCACGAGGGCGAAGCAGTACTCACCGTATTGAAGGAGGAGCTCCGGCGGGCATCATCATGATCCCCGACGACTGAGGATGCCTCACGAAGAGGATTAGGATTAATATTATGACAATGCATGGGAACAGTAGGACTATGCCTAAAGGTATGGAGATGGTGGAGTTTCCTTTCAGACGTATGCGACGGCGGAAGAAGGCTAACCGGGGAGAGATCTTCTCTGCGCGGCGAGAGATGTCTTCGAGCTTCGGCAGGTCTTCTTTTGAAGACGGTATCCTCTTGACGAGATTTTGTACGAACCCCATTGGCGTTGGCTGTTGACCTGCGCGTCACGTAAACTCTGGGAACGAATGGCGATTCTGCGCCTTTCCAGACCCAATCGGGGAAGTGTGTGTGCGCACTACAAAGGTGGCGGGTCGAAGGCGCAATTCGGATAGAGGCAAAGGGCGCGAGGGCTTTGTTCGGGCGAGGTATCACAATCTATGTAGGTAACGAGCGGCTGGAGATGGCTCCAAAAAAAAAAAGGAACGGGAGAGGAATCCGCTATGGCGATGATATCAAATCGTCGGATAGATGGTATGCCGATAAGAAGGAAGCTGCAGACCTGCTCGGCGCGGTCTACACGGCCACGGGCAAATCGTGAAGGGGCGGCGATGCTGGAAACCGGGCAAAGATGTCGGCCAGGAGGTTATGTCTAAAGTCCAGAGAAGCAAGCGCCAAGACAATGGCGGCGATACGGGAGAAAGCCGCTGTTGACAAAGCCTACGCCACACGACCGGTACGGCTGCATCCGGTGATAGAGAGCGTTGTGAGTGTCCTTGGGTCGTGGTCTTTTCACGGCCAGGGAAGCTTTTAGGAGGTTGCGATAGAAAATGTGACCGACTTACGTATCCCCGAATCTTGCCAAGATCGAAGGCGCGATTCGTTCCCCTTTCCAGCCTTGGAGTCCCCCACCCGCAGAGTCTGACACCTATCAAAACCACCACCGTTGCACCCCGACCACTGCCACCTCAACAACCCACGGCTTTGGTTCTGGGTGAATTGAGGAAAGAGATGGGAATTAGTCTCATCGCATTTTCCTCTCGTGTTACCTTTGGATGCACCGTTTCTTCCACATGATCGCCATCACCCTTTGTGTCCCAGAATGAGCTTCAAAGCGAAAAATCTCGCCTATGAGGCCCAACAACCTGCTTTCCTTCGGCGACTACGCGGTGAAGTTGCTGGAGATGACTCGGTTCGTCACGAGCAGCCCATTCCTCGGAACAAGCGAATGAAGCAGGACGATGATGATGATGGTCCAACATACGTTCTAGAAGACAGCAACCAGTCGCTCTCAAAAGCGGAATACGAAGCACTGGTCACGAACAAAGATCCTGAAAGCCTGACAGGAAAGACAGACAAGAGTCTTCAGCCAGACCTGGCTCTCGAAGGCGGGGACAAGGGAGAGTCTAAGGACCGCATCGTTGAAGCCGGTCAAACCATGAGGAAGCGCAAAGCCGTTAGAGTTGGAGGAGATGAACCAGAGGAGGGCAAGCTGCTCAAGGTCAAGGATGCTAAGGTCGTGAAGAAGCCGAAAAAGAAAGCAAAGCCAATCAAACTTTCCTTTGGTGATCAAGAAGAAGGGTGAATGGCTGGCTGAGGTTTCAGTTCCGAGCCTGATACCGAACGACGAACTGAATGACTCGAAGGGCATTCCTTGTTTTTAATATGATGGCATTGCAACCCAATCCCAAGGTCCTGTTAACCCCGCCGATTTCGCCGACCGAGGTTGGGGAGTTTAGGCTTACTGCCGTCTTCAAGCCCTGGACGACACGGACTGGAAAGTTAGAAGGCGATGAGCTGGATATTGATTTGGATATCGATTATGGTGGGGAGATGATAGATAGGCGGAATGTCCTGCCAGTCGATTCCCCATATGGAAAGATGCTAACCACATCGACTGCGTCAAACTTGGGGCATGCTTCTGGAGCTTTGTCCCTACAGATTCCAGCTACCAACAAATCAAGGGTAGTCTTTTGGTGAAGTCTAGGCCCGACGCCTAAGAATCACCTGCCTTGTGCCCCCTAGTGTACAGCCCATCGACGACCATATGAGAGCGTGGGGGGAGCCGTATGTACATATTCAGAGAGTGCAAAACCAGATGGATTCTTAGATTATGTGTTTAGGACAATTACTAGAGCCTTCTAGGTGTTGAGTATTTTGAAAAAAAAAAAAAACACTCGCGTGGAACTCATAAGACTGACTAGAAAGAACCTAGTATTTGCGCACTAATACGTACCCCGGCATAGGAAGAGTGTGAATGTACCAAGGTCGTTGACAGGGAGGGGGATGAACTTAAATCTAGCCTTCTCCCACTCACTGTTTAGAGCATTGTCGAAAAAGGGCAAAATGTTGCAGGGGAGATCGAAGTGCTCGTCGAAAGGAACTTCATTTTTGCCAACGGCCAGATTAACGATACCTCTTGGAAAGAAACTGGAGAGATCCTCTTTCAGCACCCATTTACCCTTTGCTGGGCGTCGCCATCTCGCCTACACTTTTATCAATGGGCAGTCTCGGGGGAGTTGGGGTATATATCAAACTCGCAGGGCTTGCACATCAAGTAATGAATATGGGCGGACAGGCAAGGCTATTCTTGGAAAGAACGCCGGCACGCGATCACATGATCAAATGTCTTAGTGCCGATGGTCCGAGCGTCACTGATCCAGACACCTCAGCCTCTTTGTCTTCTGACATCTTCCGTCACAATGGATTTCAACATTCCATCTGTCTTTACCCACCATCCGCCATGAAACCCTTAATCCCATTCCTAGTAGCGTGCTTCTCGCTGCTTTATTTCACGAATGCCGGGATTGCCCCGGAAATAACTACCCTAGAGGATGGATACAACATCATCGCGAAACTGCCGTGTCTAGGGTGTCCTTTTCTCTTCCAGGATACCTCGAAAGGCGAGGATGGGCCTTGGACGGAAAGAGACGATGATAATGCTTTGGTATGGCTGACTTGTGCTTTGAATTCCTAATGTAGTCGAAGTTCTAGCTTATTATTTTTTAGCTACTGAATATCAGCCTTGCATATAATAGCTTCGCTCTCACGCTAAATAACCGCCAAATCCACCCCATCTACTCCAGGCTCCCCCAAATCTATGCCAACCAAGTCCTCCAAGATATTTCTGTTGACGCTCTCTCAACCATCGTTTCCAGCGGCCAACTTGAGGCAAGTCACGAGACTAATGCAGGTGGTGGATATTTCGGTCTTTCGTATTCGCAATCTCTACGCCATGTGCAAGATTCCACCGCTCTTGTCTTCCAATTCGACGTCATAGAACTCTGGTCGGATTTAACCCCCACCCCGCTCCGACATAGATTAGAACGTCTAGATCAGATGATGCTCGAGTTGCTTCTACTTCAGAAACCTGTGTATTCCGCCCTCGAACCCGTCTCTTTTGAAATTATCAAAGCGGAGCTAGTCCGCCGGGGTCATTATGGCCTCAAATCATCCTCCAATCAACAAATCATGAACTTTCTTGACTGGGATACCTTCGGTCAGAAGGGCACTTTGACGCACTGGCTCGCTTCTTGGGGCTCTGCAATGCTCGACTTCCTGGACTCGGGGATCTGGGCGCTTTTCATCACTATTTTCGGGGTTATGGTGCTTTTTGTGGTGATCTGTGTGCTATGCATCTTCGGTTGCAGTTTCTGGCAGGATGATTACGCTCAGGCGCAGCATGGGAAGGCGAAGAGAAGGAAGAGTAAGGGGAAGGGAGATGTTGAGCTGGGAAGGATGCCGTTTAAGAGTGCGGAGGAGCTTGGATTGCTAGGAAGAGGAAGAGTTATTGGAGTGGGGAAGAGTGATTGATTAGGATCTGAGGGAAGCTATTGCATGTATAAGATATTAGATATTTGTGAAGAGATTTAAAAACAGTGAGATCTATGGCATATATATCCCAACCCAAAGCACATCGAAGCACACCTAGAACGGCACCCTATTTTCAGTCTATCCCATGCAATATCGAAATCCAACAACAGCTTCGCTATTCTGAGCAAGTTTGCCCTCAAGTAGGTCTTCTTTCCATACCAGCCTTCTCCCACCAGGATATCCACTCCATCTGAGTTCTCTATCAACATTTGAACATGTCATCTTCGCTAGGTGCCATATACAGATCATTGTAATCCGTGTAGACTTCGCTTGGAGTGATCAATGACGAGGGGCTCTTATGATCTTTGATACTAACACGGTCCCTATCGTACTCAAAAATCAGCTAGTTGAATAAAAGGGGAGTCCGGAGGTATGACCATTTTACTTACATCTCACTTCCTCCTCTCACGCCCTCTCCGCCCTGGTTGAGGGTCTTCCCCAGCGCTTCTCGAATCATATCGCAACCTTCAAGGCCTGATATTCGGTATCCCCCTTCTTGCCGAAGGTGGTGCTCCACCTCATCCACCAGTTTCAAGATCCAAACTTTCTGGTCCCTTGCACCTTTCTCGTTCACCAAACCTCCCCCTAGATCCACAACATCACTCCTATCACCGGATACTCGGCTCAGATCCCTCCAATTCTCAGACACCGTTTCTCTTTGCCTTGAATGACTTCTCAATACACCCATCGCTCCGATCTCAATAATTCTCCCACTCTCCCTAGCTTGATCCTCAGGGCTCATATGCCTAAAGCTGGGCTGTTGCTGTTGAGCGCTTCCGCGTCCATATGCCGCGATTTGTATCGGAGTCGTAGTTCCCATCATCGGTGTTCCCGGGACTGACATGGACAGACCAAGTGGCGTCCCAATAAACGCCTCCTCCCTTTCCATTGCTAGTATGTGCAGGTCTATCGGTACGCTGGTCGGTGGGTTACTCCTGACTTCCCTCTTATTTGCGGCATGATTTCTGAGTTGACCTGGTGCCTGCCTCACTTGGTGTTGTTCATCCTGAGGCGCTGCTGCCCTTCTACGTGGATCTTGGAGCAGGCAGAACGCTGGGTTATGAGGGAGAGGCGTAGAGCCCTGGCTCAGCGATCGTCGATTAAACGGCTGGTTCGCACGTGAGCATTGTGGTTGTGGGGTGGCGGTAAGGGAACAAACGGGCGACATCGGTTGGCCGAACAGGGTCGCTGCAGCGGCATTGCTGGTTAGGTACGGATTCAGGTGGTTGAATTGTTCCAGTTGAGAAGGGCAGAGATGTGGCGAGTTGGGTGGCGGCATAGGAGCATAGTATGAAGAAGCCGTGGTCCCATTGTTCTGACCAAAAACATAGGATGAGAGATCTGACGTTGAGGCTCCGCTTGAAGGTTCTGTAGATGCGAAAGGAGATTCTTCCAGCCTGAAGCCTAGATCATCAAGGCTATCAGAATCCGAAGCCGACAACATAGAACTCTGCTCATAATTCGCGAGGAACTGGTCAATACCTCTGGCTGCGGTATTCCTCTCTCTCATAGACTGAATGAATGGGGTATTTGATGAGTCCAGGTAATGTGGAGCTTGCTGAAACATTCCGGTAACCCCCTCTCTCCTTCACAAGGAGACGAATGGAGCAGCGGATGCGCGATCGAAGGTAAGCCAGGTGCGGATAGAGGTTGCACAAAGATGTGGATGATGGCCAGATATAGCTTGATATGGCCTTCATGGGAGGTCGGTGCTGAGACATGTTTAGATTGCTGGCCGTGGCGTTGGAACGGGCGAGCATGTATGAGCATGTGGATGGAGAGCAAACAATTATGGTATGTGGGACAAAGAACGAAACGAAACGAAGTAGGATTTCTTACTGGAAGTAATTTCAGACTGTTGGTCGAAGAGATGCACAGGGCTCTTTAAATAGCAGATAGGGGCATTAACGAGCAATCTAAACCACTCATCCGGTACTTGTCTTTCGGCTCTTTGGTATGAAAGCAGAACCATTGGGAGCTTTGAGCTGCGCTATATCAGTGAGCCACGGTCTAAGATGCCAGATTTCAGAAGGAAAACATACGGTGAGCACCCATGAAGTAACAAGCAGAGACAACGATTGACAGTGCCCAAAAGAAGAATGGCTTATCCCGGAGAGGAGAGGCAACATTAACCATGGCGACATAATCTTAGATGTCTAGGAAATATCAGACGTGTCGTAGGAGCCCTACTGAGATTGTGAACGAGACGAAGTCAATGTAACGGTATAGTCGAATGTCCAAGCTCCCAGAAATGCTGCCCCTTAACACACCCACACCATAGTGTACAATATCTTTACCACACCCCAAGCAATTTCCCTCCCTCACTCAGCCGCCCCATCTCACGACTTCTTCGGACCATCCTTCTTCTCCCCCTCCCCCTCCTGCTTCTTCTTATCCCAATTCCACACTTCCCAAATCTGATCCAAAATCATACTTGTATAACTCTCCCCTCGCTCCAACTTCTCCCTCTCCTCCTGCATCCTCCTCTCCCTCCAGCCCTCCTTCTCACCCCCCATCCAAATTCTAGTCAACACCCCCTTCTTCACATCCGCTACCCCACCCTCACCCCGCTGCTCTCTCTCCCTCGCCTTCCTCTCCTCCTGCATCCTCTGAAACTCCCTCGCTCTCTCTGTCGGCAATGCACTTCCCACATCCCGCATCTTCCAGCTATAGTTCTCGATAAGTGACCGCCCGGTGTAGCTTGTGGAGAGGTGGTCGGCGGAGAGGTAGAAACATATGCCGAGACCGAAGGTGTACATGTCGAGTTTGCGCGGCGGGAGGACGGCGATGAGGGGGCATATAATTATGCCGCCGATGGCAGCTGTCCGGGCGAGGGATTCGTAGCGGGCTTTTTGTTGCAAGGCGAGGCGTTGCTCGGGGGTTAGTGGGGGTTGGGGCGCGGACATTTGGACCGCGGGGGATTATTCTGGGGAAATTCAATTCAATGGATGTTGTAAGTTTAGCGCTAGGAAGTAGAAGTGCTGAGAGGGAGGCAATGGAATTGTCGTTGGACGTGGAAATTGGAGACGCGCAAAAAGTTCCATGACGGAACCAGCATCGGCAAATCTTGGCCCCATCTGATCTGAGCGGTACTCGGCAAAACCTTCCTAATGAAGTTTATATATTCATTGCATGTCCATGTCCATAATTGCCATACCCTATTCATACAGAGAACTTGAATCCTCTTCTCACGTCTTCACTTTCTTCCTCGGATCCGCTTCCCCATCTTCTTTTGATTCTCTCGTAGTCTCTTTCCTTTTATTCTGCTGCTCAAACTGGCCCAAGATCCGCATCTTCTTCGTGGGCGACCCAAGCCTCGACCCAGGCGCAGAGCTGGGCATGGCAGATGCCCCAGTGTCCGCGACACTATCGTAGCTCATGTTGTCCTCCAGAAAGTCGTCGCGTTTTCGCTTTCCAGTGATTGGACCACCCCATAAATGGCCGCCCGGACCCTCACGCAACTGTTGGAGGACTATTCCGGAGATGTCGACGTATTGCACCTCGTAGTCATCCTCGTCGACTCTGTCCTCTGATTTCTCGTCCTGTGCATTCGAATCTGGCGCTGGCTCTCCGGTTCCCGGCGCATGCCCTCCTGACCCCTCCTCTTCTTCAAGCTCGTTCCCAGACGTAATACTTCGACGCCTCCGTCCTTTCGCCTCCGGCTCGATGTGCTCATGATCAGCTTTACGCTTCGACTGTTTGCCTTGCGATTCCTCCTCTCCTTCCTTCCCCACCTTCAAAACCTTCGGCTCCGCCTTAACAACCTCCGAACTAGCCTTCCTTTTCATTGTCTGCGGTAGACCTTCACCGTGCCGTTCGTCGTTGCGTGGCTTTGTATATTCCGTGTCCCACCGCTGTTCCGCCAATTGGAATTTTGCCCTAACCATCCACCCATTCAGCTTGCCCACCTGACCTGTCAAACCAATCAAGACGTCCGCAGCTCCGCCCGGCAGACTCGACTGGAGGGATTCGTCAAGGAAAGTGGAGAGCTCGCGCAAGGTCTCGATGTGCTTGTCGAATTTCTAAAGCACCCGCGATCAGTAAGAGGAGGCTTGAATGAGGCGGTGTAGATGCTTTCTCTTACTTTGAGGAACACATCGAGGGACATGGTGGGGAGAGGTAAGAGAGACTGGCTGTCGTTGTTGCTGGGAGGCAGAGAAATTGGCAAATTGGAGCGAAGGAGACGAAATGAACGAAAACGGAATCGGAAAGCTGACCCCGGAATTTACGTAAGCGAGCGCTGAGGATCGACGGAACCATCGGAACATCACATCCTTCGAGTTCAAGAAGTAGAGTGTATTTGTTAGAATTTGTTGCTTGCATCGACTAAGCAGAGTACCATAGCATTAAGGAACGATCTAATATTTCTAAGAAAACAACCTTTACTTTTCATCCCTGTGATGTCGTCATTCATACCTAGGCCTAACCATACACTAAAGAAGCAAAGCCACCAGAGAGAACCTTGCATTACGCACTTCCAAGTCCTTTTGCACCCTTACCAACCCTATCAAGTACATCCTCTAAAATCATCAAGTCCATCTGCGCGTTCTGCACGCCTTCCTCGCCCTCTGCAATTGCTAGCTCACCCCCATCCTTTAAGGCTTCTCTGAACCGACTGACAGCTTGCCTCAGTGGTGCCAAATAAGTCTTCTCCATACTACTAGACTTATGAAGTCCAGCAATATCTAGATTTTCATGCAAAAATTTGGCCGTCAGAAGTAAGTAGTAGAAGTTCAGCGCAGCGAGATAGAAACCGAGCTCCGTGCGGAATTGCATGAAGTTTTCTGAGATCTCCACCGCGGATGCCCAGGACGAGGTGAGGTCTGGGAAGAGAAATGGTGCCGTCGTTGACAGCGCTACCGGGGTCGCAAAGATAGATGACGTGGATTCTTCAGTGGACAAAGAGCTAGATGTTGGGTTTTGAGGAATGTTCGCTTCCAAAGTCTCACCCTTCAACCAACCAACAGCACTTGCTTTGAGATTCTCGTAAGGACAGTGTTCTAGAGTATCGCGGATAAAAGTCAAGCGGATAAGGTCGGATGGATGTGAGCGCAGAATTGTCGAGGTAAGGTAGTGAGCGTGATATCGGAGGCTTGGAGATGGCGTGTTGGCGGATACTAGGGAAAGAGTCTGCAGATATTTCGCAAATGACTCGTCATCAACCGGTTCACCGACATTGTTCTTCTCCACGGCGAGCAAACCAAGACAGAGGATCGTGTCGAGGAGAGCCTCTGGCTCAAGCCCAACCGTCTGCAAGCCAACCGTACCCACGAAGTTGTCGAGGATCGCTGCATGGTCGGGAAATATGGATATTGTAGCACTAGCATCAGGACTTGTAGTTGCGAACAACTCCTGTTTTATATGGCGTGCGGCAAAGAGAAACAGCGACCCGGTCTTAGAAAGTGATATATCTTCAGCAGAACTGGGTGGTTCGTTCTCCTCTCCTGGTATTCCTGGCTTCTCTACCTCCGGGTCCATGAAGGTTCGAAATAAGTCTTGAGTCGAAAGACTCAGGTCTTGAGCTAAGGCAACAATCTGACCTAGAATAGCGGACCTTGCCTTCAAGTCTTCTTCTTGCGCAAACCGCTCTGCATATGTCTTCTTGTTCAGAACGGTCCGCTTGGGTTCACATTTTTCCATCAGCCTGCTTGACCATGCTAAACCAGGCACATCATGGTTGTAGGATATAGATAGGATGTAATCTTCGAGTATATGCGTGATAAACGATTGAAGCAGACGATTTACCAACGTTTCCTCGTCTGGTGTCGGTGGCTCCTTCTGTGCTTCCGGGTCCGGTTCAGAAAATCCGGCACCAGTTTTAAGTGGATTCCCACTGGCAGTTCGCGGAGGGAGATGAGGTCTCTTAGTTCCAGAAAGATTCTTCACAAACTTCGTGGCGGACAGTGTGAGCTCGTCGAGATGATCCTGTGCTTTTCCATATGCTGCGAGGACGGCCTGGAGACTTGTTGAAAGGAACCGACTTGGATACTTCGTTTTGACCCGTTGATGCAGTGTGGAAAGTAGAGAGAGTAAAATCTCAAACTTGAGGACATAGAGAGGGGGTACAACTGGAGCGGGCAGGGCGGGGGATATGCTTGGCTCTCTAGCCTCCACAAGTTCCGTTTTGCTCACGGATGCTGCTGCAGATTCTTCATCAGAATCTTGTTCTAGCGGCTCATCAATCTCAAGCAATCTCAACGCTTCCGTAACCTTCAAAATCACTTCACGTGGATTCCCTTTCGCAGCAATGGTCTGTAAACAGGCCTCCGAAGCAGGCAGGAGGGGGAGTAGGAGGTTAATCAAATCCCACCCAATGTTGACAGTCAGTTCTGTATCCTGCAGAACTTGATGGAGAGTGGACAGATTCTCCTCGGTAAGGTTGTACTCGATGATGGTGAGATAGGTCAGATAGTCTGTCGCGGGCGGAAGTGCCGCTAGAAGAGGGTTATGACGTGTGTCTTCTTCAGCCATTGCCTCCGCCAGACTCTCCACTTAGTAGGTTAGTAGATGAGATTGAAGGGGTGTTGTTGTTCAGTGGGGATCTCATGGCAGGCAGCGAAACCTGGAGCATTGACGCAGTGGCGTTCCTAAATCGGCCTAGCGGGGTTGTCCCACTATGGGGGAAAGCTCGCCAAGACATCCGAAGCTCGACCAAGGGCCTAACACCAACTTCAAGTAATCACAAACTCGGCAACACCACTCTACATTCCGAACACCGCGCCTAGAATGTCCGGCGAGCCAAACAAAGAAGAGAGCGATGACAACGCTGAACCCCTCGACCTAGTCCGTCTCTGCATTGATGAGGTTGTCATCGTTAAGCTTCGCGGCGACCGCGAGTTGAAAGGTCGCCTCTACGTACGTTGGACACCTTGACTCACCGCCTGCTGCGCTGTTACTGACCTTTGGCCTTAGGCATATGACAGCCACTGCAACCTCGTTCTCGGAGATGCCGAAGAGACTATTTACATTACTGATGCCGAAGAAGAGGGAGACAAAGTACGGGTCAGTATTTCAAGATGCGCTGTGAAATGAAACAGACTGACCAGGCGGTAGACGGTGAAAAAGCAATGTGAAATGCTCTTCGTAAGAGGCGACTCAGTTGTTCTCATTGCACCCCTTGAGTCAATTCGGTGATGGTAGCTTTGAGCTATGAATTGGGCATTGCTGCTGGGTTCAGATACCTTCGAAATGGTGGCGCTCAAGAGTACTAAATTAGCGCGAAGTACTTTGGGTTGCTAACATTGTCCAATTTTCAGATGGCAGCGGGGTGGTGGTGTAAAGGTTCTGAACATCGCTTTGATTTGGCGATTATCCAAGTCATACATGTCATAGGGCAGTATACCCACTTCAAAACATAGCAGGTGCCCAGCCAACCCTACTTTGAGAGGCCAGAGGATGCATGAAGACCCTCGAGTAACTGGAGAGATGGGAACACAAATTTACTCCGCAATTTGATTAGTTCTTGATCACTTCAACTTGGTCTCACAATCGAACAACCTCTAGCAGAATGCAAGCATTAATTAACCCTTTTGCTACATACGCAGCGCCGTAAAATTGGCGCTCAGAAAAGTGTTCAACTCCTAGACTCAACGCAAGTCCCACATTGAATAGCCTAGACGCAACCATGCTTGCTCATATACACAAGCCTCTATAGAAACCATCGCTCAGCAAGGCAGAAAGAAGGAAAGAAACCGGACAAGGTTGGCTGGGCATCCACACTACAGTATTACTGCATTCTGGGTGTGGGTGAGGGTGAGATTAAATAAGTGTTGTTGTTCATGACATCGTTTCGTCGTGAAATTGGGCCCGTTCCTGCCGCAAACGCGCTGGGAAATGCAAGAAAGTACAAGGGAGAAGAGGTTATGCGCTACCAGGACTACTCAAGAACTGCCTGCGGTAGGAAGGCTGCTCTGGGTTTCGAGCCGCGCGGCTTTCCAAAGGGGAACTTAGAACTCAGAACGGGAGATGCTGATCGACGGGTCCTCAAAAGGCTGGAAGTCCGGATACGCCGTGTGCATGGAGGAGAACGAGGGTGTAGTTGAGTAAGGTGGGAAGCTGTTGTTCGCAATGCCGCCATAACGCCGAGGGTCCGCAAACAATAGGCAAGAATGGAAGAGATTTGGGTTGTTTGTCGGGCCGGTATGCGACGTCACCTGATGAGACGAAAATATCGCTTCAGTCGGATAAGACACGCCGTAGGAGACATAATAGCTGATGCTCGTTAGTGTGTGTTGAACCTGGGCCCGCAAGTATGCTGTTCACTACTTTCGACGCCAGGTCTGGCTATGACCCGCAAGGCTGTCCCTGGAGACGAAAGGAAGCTGGAAGCCTTTGGAAATTTCGGTCTCGACAAACACTGATGCTCGTTTGTAGCGCTTATCAGTATACTTGTCGTAAACGGCGGCATGATGCTTCTGGGGGTTTTCGCAGCATTCAAGGATTACCGATACCAGTTGTCGAAGTTGCTGTAAGGTATACCCAGAATAATGAACATGCGCCGGAGACTAGCTTCTGTTAGCAGAGGAGAATTAGGCGGCTACAGAAATGCTTACCCAATCACCCTTCTTCAGCATGTAACGAGCCAAGCAGTGTGCTCCAGCGGCGGTGAAGCTAGGAGCGCAGCCGACGAAACGCTCGTCCATGACAGTGATTTCAAGGAAGTACTTTGCCAGCGTGCGGGTCTCAAGATCATAGTCATCAGCCTTACTGATTCTCCGTAGGAAACTCATGGGTCCTGGCCAGCCCAGCTCGAATTGCAGCATGCTCAACATGAACCTCTCAGCCTTCAGAATCTCATCTACGGTATAGGCGCCGTCGACCATATACACAATCTCCTGAACGGACGGACAGTTAATCTCTTCATACTTAGCGGCAACGAACAGCGCCGTCGCGCCAACAAGTTGGAGTTTACCGAGAGAGACGACTTTGCAAGAGAGGAACCGATCCACGTAGTTGACGCTGAGGAACAAGGTCTCTGGCAGGAGAGTGAAGCGGTTATGGACCTGGACAAGCCAGTCCATGAGGACGGAGCGCATCGACCACTGGATTTCGGCCTGATGGTCCATGTACAAAGCATTGGGCTTCATTCGTTCCTGGTTGATGAGTTAGATAGGCATATAGAAGGATTCGGGACTGATTCTTACCTCTAGCTCTTTCATGTAATCAAAGATCTCCTCTCCGTACTCAGCAACCATTGAGGTATCCCACTGTTCATCTTCGACGTCCTCAACGCTCTTGTGAGTTTCAACGTATTTCTTAGCCACCTCGAGCTCGCGCTGCGACTTTGCAGTCACCCTCGGGGCAAGCACAATGGTCACACCTCCAGTGGTATTGTCCCCACGGGACCTCGCTGTAATGTATCCATCGGCCTCGAAGTACTCTTCTTCGTCTTCTTCATCCCAGTATTCTTCTTGATCCAAAGCATGCAGCCCGTTAGATTTGGCGAGTTCCTCATTACGTTCCTGCTCAATAACGCGAGCCTGTTCCTCCAGCGCGTCAAGGTACTCGTACTTATCCTGAACCTCAAGATGAGCGCTCGAGTATTTAGTCTCCATCTCGATCAGGGCGATCTTCTCCTCAATTGGACGCTGTTCAGCCACATTCAAGGGCTGGGACACGAGGTCGAGCGGCTGGTGGTGAGGATTAAGAGCTGGAGCAGGAACCGGGGCATTTTCACGGGAGAGTGCCTTTCCTATCAGCTCAGCAGTGACGACATCTCGCTCCATACTGAGACTCGCGTCGGTATGAAGCACCAGGGGCTGACGCGTTGGCACAGCAGCCACGGCACCATTAGCCTCCGGGATGGGATCGGAATGCGTTTCCTTGAAGATGGTGGTGGCCTTCTTGGACAAGATTTTGCGAATATTCGTCGATTGGAGGTTGGCATCGCCGGTCAGATGCTTCGGCACGGCAGAGGCCACGGTGTGGACTACATTGGTTGTAATTGGCTTCTGTTGAAGGGTCGCCAGAGGACGCTGAGCAGGCCGCAGAAGCGCAGCCGGCTTCGTGAACTCCTTAGCCGTCACAATGGAAGGATCTTTGAGAACATCGAGCGCATTCGCCTTGCCGGGAATCTGCATATCATCCTTGACTACCGGCTGTCTAACGGTATTGCTGACATCTGCAAAGACAGTCCGCTTTGCAGCAGCGGTCTTGATGCCTCCAACCTGCATGAGGGTCGAGAGAGCTGGCGTCGATTTGTTCCGTTGATGAATCGTCTTTCCAGCGGGGGGCTGCGGCGGCGCGTTCTCGTCGCGGATGCGCAAAGCACGCATTGGCCGTTGGGGCTGCGCAAAAATCTGTTAGAGAACGGTGAAAGCGCAATTGCTGACGTGACGAGACGTATCTACGAACAAGCCGAAGACCAGACGGCATGGCCAAGACGGAACGACTAGGGAAAGGTTTCGCAGGTGAAGGAGACATGGGGACAAAGACTCACCTTTGCATCCATTGTGATATCTATGGGCCGATTGAATATGTCTCAAAAGCTCGCGGACGGTGACCTCTACTGGAAAAGGAGAGTGAGGCTGGGAGCTGGGGAAGCGGTCGAGGTCGACGCGTTGGAAACAAAGGCCGCGTTAAAAGAAACTCTCCATCTAAGTTGGGTTCGAAGAAATGCACGGCGAAATCGACGGCGACACGAGGTGGGTGATGTGTGTTGACAACAACGGCTCGGGCTGGAGAGATATACCTTGCCGGTGGATGTTTTCGCGAGTTGTTTTGGAAGTCGGGAGGTCCCTAGGCCGCTTCGGGGCTAGTCTGTTTCGCCGCTCTAACGCTCGGCTGGGTTCGTTGTCATGGGCGACGCACGTCATCGCTGTCGCGTTGTCCTCAAGAACCTCGAAAAGTTAGCTTCTGAGCGCATTCCAACCACACAATCCCGAATAAACCCAATATTTCATCTTGCGATATTAGGAGGCCTCAGATGGTATTACGGAGTTTATTGGCCCATTTTCCCAATATACATCCTATATTTGAGCGATCCCCAAGGAACGCGACCAATCCCGTTGCCAAGCCCCGAAACCCACACGCTTCGACGCCCGTTCACGTGCTCCCTCATTATGTACCATCAACCTCTCCTTTTGCTACAAAACACCATCAATCGCCATACCAACCAGTCGGGGGTATTTTCCAGGAAGCCTCCGATCCCTGTATTGCGGTCGCGCTTCCATCGGTGATCCCTCATTGACGGGACTGGCCAGCCAGCCCGCTGCCTATCAATTCAAGGCACTGCCACCGGTTTCAAACTCACCGACTACAGCTCCCGTTCGCATTTGCCCCGCTAGTCCTATAGAGTGGCCCTGATGGGAGCTTTAGTGTCTTTGGGAGGTTTGTCTGTCACCAGAGTTGGCTTTAGGCTTTGCCTGTCGCTTGCTTCGTCTTCCCTGGCAGGCCCAGCGAAGGCCGAGGGCTTCACCGACAACATCCGTGGTCGCGGTGACGAGATCACGCTGCGCCCGCAGTCAAACCACCTTATGACCGAATGCGCCAGAACATCTCCACATGACAGTTGCATGCGCAGCGCGGACAACTAAGAGCGCTGGTCGATCCCCTGATAGCTGTCCCTAGACTCTAAATTAATTATCCATTATCTCTGAATGTACAACATGGGAGCAATTCCGTTCTCCGTATGTAGCTCCAGCTGAGCTCGTTCTTCAATGCAGAGTCGGGTGCTCAAGGGAGGACAGGTACCAGCTCGCAATTAGGAGCGCGGCAAAGTTCAGTAATTCTCTGCGAAACGGTTTGGTGCCTGGACTGTGAATTGAGGCCGCGCGAACCGTTTCCCTTGGGAAGGAGGATGTTTGGGATTGAGCGTAACACGGACATTTCTCCAATAGACGCCGCCCATGAATACCAACCAATTCGAAGCGCTTCCCCCAAGATGTGTGAGACCAGCTTTCTCCGCTTGCTAATAATACTAATTGCTATAGGCGATCCAGAAACAATGGTTTACGAGACAGCAGAAGAACATTAGGGATGGATGAGGCGGGTATCAGGGTGCTCGTTTGGCCCACATGCGATGAATGCGCTCGGCCAACAAGAGGCTGCGCATCAGCTTATTGGCCTAGTCAAAGTGTATTGAGAGTGACAGTGAGAAGCAGATATCGGTCCATTTCAGCGGGTTTTTTGTCTGTTGCCATGGAGCTTGTCTGCGGCATGCATTCGTAGTCGTTGAGATCATTGGTTGCAGAGATATGCGCCGGGTTCTGGTTCAGTTTCGACCTCGAGTGGCATGCACCAAAGGCAATTCTGGGCTACTAGGGTTTGTTTTGCGTGCGTATCCGGCTACAATGCATCTTTTAACCCGTAATTTCGTATCCATCTGAGTGTCGACTCTTAGGTGCTGGACGTTTGATAGAGGCGCTTTTTGGGTATGCGCTTGATGCAGGCACGAGAGCGTGAGGTTGCGCCTGCGCAGGAGGATTGCCACTCTGCATTTTCGAAACCTGGATTGAAATCGCCTGGCGACCCAGATAGCGCAGTGTGCATCTACGATTTGCGTGTGGCTTTGTATTGCTACTTAGAGAGGGCTTGGTGTGTTGGTCAGGCCTCTGCAGGCTTCGTCTAACTTCGATTCTCAACGCTGTACTCCTCACTCCTCCACCACACACACATCCAGTGGCCAGCACCCACACTCGCTCGTAAGTCCCCAACCTGGCTTCAACACACCAGCGACTCTTAGAGAATGCGCCTGAGCCTTCTCATCGTCACCTTTCATTCTTGCACCTGCGGTCGCTGACCTGACTGCTCCCCAGTGCAGCGGGCGCACACGGAAACAGGACGCAGCCCACATCCAGCGCTCATCTGACCTCCCAGGACCGACTGCCGGTACGTATGTCTTTCATCGGACTCATGCGACCCTATCCATGGCCATCAAGCCCCTCGACGGCTCTTCGCCCGAGCTGTTGCGTTGTCGTTGCTTGAACTTGGCTGCGGGTCCATCCAACCCCCCGACGTCGCCCATGACGACCCATTCCCAACACCATTTGGCCTTTTCGGGTCTCTTCGAGAAGCATTGAGCCATTCCCACTTCATCGTTGTGGTTTCGTAGCTAACGTCTTTTCCCACAGACTTGATTTCCGGTCTTCCCCTTCCAGCCGCCTTCGCCCACCGACGAGCCCTTGCGACACCGGCGGGATCGGTGTGTCGAGCAACGTTAGCATACTGATCCTCATCGAAGACGATCCTGGAATTTATCAGGTGTGATAAGCAAATTGGAAATGCAGGTTTCCAGTCTGCTCACCCAGAATCTAGCGTCAGGCACTCGGTGCTCTCCAGGATCTACTGAGGCCATCCCAACCATCCGTCAGTACAACACGAGGCAAAACGGACCCGCACACAACATGCAGCCCCAAGCAGCCGACATTACCATGTCTGAGGTCTACCCCAGCACGGAAACTTCTCTTGCGCCAGACGCGCTCTCGTCCTTGCGGTCCTCGGAGCCCAAGCATGTCAGTTTCGAACTGTTCCTCCCCGAGGCCCCGCAGCATCGGGCTCGCCTCCCTATGCGGGTGAACATCTTCCCCCACGATACAACCGATTCAATAATTACGACAGTGAAGAACTTCTATGGTCTCTATGAACGAAGGGGTGTCATATTCCAAGACCACCATGGCACTACTCTCATTGCGCGCTATGAGAATTTCACTCACAATATGGTCGTCTATGTTCGCGTGGCAGACGAGGATCCTGAGATGGAGGGCTACTCTCCAGGACCACGAGAGTCGATGTCTCCACGTCGACCTCGCCTTGAGGAACCCTTCCAGATGCTACCACCCTCGAACCACCACCAGCAAACGTTGAAGCTAGAATCTCACACCGCAGGACGACAAAGTAACTCGCCTCAACCAGGACGCGGGCGTCGTAGCGCCTCGGTCAACACCAACACAAAACCGCGCGCCCGACCTGCCCCAAAGAGTCGCGGAACGAGTTCACACGGCAGCTTTGCAGATCCCAATGGAGACATCAATACCTACAGCGACAGCGACGGTGGCAATGCTTCTGTCACCAGCTCTCGCCGTGGAAGAAAGGAGCAGGTTGCTAGTGCCGAAATTAGTCTTGACAATATTGTCGAAGGCGGGCGTCGTAAGCGGGCCAAGTTTGACAGTTCTGTGAGTATCTTCCTTACGTCGAAGCGTGTGTTGAAATATGCTTCTAACACGCGCTTCTCTTACAGGAGCTACCGCTTTTTGTTCCTCCCCAGGTTCCTATGACTGCTTCACTCTCGTCCATCTCCCCACAGAGACGAGTGAGCAGTCACAACGGCGCCTCTCCCTACTACAGCAACCAGCAAACCTTCGCATACCCTCACCCCCTTCCATCTCCTCAGAGCTTTGGTCAAGGAGATATTTCTTGGACAAATGGCTTGACTACTCCCTACTCGAATTCGAGTGGCCAAGCGCAGGGGTACAGGTCTCGCACACGTGGCTCGGCTCAATACGTTCCATATCGTCAAACCGGGAACACAGGCCTAGTTCTGCCGACTCCTGACCCTACTATTGGTAGCGTCATCTCTGACGAGGATGTTGCGCGCCAGTTGATGCGTCTTGGCGATGCGTCTAATTTTTCTTCCCACGGACGGACTTCAACGTCCACCCTTGACGATGCTTTGAGTGGGAAGGCAGAAGCCGCCTCCTCCAGCGATGAGAGCGATGAGGGCAGTGATGACGACGAACAAGACTTGCCTCCCTTGCCCTATCCTCTGGGGCGTAGTGATGGAATCAACGGTGAGGCAGCTCCAACTTTTGACAGTGGCGACACGAGCGGCGAGGAATATGAGGACAACAGGGACGATTCCTTCAAGGGCGAGAGCGACGAGGTGATTCCTGATGAGCATCAAGGCCAGCAACCACATCCGCTTGCTGTGAAGGCCCGTTCTTCCATTTCTAGCAAGGGCAGCAAGCCTCCCAAATCTCGTTCAGTGTCGAAGGGCAAGGGGAAACCGGGTGGTCCCTCCAAACAGCCTATATCTCCCGCCTCCTTGCCTCCTCAGTCGCGCAAAGCCTCTAGCGCTTCCGTTAACTTCCAGCATCAGTTGGGTGCAGACGAAGAGGACCTGTCCAGCAAACCTCGCTGCCAGCGATGCCGCAAGAGTAAGAAGGGATGCGACCGCCAACGCCCTTGCCAGCGCTGCAAAGATGCTGGTATTGGCATTGAGGGGTGCATTAGCGAAGACGAAGGAAATGGCAGGAAGGGACGATATGGCCGCCATATGGGTGTTCCAGTCAAGAAAAACCAAATGGACCCGCCTCCAACCCCTGACAATAGTATTTCCACCGGGGTCACCACGTATACCACTCTTGCAAATGGTGCGATTGAAAAAGGCAAGAAACGGAAAAGGTAGAAGATTCCAGGCTCGTTTCGATGTTGAGGAGTTACACAGTACACCTTCAGGTACACCTTACCGGGCCCTCAAATTTTTTTTAATCCCACATGGTAATGTGACATTTATCTAGGTGTCTTGGAGTAAAGGGCGAGTTTTCGGGGGTTGATGTCCTAATGATGCTCCTATTTCCATGTCGTATTTTGCAATGTTACACCAAATTGGGCTTTCTCTTTCCTCTGTGATCTCCCAAAGATTCAGGATTAGGGGCAATGTTGGATTAGCGTTGTGGGAAGGCTGTCTCCCGTTCCGCTCCTTTGCCTATTTTCTTCTCCGAAAAGCTTTCTTCCAGGTTGAGTTCTTCCAAGATAAGGTTTAGTGTGTGGTTGTCTGTTTCTTTGTTGAGAGGCATGATGGTTTCAAATTGAAGCAATGCTCTCTTTCCAGTTGGGCAGATCGGGGCACAGGAAGGGAATTCAAGGGGCTGGTGGGTTCGGGTGCTAGGGGAGGGTCTCGCGGATTCTTGTCAGTTCTGATAGTCTGAGATGGACGTCTGTTGCACTGGTGTTTTGGGGGTGTAGCGATATTCTTCTTACGATATCAATGACTATCTATTTCAAAACATTTCCCAGTATCCCATCATGGTAGTCATCCTTAGGGACATGTGCTAGAGCATATGTGACAGAAGGGGGAAAGACCCTAGTTTAGGACAGAAATCAGCATCCCATTGCGAACTACTGAAGCCAGGATTGGCCAATCAGCAGGGGGCTACGCCACACCCAGCCTCAAGCATCGGGCTCGATCCTGAATCCTTCAGGCCTTGTTAGATATTACCTTGCACACCACAGCCCGCCTCTGGCAGCGTCTTACAGCAGGGGATGCCAGGCTGCGCCCTGATTCCCGACGTTCCTTCCTCCTCGCTCATCTCTCTCCGACCCTCTCGCTCGACATTGAATCACCTTCAACCGCCTCCCATCCTTACAAGATGGAAGAACCACCAGCCAGCTCCGTGTCGTCAATCAAGTCTCGTATTGCAGCCTTGAACTTGGAGGAAGTCCACGCCCCAGCTCCGGGCACACGCCCAGCCTATCGCTACGAGCAAGCCGCGCCAAAGAAAAAGCCACCACCGCCTCCTCCCCCATCGCAGAGACCTCCCCCCCAGCAGAGACATCAAACCGTCAACAACCCTCCGATTTTTAGCAATGCTCCTACCTCAGTCCGACAACCAGGAAATCAGCCTATTGCTGCCAAACCAGATACCCCAAAGATCCAGCCCGCTCTTCCTCCACGACTACCTCCCCGCACCTCTTCAACCTCGTCTCAACAAGCACCGGTCTTACCTCCTCGAAAGTCCCCAGAAAACAGTATCAAAAGGCGAGATTCTACTGAGTCTGTATCTACGATAGCGTCAGGCCGATCTACATGGTCGGTCGGCTCCGCCAAGACAAACCTGAGTGGTGCATCAGGCAATGCATCACTTCATCAAGTTCGAGCACCGTTGTACGATCCTTCCAAGCTCCCTCCTCTTCCGCCTAAGAAAGCGCCTGATGAACCAACACCAATTCGTGCCGCCTTAAAATCAACCAAGTCCTCACCCAACGTCGTGCCAGACAGGAAATTACCTCCGATTTTACCCTCCAGGCCTCCTCTACCGGCAAGACAAGATTCTACATCCCAAGAACATGCACAACCAAACAAGGCACAAATTATTCTACCCCCAAGACGCCCTGCGCTCTCGTTTGGACTGAATAAATCCACAGAAGGCCCTCCACCTACTTCCGCAAACAGACCTTTGGAACATGGAACTCCAGCACCAGGACCGCCTCCACCTATCCCGCTTGCGTCTCGCCCTAATCTGGATCAAATCATGGCATCAAAGCCGAAGCCTTCTGCGACGACCTCATGCCTCAAGTGCCGTGATTTTTCCGGGCCGGACAACCACGCTGCGCAATATTCTCGTCAGAATCTGCCATCATCCGATGTTACTTGGCTAGCGACCCAACTTACCTCTCCATTCCCTTCCCTCACCGATAAAGCACGCGCCATCTTCACGTGGCTACATCACAACGTAGAATACGATACTCACTCTTACTTCGGTGGGACGATCTCTGGGACTACTCCAGAACGGACGATCACAACCGGTCTAGCAGTATGTGATGGCTATGCTGGTCTTTTTGCCACTCTAGCGCTCAAGTCCGGTTTGGAGAGTGTAAAAATATCTGGCCATGGAAAAGGCTATGGACACCATCCTCTCGATCCAGGAGCATCCATTCCACAATACAGCATGAACCACGCATGGAATGCTGTCCGTATCGACAACGGGGAGTGGAAACTGATTGACGCATGTTGGGGTGCTGGGAACGTCAAAGGTCCGTCTGACCCATACGAGAAATGCTTTAAGCCACAGTGGTTTACCATGGACAACAACGAGTTTGGTTGCAGTCATTTCCCACCAGACAATTCGCAGCTCTTCCGCACTGATGTCCGGGCGTTCACTTGGGAGGATTACATGCTTGAAGACGTAGGCGAGCGTCTTACTGTCTATACTCCCGCGACGACAGACCATGGCCTTGGGGAGCGGACCTTCCAGCCCGCTGCCAAGCATATCAAGTTATACGACCCTCAAAGTGGGCCGACGATTAGATTCTCGTTCGCCAGTGTCTGCCCTCATTGGGACAACGAGAAGCATGGTAAAGGCAAGCCGTACGTTATGGTACTCCACATCGGCGGTAGGGATGGCAGGAAGACGGATTGGGTACCTTTCCAAACCGACGGAAAGGTGTTTTGGCTGGACGTAAACAGGACGGATCTTGGTGCCCCCGGTCAAAAAGTGAGCGTCTTTGCCGTGACCTCGTTCAACGGGCGAGACGGGCGCGGTCTCAGTTATCCGGAATTTAAGTCCAAAAAGGGCAAAACGGCAATGGGCTTCGGTGGCGTTGCTATGTGGGAACTGGTTTGACATATGGGTATACGGCCATGCATAGGGATGGATGGGATACCCCCGGGATCTAATAGGCGGTTGTTAAAATTATTTTTCCAACTTTCACGGAACCGCCTACTGGCGCAATAATTGGAGTACAAAGTACTTTGATCTATCAACCTCTGTATTAGAACAATGGAGGCTGTCAGTAAAGCAGTATTTCGTCAGAAATAAACGGTGATATTTAGCGCTCCTCTTTGATTGCAGTGAATGCTCTACAGGTATTACTGCTCACAAAGTGAAGGAAGCAATCTCAAGGGAAGCGAGGTCTGTGCTCGAAGTGCGCCAAGACCTCTGGACACCACTTGCGTGAACAACAAAAACATCACACACCTCCTGCGACATGCTCCAGGAAATCTGATCGACGTTTTTTAAGCGACTATGGCTTCGAGTCTTATTGGAATATCTGTCATTATAACTCTCAAAAACCCGCCTAATACCCTCCTGACAGGCATCGTCGCAGCAGTAAATCCTCAGACCTCAACCTTGACACTTCAGGATGGTAGGCCAGATGCTTCAAAATGTCTGCAATTGCGCTTTCTAATTTGGGTTGTTACAGTCTTCGTCCCAGCGACGGGTCATCGGCTTCCCTCCTGCAACGTAGAGGGGCACGCGATTGCTGACATTAAAGTCGATTCACCTCCTCCTGCGCCCGTCCCTCATCCAGAACCAAACCACCCTCCGCAGCTTCACAACCAGCCGTCCTACCCTCAATATCACCAGCATGTGCCGTCAGCCACCCCACAATCCCGGCAACCGCCAGAGCCATTTGTCGACCCTGCCATTCTCAGCATGAGCAAGAGGACCTCAGTGGCCCCGCCGTCGAACCAACCTGTCGCATCTGTACCCCAAGAAGCACCAGCTACTCCGATAAAACCAATCTCGACCGCTACTGCTGCTCCCTTACCATCAAATACATCTCCTTTCGTGGGACTAGCCAAAGAGCGCACCATAAGGAAACCAAGTGCAGCAACGCTTGAAGGGCCATTCTCATCACTTGATATCGCTGATGCTGGTGAGCCAGATACCGACGACATCAAAGGTCAGGAGATATCCGCTCGAAGAGCCAGCGTTACTAAGACTAGAACTGGAAAGCCAATGGAAGACTCAAATACGCCATCCCGAAAAGCAGAGGATGTCACAGTGAAGAATGAGGAGTCATGGAAGCGCACAAGACGTGGAGGCAAGGCACGAAGAAAAGAAGTTGCTGCGCAGGAGAGGCGCAATGGTGCAGATGTCAACTCTTCACCCGAAACTGCTCGCAAAAAGTAGGAAATCACTCTACTTCTATCACATTTTAACTAATTTGCTCACATTAAAGCAGGAAGGGGACTGGGTGGCGAGAGACGCCTATCCTTCAAGATCCAGAGCAGCAACAAGTTAGAACTCCCGGCGTCATTGGTGGGAAAGTCGGGATGGAAGCAGTACATTCAGCAAATCGTAAATCAAGACGCCAAAGAGCGCTTGAAGCTAAGAATGGGTGGGCCACTGAAGATGCAACTGACATTCAAGAACTCCCTGAATTTGATTTTGCCGAGAATCTTTCGAAATTTGATAAACGTTCAGTTTTTGACCAGATTAGGAATGAGGACACGACTGCGGATGAAGACCGGCTTGTTAGTTTCAATCGCTTGGCCAGGCCAGGCACTCAGGGAGGAAAGAACCTACACCCGACAGAGAATGTTCTTGATAGCCGGCGTCTTAAGAGCGCATCGAATACCAGCACTGAGGAAGACTTATCTGATTTCGGAAGCGGACGCAATTCCCGGCGAGCAATGTCCCGCGCCTCGATCAAGCGGATCCCGACTCGACAAGGAAGTGGCGTTCATGCGGATGTTGACACTCAGAGTCATTCCGGTGCACCACCGAGCCTGGTTGCTCGTTCCGGACGTTCATACATTAATCGCCCATACGCTTCGTCTTCACATGCAACTGGGAGCCCAAAACCGGGTCGAATCACCACTCCACCAGAGTCTCCGTCACTTGAGCCAACTGCACCACAATCGTGTTTTCGACTCGTTCATAGCAACAGAAAGTGCCATACCATTACTCCTGGTAGCATGCTCGCAGTTGAAGAGATTGCAGAGGTCGAGTTTGGTCTAACTGAAGACATGATGGCAGAGAACGCGGGCCGAGGAATTGCTGAAGTCGCACTCTCTGCGATCAATCCTGGTGGTCGACGTCTTGCTCGCGATAATCACAATACCCGCCCAGTCATCGTCATTTTGGCAGGCAATCATCGGGGTGGTGCTAGAGCAATTGCAGCGGCTCGACATTTGCTCATGCGGGGACCTAAAGTCATTGTGGCCTTGCTTGGCTATGAGCGAAGTGCAGACTGGGATCGCGATGTTAGGCGCCAAGTCAACATCTTCAAGAAATCCCATGGGTTTGTTCGCGCATGGCCCGATATCGAGGACAACTTAAAGCGGCAGCAAGCCCCGCCAGAACTCATTATCGACGCGCTTCTCGGACGGCACAAAGAGTTCGACGCGCTTGGAGACGAGGACAGGCGGACCGTTCTTACCGTCGTGGGCTGGGCAAATAAGTCTCGTGCAGCTGTTCTCGCCGTTGAAACCCCGTCTGGAGTTGGCGGTTCCACGGGCGAGGTGGCTATCTTGGAGGGCGAGCCACTCGAAATCCGAGCAAAACACATTGTGTGTCTCGGTTTGCCTAGGACTGGTCTACTCAAAGCTCTGCAGAATGGAGCAGGACGAGACCCACAATGGTTGATCTGGGTTGTCGATATCGGGGTCAATCAACCTTGGAAAACTGCTGGTGGCGGTGGAAAAATGGTCAAGTTTGGCGAGAATTGGGTTGTGCAAGTTCGCTTCTCGGAAGAGATTGAGAATGATGGTGTTCGAGCTTGAAGGTAAAACATGGGCGAGAAGATTTGTAAACGGTCATCTTGGCATTGCGATTGGCGTTTCTTCACACGATGCATGGGTAATAAGCGATGGGGGACGGGTTTTCTACAAAAGCGCAGCACGGGATGTGCTAAAGGGGCTGGAAAGGTATGGACAGGGCCCAAGTATGTTTACGTACGACACGACCAAAGTAATGAAGACATATACCAAGCTCGAGCCCCCAGCCTTCATAGACGACTCAATGTTGTCCTCTTGGTACGATATGCTGAATCTTAAGGATCCGTAGTGTTCTGAGAACTAATTAGCTCAAACCTCAACCCAGTCTTGCCGAAGCCAAGCCTCGCTTACCACATCTCCTCCGCTTCCGAAATCCCTTCCGACTTCCGAGACGTGTTGGCGGTTGTGGCTGGTAAGACAAGCCCGATACGACCAATATTCGTGTCTCACTCTCACTTACGCTCCCGTCGCACAGCACATCCGAGGATAAACAAGCAAGGCATTCAATCCCCTAAGCACATGGGCTCTCACTTATAGGCCTGCAGCCATCTCAGAGATTCGGCGGCAAAGTACCACAAAGATGAACGGCATCCTCCACCGCTACACTCCCCGTCTCGTCGCTTTCGAGCACATCCCTCCCAATCTCTCCTCCAACTCCAACCCCTCACCAGCCACCGCTACACCCAAAAACTTCATCCTCTTCATCGGCGGCCTCGGCGACGGCCTCTTAACCATCTCATACCCATCCACTCTCGCCCACCACGTCCCCACGGACTGGACCGTCGTCGAAGTCCTGACGAGCTCGAGCTATAAGGGCTGGGGAACGGGGAGTCTGGACAGAGATGTGAGAGAGTTGGGACGGTGTGTGGGGTATTTTCGGGACGTGCAGGCAGGGACGGAGAATGGAGGGAAAGGAGGGAAAATTGTGCTGATGGGTCACTCCACCGGATGTCAAGATATTATGGCCTACCTCACCTCCTCCTCCCCCTCCTCCTCCTCCTCTCATCCCCGTCCAGCAATTGACGGCGCGATCCTCCAAGGTGCCGTCAGCGATCGCGAAGGCATCAAAGCCGCCATCTCCCCAGATACATACTCCACCATCGTCACACTAGCCAGATCCTATATCTCCCAAAACAAAGCTTCCGACATCCTCCCCCAAAATCCCCTCAGTAAACTCTTCGGCGCAAGCATGACTCCCACCCGTGCACTTTCACTTCTCTCTCCTGATCACGACGGCGACGACGACTATTTTAGCTCAGATCTTAGTGAAGCCCAGATCGCCGAGACATTTGGTAGGATTCCGGCGCGTACGCCGGCCATGTTTTTGTTGAGTGGCGAGGATCAGTTTACCCCGGGTTTTGTAGATAAAGCGGCATTGCTGACAAGGTGGACAGAGATGGTGAGGAAAGGGGGTGGGGTTGTGGATAGCGTGAACGGAGGCGTGGTGAGAGGAGCGAGTCATAATTTGAATGGGGATGGGGAGGATGTTGTTATGGATCTTGTGGGCAGGGTTGTGCGGTTTGTGAATGGTCTAGAATTAGGGGAGATCGGGAAGGTGGGGGGTGGTGGGAGATTGTAAGTTTTCAATAGGATTCAAAGAATTTGAGAACGAGTTTACTTTTTCACAAGGGAGATGATGAGAGTGAAGTCAAGCATAAGAAGGAGAACAAGAAGATGACGAAGGGACTTATCACAGAAGTTGAGGAGCATAGGTATGAAAAGACCGGTATGTATGAGGATGGGGATGTGGAGATTGAGATAGAGCAGGTAAAAATCAACTGGAAGAAGGAAGATGACCAGGAAGAGGGGGTCTTTGGTTGCATGAAGGCTGGTTGGCTTGTTTGAAATGGTGTTCGGTGACTCTTACGTATCGCATGCGCTATTCTGCGGAGCTACTTCACGCCAGCCAAGAGCGCAGAGCTTGGCGGCTGTAAAAAGATGGGAGAGCAGGCAGTCTGGTGAAGCGAATTCCTGAGGAGCCAATGTACAATATAGCGTAGTAGCTAGGAATCAAAGCATTATCATAGACGAGTCTGTCTTTACTTCAGTTCGTTCATACATTGCCTAAGGATATCCTCCCAATAACAGCCGTCCAGATCCCATCATACCCGACCCACTACGGATAAGCTTGTCGTCATGCGAAAGGAAAGCACGAACCCGAAAAAAGGCACACCAAGAGAAATACTAGGCTCCTCAGATCTATTGCGAGGATCCACCAGAAATGGTGATGACTTGGCCTATGGTAGCAATTAGAATGGCACACACTCCTGAGAGCGGAGATTGGGGACTTTTCTTACCGTTTATCCACCCACCATCCTCACTCGCCAAGAACGCAACCACCCTCGCAACATCCTCAGGAACCGCACACCGTCCTAATGGACAGTGATCCGCCATCAGCGTCTCGATCTTGGCAGCCGGCCACTCAGGGGTTCCGCCAGGAATATAATGCCATGCGTTTTGCGTGAACATGTCGCTCTTGATACCACCCGGAGCCACACCGTTCACCGTAACCCCACGCTTTCCGAAATCGGTAGCAAATGACTTGATCATGCCAATGACAGCCATCTTTGATGCATTGTACAGTGCGTGGTCTTTGACGCCCAGCAAACCGGCGGCAATCGAAGACATCAAGATGATGCGGCCGTTGTCTTCGATATTCTTATACGCAGCTTGACCGACGAAGAACTGTGCTCGTGCGTTCAGGTTGAAAACGTGATCATACTTCTCCTCGGTGATCTCCTCTGTTTTGTCCCAGCTCTCGGTCCCGCTATTGCTCATCACAATGTCGATCTTGCCAAACGCTTTCTTCGCCTCGGCAAAGAGTCTGTTGATCTCAGGGACTTTAGAGACGTCGGCTTGGATGGAGATGGCTTTCGCTCCGTTGTCAAAGCCTTCGATGATTTTGCATACTTCTTCAGCAGGGCCTTTGGAAGAGACGTAGTTTATGACAACGGAGGCACCGCGTTTGCCAAGCTCAATGGCGCAGCCTCGACCGATACCGCGGCCAGCGCCAGTGACGAGGGCGACTTTGCCTTCGAGGGACGCGGTAGGGATGTTGATGACCATTTTGGAAGATAAGAAATGCGTCACGTGGTGTAGTTGAGGTGAAGCGTGGATGGTTCAGAGTTGCCGGATAACTTTAAATTCAAGATAAAAGACAAAGCAAGATAAATAAGGGCAAGAATATTGCAGGAATGAACTCGACTTATTCTAATTCAACTAAACAAACACTGGGACGTTGAAGTGATGGTGACTATATAAATCCACAACAAATATGTTTTGTTTCGGTATAGCCCCATTGGCGGACGGGTGGGGATCCGACGTCGGCATCTTCTGCTCGCAGCCGCATCCGCAGCGGGCATTTGGCAGCGCCGCAGACGTTTTGACAGACAATTGATTTAGAGAGAGCCTTGCAGGTTGGGTTCCATCGGTGCCGGAGTGTTTAAACCGGGCGGCAATCGTGGTGGCTGTTGCGGAGAGGCGATCGGAAGGGAGGGGGTGACAGGGCTCGGAGATGTTTGAAGGCGCCTCGGATGGTCTTTGTGTCATGTCAACTTAACTTAGCCTTTGTCTTGCGGAGATATCTTAGAGATGAGACAAGATTAAGTTTGTGGAACAAGGCGGTCGGTTGCGTGCTGGAGGGACCTCTGCTCCTATTCCCACACTGTGGACGCGAAGGGCGATCGACAGTCAGACAGGCGCAGGTACAGTACCTGCTCTGTACCTGCTCTCTTTAAAAGGATGATGCGCAGGGTGTAGCGACATGTATCGAGTGTTGCTAGTGGAAGTGCTTATAGACCACACTCCACACTGGTGACGGCGATAGCGATGTCGGTGGTCTAGGTCTCGGCTCAACTGGATGAGGAGGGAGATAAAACCCACCAGCACCATGGCTTTATCGATAACGGGGGGTACGCAATGTGGGCGAAATTGTCATCACCGCGAGGTCTCTTGCTTCACCACAAATTCCGAGCCACCTTCTTGCAGCGTTCCACAATGCATATCCTCGTGAGCCTCCCTCTCCATGTCCCCGGCCCCTTCTTTGCCCTCCTAATTGGCTTATTTTCAGATCACCAACGACGACGGCCCGCCCTCGGATCAATCCTCACCATACGTGCACTCTCTAGGTCTCTCGCCTCACCCCTTTTACCTCATACCTCACACCTCGTACCTTATACCTTACACCTTACACCTCACACCTTACACCTCAAACCTCACATCTCACACCTCCGACCCTCTTCGAACCCCTAACTAACCCAATTCCCTAGTATCATCCCTCCAATCAGCCGGCCACACCGTCTCCGTCGTCCTCCCACACACCCAACGCTCCTGGATCGGCAAAGCGCACCTCGTCGGAAAATCCGTCAAACCATCCTACTTCCGACCGTCCCCTCTAACCACCCAAAACGGGCGCCTCTCCAACAGCGGTACCATCTCCACGCGTCCACTTCCCGAAGACTCTCTCGACGAAGAATGGATCCTCGTGGACAGTACCCCCGCGTCCTGCGTCCAGATCGGCCTGTTCCACCCGTTCAAAGCGCGCGGTCCTATCGATCTCGTCGTCAGCGGGCCGAACTACGGTCGTAACAGCACCGCAGTGTTTAGTCTTAGTAGCGGGACAATAGGCGGCGCGATGGAAGCCGCAGTGTGTGGTGTTAAAGCTATAGCACTGTCATACGCCTTCTTCGACCGTAACCATGATCCCGAAATAATCCAAGGCGCGTCCGCTCTCTCTGTAAAACTAATCAACCATCTGTACAAGCACTGGGACGAGAACACGCATCTGTATTCCGTCAACGTGCCGCTAGTCGAAAACGTCGAGAGCCAGAAGATCCTGTATACCGAGATGCTGCAGAACACTTGGCGATCTGGCTCGTGTTTTCAGGTGATCCAGGTGCCTGAGGAAGAAGACCAAGGTGCTGAAGAAGTTGAGGCTGCTATGCGGAAAGCGGAGCAGAAGCTTGGGCGGAAAGAGCAGGGACGGGAAGGGACTGAAAGTGGGTATGATACTCCGACTGGACAAGGGCATATTAGATACACACACACCCACTACAAGTGGGCGCCAAGGTTCAAGGATGTCTATCAAAGCGTCGAGGAGAGCGAGCCGGGGAATGATGGGTGGGCTGTTGCTCAAGGGTATACCAGTGTGACGCCGTTGCGGGCAAATTTCATGCATGCCCACGGTTTCGAAGGGGAGATTAAGCTGGACGACTGATGCGAGGATCTGACAAAGTGTAGAGAATATCAAAAAGGCATCCTTCGCCAGATCTTCCCGAAATTCTGGTGTGATGTGAATCCTATTCATAGCCGAGTTTATCACTCTGATGCATCCCAAAAAATACTCATCAATATCCCCAAAGTCGATGAGCCGTCAGCCCGCCTGGTTATGGTCCCACTAATAAACCTGTCCACAAGATTGAGTAGAGACATGAACCCTGCTTACCAACATACTAATATCAATACCCTCACTCATCACCCACAAACTTCTGCTCATATGTACTCCCCTTGATAGTCCCAAACATACTCTTCTTGACCGTCTTCAGTCCCGCCTGTTCGGCTCTCGACAAGCTACTATAAAAGCTTCGAACCTTCTCATGAGCAATAACCTTTTTAGGATCAAACCTCAAGACTTGCAAACCGCCCATACTAGTAGCTCTTGACAACGCGACATATGCCTGTCCTTTCTCAAACACCTTTCCTAGATCAACTCTCACACGTTCCAATGTCTGGCCCTGAGCCTTGTGAATAGACAGCGCCCAAGCCAGAATGAGCGGGATCTGGTCTCTGCTAGCCTGCACTTCTCCGTTCGGAAGCTCGACTTTCCAGCTCTCGCGTTTGCAGTGCAGATCGCGTGTAGTGCCGTCTGCGATCTGGAAGCGTACGACTGGGTATACTTGTTGTGTGTTGACACCTAGTAATGCTGCTTTCTGGTGTGCCCGCATTTCGAGTTCCGTGGGACCTTCATTTTCACTGTTGGCGTTGCCCTCGAGGAAGGCCTGCTCGTTGTCTCTATACAGCGCGAACATCTGGTCGGTCATGAAGCCTGTGACCCGGCCTAATGACCCGTTGACTAACGTCTCGTCCATGTTCTTGATCAACATAACTTGCGCCCCCTTCTTTAGATGCACGGTTTCGGGGGCAATGCAGTTTTGAAGGAGCCTATCGCGCATGGTCTTGTCCGTCATAGTCCCGCCATCTCGTGCTTCAAAGCTAAATGTGTCACCGTGAAGCTGCTGCATTCGTAGAGTGTTGGCACGTTCGACCTCCTGCCGGGTAGGAAAGAGCTCGGTGGCCTCGATACTATCATCAGAAGCAGGGAGCGGACGATCAAGCCGTTTGAAGGAGGCAATGGAGGCCGGAGTAAGCCGCCCCTCACGCATCTCGTTGAGCATATTTGCAAAGACAGGATCCTTCTGACGGAACACGTGATGGAGGCCAATAGTATGTTCTACAGCCGTATTCCAGGTTGCAGCATCGAAGGCAAACTTCGCCTGACGGCCGTAGTCCGGAACGGGGGGAAGCTGGAAGAAGTCACCAGTGATGACTAGCTGGATACCGCCGAATGGCCTGCCATTGTTTCGGATGGTTCTAGCAACCTGCTCCAACTTATCGAAGAGCTCGCCGTCAACCATCGACACTTCGTCCACGATCAAGACCTTGGTACGCATCCATCTCTGCCTAGCTTTTGGGTTTCTCCTGATCTTCTTGATTAAATCTTCTGCAGGCTCTTTCCCTAGGCCAATTCCCGAAAAGCTGTGTAGTGTTACACCACCAATGTTACAAGCTGAAAGGCCTGTGGATGCTGTCACAGCGATTCGATCTGGCTCTCGAACGAATTTCTTCCGTAATGCCGAAATAACCTCGCGTAGAAGAACAGACTTTCCAGTACCTATACTCGGTAAGCACCTTGACAATCATGGAGAGGAAATATATCTATACCAGCTGAACCAGTGAAGAAGACACTCTTCTTATGCTCTACAATCAAGCTCAAAACATGCTGTTGTTCCTCACTCAGGAAAATCCTATGAACCTGTTGCTTCTTCTTTTTAGCGACTGCTTTTTTAACATCCCCGGCATCGCCCTCATTCGCCTTGACCAGCTTTTTATTAGCTTCACGAAGGCTTCTCTGCTGTTGTTTGATGGCGCTGGCAGTGGTGTTCCACGGATAGGTCGATTTGGTCGTGTCTTTCGGTAATGGGGTAAAGTTGCCTGATTGAGTTGCTTGGGTGGACTTCCTCTTCTTGGGCTGTATCTCCTCTAGTTCTGGCTCCGACTCTTCAGCCTTTAACTCGGTTTGGCTCTGTTTCTGTAGCCAAGGTAAAGTACGGCGCTTGCTGTGCAATTGTTCGGTTTTAATATATGACTCAGTAGCAGCTGGACGAGAGAGGGGCTTTGGTGGAGTCTTGAAATGTTCAATTGGAGACGAGGACCAAGGGATTGGTTGACTGCTGTCTAGCACTGCTGTTGTTTTTCTCGTAGAATTTCCTATCGATGCACAGACAGTGTCTCGGTTTGCTGGTCTTGATTCAGAGGGCAAGGTTGAGTATCGGACGATGCCTATGGTCGCGGGATCTTCAATGTTGAGGTCGAGGTCGCTGTCAAAGTCATTCTCATCAAAGAACACTCCAGACTGTCCAGAACTCTTGTTTCCTCCAGCGGTCGGGAAATTGCTACCAAATTCCTTATCGCTGTTCCCAAGATCGAGCGCAGGATATTCAAAATCTTCTTGTGAACTCAATGCTTTGGCCAGTCCGCTAGACGACCTCTTGATTCCATGAACGCGGATAGGTGGCCTTTGTTCTGCGGCGGCATTGTGTTTGATGATATTGCCTGAGCCCGTATGCAATGGACGCGTTGGGTGGGTCACGACCCCCGTGGATCGCTTGAGCGAATTGCTCAGAGACTGCTGCTGAAGGACAGGTTTCTGAGGTGGCACGGATGAATTGTGCGTCTTCACAGCCTGTTTTAACATTATCGTAGAATAATGGGGACGGTAGTGGAGGTAATTATGCGTTCTGGGGAGGCCAACGGGTCGCAGTTGCGGCGGCGACGAAGCCTTCAAAGGTGGCAATCGCAGTGACGCGCTCAGTCTAAATAACGCGATAAGCATGCAGCACAACAGCGCGGCGAGTGGGGAAGGAAAGAAAATGAGAAATCTCGTCAAGGAGAGTTATCAAGTGGAAAGGGAATGATTGTTAGTGTTCCGACGCGATACACGACCCAAAGGGTGGGACCGAGCGCGCCGAAAAGCTTGTATCATGTCACGTGTATCGAGGCAGCCACTAGTCACTAGCGACTTTCGAACACCAAACAATGGAAATGGGTAATTAACGTTGATTCCAGTTGATGCAAAAAGAATGTTTCTGCATCACTTCACTTTGATGCATTTCATAAACTTTGCCTTCTTTAGCCATCTTCCAGCCGAATAACCTTACATTCTTCCCAGCGGAAGTGCGAGTGTAACAAACAACTTTTTACCCCCTATTATTTGAGTCCTGGACCAGCCAAAGGCTTCTACCAGTACGCCTCGTGTTCGCCAGTAAAGAGCCGTTACAGAAGCTCAAGCATCCCTATGTAATTGCAAGAACCGCCTAACGAGCCATTTTCCTGCTCTGCCCTGTACTAACTTCCATACAATTCGCTGTCATATTCCATCTAGCAAGGAGATCAAACCCATAGAGTTGTTTGTGATGAAAGTAGGTATCCAGTCTTAAATCCAACGTTATCCATAATATAATAACCGAGATGGAGATGAGGACAATCTAAAAAAAAGGACACACATGACAACCTGGAATTTTGAAAGTCAAGGAACATCAACTTAAGGAAGGGGTATGCCACGCAGAGACGCCAATTGGAACCAAACATCTTTTATCTGATCGAAATGAGAAAACCAGCTTTAAGCAGGAGCAAAACTCATGCAGCAATCAAGGAGATTCATTACAAGAACCCGCAAACACGAAAACATATTCGACACACAAAAGCTCTGAGAGAGGCCCGCGCCTTTTGCGGAGGTACAGAAACGTACAAAATGGTACTCCAACCCAGGCTATACTGCCGAACCTTCCCGAATGACCAAACTGAGCTGATTTTTTTAAACTGTGAAGCGGGCATAACAAGAGGAGAGAAGAAAGGAAGCCCCATTTGAGAGATAGTCGAAGAAGACTGACATATGTGAAGGGATGTGAATATCCAAACACCACCCATTTAAACAATCAGGCATCTGGGGAAGATGAACTGCGCACGAAATGGAAAAGGGTGCTGCGCCAAGCGCTTAGCCTTGGTAGCCGCCGAAGCCATTCTGATTGAAGTTGCCCTGGGTGGGCTGTCCCCATTGCTGCTGCGGCGGACCACCGCGTCCATAACCACCGGCGCTGCTAGGCATTTGCTGATACGGCTGAGCCATACCAGGCCCTCCGAAGCCAGCTTGCACAGCTTGATTCTGACCAAATGGTGTGCCACCAGGGCTCGGGCCTACCATGTGTTAATGGAGTCTCTCCTAATTAGTGGGTGTATGGCGACATGTGGAAAGCTTACCTTGAGGTGACATCGGGCCACCAGTTCCGCTGTACTGCGGGAAATATTGGTTGGGAGTCTGGGGATATGCTGAGTTGGGTCCTTGGGCAGGGGAATATCCGTCAAATTGACCAGTTGGAGGACGATCCTTGCCCCACTGTACACTAATTGTTAGCTTAGCACTGAGTGAAAATGTGATCCAACTTACGCTGCACTTCAAGGGCCGACCGTTGACATTGTAGCCGTTAAGTTGGCAAATAGCCATTGCGGCGTTCTCGTGAGTGTCCATCTTGATGAAGGCGAACCCGCGGTCGGATTGGAATCGTGTCTCAGTTACATATCCAAAGTTTTGGAAAAGGGGAACCAAGTCTGATTGAGAGGTGTACGGGGTCAAATTGCCGACATAGCAGGTCGTCTGCCACTGAGGTGTCTGCGCAACTACCATGTCATAGCTCTGGACTCCATGAGTTGGGAAGTGATGATGTCCGAATGGGGTGGTCGGAGTCATGCCCATGGATGCCATGGCTTGCTGCTGCGAGATGGATGGTTGGCCTTTCTGATTCGCCCAGTTGCAACGAATAGCACGTGAACCAAGCCATTCACCGTCCATAGAGCTAAGGGCCCTCTCGGCGTCGGAGCGGTCACGGAAGGCGACGAAGCCATAGCCACGCGAGCGGCCAGTCTTCATGTCCCACATGACGCGAGCTTCGGACACCGGTCCGAAAGTAGAGAAGGCTTGAAGCAAAACTTCATCGTTGACCTCGTTAGAAAGATCACCAACAAAGATGTGGAAATGGTTGGAAGTATCCTCTTTCGCGGCATTGTTTGACTGAAATGCCCAGTTTACTCGAATTTCCTGTGGGATGTTAGGAGACGTTATCTTGACAGCCACCAGAAGTACTTTCCGTGTTGTGAACTCTCCGACCGTTTAACGTCTGCATGGCACGCTCGGCCGCTCCTGGATCGTCATATTCAACGAAGCCATAGTTAAATCCCTTGGCCTGGAACTAGACGTGGTTAGCGATGATCGACGGGATGAAATGGTGGATTTCAGGGTGAGATAGACGCAGCCTGCAGCGCATCTGAACTCGGATATGCTCACGGTTTGGAGGGGCGTATTTACTGGGGATCCACTGACGTTCTTGTCTGGAATAATCTTGACACTTTGAACGTGGCCCGTGGTCTCAAAAATCTGCCTCAGCACGTCCTCCGTAACCCGAGGGTCCAATCCTCCAACATACAGGGCCCTTTTGTTCGGCTCCGGGGCGGCGCGGCGCGGGACATATCCAGCACCGCCGCTGGTGGGCGACATAACACCGCCAGACATGGGCGAGCTGATGGCGGTCGGGATCGGATTGTTGTTTTGAGGGATGATGACGGGAGCAAGCGGCGGCGGGGGCATGTGCTGCTGGTTGCCTTGGTTCCCTCCGTCATAGCCTGGGGCGCCGGCAGGAGCCGGAGGGGGAGGGAGCGATGCGGCAGAGGTTGCGGAATCAGCCATAGTGAAATATTATATGCGTCTAAATGGTCGTAGAAATTGCCGATGAAGGGAATATGCGTGTACGGAAGAGAACACAGGCCCAAAGGACACGACCGGGGAGACGAAAAGACGCTGGACGCGGTGAGGAATATGGTGCGGTGTGTGCGCGGTCGCGGAGGAGGGGGATGGCGTGGGCGAGGCTGCTCGAGGAAAGTCGCGGTAAGGCGGCAAAGAAAGTTAGACAGAAGTCGCGAGCAGCGCAACCGACAGAGAGACTCGACAACGCGCAAGGAAATGGAACAAAGAGAAGAAAGGGAAGGCGCAGGGAATCCGACGCCGAACAACGATGGAAAAGATGATCTGCTGGTCGTTTCGCTGTGGGGTGAGAGGAGGAGGGAGAGGGACGCGAAGTGGTTGCAATTAGCCTTAGCGCTCTAGCGCTGGCAGCCAAATACCGGGCCGTTGCAGATGGTAATTTATTCTTTGACCAGCTTTGTCACGGGGATACAGGACGGGTTAGAGAGGTTGTGTTCTAGCGCAGCCACAGACGTGCCGTGATTGCGTGAGGGCTCTGCTCATGAAACGCACATTCACTTGTTGGGGCGATGAAAATTCTGCAGGCGGATGGTGACAGCACTTGCAGCGGGGGGGGGGGGAGGAGCCTAGGTGGTAATTCTGGGGCTTGGTGTGGGTAAGGAAACGAATTGCCCGTTACGCTCTAGCCCCACGCGGAGAGTAATTGGGGCTAGCGAGGAACTCTTGAACCTGCAGCAGCTTCACGCGGACGAGCAGGGCAACGTTCCCGACCTGCAGCAATTCATTGTCGTCCAGTTTCACTTAACTTTTCTGCTCCTGCTCTCCTACACTTACATGGCGGCCGCCCCGCAAGCTGCTCCCCAAACGGGACAGCAGGCAGGTCCAACCGGGGAACAGCCCCGCCCTACACCCAACGTAGCCTTCGACAATCTGCAAGCCATGATGAATCTTGTTGTAGGATACTCTCTTGATAGCTTCTTCAATTCTCCTACTAAGATCTCGCAGCTTGTTTCAAGCGGCCGCTTCATCAAAGAACAGCAGGCCGGAGGTGGCTCTGGGCGCATGCAGTTTGCCATGAAGCGCGCAGTCCCAGCCGCGCTAGAACGCTTTCAAGATTCTCTCGATGAGCTGGAAAACGAGCTTGTATGCCCCCGTCTATAGTTGTAGATGTGTTCCCAGGGCTCAATTTCTGACATAAATGTGTACGCAGCAACACGCACAAACAGCCCTTCGGAGAGATCTCGCGTTGCTGCAGGCAGACCGCAGAAAGCGGGAACAAGCAGAAGCTGCCGAGCGACAGCGTCTGGCCGCCGAGTCCTCGGCAAGGAAGAACGTCGTCGCGAAGCAGGAAACCACAGCTGAGACAAACGCACCTGCCTCCTCGACGAAGCTGGAAGTCTCGACCGTAGATACCCAGTCCGAGCAGCCGGCGCCGCAACCTGTAGCATTGAATCGAGAGCATGAACCGCCTCCGCCCATAACGACGACTGTTGCGCCCATTGGAGATCTGCTGTTTGACGGCACTCCGACCACCGCGAACCCGCAAGACAGCGAATTCGACTTCGAGGCCATGTTCGGCGACAGCGGAATTATGGACACTTCTGGCGATGCCTCGAACAACCAGGCAAGCCTCGACATAGATACCTCAGCCGCCGATTTGACCTTCTCGCTTGATGAATCCGGGCCTTCACTCCTTCCCGGGCTAGAGGATTTCGCAAAAGATGGCGACGACACAAATGCAGGCCAGCCGAGCGGAAACATAGACATGGACTTTACAATGCCTGATCTACCAGACGTGAATGCTAACCAGTCTTCAAGCCAAACCGACGCAAAGCCCGCGGAGACTTCAACTGCAGACCAGCCTGCGGACGGCGGGGATAGTGCAAATCTGTACGACACTATCACAATAGACTACCTGGATGGTCTGTACGACTATGACAATCCTGAAACCACTGAGTTCGACAACGCTATCTTTGGTTTTGGTGAGAGCTAATATCGCATTTCAATATGTGTAATGTAGGGAAGAGGGTTCGGGTTTGCCGGCTGCACGCCATCTTGGGTCGACGTTTAGAAATCTGCGTAGAAATCTGTGGTTTTGAGTTTTCAGGCATCGTGCCATCTCCGTCATTGTTTACATATCTGCGTAGAACCCTGAGGTTTGGGGAAACCCGAAAGTTACGATACCCCTTTTAGGCAGTCATGGGAAAGTAGCCTGCTTCCACGCACTGCTCACTCACAACGCACGTACAACCACACCGTGCGCAAATTAGAATTGGATTACTACTTGGTTTGAATACTTCATCAACTCCTCATTGAAATATGTACAATTTTCACGTCTCGTGGATGAAAGGTAGTTGATCCTGCTCTGCCCATGAATTTCTTCAGTAATCGTCACTCATCGTTCATGAACAGTAAGAAACGCATCATTCTCGCTGGTCACGTGGAAGATAGCAGTCGTTCTATGCAATGCAACGCAAAAACCATGGCAGCAGTACATCAAACACAGTGCCCGTGCAAAACCGTAGTGTTTCTAAACGTCTGCAGAACCAACATTTTCTATATTCTGGACAGGCTTAGGTGTTTACTGTGTGGGCATCTCGGCCTCTTTCACCTGTTCATGTTCATGTTCATGTTCCCATTTCAGTTCCTGATCCTGACCCTGACCCTGAGCGGCCGCATTTCCATGTCCATTCCCAACAACCTCATCGATCATAGCCGCGAAATCGACGGAGGCGTCATTCTTCAGGCCACCCCCACTCTGCCGCATATCCAGCTGATCTCCATCCTGCTGGCATTCCATGACAACCCCATCGCTCCCCTCGAAAATACTCGCTCCACTCCACAATCCCGCCGTGCTTGTTGCCGGGTCCTCATACAGCGAAAACCCCAGCCCTCCAGGGGGCGAGCTCGACATAGGCAAATCGCTGGACAAAAAATCATCAGCAGTGAAGTCGCAGAACTGGATGCCGGCAGTCAAACGACCTGGCGTATTGAAAGAGGGGAAAGCAGAGAAGTCGATAGCATGGGATGGCGAGCTCTGGAGGCCATCTGAAAGAAGTGCGTTAAGTTGGGCCGTGAAAGGGGTCAAAGGCGCTACTGTGGCCGCTTTTCCTATGCGATTAGGTGTCGTAAGGTTTCGTGTAGGTGTCGTAAGACCCAAGCCAAAGGGATCAGAGCCAGTCTCCGACCCACGCTTGGGGGTGGGCGCGGAACGACATCGTGACCCTTGTGTAGGAGTCTTGAGAAGGTCATGAAGAGGAGTACCTTTTGAGGGAGTTGTCTTAGGGGACATTGGTTCTTCGAATAAGTGTGCTAGGTCGTCATCGTCTAGATTTGTCGGCGGTGGGCAGTTCTCCTTGTCATTATCATCTGTGTTCGTGCCAGGGGCTTGTATGGTAGGTTTAGCCGCATCTGAAGCTGCTTTACTAGTTGGAGACACATCGGGACCGCTATTGTCAAGGGATTTTACTTCTCCTGCTTTTCGTGGTGAAGGAAAGAGAAGTCGTCGCGTTGGTCTCGGTGTCAGATCCGATTCAACATCGATGGGTGTATCCTTGCACCCTCGCATTGCAACCGGACTGGACTGAATAGCTCGTCGCAAGGCCGCTGTTGCAGCAACCTGGTCTAGCTGGGATCCTGTAGTAGTGTCATTGGCTTGGAAACTCAAAGCTCGACAGCGGAGGGGCTGTTGTGCTTGTATATCTGCGGCTCTATTGGTCAAGTAAGAAGTACTTCCATGGGCTTCTGGCATAACAGGCTCGGAGTGTAGGACGGGAGCATCTGATGTGAAGTCGTCATTTGCCTTCGCCCTCTTCCGGGGACCTTTTGGGGGATTCCTTTTTCGCTTTGGCTTCTCTCCAGCGGGCTTCGATTGGTTTTTAATCCAGACCTCGGGGGGCCGCATGCAGCCCTTCTTGCTCAACCATAGTCCGCAAGGGTTGCACAGTACGATTTTTTCAAATGTCTCCGAATCCTTTTCTTCTAGGTCCAATATTTGTTTGAAAATACGGTACTGCTGAGGGCCATCTTCACCCTCTCGTCGGACGATTGCATCGAGTCCTACAATGCCAATTCCATCAGTGGAAATCTCGACATTGGTGGGGTCTCCTGTTTCTAATCGCGCAAAGCATTTTCTCCAGGTGGGTGTCTCTATCTCGCCACAGTTACCGCAGAAATCTGGTGTCTCTCCGGCTTCGAGCCTTGCATTTAGTTTGTTTATTATAGTCTGTTTTCGTTTGGCACCAGAGCCGCTCCGCGGTTGGCGATGGTTTCCTTCAAAGGGAACCGCCGCATCTGACATAGGTTCTCCAGACCAAGTCTGAGATCTCGGAAGGCCTCTTGGTTTGGAAGGTTTGGTCTGTTTTGGTGGGAAGGGGTTTGGAGTCGTTGAGCGACTTGATGCCTCAGCTGAGTATGTTTTGACAGACAAGGGTACGGGGAAGCTTGCGTCGGTCATATTTGGTGAGCCGGCATCCGTGCTGGGCTGCCGCGCGATATCTCTTGGCTGCGTCTGCGGTGTCTGGCTCATACATGGATTCTCCATGGGAAGAGAGAATCCCGAAGGATCCAACAATTTCCCTACTATAGGCTGTTGTTGGGGGTTAAGATTAGCAGAAGTCATACTCCAACCAGCCACAGGGTACATTCTGCCTTGATATGATGTAGAAATCTTCTCTTCTGATGCTTTGGAAGAACTGACTGACTGTTCTCTCGGCCGATTGAACCGCGCATCGTCTACTGGTATGTCGGACTTGGTGGCTGGCGGCGCAGGTCGTGGTCGAGGATATGTCTTGGGTTTCGGAATGTAAGCTTTAGGGAGCAGATCCATTGGGCCTGGAGTAACTTCCGTCCAAGGGTGGTGTGATCTGTCTTGTCTTCCTCGTAGCCTCACTTCAGCTGTCGCCGGGAGATCACTACCCTCCCATGTCCCACTTCCATCCACTTCATCTTCGTCCCGTCCTGCAGATAGGTCACTCACGAATCCAGAATCGGTTGGGCATGGTAAGGTCGGTAGTCCAGGGCTTGACGGTGCTGACGATGCGATACGCTGACGCATAACTGGAGGCGAAGAAGGTATCTCTATAGGCGTCTCTACTGGACTGCCACCTCTTTCGTCATCTGCGGAATCAACAGCATTATCCAAAAAGACACTCGGTTCCATATACGGCGAGATGTAGGTAGAGCCTTCATCCATTGACGCCTGTCGTAGTGTGCTCGGCGCTGGAGGGCGGGCTTGAAGGCGGGCCGGACCGCGTGACTGAGGTAAGCCTGCTTCTTCGGGACGGGGAGTCGGTGCTCGTGGGATCTGCTCAACCGTAGCCATTACTGCTGCGGGATTAATTGGGACCGGCCTGTGCAATCGAACAGATGCTGCTGTGCTAGCGGCGACTCTTAGTGAATCGTTCTTCGTAGCCAAGGGTGCTTTCTTCGGTCTCTGTGCCTTCGTGACACATGCTCTCTTCTTAGGTGGCCCTTCACTTCGATCTTGCGTAGTGTGGGATACGGAAGAGTAGCGCCGAGTGTGAGCAGCGGTGTCACTTCGAACGGACGCTCGAGAGGCCGGGCGCGAGTCCTGGCCGACCTGGAAAGGGTTGTATGAAGCCGTACTCATTGCAGGGCTAGAAGCCCTCGTTTCGTGTGCGCTATGTGGAATTCCTTGTTGCTCATAGTACCTATCGGTCCTCAAATCTTCTTCCTGGGAGGATGGTCGCGTGAGCATCTGATGTATCGATTCCACACCTCCTGTAAAGCTAGGAAGATTCCTCTGTAGCGTATCCTCCGACGTTGGCTGTGCTAGCTGGCCAATAGCAGGGTTCGCCTTCAAGAAGTCCGCCCAAGCGCTGTAATTAAGCCCTTCCGGCATGACCTTGCTTAAGCTGTGATAGCGTTCTAGGTTCTCGACGTATTCCCTCTGCAAGCACGTTGGTACAGGTACGAGCTTCAGTTTAACCTCAAGCGTTTCTTTCACTCCATTGGAGAACAGTCCAAGAATGTTCTTACACACGCGACCAGTGACCATGGTCTGGGACTGGTGCGCGGGGGCATTAGGAGTGGTGGATGCCGATGCGAGGATCCACGAGAGCATGCCTTGGCCAACGAGGGGTGTTTCGTACTCAGAATAATCATATGCGTAGACGGTAAAATCGTGACCAAGTTTGGCAACTAGTTCCGGACTGAGGGAATTATTAGCAAAGTATGGGCCCTAGAAGAGCCCGTATCTAACGTACCTTGCCGCCACGATTGCCTGGATACATGTCTTAAGCTCTATGACTCCCACCTGAGTAGTCTCATCCAGGGAGACGGTGGGGATGCTCAACACGTTGGGAAGGCGAGCCAAACAATTGGACTTGTTCTGGTCGTCGAACGTGTAGAGAACCTTGACTGTACATATCATGGGTCAGACGAGAGTGAGAGATTGAGGCAATGCGGCGTACCTCGCATGATCCTGCGTGGTATATCGTGAATTCCATCGGCATCCTCGTCCACTGTCGACGCCGACGGGACAAGCTGCTGCGATCCGTCCTCCTGTGGATCGGACGGGGAAGACATGACAGTCCAATTGGCAGATCTACGGGAGGAAGTCGTTTTGATGAGAGTGGGAAGATTAGGTACGGATCTGTAGTAGTGGTTGTGTTATAAAGGGAGCGTGGTGGTCAGTGGTATCCTATCGCCGGTGGCTGGCGAACCATCGCGATCGAGACGCGCGAACATGCACAAGCCGGAACTCTAAACGCGGTGTAAAAGTGATTAGAAATAAGTGAAGGCGTAGACCGGAGCCTAGCGGCTCATAAATGACTAGAAATACGACAACACAGAAGGAGGGTAAAAGAACGAGGCCTGGGAACAGTTTATTGTGAAGGTTGTCAAGGAAGACGCACGAGCAGCGAAGTCGAAGCTCAGGCTCGCGTGCACGTGCCTCTATCCATCGCGTCACGTCGGCGAATAGCTTTTCCGGTCCCGGCGTGGCACCTCCGACTTCTCAAGTTAGGCAAGCTCATGAGGTCGTTCAATCTCCTCTTCACAAACTCCAGCCGCATTCCACCCAGCGCGCCGAATCCGTCTCCCGATTAAGAATTCCCGATCCTCCCGTTCTCATCCTCCGTATCACAAGCGTCCAAGATGGCCGATGCAAAGATGCAGTAAGTAAGAAGCACCCGCATAAATCGTCCATAGTTCTAACCACTACCAGGGAACTTCTTGCTAAACCTCGAAATGAGTTGACGTAAGTAGTCTCCCTAATTATCCAATCTTCGATTTAGTCAGGTTTGATATTTCGCTGCTGATTGCTCTCTGTAGTGAGTACGAAGTAGCCCAAGTGGAAGAGCATGAAATTACCACCGGCCCGCTTTCCATCTTGCAGACTGCAGTCCGTACCCGCACCCAAGTTCTGATCTCCTGCCGCAACAACCGAAAATTGTTGGCGCGCGTCAAAGCTTTCGACCGACATTGCAATATGGTTCTCGAGAATGCAAAGGAAATGTGGACGGAAACGCCTAGGCTTGCCAATGGGCAGAAGGGCCGAAAAGTGAACAAGGACAGGTTCATCAGCAAACTGTAGGTTCTTTCTCCGTACCAAGGCTTCTAGGTGCTTTCGCTAATACTCGCATAGCTTTGTTCGAGGGGATTCAGTCATTCTTGTCTTGTTAAGTTAAGCGTGAGAAGCGCACATGACGCAGTATGCACAACCTTGGGCGGCGACAATGGAGTTCAGGCATAAAATTTACATGATGGCCAGAAACCTTCGATTACAATATTCACTTGCTCAGTCCGTCGCTGAGCCCTAGCAATAATTCAGCCAATCCGTGCGCCCCAGGATCCGGCACCCCTTGCCAGCCTTCTCCTCCTACGTAAACAGTTCGTCCTAAGCTTGCTTTCATCCCCCTGGTTCCTTTCGCGCCGTCTTCCGCGGCCTTCGCCGACAATGCGATGTCTCCAGTTTTTGAGAGTGTCGTTACGAATGGATATAGTGCATCCATCAAAGTTCGATCTCCTGGCTGTGCTGGGGTGTATTTGCTCAGTGATTGAAGGGAAGATTCCAGGGCTTTTGCCCAGATCGCTGGGGTAATTGGTTCAGGCGACGAGGGTGAATTCTGGCGCAGACCATGGGCAAGCGCATTTAGAAATATGGCATATATGGCTCCGGAGGTCCCGTCCATGGTTATTTCCACGACCTGTATTATGTTCTGCAGAAAAATGAGGGCGTCGTCAACTTTTTTGGATTTATCCAGCATCTTCAGCAGAGCTGTAACATGTCAGCTTCCGGAATCATCTCGAATCCTTTAATAATCACCCACCTTCAGCTCCTCGCTTTAAGCCAATTCCACAATCACCATCGCCTACGATTGTGTCATAATTGGTGATATCAGGCTCCGCCACGATGACCCTGTTCAGAGCAGCTGTCATAGCTAACTTGGCTAACGAAGGATCCACTAACACAACATTAGCATACAACATAAACCCTGTGATCTCGGCTGCGAACATTTCAAAGTACTTGGCTGGGCTTCTTCCGTGGAGGAGGGCTCCTTTTGCAGTGATGCCGTCTCTGACTTCTTCCAGGTGCCACTCTTGATTGCAGCCGACCATCCATTGGCTTCTGCAGGCGCATCGAGTAACTCTAACATTGAAGTTCCTAATCCAGTATTGGCGACCTTCAAAAGCGTAATGCTGAAGCCGAGGCCGTTGAGACTCGTCATGAAGGTGCCAGCCAGTATCCTTACAGGTTTGATCTTCCAGTCATTGGCTAATTGCTCAATCACTTCATTTGTGATGCCACCGAGCTCCAGCACGCTCACTCCGCCTAGATTATTAACTAGTAACACAACTTCATCGCTCGGAGAAATATTCAGGAAATTCCGGTCCTTGTCTGCGGCGTCCAGGCAGTGAGATAGCATCGTCTTCACAAGGCCCGGGAGATCTGTGGTTTTGCGTTCCGAGCCTGGCTCGTTATGGATGCCCATTCCAATCTCAACTTCTGATTCATTGAGTTCGTCTTCACCTGCTTCCGCGACGGTCCGGCCGGGAACATGGACATGGGATAAAGAGGACCCGATGGAGACGATGTTGTTCGCGGTCAGCTGCGCGACATCTGACACCTGCTTCAAACTCGCCCTATAGAACAATCAGCGAATCCATTTTCTTTTTCACCGTCAAACTTACCCTTTCGCAGCTAAAGCCCCCACAATCTTCTGCACAAGCACCGTCCCCGCAATTCCCCTCCTCCCAACCTTCCCCCCTTTCGCCCTCCCAACCCCCGCATCGTCCCCAACGACCACCATATCCACCTCCAACCCACTCGCTCTTGCTTTCTCAACTGCCATGCCAAAGTTCAGCACATCTCCCGTGTAATTCATAACTACAACCAACACTCCCTTCTCTTTCTCCACTCTATGTAAAATACATCGTCGCACTTGCTCCGCGCTCGGACTTGCAAATATCGTGCCCGCTACGGCGCCGGAGAGCAGGCCGTTCCCGACGAAGGAAGCAAAAGAGGGTTCATGGCCGCTGCCACCGCCGGAGATAATGGAGACTTGGGGAGAAGAGCCCGGTTTCAGGTAGATTATCTTATTCTCGAGATCGCAGGATACGGAGGGGTTTGTGTGGGGAATCGAGCGCAGGGCTGTGTTGACGAGGTGGGTTGGGTCGTTGATGAAGTGTTTAGCTTTGGATGTTAGTCTTCATCCTAGACTTAGAGGTCTAGCGAACTTACCAGACATTTTAAGACGGGAAAATACCTAGGCAGGCAATTAAAGGATTAATAGAATCCAGGGAATGGTAGGAGAGGTAAAGGTTTGCATTGTTCAACCGGCGGCGTTACGGAGCCGTTGTGCGAGGAGGTGGGGTCATTGAGGGGTGGGTGGGGTCAACGCGACAATTGCTCGGTGCTCATGGCACGTTAGGTGGAAGCTTCAAGAGACGACGGCAATGTTTTCTCGCTTGTTGCTTCGGATGGCGATTGGATGCGTCATGCTCTCCATGCCTTGCAGGGAGACCTTGGGGGGAGCACGCACCTGGTTAAACCCACAACCTTCAAGTCTCAAGGTTCTCCCTGTGCACGCAGAGAAGGCTTTGTGTAGAAACACATACAATGAAGAACTGCAAAAGGCCATTCCTAGGGTTTTAAATGCACGCTTCTGAGCAGTAAGTGTGCTAAATCATTGGGCTTCTGTGGGAGCACGGCTCAACTCCGTGCTCCCGGATACCTCTCCTGCGTTGTTGAATCACACAGCTAAGTATAAACACTGACCAGATTAGAGTTCGTGTCTGCTGCATGTCTTAGCATGGTTCTCCACTGTCTTTGCAGTTATCATTCGCCTTATTTGCTTCTACTTTCCTCCTTTTTACAATTCAATTCGAATTCGGTCCGTTTACATGGCTTTATCAGAAGGACCCTCTCAACCTACAAGGATGTCTTCCTTGCTAGGAAAATCGACAAAGATGATACATGATATGTCCTTTTGGAACTGGGGGTAGCCGAAGAGCGGTGTTAGCAGGTCAGGTGCTTAGTGGGGTTCCAGACACAGTGCAACAAGTCCGAATACATCGGGTGAATCATGTATCAACATAACGAACCGTCAGGCGAAGTTTGTTCTGTAAGCCAGGACGTCAAGGCTTCATATCTCAATTCGATTTGAGAAAGGAGATGACTTAACATGAGATGTTCTATCCTGTGGTTGCGATTACCATTCCTTGTCCACCGAGTTTAAGGGCGGCCTACACCACCAGCTGTCGACCTTCAGATGCTCGTCGACTGCCTTGAAAATATCCTCGACATTATCATATGCGCTTCTACTAGTGATCTCCACTAAAGTGGCAGTCTTATTTACTCTTCTTTCAATCTTTTTCTATTACTGTGCCAGAGTTTAGGACAATGATGTGTTCTAAATCTTATCATCTAATATGGAACATGACAAAAGCATTTACGGTCAGATATCGAAATTGTACTAGTCTTCCCTCTCGTTCTAGAATAGGGCTTAACCGATGAATTCTACCGTAATTATGTTCCACAGTATGTGGCAAAATACTGTAGCGTGTATCTTTTTTAGCTTTTCTTTAAAGGAAGACACATGGATGGGGAGGGGAATGCATACATATGGAGGAGTGAGGAAGAAAGGGCACGACATGACTAGATAAGAATAACGAACATCTACACTGCTTTAGCTGTCTAGGTTAGTTGTAGTAAAATAGTTATAGAGGTAATAGAAGGGGTGTTTGTGTGATTTGTGTGGATCTATAATAGAGAAGGAAAAAGGCGCAGAGTCAATAAAACACACTATTAATGACAAGGAAACATTGCCAATTTGAAGATATACAATAAGTCTAGATTTAGAATAGAACTAACCCTCACGAGCAAACCAGACAGTCGCTCACGGCCGAATGAGTACCTGACCCTAAACTCTTCACCCTATACAGGCCCAAAATACCTAGGACCATGGATCCATTTCAACCACATGTCCACACGTACACCCAGCAAATACCGAAGATTCGCCAACCCTCAAAATCCCTTCAACCATCCCTTAACCTCACTCACCAACGCTTCCCGAAACTCCCTCCTTCTTTCTCCCTCTGTCCTCCAAATCCTTCTCAGCCTCCTTTCCCTCCTCTTAGGAGCCCCGCTCGCATACATCCGCACCCTCACACCATCTTCCTGCACCAACGGCACAGATTTCCTCGCTATCGCCTTCTTCTGCACCAACCGTCTCACTAGATTCAACGCTAGCACTCTTGTCTTATCTTCTTTGGTTCCCAGAAGCTGGTACTTATGTTTGATAGTCCTCACGCGGCGAGGTTGGCACTTCCCTATTTCCTCACCGCAATACTGTTCTTCTCGATTTTGGGTAATTTCCTCAAGTTTGCGGTGCAGACGCTCTTTGCGACGGATCAGCCAGAGACGTCGCGCAGCCGGACTCTGCATCTCTAGCGCGTGAAGACGTTCTACTATCATGCTCTCAGATATGCTATGATTTATGAATAGGTTTTCGTGGAATGCCTGGAGCTGGTTAAGTTTGTTCTGTAGGAATTCGGATCGGATCGGTGTCCTGTATCTTTCTGCTATCATTGAGAGAAGTTGAAAACGGAGTGACATGTGCGAGATGTAAACTTCCAGTGCTGACTGATTGGTTTTGGGAACTAGATGTGCCTGGGCATTGCGCATCCGAGAATGGCGAACAGATACTTCCAAGATGCGCCGTTCAAATATAGAAGAGATGTCTCGGGCCTCTTTCTGCAAGGCGTAGAGGTCGCCATCGGATTCATCGACCATAATATGAAGCATTTCTACCTTTCGCCTCTGCCTCCGAATGCCACTAATAGTGTGTCCAATATCTTCTCCTAGTTGGCGCACGTTGTTGTTCGATAGGTCGACATGAGCATTGATATTATGCAGCTTGACTGATCGCCAGCGGGGAGCTACTCTAACAAGAATTGTGTTTATAAGCACCTGGAAATCCGCGGTTCGGTCCTGGATGATTTTGGAAATGCTATTGTACATTATTTCGCAATACTCTGATGCTGGTTGAGAAACTGTATATTTTCGTATGGTTGGTGGGGCTAGTTTCTCTGGCGTTTCCTCAACTTCTGGCTCGGGCTGGGCTAAGGGACCCTTACTGATCTGTCAATATATTAGTGAGCCGTTAATCGGAATAGGCATAGTAGTGGGGCATACTAGTGGAACATCGTCTTTTGGGATATTTTTAAGGGAACCAAGTCCTGTCTAATGAATTAGTTTATTTGACAGAATGTGTGATATGCTCTTTGGCCACGTACGTCTATGTTGACTAGACTAAACCGGGAAAATGGCACATCGATCTTGGTTCCCTCCCTCGGTCCCCATTCCTTCGTTGCTTTAGTCCGGAATTGACGCGTAACTTGCATGCCTTCTTCTGATAAAGCCCCGAAACTGTTTCTAAAGACAAATACATCGTTCGTGTCTGATGTCCCTTGCCGCAGCGATGTAGATGGAGTACAGTCTATGGTGCTTGGAATTGTGCCGATTTCCCAAGTCCATAATGGCGACTGAGCCTGAAACTGTCTGTGAGCCTTCGAAGCTTCACTGAATCCATTTGTGCCCGCTTTTGAGGCCGATGGGGATACGAAAAACTGTATGGAGTCTCCAGGTTGCACAACAGTATTGAGAGCAGAAGATAGATCTTGCAGGTCACTTAATTGATCCTGATTGTCTGTGCTCAGCATCGTCCAGTCGTTTTGGGAAATCCCGGGCTCGAGAGATAACAGGCCGGCCTTCTTCCCCCATCCACCACCGCCACTTAGAACACGATGAAGACGGGCGTTTCGCATAAGTGCTGCTGTTACAAGCTGATTTGGAAGAGGCGGGTTGCAACTCCACAAGGCCTGCCAGGAATTCAGAACACTGTGGGATTCACGTAGGTCTGTACGTTTTCGTGCTACATCAAGAAGCTGCATGCTTTCGTCGGTGATAAACTGGACTGAGCCTTTAGGTATTACAAGCGCCCAGACAGATATGGTTTGGGCGGGCTCGTCTCTAGATTTCAGGTATTGTGGTACAACCTTTTCCAGCTCTTCCGAAGCAGTTACAGCCTTTTCATCGGCATCGGAAATGCGACGAACGATGTTGCCCATACTTTCTTCGACACGACGCGGGACAGTCAAAGGAACCAGTGGAATAGAGAGAGCTGAAGTGGTTCTCGCCTTTCCATCGCCGTCAATAGCAATGCCATGATGATTAGGGCTAGATTTAGACAAGAGCTGTAGCGCTTTGTTGCCTCTAACCCTATGCCAGGTCGATAAGTTCATAGTGGTTGCGGAGCCAGTTTGGAAAACGGTATTGGCCAATGGAAGCTCAAAGACATCGCGATACTCGCCTTTTTCATGAGACCTGACCATGGTAAAGCTAAGTGAGCCATTGCCAACGTCTGAGATGCTACGAAGGGGTGGATTCACTACGTGGGCAGAGCTCAAGAACGCGTAGGCCATTCCTTCATGTCCAGAATCTGACACCTGGGGGTTCTGCGTTCGCTGGAACGCTTCTTCTAACAATGCTCGAGGATTCCCGATGGATTGCGGAGTTGGCAACTTATCAACAACCGCAACTAGTACGTGTAGCCTCTTATAGCTCTGGGACGTCTGAAACACGTCATTGAACGCTTGGTGCAAGGCCTTCTGGAGGAAAGTCTGGTCGTCGAGGAGCCATGTGGCAAATGCAGGCGTTAGTAGAAACACCGGGAAGGTTGTTTTACGAAAGGAATGTTTGTGGAGAGGTTTGATGTGTTGGATGAGGTCATCTGGGGTCTTCTCGGATTAACCGCGTGGTCTAAGAAGACATGAGTATACTTACAGTGGTGTGAACAGAACGCGGAATGATGATAGCGCTATTTATGTTCCTAATAGGCAGAAATTCAGACTGAATCTCGCCGGATTGCAGCACATATGTGCGGATTGCAGCACCATATGTTGCAGCGCACCACTGCCCTGTTGGACGGTATGTGCGAGTGTGGAAGGCGTGACGAGTGGCTCCAAGGACGCGCCATTGCCGCGAGACCCAGTGAGGCATGAGATGAGGCTCAATGAATCATGACAATGCTCATTTTTGTGGACAACTGAAAGGCTTCGTGATGCTAATTATCATCGATGGCAGACTCAAGCTTCGCCAAGCGGGAAATTACCGATGACATAATCCTGATAGGATTCTCAGAATCGGCAAGGGTGGACAGGCTGGAGATTCAACTCGTTACTCGCCGTGTGCTCTGACAGTTGCTTGCCCCTTGTAATCAGCTGTTCTCTGTTCTCTACGCTGCGCTGCTCCAGGTCGCCGTGCGCGTGTTTGCCGTCCGTATCGCTGACACTAAATACAACAATTTTTGGAGCCGCTCCCAGCGTCAACCAGGCCACATTTCAGCATTCCACCACCCACCTCCTTCGCGCAACCGCAACCCCCGTCGTCACCGCCCAACACCACCCTCTTCCCTTCTGATGCACGACATATAGACTTGTTACCCATTGGCAACCGTCGGTTCGCCTCCTTCCCTTCTCATCCAATATGCCCACCCCACGCTCGTTACGACGCCAGAATCCCATCACTTTCGTCCTCGCCGGCATCCTCTGCATTGGCTTCTTTCTTTTCTTCTTCTCGTCGTCCGGTGATGACACACCCGCCGGCGCTGGGACCCGGCAGACCAAAGACACGGCTTCGAATGTGCTGTCGCCGCCCTCGCTCCCCTTCCGCAAGTCGAAGTCGAATGCTCCCGCTGCCGCACCCCCCGTCGTGCACTACCACCTGAACAACCTCACGACGTCGAGGACCCCAATAGAAAATAGCGAGACTGTTCTTATCCTCACACCCCTCGTGCGCTTCTATCAGGAGTACTGGGACAACCTGCTGAAGCTCAACTACCCGCACGAATTGATTTCTCTCGGCTTCATCATCCCCAAGACGAAAGAAGGCAATGCCGCATACTCGGCGCTGCAGGCTCAGGTCACTAAGACGCAGAGCGGGCCCAAGAACAAACGCTTCGCCAGCGTGACCATCCTCCGCCAGGATACCGAGTCCCCTCTCCAATCCCAGAGCGAGGCAGAAAGGCACAAGATGGAGAACCAGAAGGTGCGACGAGCGGCTATGGCAAAGGCCCGCAACTCGCTTCTCTTCACCACCATGGGCCCCACCACGTCCTGGGTTATGTGGCTGGATGCCGACATCATCGAGTTCCCCCCAACATTGATCCAGGACCTCGCCGCATATGACGTCCCTATAATCGCGCCAAATTGCTTCCAGCGCTTCTATAATAATGACGAGAAGAGCATGGACATCCGACCATACGACTACAACAATTGGATTGACAGTCTGACCGCCAAGGAAATGGCGGCCAAGATGGGCAAAGACGACATCCTCCTTGAGGGTTATGCGGAGATGGCGACATATCGCAGTCTCATGACTAAGATGTACGACTCCACTGCTGACCCAGGCGCCAAAGTGGAACTAGACGGCGTTGGAGGAGCGACACTGTTAGTTAAAGCAGAAGTGCATAGAGACGGCGCCATGTTCCCTGCCTTCCCCTTCTACCACCTTATTGAGACGGAAGGCTTTGCCAAGATGGCAAATCGGTTGAGCCACAAAAGCTACGGGCTCCCGAATTATCTTGTAAGCACCCCACTACCACCCAATCCCTGTCATCGCACCGCTAATTTCCATGCAGGTATATCACTACAACGAGTAGCCGCTTCCTCAAATTGTCTCTTCTTCTTTCTCCTTCTACTCTGGGATTTCTTTGCTATGGTCATTGGGTGGTGTTAGGAGAGCCGGAGCCCTCCCTCATGATTTTGTGTATCCTGCTATTTGCGATTGGGACTGATGCTGGTACCTGTCGATTGTACTACGTAGCCTAGCCCTTCTTGCCCCTCTCTAGATTTTTTTACGGCAAGGAAAGCTTTGCTGGACGCACTATGGAGAAGACTGAGGAGTAAATGCAGCCCATTTAGTTCAAAAGGTTCTCCGAGTGTCTGACATAATATGGAGACTAGGTCCACTTGAAGAAACGCTATGTGATTGATTAATTACATCAGTACTGACAGAGCGACCTATGAGTACCTAGATATGTACCGGGCTTTCTTGAAGTGACAATGCCTGATCCATGGATAGTCTGCAAGGAAACATGAACCAAGGTATCCGAAAAATAACCCCCCGAAAAAAATAATCCGAAACAAAACTTCAAGCCGATTGAACTCCAAACCACATGCAAATTTTGATGCCCACATTTTGCCTACAACCTCCTTTTCCCAGACAGCACCAATGCTTAAACCGAACTTCCATGGGATGTCCAGTATATATGGATGCGTTTCGCAGATATACCCAACAGGTCCAGTCCCACCTACAACTCTCCTTTCCGTAGCCTACCGCTCAAAAGCTTTTGGCGCGATCGCCAAAACAACCACCAAACTGCTAATAATCAAAGCGCCCGCCACAAACGACACAATCAATATGCTAGCTCGACTCGCGGGGAACTTTCCACGGATAACGTAGTGCTGGGATTCGAAGTAGCGGTGGAAGCCGATGAAAAGGATGACGATGGAGATGGCGATGAAGGTTGCACCGAGAGGCTTGCCTACGTGGCGCAGTTTGGCTTGAGGGTTATCTTGTGCATTCGGGTTGGAGGGAGTGGAGGGGGCAATGGAGGTATTGAGCCGGAAGAGTTGGGTTATGGCGATGCCGATGCTAGCGAAGGAGAGGGAGGTACGGAGCCAGGCTAGGAAGGTTCGTTCTGTCCACAGTTATGTATGTTAGTTTAGCTCTCTGGAGGGGGCAATAGGGAGAGACTGTCGCGTACTCGGTTGAGGGAAGACAGAGAAGAACATACCAAGCGCTAAATGGTCCCTAGCAACACTCCCCTTATTCTCTAACTCCACACTACCATACTTCTCCACGAACTGCTTCCACCTACCCTTCTCACTCCTCTCCGTCTCAGCCGCCGCCCGCTGAGCTTCACGTTCAGTTTGCCGCTGCTGTTCCCTTATCCTCGCCACTGCCCCCGACCCTCCCGCACTCATCCCTTCAGTCGCTGTATTCCTCGCTGCTATCGATGGCGAAATAGCTTTGTAATCCTGCGTCGAGCCGTGCGGATGGTAGATTATCGGCGCGGATTCGTCAGTCGAAGCCCCTTCCCCATCTCTCCCCTCTCCCCTCACCCCGCGGTTGCGAGAATACGATCCAGACATATCGTGCACCTCCCTTCTATCCGATGTCTCCAATCGAGACTCTCCCACTCTCGCTGCGTCTATCTAACGATTCGCGGTGTGTCGAGCTGCTATCTAGCTCGTCGTTGGTATTGGTATCACCTGTAGGATCCCTAGTACCAATATACCTATCTCTTAAACCATCTGGTATACCAAACGATCGTTTCGCTCGTGCCAGGCGTTCACGCTCTTGTTGTTGCGATGGCTGAATCTCTGAAAGCGGACCAGAGGCACCACCTCGGGCATCTTTAACCAAGCTCACGTGCCCAGTAATATCATTGGAAGGCGCCCCTTGGCTGCCCATTGTGGCGACCCAGACCACCTGCGCGCGAGCAGCGCTCCCTGCTGTGCCCTGCGATCTGCTGCATGATTCACGTCAGACAAGCTCCAAACCTCGGGATCTCGGAGTTGAGAGGGATTGGGAGAGCATTCATGGGGTAGTGGTTTTGGAAGTAGAAAGGCGGCTGCGACGTAGTGCGTAAGTCGTGATTGCAAGCCTCGTTGACGCAATCGCTTGCACCCGCCCGCTCGCCGCATGGATACCCAGGTGATGACTACAATAGGATACAAGAAACAACTGACCTATGAGACCGACAGGAGTTGCTCAGCTAATAACTTTACACAGGATGTTATGCGGTTTTGGCTGGCAATTTAAGGTCTGCACTTTGCTGTGCACACCGAGGCTCGCGGGAGGGTGCTGTGATCCAAAGGTCTGGGTCAAAGAACCACTGGGGGATACGCACGTGAACGGTAGTTCTTTTCCAGGCTCGGTCTAGCTGATTTAAAACAGGCCAACCTATTTTCATGAAGTAAGTTTGTCACTGAGCACTTATGGGCAGACCACTGGTGTGTTGTCGAATCTGGGTATCTTGAAGCTTTTGAGTGTGTTCTATCTCATTTTCCGCAAATTTCCACCATGTCTGCATTACCGCTAAATCCACCCCGTCTCGAATGAACACGGTACGTTAAAGCTGGAGTATGTTGGCTTCGAACAACCGCCGTATTCCGATGAATCTTTTTGATGTAGACCATCTCCCCAAATTACACCTATCCTTCGGTTCACTATGTTCACCGATTGGTCGACGAAATTATATCCTCTTCATGAGCCTGTAATCATATCTGTCATCTCCTTAGTAGATTTTCCAGCGCGTGAGCTCCGGATAATCTTCTGGATCATCTCCTCGACGGCATCCCAATCGCTAGTGTCGATGTTGTGGAGATCCGTCTTGAAATAGTTTGCGATTTCGTTGAGCTGTTGCCAGCTCCTCTGGTCATGGACAAAGGAAAGAGCTACACCGACGCGTCCAAATCGGCCAGTACGACCGATGCGGTGAAGATAAGTCTCCGGATCCGCTTTACCGTGTGCATCCGTTGGAATATCCTAGATGAGATTAGCAAACTTAAAGGAGAGAATAAGCCAAAAGCAGTGGACATACGTAGTTAATGACCATGGTGACGGACTGGACGTCGATACCGCGTGCGAGCACGTTGGTCGTGATGAGCACCTTCGCCTCTCCGCTTCGGAATTGATCAATGATTCGGTCACGTTCCAGCCCCTCCAGCGCACCACTCAATTGTGCAACTTTATGTCCTTCGTTTACCATACGTGCCTCGAGTTCTTGGGCTGTTGCGCGAGTCTAAGAGGTCAGTGCTGATCAATAATAAAGGAGGAACATTACATACTCGCACAAAGATGATGGAGGACGCCTGTGTCATCAACCCGTAGAATTTGAGGAGAGTTGAGTATTTGTCATTGTCCTTATCGATGTCGATATACAATTGCTTGATTCCTTCGATCGTAAGCTCTTCATGTGCAAGGGTCAAGACATTCGCGTTTGGAGCAAATCTCTCGGCGTAGTTGATAACATGTTGGGGAAAGGTTGCTGAGAACAGGACAGTCTGAATTTGTTTCGGTAGAAGTCTACATATGTTAGCGAGGTGAATCTATGTGGTAGAAGCCCACTCACTGCTTCACACGCGTACACTGATCTCCAAGACCTTGCTGGTCGAGCATGTTGTCTGCCTCATCGAGTACCAGAACCTTCATCGACCTGGCGTCAATGTACCGCCTCCGAAGCATGTCCATGACGGTCCCGGGCGTCCCGACGAGAACGTGCGCTTCATATTTCTGGTTCCTTTTGCTTGGATCTGGGATTGCAGCCATAGTGACTAGTCCGTTCATGAACTGGCCCATAGTCTCAATAACACCGAGGATCTGTCGCGCAAGCTCGCGGCTAGGCGCGAGAACCAAAGCTTGGGGAGATAGATTACTGATATCGACTCGAGAGAGTATGTTGAGCGAGAAAGCAGCCGTCTTTCCAGTTCCGGATTGCGATTGTGCGATCATATTCGTGGGTGGATTATAAAGAAGCAGCGGCAGTGCCTTCTCCTGAACCTTCGAGGGTCGGCGGAAGTTCATCTGGCGGATTCCTTTCAGAAGTTCCTCAGATCTGTTGGGGAGTTAGGCCAGCAACGCCAAAACACATCCTCTAATCATTGAGTAGTATGACCTACAGGTTGAGCTCTTCAAATGATTTAGCTGAGAATAGCGGATTGTTTGGGTCGGCCTGAAGGTCAGCCAGCTTGACCTCGACGATGGCCTCGCTCTCCTGCAACGCTGACCCTTTCTTTACTTCAGTGGCGCCATCCACTTGGGCTTCTGCAACTGAACCTTCTGGCACTGAAGCTCCCGGTACTGAAGCTTCCGGAACTGAAGTTTTCGAGACCGAAGCTCCTGGGACTGAAGCTTCTGCGGACATGGCGGGTTTCTCTGCAGCGGTTCTCCAAGGATCTTTGTTGTTGATGCGGTGGGTGCTGCCGGAGGTGTTCTTCTGTGAAGGAGGAGCGGAGGTGGAGGTGGGAGCTTTATTGGTCGTGGGAAGAGAGAATGCGGCCCACACGGCTTGCTTAGACGACTAGTACACGACTTCGTGTTCTAGGGAGGGTATTTGGGAGGCGAAAGAACGGATAAGTGAAGTGAAGCAATTCTAAAGGCTGACGAGCTTCGGTTTTAGATGTGGCGCTGGTGGGGTACTTCAGGCGGAAGTCTGTGGCTGGTGCGCTAGGCTTCTTTAGGCAGCAGAGATCTTGACAGCGATTACAATGTTTTCTGCTGGGAATTCCGATTTTGTCAAGAGTGTCTAGGGATGCGTTGGCCTTGGAAAGATTATCGGTTGTAGTTGCCCGAAGCCTTGAGGAAATCAAAGGCCCAACGCGCGGCGGGAAGTCTTGGGCTCTGGCCTTGGCACATGCACCGCCGCCCGCTATTGCTGCCCTGTCATCAACCGGACCCCCACTCATTGGGCCATCCTTCACAGCCGACGCAGCCTCTCACTACCTCCATCCTCTCCAGCACTCTTTTGCCTCTGGGACATGTCTGCTGCGCTGATTGCACACATTCTAGTCCTCACTCCTCTACTGTACCTCGAAGAATGGAGGTCGACATTGCTCCGCAGTTCGGAGCTGAATTGAAGGTACTCGCTCTGTGATCCTGTTCTCAGCGCGAAGCTCAACTGACGCGGGCAACCTGCTAGGATGACTTCAAGAACGTGAATGCCTGGGTATGCTCCCCGCTCTCGCTGTGCGCTGCCCCAACCTTCATGCCACCTCTCCGATTCCGTTTCCGTGAGCCGGTATCCGCACCTCGCTGATTGGAGTTACTGCAGGTCTCCGGTGGTATAGCTTGGCTGGACGACATACAGCAATTCTACCGTGAAAGAAGCGCAATAGAAAAGGAATACTCTGCGAAGCTCAGTGCCCTGGCTAAGAAGTACTATGAGAAGAAGGCGAGAAAATCGAGTAGCATCAGCGTCGGTGACACCCCGACCGTCACCCCCGGCTCGCTAGAAAGCGCGTCTATGACCACGTGGGGTGTCCAGCTTAGTACCCTCGAATCTAGAGCCTCCGAGCATGAGCAATTTGCCGCGGCCCTCGTTTCCAACCTTGCCGACCCTTTGAAGAATCTCGCTGCGCGATACGAGGAACTGCGGAAATGCCATGCCGATTATGCTGGCAAGCTTGAGAAAGAGCGGGATGGCACATATGCCGACTTGCGCAAAATGAAGGGCAAATATGACAGTGTTTGTCAGGAGGTAGAGAATCGCCGGAAGAAGATCGATGGCGCTTTCGACCATGGGAAGGGCAAAGCTCGAAACGCCTTCGAACAACAACAAGTAGAGATGCGCAACGTCAAGGTACACGCTTGGCCCGCTCTTGAGGTTGCAGTACTTACCCTTTTTAGAACACGTACATCATCGCCATCAACGTGACGAATAAGCAGAAGGAGATGTATTATCATGAATACGTTCCCGAGCTTCTTGATGTAAGACACTGTCACGCGAAGCAGACCACCTTCGCTCTAATGAGAGTCTACAGAGTCTACAGGACCTTTCCGAAACCAGAGTAACCAAGCTGAACTCAATATGGTCTTTGGCTGCGCAACTAGAGACGCAAACACTATCGCGAAGCAACGAATATCTCAAGCATCTCTCGGCAGAGATACCTCGAAATAACCCGCTGCTCGACTCCATGATGTTTGTTAGACATAACGCTGGTCCCTGGCAAGAACCTGCCAACTTCCAATTTGAGCCAAGTCCTGTTTGGCTAGACGATGGGAGCATTGCCACAGATGATTCAGCTGCTGTATTTCTTCGCAACGTTCTCACCAAGACCAAATCGTCCCTGGGGGACCATCGACGGGAGCTCGACAAAAAACGAAAAGAAGTCGAGAATGCGCGAAAGGTGCGGCAGAATATTCGCGAAGGGAAAGATAAAAGGGATGAAGTTGAAGTCGTGCGCGCTATCTTTGCGCTTCAGGAGAGCATGCATGAGATTGAGCGGCAGAAAGTTAGCGCAGAGACGGAGGTATCCACCATCACGTCAGTTGTTGGCGATCTCAGTATCGGCGCAAGAAACCACAATTTTAAGTCGCAAACCTTCAAGATACCCACTAACTGCGACTTGTGCGGCGACCGAATATGGGGCTTGTCTGCGAAAGGGTTCGATTGTCGAGATTGTGGCTATACCTGCCATAGCAAGTGCGAATTGAAGGTTCCTGCGGACTGTCCTGGAGAGCAGAGCAAGGAAGAAAAGAGGAAACTCAAAGAAGAACGGCAAAGGTCAACACATACTGTTACCTCAACAAACGGCACGCCATCAAACTCGCAATCGGAATTGCCTCGTATCAGTCGAAGTGACACGGTGAACTCGATGAACACTCTCAGCTCAGGCTATTCAGCAACAGCTCATCGATCGATATCTGGAGGGATGTCACCGACGACAGAAGATCCCCCCGAAAAGAAAATGGCTCCTCCTCCAGTCTTAGGTGCACGCAGGAATCGGATAGTTGCACCACCACCGGCACAGTATATCAAGGATGACGGTGGTGATCTCCCAAGTTTAGGTGGATCATCTAAAGCAACCGAGCAAAAGGGTAAAATGCTCTACCATTACCAGCAAAACGGTGATGGGGAAATCACTGTTCCTGACGGGAGAGAGGTTGCGATCCTTGAGGCTGATGGTCAGTGCTCTTTCTTGTCACACTATCTCGAAACGTAGCTCACTATATTTAGATGGATCCGGATGGATAAAAGTCCGCGCAGGTGCCAAAGAAGGCCTCGTTCCGGCTGCGTACGTTGAAGTCTTGCCCTTGACACCGCCCTCGTCCAACCGTCCGGATTCAACTTACTCCGCATCATCTGCGTCGTTAAGTGGCAGTGTCACCGCTACGGCAGGGAAGAAGAAGGGTCCTGCCGTAGCGCCAAAACGTGGAGCGAAGAAACTCAAATACGTAGAAGCTATGTACGACTACACCGCTCAAAGCGATGCAGAACACAACATGTCGGAGGGCGAGCGATTCGTGTTGATCAATATGGAGGCCGGTGACGGGTGGGCGGATGTGGAGAAAGATGGCTTGGTACGGAGTGTGCCCGCAAACTATATCCAACAGGTGTAAGGCGTGTGAGCCTGGCGCGTGGGTCTTGCGTTCTGTGTAAGTGTTCTGGAAGACGATGGTTTCAAAAATAAGTCTGGGTCTGGCGTATTGCATAAAGTGTGTTGTTTATTTGGTATGATTTTGCTTTGAAAAGAATTGGAAGAGCGCATCGTGTGTGTGGAGCGCTTCACAGGTCGCTTCTTTTGCTTTACGGGTTCCACGCTCAAGAGATCATTACATTACTATTTATGAACGGTAGGACTTTCAGAATTACCACTCATTGCCAGTGGGAGAGGCAATAGCGTAGAAAGAACTTGCGCCACTGCTTGTGCTCAAACCTCCTCTTTAATATGTTGGTGTAATTCTCCGCGTTAAGGTGTCGTCGGCACAAGCTCCTCCACGATCCTTATCACCTGCCTATCTTCGCTTAGTCGGGAGGGTAGTTGCTGAGTGGAGGGGTTTCGCGCTCGGCAGCTTTGCCTGTCGTGTCCTGATAAGTTATCATGCATGCCTGTTGATGAGTTTTGGGGTGGAAGCGTGCCGTTAAATATATGCCGTCAAGACCATCTCTCTTCCAGTGCTCTTCCCTCTTTACACTCACCTTGCATAAACTCTACTTCTTTCCATCGGCGTGCCCTAGCTATTCGCTCGGTTCGACACAGTTCCACTTTCCACGATCCGCATCTTTAAGATTGTGAGACCTCATGGCAGGCAAGTACGAAAGCGAGAGCAAGCTGGATGGGACTGCTTCGTCTGGTGAAGATGGTCCCGGGACTTACCATGAGACGTATCATGATGTCGATGTATTTGGACGGGAGGAGGGCCATCAGGCAAGTTCGATTTGCCTTTTCCGTCCTAATCATCGCTTGACAACATACAACAAACTCTCTCGACTCTGATCAGCCGCGCCAAGTACCCATAAACGAATGAATCTCATGGGTCATAGATCGTGTACAAAACGCTCTCCTGGAAGCTCGTCGCTGTTCTTATGATCGCCGAAATTGTCTCCAATGGAATGCTCTCTCTTCCCTCCTCGCTGGCCGTTGTGGGGATCGTTCCTGGCCTTCTTCTCATCATCTTCCTAGGTGTTTTTGCAACCTACACTTCATACTTGTTAGTTCAATTCAAGCTGCGTCACCCCGAAGTCCATAGCATGGGAGATGCAGGCTTCATTCTCTTCGGCCCATTTGGAAGGGAACTACTTGCTTTTGGAACGATCGTATTTGCGATTTTCGCGACGGGAGGTCAGTTGCTCGCAGGGCAAATAGCACTTGCTTCACTTAGTAGCAATAAGCTCTGCCTGATGCTTTACACCGGAATTTTCGCAATCCCGACGCTCATCTGCAGTTTCCCACGGACGCTCGACCGGCTGTCGTGGATCAGTGTGCCCTCTGTTCTGTCTATACTCATTGCTGGTATAATTGGTATGGTAGGCGCTGGCCTCTATCCCACGCCTGAGCGCCATCTGAGCGCAGCGCGGAGTTCTTCGTTCTATGAAGCCTTTTTCAGTATAACGAACCCAGTCTTCGCATACGCAGGTAACAAGCAATTGTGATGGTCTTGTCTAGAACCTTCTAACTCATACTCAGGCCACTTTTTGTTCTTTATCTTAATCTCGGAGATGAAGAGACCTCAAGATGCCATGAAAGCCGCATACGTGCTGCAAGGCTTTGCCACAACTTTCTACGCAGTCTTTGCAGTTGTGATGTACGTGTATCTTGGTCCAATGGTCGCTAGTCCGGCATTCAGTAGCCTGGAAACAAAGTGGGCGAAAGCTGCTTATGGGATTGCAATCCCAAATTTCCTCATTGCTGGAAGCCTGTACTCTCATACAGCATCAAAGCTCATATTCATCCGTCTCTTCCGTTGTTCTCGCCACCTCTACTCTCACACCTTTACCGGCTGGTCGACTTGGACCTTTCTTATTATTCTCATGAACTCCCTTGCTTTCGTCCTGGCAGTTGCGGTCCCAATCTTTAGCTACCTCATCGGCATTGCGGCATCCTTATTCGCGAGTTGGTATACGTACGGCATCGCGGGCGCCTTCTGGCTGCATGACTCTTACCATGATGAGGAGGGGATTCGGACGTGGAAGAGGAAGTGGCCACAAGCTTGTTTGGCAGCGGCTACTTTCATGGTTGGGGGTTTCATATGCGTAGCCGGAACGTATGTGACGGTTCGAGGAATTGTGATTGCTTATAGGGATGGGACTGTAGGAAGTCCGTTTGCTTGCTAAGAGCTCAAAAGAGCAGATGAGATGACTTAAAATGAGCACCGAACTAGAGGAGAACGAGAGGAGAGAGTTTCTGCGAAAGATAATAAAGAATTTGTTCAGATCAAAGATTAATATTCTCTTAGCCTCCGCCCTCATTCTAACCCGGCAGTCAACTAAATCCCATAAATCCTCGAAACTTTCTAGCCTAGCCCATGTTTTCCCTCTCAATGCATGCTCATGTGAATAGTAATAACTTAAGTACAACGCACGAGCTGGCATGCTCTGACGGCGTACACACCGGTGAGGCGAATGTCGTACATGTCGCATTTCGATAGCGCCGTTCGATGGCTTGGCCGCTCCATAGGCTAGTCTCTTGCCGGCTTCTTAAAGTGAGGTCCGGTTATAGAATTCGGGTGGAGGCCAAGCGAGGCGCTGGAGGAAGGGCGTTTGCTACGGCTACGAAGAGGTACTATAATTAATGCTACAGTAGCGTTGAGTGCTATACTGGGCAAATTAAATGAACAAAAACTGAAGGATGTCAGGAAGGAGCGTGCTTATCGAAGTTGTACCGATGACGAGGCATAACCATTCGTAACAGAGGCTCCAAAGCTAGTGGCAGACAATCAACCAACTCCTCATTCTTTGCTGTTCAGTACCTTTCCACCTCATCTCGACATGAGTTCTCTCCATTATTTCCATGCGCATCGTCATCTCCGCTTCCTCAACGCCTGTCCAATTCGTCATTTGGAGATTTGTTTGAATAAACGGTGTAAAGGGCCACGAAAACCTAGAAGCTCCCATTCTACAAGTCATCAATACCTCTCTCACAGACTCGGTAGCTTAAAGCATTAGATCCATGACAACGCTGCTGCCGCGATCGCTTATCAATCTTGATTGGCTCTTACCGCAAAACAATTGTTTCGCAAAGGAAATTAAGATGGCGTGGACGTCAGGTAAGCATTATATCCTTCCTTCCAGCAATCGAGGCTGAGAAAGTCACTTTGTACTCGAGAAGTCGTAGCACAACGTATTAAAAGCGCCCAAATGAGGCTAGCATGTGGACGTGCCATCCCTGCATTTCAGCGTCGCCCATTGCCACGGCCAGATGCGGGAATTTTGGCGAAAGATCCATGGACAGATCATGGGCGCTTCGGTCTTGGACACGTTTCCAACCTCACTTTGTTTCCACGACTGCCGAGTGACCTCGATTCAATTTCCACTGCGACCCAACGTTACGCCTACTACGTCGGCTCTTCCTAAATGTAATAAAGGAGTGATGCCAATTTGCTGCTGTTAATGCACTTCTTGGCCTTGGCACTTCCGTGATGAGTCCCTGCCAGAGCCAGCACGACATCAGTGATGGTTTAGCAGAGGCAATAATCAAAGCGTACGTGGAAGTAGACGTGAGCATCATACTAACTGTGTAGATAGAGGCTCTGCTATTCCAAGGAGACTCACATTCCAGCAGTCGCAAGCCGAGGCAGTGGAATGACAGGCCTGATGGAAACCATTACAACGACTAGGTAATGCAGGGCAAGCTCCATATCAAGGTGAGTTATGGCCAGGTACATCCGTACCTCCTGAGGTCCGCCCAGCGATCGAGAGCGTCAAAAAGGAGCTGGTTGGCTTCCATGCGATAATTGACACTCGTCGAAATATTTCGTGAGAAATCGACTCAGAACTCTAAAATGTAGTTGGATTGCTTCTCTGCAACGCTGGAGTGGCCGCGCCTCAGTGCAAGACTATCCCCTCGTCCACGCCATCCGCCAGTGGGACTTGCTGGGAACACACAGGTGCTACAGAAGTTACGAATCAAAAGCGCTGGACTATGGACTCAGAGGACCATATTGCAGGCCCATTGCAACTGTGATACAAGCCTATTGCTTGGATAAATCGAGCACTTCCCCAAACTCTCAGGGCTCTCCCTTTTCGCCTGGCATGGGAATGACCGCTCTTTCTATTCAACTATTATTCATCTCTCACTTTCGTTTTCTCTACTTTGCTGTCGCCGGGTCGTGTTCGCAAAGTGACACTCGTTCAATTTCCCATCTCCCCGAAACAACCCTTAGTCAAGACACCGAACGCTGTAAGAAGCAAGCGTACATACCAATTTGCTGCAAATTCGTCGTCCTTCGTTGTTCCCTCGTCGACGGAGCAAACGGAAAGCGCGCTAGCAGGGGTCACCTGTCGTCTCTTTTCACCACGCCTACCGCCTTGAGCGCAAACAAAAACCAGCCTGCCCGCTTCATCTCTGCTTCTCTTCCTCGCGCGACTCAAACATTGGCACTGGCAAGTCAGACTCAGGTCTTGAGCCACGCCTCGCATTCTCTTCGCCCACACACCCGGAGCTTCTTGCTCTCATTCATTCCTTTTAGCAGCTTCAACTCTGTTCGTTTCCTACTCTACACGCTCGTTCCACGCTCGAAAACAACGAAAATTTGTTGTCACGACCAGCACGCGCCTGCGACAAGAGACAGTCTCCAGTGTCACGGCCGCTCAACAACCTAAATACCAGACAGTACGTACCGCCCTCGCGGTCAGACATCACTGCTGACTGTGGAACCACACAGCAAAGGCGATCACTTAACGACGCTTCCAGGTGGAGCAATTGCGGCAAACTCTCATCATGAAGTTTGCAGTGATTGTTGCCGTCATCGCTGCTCTGGCCGCAGCGCAACCACACGGTCATAGCCACCGTCATGGTAGTCGCAGCTTGTCCAAGCGCTCCTTAGTTAAGGCCGCGGTCTATGCCCCAGGTCCAGTTGAGACGGTCATTGTCTATGAGTTAGATGGCCATAAGATCTCCGAGCAAGAAGTCCGCCAGGGTATTGCGAATGGCACTCTAGTCTGGGGCGATGACGGCAATCTCTCCTCATCCGCAGTCGCGACTGCTACGCTCACATCTACTCCGATTGTAGAGGCGACCTCAGCCGCGAAGCCGACCGCAACTTCAACTGTGCAAGATCATTCTTCTGCCCCGGCTGCTCCTGTGCCTTCCAAAAGCCCTCAGTCTCAACCAGCCTCTGCCAACAATAATGGTGACTGCCCAGATTGTGACAAGGAGTTTCCGAACGGACATCTGCCTTGCAATCGATTCCCTTCTGGCTATGGCGCTCTGCCACTTGATCACCTGGGCCTCGCCGGCTGGGCTGGCGTTCAGAACCCGGGTTTCTCTGGCGCCGACGGCTTCGGTAAAATTGAGACGGCTCCAATTGGTACCTGCAAAGACGGCTCTTGTTGCAAACCCGGGACCTATTGCTCCTATGGTTGTTCCGCAAACTATCTTAAGGCTTCTTGGCCAAAGCTCCAAGGAACTACCAAGGAATCTGTTGGCGGCCTCTATTGCAACAACGATGGGATGCTTGAAATGGCAGATGGCTCGATCGCAAAGACCCTCTGCGTTAAGGGAACCGATAAAGTCACTGTAAAGATTCGGAACAAGCTCAACAAGCCTGTATCCATCTGTCGCACCGATTATCCAGGCAAGTTAATCACTAGTCCATAACGGATCTCTTACTAATTTACAGCAGGCACCGAGGGCGAAACGATTCCTCTGACTGTCGGCCCAGGCGAGGAAGCTGTAGTGGCCACCCCTGATGAGAGCAAGTACTATCATCACTTTGGCAAGGAAACTTCAGCTCAGTATTATATCAACCCTGCAGGTGTCTCGGAGAAAGATGCATGCTGGTGGACTGATGGGTCGAAGCCCCAGGGCAACTGGGCGCCTGTCAACCTTGGTGCTGGATATGGCGGGGACGGTGGCCACTATGCCTACATTTCCTTGCAGCCAAACCGACCGACGACAAATGCTGAGCTCGACTACACCGTCGAACTGATCGCCGATGATATGGACGGAAAGTGCAAATACGCTAATGGCCAATACTGGACTGGCGAGGGTTATAAAGACAGCGTTGATGGAGGGTGCACCGTAAGTACAAATATATTTGCTGATTACGATGCGCTGACTCAAGCATCCGTAGAACTGTCTCAGATCTGGCACCCTCTATGTTGAGCTTCGCGACAATTAGAATCTGGAGTCTTCGTTCTCTCAATTGCGGACACTATCGGCAACTTTACCTCATCCATCCGCGAAAGCCTCCATCTTTTTTTTGCACATGTTTTTCTATTATCGAATCCATCCCGCTGAGCAGGCTTCGCGAAGCCCCTCCCGCCCTTCTACGAATGTTGGTCAATACTTTGCTATCTCGAAAAGAGTTCTAGAATGAGCGGCGCCTGGGGTCATGAATGGTATGACGGATCTCGATCGGATTGTTTGGAGGCGTTTTCGGATTTTCGACAACACGTGCCCACCCGGAACATTCTACTCTTCATCCTGAGTGTGCTTCTCGATCCTGGCTCCCCGCCTGCGCATCTCTTCTTCGGCTCGTGAGTATTTCCTTACTTCCTTGCACATACATTCCTCTCTCGTCTATGTCAACCATGCCTGTCATGCCTGCCTGTCGTGAAGTACATAGGACTGCTTAGTGGCCGGGGAGGAGTTTACCTGGGTTTTATGTTTGTTTGGAGTTTTGTTCGAGGCAATTAAGATGCATGGATGGATGGACGATTGAGTCATTGTCGAACTTATCATGACTGATGGAATGGATGGATACAGGAGTCTTCGGCTGAATTTTTCGATACGGGGATGGAATTTCAACCGAGTATCACTGCTGCGGTAGATTCCTTGAATGCATGTAGTTGAAAGCCGATATTTTACACTGCATGGTATGGTGACATCCCTTGTGATGCTAAAACTCCTAGAACCCAGAGTGAGAGGATTATGGCTTTTGAGTCCGTGTATTGCAGGATGTTTTCTTCTATTCTGAATCAGGTCTTAAGATGTCTTGTTAAGATATTAACATGTCGTCTAGGGCTTTGCGCTGGTAGCTGCTTCAAATATGTCGCGCGGTGAGAGTACACTCTTGGTTATAGCGCCATGCTCAACGAAAGGAATTGATACCACTAACTCTTACCAGAGTCCTTGAGATAATTAAAGAGATACAATTCCTCTCCCTCCATAATCTCCGAACCCGCCTACCTACTGCCCTATCCATCACCTTACCTCCGCCATCTGAAGTACCACGTCCAAACATCCCAACATGAACAACCAACTCTATAATCCACCCTACCCAACTATGTCATGCTATCTTACCCTGAATTGCTAAATCAAACCACAGAAACTCCCCAGTCCATACAAGACCCACAACATCCCTTGTCAGGTTCCCCGTCCCATCCACCAGGTTTTCCGGCCGAATTGGGACGATCCGTGCCCATGTCCGCCCGGGGTATGCAGATTCCCACGTGCATTGACGCACGGGCACTGTCATGGGAAACGCAGGCGTGGTGGCATTGGGGAGACTGGGGCTTAAGTTTGAAGGGGTGGGTCTTTCCGTGGATGGGCGGTGGTAAAAGAGTAGAGGTGATGGGAGGACGGGATAGTTTCCTCCTACATAGAATGTGTGCGTGGGTCATATAAGGGTCAGGTTGGGTCAGGTGTTATGGTACATTTGCGCGTCGGGCCGAAAGTTAGAAGTAACCGCAATATCATTCATTATCCAGATGCTCTCTCTGGACAGGTATCTACTAGCCGCTGCTAGATGGATTAGACTGTCTCTCTTGGGTATCCCATTCCATTTCGTTTCGTCCATGACCAAATGACCTAGCCCACACATGCCCGTAGCAAGCAGCTCGCGCCCCTGGATGCTATTCCCTATCACCAATGCCCAGCCTTGTGGTAAAAGCATGTATGTGAGAGGACTTCTTCCTTGGTCACCTCCAAAAAAAAAAAAATCCCAAACATATCGACGAGAAGGAAAGCTGAGTAAGAAGATTGTGTGGTGTATGCACAATGTTGACCGCATCCATCTTCCTGGGCCATGCATGGCAATATGTACACACTGTTGTCCTAAAAATGGTGAATAAAGATTTAGTCTGTTCGAAGAGTGGAGCTGGCTTGCGTGATGATGAGCTGGGGATAAAGTATTCCAAACTCATTTTTCTCTTTACGAGCGAACGGAGGCTGCTTCTGTGACTGAGTAGATATTGCATGTTCAGAGGCAATTAGCCGTCTAAACAGGCATGATTGCATGAAATATTCATAATTCCCCACATGGGCGAAATGTCGGAACCATATAATTGAATGATTCAACGTAACCTCAAGTGGGAGCCTCGGTAAATGCGCCAGGGATGAATTGATCTCGGTTACCGCCACTGCCGCCAACAATAGGGCTGGTGAGAGCCTGAGAAAACCCATCTTCTTGGATTGTAGGAGTCGTCTCCAGAGTAACGCCATTGTGGCCACCATGGGTTAAGCACCCGACACACTCGCAGCCGTCGCCACATTGACAGGTTCCCGTATCGTCATTGCAACCAGGAATGACAAGCTCTTGCCACAGGTACGAAGAAGGTGACAGAGTTGACGTCTCGTCATCTTTTCCATCACTCGGGCTATCGACGAAAGTTGGGCTTGGTGCTGTATCTAGGTCCAAGTTCTCTTGAGGCTCTTTAGCCGCGCTGAAGAAGTGGTGGTCATTCCTTGGGGGTATATGTGGAATATGGGTTGGAGCTTGAATGCTGCCCTGCTGCCATGGTGCTGAAACATTCACAGATGGGGCGGGGACATTCATCATAGGGGACACAGTCGTTTGGAAGCCCGAGAAGTCAACTGGCGTTGGCTGTGGAATGTATTGCATCTGTTGTGGTGTTTCTGCTCCGTAGCCGGGGTGATGAGGGTAGGTTGGCAGATCGTAGGTTGGTGGCGGCAGAGCCCCGAATCTACCTGTGCTCATGTACTGATGCATCAGCCTGATGTATTCGGTCATGGTGGCGTTGCTCGGATGGGCTGCGCAGCCAAAGCAACTACAGGAATCTCCACAGTGGCAATTGTGTTCTGTACCATGCCTACCAACCTGGCTTCGGTGTTCCTCTGCCCGCGGCATGTGCATCGATGGAGACTGCTGGTACACCGACGCAAGGTGATTATATATTGGCATGTTGAACCCCATTGGTAAGCCCATGCCCATATTGCCTGGGACTTGTCTAGAAACACCTGGCAGGTAGTTATAACCTGGGTCCACGGAGCCGTGCGGGGTGAATTTCAATTGATTCTGTTGTTGGTGTTGCCCATAGCTTCCAAAGTTCTGGGAGACGTTCTGCGAGTCGCTCATCTGCGCAAATAAAGTGTCCTGATTGGGCTGACTATGTCCTGAGCAGCAAGATTTCTTCGGGGGCACTGGTTTCGGTGGCTCCATTGAATTTCCGCCACAACAATTTCCACGCGTTTTCTGTGGCTGGGTAGAGACATACTCGAGATAAGGGGGCTTCGGCTTGCAGCATGATGAGCCTTCTTGAGAATGTGCAGTTAGTGGTCGAGCCAACGAGTCAGGCGTTTGGAAATCAGAGCTGTAGCTTTGCTTGCGAGATGACGAGGGTTGTATCCGAGGGGTTGAGCTCGCGCTGGAAGGGGGCGATGCTCCATTGCTAGTGCTGTGGTCTGAAGGAGCAATGGAGGGGTTTGTGGGCGTTCGAGTAAGAAGGGATGAGTGGTCAGGCTCGGCATCGTGGGTCGCTTTAATAGCTTTCTCCAGGGACGCTGAGGTGAAGCTGTTCGTTGCTTTCTTTGTTCGACTTTTCTGTACCCTGTTGCTATTCCCAGCGACAGAGGAAGAGGTGTGGGTCTGGTCCGATGGACAGGCACACTCTGAGGCTAGAGGGCGATGTCAATCATAAGAGTTATCGTCTAATAATGGAATACATACATTTGGGGATCGTATAATTGATGACTACTCGTTCACAGCTGCAGGCGCCGCTTGGGTGTGGACAGCTGCTCAAGGGCCGGCCAGGCTTACGGACTTCAACCAGCACGCGATCTCGATGATCACATTTAGAGGAGCGGTGGCCTCGGATGCAGGGGCCGCTATGTAGAGGTTAGGCGAAAGAGGAATAGATGGAATGAATAGGTGTAAAAGAACAAATTCCCATGCAACTGTGGTGGTAGGGTGCGAGTGAGGGGAAGGACAAGACTTAGGCAAAAACTCACCAGGCGACCTTCTTGCGCTCACCATTAATTTCGGCCCACATGTTGCGGCTTTAAAGACAGGTTCCCGGAATGTGCTCATCAATGACAGCACGTCATGCGCTTGGCCTTGCGGGTAGTGCGATAGTAGTCCCTATGCTCTGGGTAGCAAACAGCAAGATCGTCCTCGGTCGAAGCGGGTGGTCTGCCCCAACGTCACACGTGGAAATGGGCTGCGGGGAGGCACGGTGCAGGCGTGGTACAGACAAGCTCTTCCTGGGACTGGCTGCGTCTGTGCGAATCGAGGAGCCGATGTGGCTGAAATAAACCCTTGACGGAGAAGACACTCGCTCCGGCGGTTTAACGCGGACCCTGATAGAGCAAGGAAATGCACTGAGCTGTAGGTGGTTGGTCGAAAGGAGTTGATGAGTGGAGGCAGTGGTGAGCAGAAAAGAGCAGGTTAATCTAGGGTGCCGGCCGAAGCGAAAAGAGGCACAGAAAACAACAGACGGTAATGAGACGCCGAAAGGCTTTCTGTGTGAGGGTCGAGGACACAAGTGGAGAGTTGATACAGGTGCTACAGGGTGGATGAAGAAGCGCTTGAACCAGGTTCCAGGGAGCCGGGCCTTTTCTGCGGGCAAAACTGTCAGCAGTCGTGTGCCTGTAGGAGAGCGAGGAGTTTGCGAGCGGGCCTGTGTGTTGCTTGGTCGTTGTGTGCGGTCGCGAGAGAGGATGATGTTGCAGTTGGCCGTGTGCGACAAGTGCTAGAAGTGAGCAAGTTTTATTACTGGTTTGGGTTAGACTGGTGAGGATAGCACCCCGCGCTATGCGTCTCGAACCGCCGGGAAATGCTGACCCCCTCGCTGTTACGATGATGAGCTGGAGAGGCAGGCTGCGGTCAGCGTGAGAAGATTGTTCATGGTGTGAGCACGACGGAGACGTGAGGGGCCTCGAATACTTATTACAGAGCGGGCGAGCCTTCGTCTCCAACAAAGGGACCGTACCTTGACGTTGCCGGCCGAAGCAGGTCCCTGCATCGCGGCTTCCGCTTCTGTTGCTAATTCCGTGGGGCAATCTAATCCCTTGGTGGTCTAGCATCCGGCTCCTGGGTACAGCTAGCCCAAGTCATGTGCCAGCGCTGCTCCTCGCCTCCTCTCATTGCACAGTCACCCTGGCTAATCGTGAAGTACCAGTCTTGATGCATCGAATGCTCGTCTCTTTGAAGCGAGCCGTTAGGACTGAGCCACAGGCACCGAGCCACGTTCGGACATGGCGATATCAGCCCATCGTTTGCCGACCAGTACTTTCAACTGCTGAATAGGCATTGACCGCATCCATCAGGCATTTCAAATGGCATCAGACTCCGATTATGGCAACCTTGCTCTCTTCCAAGAGCCGGATGGCTACTATGCACCTGAGAAAGAAGCGACTTTTGCTTCCCACCAGCTACTTTCTGGGAAAGAGGTCCGCGTCAAACTCGTCGGACACAATCCTCTGTGGGTAAGAAAATCACTCTGCCAAAACACATGCGGCAACATTCTGTCTAAAGCTGAGCACCCACTGCGAGAAAAAGAGAGAGCATAACTTGTGTGGGTAATCTACTCCTGATGTTGAGCTAATTTTTCTAGGGGCATTTCCTTTGGAATGCTGGGCGGACTATCTCGACCTACCTAGAAGAGCGTGCTGCTGAGTTAGTGAAAGACAAGATGATCCTTGAGCTAGGCGCTGGTAGCGGCCTCCCAAGTCTAGTGTGCTCTTTGAGCGGAGCGGCTTCAGTCGTCGTAACAGACTACCCGGATCCTGGTCTAATCGAAAATCTTCGTTATAACATCGACCACTGCAGTCTGCTGAAGAACTTATCCAATATCTCTGTTGAGGTAAGTTAAAATTCTTGAGATCAGGGCGAAGTAATTGACCGTTGGTTAGGGATACCTATGGGGAGCATCCACCGAGAATTTAACAAAACACCTCCCAGCTTGTTCGGGTTTCGATGTACTTATACTCGCTGATCTTCTCTTCAACCACTCGGAGCATGGAAAGCTCATACAGACGGTGCAGATGACGCTCCGGAAATCACCTACTTCTAGAGCATATGTTTTCTTTACTCCATATCGGCCTTGGCTTCTCCAGAAGGACCTGGCCTTCTTCGACCAAGCCCGCGAATCCGGATTTAACGTGAACAAGATCTTCGAGAAGGTCATGGACAAAGTGATGTTCGAAGAAGACCCTGGAGTATATCTTTTGTCCTTATGTTTGAGTGATTCCTCTGACGAGTCCAGGACGAACTCTTAAGGCGGACAGTTTATGGCTATGAGCTTAGTTGGTCAAACTGTGATTGAGTAGTAACGATCGATGAATATCCCCGATGCTACCTGGTATCCCATAGCTCACCTTATTTTGCCAATTTTCGTCCATCATCCCCCAGGGGTTTATAGTGTGGCAGGCTTGAGATCCTAGAGGGCCAAATATTCCTTCTGACTCGATTATCGGCCCATGATTCATAAGCAGAATATGGGTTTGCTTTGTCTACTTAAACAACCCGATTTAAAGGAAACATTGCACCCTCAATCAGAATCTGACCAAGCCCCAGCTCCCCAACTGTAGGCACACTCGATCCTAGCAATCTCAACGCGAAGATGGCTCAAATCATCACAACTTTGGACCGCGATTCCGTAGGATCTGTCACAACATCTTCTATTTTGTGAAATTGTGGTGCTCCACATTCTACTGTATCTTATAACCTAACATGGAACATGGCAAGGGAATAACTTAACATGCGCCCCACTTCCAGCAAGGGGTTTAATAGATAAACCCTACCCTAGCTGTGTCTCACATGATGTGACTACCTACGGTACATTGAATCCGATAGCATCTCTTTGAGCAATATCCGAGTCTAAAACTAATAAAACACAAAGGGTATCCAACGCCAGTCCTCCAGCGCCGGAAACAATTCCCCACACAGCCACTTGAACGCTTCGATACACTTAACTGCCTCCTCCACCACCCCCACCGCCCCCTCCACTCCTCTCCGCTTGTCTTTGCCTCTTCTTCTTCAATACAACCATCAACGTCAGACAAGCTACTAACCCATCTACCTCACCCTCATCCACTACAAACGTTCCCCCCGTCACAAACCCACCCCACCATTTCTGCGCATACTTAGCCACCTCCACCCTCTTCTCACTCTGCCCCGAACCGAAAATTTTGCACAACGTCATATCCTGAGAGTGCCAGAGACTGTCCATCTTCCACTCAAAAGGAACAGAATTCAACGTGAAAGTTTCAGTACGGAAACCCCAGCGCTTATTCGTGAGTGATATGGCGTGGCTGGAATGTGCTGAGTCGTCAGGGAAGGTCAATACGGCTTCGCCGGCGGAGTGCCAAGGGTGTTTCCAATCCGCCACGGTGCCCCCTTCGGCGTCCGTGATGGAGTATTTTAAACCCCACCAGTTGCCCCTATGAACCGTGAAAATGGGAGAGAAGGAGTGGTCTTTTAGTGTGATTTTGACGTGGTCTTTGTAGGAGCTCGTTAGACCCGTGTATGGGAGTGTGATATCTGATGTTAGGTCGAGGATCTTGATATCTTTAGCTAACATGCCGTGGGGAGTGATCCAGTATGTATTTGTAGGGACAAAGGACTGGGAGTCGACGGGGAGGTGAGAAGTTGAGTTGTCCTGGGGATTCATGATCCAGTCGGAGTCGGAGTCGTGCGTTGTGATGGTGGCCTCCTTTATGCCATGCTGCGAGGGGGATCGATGGCGTTGTCGGAGGATTCCCGCCTGTTGGGTGTTGGGATCCGTTGGGCGCATATCTTGTAAGGCTATTGCAGTGGACATTTTAGCGACGGGAGGTTCATGAAATCCTCTTCTGCAGATTTTTATCCTTTGAAAGAGATGGCAACAAGTGTGGGTTGCGTATGTTCTATCAATGCTGTAGAGGATGAAGCCCGAGATGGGGCGACAGGAAACTGCACCGCATTTAAGTATCCGTCAAGACGATAGAGCTCTCCAGCACTGCCATAGCCTCACCTCCAAACCTCAACGCCACCTACCATGCAACCACCCAAGACATCAGAAATCGTACGGCTTCGGAGAACGTTGAAAAACGAGGCCCAACATCACGCAGAAGAATTAAAGTTCATTGGTCAAGCAAGTCAAGTCAGCCCACTTGAAATGTGCCTGGCAGGGCGGATTTTCGTATCTCGCTTTCTGGGTTTCTACGCACCGCCACGATTCCGGTGTCAGCGGGGGTGGAGTGGAGTGAATGGGAGTGAAGTGGAGGCTTGGAATAGGGATGTCTCGTCATTCACGGAGATGCTAAGCTTCGCGCGTCGGAACAAAACAGTTTAAAGTTGTGTGATCTGATAAGCTCTGCGTTTGAGATTCGCGATCAAAGGTGGCGCTTTTGTGGCTGTGCGGCTTGATATGGTGGTTAGCACAAGGCGAGCTGCAATCGAAGACTTCACGAACACGCTTTTCATGATTTAGACAGAATTTGTGATTTTCAAGATCGCGGAAGTCTGCCGCCATAGTCGCCTAAGTATAGTTAGGAACAATGGTTATGCGTATGGGCGGCAGCGTCCAACATAAGAGAGAATTGTCGATAAGTTTATCGTACCTCTAGCGCTAGGACTCAATCCGGTGTCACAGATCCACGGCAGCATGCTGAGGCGTCTGTTACCTCAGCTTTAACTGGCTTGAGGTTCCCGATCCACTCGATACTCTCTATGAGCGAAGGGAGCTTGTCCGTATCTTGAATGTGTGCGAGGGCATCCTTTATCTCTGATCTCTGCTCGTTGGTTTCTCTATTCCTCAGGACCACTATGGGGTTCACCTTGGAGGCTGCCACATTGGAAATAGGTGCCGACTGCGGCAATTCTAAGGTTGCTGTGAGGAGTGTAGGTAACGGGTAAAACGGCCCCGGCACGTGAGAGTGCGTTCTTGGAAATGACCCGCAGCCTTGGGATGCACTCCTTCATCAGCGTGGACTGAACTAAGCCTTCATTGTCTTAGATCTGCTCCGCAGTAACACAACGTTATCGATCCTGGAGACACCTGCATTCGGCTTTTAAGATCTCAGATTGGGCTGCGAAAAAGAGAAAAGACTCCTTACGCCTCACGCAAACGGGCTCCAGTTTTAGCCCAGGCGCGCAGCAAACGCCAATGCAAGGAGAAGTCACCAGGGAGGGCTAGGGATGCGCTCCGAAGTGTCGGGCTGGATCGGCCGTTGTGAAGTGTTTGGCTGCAACTGCTCATTTGCTAGAGTGCATGACGCAAATGGCGCTCTTCTAGCTCTTGGCAACGCCAGCACGCGCTCTCCACACAATACCTTGGAAGACCTGAAACACTTCACCTTCAGTCCTCAACTCCCTCAAACGCTCCCTGTGCTCGCAGGGCAGTCTCCTCACGCTCTCCAATCTCCCTGCAATACTTCTTCGGCCTCAACTCTCTTTTCTACCAGCCGTGGTCCCTTGAAACCGATCCCAACAGCGGCTGCGATCCACATCCACCTCCTCGGAGCATGGCCACTGTATCCTAACGACCCGCCAATGGCTGCTACGAGCACTTTTACAACTGACGAACTCACGACTTAGATTATCTTTCGTCTTGACCATCTTTCATCTTCCTACGCACAATGTCGTCCACGGACGTATCAGCTCGAGCCACCTCCACAGATGCCATGGCGGGCAATGCAGGGGCGGCTCAGGCGAATCAGAACCAAAGTATTGAGAACTTCGCCGCTTCTCTATCAACAGCTGCAGTCATCTTTGGCGTGCAGATACTTGCATTCCTGCTTCTGAGTGGCAATTGGAAGCTTCGAAAATCCAAGACGCAACCAGGCACGCGGACGGAGCGTCAGAGTCTCTTCCATAAAATATAGTAAGTTGTGAGCTTTTTTGTAATAACGCTCTCGCTCATTCGTCTAGTTACTACAAGGCCGCCTTCGTCTCCAAGAGTAAACGAATCAAAGAACCCACCACTGCCATCGAATCGTTCAGGAATGTCTTCACAATTAGCGATCGCGAGCTTATTCGCGTTGCCGGTGTGGATGGCTATCTCTTCCTACAGTACCTACAACTCTTACTGAGGATATTTATCCCAATGGCTTTTGTTATCCTCCCCGTGCTTCTACCGGTCAATCGCGTTGGCGACGTGCCAGGGGTATCAGGGCTGGACTCCTTCTCTTGGCCGAACGTTGGAGTTCCCCAGAAGGTTAACCGGCTTTGGGCGCACCTGGTACTCGCTGTATGCGTGATCCTCTGGGTGTGCTACCAATTCTATCTAGCTCTGAGGAAATTTGTTCGTCTGCGACAGACCATCCTCACCATGCCTGAGCATCGAATCAGGGCTTCTGCGACCACAATTCTCGTCCAAACCATACCTCGTAAGTGGCTTACCGTTGCGGCTCTCGATGCACTCTACGACGTTTTCCCTGGTGGTATCAGAGAGATATGGATCAACAGAAACTTCGACGGCCTACAGGAAAAAGTTGACAAAAGAACGAAGATTGCCCGGACACTTGAATCTGCGGAGACAAATCTCATCATCGAGTGCACGAAGAAGCATATGCAGATGGAAGCCAAGAGGCGGAAAGCAGCAGGTATTAAGAAATCAAAGAAGGAGAAAAAGCATGATGAAGACTTGCAGAATCAAGACATCGAGCAAACAATCGATGAACCAGGCATGAGTTCTGGAAACCCGCATCAGATCGAGCAAGCTCTTCAACAGGTGCTAAAAGAAAGCTCTCTAGGGTCATCATCATCATCATCATCCTCTCGCTCCTCATCCCCTGATTCATACCGTAAACGCACGAGAATACCGATTGTCGGACAGGGAATTCAGGCAATGGGTGAAGGGTTCCGAGATGTCGGTCATGGGGTAGGAAAGATCGGAACTAAGATGGTTGGTGGATTCAGAGGAGCCTTTGGTGGTAAACACGAAGGTCAGGGCCCACAGCAGCTTGATGGGCCCGACGATCGGCCATTATCCTCTCCCATATCTGCTGAATATAGTCAACGGGGAGCTAGCACTGACACTTATGCGCCATTGAATGGCTCGACGAAAGACCAATATGACAAAGAAGGGACAGCCTCGGAGCCCAATTCCCCTCAATCAACGGAGAAGCCACAACTACAGGCTCCGACAATGTCGAAGACTGATCCCCTCAAGATGTTGAAGAAGTCGCCGCTGAATCCGGTCAGGAGGATCAGCGATTTTGCAAGCCCGCAGCCTTTCCATGCCGAAGGTGAGCAGTTTCCTTTGGAGGAAGAAGAAAAGAAACAGGATGTCACCTATGACCTCACTGGGATCTACAAGGAAGACTCCGCAGAAGATGGCGAGGATGCACTCTGGAGGCAATATATAAAGCCCAAGAGTCGCGAAACTATGAGAGTCCCTCTGTTCGACAAGACATGGTGGCCTTCACTACCCCTCATTGGGAAGAAGGTTGACACGATCTATTACTGCCGTAAAGAACTTGCGCGTCTCAATCACGAGATTGCAGATGACCAAGCTCACCAGGAGCGGTTCCCTTTGATGAACTCGGCATTCATCCAGTTCAATCATCAAGTAGCGGCGCATATGGCATGCCAGTCTCTCAGTCATCATATTCCACGGCAAATGGCACCCCGCACAGTTGAAGTAAATCCAAATTACGTTTTGTGGAACAACCTCAGTATGGATTGGTGGCATCGTTATCTTAGGACCACCATCGTCGTCATTGCTATTGTTGGCCTTGTCATTTGTTGGGGTATTCCCGTCTCGTTCACTGGAGCCTTGTCCCAGATCTCGACGCTGAGCAAAACTCGTGGCCTCGGCTGGCTAGCATGGCTGAACACTCTTCCGGGTTGGCTCATAAGCTTTATCCAGGGTGTGCTTCCACCAGCATTCTTGGCTCTCTTGTTTGTGGTTCTTCCAATCCTCCTGAGATTCATGGCCGAATTGACGGGAGTTACAACTGCTGGAGAGCGAGAACTTCTGGTTCAGAACTTCTACTTCGCCTTCGTCTTCATCCAGCTCTTCCTTGTTGTATCTATCTCTACCGGCATATCCGCAACCATTGACAAGTTAGTCAACAATCCGCTCAGTGTCCCCCAGACGCTTGCACAAAACTTGCCGAGGTCGGCCAACTACTTCTATTCCTACATGATACTACAAGCGCTCAGTATCAGTTCTGGAACCCTCCTACAAATCGCTGCCGTCGGTATCTTACTGATTAGCCGCTGGATCGACACAACACCACGACAGAAGGTTTCAAGGATTCTTAGCAGACCAGGCATCAACTGGGGAAATATGATCCCCGTCTACACGAACATCGGTGCTATTGGTAACGTCGGCTCCTTCCAGTTCTGACTACTTATATCTGACAAAACTCTCTAGGTTTGATCTACTCTGTTGTGTCGCCACTTATCATGATCATGATGTTGATAACCTTCGGCCTCTTCTGGTTTACCTATCGCTACCAGATGATCTACGTTTCGTATGCGAAGGCGGAGACGAATGGACTAATATTCCCGAAAGCAATCAACCAGCTCTTCACTGGACTGTACTTCTTGGAACTCTGCTTGATTGGGCTCTTCTTCATCCAAGATGGGCCTCACGGGGGCACACCGTGTTTCCCACAGGGCATCATTATGATCGTCATGGCAGGATTGACCGTCTTATACCAGATCCTAATCAACAGAGCGTTCGGGCCACTATTCAAGTATCTGCCAATCACCTTTGAGGATGATGCTGTGCGACGAGATGAGGAGTTTCAGCGCGCTCAAGCCAGCCGCTGGCAACCGAAAGGAGATGACGAACACCGGTCCCTCAACAGCGAACTCGAGGCGCACGAGAAGGCTGAGAAGCGCGAAAGCCAGCTTCTCGAAGAGGAGGATCGTCGTGCATCTAAGGGATATCACCCCTCGGAGTCCATTGAGATGAAGCGCATGGGCGGTCGTCGACAAAGCGAACGACTTGATGCAAACGAGAGCTCAGAACGCCCTCACAAGCAAAGCTGGGCCAACAGATCTCGTTCCCGCTCCCAATCTCAATCATACCGTAACTCCGAATCCCACCAAAAATATAAGAAGGGAAAGCACAATGTTAACCCACTTAACGCCGTCACCAACGTTCTCAAGTCTGGCCTTGGTGATGTGGCTGGGCCGATCCGTGACATTGAAGCGCAGACTATGCCTTCTGCCTATCTCTTTGACAACATCGACGACACTCTCGAAGATATCGAGCCAGATGCTAGACAGAAGTTGATTGCTCGAGCGTTCCAGCACCCAGCTACCCGCGCTATCCAGCCTGCTATCTGGATTCCGCATGATGAATTAGGTGTGGCGAAGGATGAGATTTCGCGGACGTCAAAGTTCAGCGAGAAGATTTGGATTACTAGCGTCAATGCGAGATTGGACGCGAGTGGGAAGGTTATGTATAAAGGACTGCCACCGGATCGGGATCCGTTTGAGAACATTGAGGTGTAAATATATGACACAGAGGCCTGAGGAAACGGTTAGGGAGGGGTGTTAGGTTTCCCCTGTCTCCTGCATTTGCTTTACCTGTGGCATGGCGTTTGTATTTTTCCTTTTGAGCGTTGCATAGCTTGGCGGCATGATTTGTATATGGAGATCCCCGTCTCTAGTGCTTTTCCTTTCACTTTTAGTAAGTGATAGAGGATGGAAGATATCTATGATTCTCTTTCTTAATTTTGCTTCAAGGACAAGGTAGCGTGCATTCTAGATGACAGGACGACAATACACATGTGTCAATGGACATTGACGTACTTTTAGGGCATAATCAAATCTACCCGATGCTCCGAATTGATGCTAAAATGTGTTATTATAGCAGGTAGCTTCACCTTCCGCTCTTCCTTGGGTATATAACTTCAATCACCTTAGCTGCCACTCTGTACACGCTTCTGTACAACCTAGCAAACCCATGATCAACCCTTCCATCATCCCCTTCAAGCCTCCACCAAGCCTCCCCCATCGTCCACATCTCCATCTCCAACCAAAACTAGTTTACTTAATACTCCTAACCAACTCTCTCAAATCCCCACCCTCAACCCAACTCTTCTCCCCACCCCCTCCTACCCCCAGTCCGCCTCCAACCCCCGCTCCTCCCCCGCTCACGCCCCAACCTTCTCCGACTTCCCCGATGACTCTCGCAGGCCGTCCACCAACCACGGAGCTGGAGGGGATTACCATGTTTGCGGGAATGACACTGTTGGGTAGGATTTTGACATTTTCTTTGATGATGACGAAGGGGTGGATAGTGGTGTGGTCGCCGATGTGGACGTGGGAGGCGATGGAGATGGCGGAGATGGTAGAATGGGGACCTGGGGGGTCGTCAATATAGTCTCTTCCCCTAATCAAGGACGGCAAATTCCCCCAAACGGCGGAATGAAAGAATGTAACAGGACATCGCACGAGGCTATCGGAGCAGTGGGAGCATGTGGTCACACATACCAACAAAAACATTATCGCCAATCTTCATGGGATAATAATGCACCTGGCCTCTGCTTATTCGACACGGCGGCTTTATCACACTACCAGTTGATATCACCGTGCACCGACCAATTGAAATGGAAGTCGGTGTGACATCTTTTCCAGATGAAGACGGGACGGCACGGGTGGGATGAAGGTCGCCACGGAGGTGAACGTCTGCCATGATGACAGTTCGGCCACCGAGCGTGATATTGGCGGTTCCAGTTATTGCACTGCGGCGGGAGACTTTGTTGCCGGAGTCCTATGGTGGGGTTGGTTAGATTAGGTTACAGGGGTAGGGTAGGGGCAGAAACAAGGGGGGAATGGAGAGGGCTTTGGGGCTTTAGGGAATTAGGGAATGGAGGAATTGGACGAGGCGAGATGGCAGGTGGGTATTGGCGAGGATATTTTGAAAAATTGCAAGCTTGCATGACGAGAAGTATTTAGAAGAATAAAATATTCGGTCAAGACAAGGGCAACGCGAGAAAATACCAAGGGCGAAAGGATGCTTCCAGAGAGGTAGCCGAACAGGCTTTCTTGAGGCTTGAGAAAATGCATACATACAGTCTCGATATATTCCCCTTTCGGGGCTGCTTTTCGTGCCGAAGGACGCGACATATTGGCTTCACTTGAATCTTAGGTAGTCAAGAGGATGCCCTCTAACGGAACAATAGGGTTGCAGTGTTGTGGCTGGTTGACTTATTTCAAGAGTAAGTTTGATGGGGTGGCTGAAGTTGAGATGCCAAAGAAGCTAGGTACAGCCAAATCGCGTAGATCACGTGCGCCGCAAGAGCTGTTTGTTTCTCTGGCCAACAAGAATTGATCAATCAACCAAGAATTGATCAATCAACCAAAAATTGATATAAGGAATTGAGATACTATTTTACAATCCATACCTCCCAGAAGGAGCAAGTGGCAAAAGAGAAATATGTTCCTTGAACAACCTGATGGAGAGAACCCGATCCCAGTTATCATTATTAAATCAGTATATCCCTAGGATTCGATTTATTATCAACCGCAAGGAGGGCGAGTACAGAAGTAAACGACTGTTTTCAGGCCTTTGAAGAGCACAGACTGGCATTGTTGATGCTAGAAAAAGCCTGATGGGATTTACTTTTTTTCCTGCTCTTAGCCTGCAGGGGTCTGAGGCTGGGATGACGATGGCGGGGGTTTGATCATCGTTCGACGCCCAGCTCGATTCTCGAAGGGGCCCTTTTTACAGTTTCAACGACGCATCCTACGGCGCTGCAGCCACCAGTAGCTGGACTGTTCCACAAATATGGCTTACAATCGGCGAGACGACGATCTCGCGTACGGCGAATATCATGGCCAGGGAGGGGGTGGGGAGGAAGGAGAGCGGGGCTTCATTGGAGACATGGGCAAGCGCATCTTTGGAAGGAGGCCTCAAGACCAGCAACAATCTGTGAGCATTTTTCCACTTCACCCCTGGACCTTGGTACATTCATGTTAGCGTCCTTCCATTCCCTCTGTTCCTGCTATCGACCTGCATGCCGTCATCGGCTTGACGCCGCTGCCACTAGGTCCTCCCAACTGTTCGTCTCTGCGTCCGCCATTGTCGTCTACCCCTGTTTATCACTAGCCATCAATTAACCTCTGCTGTCTTTCTTTTGCTACCAAGCCGCGTGAGACCCTCGATGCCCCTCGCTGCCCTCACTCCATCCCCTCCTCCACCTTTCACTAACCAGAGACCTCGTGCAGGACGTCACCCAGACCTATCAACCCCATCTCGGCCAGCAATCCTCGTCGCTTCAACACGGTTCGTCCTCCAACGAAGGCGGTATGTCGTTCGTTTTCGATAAACTGCACAGCGCTGTGCACTCCATCGGCACCGATATCAAGGACAAGCTTTCAGGCAAGGAAGAGCCTCAAGGACACACTCAGCAAAGTGGTGCTTTGAGCCAGCCCCAGGGAGGCCAGGGCTTGCAGCCTGGTCAAGACTACCATTCCCAACACCGTTTCCTTAGCTTTGCCCCAGAACGGCACGGAAATGACATCAAATGGTATGTCGACGGCTGCGGATACATGTGGGCTGTCTCGGTGGCTCTAGAGCGTGCCAGGGAGTCAATCTGGATCCTCGATTGGTGGCTGTCGCCCGAATTATACCTCCGAAGACCGCCTGCCAAATTCCAGCAGTATCGAGTTGACCGCATGCTCCAAGCTGCGGCTCAGCGAGGTGTTAAAGTCAATATCATCGTTTACAAGGAGGTAACCCAAGCTCTGACCCGTAAGTTGCTCAATCCAACCCTGCCTGAATATCTCCATTCCCTCCTCCCCGAGTCAACCGACTCCATCACTAAAGGCCTCGTCTGGGCTGGTCTTGGTGTCATTTTTAAGTCCCTTGAAGAAGCCGAAAAGACGGACCCGCTGATTGCACCTCCTATTACAGTGTCCTCCGCCCACACGAAACACGCCTTGGAAAATCTTCATCCCAACATTTCCGTCTTCCGACACCCTGACCATCTCCCCGATGCGAAGGTACTGCAGTCATCAATGTTCTCCTCTATTCAAAACATGACGTTTAGTCCCGCTAAGCTCGCCCAACTTCCTGGAGATGGCCTCAAAGCCATTTACGGAGCGAACCAGGATACAATCCTTTACTGGGCGCATCACGAAAAGCTATGTTTAGTTGACGGCGAAACGGCTTTCATGGGTGGATTAGACCTATGTTATGGACGCTGGGACACGAATTCACACCCTATTGCAGATGCCCACCCGGGTGACCTGGACCGCATTGTATTCCCAGGTCAAGATTTTAACAACGCGAGGATCATGGGTAAGTACCTGGGTTTCATTTCCTCAACCAATGCTAACATGAGAGTAGACTTTAATGACGTTCCAAATTGGGAGAAAAACAAGCTTGATAGAACCCAAAGCTCTCGCATGGGCTGGTCTGATATTTCCCTCTCTCTGACTGGCCCCGTAGTTCAAGACCTGCACACACATTTCGCCCAGCGATGGAATTTCATCTATGGAGAGAAGTATGGTAAGAAGGACACTAGATATCAGAGTCTCCCTCTGCCTGGAGGTGGTGCTCAGCAGGGCGGCTATTATCCACCCCCATCGATCCAGCAGCGAGGGATGGACGGAGAGGAGGAAACTGAGCGCGGGCTTGGCGGTGGTGATTATGACGGTCAAGGTGGCGGGGAACGCGGCCTCTTTGGAAGTGGTCGAGGAGGTGGGCTCCGAGAGAAGCTCCACTCCCGCATCAGCGAGGGCTACCATCAAATGGAGTCACATTATAGCCAGCAGGAGCAAGGCCAGTCACATGCCACTCACACCGCCCAGCGAGGAGGAGTGGAATGCCAAATCACCCGGAGTTCTGCGAAGTGGAGTCACAACTTGGATGCCACCGAGGTAAAGATGACCTTCACCTAATTTCAGAGTACCACTAATTAGCATAGCACTCTATCCAAAATGCCTATTGCGAGATCATCAAAAATAGCAAGCACTTTGTCTACATTGAGAATCAGTTCTTCATCACTGCCACCGGGTAGGTCTAATGTCATATAGAGCACCTAGCTTCTTGAGTACTAACTAAAGCAGGGACGAGCAGAAACCGATCAAAAACAAGATTGGCGCTGCTATCGTCGAAAGAATCATCCGTGCTGCTAGGGATGGCGAGAAGTACAAGATGATGGTGATGATGCCTTCCGTTCCCGCATTTGCAGGTGACCTCAAGGCCGATGATGCCCTTGGTACGCGGGCAATCATGGAATTTCAATATGACTCGATCAACCGTGGAGGACACTCCATCTACGAAACAATCGCCAAGGCTGGCTATAACCCCATGGATTACATTCGGTTCTATAACCTTCGAAGTTACGACCGTATCAACGCTAGTGGGGCCATGCGTGCTGCCGAGGAGTGCAGTGGCGTCCCATATAGCCAGGCCCGTCAGGAGCATGATGCTGCCTACGGCAGCGGATACCAAGAACCGCAAAGCGAGTATCAAGCCTACCGACCGCCTCAGGAACAGCAGCCAGTCTATGAGATGGATGCTGGGTATGGACAGTCGCAAGGGCAAGGGAGGCCAGCTGTATATGAGCAGTATCAGCAGGGCGCTGCTCAAATTGGCAGCCGCAAAGGTCTTGGTAGTGGACGGTGGGATTCGGTCAGTGAGTGCTATATGCTCGGCGGAGAGGACATTCGCAATGTCCCTTGGGAGGGTGGAGCTATGGATGAGATTGACGCTTTTGTTAGTGAGGAATTGTATATTCACAGCAAGGTTAGCGCCCCTTCCCACAGTCTGTCTCACTGTCTAACCCAATCCAGCTTCTCATAGCGGACGACCAAATTGTCATTTGCGGGTCTGCAAACTTGAATGACCGCTCACAGCTTGGTGACCATGATTCAGAGATCGCCATTATTGTACAAGATAACGACACAGTTGACTCATTCATGGACGGCCGTCCTTGGCGTGCAGCCAAATTCGCGTCATCTCTCCGCAGGCAAATCTTCCGCAAACACCTTGGCCTGCTGAAGCACCAGATTATGGATCACCCAGACCAGAACTTTGAACCCATCGGTGTACCAAACATCTACGATTGGGGCTCGGAGGAGGACAGGCAAGTTGCGGACCCCATCTCCGATGAATTCCAATCCCTCTGGAACTGGCGGGCAAAGACCAACACGGATGCCTTCGCAAGGGTATTCCACCCTGTCCCTTATGATGGTGTGAGGAGCTGGAAGCAGTACGACGAATACTACGAGCGATTCTTCCATGAGGAAGAGAATGATAAGAAGGAGAAGAAACCCAGTCAGTATAAGTGGGGTCATGTGGTGGCTGAAAACTTCGGTCAGGGCGGGGTGCGAGAGGTCAAGGAGGTACTGAGCACGATCAAGGGCACACTCGTGGAGATGCCGTTACTTTTCCTAAAGGACGAGGATATCGCTAAGGAAGGACTTGGGCTGAATGCTTTCACTGAGGAAGTGTATACCTGATCTGGGAGTGACCATCAGGATTTGGCGGGGAGGATCAGCGCAGGAACCTTGGAAGCTATGTGGGCATCAGCCAGAATCACGAAACTAGATCTGTACTAAAAAAAAAAAAAACACTCCAGCCGGCTTCTGATGTAGCTATAGATCTTGAGCTATTGATGTTAGCTAGAATCATGGCAAAGCCAGCTTTTGGTGTGATTAAAGGAGCATGCAACCCGCTGTGTTCTAGTCTCGCGACATGCGATTGGTTGTGACTTGGCCCCTGGCCAATGGAGATAACTTCAGTCCCCAACTTTTGAAAGCTTACATCTACTTCTTTCGGGTGCGTCCACTCGTTCTTGAGACATTTCCCCCAAGATCCAATGTAAATAATGCCTCTTCACCGTCGTTTCACCGCGCGAAACGCACTCATCGCTCTCCTTGTCTGGCTGTTCCTCGCCCTGCTCTTCCACCTCAAAGCAGAGCTATGGCCGTCCCCAGTGGAACCCTCGCTCACCTCCCTCGAGCCTTCGAATGATGACCACCGAGAACCTATCCCGCACGATAATGGTGGGAATAAGGCAGGCGAAACTCCTGCGGTCGCAAAGCGTCGAACGGCTGTGGTTGTCGCCAGCCAACAGTTGGAGGACGCCACGTGGCTAGACGAGTACTTTCCACGGTGGGAGAAGAATATATATAGGGTTGATGATAAGAGTGCGCCGCTAACTGTACCTAAGAATAAAGGACGGGAAAGCATGGTCTATTTAACGTGAGTCGAGCTTCATATGCAGCAAAGACACTGCACTCAGACGCCAAGGAAGCTGGAATGCAAGGGCTAACGGACACCCCAGCTTCATCATAGACAATTTCGACAAACTGCCAGACAACATATTGTTCCTCCACCCGAATCGATACCAGTGGCATAACGACGACCCTGACTACGATGGGCTTCCCATGCTCAGGCACTTCCAGATCCCATACCTTGAGAAGGAAGGATATGTGAACATTCGATGTGCGTGGTCCCTAGGGTGCCCTTCCGAGATCAAGCCTATCGCCGAGGAGGGCGAGCATCGCGCGGCTGTACACGCTGGAGGGGACTACAAGCAGGGCTATGAGGCCCTGTTTCCTGGAAAGCAAGTCCCTAGCAATGTTGGTGTAAGCTGCTGTGCGCAGTTCGCAGCGACTAAGGAAAAGGTGTTGGAAAGACCAAAGAGCGACTATGTGCGCTACAGGGAATGGTTGGTGGATACGCCCTTGGACGACAGCATCAGCGGGCGAATTTTCGAATACAGCTGGCATAGTGAGTTAACATGCTTTCATTTTCTGGTCGCCAAAATTGGATTACTATTCACACCCGTGATCCGTCGCTCAATTACAAGCCGGATTTTCCACACTAAGGCCGACGTGGAGCAAGGAGCTATTAGAACTCTAGACCGTTACCTAAGGCTTCGAACGCCTCCGCGCAAGCAAATACCCTGGTCGGACTGGTCACAGGAGAACACGTCAAACATTTGAAGGACCTAATACTTCGCCTCGAAGCTGATAAGCGGCCTCTCGCGAGCCCGTAGAGACCTTCTCGAGGTAGCTTCGTTTATTAATTCCCGATTGAGCCTGGCTAATATTCCCGTCAATTATCGCGAGAAACTTCACAAGGCTGAAGTTTTCCATTTGTTCCGCTAACCACATTGCGAGGACATTCGACTTCTTTGCTTCCGCTCTCTGATACCGATACCTCCAAGGATTGATCATTTGCTAACGATTGTCAGTGATATTTGGGAAAGAACCCGTTCATTGCCCCACAGCCAAAGAATGTTATTGCAAGGTATTTGGATTTTGCTATTTAGAGTGCCAGGAGGACGGAAACTGCGCTGGACGCTATGAGCTGCCCCGATTTTCAACACTACCAAACGGATGGCCATTTATAGGTTGGAAAGGAGAAGAGCGCAATCGGTCTGCGCCAGAAGAATAATGTATGTACCGCGTACCGCATTTGGTGTACACACTCCTAGCATTGGCTAACAATTTGTGATAGATCTGCCGCATGCTTCCACTATAGTGTCTCATGCCATCAATCTTTGAGAACACGTCACTATTGTGGCACCTTTGTCCGACGTAATTGTACGGTCATGCATAAGGGATGCGGAGAGTCTCAACCTTTCAGTTCGCCCCCCCTCCTGCAGCATACGAGTTTGGTCTGTTCTGAACGACAGTCCCAACAGTCAAGGGTCTCCTTGCATCCGCGGTTCCGCTATTGGACTGTCCATATCTGTGGACAGAAATGAAATGGATGGGCAACAAGGCTGAGGGCGCCAGCCGCGTTACAAAGCTAAGAGGGCGCATGTTGCCCCAGGGGCGCGATAGTGAGGCGAGTACATAACACCGAACTGCGTTATTGGTTTCACACATGTCAAAGAAGGCCTGCATGTGCGCCTTCAAATCTAGACTAGGGTTTCTTGAAATTAGAAGGCAACCACACGGTGGGAGGACTCGGGTCGGTCATGGATAGGTTCTGTAACCTGTTTACCCTGGATAAGGCTCTGAATTAATTTATCATGTGTGAAGAAATTCACTGTCGGGTTATTGAGGTACCTAGGCTAATCCTGAGATATAAAATCAAAGCTTTCAAGGCTGAAAAATTGAAACGTGCACGAGGATGACAGTAGCTTGGGTGGGGTAACGAGAATTGCGCGGCTCTGCTTTGAACCTTTGGATCTGGGATGAGCTCGGCTCTCACGAGCGGACTATACCGCGTGCACAAGCTGACATCTGTGCGTATAATATTCTGAATAAATTACAAGATTTTGGAAGCAGCTAACAAACTTACATCCCTTGTTTAGCTCACTCCACTAACAAGACACACAACAATGCTAAAGACACTAAATTAACAACAAATAGTTATATAGGTAGTGTATACAAAACCATACCCTACGCGAGATAGGCTAGAAACATATAATCTTACAGAGACACAAGTTATAAAAGAAGTCACGTATTGTAAACTAAGAGTCTAAGAAGCTATATAATTTATAGAGTATTAATAGACGTAAAAGCTAAGGTTAATTAAGTAACCTATTATAAAACTCTTTAGCCTGTACACTCTCTTAGCTTTAAGCTACAAGGATAGAGCTCTGTACCACTACGCTAATACAACTAAAAAGATGCGAATAATCAACTAACAGTTAATTGTTGTGTACAGAATAGTATATATACCTGTCGCGTGTAAAGACCATCTTAGTCTTACGTAAGCGTAGTATAGTAGTAATAATAGCTAAATTTAAGCTTTTTACTTATTTTTATACATCTTTTAGCTTATTTTAGTAAGCTTATTTATTATTAATAATAGTTTAGTAGAGTCTTTTACTTTTTATATAAGTGTAAAGTAGTTTTAATTAGTCTTGTTAGCTTTAATCTATTTATTTGTAACAATACTACTGTAACAATGTTAAGCACCTGCACTGCCGTCTTAAGTTCGAGGCAGCTCCTTCGAGGCAGACTGTGCGACCCCCTAGCGTCGCGCCAGCGTCGCAGGAGGCTAAGTAATAAACAAGGCGAATAACGTTCTAAGATTAATAGAATTCTGTCTTTTATCCCCTCTAGAGAGTCTGCTCGCTGCTATATTATAATTCTATTACATAATTTATAACATTTTAGTAGAGTTTTTATAAAATAAATGTTTCTAGCGTTATAGTAAAAGTTCTTTTATACTTTACTTTATTTATTAAGCTTTTTACTTATTTATTTCTATAGCTATATATAGTTAATTATTGTCACGATCAGGCTTAACCTGTAACAAGGTAGGCACAGTCAACTACGTGGCCTTCTTGTAACGAGGAAGGCACGGTCAACCACGTGGCCTTCTTGTAACAAGGGAGGCACGGTCAACCACGTGGCCTTCTTGTAACAAGGGAGGCACGGTCAACCACGTGGCCTTCTCTCGCTTATAGAGGTTTAGGCTAGGCTAGAGACAACCGCTAGTGCTAATGCTAGCCCTAGCAGTATCTATATATATATTATACTATGCGAGAATACTTAGCTTAAGTATTCTCGTGCGTACCTTTTAGTACAGTAGGGAAAGTCGTATAGTATTAGCTTGGCAGGCAGGACGTCTACCTTATTACACTTCTCTCGCTTATAGAGGTTTAGGCTAGACTAGAGGCAACCGCTAGTGCTAGTACTAGCTCTAGCATTATCTATATATATATTATACTATGCAAGAAATACTTAGCTTAAGCATTCTCATGCGTATCTTTTAGTATAGTAGAGAAAGTTATATAGCATTAATTGTGCAGATAAAGCGTCTACCTTATTACACTACTAAGTACTTTTATCTCTAGAACTACTAAATTAGCTAAATCTTTTACTATAGATTTATATCTATAATAGTATAGAATATTTAAAATATTTAAGTTCTATTATTAATATTTATATAAGTAAAGTTTTAAAGTAGAATTTTTAGCTAATACTATATAATAATTTTAAAAATAATGTTACTTAGTAGGTTTCTTCTAAAGGTTTAAAGTAGCTATTTTAATAGCTGTGTGTTAGCTTTAGTATAGAGTCTTAGAGCTTAGTATTGTTTTAACATTACGTGTTGTTGTTGCGTAGGCGTTTTAATAGAGAGAGTGCGGCACTTAGTAGAGTGCAGCGCTTAGTAGTAAAACACGTTATTATAAAAGTAGATCTAGTAAGTAGAAAAATACTTATAATATTACTAGTAACCTTTAAGTTAGTAAAGCTACTAGAAGAAATTATTTTTTTAGTAACTATAATATGCAAGAACAGGGCTCCGCACCACTCCGCCGTCACAACTAAAAAGGTACGAATAATCAAACAACAGTTAGTTCGCGTGCCTAATAGTATATATACCCGTCGCGTGTAAAGACCATCTTGGCCTAGCATAATAAGTATATAAAGTTAATAAGAGGGCGCTGTTAGTTAGTTATCTAAGCTAAAGGGGAACATACAAAGTGGTGAGATAATATAACAATACAATGCTTATTTATATGTATCTTACATAGAAAACAGCATTTTGAGAACACTCAAGACTCGTAGGCCTGTGCACGCGGTACAGCCTGTCATGGCTGTAAGCACGGACGCTTGAGCCTCATTAGTTATCTCTGACATTTGCTCACGCCTTGACAAGGTCACGCTCTCATATTACTCTGCAGAGCCTCCTCTTTCCGCTCTTGGTCCCCGAGTTCGTCCTCTCTACGCCCTTCTCTTTTCGCCTAAGTGCTTTGCCATGATTCCCATGCAGGGGTCAGGCTCGTTCTGACTGTGTTCCAATGCGGCTCTGCTTCGACTGCGCTCAGTATTTCAACCTGGCTGCTACGATCTCGATGGCATGCACCTTCCTACATCGATTACTAAAGTTCATCACCTCAATTGGTTGTTCCCGTCTTGTCTGAATCTGTCTCCTAAATCCCTCTAGTCACGCTGTCTGACTTTCTTTCAACAAAATACACCGCATGTTCTCGCTTGCGATTCAAAACTGCACACCTCCCTCCAAATTTCACTCTCCGCCTAGTCCAGGCACTTCATGACTATCACCCTAGATAGATTGCCTTTCGATGTTTTATTCTACATTGCGTCCATCCTAAAATTCGACGATATTATTAACTTAAGCCATTCATGCCGCCAGCTAAAACTTCTTCTGAACGAGAGTACGCTATGCCGAAAGACTATCGAGGTACGCAGATCAAAATTCATGGGGGTTCAAAACTGATTGTCCGGTCCAGACACACGCCCCTTACAGCAAGGAAGCAAGGCTCGCTCAAGATCGTCACATAACGTACGGGGAGGCTGTGCAGAGCGTATACGACAGGCGAGAAGCCTTTTCAAATGCTTATCCGTTTTCAGCTCGTATCGTCGGCCAAGGGACCGCTTTTACTTACCGGCAAGGGATACTATGCGTCCTGTCCGGTAGCACTATTCGTGTTTCGGACGAACATACCACTCCAGCTTTTTTCAATATTGATCTATCCCGTACCCTTGGGTCTCTGTCCGAGTCCTCTACCGGTTCACCCAGTGAGCTTAAAATTTCCTTGTTATACTACAGCGACAATATTCTCGCAATCCACTATGGAAGAAAGACAAGGCCCAATAACGGACGAATTCTTGCTATCAGTACGAAGACGGATCTCGCTGATGAAGAGAGGCTTCTTGAAGACATTCCACTAGAGTCAAGCTACAAGCTTTTCGTACGCCATACAGCTACCTACCTCTACTACGGGACGTACACGGGAGTTGGAGACCACGGCCACCATGAGTGGGAGATTCGTGGAGTCTCGTTGGACAAAGCCCATCCTCTGCCTAAGCAAACACGACCTTTGCAGCTAGAAGAATTCTTTGGTACAGACATTGGTTTTACGATTGCCTTCGAGATCCATAATGGCTACTTTTATGCACTATCAAACCAGACATCTTTTGAGGTGGAAGAGATTGACTGGACATCATTCTATCACTGCATACGCTTTCCTCTCAGCAAACCTCTTTGTAATGAGGTTGAAATCAACACTCGCGTTTACCGTCGACAGCACAAGGAAGGCCCAATACACGACTCTTGGACAGATCTTACCATTCAGGTCGATGAGCTTACAAACAAGCCATTCATTGTTGAGTCCCGCCGTGAGTGGCTGAACTCATCAAGTAGCCAACTCAGAACATTCTACATAACAGATATTGAATTTCCGAAATTGACTACCAGCACACCCTCAGAGGGTGGATCACCCACACCAGGATCAGCGGATCAGAATCCTCTCCCAATTGACGACCCTTTACGTGCGCTTCTCGACTCCTCTAACAACCCAAACTTTGCGCCGGACCAACCACGCTTGAACTGGAACGCCCATCCCGAGTTTGAGCCGGGATGCAACCCTGCCCGATCGTTTGTGTTTTCGAAGACAAAATTTCGAGCATACAATTTCTCCTGCAGCTCTTTCATTGACCTCGTTGAAGACGAGAAATGTTGTAGTGGTGTGTCTGTTGGTCCTTGCTTGCGAATACGGATTGGCTCACGACGCCCCGCTCCGATAGATTGGGAACCGTCCGATAAAATTACGTCTTCAAGGAATCAATCGATCGGCCCGCCTCCCCTTGGTGATACCTGGTACCGTCACTCTTCAATAAGGATGTGGCCACCGCCTGCGAATACATGCCCCTGCTCGAAAAGACTGCATGAGATCCTCAATCCTCGAATGGTCTCAGAATCTGTCTATAATAGGACTATTACTGGTGAAATGGATGAGCGCAGCTTTGTATACATGGTTCGGCCGGGGAGGTCATACTCGACGGACGACGAGAACGCCTTGGGCACCATCATTGCGATCAGCTTCAACCGCGAAAGGCGCGACACGTCGACCCAAGAGCCGGAACTAAACAGTCAGGGCCATTCCAAGGACGTATTCAATCCCTCTTATTGGCACTGGCAACCTGGGCATCTTTGCCGAGTGCAGCAATGTTGCTGACAGAGTTCTCTCTTAATGGAGCAAAACATATGACGTGCTCTTCATGTTACGCAAGGACATAACCAATATCTGCCTTACGCCCTGGGATTCGCCAAGCATATCTTGCCGGTCAACTTCCCCGCACACCAGGCAGCGATAAGTGTCTGTCAAGGACTCCCGATGGACAAGGCATGAAATTAATCAGTCAGGTAGCACCAGGTGCATCATCCACATTTATTTGATGGGTTCTAGACCAGTCGCCGCTTTAGATCGGCCTGCAGCTCAGAACAATATGTTCGCTTAGTCATCACTTCAAGGAGATACTTGCACATTCCCCATAGCTTCCAGCAAAAGGCCATAAGGCTTCATTTGTGTTTTATGGAGGAGCTCCGATCCTTTTGTATGAAATTTTGGCTCATGAAAGTTGTTGCAAACTGCTGGTTCTTTCTCGTGAACGTTCCTTCTCCTGAAAAACTTATCCACATCCTTTCACTAACTGAATCAAATAGGAATGGCCGCAGGTCTCTCCTTCCACGTTAGAGACCTAAGAAAAATGAGAAAGGAGAAGAAAACGAATTTCTTAGGGTCGCGAGTTTGAGGCAGGTAAAACCAACGCTCTTCAACTATAGTCGATTCTGAGAAATTCGAGGGCTCGAGGCCATCGCTCCCGCTACACTTGCACAACCTGCACAACCTACAAAGGTCTCTTCGCTCCCCATTCCAATCACTCCACCAAGCAGAGTCATTCCGCCACCACCTCATACCACCTTGCAAAGAATCGTCCGCCAAACGGCGACATCCACTCTTCCAATCCCACACCCCTATCAGAGCCCACGACCTACGCCCCGCAGACGCCCTCAACCTACCCAGAGTCCCACGCCAACACCCGCGGTCCGCGCCGTGAATCATCCGATAAACCCAGACCTATAAGCAAATAATTGTTTCCAGCGCCCTTATACAGATATTTGAATGATGCATGCTGCTGCGTGCATTGATGATGCAAACGCGTACGATGTCCAGTTCAATCACCTATTCACCCCCCCCCAAAGCCCGGCTACCCACGCCACGCGTTATACCGTACCTCCACACCCGTCGCCCCTGCCACCAATAGCACGTCATTTTCCTCCTAGGCGATTCTCTTCCCAATAATTCACCGATCAGGAGATGCGCGCGGATGGCTAGTTAGCCACGTTCTGCGAGAATTGTGTGTGTTTGTGTGAGTGGCTGAGACGTGCAACTTGCATATGCAAAAACGCTCCTTTGAACCTCGAGGGCGAAGAACGCAGGCATCTGCATGTACTGTCCTGTGAATGTACATGCCAATATTTGAACGCAACTGCGGCAGACTGCTTCCGAGGAGCGTAAACATCTACCATTAGACAGCTACCCGTGCACCAAACAATACGATCCGGTCTCTGCAATCGAGCGAAAGGCGGAGATGAGGGAGACCTGTCTGGTGTGGGGGCCCGTAATGGAGGACGCTCCTTTTCCGGCGATGTAGCAGGGCAGTGCATATAAGGTTACTAGATCTAGAAAGAGGTGATGCTGGCTTGTTCGGAAAAGAAATATGCGGCTCTGAAACAAGCCGAATAAGGTCTGATTCGTCGCCCGATATTATGATATATTGGTTGAGTGGGGTTCAGAGGGTGATGGTTTCGGATGGGTTGGTGGGATGTACGTTTGTTGTTTGTTTAGTAGATGGCGGTGTATTAGTTGCCTCCTGAAAAATTCAACTACTACAAGGAATGGCCTCGGTGAAGCTAAGAGCGAGGGCTGGCTCTAATAATAGTATCTCGAACTATCAGCGACCAAAACAAAGAGAGAAATCGCTCGAGACACGTCCTCGCATACCTCCATTTCCCCATCCACCTCTATTGTCTGTCCTGTGAAAGGAACCTGGCGCTGTTTTTGCGCCTTCTCCGGGTGCTTCTCGCTGGAAGACTTCGACACAATCCCGCATACTACTATTCTCATTGTTTAAAGCTAGCAAAGTCTTGCAATGATCTGATCCGTTATTTAACACAAATATTTTTATGTTATGGTAATTTTTTTTAGGAATAAATCCTGTATGTGCTATGGTACAAAAAGTGTATAATCTTTTAACTAACCTCCCACGCCCAGTCCAGTAGAAAATTCTTGTCTTGCCTTCTACCTAACCTGTCCGGCGATCCATCGTGCACAAATATCGCAAGGCCATCTCTATTCTAGTCGATATATTCCTTAGAGCTAGCGACTCAATCCCGCAACTCCAAGAACTAAGACCCCAACTAGACGGCGAGCTCGAGCTCGAGCTCCCCACAACCTCCTTCCAGTCCCTTGGCCTCAAACCCATCTCCCAAGGCGTGAATACCAGCGCCGCTATGCAACCCCTTTGGTTCCCCTACCCCCTTCACTCCATGTTCTTCCGTATCGTACCCACATCGCTCGCACAACTCTGGAGAGTTGGCGGCGTTGGATATCGATGACTAGGATGGACTCCTTTTCTCTTTGACATGACGTGAGCCACGCGAAGACAGAGCTCATATATATTTCCGGCTAGCATGTTAGAGGCAGACACCCACCCAGTCTTAGAATCTATTGGATATTACAGGAACTTGGCTAGATTTTGTACATGGATAGAAAAAGTAGCAGAGGGAAAGCAAGGAGCATGGACAGAAGCGAGATGATAGTTTTCCTATCTCTTACTCCTAGGCGTCGGCTCTGCTTCACTTCTCCTCTCCTCCTCTCCTCTCCTCTTCTTGTTCGAAGCCACTAACAGAACATATTTGTGGCAATAAACTAGACACAGTTGAGCAGAAAGTATGAATCTGAGCGCTTGGGAGGTAGTATTATACAGAAGCATACCAATCCTCTCCGCTCTGCCCAACTCTGCCAAACTCAGCAGCTCGGGGCTAGGTAGCTTGCGTAGAAAGATATATCTGTGTAGGTTACGACTTTGCCCTTGGATATGCGCGTATTTGAACGGAGGCATGCAAGGGAGTATGGAATCTTCAAGATTTAAGACGAGAAAGGAAGAATGCGTTTTCAAATAAAGCTTGGCTTTGCCACCCTGTCTCATGAGTTTGATAGCGTCGGATATATCAGACTCAGAAAAAAAAAAAAGAACAGCACCTGAGACGATGCTTTCGATCAGGGCAAGAATATATCTTCTAGATTATCTATTTATGTACCGCGCTATCCACTGTAGATGACGAGAGCCTCCCAGAAGTGCTGGTGCTGATATAGAAGGTTCGAATACCGATATTTCACAACCCCATCCAAAGTAACTCCAAGCTAAAGGGATATCCGGCACAAAGACAAGGAAATGCTGGTAAGGGATGAGGCCGAGGACGCCAAACACTGTTATTGCGCCCAATGAAAGGTGGGGTGTATGTACAAATGCGAGAGGGGGAGGGAAGGAGAGAACCTGGGGGGGTGGGAAGCACGCGATGCTGGGGGAACATCCTGGGAATCTAAACCATGCGACTAAGAAGGATACAAGGATCCGAAAAATCAAGTTGCGAGCGATCGGAAGGGGTCGGTAGGATAGACACGGATACCGCGATGGTGTTTAGGTGGGTTTGGCGAAGAAGTATCCACCCTCTCGGAAAGCGCTGAGAGGCTCCGTCCGTCCGTGAACTCGATGTTGGGGTCCCAAATCTCAAAATGCACGACATGCAGTAGTTCGAGATAGCACGCGGCTACTGAGCCTAATCCCCTCAACGTCTTTGAGAATCGCTCCACTGATGAACCGAAATGCAGGTGCACGGCGGATAATTTCAATCTTGAAAGATTCGCCACTGATAAGATCGATGTATACCAGAATTGGTCTACAATTCCATGGCATCAACATCTCTCATTAGAACAGCCATCTGGGCCCTCTTTGCCGCTTCTGCCAGCAATCCATACTCGTTCAAGTATGTATTCGTCTCGGCAGCGGTCCGGCCAGCTCCATCCCGGTTTGGCTGGTAATGGTAGGCCGCTGGTCGCTGTGTGAGCGGAGTTTTCTGATGCACCTGGTGGCTCTGTTGGCTGTGCGGAGTCTTTTGCTGCTGCTGCTGCTGCTGCTGCTGCTGCTGTTGTTGTTGTTGTTGTTGTTGCTGCTGCTGCTTTTGCTGGTGACTTAGCGAGCCAAAGAAGCCCTGGTGGTGTGGGTGCATGGAGGACGGTGATGGTAGCGGCGCCGAGGAGGCGGGCGACGGCGAGGCGAGACTGGAGGAGCTGCTGTAGCTTTGGGAGCTTAAGCTAGCTGTGCTGGAGGATGAGAGGTGGGACTGGAGGGGAGGGAAGGCGGGGCGGGTAAACGATCGTGCCGGGTTAGTTGGTTTGGACATTGTGCTTGGGTGTGTTTGTTGAGATGCAATGGTGGGTGAGCGAGTCCAGCAGCGTCCTGATCTATCTCTTTGGTGTTCGACTTGGAAGGCACGAGGCACAGAGGTACTTAAGCGCGGGCGCGGTCTTGCTGGCGATGCATGGAATGGGAGACAGGCTTGTGAACAGGCCTTGAGCAGTAGCGAGTGGATCCGTTAAGTGAAAGTGGGTTGGCGATATTCGCAATAAGGGACAGATTGCCAACGCGTCCCGTAGCAGTGAGCGACGGCTGAATGCGACTTCTGGGTGCGGAGGGGAAAGAAGGCAGAACCCCTAGATGAGCAGGAGCAATAGGCGGTTTGTGCTGCCGAGGCAAGAGCAGTTCGAGTGTGTTGCATCATGGTGGACGCCCACAAGGCCAGCCAATCCCCGCTCCCATACAACGCGCCCTCCCAGCCTCGCCGCCCCCCTCACCCCTCCCCCTACCCCCCCACTCCCCCCGTCTCCAGGCTCAGCCTGATCTTTTGCCAGAGATACAATTGCAAATGCATCCGTGAACATGCCGGTGAGAATGCTTCAGTTTCCTCGTTCCTCGCATAGTTGACCTCTTCCAGCTCGTCCTCGTCTCCGGCTATCCGTCGTCCGGCAAGACTACGCGTGCCATCCAGCTCAAGGCCTTTTTCGAGTCCAAGATCGCCAACTCCCCCACTGATGCCCGAGTCGCCAGGCTGAAAGTGCATCATATCAACGATCAAACGCTGGGCTTATCGCGACACGTCTACCACACCGCTAAAGCCGAGAAGGATGCTCGGGCCGAGGAGTATTCTGCTGTAAAGAGAGTGCTTTCCCGCGACGACATCGTCATCGCTGATGGTCTGAATTATATCAAGGGCTTTCGCTACCAGCTGTACTGTGAGGCGAAAGCTGTCCAGACGCCCAGCTGCGTGGTCAGTATATAGCCCTTATCTTGCCGCTCCTTGTTGATTACACGTCGACTGACATCTCGGAGGTCCATATAGGCACCCCCATCCAGAAATGCCGCGAAATCAATGAGAAATTACTCGAGGACTGCGCGGTCGACGGCGGTTATGAAAAAGCGGACTTTGAGAACCTAATCTTTAGGTATGAAGAGCCCAATGGCATGACGCGGTGGGACAGTCCGCTCTTCACCGTGCTGGACGAGGACGAGACGCCGCCGTTCGACAAAATATGGGAGGCACTGGTAGGCAGTGACGGGAAGGTTAAACTCGTCCGACCGAACCAGGCGACGGTATTGGTACGTCTGAGGCCCTTTCCTGACCGGCTGTCAACTGACAAAGTTCCACAGAAGCCAGCAACTGAGCAGAATTACCTCTACGAGCTCGACAAGACTACCTCCGACATCCTCGCCCAAATAATGACCTACCAAAAGGACCACGCCGGAGAAGGAGGCGGAGCAGTCGTCGTAGCTGATGTCGAAAGCCAAATTGAACTCCCAGCGTCCCAGATGACGCTCCCTCAGCTTCAGCGCATACGTCGGCAGTTCATCACAATGAATCGCCAACACTCTTTCTCTAAAGCCCGCATGAGGGAAATTTTCGTCGACTACCTAAACGATCAATTCCGACGATAATCGCCACGAGCAAATCCGCATTGTTTTGTGGAGCCCGCCTTTGCCACGGACGGGACCATGCATCTCGCAGGACCTTCCTCGGCGAAACACAAACTCCAGACCCACTGTTCCTCTCCTCCGAAGCCGGACACAATCATCACTGGACAGGTCCACATGCCTGGGGCGCGCCCGCGAGGAGGAAACGCTCGCGTGTTGCAGATGCAGCCCAACAACGGCGTCAACAATGCCTGTTCTGAGCACATCCCCTTGCCTGTCCACGACTCTCCGATATCTTCCGGCCTCGATGGTACCCCAGAACCAGCCTTGTAAGGCCCCCCAGCCTCTCGTGTTGGCGCCGAACGAAATTACTACATTGGAAAATTCGGTGGTGTGACACAGCACCGAATCGCTGTTTTCCTAGGTTTCTTCTCCACATTGTCCACATTGGAGCTTTCTGCGAACGCGTGCCCTCTCCGCACATTACCGTACCCCAGGAATTAGGTATGTCAATGCTTTTGCTTTGGCGAGTTGCGGAGTCACCGGCTGCGTGGTTGGAGTTTCCCTAGTCACTAGTCGGAGGGTTCGGAGGCATGGTGTTGAGGACTGTGACAGGGAGTCGGCTCCGAGGACCAATGATTGGTGGAGGGAAGCTGTATAAGCATCGCAGACTTCCGTTTTAGGATTTGGAAAGTTTTGTTGGCGCCATATGCGGCTCGGCTGATGAAATGCGTTCTCTTTTTCTCCAAGGCTGCATTACCACTATCATCCCTGTTCTGCATTCCTCCTTGAGTTCCAGATGCTCTGCATCTCGGCGCTTTGATGTTTGAACCCTTTCAACTTTCTATTCGTACCTTTGTGGGACTCGTAATTAGAGACACCACAGTGCGAGCCATGAATCGAACACCCAGGTCTCCCATGGCACTGTCGAAGCTCTTGGCTCACGCTCAAAGTCGCAACACCTAAAATCTCACTATCATACGATGTTCGCCTGGGGACTCTAACTTCAGTTTCATGTCCGACCCTCTCTGTCCACAGTGCACACAATGCCACCACAGCCATGCAACTAATAACACCACACACAACCCAACCATTTGGATGGTGCCGAACAAAGCGCCAGAGAAAGCCAAACGGCACCGCCTCAAACCCTCCAATCCCACTTTCTCTCGGCAACTGGATGGCGCGTGGTTCGATGGTTCGAAATTTGCTTGATGACGTTGCACGAAAATAGACAAACCCCGCATAAGGCAGGCCGCCAGTGGCAGTTTCCTCATCCTCATCCTCATCCCTTACCCTTGGCTCCTCGTTCACCCTTGTCTTCCTCGTTTCCCACGTGGCCATCGGATCTGGGCCTTAGCCACTAAAGCCTCTAACTGGTCCCATCCTCCGCCTTGACCTCATTGTCTCAAGAACTGTGCATTGAAGGCTTCCCGCTCCTTTCTGCCGGTCCACACGCCATGCCGCACCCTTCTACTTGCATTAGCATCGAGATTCGCGATGGCTAACGACTGAGGGGCTGCGTGATGGTGGTACGATGGGGCTATCTGATTAGCATCCTGCCCAGACTGGCTGTTTAGGGCAGCCGAGTCAACCTTACTCATGAGAAGTCAGGACTTTTTGATCGGTGAGGTAGGTGCGGTGTTGAGTCAGGAACACGAGGGCGCTGAGCTTTCGAAGGATTTGAGGCGAATGGATGGATGATGAGTTTGAAAGTGTGGCCGAAATACCTCCGCGATGCGATGCTGATGCTGCAGAGCAGTGGGTCGGGTGGATTCGCAACACGCACACACCGCAAAATTTTTGATCTTGCTCTGGGGCACCCCAGGATCGCGGTATGAACCGGAGCAATTCTGCCCGATATCTATGGATCGCTGCTGTGGTGCGGAATAAACTGGGTGGAGAATGCTCCAACTCCTGGCTTGTATGGAGGCAGATCTCTGGAGTCGGGAGTGCATCTCTGTAAGTGGGCCACGGCAACGGGTCGGGTTGATGGGGAACACAGACACAGACACAGACACAGACTCAGCCAGATACGGGAATAGCCTTGGAAGGTCTTGAGATTTTTCTGCCTGCTTGATCGTCTGAAAATCTGGGGATCATCTGTGCTTGTAGCGGGGATGTTAACGATCGAAGAAACCTCTAGCTGGGTAGGGTGGCGACGATTTTCGGGGCTATGGGTGGCGGGTTTAAAGTGTTGATGATCCAGCGCCATGGTGATGGTGTGGGTGTGTGTTTGTGCTAGAGCTCAGCTCAGCTCAAGGGATGGAGGGGTTTGGTTCATGATCGTTGATGTCACTTGTCACTTGGAACGGGAGCTAAGCTCTGTAGTCAACGAATTAGAGAGCTCAAGCTCGAGTCGTGTCCAGTGTCAAGGTCACACGAGCAAGAAGAAACTTGTATCTGAAGTAGATGTGCGTCGTTTCCATACGTACAGAGTGAGCAACTACCATACCATCAATGGTTAAGCCAGACTCTCATCAGGGTCTGCAACAAAGAGCACAATTCCAAATTTGAGAAAAAGAAAACAAAAAATCCATATCTACCACGATCGCCAGAAGGAACCCCAAAACTTGCAGGTGGTTGCACTGTAGAGAAACAAGTCCACTTTATGTTCAATAAAGCCCCTGACAAGGGCTGAAGAAAGGAAAACAGTAATTAAAGGATAGGACGCCTATGAGGCAAGCAAAACAGAGGAGCAAAGAAAACAAAATACAAAAGCGTGATTTTTAGGAAAGCGCTCGCGGTATTGCGAGATTTTGGTATCTCTGGGTTTCAATCGCAAGAATCCGAAAAGCGTGGGAGAAGACAGATAAAAAGACACATCGAAAGGGAAACATTCCAGGAGGAAAGTAACCACCCCCAGGTACAACTCCTCAACCCCTCAGACACCTAAATCCCAGCCTAGAAATCCAGATAGAAATCCGTACCAGAACCCAGAACCAGCCGTATCCGGTACACTGATAAGAATCCAGTCATGTCGGCATAATTTTCGTCTTAATTTCACCTGATGTTACAATCCAAAGTTTCCGTCCAGGCCTGCTAATCCAATCCCGCTGTTAGGCGTACTCATATCAGGAATCATGATCCCTTGATATACCCTTTCGTTGCCGGGCGTTGAACCGAAATCTCCAGTACTATAGTTACCAACGAATTCCTCCCCACTTGTTAGGCTTTCATCGCTGAAGCTGAGAACGCTTTGCGGAGGCGCCTCCCCAGTATGTCCCCCCCAATTCCAAACACTAGGCGACCAGGTAAGGTTTGTTTCCGCGCCTGCGGATAGTGGTGGGCAGTCGAGGAGAGCGTCTGCAGGTGGTCCGCCGTAGATGGTGTCGTAGATATTTGTTTGACCATTGTCGAGGCTTGAGAGGAGGCGTTCCCAGTCAGAGGCGGAAACTTCTTTTCCACAAGTATTGTTGCCGAAAGGGTAGTTGGCCAGAGGATCCGGGCCGAAAGAGAGGTAGTCGATGTTTGGATTCTGGCGGAGGGCATTGCTGGCTCGACGTTTAGTGTAGAGTGCTAGAGTGGAGCGGTGAGTGAGGGGGCTAAGAGTGGGTTCTGAGCGGGCGCCTGGCTCAGAGCGGATCGAGTTCAGGCTGGTTGACGATTGGTTGGCGTGGTGACCCATGGTTGGTGTGATGTGGGGGAGTGTAGCACGGCGAGGTTCATTCGCGTCTTGGCGAGCTTTTGCGGCAGCAGGTGAGAATCGAGCCGCGATGGCCTTTAGAGACTTTTGCGTAGCCCTGAATGTGTCTAGGGGTGCACGCATGCTGCCTTCGGAGTTGTGTCGGGAGATTGCTGGAAGGGGAGCTTGGTCGACGCGTGCAATAGAGACCATTGCATAGCCAAGACGGCGGAACTCGACAGCTCCTGCGGCAGTACCCTGATCTAGCATCTCAATAACAGCACAGACGAGACGATTGCAATCCTTGATCAGTTTGCCTTCGCGATCCAAGTTGAGAGTCTGGAACAACAGGCCAAAGCCAGCTTGGACAAGGACCTCATTCCGGTTCAGGCAGAAAGAGAAGCTCAACTTGCGCTCATCAAGGAGTTGAACGATTTGGACGATGTGTTTGCAGGCATCGCTGACAGCAACCATTGCCGAGGAGCCCTTGTCCCCAAGGTTGGCAACGACAGCTGGGCGATAGATCAGGGAGCGGATGTGATGATATGCCAAAGACTAGGAATCGTTAGTTCTTAAAACGTACACATGATGCTTGGAAAGGAAACATACTAAAATCGGCGACCTGCTGCTGGTAACGTTGGTGCTAGGCTTGTCTTGTGCAAAGGTAAGCTTGAGGTGAGGGGCCAGGTTGTTGAGCCAGTCTTCCAACTCGTCCGCAAGAGAAGTCATAGAACGGAAGGAGATCTCGTGCGACGTGGATGCGGGGTAGAGCTCCGTGAGAACTTTTGATAGGATACGCGATATACGGAAGAGTGCCAGGGCGCTCGAAAGCTTGGTGAACTCTCCGGGAAGAGTTGGCAAGAAACCCTTCTCGGTGACGTATTCATCGTCAGCATCAACGGGATACTCGCAATGAATATCCTCTTCTTTGAAAAGCTTGGGCAGACCGAGATGGGCGGCAGACAGACTACGAATGATCAGCACTAGTGCAGAGTGTTTTCAGAATTGATATTCTCACCAGTCGACGGTGTAGAGCGACCAGAAGACCTTCTTTCTGGTCTCACTTGTCAGAGCTCCAAGCGCGAAACGTTTCTGAGATTGATGCAAGCCAAGGCGTTGTGCCAGACTTATAGCCAAGCCTTTGTACTTGAGCAGGCGCGCATAATCGGCCTTCAGAAGGCAGTGGATCTGAGCCAGGACAAGGCATTGCAGGGTGGCGAGGTCGTTGTCCATCAAGAAGCTCTCAATGGCATTTTGCCACTGTGCTTCGAAGGACTCGACGTCTTGGCCGTCGCGAGGCTTGTGCAGGTTAGTAGCGGTTCTGTAGTGTAACGGTGGTGGGGGTTGCCTACATCGCTTGACAGTGCAGCAATACCAAACACAAGATTAAGATTTGCAATTGACTTCTTGTCAACCATGGTATCGGGACTGGCCACGTACTGTTCGTACAGCGAAAGGAAAGTCGGCCGGTGCAGAACTGGGAATAGGGGTGCCCATTCCTGGAAGAAGATGTTGATCATCTGGTCGGAGACCAACCGTGGTGGTGCCTTCCATGAGATGATGCGTCCAGGTGAGCGCGTCGCTGGCGGTTTAGAGCCGGAGCCGAAGAACGCGTCTGAGTTAACGTCGGCATTCAGACGACCCGTCTCCTGTGCTCTTTGCTTGAAAGCCTCTGCAAAACATCAGCGGTGGGCATGAAGAAGGGCATTTCAGGCGGGGCATACCAATAAGCGTCCTTCCACTGGACGTGCCGACAAAGTAGGAATCGCGGTTTTCGTCGTCAAGCAGCAGGGGCGTTTGCTGCACCTTAAACATGTCTTCCTTCTCTTGCGACTCCTCGCGGTTGTCAGAACTTGGCGATGGGGAACTCGATGTTCTCCTGGGTGAGGGATTTCCCTGTGAAGAATGCGAGTGTATCCGCGAGAGCATGTCTATTTTCTCGTCCTTCTCGTCTAGCAGCTCTTTAAGGTCGCGCACCTCTGCTTCCAGACTACGCACGCGCTCCTCCAGTGACTCCGTGTATCCTCTGGGGAATGCACGACGGCTGAGCTTGTCGCTCGTCTTGCACTCGAAGCCGACGTTCACACATTGCGTGCAGCTCGGGCGGATGCCATCGCAGCGTATCTTCTTGGAGCGGCAGCGATCGCACGCTTGGGCAATGCGGGTCTGGGCGTTGGACCCAACTTTGATGACCTTCATGGGGAGAATGCCAGGCATGATTGCGGTGTTGTTCAGGTTGCGTGAGATATTTAGGTCGTTCTCTGTCCGGTCTCAGGCCCCGGAGGGAAATCACGTCAAATGGGTGTCGATGCAGGTGCGACCATCCGGATGCGTCGGAGTGAGGTTGATGTTGTGGTGTGTTTGGGCTATTTGGTCAAGATGTCAGGAGAGATGCGTGGTAGCGACAAGATGACAAGGTCGGCGGGGATGAGCACATAAAGGGTCCAACAGCGAGAGCGGCGTACCGGCGTGCGCGGTGTGTGGATGCAGCAGACTAGCAGCGGCTGGGGCACGAGAAGTAAGATGGCGGAGGGAAACGAGCGTCTGGGGCAGCGTGTGGACGGCGATGCGGGGAAAACCCGCCTGGAAGGCCTTGAAAGCTCCCCCTGTCTTGCTGCCAGAGGCTTCGCACGGCCTTCTCACAAGCGTCGCGCGCACAAACAGGCCCAAATGGCGCCGGCGAGGGATCCCCTGCAAGAGCCAATATCGCACTTGGTCCGCAGTCATGTCTCCGTTCCTTTTTCGTGCGCTCGTTGCCACTAATCCCCTCTGATGCGATCAGCGACGAGGGTCCAGCGCTTCTCTCAACACTCTGAGCCGTTGCCTGTCTGCTGTCATCAATCGCCATGATCCCTCGACAAGCGCCCATCCACCTTGGGTGAGTCGCTATTCATGGCGTTGCGGGGTGCCGGTGGCTTCAGGAGAGATAGCTCCACACACTTCTGCCTCGTGCTGGAGGTCGGCCCGTCCGCTATAATTGCACGCACTGTGCCACCGAGCCCTAGCGGCAAGCCAGGCACTCAAACCGTCCACCGTGGCCTCCTCTCTGCGAGATTTGCTCTCTATCAGACAGCATCCCTCTTCCGACGAGGGTGTCGGCAGGGCAATTATCTGCCAAGGGATCGCTCTGGTGTTCCTGCTTTGCTCTGCGTTGCTCTGCTTTGCTGTGCCATATGACTGTTCTCTCGCACATCCACTTTAGGTGCCGCAGGAGCGCCTGTTTATATTGCAAGCTTGATGGTCGCTAAGGCACATCACTGTTGGGTCCAGCCCAGCCCACTCTATCTCTCTTCCAGAAGCTGGTCAAGACCAACTCTTGGTCTGCACCCTGGTCCATGATGGCCATGCGGTGTGATCATTCGACCCTGGCCACTCGTTTATGTTCAGGGCCCAAGTCTGGAGCACACAATGCAGCGATACTGGGCAACGTTCTTCGTGCTCCACGGCTTACGGCCAAGGCGAAAACTCTGGAGGGAAATTTGGCCTCGTCGTCCTTGGTCGGCCAAACAGGTTGTATTTGATCAAAACGTATTTAGGAGTATTTTGTTGATTGGGCTTATACAAGGCTCTGTGGATATAGTTGGATAAACACCGAATAGCTTCCTCCGGGAGTACGGAAGGCCGAGCCGTCTGACTTCTATGGCACCCGCGCACATATAGGAAATCCTATGCTCCTTCAGCATCATCAAAATTTTCGAAATGGCACTCTCAATCTGTGCCATTTCTGCATCAGAATGATGCCTAAGTGGCGTTTGCCGGCAGCAGCGCCAATCGTTACAAGAATTTGAAGGCTGTCTGGGAAGACGAAGAGGTATGAATGGCGGAGAGCCGACGCTTACGCAGGCGTCGATATGCTTGTCAGATGTCCCTGGCAGTTTCCTAAACAGTCGATCTCTTAAAGTGGTTGGGAGCGATGGTAGATTAATAGGTGCTACCGGCAGATATGAGTTTGGTCCATCTCTCTCCATGCCCTCAAAATTGGGTCGCCTGTGAATAATGACACCAATGTGGAGGTCATCAATTCCCTTAGCTGAAGTCCACCTCTTCTTCGCCCTCTTCGGCTCTCTCCTCAGAAAGGCCGAGATAATGTTTCACGACCTCTGATTGAAGGAGTGTCCCTTTCTGATTGTGTGTGATTACGTCAGTATAGTTAGACGCTTGTTAGAACTGTATGTGGGTGGGGGAGTGGAGTAGCTTCGGGAAGAAGTGATGATCTCGTGGCTAGCGGGCTGCAAGTTGGGAATAGACACGACTTACCTGATCTTCGAAGTCGTCCCTGGCCATCTCTAGCATTTCAGATTCGAGACTGCGGAGTCGGCCTGCGAGTTGCCAAGGGCCTTCCCTTATAGACACATCCCGTTCAGGATTGCCTGTTTCTCGTAGTAGCTGAAGCTGACTCCTCACTCGGTTCTGCAGAAGAATAATAGCGCGGAGTTGATAGACATCCCACAGCGGATCCGCTTGCAAGAGCTCTCGAAGCTTAGAAGTATCGGTCAGTTCGTGATCTTTCCAAAACGCTTGGATGTCTTTCTGTCCATCAATGGTTTGTCTAAGCTTAAAGCCCAGTCCATCCTCTTCGTTAACAGCGACCAACCATATAAAGTCGCTCTCCCAAGCCGTGTGGCCATCCTTTTCAAAAATTCTAACTCCTGGGGCAACGTTCGCAACGGCGATCTTGGCTGGCCTTAGGGGATCACCAGCAGGGATATCGAGGTCCAAAAACATAACTTTGGCTGACATCATTGTTTCTTCAAGGAAACCGTACGAGAAGATGTTCTCGCAAGCACCCTTGTCATCGCCGTATCTGGAAGACATCAGCATGATGGGTGTAGCAAATTTGTGCTTGTGTTGAGATCCTCATACGTTATTGTGACCTCGCCGTCTTTCTGGATTTCTTTCCCTTCCTGAAGGAGGAGTAAGCCACTGCCACTATCGTCAGTCTCGTAGAGTGCAGCTGTAGCGTCTCCAGAGGCATGGTTAGCCATATCAACGCAAGGCACCATACAGTCTCCAACGCCGGGAAACTCCAAAGCGCGGGACCGGTACATAGCGTCAAGCCGCATCCAGTCTTCAAAAGTTAGTTGTCCCTCTTCTTCATCCCACCAATTCTTTGCGCACCAATCAATACTCTCGGTAGCTGTCCGGACTGCGTCAAATTCTCGAAGTAGGCTATTCAGTTTGGCACGAACTGCCGCTCTAAGCGTTGTCCCAACGAGAAGCTCTTGTTCCTCTTCGGTCCAGAAGGTGGGGAGTAGTTCGTCTGGGAGGAATTTGATATACCTGAATTAGGATTAGTCCTGAAGCACTACCCACAGGTAACCAATATTACTCATTGAAGGGATTTAGGACACCAATGTCCTTTATATCAGGACAGGAGATGGTTGCTTGCATGAGCAGGAATATCAAAATAGCGCCTCGGGCTTTCTAAGATGTGGTTAGTAACTAGGCGAAATACGGGGAGATGATCTCTCACATATCCAAAATCTCCCACGGCATCGAGAACTTCTTTGAGATGCCGATCAGATTTCGCGAATATGTCGACAGTCTGACGAGACAGGATAAGATCCTTAGGCACCATGATCAAAGGATCCTCTTTACCGCCCCGAAGATCACGAGTCGCAATCACGGTCGACCCTCGCTGCTCGAAGCCAGACATTTGTCCAATCGTAGTGCCATTGAAAGTAACACCGTGAAATTCCGCCCAAGCAGGCAAAGCATCGATTGGCTGCCTGAGCCAGCCTTCAGCCCTCCCCCTCCGAATCATTTCAAGAAAAAGTCAGTTTTACTTGCTACGCTATTGATTCCGGCTACCGGGCAATGCGATAATGGCCCTTCTCGAGAGCCAGGAGTCCTTTGGAGGAAATGTGAAGTGGGAGGTTCCAAAATAGAGGGAGTACGGCAACGAGGAATGGGAAATAAGAGGGCTCCAGGGTAGGGAATAGAGCGGAAGTGCTTAGAGTTCAAGCTCCCGAGCTGAGTACCAACCTTGGTTTACCCGGTCGTGTGCGATATGTTGCTCTCTGGTGAGCTGGTGACAATCGATTCTCGGTTACCAGATGGCGCAGGCCTAACCTACAGTAACAAACACACAATTGAATTCCAGGAGAGCATCACCTCGAAAACCGCTGGATGGAGCTCGGCCAACCAAAGCAGTGAAAGGTTGTCGTTGGGGTGAGCTCCCAAACCCTTGTGCATGGAAACTCGGGCGGTCGTGCGCTATCCTAAAGCGGCTTAGCGTTGTTGACGTCGCGAATTTCAAAACAACATCCAAAAGCTCATTTCCAAACCACCTCGCTCGCCCATCCACCATCCCCAGGACCCGCATCTTTACAATTATTCCTTTCTGCAGCGAGGACGACCGTCGACCAGCATTGGGCGACCACGACAGTACATTCCACAATTCTGACCACACACCCTCACCTCAAACTCTGCCGAGGCCGCTGTTCTGCTTCCCTGGTCGTCGCAACTGCTCTCCTTGACTTTCGCAGCTTCCAGTCGATCTTTCCTCGAGTCTGGGTAGCCCTCGGAGGTCGCGCTTTCTGGAATCATGTCTGCGCATACGAGGACTGCTAAACTGCCCCAGGGCACTACGACCAGCTATGGGCAGGTCATCGAGTACATCCAAGGTATGCACCCAAACAATGCCCCAAACATTGTCCCAGATGTTAGGGCTTGAGACACACAGAATATTAAGACACTCCCGCCATAGATCGCTTGTATCTCGCCTCATATACGCACCCGCCAGATGCTCATACACCGTTTCCTTATCCACGACAGAGTCGCTCCCCAAGCAAGCGGTCGTCCAAGGCGCATCCTGGCCCCATTGCGACCGGCCCGAAGGTCCACCCTCCTGTGTACTTCACCATCGACAAGACTCTTCTGTATAACGCATTCCATGCCGACTTCGGACCGTTACACATCGGGCATTTGTACCGTTTTGCTGTCCAGCTGCACGAAGTGTTAGGGGATCCAGCGAACGAAGAGAGAGGAGTGGTGTTCTGGAGCAATGCCGACTCAAGGAGTATGTCCGCTCATATGCACTCGTATTAACAGTCCACTTGCTCACTGCTCTCTAGGCCGCGCGAATGCTGCTTGCATATTGGCCTGCTACATGGTCTTGATCCAGGCATGGCCTCCTCACCTTGCACTAGCGCCAATCGCTCAAATGGACCCCCCCTGTATGCCGTTCAGAGATGCAGGCTATAGTCAAGCCGATTACGTCCTAAATATTCAGGATGTCGTCTATGGTGTCTGGAAGGCCAAAGAGGAAGGTCTTTGCGGGCTAAAGGACTTTTGCTTAGAAGAGTATGTTTGCCCCTCAGAGGCTCTTTTCACAACTAACAGTCGTAGGTATGAGAAGTTTGAACGGGTGGACATGGGCGATTTTAACTGGGTGACCCCAAATTTCCTGGCCTTCGCCTCACCACAACATCAACCCACCCACGTGATACCCCAATCCGCGCCGATGTATTCCACTTTACCAAAGAACATCGCCGAAGTTCAAAAGTCATCTCTTCCGACATCGTTCAAAAATGTACTTTCCCATTTCACTGCACGGAACATTGGCCTGGTCGTGCGACTCAACTCCGAACTTTACTCCTCATCCTACTTCACCGCACTTGGAATTCAACATTTGGACATGATATTCGACGACGGAACCTGCCCCCCTCTTTCACTTGTGCGAAAGTTCATTAATCTCGCTCATGAGATGATCACGGTACGGAAGAAAGGTATCGCTGTTCATTGTAAAGCAGGGCTCGGCCGCACTGGTTGTCTTATCGGAGCATACCTTATCTACAGACATGCCTTTACCGCAAACGAAATCATCGCGTATATGCGTTTTATGCGCCCAGGAATGGTGGTTGGTCCACAGCAGCACTGGCTCCATCTGAACCAATCCACTTTCCGAGAGTGGTGGCACGAGGATACAATGAAAGCAAGATATGCTGAGATGGCGCCCTCGACGCCTACGAAATCATCTCACAGGCAACGTCTTGCAAGCAATGGACAAACATTCACTCCTCCCAATGGATCTTCCCGGCGGGCTGCGCTCGGTGAGATTGAGTCGAATGAGCGAAGTAATACCGGAACGTCTTCAATTGGTATTCAAGAGGACAACCTCCCCGCTCCAACGCCCGGTCAGCCGCGCAAAACGAGCAAGCTCTATGGTACTGCCAGGCAATCTCCACAACGTGTGAATGAGAACGAGCCATTTGTAAAGCCAGATACTGAGGTCGTAGTACAGCGACATACTCAGCTCGACTCTGAAACGGAAGAGGAATTTCATCTCCGGATGATGATGGCAAGGAGGACTGCGTCACGGTCGCCAAATGGGAAGGAGAAAAGGCGAGCGATTAGCTGCACCACTACAACCTCGACAACCATGACCGCTTCTTGGAATATGAGTGGAGAAAGCGATATTGAAAACACCGCCCCACTGGGTGCCCGACCAAAGACACCGGGACGTGAGAAGAGCGGCAGTGGACGTGGTGACATCAACGTTGGCAAAATACGAACCAGTCCAAGTCGACGAAGCACCGAGAGCAAGAGTGGCGTGAGGAAGACTAGCGGAAGAGTAGGCAGCGTTGGCAATGCAACCATGACCCGACCAAAGCCATAGAAGGTACCACGGCGTTTGACTTGAGAAAAGCATATGCATCCTTGTCGGTGTTTTGGCATGAATGGCGTACTGGGTTCGTCTTCTCCGTCATGAGCTTTCCTCTTCCTTCTGTCACAAGTCACTTGAGGCGTTATGTCCCCGACAACATTCAACTAGCATCTGGTCGATACACATCCCACTCTCGGAACTTGGGGAGCGTTTGCTGGGTAAGCTTTTTTGGCCGTTAGTGTGAATATGGGTTGGGCTATTTTTGATTTTGGTCGGTATCGGGCGTGTGGGCAGTCTAATCTTTTCTCTCTTTTGCGTGTTTCTTGCTTTTCGACTCACTGTCTGCTTTTTCTTGCGGTTCTGTCATCTCTGCTTCGGCGGTATTATTATGACTGTATGACATAAATGAGAGCGTAGTCTTAATCGTTCGATCAAACCCATTACTCAATGCCCCTCTGCTTCTGTGAGGGTGGCACTTTTAGGAGCGTGAGTTCTGACGGCTTTAGGGATTTTGTACAGATGCAATATAGGACTGAGCCTGGTGCGACTAGCGTCAGAAGTCTACATCTTCTTGACCTTTTTTGCATTTTATTGGCAGATTCCAGGAAATTTATTCACAGAGTCCGCGTTCCAGAGGCCACATCAACATACTTTGCTTCCTCCAAAGGTGTGAAGAAAAGGGCATCAGCCCTCATGCTACCCTAAACGGCCCTCATTCAATCCTCAACCATAGCAAAAATCTTCCGGAACCAACCGACCGCCTGCTCTTCAGCCTGCATCCCCTTCTCATTCTCAACTGGATCCGTCTGGCTTCCTCGGACCGCAAACCCATGTCTTGCTCCTTCATACCAAACCACTTCATGCTCACCCTCGCCCTTTTCCATCTTAGCGCGTAGGATGGCTTCGGTTTCATCGACCTGCGACTTCGGGTATCGCTTGTCTAAAGCCCCCGCGGCAATGCTCGTCGGTTTCTGGATCTTCTGGATATCGGAAGGGATGGTGAGTTGGGAGGGGTGCGCGGTGTATGTGGCATCTACGAGGGGCTTGTCGGATGATTCCCCTTGTTCAGTGTTCCAGGCGAGAATTGTGGACCATTTGCCTCCCTAAATGAAATCAGTATGACAGTTGGTTCGGGCATTGTCGTCCACTTGCACCATATTTTCAGGGGCCAAGGGGGTTTGTTTTAGAAAGACGACGGGAACGGGTGGGCCTTACCCAACAGAATCCAGCTGCCCCAAGAGGGATATGTGCTGCTTCGTCCTTTCGGAGAGCGTGGAAGAAGTTGAAGATTCGGGGACGCATAACCGAAGGCCGTGTGGCAATGCGAAAGGGGATGATGTACCATATGCATTTTAGCAAGTGCCAGAGTGCAGAAAGACCGCCTGCGTCGAGGGCATGGATGGAGATTATGAGTTCGGGTGGTGCAGCGCGTCCTGTGATGGGTGAGCTGTTTGGTGGTTTTGCTGTTGTGCGACGGGAGGATGTAGATAGCTTAACCTACAACCCTAAATGGGATTTATGGTACATGTTCACAAGGGAAAGGGCAGAAATATAAGAATAGAATATGCCAGGCGCCGAGAATGAGATAGACGGAGTGAGAAGGGAAGAGTTAGGAACCTGGGTCTAAGTAGGTGCTTGAAACTCGAACTTCAAAGATGCAGACCTACCAGCCATGAACTCGGGCAGATACACAAGCCATTCCCCCTTCTGGGCATAGTTGTCCGCAAGTATCCGATTATTTGAAAGCTCCCATCCAAACACATCTGGCAAGATTACTATTACGCCTTTTGGCGAGACACCCTGAGCTGGCTCGGCAACGTAACAATCGAGTCCATGGACCTTCGCCACTTTTCCTGTCGGGGTTCCTTGGTGGATTTCTCCTGCTACACAGCACTGGCTTGACATTTTCCGTGAACTCAAACTGGAGCACAGTCGGTCAGGGAGAGAATGGTGGTCGTCGTTTCAATGAGTGGAAATAAGAGAAATTATTAGCGGCGAGGATCCGACGCAGGTAGAAAGCACGAACGGTCCTGGGGCTTCTATATGCATTGGTGGAAAGTCTAATTGAGTAATAGGCCCCGACATGCCCACGTATTTCTACAATACCAAATGTGACCTGGAGGTCAAAAGGGTGAGGTTCCACTGTCGAACTAATCAGAATGCCGGGATCTGCGTGCAATGGCGCAATTAACTCCGAGTGAAAGACCTAACGCCGATTGAGGTTCTGAAGACTTGCACCAACTGCGACACAAGCAATCAAACTTTGACCATGGTAGGCTGGAGTCACTATGACACGTGGAAGCTAGGATCATAGTTGATAAGTGCGTAGGTTCACGCAGAAGCGTCGGCGTTCGGAGAGGGGCTGTCAAAGAAGGTGGCCTATGCGCAGGTGTTGGAGCAGGCAAAGGCGTTGTTTGAGGGCCAGCGGAACTGGGTGAGTAAACGCTTCCCCCAGATATCAGATTTCTGTTCTGGAAAGCCCCTTTGACAAAGTCTTTAGGTCTGGTAATCTTCTTCCCAACTTCTTCAGGTTACCGCGCTCATGCATTCAAGGAAGTAATCTCTCCAATACCGCATCGCTTCTTTATCACGCCCTACATTCTCTCCCCTCGCCCTCAAAGGCTACTAACTGGTGTGGTTTCTACGTCATTGACCCCAAGAATCCCAACCAATTGATTCTCGGCCCGTTCCAAGGCCATGTCGCGTGCCAAACAATAGCTTTCGGAAAGGGTGTGTGTGGAACCGCTGCAGAAACGAAGATAACGCAGGTCGTAGAGGATGTGGAAAAGTTTCCGGGACATATAGCTTGCGATGGAGCGAGCAAGAGTGAGATTGTAGTCCCTGTACTGCGGGATGGAAAGGTAGGCAGGGCGCGGTTTTCACGATGGACAAGAGCTGATGCAGAGATAGATGGTAGCAATTATAGATATCGACTGTGCGGAGCTGTCAGGATTTACTTTAGAAGATCAGGCTGCCTTGGAAGAGTTGGCGCGTCTTCTTGCAGACTCTTGCGACTTCTGATGTACAGATATTTGTGCCGGGAGAGAGCCAGTTCTCAAATAGCTCTCTAAACCGTCTCGAGTTTCGGATGAGGTTAGCATATGGTAAATTTGACTTTGCCCGGTATGGGATGTGTGTGCCTTTCCTGTAGCCCCATCTTTCTTGCAGAGATCAGTGGTTCCAGTTATTGCCTCGCTTCTCCCGATTCCGCCACAGGATCGGGCCTTGCACGTATTCATAGCTCAACGATGCTGTCTTCACCCTGAGTAACCCACAGAGGACACCGCCATCTTAGAGATGAACACATTCGAGCGCTCTAGATTGCCTGGATTAATACACGCCAAAGGAAAGCCGACCCGCAGGTTGATTATTCCAAATTCCGTCAGCCAAGTGCGGCTCGTCGTGACGTTGTCGGCGGCATGACATACAGGTAAGGTCGGGATTCTTTCGGAGCCTCCCCGCACCACCCCTCCATCTGCATGCTGTACTCTCTCCACGATAGGTATAAAATCCCATCAATTTCTACAGCCATACCCCCTTACTCCCCATTTACCTTTTCATTCCGGCAAGCAATTCGAGCACTTAAGCATCTCGCATCGTCCTTCGCCTGGCTAACTGTAGCTTACACAACCTCCCGTCAATTACACGCTTCTAGAATGGCAAGCAAGCCAATTGCGACGCTGGATGTAAGATATTTTCATGGTGTATATAGTATGTTGACTGATTGACCAAGGCGTCACTGATTCCCCGTCTGCCGCCTTCTGCCCCGACACTCTTCGAAGCAAAGAAAGCGAAGAATCTCAGTTTCGAAGCCATTGCGAAGGAAGTCGGCCGAGACGAAGTAGCGGTTGCTGCTCTGTTCTACGGGCAATCGCAGGCCTCCCCAGAGGATATTCTGAAACTCTCGCAGATTTTTGACATTCCCTACGAGCAGCTCGAATCCCAACTCTCGGGATATCCAGATCGGGGAAGGACAATGGACATGCCGCCCAAGGAGCCACTGATTTACCGTCTGTATGAAATCGTCCAGAATTACGGGTACGCGTACAAGGCCGTGCTGAATGAGAAGTTTGGCGATGGCATCATGAGCGCCATCAGTTTTTCAACCAAGGTGGAGAAGGAGACGGATGAAAAGGGCGACTGGGCAGTCATCACCCTCAGAGGGAAATGGTATAATAGCTTCTTTATGTTTAGGGTACAGTAACTAATAGCGACTTCAGGTTACCTTATTCCCGATTCTGAGTAGCGTTGAGTAGTAATCCATAGCGTAGCCTCTCGTAGTGAGAACGCTTAACTGCATAGTAGCACTTGTTCACCAGTATATTACTGTGTCGCAGTCAATTAGAGAATGAATATCGGTCGCAGGCTATTTTCACTGACTGGGCATATTTAGGTTGCATAGCTCAGCCATGGCTAGAAGCGGGCACTTTGGCATCAAGCTTCTGTCGCACGTCTAGGCACAGAACTGTCGACAAATCTAGGTCATCTATACCCAAAGAATATTCTATATAAAACTGGTCAACGAGCCTCCTTGTAGCTGTTGAAGTTTACAGGCTCATGTTTCGTTGACAGGTTTGTCGAACCTTCGTTCGCGCCTTCTTCTTGTCTACGGGTCGTCACCTCAACCGCACAACTCTCGCTCCTGCCTCTTCCGATCTCCCTTTCACCGACATTCCATTGGGCCATCCTATAAAGCCTCCACCGTCCTCTTCTTCAATCTTCCTTCTTTCCTCCCTAACGTGACTCGAAACTACCTACCATCATATAGGTCTGCTGGCATCTCTTCTCTCGTGCTCTTCGTACCAGGCTTCATAGCCAGGACCGCTCCATTCGGCAGCACCTGACTGATTTTTTCATTCGACTTCCTCCACAATGACTGCCACCCTCAAGCCGATCAAGCGTGTCAAGTGCACGTACCAGGACTGTCAAGCTTCCTTCGACACCGAGAAGGAGATGAAGCGGCACAAAAAGTACTCAGTGGAACACGATTACTGCCAAAAATGCGATGAAGACTTCGAATCTTATGATGAGCTAGCCAACCACAAAGCCTACCGCCCAGACAATCACGGTAAGGCCTGTCGAGTATGCGGTGAGGAGTTCAAGTCTGTATCCGGCCTGAAGCGCCATATTGAGCTCGTACGTGCTCTTTAGTGATGTGCGAGGCTAGCATCCATTAATATCATATAATAGGCCCATCGCGTGGATCAGAAACTTCCTTGCATAGGCTGCGGCGAGGAGTTCTATCGTGCTTCCCTCCTCATCGAGCATCTAGAATTCGGACACTGCTCCATGATATCCTCCTCGCAATTCCAGGGGCATATCGTGCACAAATTTCTCATCACTCAGCTCTTAAAAGGTGGCCCGGAGTATGACCGGTTCTTGCAGAAGATCTCAAAGCACAATGCGGCTGTAGATGATGAAGACAGCGGCGGAGTGTCTCTTGGGCTCATGGATGAGGAAGCTGAAGAACTCCATGATGTCGAGTTCCAAGCTATCAAGCCCGACATCCCAGCCGAGTCTATTAATCTTGCCGATAAGATTCCAAAGCCTTGGCCTCTGCTACCGTCTCAAGCGAAGAGTGTCGATGCAGACTCGGGTTTGCTTTCCCCGTTCTCCAAATTGTCTGTCGATGGAGATGACGACTCAACCGCAGTGGCGAGCACAGCCGATGAAAGCTATGTCTCTGCAACCAGTAGACAATTCAAGGTATGGGGTAGTGGCAGATCCTCTAGCACCCTTTTTCCGAAGGCGAAACCCACACCAACAGAATGGTCCATTGCCGAGCACGACCAGCAGCTTGAGGAAGAGCATGGAATCAACATCCTGGCGACTCGTTTCTGGGACCCAACGAGCACCGACTACAACGCAGAGCGATTCTTTGAGCCTATTACCGGTGCGTACCGTTGCCCTTTCCCATGCGAGTAAGTCTTTCCGTAAAAACATTCTCGCGAAAGATGAGCTAACCAGTTCAACAGGCAGGCATTCGACATCCCCGCTGACCTCAACAAACACATCATGGACGACCATCGAATTACAACCATGCGTTGCCCATCCTGTCTAAAGAAATACAGGTCGGCCACGGCTTTGGTCGCCCACTGCGAGAGTCGTAGCAGCAAGTGCAGGGTCAGCCAAGCAGAAGACTTTAATGTGTTCCTAGACAGACTGACTGGAGGTTTCCTCAGTGTCGATGAGAAGACCCGTCCCGAGTTCATATACAACCCCACGGTCACCTTCAGGAACTCCGAGACGGGAGTCGTAGAGCGGTACAAGCCTCCAACAGCATCATATCTCCAGTACGAAACTACCAAACCTGCCGATTGGAAGGAGCCGGAGCGTAAGACTGGGTGCACTATCGGAGGTGGAGGCGGGAATCGCGTTGGTCTTCCCCCAGCCTGGAAGTGATTTAAACGATCGAGTTCCGGATGTTTCTCTGCGGGTCTTTTTAGTGTCCAGGTGGCTAGTCGGCGGCACTCTCAGATCTTCCTGCGTCTCCTCCAATTCTGCATATCTTCCCACCTCCTCCCAAAACGTTACTCGTCCCTACCAGATTTGCTCCGGAAATGGGCACGAGATGGCCACTGGTCGAGGCCGACACGGCTTTCAAGCCTCGATACATGCCCCTCAAGTCTCCATTCCCAAATATTTGATAACCCCTCCCCACTTCAGTCAACACTGCTTCTTTCAAATTCCCAACTTCCCCCATTTTCACCTCCTCAAGGTTGCCAAAAGTTGCAGAGGTACAGAATCTTCTTCTTAAATCACATAGCAAGGTAACATCCTCTTCCGAGTAATTAGGTTGATGGATTAGTTCTTTTCATTACAAACGCGTGATAAGCCTCAATTAGTGCGAGCTCGTTTCGACCAAATAAATAACTAATTTTTCTTTCTCATAACAATCATGAATGGAATGGTGCTCGGCTTGCAGCATGTACTCTTAATGTGACTGACCATTGTATCCGCTCGTTCCAGTACCACCAGATTATCCAAATCCTGACCACAGTCCAAACTCCAATCCCAAGTAACGTCCAAAAGCGCCCGGCATGCATCCGCAATAACGTAAATGGTAGGAAGGGAAAGAGGTATGTAGTATCAGGCGTAAAGAGTAGCCAAGACCTTGACGCCAACATCACCAACCAGTTCAGTCATATTCTGCATTCTGCACAGTAGACATTCGAAATTTCAAGAATAGCCCGACTGTGAAGCTTCGAGCCTCTAAACTGGCATTCGTTCTCGCAGAGTGAGCTCATTGATGGGTGTTTTGTGGCCCTGAAACACACAGAATAATTGGTCTTCTGTTTTCTCGCTTTTATTTTCTTATACAAGAAGACATCATCCGCTTAGAAAGCTCCTAGAGACACAGGCGCCAGGATATCACGCGCTAGTCTAGAAGGTATGGTTTCGTTGGTGACGTTGGTGACAGTGAGGTTGAAGTTGCCAATGTCGCACCAATTTTTGATGGGCTGAATCCAACCGTTAGCACTCCTATTCTTCGTCTTCCCCTGCAACATGCTCCAGGGCGATATCCAGAGTGCCCAGAGTGCTTTGGGGGGGTATGGGGGTAGGACGACTTACCAAACACGTCAAATGATGACACCATTTACACTCATTCCTCCACTCATAAAAATTCTTCAACAGCAAAATAAACCCAATAAACACGGCCACCAGTGCCCCGGCTCTCGCTAACCACCACACCCACCAAAATGGTTTCCGACCCTTGAAAAAGCCCACTGGCTGCTTCACAAACTTCTTGATCCCTGGCGCGGCGCCCGAGTTCAGGGGGGTGGTGTCAACGGTTGAGTAGGGCGGTTCGTCGGTGCCGATGCGTTCGCGTAGCGCTTGTGGGGAGTGCATCAGGCATATTCCGAGAACGAGACCCATGAGGAAACCACCAATGTGACTGAAGTTGTCGAGGCCAGGAAGGAGACCCAAGACGAAGGCGATGGCGATGTCGAGGAGAAGGAACAGTAAATCTTTAACCGGACTGCGGCGCGAGGACCAGTTGTACAGTAGATCGAGCAGGACGAGGGCCAGGATGCCGAATAGCGAGCCTGAAGCTCCGACCGAGGGGATGTTAGGAGCGGCGTAGTTCCCACCGAGCACGAAGCCGAAGATGCCGGCGCTGAAGTAGACGAGTGCGAAGCGGAGGCTGCCTATTTCTTTTTCCATATCTCGGCCCAGAGTCATTTGGAGGAGCATGTTGAAGCCGATGTGGATTAGTCCGGCATGCAGGAAGATGGGAACGATGAAGCGCCACCATTGGTTGGGTTCGTGGCTGCGGTCTTTGAAGTCGGTTCCGGGGACTTGGTCTGGGACGCCGCTGCCCATCCCACAGAGCTCCTTCAGGGAGCACTGGTTGTCGAGGGTGGTTTGGTTGGGACAAGGCCAGGGGATGGGCAGTTGGAAGTCGGTTACGTCTCGGATGTTGTGCATGCAGGGAGGGTAACGAGCGCCCATGTTGATGAGGACGTAGGGTGAGGGGCCGATCATAATGTTGAACTGGGGATGGATTTCAATTGGTGACTTTGTCAACACAGCTATATTCAATCAGCATTACAAGCCAATCCAAACTTGCGCCGAGAGGGAGGAAGTCATACCATTCTTTATTATCTCCCCCACGAAAACAGCAATCTGTACCGTCGTCAGGATATACACCACCCACGTCACCCTCCCACTAAACCACCCCTTCTTCTTCTTTCTACTCTTCTCATGTCCCCTGTAGTCCTGTGGATACATGATCCCCTCCGGATCCGCATTGTACCTAGTGGGGCTCCCGTCCATTTTCCCTTGCGACTGCAGCGGTATCGCGTTCTGATCCGCAAACGGATCCGTAGTGTTATGGCTGGGGGAATCGTAGCGATGTGGTGGCCGATCTGAAGCCCCGTGGTACGACGTGTCGTTGTATCCTCCTAGCGTCGACTGGGAGTGTGTAGGGGGGTAATCGTAACGATTGTTGTCATCGAAAGGAGAATTTATGGGAGAAATGGATTGCGTGGAGTGGTTTGTGGGGACCGGGGGCAAAGGGTCGTCGGTGTGTTTGTGTGGGGGCTGGTGTGAGGATGGGGAGAAAGACGTGTTGTAGTAGTCGTTCGCCGCCATGATGAGCTTTCGGTATTGTTAATTGAGAGCCCTCTGGTGGCGAGTGCGCGGCCCGGAGTTCGCGATAGGGAAAGAGGTCCGTCCGTGGATAAGGTAGGTTAGAGGCGTAATCGGGGTTTGTGCCTGCCTTCTTTCTCTTTCGGGCCACTGGCTGAGAGAAATGCAGGTCGCTAGCGAGAGAGGAGGTGATAAGAAGGGGTTGCGAAGAGTGTTTCAAGGTGCCAGAAGCGAGTGAAAAGGATCAAGGAACGCGCGCTCTTAAATATCAGCACGCTGTTCGTCAAAGTAGGTCGGGTCAGGTTAGGTAAAAACTGGGAAGGTGTATGGTGGTGCTTGCGCAGAGGCTGAGAGGGATGCGTATGCGTGTCCAGCGGGCTGAGGGTGCTTGTTAGCCGCACAGCCCCAGACATGTCGAGTCTTGTCAAACTGCCTATAAGTCACCCAATCATAACATCTGCCGTCGCTCAGATCCCGGAGTTGACCCATCTGAAACAGGTCTCTCCGTGCCGATCAGTAGCTTTAAATAAAGCCAGTCGTGAGGTTATAGCGGAAAGACTCACCTTTGAATATGTGAGATGTACAGTTCAGACAAGCAATGGTAGGTTTCCTGTTGACCGCTGCCAAACGCCCAGAGGACAGGACAGGCTGGAGCTGACATCCTGGAAAGGTGCTTTAGCCACCACATGGCGCTCGAGCTCAGTGTGGCGCGAACAGAATTAGATTGCTGACATAACGATGCGTGAACGTAGGTCCACTGACTACCTGTTAACGGATCTGGACAAGTGGGCCGTTACTCGTACTCGACTGTCATGTCCATGCTATGTCACGGACAATGTTGATTCAATGTGCTACGCCGCTCAACCTATCTGCGATAGAAAGCACTTGGTCACGCTCACCAACTTCCTGTTAAACGAACACCGAGATCAAATCTCCGGACGCTGATCTAGGCCTTGAACTTCACGATGTCTCACCAACTACTACCAACTTGGTACTACGGCTTCGTTGAATTCCTTGTGGCTTCCGTCCCGCACTGCACCGGCCCGAGCTCCCTTGAAGTCAAGCTTCAGGATGCACCAACTCCGCCTTCAAGCCCAGCTGGGGTCGGACATTGCAAACGTTTAGGAAAATTTATCACGTTGTACAACAGTATGCAGGCTCAATAGTGGATCAATTATTGAAAAAAAAAAAAATTAAATTTTGAAAATAGGGCCTCTACAGCGGTGGCAGAATCTCACGGCAATTCGGACACTGCAACCGATACCTCATCCAGCCCTCCAAACACGGCGTATGAAAAATATGCCGACACGGTGTCACCATGTACGCCCTTCTCTGCAAGATCATACCACCGAGACCTGGTGCATTTTCACTGGAAGCCCCGCTGGGTAGGACGAGCACCTCAACGTCTTGCGTGCAAATACTGCAGTCAAACACTTTCGTCCCTTTGCCCTTCGATTCTCCAGCTTTGCTCATCGATGAGGGACTCGAATCATCGTCGGGCGCCTGCGTTGAGCCAATGGGCATTGTCGCGCCTTCTTCGTCTTCTCGTAGTACAGGATGGTAGTCGTACGCCGGCGGAGCCCATCCTTCGCGGATGAAAAAGCGTGATCCAAGCAACTCCTGACTTGCTAAAGCTAGTATCTGCACCCATACCCAACCAGCCAAAACCATCAAAGCACTCAAGTCATTCCTCGAGAAGAGCACGTTGTCCGAGACTGCATAGAAATACGTGATAGGGATCAGGCGAACTATGCTTTGGCCGAGGACAAAGTCCCAGCGCAACGCTTTCCGACAGTTTCGCATGATGTTCCGGTAGATCTGCGGACACCAGAACGAAAGGTAAAAGAAGGAGAGTGTGTTGAAGTAGAAAGATCGCACCGTGAAGCGGACCGTGGTGAACTGGAGAGTTACAAAAAAGATGCAGATCAGCAGGAGACAATAGCGGCTGTAGAGCGTTCCTAGTTCAGCTCTACCTGGTACTGTTTGTGTCTGTTCCCCGGCAGGTGCAGGAGCGGTTCCTGCGGTATCGTCTTGATCTGAGGCTATGGGTGGGGGTCGAGCTGCTGTGACTGGAGGGGGTAGAGAATCGCTAATTTGGGTTGTGGGAGGTGGTGTAGGAGTTGAACTAGGCTGTTGGGGGCTTGATGGCGTTGCGGCAGAAGCCTGTTGTCGATCCTGACGCATCTGTTCTGTGGCCTGTACTGTCCAGATATCCATCAAAAATCGGAGTTCAAAGACACCTAAGAACAAGGCGAGGAAAGCTGTGGTGTATAGAGCTAACTGGGACGTTCCGAGGAACAGGTGCATGAAAATAAGAGCTAAGAATGCAAAACCATCTCCTAAGGCAAGCATCGCAATTGTGTAGAAGCTTATGCGATTTCGAGTCGACGGCGTTGCTGTCTCTTTCATTTGCTTAACGAGGAGGATAAGTTGCAGGGACAATGTCATAGCAAATGCAATAATGCCATGCCTAGCTCGATCATTGAACTCTTCGGTCTTTGATCCTACAAGGTGAGCAAATTCGTGCGAGTAGTCGGGAGGACCCTTTGACTCGATAACAAATCCACAGTCTGGAGAGAACCCGACCATGGACAAGGACAGAGGTGACCGACGTGGAAGAGTTGATCCAGTAGGATATCGGAGTTCATGTTCAAGCCAGTCCATGTCTGGGAGCCGGTTTTCAGGGTTCTGCTCCTGCTTCACAAGGTATTGAATAGGGTGTTCTTGGAGAAAGAGCACAAATTCGCAGTGAGGATTAGCCAGCATGCCCTCGCTCGCACCATCCGGGGCGGATGTCCATGGGTTCCAGGTCGGATAGGCTCGTCCCTCTTGCCGATCTATTGTTTCGTGGATAGTCCGATTGAGGAAATTTTGAGATTCAGAATAGAGGTGTTGCGAGAGTGAGAAATGGGGCAGAGCAAATATTCCAGCGAACTTGTCACTCGTGGTGGTCACCAGGCTTCCCCCAAATTTGGGGAAATGTACGCCGTTCAACACAAGCTCCCACCAGTTGCCTCCAATGGAGTTGTTATCGCCAATGACCATGCGAACGGTGATCTCGGATATCGACCTGTTCTTATCTGTCCGCATGCGGCCGTCTGTTTCCGTGATATATAGTCGTATCATTCCGCTAGTTCCGGTGAGATTCCTCTCATACTCCACCATTGGAAAGGGGTTATCGGGCACGATCGCGGAGAGGTTCATGTCCGAAGGGTGTCGCACCCGTCCAAGAGGCGATCGTACCCATTCGCCTTGCACATAGCCAGAAACATTGCGGTAAACGGGGACGCTTTGTTGGTCTTCTAGGGTGCCGTCAAAGGCAGCGTCTGCTGTCACGCCGAGCAAGCCCCTGGCTTGGTCCTTCACGCGTTCCTGGACAGGACCCAGAAGATCCCATGCAAACCCATCTTCATCCTTCAGTCCCGTGATATTCAACCACTTGTCTTTACTAGCGTCAAAATCGCCATACCGCGTCCTATTCACGACCTCAAGTTCGTTCCATTCGTGGACAATGATCTCGTCGTAACGCGATCGGGAGGTGAAGGATTGCTGCTGCGGTTCTGGGGAGTTGATCAGCAGCAGAAGGATGATGAAGAAAAGAAAGGACTTGGGGTCTCGCCGGACCTCCATCTAGGGTTGATGGTGTGAAGTAGAAGCCATGGGGGTTCATAAGGTGGCTGTAGCCCGAGGTGGCTTGGATGACGTTCTCTGCCTCATAAGCTTTCCGACCGGAGAAACATTTTCGCGAAATTAATCATCTCTCATCCTCCACCTAGCTTTTCGCATCGAATAGTCCCCACCAATATATTGACTAATGCGTTTGTCGGGAGGCTAGACAACAAGGTTGAAGCTTCTGGGCAGCAAAGTCACCGACATTCTTTCACCAAATGGAAATCGTTAGCTGGACGAAACTATTTCTTCACTCTCAGGGTAGAGTTGTCTGGCTACGTTTAGTCTCAGCGTCTGCACGTTGTATCGCACTAACATGCCTGCCCCAGGACAAAAAGGACCACTCCGCTAGTACAGAAAAGTGCTAGCTTTTACTGTAGTCCTTTACTCTGGAACTAATACGTCTATATCTAGATATTACTCATCGCATTTTCCAGCTTATTTTCTGCGATTTCATGCAGCATGTTTCGATGGTTTCTTACGATTACGCAGCATTTCTTTATAGTTGGTGGTTTGCTCTTTTACGCCAGCGTTCTCTACGATGGTATAGAATTCAGGAGTATATTCCCCTTGTCGTCAATCATGGAAGGGCTCATTTCCAGTAATAAACCAAGTTAAACAGGGCTCTCAAATCAAGCATGAAAGTATTCTGTTTGCGCATGCATCTAGGACAGACGACCAAAAGCAAAGATCTACAACACTAGTCAGCACAAACCACATATACCTAGTTTCATCGAACACTACTGTTAAATCACCAAAACTACACACTTCTTAATTTCTTCCACTCATTTCACTATCTACTAAATATGAGGTCAGCAACTAACTCTTCTAATTGCTCAGCGTGATAGATCTGACTTATACAGCAATAAATATAACTATAGTTATAGGATTTGCTATCATTTAATAAACATCATCATCGACCTCAGGATGCGAGACGAGAACTCGGGGCTGCTTCAGAGTAGCCACTGTGGGAGGAGGTTAAGGACGACGCCGCTGTTACACAACGAGGGGTCGGTTGTCCTGTGAAGCTGGCGTGGTGGGGGTTGATGAGAGATGATGGCGTTGTGATCGACTTCTCGAACTTTGGTGGACGAATCTTTCGCTTCCTGGTTCTGTTGCAATCAACGATACATTGAGATACTTAGGAACAAGATCCATAAGAGCGAGAGAGTAGAGAGGAGCTGCTAGATCCAAACGGCTAAGGTTGCAGGAGTCGGTTTCGTCAACAGTTTGGCTTCCTGGTTCCGTCGCGAATCAGCGATGCATTTGAGATACTTAGCAACAAGATCCATAAGGGCGAGAGAGTAGAGAGAAGCTGTTAGATCCAAACGACTAAGGTTGCAGGCGTCGGTTTCGTCAACAGTTTGTGACTCGCCTTGTTCCTCGGCGCAATTCGCGTCTGGACTGCTAAACAAACAACTCGACCATCCTCTATGAGTACCTCCTGGATAGTCGTTCGAAAACGAAATCAGGTTGAATTAGGAGCCCCAGGCATGTACTCTCGAAGAGCTCTTTGGTACGGCGGGGTACCTCTAGCTTTAAGTAGGACACTACGCTCCAATTCGGCCCATGACATTGGAAGAAATTGGCGACCGGTTCAAAGACTCGACCCTCCTTGTCGAGGGCCGGAAAATTGTACCACACATTTGGCAACGCAGTGGGGACCTTTGTGAAATCTGGTTTCGGCTTGCAAAACGCCGCTGGTACCAAGGCTTTGGTGTTGTTAACTTTAATGAGGCTCGTTTCCTGGGAGAAGAGGGCCGGATTGTAGGTAGGTAGTGGTAGTGCGGGCCACAATAACTCTCAGAAATACGTGGAATTGGGAAGGCTTGCGAACGGCTAGTTAGTTGCCCGCAGTGGGTTCAAATTTAATTTCGTTCTCCGGTTTTTCATCGACTTCGTCCCTGTTATGTGCTACCAGCTCTTCTTGTCTTCTCGGGAGATTCTGATGGTGATCACGAATCTGGATACGATCATTCTGATTTGGAATCCCATCTTGGTGCATGTTGGATGGAGTATGGTCATTAAAGGCACTATCCCCATCGCTGACCTCGTCGATGTTGCTGGCGGTTGTGTTTTGGACTTCGTTGCCGCGACCGCGAGCGTTGATCATAACTTCTGTTCCGTCAACATGTTCCTCGAAGATCTCGACGTCACTACTATACAGCCCATTGTAGTCGTCGCCATCCTGATTGTTCTGGTTATCTTTGAGCTCCCTAGCAGCTATCTCGTCAATTGTTGTCTGCGCAAGGACGCCCTCAGCCTGTGATGGAGGAGGTGGTTCGGGCTTAGTGCGACGGAGAAAGAGGTTCCCTTGCTCTAACAGGGCAAATGGGAAAGACTACCAGATACTAGGAGTGGGCAAGGTGACGAAGGATCTGTCACGTCATCGTTGATACCATGTGGACTTGAAAAAGAGGTACTACGAGTAGCCGGAGTTGAAACAGAAGACTCAACGCCCAATGAAGATTCCGTGCTGTCCGAGTCAGTGGGACTCGCGTCGAAGGCGGGGCGAGTACTACCAAGGAAGTTACTAAGAGAGTGGAGGCAAGGAAGGGTCAGTTATCTCACATAAATGAAAAATGGTTCAAGGACTGACCGGAATCTGAAGCGGAGTGACACTGATGGGCGAGCATCCTCACTGGAAACCTACGGCGTCGATAATCTCGTTCATGGAGTTTTTGCTCGCGACAGCAGGGGGAACTGGTTGCGCACACTGCGAACATCCACCATGTCGACAGTAGAATCCGCTCATCACAACCACTTGTTTGAGTTCTGGTCGAAGACAATGCTTGCAATGGCCATGTCTGAGCTTGTGGCTACATCTGACATTGGTATTAAGTGGTGTCGGCTAAACATTTGAGACTGTTTTTGAGTATGAGGTGTCATCTACGTTGCGGTGAAAGTGCTTCTTCTTAGCCTTCTTCTTCAGTTTGCACCATACGCTGTGGTTGTGCTGCTCAGCTGGGATGATGTTAGGTCGAGAATTAGATATATTGGTGGCCGTCCAATTCTAGCCAATAGTGCGGGACGGGGGAGAGTTTAGGTTCTCTTTAGAACAGGCATGGACGCCTTCATGCTCTTCATTCGGCACTAGCAGGACCTTTGGCTCCGATAGCCCCAGGTGCTTGGCCTTAAGGATCTTTGGTCTCACTATCGACTCCCTGGCGTCGGTGTGCATCTCGTATAGCAGGAAGTCTGCGTTAGAGGTTGCGACAGAGACCTTGGAAGATGAGAGCTTTGTAGAACGCTTGGAGGGCATCTTGAAGTTGAAGCTACAGTGGTGTATGTATCAACTCTAGCCTTAGCCGCTCGAAGTTGTCGAGTGGAAAAGTTTGGAGGAATCCAAATTCGACGGCAAATCGAGCGGTCTTTCAGCTGCTGGGGAGGGGACAAGAGTGCAGGGATGGATCACGCGACACGCAAAATCGCCGACACGCTTGCGCTCGTGGTCCCTCGGGAGGGTTTGGGATGGAGTGACCGGATAGGCAGTATGGAGGGGGTTCGTCATAGCTTGTTCGACTGGTTTGAGAGAATGGACTCACTAGTAATCACTGGGAGTTACTGTTGGGTAGAAAAGGTGAGGCCAGCGTTGGAACAGAATGATCAGAGGGAGTGATGTATAGGGTTGCGATCACCTCCAGATAGAATTGAATGTAAGAAATGGCCTTATTGACAGCCAACTTCTAAAGATTGACTGAAGGTACGCTTACTAAGCAGAATCTCCACTAATACAATCTTTCACAGGAGGTAACCAGGATGAAATCGAACGCACAGTGCAAAAAGCTAAAGGGGAGTGGACGTGGAATTCGAAGTAGGAGCGGATTAACTCCAGTGAACATCGTCGAGCTTAGTTTTTCTCAAGCCACGTCGAGGAACCAGAACACTTGGCATTTTTTCACATCCATCAGGTGAGCTGGAATACGCCGTGGCCTCAGGATGATGAGTTTCCCTCTAAGACATACTAGCCCGACTCCTTGCCGCCAACATCCTGACTAATATTGCCCATCCTGCCGGCACCTGAAGATCCGGCTCAGCATGTGAAGAATGTGAAAGATCCAGTAGGTGAAACTCTATCCATATCCTTCCCAGTATCACTATTCCCATGGTAACATTGTAGCAACCTGCAGACACAGAGCGACCAGACTAGGATTCCATGAAGGAGAAAATGAGGGAGACAGTGAGGGAGGAGCCTAAAACTGAGCCAGAAGCGCATCGTACTTGTTCTTCCAGTACTTGACAGACTCCTGTTCTGCGGCTAGGACACTATTCGCCTGAGCTGACCGAATCTTGAGCTGCGCGATCTCCCTGTCCTTGCTCTCATAGGCATTTCTATAGTTCTCGACCTCGTGGTACACCGGAAGGATATCCTTATATTCTTGGTACGAGCGCCTGGCTAACTCCTCCCATGACTTAGAAGCATTGACAATGATCTCCTTCTCAGCTTCAAGAGTGGCCTTGTCCTTCTCAGCAGATTTGAGTTTCTCCTCGAGCTGCGCTTTCTCCTTCATAATGGAGGTTCCTGCGACCTCGCCAACACTGCTCTGAGGGGCTGGCTTCTTCTCGAGGTCCTGGACAGTAGCACGGAGCTTGGCAGCCTCTTCTTTTACATTGCCGTTCTCGCCTTTGACGGCGGACCAGGCAGCAGTGATCTTCTTCTGCTCGGACTGCTTTCCAACAAGCTCGTTGACTTCAATCTCAAGGTATTCGTTCTCGGCTTTGGCTTTCTTCAGTTGTTTTTTGAGGGACTCGCACTCGTCCTCAGCCTTTTTAACTTTGACTTCGAGACGTTCCATCTCAACCTTAGCTCTGCTATGATCCTGATCGGCCTGGTTCAGTTTTATCTGTTTGTCCTTAATCTCGTTCTTGAGGGTTTCCGACGAATGCGAAAGGGAGGCATGATCCGCTTTCAAGTCTTCCATCTTTTTCAGCTTATCGTTAAGACTAGCATTTTGTATCCGCAAGGCTGATATCTCGTTGTTAAGATTCGCGGTCTGATTGAGGAGATCTGCCTTAGCCTTTCGAGGACAGAAATGTTAGTATAACGTGAAAATAGAACGGAACTAAGAGTTCATTTACCTTGTTAAGGGCAGCAAACTCGCTTGCCTGGTTCTTGAACTTCTCACTCTGCGCCCTTAGGAGTTCCTTCATCTGCTCCACCTCAGCCTTGACACTCGAATCATTGCTCCGAAGGGTGCGAATGAGACTCTCAAGAGCGGTACACTTCTGAAACTCTTTACCCAGCTGCTCGGTTATTCCACGAATTTCATGCTTGTAGTGATCCGCGATTTTCTGCTCTGCAGCTTTGAGGCCCCCCTGGAGGTCGCTTATGGCTCTGCGAAGCGTCTCGTTCTCCATAATTGTTTCGTCCTCAGAAACCTTGAGCTTAGCGAGTTCCGTACGTAGCGACTCCGCCAGCTTAATACCTTCATCACTGCTGGAGTTGGATGATTCAAGTTGCTTCGCATAATTATCAATCTCAGATTTGAGAAGCCCTTTGTCCAACGTAAGTCGTGAGACGCGCTCCTGGAGCTCGCCTAGTTCCTGAAGCTTGGATTCCGTATTCAACTTGTACTCAAGGAACGATTGTTGTTGTTCAAGTATGAGGGAGGCCTGAACAGTCACCTCTTTGTGCTCAATGCTCGGCTCTTCCAGCGAATTATTCAGAGCTTCGTCCACCATTGAAGTGTGGAATAGAGACATGTTCTCCTTTTGCTTGTCCATGAACTTGGGCAATACATCCTTCGACTCTCTAGCTATTCTGAACAAATGCTCGAGCTCAGACCACAACCTGTCGACTGTCTTGATATCCGCTGGTGAAGCCTGGTTATCCTTCGAAATTGAGGTGCGAATGAGGTTGAGCAGCTGACGGATATTACTGATCGTGCTCGAGACAGACTTACCGACGTATGCTGTATGCTTATCGACCTCCTTTTTCCACACAGCACCCTGCATGAGCGCAAGCTCAGCACCCCCATTGTAGGGCTTGGAGGGTACCGCGATGGGCTGGGCGCTGTCAGAGGCAGCAATCTGCTCCATTGTCACGATGGTAGTATCCGGCTGGGAGGCGAGAGGATACCGTTTGTGCGGTAATGCGTACTTGGAAGCAAGAAGGTGCATAGGGCCCTGATAACTTCCAGACATGGCGAAGACTTCGCTAGGGATAGGGATTGATGCTGGCCGAGAACAAGTAATCTTGGAACGATCTCGGGAGGGTTATAAGATCTATGACTGTTAGCTAGTGCGCCCGGTGACTAGAAGAACGGGAAGGAGCCGTACCGAGCAGTGGTACCCGCCGGATAAGTGTTGCGTAGAGTTCGAGGCACACCGCGGAATGCGTGTTGCGGCGATGCGGCCAAAGGGTTGACAACAATCGCAGCACAGGATTATCGCTGCCGAGCTCGTGCTTCTGAGAAGAGGGGAATTGAGGGAGAGAGTGGGAGAGGCGTTGGTAGAGAGGTGAGGTCTTGTTGTGGGGATCAAAGAACGAAGGAAGTCGCGCGGTTTTCGCAGTGGCCGAGCAACAACACCAGAAACCCAGCAACCAGACTTTCACCGCCGCAGCGGGGGTTTGGAGAAAGCTGCTAGAAGCCTGGAGAAAATCGGCTGCCAGGCCGAAATGGCGTGCCTGCAAATCGAGTCCTGTCATTGGCGCTGGACAGTCAACCGGGCTAGGAAAGCTACCTTCCTGGCTGCAGCGCAAACGGAATTTCGTCGAATAGCATCATAAAATGGAAGTGAAAAAGTGGAATAGAGGACAAAGCAGAGAGCGCATAGAATGAGTGAATAGGTCAGTTTGAGCTCTTTGCCAGATACAAGAAGGTAGAGACCCAAGTGGGCAAAGTATCTAGAGGGAGCACAGAATCTCTTTGCTTAGAAATCGTGCGAATGAAATGGATTATGAGCAACTCTCACTTGAAAGTAGTATAAAGCACATGAGATGCGATCCAGGCACCCTGGAAAGCCAGTGAAATGTAAGCTTTAAATCCCTCGAGGCCATACTGTGCCTATCTTGAAGTTTGCGGGGCCTTTTCACCAAGCATTAGGCTGGAGCATCGACCTATTCGTATATTTTCTGTCTCCCGTGAAGCCTACTGCACATTTGCACCAAAATGAAACTCCAGTGTCCTTGCCGTATTGAGTACGATGTCGCTGTCGATAGTCTGAAGGGCACACACTGCTCGGTCCAGTGCGCTCTAAAGCTGCCGTGGTTGTTGAGGAAAGACGGGGTTACGGAATATGAACTTCAAATGTGGGCGTCTACGAGGAAGGGGGAGATGACCTACACAAGCTGTAGATTATTACGAAAGATGCAAAGTGAGCTGGACTGAAAAAGAAATTTTTCTTAATAGACGTGATCGCCTGTCAAACCAGGAAAACGGATCGAAGTCTTACTGGGCAATGAAGTGGGTACATCTTTGCCAAAACCCGAGTTCCCTGCAAAACATGGAACCAGTTAGGTCTTAGCTTGAGCGTACCACGTTCTCGATGCATCTGGGACCCTACTCGCGGAGTAACATGCTGATCGATCGGAGACTTAATATATTAGGGGAGCTGCAATGCTACGGAGTACTGCACGCTGTGGAGCGGCCGGGGATTATGGCAAATATGGAAGATGTCGAGTGAACACCGTAGATTGAATAGGAGTACGGAGAATGAACAGGAGGTTAGGGCTTGGAGACGAAGGACTCACTGCCACATCCATACCGACATCCATACCTTCATACCTCGGACAATTTTTCAAAAACAGCAAGGTATTTTGGGTACTTTTCTCGGCAGTGCTATGTCTCAACGGAGCACACCAAGTTGCGAGAGGAGTGTGGTGGGGAATCGACGAGAGAGGACAGTAATGACCCGGCCTTTTATCCAGGGTGATCCTGTTGGGTTCGTATGCGGAAGCCAGGCAGCACGCATGGCCCAGACCCGCAGAGTGCAGACGCCGAAGAAGCAAAAAAGCATCGCAGTGGGTGGCCGACGCTGAACGAAGCCGGACTGAGGTCGTGGAGAGCAAGAGGCGCTGTCAAACAAGCTGCTTGCTCTGCCGGAACCCGGCACCGATACCCCATGGGAGCTAGTGCAGACGTCAGCGGGACGGCCCCGAGTTGGCCAGGACGGCCGCCAGTGGGCCAAATCGAATCATGGGGAGGGCGCGAAGACAATGGCCAGCGCAAGCTCCAGGCCGGGGCGGAGGATGGGCTCGAGTGCGATGCCAGTGGGACACAGGAAGCCCCAGTCTGCAGCATGCCAGAAGCAGCATTGCATGCGGAAGGGGAGCAGAAAGCGTCTGTCAGCTCGCAGAAGCTGTATATTGCAGAGGCCCCGGCAGCTAGAGGAACAATATCAAAAGTTGTATGACGGATTCACGGCAGGAGACGACAGATGGACCAGTGAAACACCTTGGGCCGATGCAGGGGAGGCTAGCAGGATCAGAGAAGCGACTTTGCAGAATGAAACGCGAGCTAAAGAATCCAAATCCTCTCCTTCGGAACGCACGCCGGCCCGCCACAGAGCAGAAGCAAGTCAGTCGTCCAGCAACTGCAGGCGTGGGCCACTCAGTCAAATCTTATCGTGCAGGATGCCCATGTCCCGGCGCCCACGGGCAAGCTCAGTGCTCGCCAGTGTGTTCTCTGCGCGCTGCCAGCCTGAACATCCACGCAGCAGCAAGCAGCAGCAGCAGCAGCAGCAGCAGCAGCAGCAGCAGCAGTTAGCAGCCTTGCGTGACAGCCCGCAGCCCAAGGTGGCGCCGTGTCTCTCGATTTCTTGACTGTTCTTTGTTCTTGTTCTTGTTCTTGTTCTTGTTCTGACGTTCCTCCACCGGCGCTCCACCCACGCCCTCGTCACGTTTCTGGGCTCGCTACCCCCGTCGCCGCGAGGCTTTCACGGTGCACCACACAGCCAACTGCCTGCGAACCAGCTGCGAGCGCGCTGCACAAGACTAACAGCGGAGTAGCTTACCTTACTTAACTTGCGTTACCTCCCTGAGCCTTTCCCCCCAGCGTTGCGGCTGCTTCACCGAGTGGCTCCGTCCTCAAACAGAACACTCCATCCCCAAATACCACCACGCCAAAGCACGGCAGGGATCCTCTCAGCACGCCCGACCTATTTCTCTGCGTCCCCGACCACTAGCTGTCGCCGCCTTCATCCTTTTCATCCTCAGGTACGGGTCCGCCCCTCGCACCCTCACTCGTTCTGGTATTCTTATTTGTTTCCTGCCCGCCTGTCCTGCATCGCGTGAAGCTTCTTGACCACCGTGCTGGCTCGTCTGCTCCCGTCCCATCGATCGTCCCGCCGTCGTGCCCCTCTGCCCTGCCTTGGTACCGCCGCTGCCTTTCATCTACCATAATGCTATTCTCACTGTCGATTCAATAATAGCTGACCTTTAAATAGCCCGCCCTCATCTTGCTCTCCATTGCATGTCCTGAGCCTCGCTATATACCCATCGCGCCATTCGTCACTCTCTCGCTACCCCCCCTCCTTCCCCTCCCTACTCCGCATCTCCATCCTCTAGTAATACATGGCCCCGGGAATAATGTGTTTTGGCAAGAAACCTGAGGACCCCGATTCTCGTCGAAACGAGGAGATCGAGAAGGTCATCAGAAATGACAGGAAGAAGCAGGAGCGTGAGGTGAAGCTGCTGCTGCTCGGTATGGTCACCAATTGCGCCTTCAATGGCGGCGCCCGCTGACTGAGTTGCGTTCCTAGGTGCCGGTGAGAGTGGAAAGTCTACGGTGCTGAAACAGATGCGCGTGATACACGCCGGCGGCTTCAACAAGACCGAGCGGAAACAATGGCGTGCTATCATCTTCAACAACTTAGTTTCTGCCTTCCAGACCATCTTTGCCGCCATGCAGGAGCAGGAGACAGATTTCGAGGACGATGACAATCTGGTATGTTCGCCATAAGTCACCCACACTCGTGCTTGTCAGTGTGGGCGATAACAGCTGACTTGCTTTTTCCAGCGCTTTGCCGAACTCATCGCCGCAGACCCAGAAATCGGTATTGAGGACTGCATGCCCCAGGACTGCCTTGCCGCCTTCAATAGTCTCTGGGCAGACAAGGGTGTCCAGCTTGCAATTCTGAAGGGCAACCAATATGCTCTCCACGACAACCTCAGCTAGTAAGCAAAATCTCGCTGCTTCCACTGTCATGCTTTTCTTTGATGCAGGTGCTCACGTATCACGCTAGCTTCTTTGCCGACGTCGAGCGCCTCTTCGGTAAAGATTACCTACCCACCGATCAGGATATCCTCCGAACGCGACTGCGAACAACAGGCATAACTGAAACCATATTCGAGCTTGGCAACTTGACGTACCGAATGTTTGATGTGGGCGGTCAGCGCTCTGAACGAAAGAAGTGGATTCACGTCTTTGACAATGTGCAAGTCGTGCTGTTTCTTGTCGCCATCAGTGGTTACGATCATGTTCTCGTGGAAGACCGTAATGGGGTTCGTATTTTCCCCGCTTGTGCTGTGCCCTACGCCGCATACTAACTATATCTGTCAGAATCAAATGCACGAGGCTCTGATGCTGTTCGAGTCAATATCGAATTCGAAGTACTTCGAGAAATCCGCATTGATCCTTTTCCTGAACAAGATCGATCTTTTCCGAGAAAAGATCGCTGGTGGCATGAGTCCAATCAACAAAGTATTCCCAGATTACACAGGAAAAACAACCGATATCGAGGCAGGCCAAGAATTTTTCGCAAACAAGTTCCGAAACCTCGTACGGCAGCCCAAGAAGGAAGTCTACGTCCATTACACAAATGCCACGGATACGGACTTGCTAAAGAAAACCATGGCCTCGGTGCAAGACATGATTGTGCAGCGCAACCTGAACGCACTGATTCTTTGATTCCCCTGTTCCTGAAAAATAAAGTCGTTTCACAACACAACAGAGTCAGCCATCTGATTTAGCGCGCTGGGACACTAGCATGGACGAATGCACGTACGATGATACTATATACCATAGTTTCTTTTGGCACAATCTCAACGGCGGCCCGAAAAATCAAAGAAAAATCAGACCACTTTTCTCCCAGGCCGATTCTCGATGGCCTCCCCTGAAGGCGTCACCAATGATTGGACGAAGGGACCTTCCTGGGGACACCATGAATACGATTTGACGGCCCCTACATAACCCCCTCGATATCCCGAATTATTTTCTCTCTGCTCTGTTCGCTGTTGCTTTAGGATGATGTGACGAAATACGTAACTTCTGTTCTCCGTCTGGACTTGGCGCTAGCGCCAACTTTATCTTTCTTAAGCCTGTTTTGATCGGGTGGTTCAATTGGAAGATGGGACTGGTGGACGAACGGAGCTGCTATTACAGGACTTCTTTTTCTTTGTGTCTGTATCCATCAGAGCATCACCCAATTCGTAGGGAATGGGAGGCAGGCTGCACTTGACTGTACGGCTTATTTTTGACAAGCTGGCTGGCAGAGAATACTATTAGTAGACGTATCTACATATATCACACAGCCCTCCGTGCATCACATGAACATGTTGTGGCTTCATTCAGACGCCGCAAGTAGCAAAGCAAGAGACAAGCGTCAGGTTTTTTTCCGTGTCTGGGAGAGTAATTCGTTCAAGAGGATTGTGCTTCCCCGGAAGGTACGGAGAATCGCTTCTGGTGATGACAGCAGCGGAAAATTTTCAAAGCCGTGATTACTGGCTACTCCCACGAGTGGTTAATATATCATGCTGATGCTAAGTGTTGTTGGAGGTCTGACCGAACGTCAACACGGTCAGCACAGCACAACTGCAAGCGCAAGCGAGAATTTTCTTGATCGAATGGCTGGGGTCTGCCGTGGAAAGGATCTGCGATGACAATGGTTGTGGCGGAATTCGATGTGGTACAAAAATTACATGCAGCAGCATTGTGATTTCCGTCCGGCGGCACAGCCGGTATTGGATTGGATCCTTGATAGTACCGAACTGTTCGACCAAACCGTTCGAACGAGACAAGAAGGGGTGTGGAATCGAGCAACCATCATCTGCATTTTCGCGTGTCTGGAAATTCAATATAGGACTCTGCGGGAAGTTTGGGATTTGGGGGCCAGGGGCGGTGAGCAGAAACAGGCAACGGTCGTAGGTGTTTGCAGGTCGTGGATGGCAATGTCTTGGAATAGACCAAACAGATCTTCGTTGTATATATCTGCAAACAGATTTACTATACCTAGATCTGGTTCTGGTTCTGGTTCTGGTTGCGGAACGGAATGGTGCCGGGCGGTTAGGCACCCCGAGGACTCGGAACTGGCTGATTAGATTATGGATTGTTTTAGAAGGCCGATTGAGGCCTGGGTTTTCTCTTGGCTGAAATGGTTGGCTGACTTCGGAGGTTGCTTGGAAGTTGCCACGTGAGTAGCAATGCGTGAGAGTCCATGGTGAGATGAGGTTTGAGATGAGATCTGATTGATTATGAGGGGTTGCTGAATGCGGTACGAATTAAGAAACTGTTTCGGTGTCCGATGACTCGCTCCTGTTACGGGAATTGTAGTCGCTAGGTCCTGGGTAGCCTGGCTTCCAAACATCAAGTGAATTGGGACAAGAAATTGAAGAGTATGACATCCATGCCAGCAAAGGGCACCTACTAAGTGCAATGCTCGGGGAGATGGATCGTGACAGCGGCTAGATGAGGCTCAGCGAGGCTGAACTCCGGGCCTTCATTTTTCCGTCTTCAAGTGACTCGGTAGCAGGATCATCGACTTTGAGCGACTTCGCCCGACTCAACATCGCCATCGCGACTCCACGCCCCCTACCAGCTGGCAATGTTCTCTCCTGCGCTTGGGAGAGTCGCCCGCTCGACAAGCTCGATATCGACACGCCCTACTGCAGCCCTCAGTGCGGCCCAGCAGACCTTTTCCCGCAGACCGCAACAACATCAGCGGCGCTTGTCTTCTTCAAAAACCTCGATACCGCCGGATGGGAGTGAAAGCAGGGGCTCGACACAGCAGAATACTAGTAATGCAACGAATAAGGCGACGCCGAGGAAGCTGACGGGGAGGGCTGGAAAGAAGAGAGGCTCCGTAAGTACCGGGGCTGCTGCAGCTGCAAATACCGCTGCTGCGCCGACGATCAATGTTCCTCATGTCCCTCCGACAGATTTTTTGCAGAAGCCTGGTATGTTATTTACATTTATTGGGTCATGGGATGGGCTCTCCTCATATCTGTCACAAGGATTCACCTGAAGATCCCTGACAAGTGCCCATTGATTCCGTATGAATCTCGCCGGAGGAGGCCTAGCATGCAGGAGGGCGTGCGGATTCGCTCTAATGTGTATCTATATGCTAACGCTTGGTGTAGAATTGAAGATATCGTCCTTCTTTTCCCTCCACCGCCCAATATCGATAACCTCGCCCGTCCCACCGATAACAACAAATGCCTCCTTCGATACCATATTTCAGGCCCGAGCGCTGAACAATAAGAAGGTTATGATGGACAACATTCAAACTCTTGAAAGTGGCATTGAGGGTATTGAGGTGGCCTTACGTAGTCAAGGGCAGAAACAGGGGCAAGAGGAGGTTATTCAGTCCGAAGCCGAGGTCAAGCACCTCGACGGGGCACCCCCAGCCTCAGTCGACCAGCTCATGTCGCATTTCCTACCTTTTAAGCCCCCACCAGCCCCCGTACCCTGGAATCAGTCACCCGAATCCTCACTAGCCTCCACCCAGCCACAGGAGGAACCCGAGATACAAACCGCACCGGTAAAACAGAGAGCATGGAGCACAGCTGTCATCGTTACAGAGTCTGTAGACGCCTCAGGGAATCGTACATATTCAGCCTCGACGGAACCTATGGTTGAAATCCAGGTTCCTGCGCCAGAAAACAGCCAGGAACTAGATGAGATCGAGATACGGCAACCTTTCCTTGAGCGAATGAGGCAGCGGCAAAATATATATAACCGCTACCGGGACACCCAAGGGCGCCCAGACATGCTCCTGATCAGTGTCAAGAGGCAGAGGAAGCTGAAAATGAAGAAACACAAGTACAAGAAACTGATGAAGAAGACAAGATTATTACGGAGGAAACTAGACAGGGCATAATAGACTTCTTTTTGGGTATGAATGGGATTGCATTGTACGCGACTCGTGGAGATGACTCGAGTGCGTGAAGGAGGGAAGGTGGTAACATCAGATTGGGTGGTAGGCCGCACAAGTTGTGACTCTGAACACCATGATTCGATCATGGGCATCATTTGCGGAAAGCTCAACACTTTGTGCTTTCGCTTGAACGAACGAAGCCGGGTTCAATTTGTGATCCTTTCAAGCCGTGTGCCTTCCCAAGGCCTGGTTGTTGGTAAAGCATTTGAACACCACTCTTCACTTTTCCTTCCAATCTGGGCATTTGTTGCATAGGGTGCCTAGCATTCGTCCCGTTTGTTCTTTCTCAATATCAGAGCGCATTATCAACTGAAGCTTGGATTCTCCTCCTCACTCGCGTCTTGCATAATGTTTGTTGTCCGTCAATCTCATTGTTTGTCCTGACCATCACTCGACACCACAAAATTGAAGCGTGCAGGTTTCGGAACGCATTGCGAAGACTTCCGTTCTCATAGCGGCTACTGGTGTTGAGAGGTCACATGAAACTCTGCTGCGACCTTCCTTGTCGCAACACCAGCCTCGTCAACCTAGCAACGCACGACACGATTCTCGCTTGCTCGGTAAAGAAGCCATTATGTCTCCTCCTAATATTCTACGACGTCGCAGTCTGCAAATCACACGCCTTAGAAACGCCCACTAACACGGAAAATGCATAAGTTCTTGGCTAGCTGCACGCCTTGACATATTTTTGACGTCTTGGCAGGGCTTTGGCGGCGGGAGGAGGGGAACCAGCGTCTTGACAACAGATTTCGAGACGTAGACCAATTTCTCCGGGGCGTCATACCGGTTCGCGATGGAGGGCAGCGAAGATGAATGGTGTCGCAAGCGCACAGGGTATAAAGATTCCGGGGTTGCGCTGCTCCATTTCTTCTTCCTTCAGCCAACTCCAGCACTTGCATCTCTATTCTCTCTTTTCAGTTCCTTCGTCACTCTTTGACAATTCGTTCATTCTTTTCTTGCCCCGGCTGGACCATTCATTTCTTGCTACGAGCTAGTCTCTCTTTAAGCGTACTTATTGTTACTGCTTAACGTCTAACGAATTTTTGATTGTATATATTCGATTCTATCCGATCAACCCCCAAACATGTTGGCCAAGGCTACACTTGTTGCGGCGCTTATTGCGTACGCTGATGCCCGCTTCGGGCAAGAACAAGTTCCTATTTCTGCCATATCGGCAGTTCAGGGTGGGAATCCGGGTGAGGCTGCTACGATTGCGGGTGCCGCCGTTAGCGATCTTTTGGGTGCTGCGAATGCTTGCGACAAGGTATGTCTCTGCTCTTTTAGCGCCTTATCTGAGAAAGAGGAATGGAGGCTGATGCGAACAGCTTGTCCGCGCCGACCAAATCATCACTCAACTCGGCAACGGCGCCGATGCCGTCGCCGCAGCCATTGGTATGGTCACTGCTGAAAAGAACAGCAATCCGTTCGCAAACGGCAATGCGCAGAAGGTCTGCTCCGATGCGACACTCCCAGCTTCTGCAGAGCTCAGGGGTATTACTCCCTTGATCGACCCCGCTGTCGATACTAGCGGTGGTGTGGCTGCTTTGAGCGCTCAGACTGCTGGGGCTCCGCTCGACGCTACAGGCAAGAGTGTGTTTGATTTGCTTGTAGATGCCGGCTTTGGAGATATTGTAGTTGGTGAGGATGCTGCCGGGAATGCGGCCGCGGGTGGAAACGCTGGCAATGCTGGAAACGCTGGCAATGCTGGAAATACTGGAAACGCTGGCAACGCTGGAAATGCGAATGCCGGCCAGGCGGCCAACAACGCGACTGACAACGCTAACAATGGTACGTCTCCGAGAGCTTTGGAGGGGAAGTCCCCAGGCTGAACTATTTCTAGCCAACGATGAATGTCAAGACGAAGTCGCCGGTAACGCAGGGAACGCCTCTAACGGCGGAAATGCTGGCAATGCTGGCAACGCTGGCAATGCAAATGCAGGTCAAGCCGCAGCCGGCAACGGCGCCGTCCAACAGTCTACCATTGCTGGTCTCGACTTTGGTCTCTGTATCCCGACTATCATCTTTGAGGGCGGACTAGGCGGGCGCCCTGCCACAGAATTCACCTTCCAGATGGCCGATCCTCTCGCCGCGAAGGGACAGCAGGAAGCGTTGAACCCCAACATCATCACCAACCGTATGTGCGATCAGCTTACAAATGTGTGTGAAGCCAACGATGCCGCGAAGAGCGCTTGTCTCGACGCGAAAGCTAAGATATCTGCTCTTGGTACCAGGGACAAGACTACCGCGGATACCTGGAACACTTTGTTGGGCTTTGACGGGTTTGTGACCAACCCTGATGGAGGTGCTGCCGAACCCGCGGCTGCCAAGCGGGCGCTGAAGTTTAGGGCGTAAGACACAATTAAAGACCTTGATGGGCTGAACAGGGAGAGGAATTGAAGCAAGACGTGTATATGGGAAAAGTCTTGAATGCGATGGACGAAGCCAAGGATATTTTCGATTCTCACGGTCACGCTTTGCGTTTTGATGTCAGTGTACAAGTATGAGAACTCTTGCAATTTCATGATTGAGCTTTTAGGCTCACTCCTAAATCGAATCGATTGCCTGCTTTGACACTTGAATGAAGATGGAGATGGGAAGTCGAGGTAACACGCATTGGGTTATTCATCTCATAGCTAACACTACAACAACCATGGCCATGTCTATAGCTCGGACCGAGTCCCTTCCACTAATCTCGCTCTATCAATCTTTATAATCAAGTTCCAGCCCTGTAGTATGACATATCCACTTGCCTCAACCCCCTAAATTCCTCCCGTTTCGGATCTTCATCCCGGTCCAAATTGTAAAAAGAGCCTCCAATCAATCCCAAGCCCCCAATATCCCGGTGGCTAAAACCTCGCATCGAATCCGTACTGGCTTCCTGTCTGGGCAAGTATCAGAGAGTATTGAACCCGAAGATGTGGTTCGGCGGCTACAAAGTGGAGCACGGAACGGGGCGGGAAGGATTGAGATCCTGGGTGGCAGAGAGGAAGGCTTCACATCGTTGATGGGATGGATGGGTGGATGGGTGGGTGGGAGAGGAGGCAATAATGCTTTCTAATCTATGCCGTTCCTTAGCTGAAGAGAAATTGTAGTTGGAGGAAAGCACCTAGTCTCGTGGACGGACCAAGAAAAGCAGCGCGGTAATAATAGCTCGGAGTATTCGATACGCCGAAATACAGCAGAACAAAAAGGCTCTATTGCTCATTCAGAATAACGTTAGCCCTAACGCCACAATTATCGGAGTTGGTTTCTCAAACACGCCCAAAAGAATGCACAGACGCCACACAAGTTTACGTGGTGTGCTTGGGCTGAACCACTTGCAACTGCCGAATACGACATCCTCATTGAAACTTCCGTTACCCCAACAACATCGGCCCTTTTGTTCAGGTGTGAGGTGGAGAGACCAATCGGCATGCCGATGGCGGTGAGACATGGCAAGGAAGCGCTTCCGAGCTCGCCTACGCTTTCCTGTTTGTCTGTGAGTGTGGCGGACGAGGATCTTGGGCCTCCCTTTCCGATGACTCAGCTCGGGTGTTGAAACGTATTTTAGCTTTCAGGAGATGCTTGAAGCTGGGCAGAACTCGTTGAGGATTCGCAAGCTGTGGGGATTTCGGGGTTGAGGAGATGAATATCGTAATATCAGTAGGATCTAGAATTCAAAAGGCGCGCTTCAGGTTTTGACAATGCGGAGCTTGAGAACCTAAGCAAAGAAGTCTTTGCATTGTGGAATTCTAAGTTGAATATCCGAAGCTACAACAGATCTGTGTAAAGTGGAAGGAAGAGAGATTGTACACTTAGGTTGAACGGAACGATCACCCCTTGGTTCCTGCAAGGAGCCCAACCGATGACTTTGACCCGTTCATGCCACACTGATTGACCTAAGCATAAAACCAGAGTCACTACTTCTCTTATTGCTCTCTTTGCTCCTCTTCGCGGACCTTTTCCGCGAAAAAACATAAAGGGTCTATCATCACACAACTGCCCCTAAGATATGGGTACCAACTAAACAATAAAGATTAGCTCTGTAGTAAGGACGGCCACCCACTTGAAAAAAAATTATTTATATAAGGTTTGGCATGTTGTAGCCTCTCTCCCTCCCACTGCAATCCCAGCTGTCTTAGGGACCCCCATCTCTCCAAGTAGCTCCTCTAGCTCCCAAGAGCGGCCGGTAAATACCTGCTCATTCGAAAGCCGATATTATGATTGTGTTTAGCTGCAATGCTTGTAAAGAGGGTTATTAGCTGCGAAATACGCGGGCTTTGATATCAAATCTGGCACAAAGTCCAAGATTTTGCGTCTTGTGATGTTAGACGGAGTCGGTACCGTAACTTGTAAATCACAAATCAGACGTTGGAACCTCTAATCGCATGTGAGAGGCTTCATAAATATATTGTTAACATAGCATGCTGTAGTGGAGAGTAAACTTTGCAACCCTGCTCTATATCCAACCCTTTCCGTTAATTTAAATAGAGAGGAATTGTCATATTCGCACCACCCATGGGTTATCCGCAAGATGGTCTTTTCTTTAATTATGTTTCTAGGACAAGATAAAAAGTTGACAGGATACAAGAGGTGGTTGGAAAGCTCTGAGTGTAGGCTAGATCAAGATATGTGGATTCGATTTTTCTTCACTAAATTAAACAAACGTCCACCTTTGTTAGTATATGAAAGAAAACCGTATTTCTAGGTTTCAGTGTGCGTTGAAGCCTGGGTGGAAAGTGGTATATATACGTTGCTCTGTGGAGCGGAACCAACAGCGTATTACAACAACTATCGTCAAAAAGAATAGGGAGGATCGCGGTACACTGACTCAGAGCTATAGAGTTTGCGCTAGCATGTTCCTGGCTCCTACCATTTACTCCTTCAATATTCATTCTTGGTCTTCCTGCGACCAGTTGTTCTTGACTTCCCTCTCAAGTTAGGAAAGAAATTCCCTGATTGAAGTAATAAAGACAACCGTATCATTGGAACACTACAACTAATATGAATGCCGCTCGGACTATCTGAAGAAACTTGATGTCCTTACTCAGTTTTTTCGGTTTTCTCCATTTCACTCCGACTTATTTCGAAATCGGCTTTAGTTCATCGAAGCGGTAGGAGGACCCCAATACAAGAAATTGTTCCGTATTGAAAATACTCTGAAGAGGCCAAGCCGACCGCTTTGCATGCTCTATGCAAACTCCAAAGCTGAGGATCGATCTGGTGAGGAGAGAGATTTGATGATCCGAACAGGCATTTTAGCGAAAAATGATGCTCTAGAGATGGGTGAAAGCTGCCATTTTCACCCTGGTACCACTCCTCAGATCATGGGAGGTGCGATCATGATGTCCGAGAAACAAGGGGTTGCAGGTAATGCTTTGGTAAATAAGCGGTTTAGAAATGTTATAGTGGCGGGTTTGAGCCAGCATAGAGGAGTAGGAGGTTGGGCAGTTGAGAAGTACTTGGAGACTATATTTAGCAGCCATAATATCGCGGCATTTTTTATGTGTGACGAGTCAAGCGTGAACTTATAATTGAGAATACCCAAGCTAACAGCTGGCTACCGGTGTTGATATCCGGGGTCCCACAACATGACTCTGTTATCCTTTTGGCCCTTGACTCGATTTCAGTGGGCTATGAATAGGGGCTTCTGAGGAGGTGCAAGATTCAGATGCAAGTGAGCTCAATTCTTCCATCCTCTTTTTGAAATTGTGATACTTCGATTAGGTGATTATCTGGGTTTAGATGATGCTAGTGCGAATCGTAGTGGTCACGCTCTAACTCGGACCAGTCTAAACTCGTCGTTATATGTTTCTCCTACCATATATCCGAAAGAAGTGACCGAATCTTGAAGCGCCTAATCGTGCATGTGCACAGGGTGAAGCGTTGCAGGCTTAAAGTCTCGAGTATAGCACATCTAATATACTCCTGTCGTTGCTGATTTGTTGTGCTCAGTTGCGACATATGTTTGTCCATATTGTCCTTTTTGTCCGTCATTACTTCTTTCTCTCCTCGTCCTATCTTGTGCTCTAAGTTGTAGGAAAGAGTCGCGCCCGTTGAGCCGCCTCGAACTTGTCAACCCTGAGGGCCGGGCACCGCTGAAAATGACTTTAGTTGTTCCCAACATGATCAGGAGATGTTCAGGTACTCTGAAAAAACCTACGACGACTCATACCCACCCTCAGCGCTGCTGGCATATAAGTGGTAGGGGGGATGCCATCCTAATTACTGTGCTTTTTTTTATTTATACAGAATTTTGGACCAACAATTATTCACCTTAGATTCACTCTTTACTGCCTTGTTAAACCCCTTCAGGCAATCCTCGGAACATCTTATTAATATCTTCCCTCACAATGAGTGGGGCATGCGTGGTGTGGGCATGTACTCCTCTCTCTAAACCGCAAACTCGACCCTTCGATAAGTGCTTTTCTAATATCTGCTTCCAAAGATTGCAGCCATCTCGTTATATCGCTCTTTCAGTACTCAACCTCAACCACGAAACCCAAAGCGAGTACTCGTTCGCTCATCACCGTGATTCATCCCAAGTCGTCTTTGTGCTCCTCTTTTAGATTTAAATCTAAAAAAGCTTCACTACTTGCTCAGCAAGGACGCACTCGTCCATGGTAGGAGGTAGAGGAAGCATTGAATCACATCCTTTGGAGAAACCGAACACTGATGTCACCCCCCTAGGAATGCCTTACCAGGGAGATCTAGGGATAAGGGACGTCAACAATCCAAATACCACGAATAATCTAGATATCCAAACTATTACGCATGAAGTAATCGATTTCATGAAGAGGAAATTATTGGGATCATAACTCATGACCAGCCTTGCGCGTAATACCAATACAGAATTCACAAATGACCTTTGGAGAACCTCACGCCTGACAGGGATATCAAGGTGTACGAAAGTTTGGCTAGAAAGTAATACAGAGAAGTGGAACGGAAAACTGCCTGGTTGGCACGCTTCTCAGACTTTCCCATAATAAGCTCTGACGATGAACTGTATGAGAAGGTGTGGGGACAGTATGAAAGCTATGGCATGTATAATTGCTGCAATGTATGTAATTTGCTTCCATTTCTAGCGTAGGCAGTGTTGAGGCTATAGCTCGACTCGAATAGGCCACTAATCGACTATGGAATTTAATCTTACAATCCACTCAGTCAATACTGTTCACTATCATCAAATATATATTTCAATTGACGACTGCCTTCATGTACATACATTGTCTACAGCAGATGGGGTGTAAATAGGGAGGACATAATGGACACTCAAGGAGTCTGAGAGTTGTTCCAATGGCGTTCATGATACTTGTGGATGACTGTCCACTTCGGGAATATCTTCGCTCATTTGGCGAGGAGCAGGTCTTCCTCATCACAACGCAAACTTCGTTCATCTCTTTCAACATCGACCTTTCCTCCATTGGAAATTACCGAAGCCTGGACTTTCATGAATTTGTATTGAGAAGCCTATCAGCGAGAGAGTCTAGAATCTATCACGATCGAATACCCACACTCTATTGCATCATATTTCAATTTCGTCTTACGAGCCTTCCTGCTTCTTTCCACTCTTGCCTTTTCCTCCATAATCTTTCGAGTTTTGAGATTGCCCGTGCCACCTCTACGGGAATAGCCACTTGAGGTCATGGACCCGGGATCCAAACACTAAAAAACATTGACGATCAGCCATGCGGTTCTCATCGATGAGTATGCTCGAGTTCAACGCAATCTATTTTGGGGGGAAACAAAAGCGAGCATGCACCTTTGTGGGTAGATCCGGCGCTCTTTGAATTGTAGTTTTATCACTTTTATGACAGACAATTCAATGAACAGAATGGTGTCCTTGCCAGATGCCTGACTTCGCCATTGCATCGAACAAGGCATGGTTCAGATTCATCAATGGGAGTGGAAAAGTAGACTTAAACCATACTTACACCACCAGCTGGGAGGATCTCGGACCTAGTTTGTACATCTTCCTATTTTCGTGCATCAAGCATTAACGTTCTAGTAAAGTTCCAGGTGATGTATACAGCTATGGCTTTAATATGTAACTCTCGGCTGTGACACGGATACCTATTCGTATCCTAACTGGACTGAAACAGGTGTCTATCAAACCGTGGACTGAGACTATACACCGGCGAGCTTGGATATTGAGGTGAACGAAAATACGCCTATCGTATAACGGGCAACATGTGGTCTGACGAGCACGTGAAACATTCGGAAACTTCCTGTATAAACCCAGTGGTAATGCAAGACCATATCTAGGCTTTGTTACACTGCGTTTCTACCTCTCTCGCCCATGCTCTCCTCTTTCGCGCTTGTGTCTCTCTTTTCCCAACATTTCTCTTCGCTGCATTCAAAAGCTACTTAATATCACACCGATGGCGTGACTGCCCGGCTGTCGTGCAATCTGCAAAGATTTCTCCTCCCCTCTCGGATCGTCCGGATGCTGTGTTCTTCCAAAATCCCGTGTACGACGGTGCTACTGCACGACTTGAAACTGTTTCCCGAGCCGATGCAATAAAATCTCCGAGTGTGATACGGGATTTTGCGGAAGATAGGCGTTAGGTTTACGCAAGGGGACGAAATGGGGCCTGGGTGGTTTATAATGACAGTTGCCATGCGAACATCCGACCGTCACAACTTAGCGCGGAAATCTATTCCGAGAGAGGTCACACAATCCTGATCTTCCGTACTATATCCATAGGAATTAGGTTCGCAAGTACTTCTTCGTTCATTTATCCTTGAACATAAGGATAGTTGGTGATTCGTTGCAAGTTCGGTCTTTAAATAAGTCTATAACACAGTGTCTTAGTTGAGCTCTTACATCCGTTGAATAGCGTAGTATTTATATCCGTGTTCTTCGAGATGCATTGTTCCGCTTTTGCATTCCGTGAGTGGTTGTTATATGAGCAGCTCCCAGGTTGTGTGGTGCTTGATGTCTAAAGTGGGAAGGTCGATGGTGCTGGAAATAGGACCTAGAGGAAACGAAAATAGGCAAGAAGATAAGTCGAAGGCCGTTATGCTATGCCCTCACATGAGTGAAAATTCAATCGTCAATAAGGCAGTTGATACAATTCCCCAGAACCAAGCCTCTTTGCGCTTTCCCAAATCACTCTTCCTACTAAGATTATAAGTGGTTATAGCATTCTGTGAGGGGAATGTAAGAAGTTCTAAAAACAAATAGAATCTAGTCCTGTATAAGGTTTTTTGCAGCCAGAAGACTTTCCTTCTCGCTCTTTATCCACTCCCTAGTCTCGCGCTTCTGCTTCCACGCCCGCAGCAGCTCCAGCTCCTTCATTTCTCAACATGGCGCTTTCCCGTTTACACTCACAACTGCTCTAATACCTTCTTCTATTCCGCGGTAAGGCTCGATAGAACTCCTTAGCGGTCGCGTAGAAGAGCTAGAGCTTGAACCAAGTTTGACTGTCGGGTCGCTTGATGTGTTACTATTTCCAAGTTCCAAGATTTACTTTTGTAGTACACGAAATATCCTTCTTGGATGGTAGCAGAGCATCGGGGAGCTTCTTTCGAGTTTCCTGCTGCGTGCTCTAACCCAGCACCTCTGCAAGCCCCTAGAGTACAGTTATCCACGGCGGTAAGGCTGTATCTAGAGTTACTTTGATGAAGGAAAAGAATAATAAAGCTTTAAATAGCAACACTAGCAAATTTAGATCCCAGAGAGATATCTTATGGCTGCAGGGAGCATCTTTCAATATTTCTAGTTAGTCTCTTCTCGCACTGCTTTCCTGTATCACTTATCTTGCTCCTTCGCGGCGTTTTCATCCTTCTTCTCCTTCTTTTCGAGCCTTTTCAGAGGAATATCTTCAGCTGTCATAATAGTCTCAACGTGGTGTTGGCAAATTGAAGTAGTTGTGGTAGAGGAGAGAGCGACTGAAGTTTGAGGGTGAAAGTTGCAGGACTGCCGCTAATTTGCTCGACTCGCCCCTCTCACTTCACAGGACTAATAAATTCAGATCTGATTTTCTCCTGTTTTTCACCTGGCTCAAGTTCGCCACGATGTTATCTCGCCTTCTCTACCTTCAACTGACCCATCCGTATCCCTACACACCATCAACATACCCTTTCCCCCCGGCCTTAACATCAAACTCCATCAACTGCTTCAACCCACAAACCTCAAACAACTCCTTTGGACTCCACCTCTTCCCATCCTTCTCTACCGGATCCGTCTTTCCCTTCTCTTTCAACTGTCTCACCGCCGCCCTAACGGCCGGATACACGACCTCAACAGCTAATACTGGGAAAATGACAATCTTATACCCAATATCCTTCGCTTCCTGGACCGAGAAGTCCGGCGACACACCCCCAGGGACACTATTGAAGAGGCAAGGTGTTGGCGCCATTTCCTCACAAAATCTTTCTGCCTGCTCTCGAGTTTCCACGCCCTCGAGGAAGGCCACGTCAGCACCGACTTCGACAGCGGCTTTTAGCCGCATCAAGGCTTCATCGTAGCCAAATGATTGGAGGGAATCAGTGCGCGCTATTAGAATGATATCGCCGCGAGCCGCTTCTCTTGCCATAACCGCTGCTTTAAAACGGCTGATATATTCTTCCAGTGAAACCAATTGTTTGCCTTTTAGATGTCCACAGCGTTTGTTTACGACTTGGTCTTCGAGATGCAGGCCTGCGACTCCAGATTGGATGTATTGGGTTACTGTGCGGCCGATCATGATTGCCCCTAGCCGCTCTTAGCATTTGATTTCGTTATTTAGCGGGGGTTTGAAGTGGTTTTAATAGTGGGAGCCAAGGGGGGAAGAGGTAAGAAAAAACTTACCTCCGTATCCTGTATCGGCATCCGCAATAAGCGGGACGTCAGGATCAATACCTGCAATCATAGCAGCATTATCTCGCATATCATTCATCGTAGCTATTCCCATATCTGCCATCCCTAATCGTGACATCGTTGTCCCAGCACCTGTCTAGAGGTATCGTAGAATTAGCATAATATTGATTGTCCCTCTACCTCGTCACAGGATTACCGAGCCAGCCAATATCGTTGATCCGGTATGAGAAAATAGAAAGAAGCGACATGGTCATACCATATAGAGACAATCCACGCCCTCCTGCAACGCAATTCTCGCCGTATATCCATCATAAACACCCGGGCATCCAATAGTCTTCCCTGGGTCTGCGAGCAACTCTCGAAGCTTTTCGACGGCAGTTAATCGGTTGGTACCGTTCGTCTGTGCCATGCTGAATCTGGGTATATCTCTTCCAAGCAAAAGACCAGCAAAACCTTATTCTCAAGTCTTCCTCTCCTTTCTAAACAAACACCCACCGCAATTAGCAAGGCGACGCTTTGCTCAAAGGGTTATCTACAAGCTCAAATTTCTCAGAGTCAAACATAGAATGAAGAAATATGGCTGTAAGAATATAGAACACCCGGAGGCATTCCTCAGACAAACTTTTTTGACTCTTCCTCGGTTTAAGAGTCTAGCCTTTCTGACAGTTTGCGGCTTGCCCCCGCAGTGATGGGTGCATATTATTGCATGGCGTTGCGAGCACGTTGCCGAACTTCGCCGAACAACTTATGGATGTGGAACAAATAGCCCGGTTTGGGAAATAGACTGCTGACCTTCCCCAGACTGCACGGTTCGGGTCGGATGTATGCATGCGAGGGTGTTGCCGTAGGTTAGAAGAAGTGCTTTCGAGACAAGGGACGATGACCAGGTGGATTACCCTTGTACTGAGAGAAGGTTCGGTTGAGGATGCTGGACATGGTAGAAATTGGCGTAGATTGGAGGGGTACATTATCAGATGGCCCCGCCCACGCTGGTTGAAGGATGGTGACCATGATAGCTTTCTCATCACTTCTTACATTTTTTTCATATGTATAGGATATTCGGTATCATGGGCCCGCTTTTCAACTTACTAGATGCTTCTTTTGGTGTTAAAATCTCGCAAGAAGCACGCAGGAATCTCAATATTCCATTGCCTAAGCTCACTCAAAAGCTAAACTCTTCAAAGCAACACTCTAAACCCAAACATCCAATGTCTCTTAGACCTCCACCCAGCAGTCTTCACCCGCGAACCCTCCAACTACCCTCGCGAAGCCTCTACCCTCTGCGTGAGCCCCCAGACTTCGGCGACCTTGGTCTTTTCTTGATACCGCGCTCAACCCTGCCCAATACCTCATCCACACACAAGCGAAATAATCAGAGCGCACTCCTCCCAGTATACCCACCCCGACTTCCGAGAAAAAGTACCACGAGGCTTGAATATTCTTGTTGCAAGAAAGGCGTTCGGATGTGGTTTGCTTCGACAAGAAGCTGCAGGGCTTCCAACGGGCCGTACTACGGTCCGTACAAAGTGAACCGTAACGGTCACGTGTTCAGTACGAACGTACTGAGTTCGTGAGCCGTACCGTACGTTTAATGATGCCCTAGGTATGGTACGTAGTACAGATTGTATTACCCTTTTAGGAAGTTTGTATACACAGTTATGTTACAGCTATCTAACCCCTCAGTACCCTAGGATTGGCACGGGGTACATAGGCTCCTAGGCCTCCGTACCTCTGCCTCTAACTCTAAGGTTTACTCTTGTTACCCCCTATCCTGCATTCCCTCTCTGTGACTTGTGTTTCCTGATTAATACCCCTCACACCACGCCTCTTGCCGCTTTACAGGCCTTATCTAGTCCTATCTGCTCTTGTTACTAGGGAGAACTAGTTATTTTATAGTTAATTAGACCTTAATCTTGCGTCTTTAGGGACTAATAGTCTTAGCTGTTTTAACTAGAGTACAGTGTACTTTAATTAAATTGTACTACTCGTACAGATCACGTGAGCTGTAACAGTTACGATACGTACACCTACCTCTCCTCCTCCCTGTCGTACGAACGTACACAAAATCTCACCCGTACAGGCCTTAAAATCGCCCAATTGTACAGTACTACGCCTCGTTGGAAGCCCTGAGAAGCTGCCCCCCCCTTTTTTTTAGAATGATCTCGCCGTTGAAGGATTGAACATCTCTATCGGCCTGAAATCTAGCAAGCTTAAAGTAGAGGATAGAGATCATAGTTTCGAGTTCAGCGAATTAGAGAGGAAGTTTATAGAGTTGAGTAAAATTACGCAGGCTTTGCTCAAGAATTGTAAAGAGCTGTTCCAGGCGAGGTGTAAACTGAGTAGTATCAAGGTATTCCACAAACCGGATAGGAAGGCGATAGTCGCCATTGGAACGAAAACGTCGGGGCTACAATGGTAAGAGTCAGGTGGAAGTGAGTGAGACTTAGATATTATATGCAGGCATGCCCCCCTATTATGTTGTTCAGTTCCTCCCTGCTGTTGAAGTCATTGATGCTATATTTGGCTGGTCACCTGCCTAAGCTCAAACAGGATGGTCTTCCAGTCCTCCACTTCACAGTGGTTGATTGAAGTTGAACCCAATGCTCTCTGATAGCGTTCCAGGTGGTCCAGTGGGCTAATCGTTTGAGAAATCAAAGCTAGTCGCCCAATCGTAATCTGGGAACATCTGGTCTAGCATAGGCGGTGCATCATAGTTCGATCCATCCCAGGTGTCAAAGTTCATGCCTATTGAATTAGGCTAGAGTTGGCTTATCGCTTCTATTGGAAACTTGCTTATAGTAGTTGGTGGGCGTAATTCTGCTGGCTCAGTCTCCTGTTATACTGACTCTTTCGATGTATGTTAGTCGCAGTGAAAATCTGAGGGCCGGACTTGAAAGTTTACGAGGTGTTGCTTGTTCAGTATGCATATTCGGAGGTGCAATGCTTTCCTCTCCACTGTACTGGTTAGACATATTCCCAAACTCCTCTCTCCAATACCAAAACATATCAAAACTAACACTCATGCTCAACCAAGTCCGCAGTCTTAGCCCGAGAGAGTCAACTCGCCCATCTTTCCTCCGAAAGGGCTTCGAGCTTCTCCAGAGTTGTCTAAAGCCTCGGAAGGGGAAGCATAGTTTGGCTCCCATGCCTGTTGAAGCCACAGGACCATCCCCGAAAGAAGGCGAAAGCGACGCAAGCTCGCCTGACGTGTCTGTGGTATTCAGGAAAGACCCAGAGGCTCTCTCTACTTCATTGATGTTCTGAAGATCTAGTGGCTGCATATTTGGCATTAGAGCTGACGACATCTGATTCTGGTCATCGCCCGGTCGTATATTCCACTTTAATTGCTCGAGCTCCCGCCGCATTTCCGCATTGGTCTGTCGCAAATTCCGGGTCGAAGTGGGTAGAATGCAGCATTCCAAGTCAACTCTCTTGCACCGGCTGCATGGACCATGGGGCGTTTTATGTTTCTCAACGTTGCAACGAATCTACTTGAAAGTTATCATGTCTCGTAATAGGTGATGATTAGAGCGTGGGTCCATTCAACCTTCTGTTGTCTGCACTCGACGCAGGCTTTCCGTCTCAGAATTGACATCTTCAAAGATAATGTAACACTCTTTCGGACTACGCAAATCATTCGCTGCTTCAGAAATTCGCGCAAAACACAAGTTAGATGGAGCATTACCATGTCACATTAAAATTCTCAACCATGTCTGCCTCCCAACAACTGATAGGATCGTCTTCTGCTTCCAACACTTCTACATTCGTCTCCACATCCATCTTACTCTGCCTCATACCTCTATGTAATTTCTAAAAATTCTAGGATATCATTTGAGGTGGCCATAATATATTCATCGAAGATGAGAAGGCAAGACAAAAGAAAATCAAATAACGAGAAGAGTCAAGGTTCCTCCCATAAAGTGGACTGCTGGGACCTGCCCGAGAGGGAGCAAGAGAAAATCCCAGTTGAACTCCTTGAGACCCTGATACCACTACACCCCGCTCTCCACAAACGCCCCACTCTCTCCACAAGTGTCACACTAAACTCTTCAGCATACATGGCTGCATGTACTCGGTCTATGCTATGCAAATGGAAGAACGATCCCCTTTCTAATCGGGCTCTCTCGACCGCCAGCACTGGATCCTTCTGCAGAGTATCCTGAATCGCGATCAACATCGTCGTCAATATCGATATCGAAACCAGTCGCTTTTTGCTCCGCCTGTTCTCCATCGTTCTCGTCGCCAGTCCAAGGTTTCTGCGAAGCACCCCGGGTATTCCACCTCAAGGTGCGTGACAGCGAGTCGAACCACTCGGTCGGCTGGGAAAGCACGGTAGGGAAGGGATATTGTGAAGCAGCGATCGTGACATGGTCGCCTTGTCGAAGCTCTACGCGGCCCTTGCCATCGAAGGCGCAGTAAGCTGTAGCTCGAGAATTCCGAGGAACGGCAACGCGAAGGAGCATGCTGTCGTTCAGAAGCATGGGCCTGAAGCTCAAGGTGTGGGGACAGATGGGGGTGAGTAATATGGCAGGAATGTCTGGGTGTACGAGAGAACCACCAGCGGAAAGGGAGTAAGCGGTGGAGCCTGTAGGAGTCGAGAAGATGCAACCGTCTGCTTGGACAACAGTAAGGAGGTTGTTATCACCATACAATTCCAGGTTCGAAACATAAGGCGATGGTCCACGGTCAATAACAAGCTCGTTCAAGACCTCGAATTGCTCCGCCTCAATATGTTGCGGGCCGCCAGGGGCAGCATTTCGCTGGTAACGATACACTGTACATGTAAAGCGCATGCGGAGGTTCACCCTCATACCGGCGTCACCCATGATCTTGGAAAGGGCCTCTTTGTACTCGTCGTACTGAAAGTTTGTGAGAAACCCTAGGCTTCCCAGGGAGAACGATAGAATAGGAGGGACGATGCGTTGGAATAGCCAGCTTGTGTATAGCACAGTGCCGTCACCACCAAGTGTCAATACTAGGTCGAACTTCTCTGGGGAGGTCCAGCAAAGTTCGGGAGTCCAGAACCGGAGCATACCCTCGATTCGTGGGTCCTTGGCGAGGAGGGAGGCCATGTCGAAGCGTTTTGACTTACGGAGCTTGTGGTCTACATAGACGTTCACCCCGAGGTCCGAGCCGTATCGAGGGGTGCAGAGCAACCACTCAGTTAGCTCTCTTGTGAGGTGGACAAGGTCGTTATCCCGCGCCTTGGTGACAATCATAACATTGCGGACCGTCATCCTGATCGGCCGGCGCTGCAGCTGTTTCGAGACCTCGCGTACACTAGTAGCAGTTTGCATTAAACGGGAGTGCGATATTGTATCGTCTTCTTGTATCTCGTCTAGGACTTTCTCAAGGTTGACTGCCTTGTCGAATTTCTTGTGGAAAAAGCATGGCGATGCCAGCGCAGCCATTTTGCTCGCAGATAAATCGTCGGCATTAAAATTCAAGTCCGAGAGCGCCGCTGCAAGTTGTTGGTGAGACACAGCGTCTGAAGAGCTCCTCGTTTGCGCTTCATCGTTCATTGCTTGACCCTCCATGATCATGCAGTCCAGTGATGGGGACTTTGACGCATGTGACAGAGGGGGCCGTCGGGATTGCAGTGCCTTGATGATAGTTTGGCGGGGTATCGAGTCGATTGAGTAGGCGTTCTTGCGGTGCTTGCGCTCGCGATGTTCGCGAAATGACGACTTCTGGGGAAGAGATGTTAGATTCTCTATAGATGATGACGAAGACACTACGGGCTGCTCTTCTGTGCAAGTTGTGTCGTCGGCAGGCTGTGCGATTGAAGGCCGGTCAGATTTCACAGGGCAGGGCGCGCCGCTTATTTCTGTCGTTGCTACCGAATGCGCATTGTCGAGGTTTGCCTGAGACGTGGTTGAGGGTTGCGGAGCTTGCGGAGCGTGAGTGCCAACTGAATAGCTTAAGGTCGACTGCACGGAATTAAGGCCGGAGAAGGACTGGCGTTGTGGGGACAGTAGCGGGTGAATCTTGGTTGGACTAAACGGCTCCCTTTGGTCGGGCATGATTACGGAGTTATGAATGCTGAGGCGGTGCCAAATACCGGGATCGGGTGAATGTCAATAATAATAGACTAGCCGTCGGGTGGTGGAGGTGGCGGAAATGCCGGAGAACAGATTATTACACTGCAGCGCTCGGAGTGAATAATGGACGAAATATGCGCACGAAGAAAGACGTAGCCAGACGTCGCGACTGCAAGCTATTATAAGGACCGGGTGATCAAGAAAGAGAGCGTGGTGAAGCGTGGTGGTGTGCTATCGCATCTGATAGCTTGTGACCGTGGTAGGGCTGAGGTGACAGTGACAATAGGTGCAGTGCCGCCGATGTTGAGGTGAACTATCGATGATGACGGTGATAGAAGAGCCCGGCCCAGCCTATCGCGACAGAGAAAAGAAGAGAAGATAGGGAAAGTGACAGCAGTCGACCACTGGCCGAGCGCCGCAGAAGCGAAAGGAAGCGAGAAGGAGAGGTTATCGCGGTGCACGAGGTGGACACCAGTTACGCCGGAGCGAGTCTATATTCACTCAACAGCACTGCAAGCTCGTCTCCCTTGAGTGGTCAAAGCCACAAGCAACTCTACGCGCCAGCCTCAAACGACCATACCTCAACTCCGTGGCGGCTAACTAGAAAAAGCCTCATAGGAGTCGACGCACTTTGTGTGTCACATTCGTGGTCTTTGCTCGGTCAGCCCCCATCAACCACAGTCAAGCTTTGGAGAAGCTTTCAAAAACGTAGCACGACACGAGGACTGGACGCTCACACCCCCAATTCTAGCCGTGGCTGCCAGTCCGTTCTCCGGGCGCAGGAACTATCTTGCTAGTTTCTTTTGCAGTTCTCATCCTCTGAACTCTAGAGGTCCGTCCGGCTTCAGAGTATCACCTCGCTTCCCAGTATCACATCTCAGGCACATAACAAAGGCTTTGGCAGCTCAATCAAATGAAGCTAAACGAGACCAGCAGGGCAAGGGCTGGATCTCGATTGAGCCTCAACCTGTGCGAAGCCCCAACAGATTGGTCCTGCGAGGTTCCCGCCTCCCGAAATACCCTGTTAAGACAAATAGGAATGCTCAGGAGGCGAAACAGGCCAGGGGTGGCCCTGACCGTCTGAAGTTGTCTCGACCTTTCCTCCTCCGTACCAAAGTACCAAATTTCAAGCAGAGAAGCGAACACTTGCAACACCCTCCTCCTTGCCAAATTTCGGATTCCGCTACAAAGCCGATAACGAGAGCCATGTTCGATTGGGGCCCTGCTGTTTGACCCGAAAAGCCCCGCGAAAATCACACACCTCAGAAACTGGAGGGCACCAAACTAGATTCAAAGGGTCCAGGTGCGGCGTTGCACGTGGAAAACTTGAGGTAAATGGGGAGGCGGCTTGCGTATTTGCATCCGCCCAAGAGACGACGAGGGCTACCCACATGGATGATATTCGTACATCTGCGGCGTCAAAGATCCATATTCTACGCCACACCTCGGGGTTCAGGCTCGTAAATGGCTTGAATTGAGGGATTTGAGCGCCTACTTTACTCCCTGACTTATTGTTATCATTCATACTTGAGACAGAGTCCAACTCAATCGCAGGCTGAAGGGCAATCATCATCGCATCCCGCGGGATGATAGCTAAGTCAGGGTTGAGGAAGCGCTTCTGCTTCTCATTTGTTCTGACCTCGGGCACCGTCGTTGGAGTCCAGCCTCTGACCGAAGCTTTTGTGACAGTCTTGCATGAACTGTTTCCACTTTGGTTTATGATTCGTGTTGCTGCCGCTTCGCTTCCCGATTAGGAGAACTACGTCTCTATTGACACTCCGACGACGAATGCGAATGCGCAAAACTATAATTGTTGCTAGATTAATGATATCTCACTCTAAATCAAACTGTGATAATGCCTTCACATTTCGTTAGCTTCTAGTTCTGAATTATTGTAGATTCACTCTTGGCGGCAAGAGGACTTGGCCCTTTGCTAACCGCCGGGCGCAAAGTGTAACTGAAACATGAGCTTTTTCTATCCACCAAAGGGCGTGGTATCTCTTGACCGTAGAGAAGGATGAAATAAAATATCCAGGCGCATGCGGCGCCCTTGTGCGCGACTCATCGGAGAGCCTTTCGCGCGAAGTTGGGAAGGATGAATGAAGCTTCGTGGATAGCCTTGCTGTAGTACTTGCACAGCTTCTCCTCCTCTTCCTCGGACCAGCTACGGAGTGGCTTCTTCACGTCGCGATTGGCATCCTTGCAACAGACCATGAAGCCGATCTGGCCGGAAGGGTACGTAGGAATAGTCGTGTACGCGTACTCGACGACGGGGAAGACTTCCTTGCATGCCTTCTTGAGGTTGACAATCAGGGGCATGTGAAGCCATTGGTTTTCAGCTTTACGGGGAAATCAAACAAGTTAGCTCGTGCGGCACAGGTCACCTTGGCGGTGCTCGAACAGCGGCTGAAATATACCACCGGGCTGAGGGAGGAGGGGGCTTACAACCTTGAGTGGTGATGACACCACCTTCCCGGAGAGCACCGTTCAGAAGCTCGAAATAGGCTTTCTGGAAGAGAGCTTCTGCTGGGCCTTCGGGGTCACTAGAGTCAGTGATGATGATATCAAACTCGTTCTTCCTGTCCTCAAGGAATTTGAACCCATCCCCGACGATGGTTGTAACGGCGGGATGCTGGAAACCAACCGACATGCCAGGCAGATACTTCTTGGAAAGACGGATGACAGCCTGCAAGTCCATGAGCCAGGTGCTTCAGTGTCAATTCTCACAGTACTGACCTCATCAATGTCACAGAGAATAGCCTCCTTTACACACTCGTGCTTCACAACTTCACGAAGTACACCTCCATCACCGCCTCCGATGACTAGAACCTTTTCAGGATTTGGGTGGGAATTCATCGCCAAGTGTGTAATCATCTCTTGATATCTGCCCTATATCAGCCACTTTCTTCCGGAACCAAAACGACCCGTTGTGGCATTTGTTGATTGGGCTGGAAAAGATCGCGCAGCCGTAATGGGGTAGGGCTACAACGTACGAGAACTCATCGCGCTCGGTACATTGTATAACATTGTCGAGGACCAGCACGGTTCCATAGTCGCTGGATTCGAAGATGAGCACGTCCTGGTACTTGCTCTTCTCATGATGAAGGACCTGGTTGACTTTGAGTGTCATAGCCTGACCCGGCCACATGTCAGAAATCTCGCGGAACCAGCCATCTATTGAAGGGTTGAAATTAGCGGCGTATTTGGCATCATGGAAGTTAGCCATAGGCAATTGCGTACCTTTAATGGTCGGATGAGTGATCTGGTCAGCCATTCTGCAGTTTGAGGTGATGGTGCGATTGAAAAATGGATAAAGGCGGGGAAAAGGGGTATTGTGGGAAACTAGCGGGAGGAAGGAAAGTAAGAAGGGGAGAAACCTCTTGGGAATTATATACGGCCCGTCAGGTTGGGGCGAATTTGAGGTTTTTTTCTGTGCTTGGGTTGCAAGACTCGAAGAATTGATTTTGGCGGCGTGTTCTGCCCCACCATCATCGAATCGGACGCCACCACGCTAGTCCTAGAATAGTGCAGCCTTTCCGAGGATCTTGGCGAGGCCACGGTCATTCTCAACTGAGCATTCATAATTGAAAAGTACATGTGCAGATATCGTTTCCTGCATCACTTTTGTATCGCTGATTTTCTTTAAGAGAATGGCTTACTGTAGCGTGGGGTAAATGTGATCTTTCGCGCCTTCGGTGAAGATGAGCGTCCGATCCGGAGCTAGGACAGGTATCGATTAAGTCCATTTGAGAACGAGGGTTCTCGTATATACGCCTCTCAACCTCATTCGCAGGAAGCCAAGGCACCCGGGCAATCGTAAGGCACGTGAATGTACAACGAGAACAGTACAAAAAGGCCCTCGGGCCTTTTAGCTATGACTTTACCTTAACAACAACTCTTCAGCTCTGCCACTATCATTGAAACATGTCAGAACAAGAGGGAGTAGCCAAATTGATTCAGGAGATCCCTAAAGACTACCAGAATATCAAGAACCCTGAAGACATCCCTTGGTTCGTCAAGGAGTTGACGAACATCAAACCAGACGCGCGGGATCTCTTCGAGAATTACTGTAAGATCCCTTCTGAAGATGTGGTTCCTCATATCAAACAGATCGTAAGTCATCTGTTCCGTAGGGGGCCTTCAAACGAGGCTAAGTGTTTCTTTTCATTAGAGAGATAAGGCATTCAAAGTGGTAAGTAGTCCTAGCACTTACATTCTAAAATCTCAAGAATGACACTTTGAAAGTATCCCTATCCATGCTTGGGTCACTGGGGATTCCTTGACCTAAGTATCAGCCAATCGCCCAAGTACGATGAAATCCTTCAACGCGTCAAGAATGGCGACAACTACCTTGACCTCGGCTGCTGCTTTGGGCAAGACATCCGGAAGCTGGTCCATGATGGCGCGCCATCTGAGCATACCTTCGGCAGCGATCTGCAGAAAGACTTTATGGATCTTGGATATGATCTCTTCCTGGACAAATCCACTCTCAAAACCACTTTCATTCCGGCAAACATCTTTGAGGAGGGCACAGGCCTGATGCAGCTTGTGTCCAAAATTGACATCGTCCATGCTGCTTCCTTCTTCCACCTCTTCGACTGGCCGGAGCAGGTCCAGATTGCTAAGAGACTCGTCACAATCCTGAAAGCAAAACCTGGGTCGCTTGTAGTCGGACGCCAGATTGGTCACACGGATTCCGGAGAGCTTGCCCGCCAAATCGAATCATCAAAATCAAGATTCAGGCACAATGAAGCATCATTCGCTAGAATGTGGAAAGAAGTGGGCGAGGCGACGGGGACTGACTGGTTGGTGGATGCTCATCTAGAAGCTGAGGACCTGGGCAAAAAGTCAAACTTCAAGTACAACTTCATACCCGCTGGTACGAGATGGTTGCGTTTTACCGTTTGCAGGCTGTAAGTGCGAAAATTCGGGGAGGGTCTGATGAGGTCTTGGCTTCAAATTGCGTCTTGTCATATTGCGTCAAATGTTCCAGCAGGTACTTCAACATACCTGAATTTGAATATCTCAATTTCTTCCTGTATCGCCTAGCGGCCTGATCTCCCTGAGGATCGATATTTGGCACTTACGTGCGGTTGGGAGGGATCCTGGCAGTTATCATATTTCAAGCGTTTCAGCATCAATTATGCAAGCATTAACCATAATAGACGAGGGGCTTTGAGATATCTACGGATTAGAAAGTGGTAGATATGTGTCGATGACCAAGGCATGTCACTCAGTTTGTTCAATGGACCAATCACATTGTTATATTCTAAGATCACGTGAATCAATATCGCCAAGACTTGTATCAAACATTCGTGGCTTCAATATTGGACGAACACACACACTCCCATTTCTAGCGTTCGCTGACTTTCACGCGCCCAATTTGAGGCCAAAGCTTCTCTCACATAATGGATCCATATTCGCCCGAAGGAGGTAGAATTCCTACGCATTCCAGCCCCTAACTCCCGCTAACATCCTGGACCGTAGAGCTTATAAACATCCACACCGCATTTCACTCCGGCGCTTTCCAGCAAGTCCTCGATTTCGACACCTCATCGCTCTCCACTGCAAATGCTCTCCCCGCACGAGTCCTCAAGCTCCGCTCGCAGATCGCCCTGGGACGGTCAAAGGAAGTAGCTAAGGAGCTAAATGGTGAGAAAACACCCGACCTAGTTGCAGTGAAGCTGTTGGCGGAGTACTTGGATGGTAAAGATGTGGTGGAAGCCGCGAAGAAGCTTGCAGAACAGAATGGCAGCGAGAACCTGACTGTGCAACTATGCGTTGGAATGATACTTGCTAGGGCGGGGGAAGTTGACGAGGCATTGGCACTATTGAGCAAGCACCAAGGGAGTCTTGATGCGTACGTTCACTGTCTACGACTTCGTGATAGCGGGTGCTTTGCAAGGCCAGTTAGGCTGACGCTATATTTTCTGAATAGGGTTGCCCTCATAGTACAAATTCACCTTCAGCAGAACCGCGCAGACCTCGCAGCGAAAGAAACACAACGGGCCAGGAAATGGGCGCAAGATAGTTTGCTTGTCAATATCGCCGAATCATGGGTAGGGATGAGAGAGGTACGTCTCGCTGTCGACCATCGACTCCATATAAGCCGTATTGTCCGGGGCCTCCAACGCCTATACCATGAAAACGGGGTATGCAAGAATATGCTAATGTGATGATGCTAGGGAGGTGAGAAGTACCAGGCCGCTTTCTACGTCTTCGAGGAGCTTGCGCAAGCCAACCAATCCCAATCCCCACATTCGCTCGTCGCTCAAGCAGTCTCCGAGCTCCACCTTGGCCGACTCCCTGAAGCTGAAGCTGCTCTTAACCAAGCTATTGCTCTCGACTCTAACTCGGCCGATACGATTGCAAACCTAATTGTCCTAAACACATTACTTGGCAAGAAGGACGAGACTACACAGTTGAGGTCGCAATTAGAAAAGGTGGATGCAGAACACAAAGCGCTCGCGGACTGGAAGGAGAAAAAGGAGGAGTTCGAGAAGGCGAAGGCGAAATATTCGCCGAAGTTTGAACCTTAACGATCACACATAGAATGGCGTTAAGGAGGCAGCTTCCGGATCAGGAGCCAAGGCACATGGGCAGTAACTTTGATTGTATCGGAAAACCATGCGTGGTGATAGACGTCCTACGAAGCGTGGAAGGATTTACGATAGATCCGCCGTGCCTAAGTATTCCGAAAGACAAACGAACTTTCCCAGCTCAGGTTTTTAAACGTGCATCAAACTCGAAGTTGTTGGGATGTCTGTGGCATACCCTTTAGCTCTAGTCGGAAATTTCTTCAGGAAGGATGATATTAAAGAGCATGTGTGTGAAAAACCCGTTGCTTCAATACCTTTGTCTTTCTTAATGCATTCTACTACAATCTGTGGATGGATGACACGCTCTAGCTAAGTTCCTAGTCGTACGATGTCTTGCAGGTGTCAACATTTGCTTTTCCGTCTAATCGAAATAATGCTCCCGTTCTGGCTTCAGCACGCGAATTTATCGAAGAACAGCGACACTCTAGCCCGAACCATGGAATCTCCTCGCGAAGTACGGAGCATACCCGATACTTTCGCGATAGTTTGTTTTGTAGACCTGTGTGTGTTGCGAGGTAAAGAAAACATGTATCCGTAGAGTCCTCTAGGGATGCTCCTTTTCTACGTAAATTCACATCTCTTTCTTCCAATCTCTGTAAGAGAACTCATATTTCTTTCTTACGTTCACCCCTCCACCCTTATTTGCGATTATCCTATTGACCAGGCTCTGTGAGGGAACGAGCTGGAAGCATTAAGAGTATGACGTCCCGTCAACGCCGGAAAACGGGCACAGAAGCCGCACCAAAACGAGGATTCCTGAGCAGGTTTGGAACAAAGAGCCAATTGAGCCTTCGAAGCCCGCTATGTAATACTTGCCTGTCTTTGGGGTTGGGGGCTCCCCCCCTTCCTTCACCCCGCACACCCACGACGCCGGTGTCGATGAACTCATGGGTGTTTCCCGGGTCGCCGGTTTCGACTTCGAGCGGACGTGGGTGTGGGGCGGTAAGTATTGGGAGCTATGACGATTTGGTGGAGCGGAGCAGTTGTCCATTTTGTCAGTTGGTGCTGCATTTGGTGAGGAAGAAAGGGGAGGCGCCGGCTCTCGTAGGTGGGAGCGAGGTGAGCAAGAATTGAGAACCGCAAGTGTGGCGACGCTTACACGAAATTCTAGGGCCCCTCATGGTCACCGACGACAAAGTACCAACTACGCAGATCCGGCGACGGCTTCGAGGTCCGCGAAGCATCCAACATTTTTGGCTATATATGTCCTGCCGGTGACGACATTGCACCAGCACCCACCGCGTCCACATCAGGCAGCTCGGCGTCTACACTCGACGCTAATCTCATTAAAGGATGGATGACAGAATGTGAACAGAAGCACGTGAATTGCAGCCTCCTGAAGGAATACATAAAGTCAAACGATGCTCTCGATATCCTTCTCGTTGATGTCAAAAACAACCGAATCGTCAAAGGCCACACAAACCAACGCTATGTCGCACTCAGCTATGTCCGCGGCAACGTCAAAATGCTACAGACGCTTAAGGAGAACTTCAATACCCTACGTCGTGACACAGCTCTCGATCCGCATAAATCAAAACTTCCAAAGGTGGTCATAGACGCTATGAAATTGGTCTCCTTGCTGGGGGAACGATATCTCTGGGTCGATACTCTGAGTATTGTGCAAGACGATATCATTCGCAAGAGCGTGATGATCAACAACATAAACCAGATATACGGAAAAGCTTTATTTACGATTGTTGCCGCCTCAGCTCGCGATGCAAACACGGCTCTCCATGGCGTGAATGCTGGGACTCGTCTGCCATACGTTGTGGAAGAAACGATTGACGGGAAACGGTTTCTCTCTCGTCCAGCAAATTTACGTACTCTTCTCAATCAGGGCTCGTACGGGACCCGTGCCTGGACGTACACAGAACGACTCCTCTCGCAGCGCTGTCTGATACTGACGCCGCATCAAGCGTATTTTCAGTGCCCGGAGGCTGTGCATACGGATGCCAATGCTAGTAAACCGGATATGATTCACCCTGAGCTGGACATCCCCAGTAACCCCTTACTAATGATTCAAATGGAGAGAGCAATGACACAGAAAATGTTCGCAGACACCTTCGATGAAGGTGGGTTCCTCATTTATGACGAGCTTGTGCGTTCCTTCACTCGCCGCTCACTATCAAACCCTATGGATAAGCTCCCAGCCTTTGCTGGCATCGCCACAGCTCTCAAGGAAGACTATAATTCGAACTTCGTCAACGCTTTGCCTGAAGCTGTTCTCGACGCAGCACTGCTCTGGATATCAGTCAAGACTGAAAGGAAAGAAGGTAGCGAAGACCGCCTAGTCCAGCGTTCCCGCTTCTTCCCCTCTTGGTCCTGGGCCTCGCAACCCGGCTGCATTGACTACCTCTCCGGTCCACTAAACTACACCCTCCTAAACGGTGGGCCGGGTATCAATACAGAAATCGGGACCATCTTCCTACGCAAACAAAAGCGCCTGCGCCCACTAAACCGCCATTTCGAGGACTTGGTCCGGCAAGGCGAGGGCCTGACTCCTGCACCCAGCGTCGCGGACATGCCGACGCCATTTTTATTCCGCGATGTCGATACCTTGTATTTCTCAGCCATGACCGCAAGCCTGGATCAATTCCGCCTGAAACCCAGCATAAGAGACGAAGGCTCCGTCCTCCTTTTCTCGAAAATCCTGTCACCAGCGAAGTCCCAACTTCCTGATCAACACAAATGCTGTGGGAAGATCTGGGTGGACGACTTCTCTGCATTTCTCCCCGCAGCTGTGGATCTGAACGATAACCCACCGAAGAGGGATCTTGTGTTGTTGAGCAGCACGCAGGTGCCGAATGTGGCGGAGCATTTGGAGATCAAGGGTGAGTTTGCGACAGAGGAGTTTAGGGATGATGGAGAAGCGTTGATGAATGTATTGGTGATTGAGTGGCATGGGGAATATGCGGAGAGGTTGGGTGTGGCGCAGGTTCATGGGAGGGGGTGGAGGGCAGCAAGGACGGCGAGGAAGATTGTTGTCTTGGCTTAAACAAGAGAATTATCGAGATCGGTATGTTCATTGGGGCTTTGGGATTACCATTGGTAGCAGGGGGCGCATAAATGGATGGGACCTGGTGTTGATGCACCTCTGGGTCTGGAACGATGGCTCTTCAAAGCATAACAACATGATGGAGGAATGTATATATAAGGGGTGAAGATGGTTTAATGTGGGAGTCTGGCGTGCAGCCATAACTGCTGTACAGGTGGTGATCGTTGAAGACTTTCCATCGCATCACTTGTCTTTAGACATATTAGTATAGTGTTTAATTTTTAATCTTTCTGCTGAGATGTTGAGTTTGTAAGGCTTATATCTCGACCTCTACTAGATCTTGTGAACGTATAAGGTAATCTCTTCGGAAATTTGAAGGTCGTACCCTCTTGCAATTGTCGATACTGGCAAGGCTACCGATCAACATTCATCCCATCCGTCCAAACCCATCGTCCTTCAGCACCGTAATCTACTCGCAACATGAGGTCTGGGGTCCTGAAATACCCCCATTTTGTGATATGAAGGGTTGCCGCAGAATTCTCCGCTACTTTCTCCTCCATACAACTTCCGCCGCATCGCCGCCCTTCATGCTGTATCTTGAATTTATGCCTCAGGAGCCAATTTCGAACGGGCCAGGGTCCTCTCCCAGTGGCCTAATTTGATCGTCTCAACCTTGTCACTTAAGCTTACCATAGTATACCGCTCTTCTCAAAGCCCAGCTAAGGAAATGGAAAGCTGCCAAAACAGCAATTCCTTTCACTGCCCCGTGTGGTCCATGAATATGCTGGTTCTGCGCACGAGGGAAGTCCTGGTTGAGCGCGTTTTTCATGGTTGTCTCCGCCGTTTGCGCGGCAGACACGTCACTTAGCTTATCAAAGCAGTGCTTTTGATGATGAATATGGCGGGCAACAGTTTCGACGCCCTGTGCCGTCGTTTATCCGGAACGCGAGGAGCGCGGCTGGCTTCGAGAAGCTCCAGCAGACGGCTATGTTTTCCGAACGATCGTTTGATGTCATGAGCCCAAGGCTCTTCAAAACTAAACGAGGATGAAGGTTGTAAAGCACCAACGCTCGAAACAATTCCCGACATGCAGGCTCATAGAACCAATAGGATTCTGGCGCGCTGACAGTGTCAATGCCAAGGCTGTCAAATTCTCCACCGTATCCGGGCCAGAAACTTTCCGGGAGGCTAATTGGGTTCCAGTCGCGAGATGTCAACCAAGTTAAGCCTCGTGACAACACGAAGAGTGGTGTGGTGGGCTATTTCTGGACAGGCTCAGGACGCGGTCGGAATGCAAGAGAGTTGGTGAACTAAAGAGGGATTGGGTTGACAAGGGAAGCCAAGCTTCTGTCAAGCGCGGTTGCCGATCTGCGACTAGCCTCGTGGATCATCCGTTGCGTCGGTATCTCTCGATTCCTGCCTCCCACTTTCGCTCGAATAGCATCTACCAGAACTCGTTGCTGTCAGCAAACTTCCCGCAAACTTCGTTGGAGGAATACGTTCCTCCTGTAATAACCCGAGCGGCTCGTACTGGAGCCCATGTTTCTATTCTGAGACGCATAAAGAGCAGCCTGCGACTCGGACTGTGTGGCGTCGGATTTTGATACATCCGAGCGACACACCAGGCCCAAGCACACTCAGACCAAGACACTCCAAGCACACTTGGAACAAGCTTAACTTTAGCGTTGAGCCAATGTGGATCCACAAACCTCCCCCAGCGAGCGACTTGGCGAGCATTTTGCCAAATGTGGATGCTTGAGTGCTCTCCCCTGAACCCGCTGTGGATGAATTTGCACCCGTGTCAGTGGATATGGCGGCATCGAGAGCTTGCTCAAGACAGCGAGCGTCCGTGACCTTTTGAAAGGTGTGCATCGTGCATGTCCGTCCATTGTGGAGCGTATCAGCCATCAAAATCTCGCGAACCAACGATTCTTACAGGGTCCATTTTACTCCAGCTTAATCCCGCAATCTGGTAGTCCTTTTCACAGAGCGGGCGAGTGTTGCAATTTACGATCCTCGCCTTGTTCTTCTTTTATCTTGTGGCGTAGCGGCGTTAATAGCGTGGTGTATATGTACTTGCGCTTACCTGCGTCAATGGTGGTTGTCTTTTCGTCCGCTTTCTCCGCACTACTTTGCCCGAGGCTTAATTACCTGGCGCGAGAACGTCAGCTGATCGTTAAGATGGAGATGGACGGCCAAAGAAGAAAGACTACTGTTGAGGAGGTACAAACTCCATTGCTAGAGAATATGGTTGTCCCCCCAGTCTTTAAAGGGTTGACGAGGGAATTGGATAAGTTGGCTGAGCAGCCGTTGCTAGGCCCGAGGGCAGATTTTCCATCGCGTAAGTTATTCCCAGGGACATGAATGAGAGCCAATATTAATGTTTGGTTAGCTACGTTTGCATTTGCACAGAAAGATGTCTCAGGAAACAAGAGACCGCAGGCCATTGCACATCGAGGGTACAAAGCTAAGTTTCCGGAGAACACGATGGGGGCTTTTAAGGGTGCGGTGGAGGTTGGAGCACAGGCTATCGAGACAGACATACACCTGTCGAGAGATGGTGTTGTAGTACTATCACATGTGAGTAGATTTATTCTCTGCGTAAACACCGTGCTGAATTTTTCCAGGACAAAGACCTGAAAAGGTGCTTTGGTCGGACGGACAAGGTCATTGACTGCGATTGGGAGTTCTTAAGCAAATTAAAAACTCTTAAGGAGCCGCACGAATCGATGCCTCGACTAGTTGACTTGCTGGAGTACCTCGCTTCACCAGGAATGGAAGAAATCTGGGTGTTGCTCGACATCAAGGTATTTTCGCAGTCACTCCATTACGAAGCAACCTAATCACTTCTTTAGCTCGACAACGACCCAGAAGACGTAATGCGACTCATTGGTAGCACGATTAGTAGTGTGCAGCCCTCTACCAGGCCTTGGTCGACACGTATTGTTCTCGGATGCTGGGCGGCGAAGTACTTACCACTATGCTCTCGGTACCTTCCCAACTTCCCGGTCTCCCACATCGGCTTCTCTATCCTTTACGCCTCCCACTTTTTCTCAGTTCCCAATGTCTCATTTAATCTCCAGCAAGGCGTCCTTATGACACCATGGGGAAGGGCATTTATCCGCAAGGCCCACTGCGACAAACGACCCGTTTTCGCCTGGACTGTAAATGAAGAGAAACGGATGCGGTGGGATATCCGGCATGGTATTGACGGCGTTATCACGGATGACCCAAAGCTGTTCTTGGAGGTGCGGCGGGGGTACCATGAAGGGATGCGGGATCGATTCAGTCTCATGTTGATGCTGGATATCATACGGATTAACTTCTTTGCGCTCATATTTGGCGTCCTATTTCAACTGAAGTTCGGCTTTGGGGAAGGGAAGGCGTTAGTTCGTGGTCGAACGCGGCATTAGCGTATGGGGTTAGCATTAGCATTAGCATTTCAGGGGAAGGCGTTGAAAGAGCCTCTTATCATAACAACGACTAAACATTATGGTCACCATGTTTCTGTCTTGATTTCCGGAGAGCTGAGCTTTCTTTTTCACCCTTCATCGCTTCGTTTCCCTACTTGTACAACTTTCAAGTTCTTCGCCTCTCCTGATTCACCTACTTCTCAGCTTTACAGGCCGCGGGATCAGGTATAACTGCTCAGCGTCATGGTCGACAGTTCCTTTCCACATGTTGTTGACGATCTTCGAGGGGTCCAAGCTTTGGTAGGTGGATGTGAAAGGCTAGGCCCTAGCTTCAACGCCAGATGGGGACGCGCCCGATATTTCCCCGCAACGCGTCTCCCAACCCACACCAACACTACACCACTAAAATGCCCAGGTACGTGTAATCAGGTCAGATATATGTACATGTATGTGTGGCTAATCATAAGACAGAGAGATAATAACCCTACAGGCTGGCCAATGCGGCAACAGCGGTGTGTATGGCTAGTATATGAGACGGAACTTGCTGATGTATGTGATTGCAGTTGGCCAACAATTCTGGCAACAACTCTGCCAAGAGCACGGCATCAACCAAGACGGCAATCTTGAAGACTTTGCGACAGAAGGCGGAGATCGGAAGGATGTCTTCTTTTACCAGTCTGACGATACCCGCTACATCCCCCGCGCAATCCTTCTTGACCTTGAACCCCGAGTCCTTCATGGCATTCAGAACAGCCCGTACAAAAACATATACAACCCCGAAAACTTCTACATCCACAAAGATGGCACTGGCGCGGGGAACAATTGGGGGGCCGGTTACTCGATGGGCGAACAGGTGCAGGAAGAAGTTCTCGACATGATAGACCGGGAAGCAGACGGCTCCGACTCGCTCGAAGGATTCATGCTTTTGCACTCGATTGCTGGCGGCACAGGCTCTGGTCTAGGCAGCTTTATGCTGGAAAGGCTCAATGACAGGTTCCCGAAGAAATTAATCCAGACTTATAGTGTTTTTCCGAATACACACAACTCAGATATCGTTGTCCAGCCATATAATAGTCTGTTGAGTATGCGGCGGTTGACACAGAATGCGGACTCAGTCGTATGTACCCCCAATAATTGCAGAGGGTAGTTGCTAACTGCGTAGGTGGTCCTTGATAACAGCGCCCTCTCTAGAATCGCGGCAGACCGACTCCACGTCCAAAACCCATCTTTTCAGCAAACGAACCAGCTGGTCTCAACCGTCATGTCCGCCAGCACCACAACTCTCCGCTACCCTGGATACATGCACAACGATCTGGTGGGCATTGTCGCATCGCTCATTCCAACGCCTCGCTGCCACTTCCTTATGACCTCGTACACTCCCTTCTCAGGAGAGAACGTCGAGCAGGCGAAGACAGTCCGGAAAACCACAGTCCTTGACGTCATGCGCCGACTGCTTCAGCCAAAGAATAGAATGGTGTCGACAAATCCAACCAAAAAGAGCTGTTACATGTCCATCCTAAATATCATCCAAGGCGAGGCAGATCCCACCGACGTACGTCTTCCTCTTCAATTTCGTCCGAGCTGGGTTGTTTGATTATTTGCCCCTCAATCATAGCGGCATATACTAACATTCTTGCAGGTCCACAAATCTCTTCTCCGCATCCGCGAACGCCGTCTCGCAACCTTTATCCCCTGGGGCCCTGCCTCCATCCAAGTCGCCCTCACCCGCAAATCCCCTTACATAACTTCCTCCCATCGTGTATCTGGCCTCATGCTTGCAAATCACACTGGTATTGCGACGCTGTTTAAGCGAATCGTGGCGCAGTATAGTACACTAAGGAAGCGGAATGCGTTCTTGGAATCGTACAAACGGGAAGCGCCGTTTAGAGATGGGTTGGGAGAATTCGATGAGGCAAGGGAGGTAGTACAGGGACTCATTGATGAGTATGAAGAGGCCGAGGGTGAAGACTATTTGTCTAAAGAAGGGGAGCCGACGAAGCAGGACGAGGATAAACGCGTCAGTGCTTGATGAAAACGTGCTGGGTGGGATTGAATCCAGGCTGTTTTCATCTTGGTGTATTTGGTTGGAGTCATGCTTGTACGGCCTGAGATGAGGATTAGATGAATGGTCTGGTGGGGGCGTTTCGATTGGAAGGCCAGATTCTAAGGATGTAATCATGATACCATTTCTTTCAAACTCTGTCCCGCTTACCAGATCAGCAGCCTACTACTACCATGAATGAATATTTCAAGATCATTATCATCGGTCAATATGCGTGCCTCGTACGTACAATACAAACTGATGCAAAGCTAAACTGGACAAAATAATAACGCTGTCACATTACCGTACGGGCTTACTACAGTAAGATCATAGCAGCACCAACACCAATGAACACCACCGCAACCCAAATATGCAGATCCGACCGCACACCAAGCGCGCCTGCTGTTTGAAACGTCGGACCTCCTCCAAGTCCACTCCAGATGTAGTGACCCGGTCCCTGGAACGACGCGACCTCGGTTGTCGATCTGGTAGATCCTGACGTCGACCGAGCCGAGCCCGACGACCCTGTTCGTCCAGGCGTTACGGTCATCGCGCTGGTTCCGCTGATGACGACAAGTGCGCCTCCCGAGGGTCCGAGGGAGAATGTCGTCCCGCTGATGGTGGTTGAAGATCCTCGCAACAGAGTTTGCCCGTTTGGTAGAATTACGCCGCCATTGCTGGCAGTGACGTAGGAAAACCCTGTCGGTAGCGCAGTGTTGGAAAGAGGAACTGTTGTTCCGTCAATGATGAGCGCTGTCCCGGAAGGTGCGAGCGAGATCACTGTTCCGCTAATTGTGACCGACGATCCAGGATACAATGTTACGCCGTTCGGAAGCACAACGCCGCCCCCAGGCGCGGTAACAGGCGATATGGGAATTGTCTCCGAGCCGATGACGATGTATGACCCTGTGTTGGGATTCAGTGGGATGCTGCTGCCGTCTACGATAATAGCGGTTCCGGAAGGTGAGAGTGAGTACACGGTCCCAGAGACTGTTGTCGAAGACCCTGGAAGAAGTGTCACTCCATTTGGAAGAACGAGGCCACCACCAGAAGTCGTGACAGGGGAAATGGGGATTGTGTTTGTGCCGACGACGATGTAGGATGCGGTGTTGGCGTTTAGCGGGATGCTGCTCCCGTCGACGACGATTGCGGTCCCGGAAGGTGCGAGTGAGTATACTGTTCCGTCGACTGTTGTTGAAGATCCTGGGAGGAGGGTAACGCCGTTGGGGAGTTTGATTCCGGTTTGGCCTGGGGCGAAGGAGAGAGGAACTGTCTCCGAGCCGATTGTGATATACGACGGTGCGGTAGGGCCCGCGGGATTGAAGGTCACGGTTGCGTCCCCGACGACGATGGCAGAGCCGGAGGTTGGGAGGTAGATTGGTGTGCCGTCGACGGTGAGGGTGCTGCCTGGCTGGAGAGTTTGGCCGTTTGGAAGGACTACGGCGGTTTCGGACTGTCCGGCGGAGTATAGAACTGTCTCCGATCCTACAGGAATCGCCTGCGTTACTTGCGGGTTGGCCGGTGGTTCTGATACTCCTGGCTGGTTTCCTGCAGTCGGAGCCGGTGGGTTGTTCCCATTGCTAGCCTCTGGCTGCTGACTCTGTCCAGGTTGCGGTTGCGCAGGTGCTTGGCTCTGTCCTGGTTGCTCGGCGGGCTTAACATCTGCCAGTTTGGACGCCGCAGGGTCAGGCGGGTTAGGCGGTGGCGTTTCGCTGGCACCAGGGACGTCTGGTTTACTGGCTGGTGCTGGTGGGTTTGTGACCTTTTCATATTCCGTCGTTGTCGCTGTCATAAAACGCGCTGTAAAGGGTGCCACAAAAGGCGCGACTTCCGGGGGCAGAACACAACTCTGCCATGCGCTCTCTCCTAGGAACGATTCCTTGTACTCGGTTATAAATCCAGGTTCGAGTGTCGGCTTGAAGAGCACGCCCTCAGGATCATATCCTAATGGATGAGTAGGCATAACGAGAGGCAGCTGAGGGAATGAAGGGAGAGCCACAGATTTGGATTCAGGGACAGCCGTTTCGCATTTTCCTGAAGTTTCGAGCGTCCCAGACCATTGATATCCGTCGGGCCATCTGAGGAATCTTGTCGGGAAAGCTCTGCGCACGGATCAGCACACTGGAGAGCTCATATGTAGCACTCAGTCTAACTTACAGGTCCGTCGTTATCACCTTCCCTGACCTTGTATATGTCACTGTGGTGACGTGTGTGCCTCCAGCATTGACGTCCGGCAGGACGTATCCGCTAGGTATCTCATTGAGGCGGAGGGAGGTCTTGGTGGTGTTGTAAACTGTGTTGACAATTACGACAAGGGTCGCTGCAATGATGGTTTCTGTGAAGGTGTACGGATACCAGAAGATGGTTGCAGGTGGTGTTGCTGAGACGAAGCAGCTAGCGTTGCATGATCCTGTATATGAAGACGAGGAACTTGACAGACTAGAGGATTTGCTTGACGAGGTGCTGGATACGCTCCCAGATGTGCTGATTGAACTGCCCGATGAACTTATCGAATTTCCAGATGAAGTGGCCGAAGAACTGATCGAACTTCCAGACGAGCTGCTGGTTGAACGACTCGATGAACTGACGGAACTGCTAGTTGAGCTACTAGTCGAACTACTGATCGAACTACTGATTGAACTACTCGATGAACTGGTGATTGATATGGACGATACGGATTGCGCGGACGAGCTAGAAGATTTCGAAGTTTCACTCGTATAAGGAGAGCTGGAATTTGTGAAAACAGCACCTGCGGAAAGGTTAAGGCCAGTACGAAAGTTGACGTCGCGTAAAGTTCATACCTTGACCAACTGCCACAAGGCTTAATCCCAACAACAAACTGACGGGTAGCATTTTGCCCAACAGGGCTGAACAAAAGTTCCGACCACCGAGGCTGATATGCAGTGTGAAGGCCTCTCGGAGAATGGGGAACAAAGGAAAGAAGCATATGGTTCCCACCACACTTGGAGGTTGAGTCCGCCATGTCGCAAAGCGTGCGACACGTGCAGGGTGTGGGCTATTTTGCCTTGCTTGCGCCAAAGGAATCTCCTGTCGTTAAAATCGTGGACCATTCAAACTACAGGATTGCCGAGTGGCATGAGGTGAAACGCCACGAAGGAGCAAAACCAGGATCTAGATCTTCAGCTGAAGGGAAGAAGCGAACCCTTCATGCAGCCCAGAATACCTTGCCAAGGGACAGCTGAAAACCTCATGGCGTCAATTGTGGACCGCCATTCAGGCACCGATTTCTTCTCTGGTGCTGTCAGTATCGTTGGCAATAAAGTTTCTTCTGAACACAGGCGTCGAAGGCCGCCAAGGGTCTTCAAGTCGAAAGAAACATGGCATATACTGAAAATCGAAGCCCGAACGAGGACAACGAACCCTTATATCGCCGTAATCCAGAAGTCGCGTACGAACTCCAAAATGTCGAATTCAGAGACCACAATCGGTCACCGCCCAGTGGATCGACCGCATACACCGGGTTGGAAGACTTGGAGGAGGAGGAGGAATCAAACAAGAAACGAAATGCTGTGAAACGATCGAAAGGAGGTTCATCGTTCGGAGACAGCAGCTATCTCTTCTTCCTCACGATCATCTCCACAATCCTGTTCGCCTTCGCGCTCTGGTATGTGCAGGCTGCCTTCTCAGCGGAGACCGCAATTTGGACGAGGCAGGCCTTGAACCGAGTCTTCAAAATCGACGTTGGTTCGACCCTCGCTGTTCTAAGGATTACACAAGGAATCCTGTCAACGTGTACAACTATCGGATTGATGCGGGCACTGGAGATGTTGCAGTGGGGACTAGCCGGAAGGCACCACGGGTTGGAAGGAAGCACCTTTCTCGGGCTATCTCCAACAACCCATCTCCTTGGGGTCTTTCGTATCTCCATCTCTAGAATATCAAAATGGCCTGCGCGAGCTTGGGGCCTTGGTCGGTGAGTTCGCCATCTGAGACAAGTCGTACCTCACTAATTATGGCAGTATTATTCTAGTCACCGCAATCTGGGTTGCAGGTGTAGTCCTTTTCAGTAAGTCCCGGGTCCTACCGTCGCCTCGAGGCACTGCGATCTGATAGTTCACCAGTCAAGGCGACCGTGGTCACTGCATACGACCCAGTGTTTACTTACAAAGTGACCGCTGGCGTAGGACAATTCAACGGTTCCTATGTCTCTCGCTATTTGGATATGCTAAAGAACGTCACAGCCGAATATCCCTATCAGATTGTTCCATACTCTGTCCTTCAGGGTGTCTCCTCTTTGGTTGGCAATTCGATGCATGTGATTAATGCTCCCAAGATCGATTGCCCCGAATGCGATTCTTACCTCTTGACCGGAGGAGTTATCATGACAACACCGTGGTACCCTACGGGATACAGTTCATACCCCCTCGTCAACATTGATAAAGTGCCAGCAAGCCAGATCCAGTTCAGACGTGGAATGAATAGCACAGACAGTTTCCAGGATGAAGACTGCGACATATATGGGTCTAAGAGTTTCCTTATTGGAATCAAAGTTTGCGTATCGAAGAGCAAATCTTATCCCGGATCTATTGTAGCTGGTGAGCAAGGATTCAACTACACCAAGACACTCAGCTAACACCGAAATAGGTGTGTTTGTTTGCGCGAATGGAACCGATAATGGCGAATGTGAACGGCATGTAGACCGACCAAACATCACAACGACAATGTCGGTCTATCAACGCACCGCTGGTGTGGTAGCATCTCGCGCCAACTTCAGTATCATGAGCATTACCGACATCGGACCAGCCGAGCAAAATCTCGGCATTGACATCCCTACCTTTAGGAAGAGTCTTGCCTGGTTCCTCGACTTCAATGCGTCAGCTACACCGCCGCCTTCATCAATCGCAGAAAAGTTCTGGAACTCGCAAGAGCAAATTAGCAATCCTTACTGGTCCGGCGAGTTAACTCGCTTGTTACAAAGTATGCTAGCGTATCCTCTCTATTTCTTCCAACCCAACAACTATGGGAACCTCGATCTAAAAATGACGGACATGATCGATGATTTGCCAGCAGAGTTCTATACCAAGGCTCAAATTACACGACCCTATGCTAGAATGCTCATTCACCGAGGAATGTTCATTGCTTTCATTGCCCTACAGAGCGTGGCTCTGATATTCATCTGGGTGGTGTTAATCTGGGTGTGGGTGACAAAACCCTCCCTGCCACAGCTCTCGTCGTATCCTCTGGTGGACTTTGCTTTCAAGTCAAAAGAGTCGTCACATTCTGGAGAAGGATTCGGACCTTCCAGCCACGATATGCTGATGGCGGACGATAAACAGATCAGGCACAAGTTAGGAGATACAAGAGTTATTCTTCGAGTGAATAGAGGTGTTCACAATGGCGAATAGAAGACCTGGCTTAATTTTCAAATTTATATATAAAGATTGGTGCGCCAACCGTCAACCACAGTTATTACAGCCGCCCTTTTATGAGTCACTTCGGCGATGTGAACTTTAAGGCGCGCGAATCCAAAAGGATAGGAGCTACGTATTACCAAGGACCCAAACAGACATTCCCTGTTGCCTTCTCCGACTATTGGAAGAGTTTTAGGCTGATGAGTCGACAATACGACGAAAGTGGATACAGGGGCAGCCTACCTTAACACCTGAGAAGAGACTTTTTTTCAGGCTTGCGGGTTGAGCAAATATCTCGTCACGGTGGATGGCCAACCTTGGGTCTCCTAATAAAGATATTGACATCTTCTTTCCATTAGAGTTTTTCTATTACGACCGAACCAATGCTCTCGCAATATTCGCTTCAACATCTGGTTCCTTTCTCACTTCCACTTAAGATATAATCGCCTCATCCTTCTTAAGACCCCCGCATATGAAGTAAGAAACTAAATTGCACACAAAGAGTCTCTAGTCCTTCCACTAGAGATATATCTTCAACAATATGTTCCGACATCATCCCCCCCTGAAGTTCCTTGGCTCCAATGAAGATATGCTCAAATATCATTACAAAATTGATGTCAGCCTTGGATCCAATCCCAACAACATGATTTTGTGGCAATGTGTTAATTCTCTCGGTTATAAGTGGCCCCCAACTTCTTCTCATCTTCTCATCAGTTACAACCCATCCCATGACACACTCAACACAAGTCAACACCACCATACACCAGAAACCAGATCTACAGCAAGTAGCGGCACTCCAGCTTTGAAAAACACGCTAAATATAAGCGGCCTCGCAACCAGTTACACTAGTCGAGCTCCGCATCACGCATTAAAGGTATCCGCAGTCAGTATCTGAATGTGTCCCAACACCGACCAAATCCCTTTCAGCAATTTCTCGCAGACTCCTACCAAACCTCGTCACCAAAACTTGACATCATCCAAGATTTCTGGGGTCGTTTCTAGGGTTTCCGCTCGTCTTGGTTCGGCAATCTAACGTCTTTTCTTCTCAAATACGCCAAAAAGAGCTCTATTCTTCATCGGAGCCAAAGGTGCCGAAAATGCGAATGCACCACTTGGTGTACCAACCGTCCCGTCACCACACCACTACGCTGGGCCCGACTCATCTCGCTAGATTTACTTCAGCTTCGAGTCAGCGAAAACCCGAAAGCCTCGAATACACACCACCGAGCGTGACTGGCCCGGTATCCCCACCTTCTTAAAAGACCGCTTAGACGAACGAAATGTCATGAACCCCTAGATCCAGACTACTAAAGATATCAATACAAATACACCCACCCGAAAGGTTGAGAAAGGCACGATGGCATAGGAAATCCAGGAGGTCAAGAAAAGGAGCGGAATATCCCACTAGTTACCCTGTAGAGACAGGTCTAGGTAGCAAAGACAGAAAAGAAGAGCCAAGCAGAGGTCACGATTCCTACACTAAATCAGTAGATCGCCGGGCGTTTTTAATAGAAGTTTGTAAGGTGGAAAAGTATGTCAGTCGAAAATATATCCCAATTTCCTACTCTTCTCTTTTGCTGGTCATAGTCCTATATGCTCTGTATATCAGAGAATACGTGGATGTTTACCACTGCCTATGCCGAAGCACATTCACCAAAATACGCAACTATCACTCAATAAAAGGATATCGTTGAATTATGTTAGTCTCGCTCCTCCCACGCATCGTAGATATTTTCAATATGCTATTCCTCCAATCAACGTCATTACATACCTCGCGTGGCCTAGTTTGATGGACCGTGCGTAATGCATAACGCATGCCAGCCAGGATCTCAAACGCCTGTCTCTGTTATCACCCACCACCTCTACTCAACCATCATTTGCGACTTTGATGACTCCTTAAGAGCGAGCCTATCTTGTTGAGATAATTTGCGCTCTGATAGGATTATACGACCGAGTAGGAGAGGTCTAACAAGGCTAACGGTTCCCGTCGGAGGATAACGGTATGTGATTTGTCAAATTGTTGCAGATACAGGTACCGATGTGGTGTACTATCTCAACACTTTGCTTCTTCTACATGTCTTTGAAGTTTGATACTGCACTATACCGCTATACTGGAACCTTTCCCTTTCCTAATCTGTCATTCTAAATTGTTATCTGCCCCTCCAAACCCCTAGCCTCAAGCCTCGTAGTACAAATAGTATACGAGGCTACTCGGCTTGAATCGGGTTACGCCGAACTTCCGTTGGACTCCTTCCAGTTGTTAATACTTATTCAAAACCCTCTTCTTCCTAGATACACCCGTCATCCTTCTCACAATCACTTCACCTCTCCCTACTGCTGTTGTCCTTAATACAAATCACCATGGAACACAAAGCTTACATCCCCATCCCAAGGAATCCTTCAGAAACCATGACCCGCATGCAACGAGATCTCTCTGGCTCTCCCCATCAAGAAGGCTATCTCGAATCCAACGGACACTCTCCCATGCTCCGCCGGACCCTCGGTCGAATACCGCATGTCTGCGTTGTAGGTGCTGGCGTCGCCGGTCTCCGATGTGCAGATATTCTCCTCCAACATGGCGTCAAAGTGACGATTCTCGAGGGTCGCGACCGTGTGGGCGGAAGGGTAACGCTGAGTTGTTGATGAGTGATGTCCACGCGAACTAACAGGAAGATAGCTTTGTCAAAGTAAGGTTGGGGGCCACCTAGTTGATCTGTAGGTCTGCGGAGTCGTCTTTTTTCGTCTAGTATGCGATAGAAATGAGGCTAAGTCATTATTTTAACAAGGGGCCCGAACTGGATTCATGGCACAGAATCCAATCCAATCCTGGATCTCGCCAAAGAAACAAATACAATGACCATGAATTGGGACGGCCGGCAGTCCGTCTTCGACCATTTGGGAAACCAGGTGCCAGTGAAAGAAGCGGCCGACGATGCGGCGCTTGTTTGGACGATCATCGGGCAAGCGATGCAGCACTCAAATGAGCACTCGGCGACTATTTCCGCAGATAAAAGCTTGTTTAATTTCTTCGAGGAGAAGGTTCAGCAGATGTTCCCCTCTCTTTTCCCGGGCGTAGAAACTGAAGAGACGGCTAAAAGGAAAAGGGAGGCTGTTCTTCGCATGGCAGAAATGTGGGGTGCCTTCGTAGGAAGCCCAATACAGATTCAGAGTCTGAAGTTCTTCTGGTTAGAAGAGTGTATTGATGGAGAGAATCTGTTCGTGGCCGAAACGTATCACAAGGTCCTTGCCAAAATTGCGGAACCCGCGCTTAGAGGTGCAGATATCAAGTTCGGGAGGAAAGTCTCGCAGGTCGTGTCATCCGAACAGCAGGGGGAACACCCAAGCGTGACGGTGAAGATTGATGGAGGTGAAAATCTGGCATTTGATGAAGTGGTGATGACGGTGCCGCTGGGCTGGCTGAAGAAGCAGCAAGGCGCTTTTGAGCCTGAGATGCCTAGTAGGCTGAAGCAAGCTATTGATGCTATTGGTTATGGACATCTGGATAAGGTTAGTATTTTTTTTAGTTCTATCCCAAATGATTTTGAACGTGTTGGAATTGCATTCCACGAGATACTACTGCGATCGCTTTGTATGGCGTCCTCTTTATTACCTTTCGAACTGACAACCCCAGGTCTACATTACTTTCCCAACAGCATTCTGGAACGCACCTCCCTCAACCACCACAACTCCAATTCCCACCCAATCCACTCCCAATGTAGCAGCAACAGCAGCGCCCACCCACCAATCCTCCCCACTCTCTATAGACCCACTCCACTACCCCGGATTCACGCACTGGACTTCCCCACACTACGCACCTGACACCAACCCTTCTCGCTGGAACCAAGAATGTGTGAACCTCGCCGCCCTCCCCTCAGCAACCGCACACCCAACCCTCCTCTTCTACACCTTCGGCCCAACAAGTCTCCACATCGCCTCCCTCCTCTCTAAATACCCCTCACCCACACATCCCTCCGCCACCGATGCACTCGCCACATTCTTCACACCCTACATCTCCCGCCTCCCTAACTATTCCAACAACTCGCCCTCCTGTAAACCCTCCGCTATCCTGGCAACAGCCTGGGCCAATGACGAACTCGCAGGATATGGCAGTTACTCGAATTTCCAAACTGGCCTGGAGAAAGGGGATGAGGATGTCGAGGTTATGAGGAAAGGGATGCCGGACAGAGGGGTTTGGTTGGCTGGAGAGCATACCGCGCCTTTCGTTGCACTGGGGACGGTGACGGGGGCCTGGTGGTCCGGAGAAGGAGTTGCGAGGAGGATTGTGGGTGCGTATGGACTGGGGAAGAATATTGAAGGGGAGGGGAATGGGATGGCGAAGTTAGATGGGTGATGGAGAGCATGTGAAATGAATATCGTAGGACTGTTAGCGGGGCCATTTGAGGGAGTTGCTAGGTTGATTGATAGATTGATAGGTTAGGGGAATTTAGGGGCAAGGGGAATTAATTGGATTCGGTCATATGAGATTTGATGCAGTTCAGCATGGTTAGATGCTACATATGGAGGCGTTTATGAATAGAGTCATTATTGTCTGCGTTAGCAAGAGCCGGTGCAGAATACGGGATTACACAATACTGCATTCGACATGAGCGCACGAACCGACTAGGAAAGAATGTTGCTTTAAACAATTAGCAGCCGTCCCTCTTCATCTCCCCCGTATTCGACCCCTTACAAACCCCTCGGTCACATGTAGACGCACACTCCACACTAAAGCACAAGTGCCCCAACTCCCTGTCTGAAGAATGCAAATATGCATATATCCCGCCTCCATCTTATACCTTGCCTACCCCAGCCCAAAGCCCCGCGTCTTCCTCTCAAATAATCTGAAGAGTTTCCTACCCTTTGTATGAAGCTGTCGATCACCTAATTATTCAGGGAACTTCTTCGTCCTGAATTCCCACGACAAGCAACGCAATCACCTCAGGGACTCTAACCTAGCATCACGCATATTCGGCACCATGAATAAACCTCGTGAAAGCCATGACGCTTTGCTGATGGAACTTTACTGCTTCAAAGGTTCTTTTAGTTTGTGGAGGGATTGATAGTTCGGGCTTCTAATCTAAGTTCCGCTATTCTGACATCACAAGTTGCGCCTGACTTCTCACTTCTCCGCACTATTCAGAAAAACCTCATTATTTCTCGACTACTACATATAAACGTGAGGCCCTTACAGAGGGTCCTGGTGAAATAGGGAAATAAAGTCGCAGTGCTGAACTTGTCAAGGACTTCACCCCTCCCTCTAGTTGTGGCAGTACGTGTGGTGCTCATCCCACCAACCTTGCTAGAATAAATATTTCCTTGACTCTCTAGATTGTTTGGCGTGGAAAGCGCGGGCCGAATTTCGAAGCCAAAGTAGACTGTTCCCAAGACCGTTGCACAGCTGCACACTGGCGTTTATATTCCGCCAGGTGTCACCCGCTACATGATAGAGCATAGCTCTTGCTTCAGTGAAGCAAGCCTTTTGGAGCGCCCAGTGGCTGGCAAAGAACGCCGGGGAAGCTAGGAAAAGCCAGATGCTGCGAAAGCGATCTCGGAACCAAAGACCAAAACCCAGTCGCTGTGAACCTTGGAAAATCACTTCCACAGCGCTATTACACTCCGTAAAGCCACGCCTTATTTTCGCCGGAAATTTCAGTACGTAAGAATGAGGTAGTCCGCGCTTGCGGAGTTCAAGTTAAGCCACTGTAAGGATTGTGGGGAAGTGTTGATTCGGGATTGCTAAGTTGATAGAGCATTATTGAGGAGGGGGTTAGGACAGAACTATTCTTTTGGAAAATGGAGGAATTCTATCACCTTTTGTGGGGCTTCCAGAGACAAAGACTGGATCAAGGGTAAAGATCCGTTGAAGATATTAGTACACAGACTACATTCCTAGCCTCAGCAGAGTGTGAAGAGTGATATTTCGGCAAATAGCGACTCCGCAGACATACTTCATTCGCCTATACCTCAACCAGCCTTTTCCCAATCCGGTAGATCGGTGCTGTGCACACTGAACATCTGCAAGCGGTTAGCGCGTCCCGTGACTTTTCAAAGACAAGGATTAGTTGCTCAAGAGCGCTAAGTCTTAGGCCGACGCCACTGACGTGGAATGTCCAAGCGCGAACTTAGGCGCCTTTATATCTCCTTGAGACCGCTCCATCTCGGTGTTGGGTTCCGATCCGGATTAGTTAACCCTTGGACTCTTGGGTGGCGAATGAGTAAAGCGCTTTCGAGTCGCGCGACGTTTATCGATAGTTTATCGATATCGGCAGCTCATGTCGCACAAATCTTGACCCCCTTTCATCAAATATTCCGGATATGACCTGAATTGCATCGCTGATGAGACCGATCACAAACGGCGACCCTAGTTGATAGCCATGGTTCAGTAGCGGCGTCCTCGAGTTACGAAGTACCGTGCAGCACTGTCAACCTTCAACCAGACGACAGCTGAAGCTGAGGGGTGGGAGATGGTAAACGGGTCGCAAGGCGAGAAAGGCCGCATGGCGCAGGGCCTATAGTTTGCCGGACTCAAGTTTGCCTCTTGGGCTTCAAGGCGGCGGAGGAGGTCGAAATGAGCCACTCTGGCGACTTGCTTCGAAACCACCGGACGATTCGGAGATGCACTTTGAGACGTGAGAGGAGGGCTCATCACCGGCTACCGGCCCTTGCTCACGAGTGACCTACTGCTATTGTTGAAAGTTTATAGGGCTCTTGACGTTACTCTGGCGGTGTTCGACGACCTGACCTCGCAAAGCCAAGGATGATGATTCCCGTTTCATGCTCTGAAATCTCTCGTCCATCACTCGTTGGAAGGCGTAAAATTTCTCACGTCCGCTGCTCAAACAGTGCCCGAAACTTGTAAATCCTTTAACGAAATCCCTTTTTTGGTAGCCAATGATATATCAACATCTGAACTGATTGTCCCGACAACCAAGAAAGGTTGGAAAACGACCTTCAGGGTTTAAGGAACAGGATCCCGCGAGAGAGGAAAAGGATGGACCTTGAAACCTTGGAACTGCTTGAATTCCAAAGTCTCGTAAGAACAGGGCGTCAAGGATGGTTGCGCAGTTATGGTGGGGAGAAGTGGTGACGGATTGGAGACCATTTCGATGCTAAAGCTCTGGTGGGAATATAATGTGGAGACGGTAGATACGGTGGTGCGTTACTGCGCCTTGTTCTGAACGGTCTTTTACCGTTTTCCGACATTGTTGCGTCACGGTTGATCCCGATGAAGTGGCCATGTTGACACATTTCCAAATCCCTGCATCTCCGTCTAAGACCAGAAAATGTGAAGCAATCAGAAGCAACCCGAGCAGAAATCGTATGTTGACCATCCTGCATACACCAGAAAAGCCATCTCGGCTTCCACGCTCCAAAGATAGCTCAATGATGCACCTCGCCATTCCCCACATAAATTGGTGCTCTGCCACGATCAGCTCACCTCAGATATCAAACCTCTCCCCCCGCTACTCCTCGGCAGCACCCACCTGCACAAAGCCTCATCCACTAAACAATCACAGCATGCACAACGACGTAACGGGTTGACAATACACACCGACAGCTGCGCTAAGAATCGTGGTGCTTTATCATCACCGGTAGAGTAAGAGGGTTAAGACATGTGGATGCCTTAATATGGCGGGGATATGAAGATCGCCTCTTCTGACGGCTAAGAGGAGGTGTGTACCAAGTGCGAGAATTATGGTTAGGCTATTAACTTGGCACGAAGTTGGGGTGGCAAGATAGCATTGATCGCAGCGGTAAGCGTAAATTTGTGTGACAATAGGCGAAACATGATGTCGTATGGAGATCGCGGGGCTAAAAAGACCATATTCCAAGGATGCTTTTCAAGTTGGACGCGGCCCGCAGAGGTCCGGGAAGAGAGGTGTTGGGGATCTGTTGGTGGGTCAAGTATTCGCTCTGGTCAAGAGGGCGGTTGTCTCGGTAGTTCGAGTTGCACTAGGTACTAGTATCGTAACATCCTCGTTGGGCGGGTACGACCAAACCGACAAGAAACGAGACTAGATAGCGAAAGCCATGATCGCGATTCCCACTATTTTGAGAGCAGGCGGAATTCACTAACTAGGGAGGTTCTCTGATTGATCATTTATCGTTCATGAACTTGATACATAACAAAAAGATGTTGAACGAAAAGACCTCCCATCTACTATGACGGAGCACTTGGTAAGCTAGCTCTCGATAGGCGGGAGAAAGCACGAAGAAGAAAGTAAACATCCATGTCGATACCTATGGGGAATACTACACCAATAGCATCCTAGCGAAGAATAAAAAAAACGAAGGTTGACGACCACGTCCAGCACTTGGGTATTGTGGCGACAAAAGGAAGACAGATAAAAGAAAACGCCCTCCATTCATCGCCAAAAGGCAGCGCACCCGTTCTTATGCAAGTGCAGTCTTGTGCTGCAACCGCTCATGCTTGTCCTGCAGTCCATCATGATTTCGTTATGTGTATCCAACACAAAGGAAAATAGAAAAACAATTCTCAAGGAATAAAACAGCCAAAACGACTTTTGGTTGCGCATTGCCGGCCGATGTTGGCTGGTTGTTTGGTGGTGTCGAACGCCGACCATGTTCTGGTCTTTAGGAAAGAATATCTCTAAATCATGCCTCTGAATGATGTGCTGTTGCGCTATCGCAAAACATTGACCAGGCCCGCTGGATCCGCCTAATTCTTTTGCTGTGCTCTTCATTAGCACTCTTGTTGAGGAATGCGTTTCACGCATTTGGTCGGTGAGTCATCTTCCACCGACCGAGGTTGGTCGTCCTGGAGCCTCACCACGACGAAGAGCCTCCTCGTTGATGAGCTTGTCGACGCGAGAAGCAGCGTCTGCAGAATTGACGCCAGCCGTGAGGTAGCTGTCGGCATCCTCGAGCTCCAAGGGAGTCACAGGTCCAGGACTGCCCATCGGGATCAGACGTGGGCTCGTAGGCTTTGCATTTGTGCCCCGGGCCTGACGAGAAGCGCTGGCAATGAGCTCCCTCTGATAGAGGTACATTTGCTTCTGGGCGTCTGAGTACTGCTTCTGATAAGCCCGCGGTGAGAGCGGCGGCTGAGGGCTACTCGGTCCTGTGGCAGGCGTCGTCCCTGCGCTTGACGTCTGGGAGGGGAAGTTGGCTGGGTGGAAACGTGGTAAAGTCGGCAACCTGAGAGACGCAGCGGTGCTCGAAGAATGCTGACGGTGGTGGGGCGCTGGCAGACGTCTGGCCTGCGACGGAATAGCTAGAGACTCCATCTTTGGAGAGAGTGGTGAACCTGCCGGTGGCATGCCGGAGCTGGGGTGGGAGCTGTGGTGCGGTGGCCGAGGGGACATGTGGTGAAGGTGACAATTTGTCGAGAGCGAAATCGGGATTAAATATGACGTGTGGTGGGTAGGCCCTGTTTCGACTTCCTAAAAGAATCACCAAGGCCGCACGCGTGATTTATATAGACGTTTTGAGCGTGCTCAAAGGAGGGAATACACAACCATGTAAACTAAGTGTGCATGTGCTAGGCGTGTCTAATATATCTAGCAGCGGGAGGTTCCTGAGATTGCTTGGGAATCTACAGGCAGACTCGGGGTCGGGTGTTTTAATTGGCAAGGCCACTGGCGATCATCCGCCTGGAGCGCGCCGCCGTACGAAGAGGTCCCTGAAACGGATGTTTAGGTGCGGTGGACCCTGTTCCTGCGACCAGTCGATAAATGGCTATCGAGTTATGTAGGTAACGTGTGGCTGGCGGGCCGGTGTCGTGGTGGAGAGCGTGCTGTGCTGAGTAGTGTCCTGCCGTACGTCCTGCAGATGGCAATTAAAATAAAATAAGCTGAAGTGTGTCGACAGTTTGGTACCAAGAATAAGCGGACGGCTGAGGGCATTTAACGCGTGAGAGAAGGAAGAGCACCAGGGCCCGGTACATGTGCCCAAATGGACAAGCAGAGAGGATCTCGCTCACACCTTTACCGCCCTGTGTTCCTTCACCCACTGACGCCCCAACATGGTCTGCCCAATTCGGCTGTTCCCTCTATCGCCATCCGTCTGCCCTGAATCCTTGGTCATTTCGTAGTCGCTAGTAGTGCGAGTCGTCTAATTAGCAGCACTCCATTGTCCACCACAAAACCATGACGCATGAAGCCATTGCGCAAAAGGCCGAACATCCGGTTCGTATATGCCTCACGTGCCGTGAGCCCAGCGCTAAGGAAATCAATGCCATCACACCGTTCATCCAGCTCAAAGCTGCACACTGCCACAGTTTCGCACGGTACTGATAGGACACTTCCAAAGCTTCTATTTACGGCGGCCACTTCTCTTCGGTGCATGATCAAGCGCCTTTTCCTCTGATCTGCCCCTCTGCCCTCTTCTGACCCCGCTGGCTTGCTCGTGGCGCCTCCGCAACAAAGTGCTCCGCTATCTATCGTGTACGAGGAAGGTAAGCTGCAGCTACTCGATCGCGATCGTATGAGGAGAATTTTCCCTTTTCATTGCATGCTCCGAAGTCTGAGTTGTTCCCAACAAGCAGTCCTTTCCCACGCCCACCTACATCTTCCTCGTTTGGAACTGCTATGCATGAGAGCAACAGCGCGCATCGTGAGATCGCAACAGGCCAGTCTGGACCTTCGAATCCGATATCGCTTTCTCCCAATTTTTTCAGCGCGGCAGTTTGCGCATTCCAATGCGTCGCATTCAAAGCCCTTCGGGGTTCTGCATTGACGCCTGATCACACTTCCGCAGCGCAACGGGCCGGCGTCGACCCATTAAACTCTCATGAGCTGGCTTTTGAAAGAAACATCTCAGCTGGAGGTGTCCAGCAAGAAACCTCGGACGCAAGGAGGGCATATTTGGCCATCTCGCTCAGCAATCTATTGACCAAGCGGATCTTGTCCGCTTCAAGAACAACTGCATGCAATTACGTCCGCTTCCGATCAAGGTAGGTTCAAACAACGAAGGCATGCGACCGCCTCTACCGATCCTCAGGCAAACTGCCCATGCAAATTCCGGAATACACCTTGGTAAAAGTACCCAGAGTCGATCTCCCGCGTCTGCATTGCGTTCTTGCTTCAGTCGCCGGAGACGTTCGGGGAAGCAGAAAGCGAAGTGTGTAAAACTCCCAGGCGTGCGGTGCGGCTGTTGCAGTGGAATATTCCGAATGCACAGCATTACTCGTCGTCCGCATCGCGCGGCAATGGAAGCAATTGATGTTGACAAAGAAGCTGGAGACGTGACTAGCCTCTCCCGTCTAGTTTCGTTTCAACTTCATTATCTGCGTACGACAGGTGAGAACCACCTCATCATAGGGTGAGTCGATCCGAGCGCCATTCCAGTGGGATCGAACTGTTGCAAATGTCTTAGAAGAAAAGACGGTGAGAATCACTTTGTGGTAGCTATGAACAGATTATTGCATTGGAGGCAATGCCGTATGTCTTTGAGTTGCACTTTGTTGGAGGCCTGCCACAGAACATTGACGGGCGGATCTGAACCGTTAACTCTTTGCTAAAATTCAAGGAGACAATGATGAGGATGCAGATTTCTGTCTTGAATCATAGGTCCTTGGCATGTACTGTCAAACATGCAACAGTCTCCACCCACAATCCCGGAAGTTTCCTTTTCCTCATCTCCCGAATCTCATCATCTTGCACCTAGCTTCTCTAATGCTCGGGCTCCCTGTTCCTCCCATTCCTGTTTTGATATCCACATGTCGTGCTTATCCGCCATCTATAGTCGATTAATAGTTATGCAAGAAATCGGTGAGCTCTGGACCTACAATGTTGGCAAGCACGGCTCCACCCAGGAAAACCATATGCCGACGTCGCGGCGGATCCTCAATGCGGACTTTAAATTTCTGCAGCCAGAGTTAGGGTTATCCCGCACGACGGGTAATTGCATACGCACATTCAGTCGCTCCGGGTTTCCTCCCAGCACTCTCGTTAGCCACAGCTGCTTCAACTCTTTCTCTAGCCGGCTGGGCAAACCCGGGTACATGCTGCTGCCACCGCTCAACACAATAGCCTTGTACAAGCTGCTCCTCACATCGACGTCTGCAGATTGGATGGTGTTGAATAGGAATTCGGCAATGCCGGGCTGTTCCACGTCAACAAGATGTGGCTGGAACAAACATTCGGGGGCTTCGAATCGCTCGCTCCCGACTCGGATGACGCGGCCATCGGGTAGTGTGTACGACTCCACCAAGACTGTCGTGTCTTCACTGAGTCGTTGGTCTAATTCGAGATCGTATGAGACGTAGCAGAGTTTTTCTTTGATCTGTCGGACAGTCTCAAAGTCGGCGGTACGGTTGAGTGCATACCCTCTCCGGAGCAGCAAAGCAATGAGGTTTCGAGTAACGTCCCTGCCTGCAACGTCAAGGCGCCGTGTAAGATGGTTGAGGACGGTGCTTTCGTAGACAGGGACAATGTGCGTAACACCATCGCCTGAATCCACGACCACTCCTGATGACAGACCCTGAGCATACAGGGCTAAGACAGCCTGTATCGCCACGTACACGCCTCCGAAACCATAACGCTCAAACATGACCTCGCACATTTGCTCACGGTTCTTGAGGGGATTCATGGGAGGTTCAGTGAGGAGAATCTTCCGCCCGGTTGGATCTAGGCGCATCTTCTCAAAGAAAGTGTAGTCCCAGAGGTGTTGCATGTCGTCCCAGCGCTTCACGATACCATTCTCCATCTGACCATTGTACTGTGTTAGCGTAGGTTCGGCGTGACCGACACTGTTGAATTGCGCTCAACAGTTTCTGAGGAACATCGTACGGGATAAGTTATCTGAAGCATTGATCGGGCTGCTGCTGCCTCATCTCCACACATTATGTCCTTGACCACAATGTCTCCATCTCGCTCTTCCGAACGCAGGATCGGCCGGCCGACTATTGACGGATACTGGTGATCTGGAAAGTTCTACGGGAGCAAGGGGTTAGCTAGATATGTGTCACAGAGGTTGCGCCTTCGGGGGAGAAGACAAACCTGTCCTGCGTAGCCTGCCTTGAGAAAACCAGTCCCGCCATCGAGGACTGCGAAGCCGTGTCAGCAACGGATGTAGGGCGGCGGAGGGACTTGTCATACCGATGGGAACGTCGGCCATTGTTTCTAAAACTGCCAGAGAGTATATGGAAAGAAAGTGAGCATCAACGGCGCAGGCGGACAATTTGTAGAACCTGTGCCTGGGCGCTGGTGGAGGGGCTGTGGAGTTGACGTTGGCGAGCACACCCCTGGCCCGTGCGGCATCACACCTCCGAAAGTAGTAATTCGGATGCTAAATGTCCTAGACAACAGTTCACCGAGACTGCGAAGATGGAGTCCCTAGATGCTCCTAGAGTTTGATTGCGAAGGCCACAGGGCTGGGCGCCGTAGGTAAGAACGCGCTCAAGGGCTCCATCCTCCATGAGCGAATGCGGGAATGCCATGACATGACCTCCGCAAGAATAGGCCGGATCAGAACGCAAATCACAAGAGTATCTTGGGGTTCAGGCTACAATTAATAGATCTAGAAATACATTTCTCCTCTCGGTTTAAATCGCCAGCGTGAATACTCGTCACCGCTATCATATTCTGGCTGGTCACCCACCCCAAAACTGAACACCACGAACTTGGGAACAAGCGAGCTTGGCGCACAGCATATTGCTCCAAAATCCTCGCCCTCCCGAACTTTCTTTCCAACGTCAACCACGACGACCACAATACTCGTAACGCAGAGTCGGTCAAGATGCCTTTCGTAAGTATCCCTCAACTAGCTCTCTAGCTCTCTTATCAGTGTCAATTTCCATGTGCGAGTTCCGCACAATGGGGGAATTCACCCCGCCTTGATGCTCGATCAAGAGGAGTCTCTGCAAGCTGCTTCGAATGCGGGTTTGAAGCGTCAATTGCTGACTCTGGGATTTCACAGTCCAAGCTCGTGAAGAACGATGCGTACTTCTCGTAAGTTATCTCGCACCTTCTCCTCTAGGCTGGAGCTGACTTCCGCAGACGCTACCAAGTCAAATACAAGCGTCGCCGACAGGGCAAGACCGACTACTATGCCCGCAAGCGCTTGATCACCCAGGCCAAGAACAAGTACAACGCCCCTAAGTACCGACTCGTCGTCCGCTTCACCAACCGCGACATCATCACCCAAATCATCACCTCGGAAGTCAACGGAGACAAGGTCTTTTGTGCTGCGTATGGACACGAGCTGAAGCGCTATGGTATCACTCACGGCCTCACCAACTGGGCGGCGGCCTATGCCACCGGCCTCCTCCTCGCCCGCCGCACCCTAAAGAAGCTCGAGTTGGATGAGGACTTCACGGGCGTTGAAGAGGCGGACGGTGAGTTCTCCCTTACCGAGGCTGTCGAGGTCGATGGTGAGGAGCGTCGTCCATTCAAGGTCTTCTTGGACGTCGGCCTTGCCCGTACCTCTACCGGTGCCCGTGTCTTCGGCGCCATGAAGGGTGCCTCCGATGGTGGTCTCTACGTCCCCCACTCTGAGAACCGATTCCCCGGCTACGACATCGAAACCAAGGAGCTCGACGCCGAGACTCTCCGCAAGTACATCTTCGGCGGCCATGTCGCTGAGTACATGGAGACGCTCGCCGACGACGATGAGGAGCGCTACAAGTCCCAGTTTCAGGGCTACATCGACGACGACATCGAAGCTGATGGCTTGGAGGAGCTATATGCCGACGCCCACAAGCAGATTCGTGAGGACCCATGGAAGAAGGATGAGGACGAAGGCCCTAAGAAGACTAAGGAGGAGTGGAAGAAAGAGTCCCTTAAGTATAGGAAGAAGAAGCTAACCAAGGCCGAGAAGGAGGCGCGTGTCAAGGCCAAGATCCAGGAGCTGAAGGGCTAGATTGGCTAACATTCTCTCTCCTTCTTCTTCACCGTCACGACAAAAGCACGGCATTCGGCGTCTTGGGATGAGGGGATACCTGCTCTCTGCAGAATGCTGTTCTTAATATCTTACCGGCGAATTTTGACGAGCTGTGTTAAAAGACCAGCAAAATCAACTTAGAAGTGAGCCACATTGCGCTGTGATTCGTGCCGATAGACCGACCATGTGACAGGAAGCCGGTGATCGCGCCACAATCTTCTTGCTGAAAATGTGAATTCGCCATTCCGATTCATGGTCGCTTTGTTTCTAGGTCACACTCAGTCAGCCACCAGCACAAGCACTATCAAGCCTGCTTTGCAATACTTGCGTAGCTTATAGGATCGGTCACCGACTTTCTAATGCTTTTTACTCAGCGCGAACGTGTGAGACATACCAGCGAGTCTCGCGCATCATAGCGAAGGAACTGCTTGAAACCAAATGAACAGTGGACTTCGAAGTGGGCTACTGGTGGACCGATGCCGAGCCGGCAGTCCTCCGCACTGATTGATTTCATCATAGCCAGCTGAACGTCAGCCTCACTCACAGACAAGTTGTCTTTCAGCGTATAACCACAACGGCCAAAGTGCGATAATAACATTGCTGCTGTCAGCTGTCGCAAAACGACGCGCAGGGTCTAGGGTCTTTCATCAGCAATCCAATTCCCGAGAAGGGGTCGTGTCCGAGTTAAAAATCCCGATCCGGAATTTATCATCTCGTCGGTCAGTGGTTGCGGCTAAGGAACCACGAGCCCCGCTGACAATATCACATCCACCACTTCCCTTCGCCTTCTCGTTTACTCCAGATGGGGCCCTTCTTATAGTGACATCAGGTATCTTGGGCGACTGTGTCACCGGAAATGGAGGATATTCACGGCGTCGACGTCTCATGGCTCCACCACTCCAACAGAGGTGAGCAGCTTACGCTGGGCACTCCACACCTTTCGGGTCGCCGGAACGGTGCAGAGTTCAGTACGACAACTACGGCTAACTACTCAACTTCAGACCATCATAACCATCATCGCCAGCAAGCTCCATCCTCGCCAGGCCTTACAAGGGACGCTCCCCCACGGACCTCCGCCCATGGCTGTCTCCCTCCCGAACCCCCTCACGAAGAGCGTAAAGCCCCAGAACCGGCGGCTGCGGTCCAGAAACCCTCCTTCACCTTGCCACCTCCCCCTTCCACGCCTCCTGTTGCGAAGATGCCGCTGAAGAGACCCGCGCTGCTTAGCCGAGGGAGTTCCGAGAAGGCTGTGGCTCTGACTACCCCGGACGGGAAGTCATCTTTGAGGAGGAACTCATGGATATCTAGCATAAGCTCGAAGTTCTCTTCAATGCAAAACTCACCGGCGCAGACCACACATGCCCAAGCCCAAGGCTCTCCGGCGAGCGCAAATGGAGCACATGGACCTACGTCATCGGCAAACGGTGCCTTGAATGGTATTCAAGCAGCGTCTGGTGGGGGCCATGTTGGACTGGAACCCTATGTCCCCCAACAACCGAAGAGCTCATTCATCTCAAATGCGCTTAGGAGATTGTCTTCCGGGTCGCAGGTGGGGACCATGGGCAAAGTCACACCGCAAGGCGGCATGTGCCCAAGGAGGGTCATGAATGTTGATCCAAATCGGAGCAGGTGTCTGGTACCAGAGCTGGATCAGAATAAGTTGCGGCGCGTGGCGTTCTGTGTTGATGTTGAGATAGCCGGTGGGCCGAGATACAAAGACGATGCAGATTGCGAAGAGAAAAAGAAGAAACGCAAGGAGAGGAAACTCAAGGAACGAGGAGAGGGTGAGGCACTTAAAAATCCCGAAATGCTTGCTGAGGAGAAGGAACAAGCGGATGTCGTCAAGGTCAACACTGTACAGGAAGTTGACGGCAACCACGACGCACCGAACCAGGACGGAGTATTGCTTGACGATGAAAAGAAGGAGCCAAGCAAGAAGAAGGAGAAAAAGAAAAGATCAGAAGCGGAACGGAAAGAGAGAAAAGAAAAGAAACGCAGGAGAGCCGAAGAAAATGGATCTGTACCTCTCGAGCTGACGCGAGAAGATGACGACAGGTCCCCCGATGGTGCACCCGCCGTATCCGGAACCACAAGTCCCAGGCCTCAGGATCGACCAACTACAGATCCTCTACGGATATATCGGAGATGCTGTCAATTGCGAGAAACACCAATTCTCAAACGCATCGTCGATCAGCTTTCGGCTCCCAAGGCATGTTCGATAGTCACGCCAGGGGTTGTCATATGCCTAGATCTCACTGGATCCAGGTTACAGCTTGCGGATGTAGTTACACTTTCAGACTGGCTGGCTATAGTCCCAGTGAAGAAACTCTTCCTTGAGGATGCAGACTTGACAGATGAGAAGGTCCGCGTTATTCTCGCTGGTCTCCTCGCGGCTAAGGTTCCTGAACCCCCCAAAAGACGCCCATTTTCTTCGGAAAAGGAGACAAATAACGCACACATCAAAACCGAAGAGCGCTTGGGGTGTGTCAAGAAACTCGTCTTGAAAAACAATCCAAAAATTGCCCTGGAAGGATGGAAACACATTAGTCTATTCATATATCTGTGCAAATCAATCCAGGCTATCGATGTTTCCATGATACCTTTCCCAAACTCGGCACCCCAGTTGTCACCACAAACCTCAGATCACTCGAATGGTTCCACCGCCCCAACCACTAAGCCATCGAGGGACGTCGCAGACACTTTATCAAAGGCCATATCCGAACGGCTCGGTGGATCGGACCTTGAAGAGCTAGTCATGTCGGAATGCTCCTTGACAGCCTCAAGTATTCGGAAGATCATCGATGGCATTGTCGTTAGTGGTGTTCAAAGACTTGGACTCGCTGGCAACGACATCGACAATGAAGGGCTTGGTCATGTCATTCACTACCTTCGATCTGGTGTTTGTCAAGGTATCGATTTAGGAGGGAATGATCTCCGAGATGGAATTAGTCGAGTAGCTGAATGTTTAACCAGGAACAGTCCACTCTGGGCGTTAAGTCTGGCAGACTGCGACCTAACACCTGAGTCGTTGAAAATTCTCTTCCCGGCGCTGGTTCATTTGCCAACCTTCCGCTTCTTGGATCTATCACACAACAGAGATCTCTTCTCTCAACAAACGTCTCTCTGTATCCTACGAAAGTACATTCCGCATTTGAGGGAGCTAAAGAGGATTCATCTTATGGATGTGTCTTTGACGCCCGCAGAAGCTATCGGTCTTGCAGAAGTTCTGCCAGAATGCTCGCACCTGGCACACATCAGCATTCTCGAGAACCCTCGGATAACGGCTATTTCGATAGCTAACGACGAAGCGAGCCAGGAGGAGGCGGCTGCACTATACGCCTCCTTAATGGTAGCCGCGAAGGTCTCTCACACCTTGATTGCAATCGACGTCGATGTCCCTGGGCCCGATACTAGCGAGGTTGTCAAGGCACTTGCGAAGCAAGTCGTTGCGTACTGTCTGCGGAACATGGAGAGCTTCTCCGAGATCCCTGAGTTGAAGCCTGTGCAAAAGGAGGTGGAAGTACCAGACGTACTGATGCACCTTGTAGGGCATACAGAAGGCTACAGTGTCAACCGTGATAACGACGACCCTGCTCCGGGTAACGACTACATTGTAGGTGGCACAGGAGTGGTCAAGGCGCTAAGCTATTGTCTACTACAGAAGGCTACGGACCTTCGTAGACAATCTCTTCCGGCGAGTGGTACAATCACCCCCCAAAGCCAGATTGGATCAAATTCGGATGATTCGGGTAAGGCTAAGACCATGTCCAAGAATTTGCTGGAAAGCGCGCGAAACATCAGAGCTCGGCTGCAGCCGGCAATGGTGCGTGAAGCCAAAGCCGGCAATGATATGGGATATCGTAAGTCCAACCCTCTTTATCTATCGCGGATCTATTGTTCTTTTTAATAAACCTTGCGATGTATTTCCTGCTAGCGCTAACTTGTTAGGAAAACTTCTCTTCCTTGATCAGACATTGCAAGGCATGATCCAGCGGTTCGAAGACGAATACCCAGAGACGCGACTCCAGTCCACGGACGCTGCATCCGTTCACAGTTCCACGCCCAGCACTTCGCCGCCCACATCCACCGTCCCCACCCTATCAACCAGCATCACGAATGCAGGCCAGGAATCCGACGATGACGAACCGAAAGCCCTGCGCTCCAGACACAACTCAGACGTCTCTCTCGCTTCTCGCGCACTCTCCCTCGAAGAAGGCCGTCTCCACCGTCTCGGCCACCGCGTCCGCACCGAAATCCTCAACGCCTCCCGTCCCCCAACTCCACACTCAGACCAAGCCAACCTCTCAGGCTCTTTAGATCACCACGAGCTTCCAGACCATCTTCTCGCGCTGCGTGAAAAATTCCAGAATTACAGCGGTGAGGAACTGAGGGCGATGACGGAGGATATGGGCTGGGAGCAGGCGTTTGATGAGATTATTGCGAATGCGGAGGAGTTGAGGATTCTGGAGAGGGAGAGCCCGGAGGAGTTTAGGAGATTTAGAGAAAGCCAGATTGCGGCGCTTAAGAATCGAGATCCGGAAATTAACGGGAAGGGAGAGGAGGGGAAGAAAGACGGTGGGGATGATTATGCAATTGAGGAATAAGTGAACGAGGTGCTTGGAGGAATGCTGTTTTCAAATAGGGGTTTTTTTTGGTTGGTGATTTCGTTGCAAAATATGATGGGAATCTAGAGCCGGTTGCAGAGCTTTGCTCAACGAGGGGTGTTTTTTCCTGTACGGTTTGTTTTGGATTTGGATTTGGATTTGGATTTGACATTTCCAGTTTTCTTGCTTGCTGCCTTTTTAACGTCTAGTATTTCTTGTTATACACCCTCACTTTTGTCTTATTTCTTCTGTAGAGTTTCTGTCTAGTCTTGTCTTTACAGCATGCATCGATATCCAACTTTCCGGGGGCAAAGGGTCAAAAGGTTGGGTTTTTCGCATCCTGTCTCTACTCTGGATAATGTTTGAGTGGATTTTTCTAGTTCTTTTTTCATAAGTTCCATGCGTTCAAGACTGGATCTAAGGACGTTTACTATGGGAACGAGAGGGGATGTATATACAGCGGTTAATGCTCCTTATTACATTGCTACACTTGGGAAGGTTCTGTTGTGGGAGTGTGTATGAGATGCTTAATTAGATGATGCCTGAGAGGTCAGCCTTAGCCCCTCACTATCACATCATGTCATCTAACATGGAACATGACAGGGTAGTTCAGGATCGGCATTTGTACCCTGCTGATTCTCTTGCTGGTTCCAGCAAGAAGTCAACAGATAGACCCCACCCTGGTTATATTCCACGTTATGTGATAACAAGCTCACTCCTACCACTTGTTGATGGTGCATCTGTCCACATGCAATATTTTAGCGAGTAGACATCCAAAATCATAACGACTCGTACTAGACACGAATCAATGTTAAGAGGCGTTTTCATCTTGTCGCAACACGCATTATATCTCGCCCCTATTACTGCGAGCACAGGCAAGACGTGTGCATTGTTTCTCGTATGCACGGACACAAGGTGCGCACGAGAGCGGAATGGCGCCAGGACGGGATTCTCGAAAGGCAAGGGACGTGATTAACCGGATGTCAGCATGAGGTGGACGGTTCCTGAAGGATTCGCCTCATGCTGTAGGGCTGAGACTGCTGTCTTGATTGGCTGGTAAGTCGCCGGACCGCGAACTCAAATCGTTCCCAAACTGCAACTCTTGTTTGGAGATACGATGAACGGAATAGTGGGGTATATATCCTCTTTAGAAGCCATCATGGAGGATTTAAGCTTCATCCTTCGATAATGAGTTGATCGACACTATGGCCGACCTGGAAGCTCGATTCGTCAAACGCGGATTATGGACCAACATCGAACAAGGCCCTCTTATGGGCAAGACAATCACTACGGATATCAAGACCGGAACGATTGTGGTTGCCCTTCTAGCTGTTCTTTCGTCGGCTGCAATAACAAATCTTTGGCACCTTTTCGCCTTCCTCGCACACCAATTACGAGCCGATGGGCGCGCGGCAGATGGCCTGCAGCGCCAACAACAAGCGCTTCTACGCACATTGCCGATGCCGAGTTCCCTTGTTGTGGATTCAATTAAGCTATGGTGGATGTGGAGGAGGAGAACTACTCGTGTGCTTGCCCGCTCGTTGATCTACGTATTGCTAGGAGGACTGTTCTCAGTTGGAATGGTGGTAGTGGGTGTATTTTCTTCATTTGTTGTCACTACCTCCAACATCCCAGTCCTAGTCTCTAGCCCGTTCTGTGGGCCGTTAGACGTTGATCCTTCGGGCGAGAATCTCATCGCTAGCCTTGTCGGCCTCCGATCATTCTACACGAGCGTACGGGGCGTCACGAAACCTTATGTGGACGGCTGTTATCAAAACACCACCACCGAGTTACCTGCGCGATGTCGACAGGTTTTTATTCGTCCAAATATCCCGCTTTCTCAAGAGCGTGTAAAATGCCCCTTTTCCTCGGATATTTGCTTGGATCTAGGTGGCGATATGACGGCTGTGCAGCTCGACTCTGGGCTCGTAGACCTCAATGAGGCTTTCGGAATGAACATGGCGTCGGCCGACCGAGTCCAATTTCGTAAGAGAACAACTTGTAGTGTGTTGAAGACTGATGGTCGGACTTCACTTGTCAATGCCTCGGGTATTCCCCCTCCTTTGTTCCCATATCTTCCAAACGAGCAGCTTTTGCTGCTGCATTATGGGAATAGGAGGACAGGGCAGAGATTAGTGAATGCGTCGTTTAGTCATAGTTTGCTAGCTGCAAATACTACGAAGAATTATGGGACTGGGTGAGTTGATTGTTATCTCTCAAGCCTGTATTTCCAGTCATCTCCCAATGACCCAACTAGGTTTATGGTTTCTCAATTCTAACTGTATTTCTAGATATGTTGCCGCATTCACAGCCCCCGAGTTAGGGGATGTCAGCGATATAAACCCATTAGCTGAGATGCGGAATTCAGACGCAGACTTGGTTATAATCGCTATACACATGAACAGAGTATATTACAGCAATCCGGTCAACGATCCAGTATTCGCAGCACACAGCCCCTACGCCTTCACGGACGGCGTTACCAGGAAAAACACGACCTTTTATTTCTCAGACTTCTCGAGCGGAGTCGTGGGATGCACTGAACAGGTATGTCAACGATGGCCTCCACAATACATGTGAATTACAAATGGATGAATTGAGAACTAACATGTGTCTGTCCGTCAAAGTACCAATTCTGCCACGCCCGTTCCTCCGCCCCATCCTTCTGCACCCCTCTCACCCACCTCCCGGGTGTCTTCTCCCCCTCAGACTACCCCGGAGCCAGTCCAATCCAACTCGCAGCACTCCGTCTCTTGGTCTCTACAAACCTCGTCTACGGCATCTTCGCTGGTCTCGACAGCGGGTTGAAATCAAGTGCTCTATCTGCGGACGGCTTCGTCGTCTCCCTGCCAGATGACCAATGGATCAACGAGGTCATTAGCTTGGAACAGTATGTCTGGGGTTCGCTGCAGACAGTGATTTCAGGATATGCGGTTGGGCCACAAGTGCGAGATGAGTCTGCAGAGGAGTTTGTTAGGAAGAATATGACGAATGGAGAGCGGGGGCTGTGTGGGTTACAGAGGATGAGGAAGTCTGGTGGTTTTGTGTATGTATATTTATCCTTTCCTCCAACACCGTGAGAACGTCGAGTCTATCTGTGACAGGTCTAGAGTGCACAAACTAACGCCTATTCCTACTGTAGCAACATCAATGTCTTCGGCCTCGCCTTCATCATCACCTTCTCACTCGCCATCTCCATGCTCGATTTCTTCCTCCTCAAACTCCTAATCGTACTTACCCGGTTTCGAAGAATCATGGCGCCGCGACTCGACCGCTGGATTCAGGATGGCGTGCTGCAGCTTCAACGGCGGGCGTATGAAGCTAGTGGTGAAGGGACTTGGATAAAACTAGAAGATGAGGTTCCCCTGACCGTTGGGAATAGGCAGCTGCGTGAGTTGCCATTGCAGTCCATACGAGCGACGACGACGTATTTGAAGTTTTAGTCGACAACGAATTCAGGACAAAATGTTACATGATGTTAACGCTCTCCTTAATCCTAGCAAGAGGCTTCACGGATATTATAGATTCCAATTATATTCCATGTTATATGATAACGTGCTGTACCTACCATTATCCGTTCCTCTTCCGTGAGTCCCATCTCCTCCCAATGCCGCCCCCTCACCTAAAAAACAACAACCTCAAAAGTCTCAAAACCCACATCCAACCCCACAACGCCCACCCCCCGGAATGCGCCACCCTAATCACAAAATGACTCATCCTTACCACCTTCTCTGCCTTTCTAACAGCTACCCCATCATACCTCTTTAATGCCTCTTCAGCATCCGTACTCTGAACCAACGCCTCCGCAAAAGCCCAGCCATCCATAATAGCCAGGTTAGCACCATTTCCCGCGAACGGCGAAACTGCGTGGTTCGCATCACCCAGGAAAACAACCTTCCCGGCAAGGGATTGTAGGGCTGGGGACGGGGAAGTGATGTATGTCGGATCCGATGTATGCGCGAATCCGGGTTTATCCATTGCGTTGAACATCATCACGCTTCCCTTCTGCGTCTGGTCCAGCATCTGCGCAAATCGCGGTCCGAACGCCGGCACACCTTTCTGTCTAGCTTCCTCTAGCAGTGCGACTACTTCGTCTACTTCTAATGGCTGTTTTTTTGGCGTCACGGGGTCGCCTTGCTTCCAGCTTAACGCCCATCCTAGTCCGGTGGAGTTTATGGGCGCGATGAATAGGCAGTGTCCGGTGCCGGGGAGAATCATGCCGTAGTCATGAGAAGACGTGGATGGAGAGGTGGAGAGAGGGCATGTCCCGGCTATGACGACGGGGCCGGCGAATTGTAAAGTATCAGTGGGGCGAAGGAGGGTGCGGGGTTTACTGGACGAGCCTGAGGCGTCGATGAGGAGGTCGCAGGTGGCGGTATGGGAGTTGGAGAGATGGACGAGGATATCGCCATTGCCATTTCCAGTACTAATCCCACGATCAGCAGAGGGGGCAGGGGAAAGACCTGTGATAGCAGTCCCCCAGATAATCTCCACGCCCTCCAACTCCTCCGCTGCCTCTACGAGCGTCTGCCTCAACGCCTTCCTTGAAACCCTCATTCCAGACACCGGGCAACCCACCGGAACCTTCGATCGCACCTTAAGTACCTCCCTCCACCCGTGATCCCAGACTACAAAACCCCCCTTCTCACTCCCTTCTTCCTCATCCCCAATGCTAGTAACAGCCCTCTCCAACATCGGCTCTAACATCCCCATCTTGAGTAAGGTTTGGACTCCAGCGCTTGGTGCATCGGAGCGAATGGAGAGGGAGTAACCTTCTCGCCCCGCGGGGGCAGCACTAGAATCGCGGTCGTAGAGCGTGAGGCGGGGAGGGGTAGAACGGGGGTTGGAGTTGGAGAGACTGGGCCAGAGTTTGTGCAGGGATATGGCGAAGCTGAGACTTGAGATACCGGCGCCGGCTAGGATAATATGCTTGCCGGATAGGAAATGGGGATGGGGTTGTTGGGGGGAAGACATATTGGGGTTGGAGTGTGGAGATGATATTGGAAGTGATGGTGGGTAGAAGGGAGAAAAGGTGATTAGGTCTTACCGCTGTAGAATATTATCGATGTAGCTATGATAGATATGCCGACCGCACACATTCTTTCTTCTCCCAGTTTCGCAGGTTGTGGTATCAACGCCTCAATTGCGCGTAAGGTTGGAATACGAGGAGACGACGCAAGCGTTGGCGTCACGGACGAATACCCATATGCAGGCAGCAAATGCTCTTCCAGATTTACGCTCCCTTCATTCGCTTTTCTCGCATTCCTGAATGAGCGGAGGCGTTCATGCTTGGTCTTGCGATTGAGTGGAGTTTTGGGTGTGGTCGGAGATCGGGGGTGCATCGGAGTTTGCTGTGGTGCGACTGGCCGTGATAGAACTCGAACAAAGCTTCCAGGGACATAGATATTGAAATTCAAGTGTTTCATTGCAAGCCAATGTCTACCGATTTAAGGGTATCCGCGTAGGACTAGGACTAAGATTAACAATAAGGGAAATCCCGAAATTAGTAACCACCTAGAGCACAACAGCAAAGCCAATACTCCACCGACTCTACAACAAATAACCTTCAATGCACTGTATCGCTAGAACGCTCAACACTCCGCTACTAAAGTAAAGAAAACCTAAGATAAGTCATTAGAGTCAGTGGCTCTAAACCTCGAATTCGGTGAGCCAATGCCTGACGACGACCTTGCCCTCATCGAAGGCTTTCCAGTCCATGCGCCTGATAATGGCAGCATGGCTATGACGGTGGTTGTGGATGAAGACGGGATACTTCTTGAAGCCCACCTCATCCAAAGCCTGAATCATCGCAAACTGGTCTGCGGTCAAGGCTAGCGTCGGAAAGTCAAGTGCGTGTTCTTTCTTCGCTTCCTTTATTGAGTCCACCTCTGACTCTGAGACTGAGGAAGGCTTCGATTTTGGTGAAGAGTTCGCCCTGACCAGCTTCGGCGAGAGTGGTGGTGAAGCTAGCTCCTCGCTACCAGCCAGAAGATATTCATGCTCTTGGGCGTTGTTCACGTTCTCGAACATGTCTTCGACTTCTCGGCGGACGTCGTTAATCATGAGGGGTATGCGGTATCCTGCTACGTCGATGCCGGCCTTGCCTTCTTCGTGCATGCGGATTCGCTGACGGCTTCGAACTGACTGGATGGCGGAATTAATCAAAAACAGAGATGAGCCGATCGGAATGAAGATTAGGAGGAAGGCGAAAATGGGCAGACGACCAAAGACGGTGCGTGTATTGGAGGACAGTCTCTGGTGGAAAGATGGCAGTGTCTCTTTTTCTTTCACTGAAACGGGGTTGTCAGCGTCGATGATGACGGGCTCGTAGCCGCTCAGATAGTTGATTTTGATGGCATCTGGCTGGACATATGGGTCGGTTCGCGAGATGCATGTCGTGTAGTAGACTGCAGATCTGTCATTCACGACATTGGAGTACAAGCTGCGATGCTTGAATTGGGCCAGGGCCTGGATGAAGATGCTCGCAGGGTCAGCAAGCACCGCGAGGAGAGGCCGACCAGTGTCTCTGAATTGATCAATGGTGAACAACTGTCTTCCACTGGTGGAAAGAGTGCGAGCTCCCAGCACATTCCAGATGTGGTTGTGGTATCCATTGAGCGGCGTTCGAACACCGAGGTGTGGAGTTGCAAAAGTGGTGAAATTCTGCTCCCCATTAGACCACAGTTTGATGCTGAGCAGACGACACATACCACCGGCTCGATCTTTTCGAACAGTCCTTTGTGGTAGAGCAAGCCTATCGCATACCGAGCGATCAACCCGCCCAGGGAGTATCCGATGATGCTGAGCTTCTTGATCTCAGTTCCGTCTCTTGCCAGATCCTCCAGGGACTCCTCTATTTCGGTCGCGACCCGCTCGCCGCCCAATTCGATGCCATCGTAGGTGAAGCTGCCGGTGTTGCGCTTAGCGACAAGGATGTGGAGCTTATCTTCAGGGTACTGTTCGCGGAGGGATGTGCTGAGGTACTTCAGGTGCTGCGGGTTGCCCCAGAGCCTGTTGATTTAGTGTTAGCGACGAGAACTCGTGCAAGCGAAGCCGATGCAGTACGGTATCCGAGGAATGAGCTGTTATCGCTGCGCAGAGACCGATGTCAATAGTGTCGCGTGCTTCAGATTGCTTACCCGTGGACGAGGACGCAGAGATGAACTGGACGAGAAGACGCTGAAGCGGGAGTTGCTGTGTCCATTTGGTGTCTATGGGTTTTGAATTGGAGATGTGATACGTACTTTGAAGGAGTGGCGAGACGTGCTATTATATCTTTGAATGTTCGAGTTTCGGACCACTCTTATCGGTGCAAGGGCCGCTGCCAGTGGCCTGGAGCTGAGGAGCTGAGCCTCTAGTGACGTCCTTTCTTTGCTTGGCTGCAAACCGAGCCCCCCGACTCTCCGAGCCGGACCAAGTGTTCTCCCGAACGGATATAACGACATCATAAAATACTTTTTTCAGCAAGCCCAAACTGTATATACCGATATACGATAGTGAATATGGATTGAGACTAGCATGCGCGCCATCTTCCATCCAGAGATGCAGATTAGCGATTCCCATGCAAGATTCCTTCTCTATGCTCGGAGATTTCCTCTCGACGCTCCCCAAACTTGTAGACAATACCCCTGCGCGCCTGTGAATGCTTCATGTACCGATGGCCAATTGCGACTTTGCGATAGAAGCCCGCATTCGTGCTTTATCAGGACCTTTGCAGTATTGCACTAGGACAGAAAAAGCAGAACAACACCCGCTGACTAATACAGGTTTTTCTGCAGCCTTGCACGTATTAGGGCTCTTGGCGGCACAAGAGCGCACAGACCAATCAGCTTCACGATGCACTAATTGCAAGCGACAGGCCGTCTTCCGCCTCACCACCAGTAACGCAACCACCACTTGCCTTGATAGTGAGGGTCGGCCACTACGCCAACTGTAGATGGTCATTTTATGATCACGCCAGTATCTAACAGCAACTTCCAAGCAATCCCTACGGTTTTCACCCGAGCAAAAACCTGGGGTTCACTTCCTCTCGCCCTCAAAAGCTTAGCGCGTTGTCACGGGTTCCTCGTGGGTCTCCCCCAATAAGACTCCTGCTAGCTTCTCAGACCTTTCATATTCGGTATGCTGAATGCATATGAATCCTAGATCTTTCACTAACTAGCAAAAAAGACCATTCTCTGAGGACCATGTGGCCCGACACGCCAAGCGACCACCCTTTCAGCAAGGTACCTTGCCCTTACGGTGATAAGTGTCAGCCATCATTCTGTATGTTCAGCCATGAGGATTGCCTGCTCCCGGCAGCCCTATCTGTCCATCCGCCATCCCTACATGTCAATCCGCAAGCCCTACCTGTCACCACCAGCAACACATTATCTTGCGAGGAAGGCCCACGAGCCAAACGCCTGAAACTAGGAGTTAGCCAAGCACCAATTAGGACCGCAAGCCAATCGAGTCTCCTTTCGTCACTAGTTCCGAGACAGATCCAACCTGCTGTCAAACAGGATGCAGTCAAGCAGGACGCACTTAAACAGGGCGCAGTCAAACAGGACGCACGCATCAAGAACAATGCCTTACTGCAGACAAAAGTCAGCAGCCCTGCCCAGATACCAGTCGCTGATACAGTCCAAGCTCTGCAACCACGGAAACTAGCCCGAGCTCCAGTGCAGCATAGGAAGAGGCTACAGCTTTTGCAATTGATGCGCCAAAACATGAATCGTCTGAATAAAGAGGTCTCAAAGAGCACCGACGCTGGAATAAGAGCCCTAGGATTGAGCGACAATCAACTCAACAAGCTGACCGTTGATGAAGAGTACCTCATAGCCACACAAAACGGGTCGGTCTATGAGAATGTGGCGAAGAATCGAGTGTTTGAACTCCGAAAGATGACCGTCGACGACTGGGTTAAGGAACGGAGAGAGTCCATTTCCAAAGGGAAAGGGGGAAAGGAGGTAAAGAAGGAATGGACAGAGCTAGTTGATACAGGGTTGAATGCCAAAGAGGAGGTAATTTTCCTCTCTCACCTACATGCACAACAGCCAACACCGTTGGAACATGATGGCTATGTCACAAAGCAGATATCTGATGCGGATCTCGAAGAGGGACACGCTCTCATGAGTGGCTCATTTCATAACCTCGTGTCGTGCGATCGATGTAGCACGCGATTCCAGGTCTTTGAACAGAGGGAAGGGAAAGAAGGCGCACTCACAAGTGGGGGTATATGCACCTATCATTGGGGAAGGAAACGCGGTTCCCGATTCACCGGAGAACAGAACATGACATGTTGTCAGCAGCCTGCGGGATCTCCTGGATGCACTACCCATATGACGCATGTCTTCAAACTGTCAGAGGATAAGAAGCGTCTTGCGACGATCATGCCCTTCGTTGAGACCCCACCAAACGACAAGGCTAATCCGCACACCGCAATCTGCTTTGATTGCGAGATGGGCTACACGACAAAGGGCATGGAGTTGCTACGGCTGACAGCCATCTCCTGGCCAACCTACGAGCGCATTATCGACGTACTGGTCCACCCACAAGGACAGATTCTCGATCCGAACACGCGCTTCTCTGGAATCCGCCTGGAGCAGTTCAACAAAGTCCCCACCCTCCGTCCAAACTTACCCCCCGACCCCTCGAATCTCGATGTCGTTGCCTCACTCTCTGCTGCTCGCGATCTCCTGCTCTCGTACATATCTCCTACAACGCCTCTAATTGGTCACGCACTCGAGAACGATCTTAAAGCCATCCGCCTGATCCACCCAACCTTCATTGATACTGTCTTGTTATATCCGCACAGGGATGGCCTCCCTGCCCGCAACTCGCTCCGAGGGCTCACGGAGCAGCACTTAAAGATGAAAATCCAACAAGCGGGTGCTGCAGGCCACGACAGCTTCGAGGACGCTAAAGCAGCTGGCGAACTGGTGCGGTTGAGGATCAAAAAGGAGTGGAAGGCCTTGAAGGCTGAGGGAGGGTGGAGGATTACAGATGATGGCGTTATTCATGATCAGGTGCCCACAGTTGCACCGAAGGGACCAAAGAGCGCAGTCAAGCGGAAGTGGGGTGTCGGCCCCCAATACGATGGAGCGTGCAATGAGGATGATGAGAAGATAGAGGACGGCGAGGACGAGAACTTGTGAGTGAGTGCAGAAAAACAGAGAATCATCCGGGATTTGTATGATAGACTTTCATCAATCCAGTGGCTCAGCTAATGGGATTTGGAGTACTAAGGAGCTTGATAAAAACCATGCAAGGCATTCCAGCACCAATTCATCAATGGGCCCTCAACTTGCTATTCCTTCCTGATCTCTTGGGAAATCTAATTCATCTAGTACTGTATCTCTTCAGTCCTCGGTAGATTGTAGGAAGTAGTATATTGAATTATGGTGGTAGGCTTACTTTACAATGACAATAATAATAAAAATAATAAGAAGAAGAAGAAGAAGAAGGAGGAGGAAGAGGAGGAATTATTGTCTGCAGAACTGTATATCTTATAGAGAATAGAGAAGGTTTGGATAACTTCTTGTCTAATAATCCACTCTAGCCTATCTTAAAGTTTTAGTATTATACTCCTGTGTCTCTTTAGTCTTGCAAGAATTCATTAGGTAAGAAAATAAACTCTAAGCACAAGGTAATTCCACGCTCATAATAACTAGGATACCTTCTCCTACAGACCTGTACACCTTGTCAACAATCAGAGGCTGTAGATGACTCCTTGTCCCCCGTTCCCCTAACCCATCGTCTCGTCAGTAAAATACTCCTACAACCCCCTCACCCTTGCTACATTCCACTGACTGGAATATTGAATCCCAAAGTCTCCTTCTATTCGCTACTCAAATTTCCCCTCCTAAGCTACCGTTTCTAACCCCTGCACCCCATCTAGTGCTTCAATACCAGGCGTGTCGATGACATCGATGTCGAGGTCTTTCATGACGCCGATGACAACGCCTACGCTCTCGAAAAAACCGTTTACGGCGACGCGGAGCATACGGTTTGTTGTTGCAGCGTAGTTGACCACGAGCAGATTCTTTTCGTTTTCGGGTGTGGGAGTAGGGTTGGAGGTTGGGGTGGATGCAGCTGATGGGCGTGAAGAGAGCGAGAGTGTTCGTCGGACGAGGTGCGAGAGTTCTGCGTCCACGGACAGGGCGCGCAGCGCCGTTGTTGCGAGGTGGGGGGACGGAAATGGGATTGTGAGCGTGCTGGGGGGGCCTCAGTAGGATAGATAGCTCATCCTGATATTCTCTCTTCAGCTCAAGGTGAAGACTTACAGTGTACATGGAAACTCCTCATCTCCTGCCATGACTTCCTTCTCAAATTAACCTCCAGGAGAGGCCGACCTGAAGATACTCTTCTGTCTCCGAGTTATGCGGTAGTATTTCTGCGTCCAATCGATGTGCATATAAAGTCGCGCACGTTGGTTTGCGAGCTTGTTGGCCAATGTTCCGGATGCGGGGTGGGGCGGCTGGAAGCCATGTGGTAGCGAAGCGCGGCTCCGAATTTGATGAGCGTCATTGTGCATTTCATCATTGACTATGCTATTTCATCATTGACTATTCCATTCCATCATCATTCATTACTATTTCCAAGAAAGTTTCTATATGCATACAAAATGGCCTGAGACCCATCTTCTAAGCTCTTCATATCACCTCGAGTCTACGAATTCCTATACCTTTCACCTCAAGTCTTAATTAAACAGTGTCTTGGTAGTAGTAAAGAGTAATAACAGATACATACATCCATACAGAGAGCACAGCACAGCACGGCACAGCAAATATGACAACCCCCTCACCCTCCGAATTCCTAACTTTCCACCGGCGTCTCGTCTTCTCGTCTTCCCTACGCTACTCCGCGCTCACCGGGCGATTAATATCATGCCGTCGACCCGTCCAACCCACATATGCAAAACAATTCTCGCTGTCATCGAGGTGCGCGCAGAAATCCAAATCCCAGGAACAGAGCAACGCCAATTCAGAGCATGCAACCCACAAAGCGCAGAAAGGTGACCATTTGGATGTGCAGAGTTGTAATGTGAAAGAGGGCATGGAGTATGTGCATCTCTTGATTCCCTTCCCCATTCCCCCTGCCCCCAAAATTTCCCCCGCACCATTACCATTGCGTTCATGCACATGCTTCCTTGCTACCGCTTGCTGTAGTAGTACTTGTAGTTCTACAGTTCACAATTAACACACCAAGCAGCAGCAAAAATTCCGGAACTGGCGGTCATGCAACCGAGCAACGCGATTCGGCGGGCGGTAAGGCGAAAGCGAAAAGGGAGTTCCCTGAGGCGCCGGATGTGGCTATTGGGATGCAGGATGAGAGGGGAGGACGGGGTGGTTGATTTTTACAAGCTTTTGACATGAGGTCGGAGATGAGCGATGAGAAAAAAATTATCCAGCTTTCCATTTGAAAAGCTTAATATTTCCTTGGCCCTTTCAACTCATTCCCCGAAACTGGGGATTTCTTATTAGCTCTGCCAGCACACCCTTAGAGTATAATATTACATACCTATTCTCAAATTGTCAATCTCCCACCCCTTCATCGCACTACCATACTCTCTCTAAGCCCAAAACCCTTGCAGTAATGTCTCACCCAAGCATACTCCTCTTCCTCCCCCTCAACCTCACATCCTCCAACCTCTTCAACACCACCTTCGCCCCCTTAAAGCTCTCCCCATACACCCTCAACACCTCTCTAAACAACGGTTCGGCAGCAGGGTGCGTAGCCGCGAACGCTCGTTCCAGAACGTACAAATCAACTGCACGTTCTTCTTCCCCGACCGTTTGTGTTGCGAGGCCGAAGTCGATGATGATGATGTCACCATCGAGTTCATGGCCAGTGGGTTGTGAAGCGGGGGATGATTGTGGAGAAACGGTGTCGGCGGCTGTAATTGCAGCTTCACGAATTGCAGACAGAGTTTGTCTTTGTGGTGGGTTTTCTTCTTCAAGTGTTGAATGTGGTGGTGCAGATGTCGAGGGTGGCACAAGTTTCCTCACCATCAAATTACTCGTCGTGAGATCCCCATGGCAAACTCCAATATCATGCAACCTAGCCACCGCCCTCCCAACCCTCCTCATTAAATCCCAAAGCTCTTCTTCCCCCTCTTTAACCCCTACCCCTTCTCCATTCTCCCCTTCCCCATTCTCCCCTCCCTCGCGCCCCTCCCCCTGCAAAACCCTCATCCCCACTCGTTCCACCCACTCATCAAGCACCACCCTCACCGTCCTCCCCTCCACCCACTCCAGCGCCAACCACCCATTCTCGACATCTCCCCCAAGAACACCCGGTACCTTAACACCCTCCTTCCTACACTTCACCAACACGCGGGCTTCCGCCAGTAATCTTGCTTTCGTGAGTCGTTTATCGAGGACAGGGTGGCGGTATGGTTTCGGGGGACGATATTTTAGGGCGACAGGGGTAGAGGGAGTGAGGAAGGTTGTGCGGTAGACGAGGGCTTCCGCACCTTGTGTTAGGACTGTGAGGGGTGTGTGAGTGAAGGGGGGTGGGAGAATGTGATCCGGTTGGGAGGCATGGGGTGGTGGTGGGGTTGCCATGGTTTTGGGGGCGAGACAGCTCAGTACAGTTAACGCTGAGGAGAAGATTAGGGGATGAGTTATTTAGAGCGTGGAGGTGTTTTAGTCCGTTGATGCGTTCGTAGAGTAATGTTATTGGGGCCTGCGGGGAAGAATTTTTTGGTGTTGATGGGGAAGCTTCCCCGCCATCCTGGAAAAAAGCGTCTGGTTGGGCTATTAGGTACAAATGTGTACAGATCAGTACAGGGAGAATGATTCTACTGACAGACTACGTAAACTCAAGAAACATTTCTGGGTAGCTGCTGTCCTTGAAAATTCAACTTTGTTCTCTTCTCATCATTTTCATATGCAAAATCATCTCACCAGGCAGACACGAGATTCGCTTTTAAAACCACCCCCAAATAGCCTTCCACCCAGCCCTGATGCTATTGTCCGCTTCACGTCACGATCTCAATCAGCATGGTACAATAATTTTAAATGAGTGTGATAGCATTTAGGTGTCTCATCCTACATGACCGGACCCATCAATCGATCGTCCACCATTTTTCAGCTTAAAGTCCCTTCACCCATTTTACAAAGGAGGGTACCCTCATATCCACCCATACCAAAATACAACCAAGGGAATGCAAGGAACCACCAGCCACAGGCTCTTGAGGTTCGTTGATCTTGTAATCCGGCTCATCGAGCGTCCAAAAAAAAAAGGGTCCTCGCACCCTTCCAAAAAGCCCCAATTGCTTGAAGGATATGGTTCTGTTCGTGTGTTGTTGTGTTTCCATTCTTTGAACGAACAATGATGATGAGAAGAAACGGAGAAAAGCCAGATACCGCATCCGCATGCTCATTAAACACAGTACGCGTAATTTCGGAACCAAGGGAAGAAAAGGATGTAAAGAACAGAGAACTGCCAAAAGTGGAGCCTCTCCAACCCTCCCTGGAATACGTCCCATGTGTACCAAAAACCAACAGGACATATCACAGAAAGGACTAGGGGGGCGAAGAAGTGAAGTAATCGTGAAAAATATGACCACTGCTAAACCCACCCAAATGCAACCAACCAGCTTTGCGCGACGGTAAGACCAGAAACAAGCAAGGAAAATGTCGAGTCGTGAGTAGCCGTAAACATCGCGACGTGAGGAACAACGCCACGCAATATACACAATTGAGGAACCCTAGCTCAAGATCTACCTGAGTAAGGTGGCCTCAATACCGTTTCCTCTATTGCTTCGTCGATATTCTCTAAAATATCGAGCTCTTTCGCTTTTCGGCACTGGTGAGCACGAGCATTGGCATATTTCGGCGTTCGCCTGACATCTGCTGGGGCTCCTCGACCCGAATCTCCACCAAGCCACCACCGATACCAGAGCCTTCCTCGCTGCTCACACTGTTTGCGGTATATGAGCCATTGGTGGAGGTTCGGTCACGGGACCGCTCCTTCATTTCCTTCCTCTCTGAACCGATGGCACCATTGGCGGCTGCACGAAGGCTTCCGATGCTGGGCTTTCCTGAGAGGCTTCCACTTCCGGCACTGTGAACGCTATCCGAGTCGTTGTCGGAACCAGTGGGGAAAGACATCTCAGTCTCGCTCACCGGGGTCATGCTTCCCGCACTGCCAGATCGAACACCGCGGCGCTCGATTCCAGCACGGACAAGATTGTGAACGGCTCGTCGGCGCTGGCGGGTAGCAAAGTTCTTGCTGCCTTCATGCTTGGTGGTTGGACTGGCTTGAAGTTCCTCAAGAGCAGGTGGTCCTCGAGGTTGGCGCATAGGGTGCTCGCCGGCACGAGCCTGGCCGGGGCCAAATGTACCACTGCTCGGAGTCGACGGGAATCCCACGGGTCGAACAAATGCAGACTTTGGACCCTCAGGGGTCTCGCTCATCTTTCCGTCTACCGCAAGCGAAGATAGGGTCTTCTTGTGGCCACGGCGGAAAGCGTTCGCAGATGGAGGCGGGAGAGGGACGACGTCCTGGGGAGGTGACGCCGACTTCTTCGGTGGAGACGAGCTGCGGGAACTCCACGGGCTCGGGTTGATCTCATTAGGAGGAGACACCTGGAAAATGGGTGTATCGACCTTGGGTGGAGAAGAGGTAAAGCTGGGGGTTGGCGGAGGCGGCGAGTGCGACAGGTTTGAAGTGGCCATCTGTGTGCGAATATCACCGCCGTTCTGCTGCTGGTTCTGCTGGAAGTTCTGGTCCAAGACATAATTGTACTGGCCAGTCAGCTGGTTGTAAGCGAGGTATACGCCAGGTTGTCCAGTCTCCTGTGGCATCGAAGTGTTCTGGTATTGCTGTCCATAAGCGTTAAGTTGCGGTGTATATGGGGTCGATGGAAACGGCTGCGACTGTTGTTGCACTCCACTGGCATTCAGGTTCATTCCCCCAAATTGCTGGGCTGTGAGGTTCAAGAGCTGCTGCTGGAGATGTTGCTGCCTCTGCGCGAGATACAGCTCGGCAGCCAACAGCTGTGCAGCAACGTTGGGGTCAATGTCCGCATCGTCAAATTGAACTGGAGGAGGAGCCAAAACCTGGTCATAGAGGGCCTGGGGCTGTTGGGCATACGGGGCCCGGTTATTGCCGGAAAAGCCAGATCCAATAGCAGTTTGGGGGATGCCGTGGTTCATGCCATTGTAGCTCTGCCTCGCATACCGTCCTGGGTCCATGCCAAAGCCGTGCTGGCCCTGCGTATAAGGAGCCGAGGCAGGTGGCTGGGCGGATGTTGGAGTCTTGGGGGCGGTGCGGAGTCCAGCAAGGAGGTGGGACCGACTGGTACGCGGAGTCGGAATCTCGACCGAGTTTTCGGCGATGGAGGAAACCTTGGGAGGAGAGGCAACACTCAGGCGCTTCAAGGACGCGCCTTTACCGCGGGAAGCAAAGCCGGCGCCTGGAAGGCCGATGCCGCCATTAGGCGAAAAGTTGTTGTAGGTCATTTGAGCAAGACCGCCAGCGTCCATGCTCATGATGCTTTTCGTTCAGTGGGCGGTTGATGGGACAAAAGGTAATGCCGTGGCGAAAGTGATGCGCAGACCACTATGGGAAGGATATAGAATCGAAGATGACGGCCGAGAGTGGTAAAAAAAACCGACGGACGGACAGAGGAGGGAATGTTCGCGGCGCTGTGGGATGAGCGGGGCGCCAGAAGAGGAGAGCGGGGTGATATACAGGACGTCTGTCGGGGAGACAAGCGTGAGGAATTGACGAGCGAGATTAGAAGATTAAGGATCGTAAGATCTTTGTAACGTAAGGCTTGGAATCGTAAACCGGCCGACGGGCAGTGCAGATGGGACTATTAACAAGGGTCTTTCAGTCGCTGGGCCTAGGGGCTCAAGTCGGGGCAGGAGCAGACGCGTCGTTCGTTCGTTCGGGGGGGCGAGCGCGGGGGTGGGGGTGTCGTAGAGGAAGGAAGGCGCGAGGCAGCGGGCAGACGGTGAGAAGGGCGAAGAGAAAAGTATTGAGCAAAGATGGAATACAGGAACGGTCAAGGACGGGATCAAGCGGGCAAGGCTGGGTCTTGATGCGGTCGACTTGCGGGCTTTGTCAGGCTCAAGGAGCGACGATACTGGCGCGCTCGGAGGGATCGAGATTAGTAGGGCTAAGCTGAGTCCAACAAAAGGGACAACTATAAGATGCAGAAGCTGCGCGACGGCAGAGAAAGGGAGTAGAGAACGAGGGAAGATGGAGGGGAGGAAGAAGGGGTGGGATGGGGGAGGACCGGTGGAGTTGGAGGATGGACAAGGTGACAGAGGACGGAAGACGAACGAAGGCAGTGGGCGTATTTGATCGGTCGGTGGGCTGGGTTCTTGGCGGATAGCCCGCAGGCGCTAGTGGCCAGACACCCACCAATTCAGGGGCTTGCTCCCGGCTAGCCCTGCAAAATCCTCGATGGCTGCAGCACGGGGTCAGAGATGGTGGACGATGGGCGAGGAAGCAGAAGCTGGTAGTGAGCAGACAATTATGCGCTGGCTGCAGAGAACCGCAAAGTCGAGTTGAGGTGCTGCGTTGTTCCTGTGTCGTCGAAGGGATTCCGTCCTCTATCAACACCAGGGCGGGCAACTGCCCGGCTCCCTCCAGGACGCCGCCCACAAGCAGGCCACCGTCGACAGGCCTTCAAGCCATGTCGCGCCCCGTCCAGCAGCGATACCCGGTGACACCCAGCGATGGCCCATGGACGAACCATCGTGCCTCTGCCTCTGTGCACTCTGTCGCGCTCCCGCCAAAAATAAGCTGCCGGACAGCAAATACCCCTTCAATTGAAACATGCGCACTCTCATTGCTCAGCGAACTTCGTCGTCTGCACACCGCATCCAGCACTTTCCATCAGCGGCGTCTATCCAGTCCAGTCATCGCTGTGGAACTGCCTGCCAACAGCGGCGAGAAGCGGTTAGGCATGCACATCGTTGGCCACTCAGCGCAAGAAGAACTGCTGCACTTCCTCAGCCACGACACTACTTCTTTTTATTCTAATAATAAAGCGTGCACATTCAGCAGTAATATTGACGCGATTCTCAGAGCAGAATGAACATAGTGACACTAATAATCGAGGACTGCTTTGCCATGCACTCGCTCGTTCATCGTCAATGCCGAGGACCAGCCGTGCATGAAGGTGAGCGCGCCCGTGCAGGTCAGCACTCAGCTTGCTCCTTCATCCCAACTCATATCGATACCTCCCCGGACACCTCTGCCGGCGCCGGAGGATAGGAGAAGGAGTCATCCACGGCGAATATCCAGCCCGCAAAGACAGTAGAGAGCGTGCCAGACAGAGTCCGATAACTCTCATCATCCCTCTGCGACTAAATCCTCGCTCCTCGTATCGCTAATTTCCAGCATCAAAAATCAGTCCCTGAGGAGTCCCTGAGCACCTCGTGTGGCCCCCGTCGCCCTCGTTTCAAGCCCGGGGATGCCCGTCTCGCCGCTGGCCTGAAACCGTCTCACTAGCGCTCAGCGTGCAGATTCATCTCGTCAAGCTCGCCCTGCAGGAACCCAAGGCGAACGCCAAGCTTTGGCCGAGACAGGCGCCGTTGAAACAACCTCCTCCTGACTGCTGGGCTGAGGATGCCAAACGCCCGTGCGAGCAGATCCACATGGTCAGAATCACTGAGGAACTGCTCAGGAAATGTATGCTGTAGATCCTTCGCAATCCTTCCTTTGCAATGGCGCATGCCGCCATCGTGGCTTTTGATTGCATTTCTGATGGTCCGATTCCGCTCTGTTCACTCTCGTGTCCTGTCTGCGAAGCCTCTTTTCTACCCGCCCGTGGCCATTCCGACGCGACCGCAACGCCACACTGAGACGAAGACAGCGGATGGCTTGTTTACATAAAACGTCTTGATAGCCACGTTAAGAAGAAGCTCCAAGACATGGCGAAGTACGGAAGTTGAAGGGAGGATTTAATAATGACCCCAACTTAACCAAATTGATGGACCAACGAGTCAAGTGCGACACAGTCTCTAGTTTCCTTGAGAAAGGTTTCATGGACACGTACCAGCTACGGCCCGCTTACGCAGATAGCTGTGTACGCGTGTGTCTCCAGAGACAACCGCTCTGAACCTGGGGTACGGATTTTGTTTGTCGGCAGCCGTATCGATTTGTCCTTGCGGTCGCACTGGCAGTCTGTATCACTACGACCGCAGACACGCCATGATCGTTGAAGGCGCGATAGCCGTTCCACGAAGAGTTCAGTACATCCCTAATCAGTGGGCTGTTAGACAGTTCATGCTCCTACGGTTACGAAAAAGTATGTGCGATCTAGGAGATCACTGCGAGTCACACTAACATTTCGCTCGTTCTCATTCTTTAAGCCATCAGTTCTTTAGTTTCTCTCTCTCCAATTCTCAATCCCACCCCTCCTCCCACCGCCATTGAAGTAGACGTCTCGACTATATCACCCATGTAATCCCCCACCAAATAGCCCCATCCAACCGCAACCAGTTCCATCCCTCCCTCCATGAAACACCCCATCCACCAGCCAACCTTCCAGAATGTTTCAACACGCATCCCAATGACGTCTGCACCTCCCTGTCGCTTGAAAAATGGCGGCGGGGATGATGTTTCGAGTACATGCCATTATGATTGTCCTTCAGGCGACTTAGGATAGCGAAACGGGAGCCTGGCCTGGGGTTGATCTTGGCCCAGAAGAGGGTGGTTGAGTGTTTTTGGTTTGCTGGGCTGCCAGTCGGTGTATTCATGCGTCGAGGTTGGAGATCTAGAGTGAGTATATATACGGCATTGCATATTTAACTTGAGGCAATGGGAAGTCCCAGTCTGGTGCCTATGTCCAGTTAGCTCTACTCTTAGAATTTGTGTATTTAGTGTTAGCTCTATGGCATAGATCCAGCGCTGTCTTTTGTGCAAGCACATACATACCTACCTTAAACCTACTTATATAGTGGCTATAAATATCGTCCTCCCATGAAAGTGTTTCTCGGACTGTTCCGTTTGTGACCGACCCCTAAACCAAGCCAGTCTGTTTGATAGAACTTGCAATCCTCTTTTCTACTCATGCAATTCTAGGAACGCTCTGCCTTGAGCAAAAGGTGGGAAAGTTTGTACGGAGTAGCTTCAAGTCGTTGTTGCAGGTAGGCAGACAAACACTAATGTAGAAGGTGACCTGCATGATGAAGCGCGTTGCATCTGAAAGTTTAGTCTGGCTGTTACGAGGATGTGATGTTTGATCCAACCCGAAGTGAGACGGGAATGCTCACTCTCACTCCATTCTTGAAGCAAAGCAGAGGAATCTATGATAGATAGCTGCGATGACCGCTGAAGAACCACTCACATAGATAAACACATCTCACTTCAACCTATCTCACAAAATGATCCACACCTGTCCATCCACCCCCTCCCCTCCCCATCACTTCCTCCTCCCGAACATCTCCCCACCAAACCCATCCCGCCCCTCCATCTCTGTAATCCTCTCCGCCGCCTTGACAAGATCAAACTCAATCTCCTCCCCCACCACACTATCCCTCCGGTACATCTTATGACTCTGGACAAAATGCCGAATCCACTTGGCAGCGGTCCAAAGCGTGCCATCCGCCCTCTTGCGAATCAAATCTAGATACCGTGCTAACTCGCACCTCGTCTCGACATCGACGTTCATGCTGTTTAGGTAGTTTTCCACCAGCGGGATAAGCCCCGGAAAACCGCCCTCTGAGGATGTTTGGCCATTGATGACTTCGTTGATAGTCATAAGTTCGAACTCGTCTTCAACGGGGCCAACCGGTGTTGGAGAACGACTATTCTCCAGTGGACTTGCCGTCCCCAGATCATTCGCAGAGGCCCGGACTGGGCGCGACGAAAACGGGTTCTTCCGGAAGTAAAACTTCTGCGTCGACACCGCGTCCCGTATGTGCGCTGTTTCCATATTCTCTGAGACCTTGACGATGGGGATGTAGAAGTTTAGATCATAGCTGAGGATTGCGCGCGTGATGAGCACGATGAAGATGGAGAATGCCGCGTTTTCGAAATCCGTGATTTGGATTTCCATGGGTCGGAACTCGACGCGCCAACCGGTGTCTGATCCAGGGGGTGGAGGCTTGAACCGCATGTGTTGCCAGTTGGTGGACTGTAGGTTTTCAAAGTGGTCGGCTTTTGTGAGGTCAAGTTCTTGGAGGTCTTCGGCGAAGACGACGATGGGGTCTCGGATGAAGAGGTGGGCAAAGTGAGTCGCAAGCAAGTCGTCCATGCCGCCGTCGAGGAGCCGCTGTTTGAGGCCTGTGTCGAATACGAGATCGGGGTCGAGGTATTCTTTTCGGAGGCGTGGGTCTTGCGATATATATGTCGAGTTCGAGGCATATCGAGATTTTGGCAGACGCCAACGGGCGTGCTTGAGAGGCTCCTCGCCTAGCTCCTCTCGTGTGCGGTCGTCTACAGCCTTGCTGATCTGATTCCAGCGGACGTCAGTATCGGCAAGGAAACCTTTATATATAGGAGTCGCTGCAGTGAGCGCAAGGAGGATCGGACCCAGAGGACTGAGTTGATCATACATCTTCCGCCCTTCTTCGATGTTCTTGGCCTGAAAAGTTATCTGCAGACAGCAGCTTCCCATGCCAAATGCCATCGCATCCATATAGATATAGTTCTCCTTTGCAGCTCCATTGCGGACGTCGTCATCTTCCGGCCACTGATGGAGATCGTAGTTGACAGTGGGATCTTTCCATGGCCACGGCGTCTTCTCATCCCTGAACACTGGGACATTGACCTCAACTTTCCTACCTCTTCGAGCACGGATGTTGGCTGCTAGAGTAGGGAAGCGGATGTGTGGATTAGCGATTTCATCAGGCACAAACTGCGAGCGTAGCTTTGGTCCTGACACTTGATACGAAGGCGTCGTGCAGTCTGAAGTACCGAGACGAGGAAACGTCGTCAGTGTGATTGGATACTCTTGCTTGGCCATGTGGTCCTTGGCTATCATGCGTCTGCAGAACAAATCAGCACCAAAATCGGTATTCTTAAGCGTGAGTGGATACTCTACCGCCACTTCATGTTTGGTTCAACATCGAGGAGGTCTTTGAACCCGATTCCCCATGGCTTCCCAGGGGTCGCCTCCAGCATGAACCTCCCAAACTCGGGATGGAAGACCGGCGCAGTGGTTTCAGACTCCCTAGACGGGTTAACACAAGCCGAAGTCTGGATTGAATCTTCTCGTTCTCACCTGATCGAACCTCTTTGGACATCTGGAACTCCACCACCTTGATGCAATAACTTTTCGTCCGTAGCTAATGCTGCTAGAATGTCTGCTTGCCGGAGCGAAAGTCGGACCTTGTGCTTGTCGTCATCGTAACACACCACGAGGTATTCCACCTGACCTTCTAGTTAGAAATAGTTCAACTAGCAAGATCTATCTGGAGAACGTTACCTCGTCCCCCCAGAGAAGAGCATCCCTCTCCTTACCTTTGGCGTTCCGCCATATGGCGAGAAGTTGCTGTGGGACACGTTATTTCGACTCTGGTTTGGTCACAGCGTCCACCACTTACTTCAATCCCCCAGGATCGGACATGGCTGGCGACCTTTTCTGCCTCCGGCCATTCGAGCGGAGTCCCAATGGCACTTGGCTTCGGTTAGCAGAGACATGAAATGCAGTAGCGCTGGTCTCACAGCAGCCCCATCCCCAGGTGGTCTCGTGCAACACGGGTTCTCGTTTAGTCTGAATTGGGGGCCACGAGCGATCCAAGCAGCCGTGTGAGTGGTAGTTATACCCAAACACGGAGAGTGACTGGGGCTACACGACAGGTATCCAAACTTGACGGGGGTGCGGGAGGCGGCTCGTGGGGTGGCAGCGAATTTCATGAAGCTGCAGGGCCGAACACGTCCCAGTCTTCTTGCTTTATGATCGGTGTGATAGAGAAGAGTGTGAATGCAGCTGAAGACATGATAGAGTGTTGCTGATGCTGATTACTAATGTCTGATGCGTCAGAAAATTAAGGCCTTCCGAGGACGGCTAACAATGGTAAAGTCTCCGCATTTCCCTTTTCGGTAAGCAGCTATTACAATGGAAACCTCACCTCGTCTCCATATGTCGTCGGCGTAACGTTGCGCGGGAACACTGACAGCGGGCTTGAAGTACTGCGGAAACTCTGTATATTACCTCGTCACCTTCTCAAGTAGCCTAATTCTTTTTTCTGTACTTTAGTCCGTACGACTGGCCAGCATCCACGTGCACTCATCATGCCCATGATATGCAAAAAGCAAGTAACTGGTGGAAAGGATGAGACGCACCGTTGGCCACCTGTAGATTCGTCATTTTAATAGCGGTTGGCTGGTGCGTCCCTCTGCGAGCAAGACTTCGTCCACGCAGACAAGATACGACCTGTCTGATTGAGCATCGAGGGCGCCTCGGGTACGGAGCATAGGCGATTTAATGAGCTGGCAGACGGAGTCCAAACTCCCGAGGCTGGCGTAGCGCGCGCCAGAGAATGTCTGCTAGACACATCGGAAGTCTGGAATGCCGTGGTTGAACATATTTTCTGGCAAAGTGATCACGGTGTCTGCTGGGAGTGGCACACGACTAACGAAATTATCGTAGATGGGCTGTTCTAGGCGTCCTGCATCAAGTCAAAGGTAGAACAGATGCCCCAAGCGCTGACAAGGAAAGGAGTGTACTCCGTACCACCGTCCCGAATTGCTGCCTGACAGATGATACAGCCAGATAAGGCATGCGGGGACCCTCGTTTGTGGCACGACATCATCTTTGTACTCTACTTCTATATCAGTACCGGCCATGTAGATCTTAGACGCTGTGGAGGAAGCACTTCGTGTGCTACGCCAATTAGGAAATGTAGAGTGAGACATTGTAACCCAGGCGTTCCGAAAAAGGCTTGCAAAGGAATAAGCTTGCAGCAAGGCTCGAGATGCAAATGACCCTAATTGAACTCTGGAATACGCAGGCTTTGCATTGGAACTGATAGCTTTTGTCTTCCCAGTCCATTCATAGCCATGCTAACGTCACCCTTCAGCCCACCCATACTTGTCCGACAAATTCGTACACTTATGATAAAGCGTCCAAATCCTACAGAGAGAAGACAGAAACCCACGTCCCTCTCTATCCGAAGAGGGGTTGCTCCGCACACCTAACGCCGATCGGAAATTGTTGAGAGGATCACCCGAAAGAAGAAAATGCCATCAGCAACCCGGGGTCTAAATGCCCTCTGAACCTAGTGCCAAAATGCAACCGTTGCTGGTATAATAACAGGTAAGAAAGTAACCCCGTCCTACATGCAAATACTCATTGCTGGACGTGAAAACAGCCAATCAACTAAGGAAATAAAAAATCGTGTATTCGCACACATCCGCAGAAAATACGGAATCCAAGATTAAGTTTTAGTGAGCTTCAGCCTCTAATAAGACGACAAGCTCGTTCGAAATGGTGTGGCCCGTCCCGAAAATGCAACATTGATAATGTTTGCGCCGTGTGCTCCTGTAATCGGAATTCGAATTTTGCTGCCCAAATTCGGGCGAAATAGTGTACGATTACGGTGAATAGCATTGATCAGATAAAAAGAATGATATCGTATGTTTCCACGCGTATATATGGAACAGCTAGCGTGCGCTGTGAGCAAAGTAGTCAAGATTTTCGAGTGGTTCGAAGTCGAGACTGCTTGTGATTGAGATAAAGTGATCTGTGGGTTGATGGTGCAGATGGGAACGATCGAAAAGACAGCGTAGTCGGGAGGGGCGCCACCAGAAGATTGTGCTATGCGGCAGGTGATCCTTCGCCAAGGGATTTTGGTCGAAGGTTCGAACTAGCCATGGCCTGCTTGCCTCCCAGTTTGCGGGTTAACTTGGCATAATCTGCGAAATGTGAGCTTTCAAAAAGGGAGATGAAGTCTCGAACACTCACGTAGACCACAGGCATTGCAAAGCGTTCTCGCCCCATCAGGGCCGCGTCGCCATTCAGGAGTCTCCGCTCGATTACAACTATGACATCTTCCAGGCGGGGCAGCTCTCTGTGAACAAAGTCAGAATACGTAAGGGTTTTGCAGGGACTTAACGTACCCCTCGTCGCTTCTTTGGGTCTGCACTGGCAAAGCCGCCACCTCCTTTGGTGTCTTCGTGATACACGTTTGGTCCTTCGTGATCGTATCCATTGATTTGTCGATAGCGGGGATCTTGCGGAGGTTCAAAAATGTTGGCTTGCTGATGGTTGAAAACGACTTCTCTCATACGCTGCAGAGAAATCTGAATCTTCTCGCCCTGTTTGAGCATTTCGTCGAGCTCTTCTAGCCCGGGCATGGACTGTGGAGTCATGCCTATCCTTTGATTTTCGTGCGCTCGTTGTCGGTAAATTTTTGAAAAGTCTGTTATTCGCCCAGCACCTTCCGCTATCTAGAATAATTAGCAAAATGAGACGTTACTCACGTGGATATCAAGCAATACCTCATTTAGTGAAGCCTCTACGTCGAAACTATCTAAGTGGCGTTTGACCGACTCGCCATATGGAGCTAGGCTGGAGCGCGCGGTCTTCTTTTCTTCAATGCGGGATATCTCTGCACTATCAGATCGCCAAGAGGGTGGTGGAAATCGAGGAGGGGCTGAATATGTTGCTGCAGAAGGAGGGTAGGCCTGGCCGGGACCCCCTGGAGGAGGCGCCGATAGAGGATAATTTGGAGAATACTGTGAGTAGCCATAATGTTGGTTCATCGGTCCAGCAGAATGCGGAGCAGATGATTCGTAAGCTGGCGAAGGCTGAAGCGGATATGAATTTGGTGCGTTTGGCCTGGAAGCACTCGGCGGAGGTGACTGGGTGGTTCTCAGCGGGTGAAGGGTAGGAAGTTTAGGATTATGCTGTGAGGAAGAAAATGAAGGCCGCGATAATGGGTCTGCTTGAGAGTGAGGGGGTGGAGGAGGAGCTGATGAAGTGGGTGTATTCATGTATGGACTCCGCGGGTGCGAGAAAGGGTTTGGCGGACCTTGGCTGCCGTGGAGGTCTGTTGAGAATGCTCTCACACGCTGGTCTGATGGAGAGGTTGCTGTCGTCGGTGGTAGATATGGTGGAGGTGCAGAAACGGGGGCAGACGGAGGAGGTGCTGGATATGGTAGCGGCTGTTCCGATCCGAGGGCTTCATGTATTGACGGCAGAGACTGCCGCGCGGGCGGCCGCTGTTCCTTCTCATCTCCAGACGTTCGTCGAGATTCCGGCGGAGAGAGCAAGCCCCCGAGCGCACCTAAGACTGAGCTGGCATTCGACGATTGGTGATTGCTGTATGGGTGCGGGGGCCCAGGGAAAGGGTGCAACGGGCTGACCATTGCGGGTGCCGAATGTTTCCTCTGGTAGTCCACCTCTTCTCGCTTGACGTTGTCGGCATCTAGATGGTTTATTGGGGGTAAACCGACGCTACTCGGCAATTAGCACAACACCAGCCATATAGAGGGGCCCTTTCGACGGCGCGAAAGAAACAAACAACGGACCTTTGCCTGCTGGCAGCCTCCAGCGTTTCCATGGCGGGCAGAAAGCGTGGGCTGCCGCTCACCGTGGTGCTCCGGGTGTTCAGAGCCCAAGGCAGGAGGGATGAACTACTGCAATCGCGGGAAGTATGGGTCCCGCAGACTTATGTGCCTTCCCACGGTAACGTCTAACCCGTGGCGGAAAGGGTCTCCTCACCGTGCTTGTGTGGCCAAGGAGGCCTCAGAAACCGGCCCCAGATGGTGCAAAGTGCAAGGGGCCAACCCAGCGCCGGCGGGTATCCGCGAGATGTCGCAAATCTCACACGCCTGCCTGCGTCCAGCGTCCTCTCGTGTGGTGTTGCAGCGACTCCCGTGGCTGTCCGCGGTGAATTGCCTGCGGTGCAGTGGCTGACGTAGTGCCCAGGGCGCGAGTTGCGGCGAACCTTGGAAGGGCACAATGGCGGAGCGGAGAGTGCGGCGGCGGGCGCAGACGTCAATGGCCGGAGTTGCCAGTCCTCCTCTTGCTCGTCAGTCGTCGGCGCAGTTTGTTCGAGCGCGGTGCAATGGAGGGTTCGACAGGTGTGACATGAGAGAAGGCCTAGGAGTGGTGGACAGCGCCAGTCCCGTGATCTGACGATTCGCCGAGCAGAAGTCGGGGACGGGCACGAAGACAGGCAGGATAGGCACGACCAAGGCTTCAGGATTCAGCGATAGTCTGCACTTGCAGTCATAGTGAGAGAGGGGGAGACGGGGATGACGAGCTGCGAGCTAAGGGCAGCAACAACAGCAGTCTAAAGCAGATGCGATCGGAGATGAACCGCAGCCGGCACAAGGGCTCCTTTGCGAGCGAGTCACCGCAGGAGACGAGAGTGATGAGCGGACAGCTGCGGGAGCGGTTTTTGCCCCCGAGGCAAGGGTTGGGTGGGCTGCTTGGGAGTTGTCGGCATGGGATCACTCCCAGAGAGCACTTTTGGGAGTGCTCGCACACAGCGCAGACAGGCCAGGATGCGTTTGACGAGCCAGGATGGACGGCACCAACCCTCGCTGAAGCGAGCCTTGCTGGCCGTGCCAGGCCAAGCACGGCGGCATATCCACTTGGCTTGAAGGGGACGACACGATCCGATTAAGCCAACGCCCAACCCCAAGCCGCGTGCTGCTCGATGCTCCTCGCCGCCTGAGTGGGCGCGCGCGGCCGATGGCATTGATGCCGTTAGGCCAACGGCACAGCGCGACGGCGCAAGCACCGTGCCCAAGCACTGCGAGCAGCTCGTCCTACTGATGCTGCCAACGTGAGCAGAATGCACCCCTCCAGCACGAGCGGCAAGTTGTCCGCTCGTTGCGCGGGCGTCATGGTGGAGCGTCGTGAGGAGCGACATCGAATCTGCCCTCTGCCCCTTTGGGACGAGCCCGGAAGCCTGGGAACAAATAAGCACAAATGGCCCATCAGCGATTGCGATCGAGATGGCAACCGAGCGCGCGCAGCCTGGTCGCACCATGCAGCAGCCCCGGCTCAAGCCCACAACACCCCATCATCGCGCTGTCAAACCACAGCCCACACACCCTCCGCGACAACGGAGCCAGTGGTTCCTGTGTTGTTCAGGTTGTCCGCCTGCCCCCCCCCCCCGGCGAATTGCCATCGCAATGCCCGCCACGGCCGTCAGCAACCTGCCAGCACCGTTCAGCGGCCGCGTGCCGATATCTGCCGCGGCCCTAACTCGTGCATCCCAGATTCAGGGTACTTGAATCGACGCATGGCAGATTCTGCGGGGACGCCAGGCAACCGATGTTGGGCCCGGATACCAGCCCCTCGACCAGCGGAGTAGCGGAGGCCAGACGCGCGCATCTAGAGTCTCAGAAGCTGCGCAGAATTCCCATCCGGCCCTCACCAGTAGCCCAGTCTGGATCAGATAACAGGCGCCCTCGCCCACGATTCATGGCCTCCGTCACAGCTCTCGAGCGCTCGGACGCAGGATCCCGCTGCAGAGATTCGCTGGACACCAGCGTGGGCGTGCGAAACCGCGCAACTGTCAGGCCACTTTTCGCCGCATGGGGGAGCCCACCGCTCTCTTGTTTTGCCCGCGATCCCAGCGCGCCGGCGCGAGTATCGACTGTGATACGAGCTCGGTTACGTCAGTTCGAAAGCCCCTCTCCCAAGGTACCAGATCTCACTGCGATGCTGCCGCTGCGAATTCGCAAACCCCCCGACACCGTTGTCCGGTCGTCGACCCTCACACGTGTTTGGTGCGACCTCCCCCCCTCCCCCCCCCGTGAGCGACAAAAGCTACTTGGTTGCACCTGGCCTCACCGCGTCCGTGCTGCTCTGGCTAACCCTATGCGTGGTGCCGCTGTCAAAGGCGTGAGCAGCGGGACCGACCAAGGATCTCTTATCCACGCTATCGACAAGCGTCCCATCGAGATTCACTTCCATCTGAACCCTCCCCGGAGCGTGGGTTTTCAGGCCTTAGCAGTGCATCTTTGGATCCCGGCCAATGGTACCGGACCAATACTCCTGGCATTTCAGCACGATAAGACTGATCACGGCTTCCCCTACAAAATGGCCTGACGCTGCTTCTCAGCTTGCGATGACATTACTCGCGCAAGCACCGAGTACGACTCCCTTCTCAAATTCGGCCTTGAAGAACCCATGCGCATGACGAGCATCTCTCAAGCCCTGCGAGGATGTGTGCCGCGATCGCCGATCCGTAACTTGTCCTCATGGACGAAACACCGCAGGCATCACCCTCCTTTCTTCCCCTGCAGCCCGCACCCACAGAAGTTGCGAGCATGTGCACTCGCTTGATTTTTCTGCTTCCTTCCAGACGGGCGTCCCACAGCAATCGCCTCGAAGGACATGCAGCTGCACTGGAGAGATCGGTGGCTTGCAACGTCGAACAAGCTTGGAAATCCACAACCTTCCAGCATGAGAAAAGGCAAATTGCGATCCAAAACGTGGGCAGCCAGACCGCTCTGCGGCCTGTGACTGAAATTGGCTTTGCATCCCGCATGTTCCGATACTAAAAATGATCACTTTACATCTAGCAGAGGAGAACCGATCTCGACCTAAGACGCGAAGCGAGTTCGGCTCCCATGTTGAAACGGGCTCCCTTTCTTCTCTGCCCTCCCACGCAGGAGTAGCTTGTGCCACATCATTTGAAATGTGAATTCATGGGGACTTGGGGGTCTTCTCCGCCCTGATTGTGCACGTTTCGGCTAACGCTGCGAATTGTTGTTTAGGTGCATGATCTCCGGGTAGTCCATTTCACTAACAGATCCTGTGCGGGTAGATTTCCGGTAGCGATCAGAATCAGGACGATCACTTTTCAGATTGAGGTTGTTAGTCCGAGAACGTGAGCAGAATCAGCAGATTTCTCGACCATCTGCTGATCCAGGTCCTAAAGCGGTGAGGGGACCCCTTCGCCTCAAAGCTTTTGCTTCAAACAGAGCAGAACAACGATTCAGGCTCTGCCTGGAGTCCACAGCGGTAAACCCTTCATTTCGCCTGTTAGATTCGGGCACTATGCCTTTTGGAGACATCATCTGGTATCTTTGCTCTCAAGTGCAAGTACATCCTGCCACCACAAATAGATGCGGAAGAATGCTTCGCGTCCGCAGACTGCAGGTCAGGAACCCAGAGCGCGAGTGCGGGTATCAAGATCCACGATCAAGATTTCTTCGCACCCCACCCTCGGGATTAAAGCAGGCTAAACAGGACTCCTTGCACCAACTAATTCTTGGCTAGTCGACTGATTATTGGTGATAACGACTCGAGGGCCAACAGATTTTTGCGTGTTGTGCCATCCGCAAACGAGAAGAGGAAATTGGTTCCGTTTCAGCACAGCACTTCACATGTTTCCGAGGTTTCTCTCCGCCTTTCTGTTGCCGCAGGTTGCAGCCACTTCTGTTGGTACACTTTGCGCGGTTCGGCTCGAGACAGCACGAGAAGAGGTATTTCTTTTCCCTTCCCGTGAGGCTTTGTAAGTCAACCACTATTATTAGGTACATCTCTGGTGACATTTTTTCGCTCACAAGCCTCACAACAACTTCCCCATGGGCTGGTAAGGTCGGACCGGGTCGGACCAAATAATCATGGATCACGAATGCGAAGAGCCACTGCAAGGGGAGCCTGTTACCCGGATCCCTCTTTGCAAGCTCTTAATGGCGAAGAGTAAGCCCTACTGACGAGTAAGAGATCCTGACAAGGGACCAGCCTTTCTAATCATTCGAAAGCATGGCTCGTATTGATGCAGTATGCGAGTGACAGCTTCAACACACCAGACGCCCCACATCTTGCGGAGAGGGTGCCCCACATTGATCCAAAGCTTACTAGTAGAAGTCATGAGGCTTCATAGTTGATTGAGGGTACGTACACTGCATCTTCTGCTTCAAGCTGTCTAGCTTGTTGCTGGCAGATGTCGTCCCATCTAACCGTCCTCGACACGGAGATCAGCGTTCACCCACGGTTATCAGATGTTCTCGAACGATCCGTTAAGAAATCACAACGCTTCATTACATTCCTTTGATAAGCCTGCCAGTACGTCGGAGGGATTATTCGGCGAAGCCGAACACACCTAACGTCGAATAAAGGCACGCATGATACAACAAATCGATTTGGCCGTCAAGAGAGTCCCGAACACGAAATCCCAAACCAGAGAGTCGGAGGCCGTAACAGTGGCCGCATCTCGCGCGTGATCTGTATTCGATTGGCTTCCGCCACGTTCGAGCTTGTTGCGGGGCGATATCATCAAGATTAAGCCATCCTGAATTAGTCTTTAACTGATTCAAGAAACTGGCGCGGATTCCCGTCCCAATACCTCTTTCGGTCATTCCCTGAGGTCACTTCAATACCAGCCCTCTTTCGAGCAACTTCAATTTCCACCTCCTGGCCACATCATCGCCGTGCAAGAGATCGATCGGAAACCTTGGCGCTCCCCCTGTATGCAGGTATCCCTATTGGTATTCCCAGTTTCTACTGCTGCAACTCGACGAACCAAGCAAAACAAGCAATTGCTATGAATGATACGTAACCCTTGTAGTGGATCAACAGAGGACTGCGGCGTGAAAATAGGACACCTTTCCAACAAATCGTACGACTGTTGCTTATGCCAAGACCAGACGTTTTATTGTTCCCGCTGTAAGGCGTTTCAGAGTTCGCATTCTTGAGCCAGCGTGCTTCTCTTCAGCAACCGAGTCAATAAAGGACCTTTTCGGGGCGCGATGCGAGATCATGCCCACACATCGTTTGATAGAGATCACCAAAAACGCCTCACATCCTCCAGAACAGGTGTGCTAATTCCGTTGGAGTGCATAGACAACTGGGCACATACAAGGGTGTCGAATTGTCGGGACTCATGTCTTGAGCGTTTTTGGCATCCTGCATCTACGGCTTGCCGATCAACATCTCCTCCTTTATCTCGCCGACCTCACTGAATATCCTCCCGACCTCAGCGAAGAGCCTCGTGTGAATCACACTGCACAGACTTCCGAACTTAATGCCAGTGAACTTCAATTTCATGGACTTCCGTTGCAGAAAGTCATGCTATGCCTTTGATATCATGCATTCCAAATCTCTCCCTCATCTCCCTGAGTGGAATCGAGATTTCTGTCCTTGAGTCGATGTTTGCCTAGCCTCGCAGGCTCAAACGAGATCTACGACGCCGAGAGGGTCGGCGAAAGTTTTGTGGGGCACTCAAGAGTTCCATGGAAGAATTTGAAATAGAGGAGATGTCGACCGTTTATGTCGAAGCATTCACTGCGCCCGAATCATTGACAATGATTCATTGTCAACCACTTCTTGACATTTCTCAGATCATTCATCCTTCCCGACGCATTTCCGAGTACCCACAGTCTGAAGAGGTTCGAACGGTGTGAAGGTCGCGAAATTTCCTATATGATCTAAGCCCACAATGCACAGCGTCAGCGCAGTCGCCGTCGGCAGGTACATACCTTTATCTTAGGAACCCAACTTGTATTTCACACTTCACACACACTTCTCTCTCTCTCTCTCTCTCTCTCTTTCTCTCTCTGTCTTTCTCCCTAACGATTTTGCTCAAACCTCAAACCTCAAACCCCAATAGCGTAATGCATGATTGCGTTCATCACATGGATATTCCAAATGCAGAATATCATCCTGAGCCTTTCTCATCCCCTCTCTTTACAACACCAGTTCCAGGAAACTTCCAGGCGCAGATAATCTCTCAAGACGTGAATCGGATGTGGCTCCCTTGACCTTGATTAGCTGTCATCGACATGTGAACTCCCAGTAACCACAGGCAGTATATCCCCGCCTTCCCTTACCTCAACTCTGCAGTCTTATCGAATGTGCATAGAAGTTGGGAATGTCGACAGAACCAGTTCTTTCCATTCAATCTCGTGACCATTCCCGAGGAAAGGAGACGCAAAATCCCCGTTCTCGTCAGTTTGATTTAGCCTAGACATGGTGAAGCGATGTAAGCCAAAGTTTCGACCCATCATCGAAAGATTTGTGAAACCAAGCGCTTCCCGGGCGAACGCACACCAATGGTTGTGTATGAATCCGGACACAACTCAGGGATTGTTTTCAACGCTTTCTTAAAGGAATGCTAATGAGCCAGTTCCGTCAGGCCGGATGACTCGCATGTTCCGCAGTTTAAGGCGCTGTTTAAATGCTAGGGCCTGAATTGGATGTAGTTAACCAACTACGATGCAAGGCGAATGGTCAACTTCAACCGCTCCCCTCCGCTCTTGACTCTCGTACGACCTTGGCCTCACGTTTCCATAAACGAGAAGGAGAAAACATGTCATTTCTACGGTATGTCGCATAGTAGCTGGGTCCAAACGGTTTCCGCGGGATGCGCTCAAGGCCAATCTGTGGCTTGACTTCATTCATCAGGAGCATTCTGTAAGTGGCTCAATTTCTCTTACTAAACGAAGCGAGGTTAGAATCTCCAAGAGCCTTCCTAAAAGGGCAGGCAACTCGTGCTCTCCAGCCCAACGAACTTCATCTAAGTAGGTATTCTCCATATCGAGGCAGAGTGGCCTGATCAATCTATTGTCGCTCTCTCTCTCCAAAACCGCAAGACCGGTTCAGGTTGATGTCATAGTGCGATTGGAACGGGATGTGGTCCGATGCTCTCCACGACACCCCCAGTTCATTAATTGGAGCGAAGACGGACCAATACAAACCTGAGACTCGACAAAACTTCTCCGTACTATATTCGTTGATTCGAGTCGGAGAATTTCCTTCTGTTTTATTGGATTGGGCTCACCTTTGCATGGGAGAGACCAAATTGATCTCAGCACCTCGGAACATTCTCTTGTGATCACGACACCAGGCAAAAAGCATCCCCTTTTAAGTGCCAAACACACTTTCTCACCGCCAGCGGAAGACAATCTGCTGCTGAAATTGGCAAGGAGTTTGGAGTCACAGTTGCAACGCTTTTGAAAAGATCCACAGGCATCTAGACCACAAGACGATTCACAAAGGGTAAGTGTGCCCCTCGACTCCCGATACCAGTTCAACCCGCCATTACTTCCATCAACCACCAGAAAATTTGTTAATGTAGAGTTCTCTGGTTACTGAAGTTAGGCTTTTCGTTGCCGTGGACAATATAGGCGTAAAGAGGCGGAGCAAAACAAGTTTCGTCGACAGGCCCGCACCCAAGATGTTTGATTGTCGGTGGTCGGAGCCAAGGAAGAGGCACAGAAAGATGGCCTGACATTTTGTCTCTGTGGGACTCTTTTGCCCACAGGATCTCAACCCCGGCTGCGGTCTGATGCAGCCCGTCGGTAATGTGGTATGTTTCGAACGCCGCAAGCAGACGGAGGAAATGTCAGTTCTTTACCCGATCGATTGTTTCGCGGTGCGTCAATTCCCGTGTATTGCAGCTCGTGATTCACTCGCAACGGCACCAATGCGATTCTGACTTACCCTTTGCGTACTTCTCCATGGTAGAGGTGAGTGTAGTAGTAGAGGAGGGCTTCTTGTTGTCGTTCCTTCCTCCGTGATGTGCGCCCGAGGTCGACAGGAAGATGCTCGGAGGTAAGGAAGTGCCATCCGGGAGCAGGCCTCCTGCCTCTCAGCACCCTCTGTTTGTCAGCATGTCTTCACCTCCTCCTTCGATGCATGCCGTGTTCGGGACTCTGTGGTTGGGAGACAATCGACAGTCTGACGTCTGCTCTCTTCCCCACAACGGCTCTTCTAAGGCTTCGGGCCGTTCGTAGAAATGCTCATCAGGGACGCCTGCAGGCATCGTGCCGTCGTGCAAGCAAACAAATCGTGATGGTGGCGCTGGAGATCTTCCATGTCAAATTCCGATGCCTCGTTCCCGTCTTCCAAGTGAAGTGTTTTACACGTGCGCGAGATTGCTTTCCAACATCGTCACAGAGCATCTAGCAGCGACGGCGGTGAAGGCTGCTGCTAACGTCCAAGGCCAGAAAAAGGTCACAAAGCCACCGAAAACCTGCCAGAAACCAGCTCAATCCACCGCCCTCTGCATCCAGATCGTCACTCGCCGACAACAGCATCGATTATCGCCGGCAGCCACAGCACATCCTTGGCGGTCTAGACTCCCCGTTCCTAGGTAGCCGGGTTTCGCGTGGTCAACCCAACCCAAATTCGACCTCTTCATTCTTTCAAGACGGCCGCTCCCTCCAAAGCCACCATCGCCTGCGGGTCTTGTTTGATACCATTTCCATAACTTACACCGACCTTGTCACCCACCCGGACTCTGACGCTGCGGCCGGCTGTACCCCCCCCGTCCCGGCATTGCTCCAAGCTCAAACTCTCAGCCCACATATCACACCACACTTCCCTCTCACCATCCCACTGCTGCCCGCAAACCGTCTTTCATACGTGCAGAATTGTCGAACCCCGGCTGCTTACCGTTGCTCAATCGCTGCGTCTCGGTCGGTTGCCCCTCTCGTCTATCACAAGGTCTGTCCACCGCCTCGCTGCATTGATCCGGGAGCGCTGACTTGCTGCGACCCAAGGCAGCCGGCTCTGTCCGCGACAGACCCCAAGCGCTCCGAAAGGAAACACCCATCTCGGCTTTTGATGTCATGACTTAACCCTTGACTCCTCCTTCTTTGGTAAGAGATCCTCGAAGCTCTTTTCAACTTCTTTTCAAACTTGTTCCTACCCCGTCCCCCTCTCCCTCCCCTCCCCCTCCTCCGCTGTGCCCACTGCAGCGCGTCGCGAGCGCGGCCCACTCCAACAGCCGCCATGGAGTTGAACAAGCCTAACAATACCCCAGACGACGGGCTTGAACTTGAGAGAGTCGCCGTATGTGCCTGCCGGAGCGCCTCATTTGTTCGTATTGGCTGACATGATCGCAACCTCGTCCAGGTCGGACCTTACTGTGTGTTCGACGATTTCAAACGACCCTTAACCCCAAAACCGAGTCGCCAGACGCCAACCGAGTCGCCTGGTAGAAACAAAGCAAAGATGGATGGGCCGACTATGTCGAACGAGTTTCCCTTCTCAAACACAGCCCGAACGCCGTGGTTATCTACCTCAGGTGAGGACGTCGCTCTCGTAACGTCCTCTGGCGACGACTTCAATCGCGCCGACTGGAATGAGTGGATGCAATGGGATCCCGCCTCGTCGCAGAACCCAGAAATGAAGCCGCCGCTGAATGCGCAAGGTCCCGTATGCTTTCTTAAGCCTGGACAGAAACCCCCGCTGTATAATCGGCGACAAAATTCGCAGCTGCGCGAACCATCTCTCGGCCTACAGTCATCAGACGTGCCGACGACCGTATCTGTACCTGGGCGAGCTCCTTTCACGTTTGGAGGAAGCGTTGAACATCCTCCAGCATTCCATTTTGACGGCGGCGCGCTAAGTGGAGGGACGCTGAGCTCTCCCTCTGTTGGTGATAGCCGACAGAACGGATTTTATTCACCACCAGTTTGGGATCAGCATCAAGCAGGCGAAAACCCTATGTTTTCACCCGCAAGGTACGAGCAACCAAGCAATTCCTCAGTCCAAGTGCCTCCACTATCAACACCAAGCCTCCATCATAGCCCAAGTTCACTCCACAACGCAAGGACAAGCTCATCATCGGCTCAATCCTCTCCCGAGCCTGGAAATCCCAGTAATCCCAAGAAGCGCAAGTCGACGACTGAAGAGGTTGAGAAGGCGCCTGAAAGCAAGAAAGACAAACAGCCGCCGGTTAAAAAGACAGCGCATAATATGATTGAGAAGAGATACCGAACTAATCTCAACGACAAGATTGCTGCTCTGCGGGATAGCGTACCAAGTCTTCGAGTCATGTCGCGTGGAAATGGACAAGGAGAGGAAGAGGACGATCCAGAAGATCTTGAGGGCCTCACGCCGGCCCATAAACTCAACAAAGCAACCGTTTTATCCAAGGCCACCGAGTACATTCGTCATCTTGAGAAGCGCAACAAGCGGCTCACCGATGAGGTCACGACGCTGAAGAACCGGTTAGAGAGCTACGAGAAAATGGCAATATCTGGTCCCATGTCTCTTCCCGGATCTGTAAGTACTCCAGATGGTAACAGGTACCCAGACGACCCATTTGCGCCGCCAGGTATGATGGGTGCGTCAGCCTCTGGACCGCCTCAAGGCATGATACCAGTGCCTGAAAGCATGGCGAACCTACACCGCGGCCTTCCTCCTCAACCACACTATGCTCCCCAGCATGGTTCATATCCACAATATACTAGTGGTCCTCCACGCCCAGGCCTCTCTGGCCCCCCTCTAGTGAACGGACGCCGAGGCAACTCCATGATGGGTAAGCTGATGGTCGGCTCTCTTGCTGGTCTAATGCTGGTAGAAGGCTTTGTGGAACGGGAACAATCTGCGGAACAGCCCGAGGGCCGTGGCTTATTTGCTCTTCCCATCAACCTCGCCGCCTTCCTCACACGCCCAGTCTCCTTCGGCGGTACCACCGCCCAGTTCCCGCTGGGCAAGCTGCTACTCATATTTGGCGCTGTGTTCTACATCGTTGCGCCTTTCCTTGACTTCAGGTCGAAGCCAAAAAAGAAGCTTCTCTCAACATTTACCCTATCTCCTGCACCGTCTCTTGCATCGCCTGTTGAGGTTCGTCGAAAGGCATGGCTTACTGCGATTCAAACTGTCTGGGTACCTCAGCACAATTTCCTTCTGGAAGCAGCAGCCCTCGCCTTGAAGACGTTGAAGCTTAGTACATGCAAAGTTATTGGTTGGCAGGGCTATGCTTTGCTCTGGGGCATCACCAAAGAGCAGGAAGCTGCTCGAGTGAAAGCATGGGATATCGCTTTGGATGCTCAGCTTACTGGTGGTGACGCCGAGATCAGTAAAAGCCGCTTGGTTCTTACATTAATGGCATCCGGAACATTGCCCGACACCCCGGCACGACTTATGCTAAAAGCCCTCCACATCCGAGTCTTGCTGTGGGAGGTTACCAATGCTGGGTACGGCACCGCAGCCGGCTTTAAAGAGTTTAGCTCGAGATTATCCCAAAGATATTGGGATCTCGCCCGGAACGAACAAAAGAATGCAGCTAGTAAAGCGTTAAAGTCGAGCAACGAGGAAGATCTCCTCCCCCAACACCTTGTGGCCCTTCTGGAGATGGACTGCGAGAAAGTACTCGTCGAGAGTATTGTTCAGCGCGCGTATAACCTCGCCTGGAATCGGCCCAGTGCTGAGAACACAACTCTGGACGAATCAATGGATGGTGTAGTTGAAGATTTCGCTATATCTTCGCCTCTTGATGCTCTTGCTGCTTGGTGGTCTAGCTATACACTCAAAGAGGCGCTCGCGGGCTACTTAGGCTCCAGGAGCTCTACGCTGAGAGACAGTGTGAAACGCGACTTGAGCCTTGCCACTCGTACTGCACCGCCACTGTCTCAGGCTCAATTACGGGCTCTTGTGGCCCAGGCTGTCCTTCAAGATGAGGACCGCACTGCTCACCTCAAGTTGGCTCTTGAAGCGTTACCCTCAAAATCCTCTTCAACACCACGACCAGATGATAAGAATTCGCCTCGCGCGATTCTCAATCCTGTAGGAGGTGGTCCAATGGCTGCAGATGTTCAGAATGCTCTCACCCTGGCCAAGTGCCAGGCTTTGATCGAGACTTCGAGCGAGGAAGCGCACCGCCAGGCCATTTTCGTGATCAACAACACCTTCCTTCCAGAAGCCACTACTACCCTTCTCAGCTTTGTTGCTGGCTACAAGATCCTCAATCGCTTTATTGACGATTCAGATCTTCAAGCTAAGAGCAGCCAAGGTCTCGAGCGGTTGGCAAGCTCACTGCGCCTATGGGTTGGGCATGACGCTGGTCGCCGAAGTGGTTTGTCAAACAAGGTGCGTGGTCGCACTATTAATAATTGCTTAAATGCAAGCAAGATGCTTGTTGGTCTAGTTGAGCCTGAGACAATCGATGATGGCTATGTCAGCCAGAGTGACACGAACGAGTGAATTGGAATAAAGCAGTTCTTCCTTTCTCCATGCAGAATTTCTTTCCGGTATGGAAATTTGCTCTTCCCTTGATAATTCTATTTCATCGGAGTTGATGGGCATGACTCCCGAGAGGGCGAGATGGGCATCGCGAATATCGGGCTTGGTCATGATCCTAGACTGGACAATGGGAGGGCAAAAAGGCTTCATGAGCGAGTTCGTTCCAGCACTTTTTTTTTTGGTCATACAGTCTTATTTTTTCCTTGGTAGGATATCTCATGGTATGCCACGCTGCTTGGTAGCAGGGCATGCATTTATGACAGTCAATGTCTCCATTTCCGGTCTGCTCCTCTCACATTTTAGCAGCCATATCTCGCACAGAGATTTTTAGGGCTGTACGATAGTCTTGTTGGGTATTTTTTTTTTTCCGTGGTGTATGGAGCTTGGCTGGCCTTGTATTGGCCCTATTTTGGTTGATCAGGCGACTATTATCCCGGAGTCTTTTATATATGCTGGATTTACAGCTATGATCTTAACAGACTCAAAGGGTGGCATCTTCTAGATGAACCACCTTTTATTGATTCGAGACTCTTCCCGTTGCGATATGTTAGGTGTAACGGTAATACGTGGTGTGTAAATGGGTAATTAGATCAGATAATCGCGTTTATTGATCAGATCCTGCAATCGTGCCTCGGTATCCATCGGGAAAGCATTTCCCCCCAGACACTTCAACCTCACACTTTCGGGGCATAACATTCAATCCTTCCTCAGCATCCCTGAGGAATAATGATACCACGATAGCATAAATCCCATGCAGCAAAATGACCTCCCAACTCCCTCCCCCCAAGGCAATCCTCTTCGACATCGGCGGCGTCTGTGTAGGTAAGCCACACCATCCCCATCTACCAGCTCCCACTCATACTATGCGGCCGCTTCCGCTTTCTAGGTAGTAAGTCCGTTCCAAGCAATCCTCGACTACGAACACGAAAACAACATTCCTGTCGGCTGGGTCAATTTCGCGATCCAGAAAGGTCCTCAGAACGGCGCGTGGCAGCTTATCGAGCGTGGGGAATGCGAGCTTAATGATGACTGGTTCCGGGCTTTCAAAGCCCAGTTATCTATACCTAAGCATTGGAAGGAGTACTGTATTAAGGCGGCTGTGAAATCCTGTGCAGAGAAGGGGCTGTCGACTAACTCGGAAGCGGTTGTTGGACATGAACAGGCCCCACCGGTGCCCGAGATCGATGCGAAAAAGCTGTTTTGGCGGATGATGCGCATGTCAAGAGAACCGGATCCGTGGATGTATCCCGCACTCAAGACACTGAAGGAATCGGGCAGATTCGTGCTCGGCGCGTTGAGTAATACCATCGCGTTCCCGACGGGGATTAAAGACGACGAGGGGGCGCTTTTCAAAAAGGGCCTGGTACATAAACCTCATCCGAATCCCTACGCAAATGATCCTACGGATATTGCCGACGTGTTTGATGTTTTTATTTCGTCGGCGCATGTGGGGCTGAGGAAGCCAGATCCGAAAGCTTATGCGATGGCGGTGCAGGAGATGAGTAGGGTTGCGGTGATGAGGGGAATGGGGGAAGTTAGAGTGGAGGAGGTGTTGTTTTTGGATGATATTGGGGTGAATCTGAAGTGGGCGAAGATTTGTGGGTTGAGGACTATTAAAGTGGATTTGGGGAAGACGAGGGAGGCTGTTAGGGAGTTGGAGAGGCAAGTTGGGCTGGGGCTTTTGGGAGAGAATGAGAAGGCAAGGCTTTGAGGGAGAGGGAGGGATAGATCTTATGCACCGATGTTTCCTTTATGACCCAACCCTGAGAAGAATATTGAGCTTATTTACGCCCGGGGTATCTTACCAATTGCCCTCTTTCGGATCAAGTTTGATCGGTCGGGCAGATGTCATCATTATACAAATGTGCAAAGCGGACTTTGGCGCATCCCTAGCTTTCAGAAGGTATGGTTTAGGGGTCGAGTCATGGGATCGGACCTCAGTTGGGTCCAATGGGCATAATACATGCTGAGCCAAGTTGTATACGGCTTCCCAGAGTCATAAAGTTTAATGCTATTTTTCCTACGAGCGCCAGCTTGAATATTGTTACGAGGCAGAAGATGAAGAATTTCCTGTGAGATGAAGGTGTCGCGGAGGTACTGAGAAAACATGGATTAGGTATAGAGAAGAATGATGTTGAAGACGTGTTGAGAGCAGTATTTATGGATCGGGAATATCAAGGTGGTTGAAGCATGTTGGGGTGACGAGAGGTGGAACGAACTGGCTTAGAATAGCTTGAACGATGGGCTTGTGAAGAGTATCTGGTGCTGTAGGATAAAGATGAGGTGTTGGAGATTCCAGAGATGGCTCCCGGGTGATAGATGAGAAAAGGATGGGAGTGTGGTGGGTATGAGTAGAACCGAAGTGTTACAATTGGAAAAGTCTACCTCTATGATGTGATCGAGCCCTTAGACCCAAAGCGCCTTGCCGTGCCAGGTATACCACCAATAATCTTTCCCATAACACCAACCAGAAATGAAAACACGAAACACCTTACATACCAACCTTTTCCAGTTACGTATGCACACTCCCCAATGGACAATCCGTACCCTCAAAATTCATCTCAAACATCTTTCCTCCAATCTCAGCCCCAACTTTCACCTTAATTCTATAGCTCCTCGTAATCGCGAAGCTCCTAAAGCTCGGCGGCGTGAAGCCTGGTACTCTTCCCGAAAACCACGCCTCACACGTCCCAGCTTGCTCTATCTGCTTCTTCTCTCCCGGGACATCGACTTCCGCTAGCTCGACGAGCTGGGAGGGGGGAATGGAATTGAGAAAGGTTTTCTGCTCTTTGACTTCAGTCTGCTCGCTAGCACGGTATGAAGATCGTGGTGTACCGTCATGGCATTTCGAGGGCAAGCCTCTCAGCGTGTTAGAAGCTGCCCAGTCTCTTGGTGCGCGGAAGAGTGTGAAGTCTAAGAGCTCAAGTTTGAGGACTTTGAAAGTTACTGATGGAATGTGTGTCACTTTGTCGCTTTTCTTGACTACGGCAAAAGTGGCTCGGAAGTTGAATTCGGAACCTGATGTAAGGATATCTGGTAGTTCGACACCGAGTTCAAATTCTAACATGGGTGTCGCTGAGGAAAAGCGGTCGTGGAGTCGTTGTCGAAAGCCGATTGATGCAGGATCTTGACCGGTTAGGGTGGAACTTTGCAGAGTAAAGCGTTTAGAATAGCGGACACGGTTTGGGGTTTGAATATGAGCGTTTGGATTCAGAGGCTGGAACAGGATAGGCGCTGTGCAAGATAGTGGATCGATCTTTGGCGATTTGCCAACGATGAGAAATGGTGCAACTAGCCGTGCTGTAACACCATAGCTTATTTTGCTGTTATCAGGGTAATCCTCCCTCCCGAAGAAGAAAGTAGGGGGTAGGTGATGAGGTTGCACTGTCCAGATTGCGTTATCTGGCTGCTCGTAGCATTGCGATCGATTGAATCCCGTTCCCTCTGGTACCCGGAAACTAAACGGAAAAGTGTACTCCTGTCCAGGCACCAGCGTCTCAGCTTTCGGGAATACGTTGAAAGTAACATCGAAGAGAGGAGCGTGGTCGCGGTAATGGTAATAGTCCGTCGTAGCAGTCGATCCGTTGCCCCTCGAACTGCTCTTACGAATCCACGTCTCCGATTTGCCCCACAGCGTAACTTCAACCGCTTGCGGCATCACTGGTATGGGTGTCGAAAGCACAATATGGCCAGATATAACATCATTAGGTTTGAACACTGTCTCTCGTTGAGGAGCGAGATAAAGTTCGACGTTCGGCAGCGGTCCTTGCTGAGATTTAGAGGGTTTGAAAAGCCCCATGTTGATATTAGAATCTCGAAAATTGCAGTCCTGGAGGAGGAATCCAGGTACCTGGAGGCGCCTTTATGATTTGCAGCATCTGTCGTCAGCGGGAAGTAAGCCTTGTCGGACTTTCTCAGCCCTATCATTAATTAGTGGTGGGCAGATATAGATGGCGCCCGGAGGTGGCGCGGTAGTGGCTGAGCCAGGCAAGATAGGTCTCAGGACTAATGCACTCAGCGGATGACCCAGGTTAAATGGCCTCCTAGTGTCCCGTTCGTGAGGCGTTTTTAGGGTACTTAAATGGAGATGTGGTGAATAACTGTCGGTTGAGATCGGCTTAAGGCGTTGAAACGTCGATGTGTTGCCCGGGAGGGCAGGAACCGGCATAGGCCCTATTTTCCTTTCTACATACCCAAGATTATATGGCCCTTGATAGGATCTATTACGGAACAGAAAACATCATCCTGTTGACGATACCTAATCCCAGCAACGGTTTCTACAAACCAGGCCACCTGGTATCAGCTGAGCAAATTCTAGGCATTGTGCAACATTAAGGCTAATCTTAGGGTAAGGGATAAAAGAGAACGGTATTGGACAGGTACGTGCATGCTGTAAATGTATACACACCCTCTCGACTAGGCTCTATCGACTAAAATACACAGTTTCTAGGCGTTAGAGTGAAAGTCAGTCTTAAGACCGTTGCATAAGGAGACGCCAGATTGATGCCTTCCCCATTTCGCGTCATTCATTCATTCATGAAACGGACCTTAGTGACCCTTCACTTGTCCTAGTTGGCTTTGTGGCACATGCCTTCTCCATAGCATTGGTAGTGACATGTACCCTTCTCTTGATGTATGGTGGGTTCATTGGACGGCTAGTTGCAAGTCGAAAAGCAAGGCCCTGGGCCGCATCTGCAAAGAAATCAATCAAAATGTTGTGGCCTCTCGCCCGGTCCCACAAAGGCTTATGATTATTCTCTACACCCTAAACCACGAAGCCAACAACTAAGTACCTCATTACAGAGTCTTTAGCCATCCTCATGAATACATCTGTCGCACTCACGAGCGCACTGTTGGCGGGAACAGTCCAAACAGTTCTGTTCGCTGATATGTTGATAGCCGTATCTTTGTACTTGATATCTTGGAGGTAGCCCCCGAGAAAGTAGGCATCTAATAGCGTGTCTAACTCTGCCATGACTGGAGACAGACTTTGAGTTGAATCTCTACTCTCTTTCGTGCGTCCTACAGGGAGAGTAATGACGCTATTCCAAATCTGTTTCTGTTAGCCTATATTATACACGAATATTGCCTGGAAACAGTACTTACTCTGGAATCCTATCGTAGGGAAATTTGGACATGGCAAAGACCATGTTGCACTTCAGCGGCATGGATTCTTTTGCATTAGCATTGCTTACCTCTGGGTTATTGGTAAAGAGCGGCTGGCTCTCAAGGTTGTAGAAAAGGACGAGAAGCAGTAATGAAGATAAGCCAGAGAACTAGTGACCCTAAGAAACAGTTAGTCTCTTCATGAGGCGCAACAACTTCACAAGGGCAAGATGTGGTCGTATGTCTGAAAGGCTCGCTAGCTTTATAATTTTTGGCCTTCCATTCTCACGTCGCAGAGTGGAAGTCGAGCTTGCATGGGCCGCTGCCGGAGGGTTGAGGTAAGAACTTAGAGGTAGCCAGTGAGAATGAAGTCTAGACTATGCTAACGCGGAAAAGGGTGAAGGTGAAGTGGTGAAGGTACAAAGATTAAAATTGACTTTCTTAATAATGAAGGTGACTACCCACCGTGCGACGTAAGTAGGGGACAGAGGAAGAAGTATAGTGACTAATAGAGACATATTTGAAGTTGTAGGTGAAGCCTGCAAACCACATGGACGATTCTCAAGGATATCTAATCTCTCCTTCCCAAACCGTCTTACAGAAGCCAGCAATGCAAGAACAAATATACAACCCAATGTTAGGAAATCGACATCCAGTATGTTCCTTCTACTTAGGAGGAGCACGAGCCCTCTACGAGTGGGAATAGGCATGCATTCTGGCCCCCCTATCGTCCCAAGAGTGCCACCGTGCCTGATTGGCCTGGTCGAAAGCTTCCGCATTCCACATGGTAGGATATTGAATAGCTCCTACAGGCAGACTTCAAGGTTTCCATGAGACTTATTGAAAGTGTAGGGAGACTTTTCTAAAATTAGAGAACCGTACTCGAATTGCTTCTGTCCGTTGCCCAGTTTTGGGAGAAGTCATGGAATGCGAACCTCAAAATTTGAGTTTCGTCGCCCGGCCTATACCTCCCCATCTACTCCGGGTCGTCTTCTCTACATAACGCCCAGAAATGCTAACTCTCCTAAGAATTACATAGCGGGAGCGTTTAGTTCAGAGAGATAACCCTACTATTTGTTCGTATTGGTGTGGGCTCAGTTAGCGGTGTGGCGGTATCCCTACTCTAAGTCATAGGCAGGGTAAGAACAGTTCAAGCCTAAACATCCTTCAGGATAGAAAAGGTGGTGTTTAAGACGCGAAAGATCTTCAAGGCGCCCATGGCGGTTCTTTTGAGAAAGTTTTGGGGCTGTCCCGAAGGGTTTTAAGCAGGGCGCTGCGAAGGACTCGCCGAGAGCTCTTAAACAGAAGACAACGCAGTTCCCTGCGTTTTAATTTTGTAGGGTAGGTTTGTGCTCTAAATAGATTGTTCTCATGCTCGCTTGCATCCTCGACGACAATGTACATCCAGGGCATGGATATGCTCTACTCCTACATTTTCCTCTAAAGTGTGATTGTGAGTCTAATAATGTTGTTGAAGCGCAGATACAATATCGCACCTTTCGAGAAGGCGATGGAGAGTTGGTGATATTTCTGTCTTACTTTAAAGGGGGAAATGGGGGATGTAGAATACTAAGTGTTAGAGATGAGTCTATGTGCTGGGTTTGCTTTCTTGGTACTGCAGTAAACTGATTAGATCAGATTTCATCGCCTACTCAAGCTTGGCCCGGATCAGATTTGCCGCTTAGAAAATACTAGGGACGAGGTTGATGATGTATGGGCAGTTATTGTGGAGCTATTAAGATAATTTTTCGTGGCACTCAGATAGCTTTATGATGCCCTCCACTACCTCCTTCTGGTCTCAACTGAGAGGTTTGGGGAAGAAGATTGAGAATCGGAGAAGAAGATCTTCATGCAAGGTGCAAAAAATTACGGAGTGCTTGACACGATCCTCGGGTAATTAGCTTCTCCCTTTGCGTGTTGCTGTCACCTTGGTGCCAGGCTGTTGCGATTAGCAGGCAATTCAAGGGAATGGAGATGGGTATACTAACAGTAGTAAAATGGTGCGCGCTTCCGCTGCATCTCGCACAGGTAGGTTGATGGCCTGGCAAAGTTGTGAAGTTGAAGGAAATTTTAAAAGAAAATTTACTGTTCTAGCAGTGTACTCGTAGCATTTCAATCCCTACCATGGAATAATAGCAGGGCAGATCTGGTCAGTTGAATCTTTTGCTAGAATAGGGAGAACATCTGTAGGATGTAAATTTCTGTCTTCAATTACCTCTCATGTTGCAATAGACAAACCCCTTCCCACTCTCAAACACATCCCCCCTCAGGAAACTAAACAGATGATCCACAGCCAGGCCAGGGAACATGAGCGTAGCAACAAGAATACCATTGTTAAGAATGCTGGGCCTACGTTCAGACCCACGCATACAGATGCTACTCTCGCGCACATCCTCCACCTGGCTACTCATACACGAACCGAAAATCCAACTCTTTCATCACGACGCATCAGACAGCTCGATCGCTCGCCCTGCCTAGCTCTCAGCCAATGAAACGGGAATCAAAGCAACTATGTATCTGAATAAAAGGAATATGCCGAAATAAACGCCGATTGGGTATCTTACAAGCTGGCGCAAACAACCGCAGCAGCAACAAGCCATCCCCAAAAAGGGACCGGACAGGAAAACAACGTGCTCATGCGTGGAGTACGCTACTTAGCTCATCTCATGAACCGTTAATATCGACATGAACGACATCTCAAAATAACAGTATACTCGTGTTTTGTCACCACGCAGATATCAAAACATTTCATCGTCGTCATCTCCTTTCTCTGTAACATCGACTCTACTTCTAGCGAAGAATCCCCCACTCTCTTCTTTCGGTGTTGCCCAGACATCCGGACTCGTGATATCCTCTTTACTACTCCCCAAACTTCGTGCGACCTCTCCCCCACCCTCACTGTCAGTACGACTAAACCGGCTAACGATCGTCTCGCGGATCTTGCGGGAAGTGGAAGGTATACCTTCCTCATCAGACTCGAACTTAAGGCTACGTGTCGGACGACCCGAGGCGCGGGGTGTGGAGAGGCGTTCTTCGTTACTGGATATAATAGCATCAGGGGATGGAGTAGGATAAGACGGACTGGTAGAAACGAACTTATTTACCAGGCCATGTAGATCCGAGACTTCGCGCTGGAGATTGACAACCTGCCTCTCAAGCGTCCTGCGCGCCGCGCGCTCGTTGTCGAGCGCTGCGTACACGGCCGCGAATTGCTCCGTAGTGCTGGAATCATGAGGAGTGGTAGTCGGTCTGGGGATCGCGCTTGGTTCTAGCGCAATCATGGTCTGAGGCCGATCAGGCGAATTCGGAAATTCGTCGACGACGGACAGAGGCACGTGGGTCGGTGACGGGGGTTCTGAATCTTCATGTTTGATGCTTAGGGACCTATTACTGCTCTTGCTCGATTGGCGAGAGAACTGGCGCTCGCTGGTTGCTGAAGTGCTTCGATTTCGTGATCGTCGACCTTTGGGTACGTTTTCCAGTATAATTGTTTGCCGATTGCTGCGACCGGAGAGCCTCCGAACTGTCGTCTCGAGATTGCACATGTTGTCCTCCAGGTGCTTTACACGATCTTCAATCGAGACACGCTTCTCTGATCGTGGAGGAAGCTTAAACTGTTGCGGGTCGTGGGTCTCATCGTCTGAAAATTCACTCCTTAGATTTCCGAAATTGAAAGATTCAACTGGCAGCTCGATCTGGCTAAGATCTTGGTCATGCTGGGCGATCGTAGGGACATCGGCAGTGCTGGACTCAGCAATTGATTCTTCCGGCGCATTGGCAGCAGTATCACGAGTGTCAGCAGTCCGAATGGTTTCCACAGTCTCGACAGTTTGGGCGGTACGTGGCCGTGGCGTGTTGGTGCTGTACACGCTGCCGGATTGGTAGCTACTCCTCCAATACCGTATTTCTGCACTTCGCCTCCGCTCGGTCGACGGAAGGTTCTTGGCCAGCTCGCGCAAAGCGCCAGCGCTTCGCGACCTTCGCTTGACATGTGTCGGCATATATGGAGGCGTCGGACTCGATAGAGCAATGCCGATTAGTGGGGACGGTATTGACTCTGCATCCTGCCGCTCATCCCACGATGACGCCTGTTTGCCCCAAGCCGATGACAAAGCCGAGGCTTCCGCCTGAGAAAGGAGAACGCTGGGCAGTGTGGCTCGTCGCCGATTGAGGTTTGGGGGGACTTGGAAGGTGAGATACTCATGTGGCGGGCTAGTCTCTTGTGGCGCATTGACGTTCATTGGGAACGGTAAGTGCTGGCCCAGTGGATTTATTGGCTCGATTTCCCGAACGGGCATATCTGAAATTCGTGGGCCGTTCTCTTTCGGGTTCTCAGGTGATTGTGTCAATAAACCAGGGTCCTGTCCGTTCGTTAATCCAAATTTCAATGCCGAAAAGTTCATATCACCTACGCTACGATGATAACCATGTTTATGAACTGTCTCTTGCTCACTGTGTTCTTCCCTGCTCCTCCTGCTAAACATTTTGCGGAATACATTCCTTAAGCCGCTTTTCCGCTTCTTCTTAGGTGTTGTTTTCGAAGGTGTGTCAGGAATTGAGGGGAACGGGCTTGGGCTGCCGTACGATACAGGTTCGGGGGTGTTTCTTTGCATTTCGCTCGTTTCTCGAATGCCGGACGACGATCGCTTGTGCCGAAGGGTGTGATGGCTTTCTTGTACTTGCGGCTGTTCCTCAATCTGATCCGAAGCTATATGCAGACTTTCATCATTGACACTCGATTGAGGTGGAGGCGGCTGTGGCTGTTGCGCCTCGGCTTGCTGCGATGACGAGTCCGGCATCGGGGCTGCCGACTCTATATTATGCCTCTCCGCATACTCTCTCTCCTCCTCATCGTTGAGAGGCGTTTCCTCAGTGATGGGAATGGGACCACTTATTTTCAAATCCCCTCGCCGGATAGCCTCGGCCTTCCAGCTTGAACGCTGCAGCTTCCCTTCCCCACTCATATTCGGAACGACAGATTCGTCGCTTCTGACGTGATAACTAACCCAGACCATGGACTGCGGGCAGCGCACTGGTAGCGTCAACCAGAGACGGATGGCGACAGACAGAGATGCAGCCAAAGTAGCCTCACGCAGTAGCTGTAGGGAGGACCCGGAGTACGCTAAAATCCCTTTCCATGACCCTCTCAAGCTGCTACACAAGGGTAACTACACATTAAACGGAGACCGTAACGGCGTAACGGCGGAGAAGAGCCAGTAAATGTCCGAGACCCTTTGATGAGGGTTCGACGATAGGTCCCACTGAACAAGCGTAGGCGCAATAGTAACGACGAGGGAACCTAGGAATAAGAGAAAAAATCTTTGAAAAGAGCGACGAGGTTAAACGGCAGCGGCAGGAAAAAAGATGAGAGACAGACGAAAGAATATGTATCAAACGCAAGCGTCATGTATATGTATCCTGGGCGGTGTGGAGTGCATTGCCAGCAGGATACTATGGCTAGCACATTGCGGATTGAGGTAAATGGCCGTCAAGCGATGGAGCTGTGGCGGGCTAGAAATAGGTATTATAATAGAATTGGAGCGCGGAGAGGCTAGGAAAGCTACGTCAAGACCCCGGCATGGCGTGGGAATGCAGCAGTTGGATCGATGCATGCATGTGAGAAAAGGGTCGAGGCGCCCTGGCCACGAGTCCCACGACTATCTGCATGAGATAGAGCGCGGACCCGTTGCGCCAGCGGGCAGGAGGGATAGCAGGCGCGTGCTCGTTTCAGAGTCTGATGGCGGGCAGAATACGGCATGGCGTTGAATGTGGCCGGACCCTGGGGAGTGATGCGAGAGCTTCGGGAGAGCATGGAAAGGTGAGAGGTTGCTGGGCGTTCCGAGCCAGGCAGATGGCGCGCTCAAACAGGAGGTGCGTTTCCAAGCTGAGCGTCTCGTGCGGCCAACATTGGCGGAGACGGCAGCCGAGGTGGGTAAAGCAGCGAGCGTGCAGGAGGTTTTGCAGACGGCGTCTTCGGCGGCCTGCTGTCGCGACCCTGGGTGCTGCATGCGATGGAGGTTTGAGAGCGCCCGCGACCAAGCGCAGGGGGATATGTCATTGGTGGATTTGGGCCCTGCTGGTGGCATCCAGTGGTGTGTCCGTTGCCCCAGATCGAGGACCGGTGAAGTGTTTCTAGCTCAACACCACGATTTCGATAGGGACGCAGCGACTAGATGCCACTGGACAGTTGCTGGGTTGGGGTGGTCAGCCCAACAGCGGCCGCTATCAGAGGGCCAATGCCGCCATCGAAACGCTCCAGGGCTGCCCCGCGAACGTCGAACTCACCACCAGCATCGCACGAAAAGCAATTTCAACAAACTTCCTGCTGCCGTCATGCTTTGCAGGTTCCGCTGTGATGGGAGCGCTGTCGTTTTTTACTTCGCTGCTAGTCAGGGTGGGCCCGGCCGTTTCTCCCCATGCCTCGCCTCTGGTTCACCCTCGTCTGCTGCAGAGCCAAGTCACGCCGTATGTATGCATCTGTCCATCTTAGAGCACATGTCTGTCCTGTGCCGTGTCCCTCGCAATCGTGCTGCAACCTAAACGACTCGTCCGCCGCCAGCCACCGCCCATTCCCAAGAGCCGCAGCCTGGGCATTAGCAGTTCCAAAGCTGCCGCTGAGTCGTGCTCATCCGCCCTCCTGTTCGTCCACGTAGACGTCCGCAAGACTAGGATACCTTAAGTCTACATTCTCTTCGAGGAACTCCATCCAGTTCTTGAGGAACTTGCTTCCCCTGGATTATCCTCGTCAGCCAAACAGCGCACAAACACAGCCTGTAGCCAGTCACACAGCATTCATGCATGCGTCTCACTCTGAAAAAAATAAAATATAATGCTGGGCACGGTAACTTTGGTGAGGTGATCGGGTTTCTGGGAAGGGGGAGGAAAGCGAGGGCAATACTAACCGGCCGACAGTGTCCGAATCCCCTACAATGCAGAGGTGCCTCTTTGGTCGCGTCATGGCCACTAATGATCCGATGAGCATGTTTTCAATCTATGCAGGTGCGGAAATTATTCTTGTGTTGTGTTGTCTTACCATTGAGCCTACGCTTTTCGCCCAGAAACCCCACTTCGTGGTCCGGATTGCTCCTCACCATACTCACCTGTCAACCGAATATTAGACCGAATCTCAGTCTCCCAGGTAGGGGGCAGCAACTCACGATAACAGCCTCTTTCTCGCGGCCTTGAAACCCGTCGACCGAGCCCAATTCAATGCCCGGAAATGCTTCTTTAAGCACTTGAGATAGGATGGCCAGCTATTGTATAACACCGTCAGTCGGGTCATCTGTAGTGGAGGAAACCGGGCTCATGCGCTCAAGCGCTATCCTGCATGCTGGTGCGCTGTATGCACCCAACAATATAGCTGAGGCAACTCTCCGATCTCGCGACGAGAGAAAGGTTTGCGAGCAATTTTGCTCCCATCGCTTTCTTTCTCCTGATCTAGAGCCGAAGCGTAGGTAGTCGTATGTGCGACCAGCGTGCAGGAGAGAAAATCATGCAGCAAGTGTTGTACGTACCTGGGCATTGTATGGGGTAACTACAGCAATATCTTCGGCCTTGACCCCGGCGTCTATTAGATTGCTCACATGCATTTTCACTAAAGCTGCTTCTGCTTCGTTACTCTTGCTGTCCCCCAAATTCATGCCTTTACTTCCTTTGCTTCCGATTCCGTCATCTTCCGTCTTTTCTGGAAAGTCGCCGCCTTGTGTATCCCAGAAGACCAATGGTTCCCGAGTATCTTCGGTATCCTTGACGCCGTAAGGCAGATCCTTTAGTAGTCTATCCTTGACGAAGGCGGCTGCGATGAGTTTCGATTCATATAGTTCTGTAGACGGGAATCGCATGATTTGTTCATGCATGCGATATTGCGTCGTTAGCATGCGTTTAATAGACGGGCCGTGAAGTGCAAGTAGCCTATCGAAGAGCGTGGTTTCTAACGTCATGTTGTCTGCCACCGGCTTTACTGATGTCTCTGCATCATCCTTACCATCAACTTCCCCGGCCTCAGCTTTTCTGTCCTTACTCTTCTTGCCCTCCTTCTTCGCAGCCTTCGCTTCTTTTGGATTTAATGACTTGATGGTGGGTGGAAGTTGGAGGTGGTCGCCTGCAAGAACCAATTTCCTTGCTTTAACCCAGAGCAGTGGAACCCAGCACTGGGATTCAAGAGCTTGGCTTGCTTCGTCGACTATCACGACATCAAATTCCTGACCTTTGAGATGGAAGCCCCCTGCACCATGCAATGTCGCAAGGACGACCTTACTACCTTTTACCAAGTTCTCTACACAACCCCTCTCCCGCTCTCTGAACTCTTTCCGCAGCTCTTTCAACTCGCCGTAGATCTGGCGCCGCTCTTTGGCATTGCGCGTCTTGCGGATGGAGTATTGCTTATCGTCCATTTCTTTACGAACGTCTTGAACAAGAGCTGCAGCTTCTGAGGTTCGGGTAAGCACGTCGAGAGAGTGGCTGAGCACGGATGGCAGGAGACGAGCTGGATGTCCCAGTCGTATCATCTGAACTTTATGTGATGCCAGACGCTCTACGATGTTATCAACTGAGATGTTTGAGGGACCGCAAACCAGAAGACGCAGTTTTTGCTCAAGCATCTGGAGGATAAGCTCGATGAGCGTATGTGTCTTGCCAGTCCCTGGGGGGCCGTGGATCAAAGCAACCTCTCGTGATGCTAGGGCAAATCTTATTGCTTCCTTTTGACTGTCATTTAGGGTAGGATCATTCCATTCAAGCTTGTGGAGGGGGTTTGAGGGGTCATTGAGATCGCAAGGAAGGGGCGTTGGAGATGCTTGCCCGAATAGTACACGAATGAAGGGTGTATAGTCCTGGTCCTGGAATTTGTAGAGCTTGGTCATCGCCTGGTTCATCCTATGTCAAGTGTAAGTATCTCATGAGTAGCACTGCAGTTTTGAACACCGAGACGGGAGGTGCCGGTAGCTGCATGTTTCACCGGTAGAGGAAGCGCGCAAAGCCCAATGACGATGATTGTGATTATGCTGATGATGCTGATGATACTCGGTACAGTGGGATGTGTATTGGTGCAAATGCATACCTTTTGAAAGTAACGTCATTCGCCAACTTGACACTATCAAAACCATCAGCCAATCTCCAACAATGAAGTGGCACACAGATTAGAGGACGGACATCCATAGCTTTCCGCCACTTGGCACATCCGCGTCCTCCTTGTCCAGTACAATCTCGACATTTTCTCTCCTGATTCTCAAGACCACACCCTCGACGCCCTTCTTCGTCAGCTCACGCTTCTCGGTTTTCCTCGCGCTTCCCGCGGGCTGATCCTGGATGGCCACAATATCACCGGTCCTAATGCCATGCTCAGGTATATCTGCCTTGTCACCTTTCCTCACGACAGCAGGGTCGACAGCAAGTTCGACAACCGTCTTGCCGCCAAGGCCTGTACGTATAGAAGAGACATTAAGATTCAGGATGGCCAGCCCAGCTCGGCAAAGCGTGGCTGGGGTATGCAATGAGAGAAGAGCGTTTGTTTCCGAGAGCTCGGCTTGGAGTTCAGCATCCAGGAGGGTGAGCTGGCCCGCCGCAAAGGAAGGAATGTCGGTTGGACGTGGTTTCGACATTGCTGTAGGGTTAGTGGGGGATTTAGGAATTGTGAGACTGAAGGTGTTCGGAGGTTGTTGTGAGATACCCTCGGGAACTCTTTCTGTAGTAGGATAGTGGGGTGGTGCGCGGCTTCTCCGAACGAACCTTGGAAGTCGTAATCGCCGGAGTCGGCAGATGTGAAGCTCAAGGAAGAGACGGGGTGGGCGTGTGCTTGATCATCGCGAGGGTAGCGACCGTGACGGTACCTGCATCCGTGATCCGTTGAATGGCTGTCCTTAATGTGTGAAGTTATTGCGTTGAAGCTGCGAAGCTCACCTGCAATCCTCCGACCTCCGCTCTCCAACGCTTCCTGATTGGCCGTCTCCTGCCAAGCGTGTCTCCCTTCTTCAAACGCCTCCCGTCGCGTCCGAGCTCCAGCTTTCGCTCTCTTAAGCTTGCTTTTCCTCCCTGGCTACGGCCATCACACATGATGCGAACCTCGCGCATATCCCGCGACACTTCCAAAGTCATCTCCTCGCTCGCCGCGAGTCGCGCGCCGCGCCCATTACGTCAAACCCGGGCTGGTGCGAGTGCAGCCACTCGAGACTTTTCCCTAAACGCCGTTGAGGCTAGGAATGTCGCAAGGGAACGGGATCACGAGTCAGCCCCAGCAGGCAACATTGGAGATACGCAGTCAGATTCGGAATTGAGCTCGCCGCCAGAAGACTCAGGCCCAGATGAAGGGACCATGTCAATCAGGAAGAGGAAAAGGGGGCAAGATGTGCCATTGAAGAACACCATTAAACAAGAGAGCAAAGACATATCGATAACGTCCATTGCGTCACCAAAGAAAGGACATGCAAAGCCGAAGAAGGCGCGCCGGGTTCCCGCAAAGAAGACTATCACCTCAGATGGCACTGTCAAGGTTGAGCCCCCGGCGAATTGGGAAGAGATCTATGCTCTAACCAGGGAGATGCGCAATGAGAATGTTGCACCTGTTGACACTATGGGCTGCGAGAGTCTAGCCGACCGAGCTGCGAGCCCGCGCGATCAACGATTCCAGACACTGGTGGCATTAATGCTCAGCAGTCAGACCAAGGACACTGTAACAAGCGTTGCGATTAAAGGGATGCAGGACAACATGTCTGGAGTACGTTTGCGCGCATTTTGAGAGACAGGACGTGTCACTGATTCAGATAGGGCTTCAATCTTGAATCTGTGCTAGCCATCGAACCTCCTGCGCTGAATGCATTCATCTCAAAAGTCGGATTCCACAATTTAAAGACAAAGTACATCAAACAGGCTGCAGAGATATTGCGAGACAAATGGAATTCGGATATCCCAGATACCATTGAAGGCCTCACTTCCCTCCCTGGAGTTGGTCCGAAAATGGCTTACCTGTGTATGAGTGCCGCATGGGGAAGGGATGAGGGTATTGGTGTCGATGTACACGTTCATCGTATTACTAACTTGTGGGGTTGGCATAAGACGAAGCAGCCTGAAGAAACCAGAGCTGCTCTTCAATCATGGCTTCCAAAGGATCGTTGGCATGATATCAATAACCTACTCGTTGGGTTCGGTCAGTCCATTTGTTTGCCAGTGGGGAGGAAGTGTGGTGATTGCAAATTAGCTGATCGAGGTCTCTGCCCCTCTGCTGTAGTGGGTAAAACAACGAAGGTGAAGAAAGAGGGGATTGCCTTGAGAGTAGAGAGGAATGATGGCGAGGTGTTTGTACACAGGAGTATTGGTGTGGCTGAGGAAGTGGGCATCAAGGACAACGACGTGCAAGATGCAGTTCCAGACATAGAAGACATAGGGAAGCCTCGTAGAAAATCTTCCCGCATGAAGCTGTAGGTTCAATTTCAGCTACCTACGTTTACATGGGTATCACTCTGTAAGCTTCTTCCACCCTAGTCTAAGACCTCGTCTTTATGCTTGTGATAGTCGTAATTTCTTTGTCTCACCATGCTAATCAAACTACACACCTCTAAACACTAAAAGGTCCAGCGTAGTGCTGATGAAAGCTGGAAGCCGGGTACCTTCTAGCATCGCACCTGCCTTAATCTGCGAGCTCGGGACTGATTATCGTCCAAGAACCAGCTTGCAAATACTACTTAATTTCCCATTCACTTCAGATTAGAAGCTCTGAAAAGACTTGGTGCCTACTTACAAAGGCCCCAACAGGTGTCAAGCACAATTATATGACAAGGAGTCATCCGCAACTTGCTCGTTACCTCAGGCGTCGTAGCTCTTGCTAAGTTCGTCAGTGAACTACAAGTGAACCCGAATTCGGTGAGTGAACCTCCCTCTCTTTCTTCACGCACAGCATTGGGGCATTCACCTCAATATTTCCCGGTGACGTCGGTGGCCTCTGCCACGGCCGTTGAGGCTGCACCAATATGGACACTTGTCTCAACTATACCATCGCCGTAGTCGAACGATTCCGCAACAAACAGCTCTTTCACCCCTTCGCTCTACGGCTGCCGGGCGCAATACCTAACAACGACACTTGAACCCTTTCTTCTTCTCCGCACCAACATTGATTGCAGTACATTTTTTTCAGCCTGGGCGGGACTGAAGACAAGATATTGGTAACGGGTCCCCTACAGAAACTCAACCACGGTAACAATGTCTTCGAACACGGAGAAAGAGCTGACCGCCGCTGCACTCACGCAGCCGACCGCCACTCAGATTGAGGAAGCTGTTCAATTCGCTCCACTGAATCCACAGCACCTCCAACAACATGCGAGCGATACCCCGAAGGTAACCAATGGGGCCGCCACTCAACCCGATGCAGATGGTGAAGAGGTCGTCCCAATTGCTAACGCAGACGATACGGTGTCTGCCGCTCTTACAAACACCAATATGCGAGTTACCGCTCAAGCCGAGGGGTTAACTCAGAACGATCTTTCGGACTCAGCTGATTCCCTTGATTCACTGCTTGTCAACACCAGCGAAAAAGCGGGTGATACCCCGGCCAAGGCTAAGCGTGCCCAAAAGCAGCTTCTGACCCTCCTTGTCCATCTCATGTTCATCATCGGTTCTCTGCTTACCTTGCGCACGGGTCTTAACGGCAATCGGCTCATCCTCCAAGGACGACTACATGTGGCCCATTCCCGCCTGAGCATTGAGACAAACCTCGCTGCGAAGGAGGCATATGTCCGGAATAGGCTGGATGCCCTTCTCCTCTCCAATCTTCTGCGACACACATTCGAGCCGTATCCCAACTGCCTCGTCCGCGGTATCAATACAGCCAATGCATACTTCATAAGCGTTGACATTAGTGCGTATCCTCATGCCTGCCATGAGGCTATTAGATGGACTGAGGGCCAGTGTGCGAAGCTTCATTTCATTCCCCAGGCTGCTGCCCTCCCCGCTAGTAAACTAAAGGGCTGGGCTAGGGTGAAGAAGGAGGTCGACAACTCGCTCCCATGGATGGCTTACCAGGTTGCCAACATCAAAGAATCGATTGCCGCACGGGTTCGTTCACGGCTCGCTCTACTTATGAAGTCACGGCGACGCAGAGACAAGAATATTAGCAGCAGCAAAGGCGAATCAGCGGCGGATAGTCGATTTTATATGCCCCACCATTTCAAACTTGTGGGCTGTGATAGTCCACCGTGTCGACTTGTCTATGAACCGCCAGCAAACCTCTCGTCTCTTACGCTTGCGTTGGACGAAACTCAACTTGACGCGATGAAGCACCAGATCAAGCAATTAACAGCTACAATCCTTAAGTGGTCTAAGGCTATCGACACCACCAACACTTTTGTTTACTGCCTCGTCCCAGTTGGATTTGTGTTCATGATCGCAATAATCATCATGAATAAGACTAGGGGACCAGTATTTACATGTAGAAAATATCTAGTGCGACTCAAACCGTTCCTGAATGATGCCATTATGGGGTTGTTGGTGCAATATGTCCTCTTCGGGTTGCCCACGTACTTGGAACAACTGGGCCTTCTCCTTCCAACGGAGGCTTACACGATCTTGATCTTCACTGGCGCTTTGGGTATATTCCAGAGTGTACTCCCGAGTCTCCTCATCGTGGTGCAAGGGGCCAATGGTGTTGCAGTTGCAAAGGGCTACGTCCTGCAACCTCATCAGCCAACCTCTAAAGCGACACATTTCAATTTTACCGGTCGACGGCGCGTTTCGCCACTTACGACTCTTGGGCAAGATTTGGCGGAAGCCATTGAAGAGACACGCAGGATTAGGGCTACTTCCACCCAGGTCGACATTGATCAGACCGTGTTTGACGATGTGGACCTCAACTCTGGATCAGACGAGGAGGATGCCGAATACATGGATGCGGCGCCTTATGTGGAGCCTGACAGCAACAAGTCGGGTTCCGATTCTGACTGGTCTGTTTTAGCTTAAGTGGGTATGCTAGAATTCGACCTGGGGGGTTTTGGGACGGATGGTTGATTCAAGGTGTCGCAGGTGTGGACTACATGACGGGTTGATAGAATACAATATCCGCCAGCACATCAGGACGATAAGTGTTTCAAAGGGTAGGCCAGCTCAATACATATTTTCTCCTATGGAATTAATGGGGAACGACTAGCACTGTGCTGTCATTCTCTGGTATTTCAGCACAGAAGATTAGAGCACCCCGACTAGCTTGCTTAGTCCAGGTTTCCTCTCACCTCTAGCTTAATATGCTAATACTAACTTACGCCCACCCGTTTCTTAACGACACTGCTATCGATAACGGTAGGAGAGGCAGTGGGGCCAATCTTTTAGGTAGATGATAGGTTGGTGATGAACTCACGCTATCTACCCACTGAACAAGAAAGAAATACTTAGTTTATACATTCGCCTACGACATATATTATGGGTAATACATCGAAAGGTACATCACACCCTATCTACCAAAGTATTTCATAACCATGACGCATGTGAATACATAACCGTGACACTATACTACTTCAAACCTCAATTCCTAACCTCCCTTCACAAACCCGCACAAACAGCCATCTTCCCTCTCCCCGTCCCAACCCCCTCTCCTGAATCCCCCCATACGTGGCTGGTCTCGATACTATATAAAGCCGCCTCTAACTCTACACTAACATCGGTATTAAGCTAACAATCCTCAACCCCATTTCCACGTTGTCCGCTGTTTTGGCCATAAGGTCTCTGGCCTCCGACCTTCAGATCAGTGAACCGGAGAGGATAACTAACGGAACTTCAACCCGTTACCACAGTCGTCACCTGACTCCGTATCCGGAAATGCCAGGACGGCTGTCGTCGCAAGAGAGTTGTTCTCAAGAACCGCAAGAAGCGGACACAGACCCAGAAGAAGAAGAAGAAGAAGAAGAAGAAGAAGAAGATATCAATACCGGCGAATGCTTATATTACAACAAGCAGCTACTCTACATAGATGCGGGACCTGGTGGCATAGAGTGTGCATTGTTGGATGATGCAGGCGGGGGTGGGAGTGGAAAGTAGAATATGGATGTAGAGTGGGAGTATGGAAGATTGGGTGATATGGGAAGGAATCTCGTTTCTAGTCAGGGAATGCCTAAAGGAAGTCTTGAGGGAGGAAGTGAGATACAGTCGCAGTATATGCCGGTTTTTATGTTCCATGTCTCATATTTGAATCTTCCTTGGTGTTCCTTCCTCCTCTTGAGTGTTGCGGTAGTAATGGAACCCTAGCTTTTGCGTTGTATGATCTTAGCTTTTCGCATTTAAACCTTTTACAGGGGCGCTCATTGGAGTTAGTGTTGTAGAAATAAGACATATTTAAACATGCACAGGCTGCTCTAGAGTGTTCAAAATGTGCATGATCTTGGTGGATTATAGTGTCGGGCTTTAAATGCTATTTTGTGAATGCTTAGAAGCTTGACTATACTAATAAGGCTTCTAGCTACTTCACGAAAAGATTTATATCTACAACCCCTCCCTTAACTCCGCCACAGCAAAGTAACCCTTACTTTCCACAACCCCCCTATCCTTAACCACAGCGGTATACTTCACCACCCACTGCGGCTCAACATCACCACTCAACCCCTCTCCCTCACCCCCCCCACTCAAAACCCCGAATCCTTTCTCGCCCGCTCCCAAAATCTCCCTCAGCGTACCCCGCGGTAACACATTAGTGCAATCATTATGCGTCAACAGTTCAATGCTCTCTTTCTTCGCATACAATATCAGCGGCTTAGGCACTACGCAACAGTCCCTAACATTAATCTGATCCACACTGGGCCGCACCCGTGTCCGAGGGAGGAACTTGCCTAACCGCTGACACCCGAATTCCGCTACGCCTAATTTTGCGATGATCTTGTCCTCATGCAATGTTTCCAGCGTCTGCCACGTTGTAATCATAGTGTCGATGTCTTCTGGCACAGTTTCTCCGTCTTCTGTAGAGGTGGAAGGCAGGATGGACGGTGGCGATTGTGATTGCGGCTGCGACGGCGGGGTTTCGAGCTCGGAATCCGAGTCTTCGTCATCCGCGTCGAAGGAGATTCCCGGGAAGGACACAATGAGTAGGTCAATGGATGTGGTGCCTAGTTCGCGGAGAACGATGTCTATGGCTTCGCGGGTTTGGATGCAGCGCCGGTTTGCTGGAATATTTGGCAGATAGAAGAGTTTCACTGTGATGTCGTAGGCTTCTCGGGGTTCAGTCAAGGGACTAGGTGTTTGTGAGGGTATGTACAAAGTATCTTTTTCTTGTGTTGTCCATGTTCGGAAGGAGGGTTTTGAGAGGGGGGTTGTTATTGCTGCTGCAGTTGTTACGGTAGTTGTTAGGGCGCCGTTGAGAGTGTTTGAGTGAGAAGCGGAAGGGCTCGGGGAGGATTGGTGGGCGGTGAAGTTTGCGCGCAGGGAGGATGTGAGTTCTGTGTTTGATTTCTCGAAGGTTGGACGTCGGATTACGGAGGGACCTCCGGACATTATATTGCTAGGGTTCGTTAGCTAGGGAATTGGGGTAGGTGAAATGTAGGCGGCCGTACGAAGTTGAGAGTACGAGCTTCATTCTGGGAGTTGGTTGGACTCGTAGGGCCCGATACTCGATACTACTGTATAGAGTGGCTTAAGGGTCGAAGTATTTGGTGAGGTTGAAGCTGCTCAGAAAGGTGTGAGTAAATGTTTTGTAAGCAGGTACTAAGTGAGGTGCGCTCTTAGATTCTTTTGGAATTACAAAGATGTTGACTAGAGGTGGACGTGTGAGAAGAGCATAATCATCACTTAGAGCTCCCTGGAAAAAGAGTAGGTGCTCAATCGGCGATCAAGGTACTGTGTTGAGAGTTGGGAGTTGCGGTGGGGTGAAATGCAGCCTTGCAGTGCTTTGACGTCGCGGGGCTGCTGACCAGTGCCCGACCGCCGATGCTTCAAATTTGACTCTTCACTCCAACCTCCTACCTCCCTCTCACGCACCATGGCTATCAAGTGAGTCTTACAGGCACATACGACGCTTTCATACACTGATAATGCTTAGATACCTCATTCTGCTCTCCCGGCAGGGCAAAGTCGTGTGTACTCTCGTACCCTCGCATGGCTGGCTGGAACTGACGGTCAATAGCGCCTAGCCAAATGGTTCACGACGCTGGCGCCCAAAGACAAAGCTAAAATCGTCAAGGATGTCTCGCAGCTTGTCCTTGCCCGACGAACCCGCATGTGTAATTTCCTCGAGTATAAAGGTTTGTGCGGTTTGCCCGGTTTGCCAGGTGTCCGCAGTTCCGGGCTAACAATTGTTTTCAGACACCAAAATCGTCTACCGCCGCTATGCTTCCCTCTTCTTCATCGCCGGCTGCGACTCTACCGACAACGAGCTGATAACGCTCGAGATTGTTCACCGATACGTTGAGCAGATGGACAAATACTATGGCAATGTCTGCGAGCTGGACATCATCTTTAACTTCCAGAAGGCCTACTTTATCCTCGACGAACTGCTCCTCGCTGGCGAGATGCAAGAGAGCAGCAAGAAGAACGTGTTGAGGTGTATTGGACAGCAGGACAGCTTGGAGGATATGGAGGTGAGTGGCATCTGCAGCGTCGTCTCTGAACCCACATCCCTCCCGTGCCCGTGCACCCCATAGCTCGGTCTCGCTGACTCGTGCCTCACTCTCGTCAGGCCGAGGACGACATCGTTACGAAGATCATGTAGATGATCATGTATCCAAGCGCACAGTGTATATACCTGAGGCGTCTCGGAGGCCTCTGTCCCGTTATCGCCTCTTTGTTTTGGGACCATTGCTAATCATGTCTTTCTGTTCTTCCGGCTTCCAGGACGCAGATGACTTCAAGGATAGACTTCAGCAGAGTGGCATTCTCTGATCGGCTTCTACCGCCCTGATATCGAAGCGGGGCTGCATTGCATGGCGTTTAGTGGATTGGAGTATGGAATACGCGGATAGCAGGGCGGTATACCACTTCCCTCGCCCTTTGAGGCCTGTCTTATGCTAAACGCTTCCTCAAGGACGAGCTTTGGTTGGGGACAGCTAAGCTCTTCCTTGTGGAAAGAATATTGAATCAATCATGGAGAAAACACCACCTGCCATATTGCCCTGATGAGCAAATGGCGATGGATGTACTCCACTTGCTTACAACAGAGAGTTCCTCCCCTGGACGCGTGAAGCGTTGCCCTTGGAGGTAACGGGTAGGCCCAGAGGCCGAACAGACTCGAACGTGATGAAATATGTCATGATATCGAGACTTGTGCCCCTGCATTTTTATTTCCCTTTCCGCACTCTGCTCATTTCTCTAGGTGGCCAAAAGTCCATTGTCCCTAGTCTAGGCTGCTGCGAGCCTGCGAACTCGATGCCGAACAAATCGAATGCAAGCACACACGGTAGCCAGTTGCTCCTTGGGATCCACAGAAACGGTGCAGACGTACTGTTATGCGGCCAATGTCAACACCAAATGGCCTCTCGCACACTTCCCATCTGGTGCTCTGGCGCCATGTCGTTGGCTGATAGCACCCGCTAGCACGGGCCAATTAGAGACGACGGTGGGGCACATGACGACGAGCTTGGCGCCGTGAGCTGACCAAGGACCGCGACACCTCCTCACAAGGAGTCTCGCGACTTCACCACAACACCAGCACCAACACGCCAGCATTAGATAGTTCTATGCTAACATCTCTCCTTAATACCGCCTGCTAGACTCCCGCCCGACCCGTGCCACTAGTCCCGTTCCTCTCTGCAGCCAGCCGAGAGCGACGTACATTGCTCGGCGTGGCTCAGGTCTTCAGGTCCCCGGCACCATACTGAACAATCAATCCCGAACCCTCTAACGCGACTCTATCCCGATCCTGCGCGTTACGTGCGCGACGCTACTCTCCACATTTTCCTGCCGTGAGGTCACTGCAAGCAGGCGTCATGAAGGTACCCAACCGTTGTGACTATCTCCGCCCGGCCATCTAGCTGACCAGTGTGACATAACAGTATCTCGACTTGATAGGTCTCAAGGAGGTTGACCAGGCGCTTGAATTTGACACAGAGAGCTATTCTATTATGGGTAGTTGCGACGCCTACTCAACAAAACCCGCTCGCGACCACAAGGAACTGTACTGTCGCATTGAGAAGACCCTAGAGGAAAAGTACAATAGTCTGGTCGCCAGCATCGACCAGCTGCCGCCTAGTATCCGTAACACAGTTGCTCCGCAAATGAACCTGGCCCGAAACACTCCGTTTGGTAGTTTCCAAGAGAAAGCCAATCGACGTGTCTTTGCGTATCTGATTGCCGCTCTCAACGAAACCTATTCGGACTATGACTTCGCCAACACTCTCAATCCGGATGATTTCCAGTACGAGACCTTGGAGAAATTCAAGTTCAACATTGAGGAGACCATGCGAAATTTGCGACCCCACCTGTACTCATCGGGTCTCCCTCCTGGCGCCATGACTCCAGACGGCACCCCGATCTGGAGCCCACGCTCCTGGGAGCATATCGACAGCGAAATGGGTTTAGCGGAGTGCGACATTTATCGGTGGATGCCGGCCCAGGACCCCTTCGATGGTGAAGATGGATCCATGTGGAGCTTTCACTACATGCTCTACAGCAAGCGGCAGAAGCGCCTCTGCTACTTGTATTTTCGCTGTGTCCCGCGTTCTCTTTCGTATAGCCCTACTTATCCCGTGTCCTTGATGGACAGGTATAAACATGTGGTGCGCCGTGAGATGAACGAGGATGAAGGCTCTAGCAAGAGAGCAGAATATTGGTTTGGAGACCGTACTAAAAATGGATTACAGTATGGTGGATCCGGCAAATTGGACAATCGAGTCATTGATCATCCGAAAGAAGAGGTCGTTGATGCCGACGAAGTCATGTACTGGCGCGATCAGGAGGAGACCCTCGGCTTGCATGAGTATAGCTCGGCCGAGGATGATAGTGACGTCGAGTCTCTCCGAGACCGTGAGATGAGCCGTGACCGCGAGTGGAGCGCCGCTCATGATCGGGAGTGGAGTACTTCCCACGAACGACAGAAGAGCACTGTTCGTTCCATGAGCCAGGACGTCACCGACCGCATGGAAGTTTCTCGTTGAGCGGATCTGAGCCCCAACCCCCCATCTTCTCAAGATGGCAAAGCTACTCTTGAGCGTGAACGAATTCTGGACCAACTAGTGGACTTTGAGCTCTGATTGAAGATATGATTTACGACACCTACGAACTAGTTCCATGTGTCTTTTTTTTGGCACATGAAGGCACCTGGGAACGGAGTTTGACCGGCTTTTGCTGCATTTTCAGGTGGTCCCGAGATCGACTACAGGGCGTTATCGGTTGGTGGGAGCGACTTTGATACGCCCCGGTCTCTTGCGATACCCCTTTCTTTTCCTTTGTTTGTCTCTGGATCTCCATGAGAGCTTTTATCTCCCGCTCTCGTTTTATTTCCTCCGTCATCCCTACTCTTTACTTATGCTTGTTTATGAGAATGACAAAAGATTATGGGGGACATTGATGTTGGACGAGCTTATCGGCTGATAATAGATGGGTAGGGATTTACGGATGCTCACGATGATGTATGAGTGTTTGACGAATGGTGACTCTATGACGAAGGGACAGCGATGGAAATTTCTTTTCATAGCGACTTAGTATGTCGAACTTCCTTGTGGGAGTGTGACTGAAAGGCCCCCCTTTCTCTCTCTCAATGGAACTCAACGCGTTAACACTCCTACCTGGAGCATGACATTGAGATTGTCGCAGTGACCTACACCTTTTGAAAATAGGCATTGTTGACCGAGCAGATGGGAGATGTGGCACGAATGGATGAGGTAGGGGCTTGATGTTGTTTGAGGGTTGTTGACGAGCTTTCTAGGAACGTTTCGTGGTCTGGCTAGAATGCTCTAGTGGCATGAGTCTTGGAATCTCTTTGGAGTATTGAGGGGTGCAGAGTAAGAAGAACGAGTGATTGATCGTCTTCGGAGTAAGCTACGTGCGTGCGATCGCGTTTCCTTGCCGTACATGCTAGATATCATGACTTCAGAAGGTAAGATGGCTTTGGGTAAAAGTCCTGACCAGTTTTCTACTGAAGCATCCGGGCCTACTTTCCTGCCTCTGCGCATTGCGCTTTCGGATTTCTTCGACAGCATTTGATATTGTCTACTGATACAGCAATACTTCTCCTGCTCTCCGGTATGATCAGGGATTCATGTATCTTGTTCCCCATCATGCTGTTGGTGGGTGTTGAGTCTACCAACCGAAGACTATAAACTGGATGTTGCTGACGCCGGGACTAAACACCACCTACCCACATCAGCCTGCATTATCATCATCATTCTGCACTACCAAGCAAGTCAGAAGATTGCGAGGCGCTCGCTCGCTATGAAAATAGGTCTTACAAGTAAGGCGATCAGCATTCTCATGCGTGCGGGGTTGGTGGCGACGCTCTGCAAGCTTGAATGGTGGTAAAAGAGTAGCATGGGGTCGAAATATTAGACAGCAACGTGGCTATCATCACCATTTCATCACTATTGCAGATATGAAACCGGGCCAAGAGAATAATATGTGAAAGTGGAATTAGCACCTCTGGATTGAGATTTAGAAAAAATATTACCTGTTGTGATTGACTTCGTATGATGAACAGATAATATCACAAACAACAGTATGTAGTGCCTCAACTGCACATTCCCAAACACAAGCGTCAACTAATACATCTCTACCTAGTACCTGTCCAATCCAGTCCAGACAGACTAAAGCAGGGCGATGCATGGAGGTGAAATCGTGGGGTCTGTAAGATCAGCATGACCTGGTTTGCAGCCTGCTCATGCGTTGTTGGTGGCCTTTCGTGCGGCCCGTGAATGGGCCTTACGTTCACCGATCAGCAACAATGCCTGGCTGCACTACTGCAATCCCGGCGCTACGGTTGATGGTTCGACTTTGTGGATGGTAGATGGCTGCTTGGAACATAACACTTTTCGAGGATGTGGAAGGAGGCGGATGGAGCGATGGATTGAGCAATGCTTTTTTTCTCCACAGCGAGTGAAAAGACTAGCTTCGCCGCATTAGGCGCTCGTACTCGCATCCAACAGCTCCACTCTAAGGTGCTGAGTTGTTGGAAGAAGTTGGAGGGTGTGGATCATGATTCCAGTCCAGCTCACAATAAGCTTGATAGGTGCGACATCTCGCAGGGGCGGTTGTGGTGCAGTGGATGAAGTTGATGAGGCCTCGTTTTCGTCTCCACATGCACTTACGTCCATGTCTGTCAATGCTCTGCCATGCTGTGCAGCTCAGCCACATTGCTGCCTCCTGCTGCGGTGGAGCGTGGTGGACAGCTGCAAGAAAGATCGCCTCAAAGGCACTGCGTGGGATATGCACATTGCTTACTTCAGGTTGTACGCATAGGAAATATGACCCGGATGTCGGTAGTGGTTGTTCGTTTATCGCATGCACGTTGTCTGATCAGTGTGGAGAATACGCCCTGCTTTCCCATTATCGGTCCGCGGTAAAATGTGATGACTGGGACGAAATGAACAAGGTCTTGGAGTTGTGGGCAATGGGTGGCACATGATGGTTGCGTGAGAAGGAAGCCGAAGCGGAAGCAGAAAAGTGGTTGCTGAAGGAACCATTTCTAGCTCTGGTGCGAACTATTTCGGCGGACCCGGACCTGTACCCGTACCTGGAGTATTGCTCAATGCGGTAGTCAAGAGACGACGTGACCTCCTGGTATCCGAAACAAGAATCAAGCTTCTGACGGTGGCTAGGGCGATGATAAGGAAAGACATGTTTAATGCTGACCCTTCTCTGGACACTCCCACCATCTGCATGCTCACCGTTCCGGGTCAATGGAATGATCACAGCTGAAGTGATGATACCCGAACCAATTCAAGTTGCCCATCGCGGGAGAAAAGGCGTCGAAGGATATGAGGGTGTGGATTCTAGTGCTGAGCGGCTTTTCTTACCAAAGCAACGCCAAACTGTTGATAGAATTTTGCTTTCTGGCGAATCAGTGTTTGAGAAGGGTGCTTGAGGGAGGACACTCGGCACAAGACGTGCAACGGGCGTGCTGAGGACTGCAGATAGAGGCTTAGATTCTGACAGCTGGCATATGATATGCAGCTGCACAAGCTGTCAGTATTAAACTATGGTTGCATCGGTATCAAGAGATGAGAGCCGAGTTGCCCGACAAAGTAGCGTGGTGGGTGGGGTGTTGAAGAGTCTGGAGGCCGTGCTCAGCTGAGCTGCAGGTGAGTGCGTTTTTACATCTAAAACGTAGCTCCTGTGAATAACCAGGCTCACGACGTTTCATCTTTAAAGGGTGAGTGGAGAGAAACTGCATCTCTTTGGTCCGGGGAAAATGATGAGTGGAGGGTTGCGGAAGGGAGGGAGGACGCGCATTGTGGTTTGGCGAGATTGTGGGCTGAGAATGGGGATTTGATGATGCCCATTTCCTTTGAGGGGGTTGCAAGCTAAAGGTGGTGTGCTGTGGTTTGGTTTTTTTAGGAGGCGAAATAATGCTTGGGCTGGCTGAGTTATACATGGACAATGGAGAGGTGAGTCGTAACTCGTAACAAGGCGACAAAGGTCGAGATGAGAACGAGGATCTGGGGTCATGGTGGTGGAGCTGTGATGCGTTGTTGACTTGCATCCAGGCCCTGGAAGAGGCAGGAACCATCTGCACTTTCGGGATGCCAGCTTCTGATTGGCCGAAATACTTAAAGTGTCGCTCATTTCCCTCGCAATAAGCATGCAGGAATTTAACATTCTACGATGGAGTTTTTGCTGCAAAACAATTGTCAGTTGTGAACGATCAAGCCACATTCAATTACCGACAGATTACAGCGGCGCCCTCGGTGCCCTTTTCAAATCTGTCAGTGACATGCCTGGCATCTCCTCGCTCGCTTTTTGAGTTTGGCAGGGCGACGCTTGTCGCGCCACGAATTTTTGAATTGCCAGCAAGCCACACCACAGGCGATACTTGATTGAACCAAAATTGCCAATTCCATTCTCCATGATTGAAATTGCGAATTAGAAAATCCTTGTGACATGCAAGGAACCTACCGTCGTGCTTTGGCAAGCCACGGAACAGCAAAATGGGAACCCAGAGATCGAGGACAGAAGGAGCCACAAGGCTTGTTCATGTGTGCCCTGTTTTACGAGATGAGCTGTTTGCTACCCCTGGATCTGCTGTTACTCAGGTGGGCTGGATGGATCCATCTAGAAATCCCGAAATGGAAGGGAGCTCAGGGGACAATGGGCTGACTGGATGAAATGGGCAGAACTGGGCAGTTGTAACAGGTAATGGGTGTTTCAATGAGGTGCTGCGACGTCTAGAAACCAATTGGGTGGAGCGGAGCGGAGTACACACTGTGCGGATTGCGTGGAGAGGGGCCGAGCAGTGGCAGTGCTATTACGTATGTGTGCTTTTCTGCACGAAGCGGAATTTTGTGAGCAGTTTCCGGCAAAAAAGTCACTCGCCGACCTCAGAGTGTTGAGGTCATTCGGCAACCGATGGATTGGATTCGCTGAGGCTCTTGTGTTGGATCTGAAAGACCTGGCAAACAAACGATGTGGGGCAAATAGCAAGGTGTGAGAAAAGCAAAGGGCTTTTGGAATCGACGGCGTCGAGGTACGGAAAGCCAAAGCCTGGGGACTCGGTGAGGCCGTTGGCGCAACTTCTCCACAGATCGGATCTGAAGGCCCGAAGTCGCTCTGCTCGTGTAACGTGTGAGAATTGCTTTTGTATGTCGAAGAAACTTCATCTCATAATGCTCGGAATCTGATGCCTTCTGGCCCGTGGCGTTTTGTTTCTGCACGGCAACGGATAGGTGGCAAGATGGAAAATGAAGATGGAGCGCTTGGTACCGCAAAGAGTGCTTCTTCGGGAAGGGCGTCTCAAGTCCAATATTGAGGGTTGCAGAAGGCCCTGAGGATCTTGAGATAAGTACCCATAGATAGACGGCTGCGTTCGGGTGTTCAGGAGACCGAGGCCAGGTTCTGACCTTGTATTATCTACTCCGTACGTACAAATTGGAAATACTCGTGAAATTGTGGTCTGAACGAGTGTCGATAGCCGACCATCTCCAGGCCTCGACAAAGGGACATAACACATTGTTGGCTCTTGCAGTGCGGAAAGGGTTCTGGATCTTGTTATGACTTGCATTGTTGGACCTCGTGGAGTGTCCCACTTTCGCTGTGCTAGTGGATTAGTGTGCAGCCGTGTATGCAAGTTGCGGGTCATGTGTGAGGGGCTCCTTCAAAAAGCAAGTTCTCCCAAAGTTTAAATTCGAAGAACAAGCTTGGAGAGAAGGTTGACCCAAGAGCCAATCTGGGTTTGGTGAGAGTGATGCATAGATAGCGGGAACGCCGGCATCCAGGGCGGAATCGCACGCGCCTCTGCTTCAAAGGTCTTTGTGGTGAATGCTAAGAACTTTGTCCCTGTCGTAAGAATAGTGGATGGGCACATCCCCCTCGCAGACAGAATGACGTTAACGGTGCTTCTTCAAGCCATCTTCTCCGCATTCTCCTCATCCAATCCTATTTATGGAGGATCGAAGGATGTCGACTTGGGCATGATGGACTCGAGTCTCAGGCAGGAGGCATTATGCCCCTGCATTTGCGCCAAGCCAGTGATTTTGATGCATCCGCAGTTCGCGACCAATTAGATTAGCGACTGGCACCAGTCCAGATTTGACGGTGCTGCTCGAATCCCAGGCTCCACCTTGCGAACGGCCACGGTGAAACCAGCGGCCTATCATCATGTCTACCAGCTCCATGTTGCGTCTTCCTCGGGCAGCGACGGCCCTGACAGAAACAACGGTTCACCGCTGGACGAGCGCAATAATTGTCATCGCCGTCCCGAAGTTGCCTCCCGAGCGCTGTGGCCCGGTCCTGCCTGGCTAGCGAGCGACAAGAAAGGATGCCAAGCGGATCTGAGATAGAGGGACTGCAGGAGCATTTCCGTGTGCATATCGCTTGCATGACGCTCCAGCGAGTGAGAGGCCTCGATGGCTTCACATCTGTTGTTGTTGTTGTTGTTAGCATCCAGCAAGCCCCGGCTCGTCTCGACGCTCTCTCTCAAAGGGTTGTGCCGAATACAGCAGGAGACGAGCAGGAAACGGGGAGAGTACGCGGAGCCTCATGCAGCGCGGAGGATAAGCTGCAGAGCGAGACAGCTCTGTTGTACACCAGACCTATGCATAGATTGGGGAGGTCCCGGCGGTGACAATGGTCTGTATTAGACTCCGAATGTTCCGCCGACAGGATTGCAGTTGCTCTGTCAAGACAGCAGGCGTACCATATGAAATTTATGAGCAGCCTCGTGATGTGTGATATGATGTTCAGGTACCTGTCCAAGCCGCCGCTTCGGGCATGGCTAAGGGCTTGCGCGAAATGAACCTGCCGCGAGCACCGGCGTCCGCCCGACTGCTCACCACGACGCCACCACTTGAGCCCACTGCTCCATTCTGGGAGTGTCTCGAGGAAGGAGGGCCAGAAGGAGGCAGACTTCTTACAGCAGCGCGCTGCCTACGCATTCACGCTGTGCTCGGACCGGCACACGCATTCGCTCAGCAGGGCAGTTCACGGTCCTTGAGACGGCGAACAGGGGTACTCCTGGCTAGCGTCGCGGTGGCGGCCCACCCTTGGTGGATCCCTAGTTAGCGTGCCCTAGTGTAGGCTGGACGGTCGCTTCTCTCCAAGGAAGCAGCAAAAACGCCCTGGACAACTCCAAACTCTCACCTTCACTCCGCCGTCCCTCCCACTGCATCACCACTCCTCCCTCCTCTCCCCTCCGCCCTCCTTCTCCCCTCCTCCGCCTCTTCACCTGGAACCCCATTGTCGCACTCGACAGCTGCTCTCGCACGCTGTCAGTCGATTTTGCGGGCTACCCGTCCGCTCATTTCCCCTGTCATTCCTTAATCTCGTGGGTGTACTGGCTCTCATCCACCGCGCCTTCTTGCAACAACCGCCCGCCCGCCTTACTATTCACACTTCACCACCTCTACACCACGTATACTGTGAGTCCGCATACCACACCCCCCATGTTGCTTTACCTGCGACCCTCCAATCTGCGTGCTGACGTCCTGTCTCTCACAATAGTAATCGCGTCAGCACTTTGTACCCGTCGAGCGCTTGTTTCGACTGAATCCCGTTGTGCTCCCCTTTGTAGCACCGTTGCACCCTGCCGTCCAACCAGACCGTCACGACCTGTTTCCCCAAGGAACGGTACCTGGAACATACGCCGCACATCTCACTTTTCTAGGCCAAGGAGATCGCTGCGGGTCTGTTGGCAGTGCCATCCCTAATTTCGTCAAGGCTTGCCCACCGCGTATAGCTGTGTCCACAAGGCTGCCGTCTGCTTCACAATGGCACAGATAGCCTTGCCACGACAACAGGTTGCGCAGGCACCACAATCGGTTGGTGTAGGCTCACCGCTTTACCAGCGGCGTCGCACCTCCAACGCCGGCCCCATCGAGCTCATTCCAAATCCCGACTTCACTTTCCCACAGCGTGCTCCCGAGCCGCCATCCTCAGAGCCCTCAACTGTAACCAATGTTCGTCCAATGTCTCTACAGGCATATCCAACTAGTCGGCGGGGCTCAACACCAGGAATGAGGCAGAAGTCAGTCAGCGCATTGCCCGATTTCTCCTTCAACCCTTCGGGGGCATCTCAAGGCCTGAGCACTGGAACGACGCCGCCGCACTCGCCTATGGAAATCCCGACGACTCCTTCGAGGCCAATTGGACACAGGCGTGGTGGGAGTGAATTCATTGGAGGAGATGGGCGATCGGGAGGCGTAAACTTGATGAGCACAAGCCCAACGAAAGGTGATGGTGTTCTACCTGCGCCAAACACCACTCTTCGTCCTGGTCCGCCAGCAGGACGGAGAGGCCATGCCCATCGACGTTCAGGTGCCATTTCTTCTCACGACGTCTCATCCATGATGCGTCCCAGTGACCCCACTGTTCCACCGCGGGCTGGGAGTGCACCTGCCACTCCAATGGAGGGTGAAATGCCAGCCTTCGGCCACTCAGTCAACAAGTCCGTGTCGCAGCCGTCGTTGCGAGGAGAGATTAGCTTTTTCCCGGAGGACCCGAATTCCTCCCCTCGACGACCACCATCGAGAGCCCGCGTCGGATTCTCTGATAAAGTCGAATATATTCGTCCATTGTCTACGATTTCTTCCGAGACAGAAACGTCATTGTCAACCGTTCGTTGTCACTCGGCCACAGGGAGCCTCTCGTCCGTCATCAGCGCAGGAACCTCAAGTCCACAATCTGCACGAATGGGTCGACCCTCGCTTAACACTACCTTGGAAAATGAGGAACGACCCAGCACAGCTGGGGCCGTTCTAGATAAACACAAGAATGGTACTTTCGGCAGTGATCTATTTAGTCGCAAGCGGCCCATGTCGGCAATCTCTCCAGCTTCCCCCACTGCTATTTCGAGCCCAATATCTCCACGCATCCCGGCAAAGCGACGAGGCTTCTTTCGCCTCGAGTCACGACGCAGCGACCCTTCAATCCGACCCCTTCAATCGAGCGCTTCGGATCCAGCTCTATCCGGTCCTTCACACTCGCCTCTGGTGTCGCCCATGAGGGATACGGACTCTGACGAAGCACCAGAAGATTCGGAGAAATCTAAATCATCGTCTCGCAAATCAAGCCGCAAGCCACGAAAGGTGAAGTCTTGGGCCAATTCCATCATCTCCCGCAAAGGAAAACACAGCAATAAACCCAACCGTCGGGCTCCAACACCACCTCCAGAATCAACGGCCGATGCTGAAGATACTGATGGTTCCGATGAACTTGACTTTGAGGCTAACTTCGATGATGATAACACTGTCACGATTGTCTCACCAAACGAGAACACTACTACTGAACGAAAGGTAGAGACCGATATTGCTTCATGGAAGCCCCGAGAATTCAAGCGGGTCGACTCTGACTCAATGAGTCCTGTGATCGATTTAGACGCCGCCCTTGGCCCATTCAATACTCCTCAAGGATCAAACCAGCGAGGACAGCAGCGTGGGTTTGCTGCTCACAGGCGCGCCATGCATAGCGCTGGAGGCATACTACAGAGCCATCGTCGAACCGAAAGTGCGCCTGAGCTTGCTCCATTCGAACTGAGACCATCAACTGTCGGGGCCCCTGCCACCATGGCGGACGTTTTCGAAGAGGAGGAACCCGAGGAAGACATATCAGCATTAAATTCAAGCCCAACATCACCAGCTAGTGTCCCGGAAGAGGCCGAGGAGGATGTCGAAGAGCCAAAGATTCAGGTTGTTGAGGCTGACGAGGTTCACAATGGTTCAAAAATCAACTGGAACTTCAATGACGGTCTAGGCATCAAACGAGACGAGAAGGCACGTAGGTACAGACCATGCGAACCCGTATCTCCCCATGAATTTCCAAATACCAAGCATCCCATGCTTGGTGAGAACGGATCGAAGCAATCTGTCGATGCCAGCCCTGTCGAGGTAGTCGAGGATTACGAGGAGCCACGAACTTCCTCTTTAACGCATTCATCTGATTCTACAGTGACACCACCAATGCCAGCTGATGAGACCAAAGGCCCTCAGCCAGTCATGAACTTGGCTCTCCCGCTACCCCAGCAGAGCCTGATGACACCCGACACATTTACCTCGTCGTTCTCGTCTCCTGATTTTCGATCCAGCCAGACTTCATTCGACACTCCTCGATTAGGCACTGCAGCATCATCAGTCACTGACTACCGTGCGATGCCGTCTCCACATTTTGGCGAGCCAGGACCGGAAGTGCGTATTTCGGTAGACGATGTACCATCCCTGACGTCCTCGAGGTCCACAATGACGAGTGGCATGCATAACGCTTTCTCAATGATGAGCCCTCGACAACCTGGCGATCGATCCGCATCCTTGTGCTCTATTCCCAGTGACATTGAGCAGCGACGTCGTAAGCGTTCTAGTATTGCGAGCTTGTCCCGGCTAATCAATGGCTCTTCTTTCGGAGAGAAGAGCAAGCTGTCAATCGAGCAGCGCCCACAGTCTGAATATCTTGAACCTACCAAGGAGTCGAAAAAGAAGCATAAGCGATTGAGCAAGCTTATGCATTTCTGGAAACCGAAGGACGGGAAGGAATCCTCTCGAACATAATCCCTACCGGTTCCTGCTCTCGGGTACACGTCGATACCTCATTATTGCTCACCTTACACCACTCTAATCCTCTTGGGTTGTAGTCGACCTCTCCGGCTGACTACATTCTGATGGCACGAATCATGGATATTACCTCGCACCCTTTTTTTTCTCTCGCATGACACGGAGTTCCAGCGAGGCTACGAAATGTTTTAATGGCGCACACTGCGATGGCGTGCATGCATCTCCCCGGGTATACGACTCGGACCACCACTTTCATTCCACAACCTTTCATTCCATTTTTGTTTTGCTCGGATGCTGGAAGGATGGGTATCTAGGGAGCCTTCTGGCATGAAGGAAGGAATCTGGGATACTTTGACTGGTACTTTGACGTCTCGAGACACATTGCCCACACTCATACCATTACTTTCCTTTCTTTGATTTGTCTCACTGTTCACTTACACATATCTCTGACATGAAATCTTCATGCCTTGCGCTCGCCCATTTTGTGGGAGGCGCGCACGAGCCTTTGGGCTCGAGAATTTTCAACTCTTTCCCATGACATCAAAATTCTTTTCCTTCTACGATTGGTGGATGTGGTGGAACCCCTTATCTGGGTGTATACACTCATGAAGCTGATTTCGATATCTTTGCATGGTTGGCTGAGAGCTTCACTGCATCTCATGGTCGGAAGTGGAGGCGGCAATCTCGCAATAGATAGCTAGTAGAGGGGCTCTTGCGGGCTGCGTAGTGGCTATAATGCAATTTCTGACCAAAAATACGGATGTCTTGATCTTTGATGCTTCCAATCTGTGATATTAATTGCGTGTGATGTCCTTGCTTTCGCATTAGGTCCGTGTGGTGTTGAGCGACTGTCGTGATAGACATATTCGCTTCCAAGATTGCTCTTGTGAGGGGCACTTTCGCTTCCGAGGTTCACTTGATAACACCATACGTTATACAACTATGATAGACATGGAAATTTCGCTTACTCTCAAACTATACTTTAGTACATCATTTTCTTTGCTGCCTGTTTCAAGATCGAAGAACCCCGGTATGATGCACAGTACCTGTTTCATCCGCAACGAGCACCTGCACATCAGGGTCTTTTACACGTGTGAAAGTTGTTGTGCCGATACACAGACCCTGACGCTCTTCGCCCCTGTTATCTCCGATAAGAAGGCTGTGGAGATGGGAGATTGTTGGTATGGGGAAATTTGATGGGGCGGGTTTGTGAATTGTGGACGGGGGATTTGTTTCAGGGTGGGTCAGAGGGGGTCGTGCGTTAACGGCTTTTTGCAGGATCGTGAATGCGAGATGTGGAGAGTGAATGGGCGTTCTGGAGGGAGTTATATGGGGAGATGGGTGCGATGGTGTTTAATTTGGTGGCACCATGGGTAGAAGATGGGGGCTTGTGTTGGAGCTGGGGTAGAGTTCTAGCAGTAACTTCATGAAAAGACGGATATTGCATTAGACGTTAATTGGAAAAGTCCAACTTGTGATATGCCTTATTTTATGCACCTTTTTGCTGGAATTACCTTGTTGGAGGAGCACGTGAGCGGGTAGCACAATGTCGCACTTCAAATTTATCTCAGCTAGCTCAGACGTGAGGAGAGAACCGAGGACGCACAAACCACCATGCATATTGCTACTCCAAATAGAGTATGGCCTGGGGGGTTAGCGGTTTCTGACCCCTGTCAGTAGCGTTTCTCTCCTCAGCTGTCTGAGGGACTTTTGTGATTTTTTCTATGAATAGGCCTATTTTAAGAGCATCACAATAGAATTAGATTTACAATATCTCTACTACTATATGTCTGAATAGGCTTAGAATTTAATAGAATGTAGAGACAAGCTATAGCTATAAAATAGTATATTTTTTACTAAATTCTAACTATTATTGGCAGAGAAAAATCTAAACGCGCGCAGAACTTTGACCTATCCATACCCTGATTTTAGATTCATAGTATCGCCCTCCTGACTAGAACTTGACAACCAGTAGACCAAATTCCCTAGGATTTTGCAGGATCCCTAACAGAGCTAGTCTGAGACAGCTCCTAGATCCTCAGAGTCCTCAGACAACAGCTGGTTGAGCTGCAGACATGAGGGCGATCGCGACGTCCCTAGACTACCATCCACTGGACTACAGCTTAACAACTAGCAGACTAAATCTCCTAAAATTTTGCAGGCTCCCTGATAGAGCTAGTCTGAGACAGCTCCTAGATCCTCAGAGTCCTTAGAGTCCTTAGATAACAGCTAGTTGAGCTGCAGACATGAGAGCGATCGCGATGTCCCTAGCCTACTATCCAGCTTGACAACCAGCGGCCTAAATCTCCTAAAATTTTGCAGGCTCTCTGATAGAGCCTGTCTTAGACAGGCCTTAAATTCTGAAGATGATATATTGTGTGGTTAGGGAGTCGCATTGAGGTGTAGTCGTGGGGTTATCAAAATGTCCTGCGCAGGACTTAATGGCGCAATACTCTGCTGAATCTTGTTAGAATTAGGTTACAAAAATGTTAGGATATAGCTAGAGACTGTCTCTATTACCTATTAAAATCTAACCTAGTTTGGACGAAAAGTGGTAGAGCTACAGTAATTCTTAGTTGAGCTGGTGCATGGTGGAGGAGGTTTAGAACCACGATATCACCTAAAAAATCACAAAAGTCCCTCAGACGGCTGGGGAGAGAAAGCCTTTCTTATACCCTCATTGGCTAGAGAGATGGGGCTTGCGCCACTGAAGCTACTAGCAGGGGCTTGCCCCTGTCAAGGCTCTCTCCCCATCCCGTCTGAGCTTGCTGAGATAACTTCAAATCGGGGCCTTCAGCATTCCTATCCCAATCCAGCACTAGCGCATGAAGCTCATAAACCACTTGGCATTTCGCGATGCGACCACAAGCTATCACCACTTATTTAATAGCTTCGCTTTCCACCACACACGACATCCAATACTACGAAATACTACAGAATGGCAGACGAAGAAAAAGAGAAAGCTGAGAAGGTCGCCGCGGCCAAGAAGAGGGTAGGTAGCCAGTTACACCGTCTCTTACGCCTACGAACACCTGTTCTCAATAGCTCCAGCTCCGCAAACAGCCTTCGAATTCCTTTGGCGGCAGTGGAGTGTCGAGATCCTGTATATTTTCAGTATTCCGCTAACATTTCGACTTGGTGTAGTACGAGCAATTGAAAAAACAGAAAGCAAAGAAAGCAGGTGGAGCCAAGAAGAAGGAAGAGAAGGCCGAGGCCACAGAAGCCGAGGCGTCTACCACAGCCGCCCCCGAGAAATCCGAGGAGAGAACTGAAGAGCTTGCGCCAGAGCCTGTGGAGGCTACGAGCGCTTCTCCTGGGCCTATCGAGGACGACGACGAGCCTGCGGAACTGCCCAAGGCGACACAAGGACATGGGAGAAAGCCGTCGGTTGCGGTGGAGTCGAGACTAAGGTCTGCGAGCTTTTATCAGGGTGGTTCTGGGGGCACGCCGACGTCGCCTACCGCTATCACACCTGGAGGGGATGTTTCCGGGGATATTTATCGCAAGCAGGCGCAGAGGATTGAGGAGCTGGAGAGGGAGAATAAGAGATTGGTTGGTGAAGTTGACGAGGGCGAGAGGAGGTGGAAGAAGGGAGAGGAGGAGTTAGAGGAGCTTCGGGAGGGCAGAGGGGATGTTGCGCTTGCAGTGGAGAGGGGGCGAGAAGTTGACAAGCTGGTGAGTTCTCCCAGCTTCTTACAAGCAACCTTACTTCTAAATGAAAGACACTGACATTTGGCGAAGAAATCAGAGGTCGAATCCCTAAAACGTCAATTATCGCATCTCCAAACGCAGTCCTCGAAATCCTCTCGTCGAATATCTACGTCCTCTCCGAGCCAATCTTCCTCTATTGATGACCTCAATGCCCAGGTCGCGTCTAAGTCCACCACAATTGAATCCCTTGAGCTCGAAATCTCGAACCTCCATAAACAGGTCACGGACCAAACCAACAAGACCAGCACTCTGCAAACTCAAGTCTCTACGCTCGAGTCCTCGCTGCAAAAGGCGGAACAGGAAGCTAGTTCTACAAAGACAGAACTATCGGAACTTAAAGCAAACCTAGAGAGGGCCAGTGAACGCGCCGTGAAGGAAGGCTCGTCCCGCAGTTCCGCAGAGACACGCATCGCGCAGCTAGAAGCCGAACTTGGAGCTGCAAATCGCAAAGCCTCCGACTCCATTTCTCGCGCCGAGCTGCTCGAAAAGAAAGTCGAAACTCTGACCCAACTCCACCGCGACAACGACGCAAGAAACCAAACCCGGGTACAAGAACACAAGAAAGTCGAGCGCGAAGCAGCCGAACTTCGAACCCGCGTAACAGGCCTCAATAATGAGAACGCCCGTCTGCGAGAAGCGGAGCAGCGTCGCCGAAAAGCCGATATATCTTCCATCGACGACTCCGGAGTGCAGGAGCTTGTAGACGAGGAGCGGGAGAGACTCTTGGCCAAAGTGCGAGAACTGGAGGAAGAAAACTTCGAGCTCCGACGAGGGGTGTGGCGCGACCGTCGCCGCGACATGCAACCTTCCATTGAAGACCACGTTTCTCCTTCACAGTCTTATGCCTCCCCCGGCTTCGACGAGGTTGATCTCTCTGGCGGCCACCACCATTCCCCGTCTCGCAACGCCCCCCGCACGGGCTCGACGCTTCAGGATGTCATCAACTCCGGCATATCTGCCTTCACGGGTCAACCGCTTCCGCACCGGAGAAGCGATGCAGGTTCACAGCCTGGAAAGGGTAGTGTGGGGAGAGAGCGGTTGCAGAGTTTAGGTTCTTTGGACGATTTCGAGTTTGATGAAGAGGCATTTAGAGCGGCGCAAGAGGAGGAGAATAGGAAGAGGATTGAGCGGGTCAGGGAGGTGAAGAGGGGGCTGAAAGATTTCGTTGGGTGGAGAGGGGACTTTGTAGATGTTAGGGCGGGATGGGGTGGAGTTTTTGAAGTTTAGAGATCTACAAAAGGAAATTATATGAGGTGGATTATGGACTTGGGTTCAGGGCTGGGGCGCTTACTCGATGGCTTGGGAGTAGAATCAATTGTACAGAGTTACATGAAGCTATCAAACGGGCGAGCAAGAGGCAGAAACCGTACACCTCACCCCTTTCCTACAGTCCTCGGCGAACAGAAATCCTCAAATCCTCACCTCTCTCCTACATCACCGCAATAATCGCACTTATTCATCTCCTCGTTAGAGTTAAACTTCAAGTCACCAATCATCTCCTACTTCCCCACAGCCCGCAATTTACATCCTAACCCGCCAGCCCTCCCTCAGAGAAGCTATACTCACCACCCATCATGGCCTACAATTCCTCAACTTATTCCCACAAACCCCCTTCACCATATGCATGTCGTGTAATACACTCACTTCCTCACTCCCGCTTCCCGACACTTTCCTACGAAATCTAGCAGTTTAGATGTTTTGCACCCAGGACACTCGAACCCGGAATCAGTTTCATGTGTCTATCTGAGAAGAGGGTTGCGCTTCCAGCGATGAGGCAAGGTACCAAGGTGGCTAATATCCAGAGCAGCGGAAGTTTAAGTGGTGGGTTGGGAGGTGGAGCTAGTACTGGTGGAGCAGGGTGAGACATTTTTTAGAGGTGGGTTTGGTTTCGAGGGAAAGGTTGGGGTTTTGGAGGAAGAAGGAGAAAGAGTATATTCTTGCTTGTCTCGTATAGCTAGGTGGGTTTGCTCTTGTGTTGTCTGTGTGTTGAAGCCCTGTTAGCGCTAGTATGTTGGTCTTAAAGAGCTCAGAGACAATGCGTGATTTGTATGACCTGGAGGCTATGTTTTATGGGAGAAGGGTTATGTATAAAATAATGGGCATTGAATGTAAAATATCATTGCCGTCTTCCATGCTAGTTGTTTTCGTGTTGGCGGGGGCAGGCGTCGTCTATCAGTGACGGAGGACCAGCCAGTACAGCTTGAGAAGTGGTATCTTGAGTTAGAGGGCGAATTGGAGAGCCTGGTGAAGTGTGTATGTGATGGTGATTTTGGTTAGTAATGAGTGCTCCGGCTCGGGCTTGATGGACTGCATCTTACCACCTAACGTGGAACACAACATAGGGGGCAATTCAGGACAGAGATTAACATCCTTTTGATGCTCTGTCTACTTCTAGAGAGAGGCTTAATAGGTAGAATATTACTTCATTATGTTCCACATTATGTGGTAACATGCTATAGCTATTTTGCTAGGTAGCGAGAAGAATCGAAAAAAGGACAGGGCCAGAGATTTCAGATAGAAATCTATAGCCAATAGATCTTGAGACTCCCTGTTGGGTACCTCTTGTGGTACTGCCTTCAACGTTGACTTGCTAAGGTTATAGGGCATCTGTTTGTCTTGAAGATTACTGGGTTTCGTTATACAGCAGGAGGATCATTCCTTCTGCACCGTAGGAGAGTACGATTAGCGGTGAGGTTTTCTGTTAGGCGCACCACCAAAGCAAATCAGGTGAGAGACTTCTCATGAGAGGCATTGAGAGTAAAGGTGAAGGTGAAGGTTTGAGCGAGGGTCTAGGTGCGCACGACTAATTTCTTTCCCATGCATTCACCCCCCTTCCTTTCGCTTTCCAGATTCACCACCATCAAATTTGATTTTTGGAAAGAATACACCATAGCAGCCCTGGCTAACACGATGACCAGCCTCAAAGACAAAATTGCTAATCTTCAACGCAAAGTTTCTGCCTTCTTCGGCGTCAACAAAGGCCCAAATCCCGCCCAGGCGCCTTCCGGTCAATCGAACGCTTCTCTGGATGATACGCCGGCTCCGAGAACATCTGCCGCAGGTGTAGAGATTCAACCTAGCCTCGATTTAGTATTTCAGCAGATGAAGGAATACACGGAGAAGAAGAACAAGCTAGCCTTCGTTTGGTAAAGCCTTCGCCCTCCAGACTCGACTAGCACACTTGCACATTTCTGACTAGAGTAGGTGCGAAGACAGCCTTAAATACGTCGGATGGGGCACATGCTTTCTTCACGGCCACTTAGACTGGTGTGTCACCCACGACAACCCCATTACCCAGCGACACGCATGCGCCGAGCAGTTCGAGTCCCCATGCCGTGTTGTTCGTTATGGTGAGTTCCCTGCAATCTTATGCTAAGATTCGTCTATAGCTAACTCTATCGGATAGCGGGAGAGAAACAAGTGCGAATTCTGGTGTAGCACTGAGAGTAGCGGAAATACTACGAGTCGCATAGCTATAAATAGGTCGAGAGGGTGACCGAAATGGAATCTGCGTCCTTTTATAAGCATAGAGTGTTGGTGGACTTTCCTATAAGATGGCATCGAGAAAAGGAGTTTCAGCTTGTGCCAGAGATCAAGTATAATTCGAACCTCTATTGTGAGTAAGTCTTTCGCAGAGTGAAGTAGTTATCAGAGTACGCGATTCACGACTAACTGAGCCATCCTCGACAATATGACAACATTATTCACTGCGTGCTCTCACATAATGTAGAACCTGATTAAGGCGGTGTTTATCCGTTTAACCCCTTGTTAGGATTAGGGAGAGCGTCAACAAGATAAAACTTCTGTCTAACCCCCCCTCTTGTCATATCCGGCATTCGATGACAAGATAGAGTAGATAGAATCTTGTCATGCAATAGGGCTACCTCTTTTAATGATGGGTATGAAGACAGCCGAGAATATGGTAAGACGCACACGGTTGTTCGTAACGTAGGGTTGCATTCAGGATGTGTAATCTCTACAGATAATAATGAGTGATGAGTTTTTGAACCGATGAGGTGCGATATCGGCGCGTGTGGCTATGATGTACTTTCGACCTTCACCTCTGGATCTAACAGTGAATATCACAGGATGATAACAGCTAGAAGAAGTAGTAAAGAAATATCAAATAACATACCTTGTTGTCCACTGGTTGCTTTAGGGTTGAGAATAGATACCCCGAGAGAGCTGACCTCCTGCTTCACAACCAAAGTGGAACACGATAGGAGTAGTTTAGTACAGAAATGTGTGTCCTGTTAATATTCTCTTAGATTTGGAACAAAGCATTTTTTGATCAAATCGGTCCTGCTAATGTTTCATTGTAGGGATCTGTAGGTGCAAATATATTGTAGAGTCTTCGTGCAGCCATGAAGGTTGCCACCGAATCTTAAAACTTGGAGGATAGGCGCGTATCATCCAGCACGATAGACTTCTTACACAAAGGTCTAGGTTGCCGAGAGCGTCCGCCAACATGTCAACATGTGCTATGTGCCCGAAGGATTGCTGAAGCCTCAACGCAATGCGCATGGTGATCCTACTCTAGGATCATGACAAATCAGGGGACGCCAGATATTCCGATGCTTGTGCAACATTGGATGAGATGGACTGCTGTGGCGTCAGCACAACTTAATACGCAACACACGGGATCAAAACGCGCGTTGGCTGAACGGTGAAGATCCGAGTCACACAAAATGACTCAAGCATATTCTGGGGACGGAAGCAATACCAGCTGGAAACGGAAGCTCAAGCCTCAGAGCATGCGACAGTTTTTCTTGCCCTTTGCCGCATTGCAGCCCCAACAAGTGTGGCCAATTGTGTTGAGGCCGTCCAAGGGCCGCCTACCCAGAAATGGAGACCTGTTTGATACGGCTTGCTTGAAAGACGTGAGATGGGGGTGCGCCGAATCAACGAATCAAAGAAATAGGAGCTTTGACAACCAATAAGCGGCGGAGAAGGGGGTAAATTTTACTGAAAGAGTTCGTTCTAACTTATGCCAAACAGGCTGCTGTCAAAGCCGGACATATCGGATATCGATGCTCGCTTCTCGAAGACCCTGACGGCTCTGGACGCTGCAGCTGACCTCGGGATCTGAGCATGAAACAAATGCTTGCTATTCGTGGCTTTTATTATTACCTCATGCTGAACAATAGTCCATTGGCCCGAATGGCAATGAGCGGATCGCCCGGGGATGGCAACATGAATAGAAAGGTCCACTCAAAATCGTCGGGACGGCAAATGTCTTGCCGAGAGACACCGATTTAGAGCCGAAGGGTGTCGGAAAACTGAAGTTGGACCATTGATGCCGCGGAATACCTCCGTGGGACAACATCGGGAAAAAATCAATCGCGGAGGGCGACTCGGGGGGTAAGAAGTACAATCAGTTACATAGCTACATGTCGAAAGTTGAACGGAATTTTTGGGTCGTATTCGTACGAAACAGGGAAGGGTGGCTGGATATCTGAGGTTGAAGCAGACTCGGTGCCAAGATAAGCCTATCACTGAATCAGCTAGTGCGGGAACTTTGGCTGAATCCTCAGAATTCGACAACGCACATGTGCTTGTCCCTCCTGACAATGGCCTTGGAACCTTTTATATTCCACACTGCGTTCTTGAACACTTAAAGAAGCGGTCCGGGGGGAACAATTCAGGCCCAGATTATACTCCGGGGGTAGCAGAGCAGGGAATCCATGAGCTAGGAGATCTTGTGAGATGCCAGCAGTCGGAGTCGCCTCGCTGACTGCAGCAAGCCAGCGTTTCGAAAACTTTAGGCCACACCTTCGATACTCGGGAAGTACATGTAAGAGTACTACCCGGAATACGTCTGGGTAGGCCATCACACAGCTCCGGATTCACTTTGGGCCATTTACAACAGAAGTCTAGAGTGTCGGGTCTTCTCTTCAGGTTTGACTCAATCCTTCATGGAGGATAAATAGGAATACGATCTTACCACATGGTGGGGTGATAGGCTGCAAGCAGTGATAGAGAAAGCCCCGAGAGCTTAAAAGGTAATATGTAGGCAATCAGATAGAGTAGGTGGGGCAGGCATCTCTGCAAGGTGGGATGACAACTAAGCTTACCCAAAACAAGGCAAGCCGGGGTCGGCTGGGTACGACGGGCTTGCTTGTTCCCGTCCACACTTAAAGCAGACGCTCGTCATTTGATATCTGCATATGTCTCTCAATGCGGTGCTCGGCAACGCAGCCTCTCAGGTTCTCCATTTGCTCCTGACTGGTGTCTCTTGCTGAGGCTGATGTGTTGGCATTGGGGTGTACATCCTTCGCATACCGAAGCTCGTGCTGAAACAAAAGACCCGCAGTTAACTCCAACCCGACTTTCTCTGGCCTTGCAGTCAACGGCATCACCGTCCCAGCTGCTCGTGCGGTTTGAAGCGGAATTGGCCACAACGGCGGAGCTTGGCTACAACCCTTCGTTGAAGGCACCCAACAGTCCTTGCGGGGGAGGCCTATTGAACCTCAACGAACGGTGACGTCGTGACGCTGGGCCTTCTGTGGCGAAAGGCTGGCTGATTACGCCGTTCTGCATGGACAAGACAAGCTCATGGCAGATCCATCGCCGAGCTGATCCAGCTAGCCGTCAATTGGGAAGCCATTTACGTCAATCGAAGGACCCTCGAATTAGCATATGGCTTCCATCCTCCAGCCTTACAGAAACTTCAGCCAACAGTGGCGCGGGCGATGTGCAAGGGAGCCTCAGATTCGCCTTCTGTATTACCAAGGGGGTTTTTCGGAGGAATTGCGCTGTAGATCGGCCGCATATTTCGCGAGTATCCGTGAACCTCGACTTTGTTGACTTGAAATTTGCCTTTCACCATCGACCGTTATCACGAATTTAGACCCGCAGGCCTTGATCTCCAACAAAAATTAGGACTCAGGAGCGTGGCTCGATGCTCACAAGCAAGATCATCGCGGATAGCAGCTGTGAGTGGCCTTAGAAATTTTTTTCCTAACTTGTGGTGAATTTATCACTGCACAATTACGAGTGACTATGCAAGCAGTGGCGGCCTTGAGCGCAAGACAGCGATTTTGCACCTCGAAGCGAGGGTGGGTTGCCGGCAGCCAAAAAACGATAGCATTTGTGTGAGCTGCACAGCGTATCTGTCGTCATCTAGCTTAGCAACCCTCGTGGTAGCGCGAGACAGTGGTGGTTCTGTATGGCTGTGGGTCGAAACGTGCTGGAGAGGACGGTATGGGCGTTAGGGCCGGTCCTCGCACTTTGAAGGGTCATGTGTGATATCTACCGCGAGCTACTTCTCGGCACCCACGACGGTGGGCCTCCCTGTGGGTACCAGGCGTAAAGAGACGTACAATTCGCCCATACGCGGTCTTGCATGGCATCAAATTATTTGGAGTGGACCCAGCAGTCGCGCCTTGATCAAGACCTTGACCAGCTCTGTACCAGCGACAAATTGCTCGCCTTGAGGAGCGCTCGCTCTGACTGACTGAAACTCACAGGCCCATCACTCCAGCAGCAGTTCCAACACCTCGCTGCCGACGGGAAGCACCATCGGCCGGCGAGCAAGTGATCAGCAACTGACATGAAGGCGAACTGCTTGCTGCATCGAGGCCAGGTCCAGAGCGGCGCGTTCCAAATCGAGGGGCTCACCCGGACGAAGGTGGGCTGCAAGCGAGACCAATGAGCAATAAGACAGGGGGGTTCATGCAGCTGCAGACAGTCCTTGCTCGCGCCGATTCTACGCTAAGCTAGTCCTCTTTCAGCCAAAAAAATCTGGGGTTGCCAGGTTGGTCATGCGCCCTCGTGAATTGGCCGTGTGCACGGGCCAGGCTCATCGCCTGCCACAGCGCCAGCTGTTCCGATACCAAGCTTGTGTCCTCCAGATGTTTGCTCTTCCCCAGGTTTTGCTGCTCACGGACGTCTCAAGGGCTGACATCGGTGACTACTGCTTCTACTACCATGTTCACTATGTTCACTAGGCTGTTTGCTGCGTTTCTCGCTCCTGTCACCTCACCTTGATCCAGGCCGAGCTGGCTCTTGAGGTGGCTGTCCTTGTCGTTTGGCGCTTGTTAAGAAAGTTGGAGACATGGAAGGTGCTGTATGCAGCAGACCCATCGCGCTGGCCTCTCACAGCACCACCACTTAATTCCATGACCAGGGCCATAGGGGGCTATGAAACTCGATCTCGGAAGCCACTGCAGCGTCCGTCCCGTCCCATTATCCGACTCATGATGGCCTTTTCATTTTGCAATCCCTACCTCTCCCCAGAGCAAATTCAGGGACAGAGCTGGTGGCCACTTTTATTAATTTGTGCTTCGCCAATTGGGACGACCCAATTTACATACCCAGGCGAGGCGGAATGATGGCTATTACTCTGTATACTGCACGGAAATGGGTGGCTCGATAGTGGAAGGGAGGAGAGACTGGACGACAGATGAAATAGAATACCCCCCCCCAAAACAAGATGGCTTCAACCAGTAACACTCGAAAGAAACGCGGTATGGAAATTTGAACCGAGGCCTGTAGTGTAGTCTGCGGGCCTAGCCCCTGCTGCGGTTGCTCGAAGCCAAGGCGTTTCGGTGCAAGTCGTCCGTCGAAGTTCTCAAGCAAGACTGAACCTTTTGCAGGCCGGCTTCCGGGGTCAAAGACCATGATAGCGGCTCGCTGGGATCGAGATCAGCATAACGCATGGTGACCAGTGGTGAGCAGTCTCTCAGCGAGGTGCTGGACGCGCATCGCTGCCTTCCAGGGCCCACCCGTTACAGCAGTCGAGGGCTGCAGGTTCGGGATGATGTCGGGCGGGTGCAAAGGGACACGGACAAAATGCAAAAGGGTCTCTGGCTGCTGCACGTAGGATTGGAGCCAGGAAGACGAACGCAGGCATCCCTGCCTCGGCCGGCCGCTGGTGCTGGTGGAAACGTACTCGTAAAGTACCGTTCTGTACCCCGTGAAGCACCGCCCAAACAGTCATGATCCTGCATGTTGCAAGCCAAGAGGCGTCGAACAGAGGCGCAAGAAGCGGCGGCCCTTGCCCATGCCAGCCATGCCGTCGAAGGACCTGGGGCCGAGCAGTGAGTGTTGGTGTACTGTGTCATGCAACAGCGCGAGCGACCTGGTTCGACGGATTACGAGTACCGGCTTTGGGGATCTGCTTACAACGGGCCTCGTCGCCCGAGTGAATGAACGCCTTTGATCACTCTACAAGGCGTGGCCCGCTATTGTTGCTGTCGTCGTCGCAGCCCGTTCTACTTCGAGCGTTTTGCATCTTTCCTTCTCTTTCTCATTTTCTGTGTTCTTCCCCGGAGCTGAGGCATCGCGGTGATCGCTGGTCTGAGCTCCAGCGCCGTTTCTCCCCCAGTTTTTGTCCCTCCAGTTGCAGTGCCTTGGGGTATCCCCAGCCAATCGCTGCTCCGAGTGGTGAGAGCTTGCCAATTGCTCCCTCCGACGCTGTGCCTGCTCCTAATTCTAGCCTGACGGCTTCCAGCGGATTGCCCGAGTGAATTCGCCGACGCCCAACAGCAGCGCTGGTGGTGACAAAAAGACATCGCAGACAGGGCTGGCAGTATCTAGCGCATCTGGTCGTTTTGCCCGACAGCCGCACTGCTGCCAGCAACTCTCCGCTGCGACCACGACCATCCGCAGTCACCCACGAACATTGGCCCTCAGCTAGCGGACACGGCCGCCCACTCGCCTGCCAACGCGAGTGTGGATCGACTGCTTTAGCTGGAGGTTCAGGTGCCTTTCTAGCTTCCTTCGTTTCCTAGCCAGGTCTTTCTCTTGACCGATTCGCCCTTGTACCCTCCGCGTCCTCTCGAGCTCCTCGCAACCTCCCAAGACGGACATATCGCCACTCGACGGCTGCAAACTTGTCTTATACGCCGAGCCCAGCCGTTATCCTATTGTGGCCGCCAATCCTGGGCTTCATTGTCTGTGAGGTTCCGCTGTAGAGACCGTGGTTGACCTGCCGGTGTTCGGAGGCCTTCTGCATCGCGGCCTGTCAGCGTGGCTCACGACCAACACAAGCACTAATTTCGAAGTGTGTCGAAGGTACAATTATCCTTTCCTTCTGCTCCAGCGTCAACGGTGTTGCTGACGTAGGTGCATCGTAGTGCCCTTGTATTTGGTAATCTTTTGTTTACGCCGTCGAGCTCACTGGGCCGTGTGAGCTTCATCCCACTTCACAACGAAGAGTGAGCGAGGCCACATCACGACTCCTCTAGAGCGCCTTCCCCGGGAGGCCCGTTGCCGCCAAGTCCTCGATCGTCTCCTTTCTGATAACGATCAGGAGCCTAAGTCGAGCTGCTTCGGTACCGGTAAGGTCTGACGTAGCACAGCAATCGAGCATGTCTGCAGCAGTTGAGCGCTCACATACTGCTACAAACACCATGGGTCCGTCAAGTAATTCTAGCAGCAGCGGTGCCAGTGCCGTGAGTAGTGGCAATGGTGAGCTTAGATCTTAAATTTTGTGTTTTCGTGACTGACGGTAGACTTCATTTATAGCGTCAGTTCAAACCGCTAAGCCAGAGCCCCCCCAAACCACCGCGGCATCCTTCCCGCCCCCCAAAACCGACAAGCCAAGGCCTCACGTCTGTGGGACATGTAGTCGATCGTTCGCCAGGTTGGAGCATCTGAAGCGCCACGAAAGGTCCCATACAAAGGAAAAGCCCTTCGAGTGCCCGCAATGCACGCGATGCTTTGCGCGACGCGATCTACTGCTACGACACCAGCAGAAGCTACACCAGCAGGGAGCGACTTCCTCCCGACCCAGGAATGGACGTCGGGAAAGCACGACCGGCCTGCCACCCAACAGCTCCGGCAGAGTTCGTAAGAACTCGGTGGCAAGCAGCGTAACAGGCGGGACCGGCGTGCCCGGTACCACGAGCATGAGGCCTCGCGCCAACACCATTAGCCATATCGACCCAAACGCTCTCAACAGCCTCCTCGCGTCGCAAAATGCCTCTCTGGGGAGGACTGGCGGAGGTCATCCTGGCCACTCCCACCATGCCAGTCTGTCAGGCCTCCACGGGCCGGGTGCGTTTGACTATCGAGGCATGTCCACGTCTATGGGAAACCACGGCCAGCCGCACGGATTGCCAAAGCTGGATACTCATCTCAGCCTCGGAATGGGCGGTGGGCTGCGAACAGCGCCTATCCAAGGATTTGGACCCGATGATTTCGAGCTTGAAAAGTTCTTTGGAACCTCAGGGCCGACCATCAATCCCAACCAACTGCATCACTTTAACGGCGCGTTAGGAACGCCAGCATCTCCATTCAATCCCTTTGGAAATCCTTTTGCCGGACCCACCTCCATTGACGAGGATGACTTTGGGTGGCATGCTGGTTTGGACAATTCCATGATGTTCGCGGGAACCAACGAAAACGCAGTCGATGGGTCCTCTCCTTCTGCCATAAGCACTGCCAGTCAAAGTGGGTTTAGCGAGGTCATGTTGGATGGATCTGGCCAAGCAACCTCAGCAGCCATGTGGCACAATCCGCTAGTCACTCACTCTGGGATCAATACTGCCTCATATTCTCTTGATGCCATGGCACCTGTCTTTCCAGAGCTCATGATGAATACAGTATCCCCCAAAGACGTCCAAGAACAATCCGCCCCCACAGACTTCTATATTTCATCACCCCCACCTATCACTTCCATGAGCCCAACAGCAGGTATTCCGGGTATGCCGAATCAATATTTCCACCCCCCAATGACTTTCAACTCTGATACCGGCAGCATCTCATCATCCTCGATTAATGGAAGTGCTCGGCATAGCTCGGTTACCTCTGTTTCCACAGATACCATCACAGATGCTACCAGGCAGGCTCTGATCATGAACTTATCGCAGGCGCTCGGATATGGCCACTCCCAAAGGAAATATTCTCAGCCCTCAATCAGTTCGCCACTATCCAATTCGAGCACAGGGAAACCTCAAAATCAAGTCGCATCACTGCCTAGCACAATGGATCTTCAACGCTATGTGAACGCCTACATACAATATTTCCATCCTCACCTGCCGTTTCTCCATATCCCCACCTTGTCATTCGACACACCGGCGTACACTTATCACTTACGGACAGCTGGAAGCTTCAACCATGATGGCATGGTAGGAGGTGGTGGCTGCTTAATTCTTGCTATGGCAGCGATTGGTGCGCTGTATGAGTTCGAACATAACATCGCTAAGGAGCTTTTCGAAGCAGCGAAGAAAATGATTCTCTATTATCTCGATGAGCGCCGCCGAGCCGGCCTGTCCGCGGCTGTCAATGGACCGAATGCCGCAAATGACTCCATTAACAAGCCTCCACTCTGGTTGGTTCAGGCTATGCTGCTGAATCTCATCTTTGGACATAATTGCGGCGATAGGCAAGCCGCAGAGGTCGCGAGCACCCACTGTGCTGCCCTTGTCAGTCTCGCGAAAGCTGCCAGTCTTGATAGACCAACGTCTGACCTCACAGCTAAAGACGGGTTTACTCAGAATGCGCCAAGTAATGTAGATGGCGATGTTGATATGACAGACGATTCTGTGTCCCCTGATGCATTCCAGCAAAATTCTCAATCTGAGACCATTGATGAGCACACGCAATGGATTCAGTGGAAGAAGACCGAGGAACGCAAACGAACCTACTTCGCTGTGTTCTCCATGTCAAGTCTCCTTGTCTCTGCCTACGCTCACGCGCCACGAATCCTAAACTCCGAGATCCGACTAGATCTCCCTTGTGAAGAGGACCTGTGGTCTGTGGACAATGCTCAAGCATGGGTTGCAATGGGTGGACCTATGTTCGCGCAAACAAAAGGCCTCTCGTTCAATGCTGCCATGACCTATCTTTTGGAAGCAAGCATGCGACAGCAACCCGAGCCGCGCTCTCACAATACGTTTTCGCAGCCTTTTGGGACCAACCAGAATGACAATACCGAAAGCGACATTCGTCCCAGTACTTTCGGATGTTACGTCTTAATCAATGCACTTCATGTTTATATTTGGGAAACCAGGCAAAGACATACGGGACGACTCTGGAAAACTCAAGAGACCGAGGCCATGCACGCGCAAGTTGAACCAGCACTGAAAGCTTGGCAAGCGGCGTGGAGGGCGAACCCGAACCATAGCATTGAGCGACCCAGTCCATTTGGTCCTCTTTCTGCCGACTGTATACCGTTGCTGGATCTTGCGTATGTAAGGCTCTTCGTTAATCTTGGCCGTTCAAAGGAGCTCTTGTGGCAGCGAGATTTCGATGGGATGGCAACAGAGCTTGCCAAAGGTGTTGAGATTATTGCTCAGGCCGACGGCACCCCCGACCGATCTTCTGACCCTGCTGATTCTACAAGATCATCGGCTTCAGGCAATTCTCCCGGAGCAGTCACGTCTCCACAAGATATCGACGCAATTGGTGAACCGAGCCCTGGCCATATTGGATCGAACCTGCACCCAAATCAATCTTCCAAGCGGGAGAGACACCTCCGCAAAGCTGCCTTTTACGCAGCAGATTCGCTTTCGATGGCCGACAAACTAGGTGCAACATATGCAGAGTTCACTGCAAGAGAACTCCCAAACTCGTCTGCGATGTGTACATTCGATTGCGCACAGATTCTTGCCGAATGGGTTGCCACTGTCCAAGACCGCGTTGGACGCTTCACTGGCGTTCTTGGCAAAGACGAAATCGACTACACAGCTGTTCCTGCGATCATGCTTCTTGAAGAAGAGGATGTAAAACTGCTCCAGAAGATTGCAGACATCCTCCACACTGCCGACTTGAAATTGGCCTATGATATTACGGGAATGGGATCCTCTAGTGCAATACCAATGCTTGGCGGTCTCTCAAGTCTTGGTCCTTGCGGATACGGTACGAAATTGCTCCTCGTTACAGCATATATGCTTGAAAAGTCTGCTGTCTGGCCAGGTATACTTCTTGTCCTAAATGGATGCTGTCATAGTACTAATATTGCAGTAGTTACACATGTCATGGCCCGTGCCTTGGAAGCGCACGCCGCGCATATAAACCAACGCGCCGAAGCCTCCACAGCAGCCTCGTAAATAATGTCCATCCTTATGCCGTGTACAAAATTCCCGCTCATGTCTCGAGGTATTATCGCGACGGTTGATACCCTGTTCTGACGATGTTTACGCTCATGCCCTCCGATGTTCCGCCCGCGATGAGATGTTGACGATGCACACGACGCAACCTATTCTTATCTCGACCGCAAGGCTATTGCAACTTTCCCTTGTACCTATTATTCTCTTCGATGTTGCTTGGCTCAGCAATTGCTGGTTGTACCACGAGGCTTCATTGTATATTCTTTCAGGTTATTCAACGACCTCCCGAGGACTACCTATTTGGACATGGGTGAATATTGATTAGAGCTCCTACCGCGGGTACGAACACCTTTAACTTGACAAACGTATCTTGCCTTACTATTCAGATAGGTTATCACTTTTGGGTTAATACGGATGAAATGGCTTTACTTCTCCTTCTGTCAATCGACTTTGGTGCATTTCTCGCGAGTCTTAACTTGTCTATTGGGAATGGGTCACAGATATCATATATGTGGGCTACCATTTGCTTTATCTATTGTTTCTCCGGCGAAAACCTGGTCTGGGCTTCACAAGGTTCCTGCGGCGATGTGGATGAAAATTATCAGGGGAGCAGTGCGTATCCGGCATCTTTTTACCGACTCGCGCATCTCTGCTAGATGCGACTAAAAGTCGATCGTATTCAAGCTTCGGCTGGATTGAGCTATTATGGGATGATGTCATGAATAATCTCTTGCTGTCTACAGCAGTTGCGGAATTTTTGGACGGAACGCGTTGGGCCGGGTTGGAGTAGGTGGAAAAAGTTTAGTAGTCTTTGAACTACATGAATTCATGAGAAAATGCTTCTATCCCACTCTCTCGCGTGAGGTTGAGGTGTATTCTTATTCTCCTCCAGCCAAAGACGGCATCATTCTTCATCGCTAATTTCTCCCGGCAACCTCCATATATTACATCCCTTCCGCGATCCTGTCATTTGGTCTAGTGCCTTATTCGTCCCTCAAAGCTAGCACATCGTCTAAAATTAACATAGCGCTACCCCACATTCCACTTGTACAGAACAGGAAAGCGTTTTTGATGTGCGACACACCGCTGTTTGAACACTATGGTCATGGCGATTCCAAAAGGGATCGACAACCTAGACTGCAGTGTCCTTAGCTTAGACTTGAAGTCCTTAGACTGGAAGCCTGGACTGGGAATCGTGGTCAGTTGCTAGTATCTAGATCCCAACAACCAATCTTGAGGTGTGGCTTGATGGGACCCAGGCTCGAGAGTTTAGAGTGAGCTTTGTGGATCGGATGAGTGCTCAAATCGTTTTGAGGTTCACGTGAGAGCATGGTATGAGGTGTTAGACAGATAAGTGGCAATGAGCGCTTTGGGAATCTGGAAATCAACGATTGCCAAGCTCGCGATAGGGCACATTGTTGAGTGAACCAGTCGCTTCCAGTTGAGGGATGAGTGAATCTGAGTGACTAGGGCTTGTGTAGATCGTCGAGAAGGAATTCTATCTCTCCATCTTTTAGTCTCGGCTTGATGAGCGAGTTTTTTGCTCATATTCGATGGGGATCATCGAAGACTTACGATGTACAGTCGCTAGCAAAATCAGCTTCCGTTCGAGTGCAGCTAAACAAAGTTCGACTTCGCCTGTAGTAAAAGTCTTCGCACCCGCGTTTATTCTTCAGTAGGGCGCTGTTACTGTAGTCACGTGACTTTCCATGGTACATGAAAGTGCTTCTCTATTTTAGGTTGATCTCACAAGCCCTGTGGCTGGGAGTCGACTGCCCTCTTTGCTACTGGTGGCGAATCGCAACGAGGTTAAAGCAGCAATTGAACTAACGTTAAAACGATCGTGAGTATAAATAACAAGTCTCGGAAGAATATACTCCCATACCTGGATGTGGTCCCAATCTAGCAACGCAGCACCAACTCTTCTGTATACTTACACTGAGTGCAGGACGGTCGCACCTTAGACTGGACTAAACAATTCATAAGAGCATTAGAAGAAGCGGAAGCATGAGTCCCACCGCGCATATCGGTATCCGAAACGAATCGAATTGTACTACTGCAAAGGCTGTCACTTTTCCTCTATACTCCTGCCGAAGATAACCAGCGCTGGCAATGCTATAATTCAAGCTCTCGCAGTTTCCGCCCCGCTAGCTCTGCCGCTACATGAGCGTAGCAACAACAATGGAAAACGGACTCAATTAAAGCTAGGAAAGCAGCATGTCCTCGAAGCGTATGTTGAGAAGCGTAGAAAAAGGCAGTTCAGTTTATGGTGTTCATACTACAAACATAAGAAGTACAGAGGGGCTAAGAAGCTGCTCCGGCAAGTATTTTGATGGGCAGGAGAGGACACTTGGTAGAGAGAATAAAGACACGTCTACAACTGGACACTTAGTACAAGGCTTCTTGCACAAATTGCAACTTCTATCCTCTTCACCCGTACCAACCAACTCCGCTGCATAGTAGGCATTGGCTGGGCAACTGAGCAGCCTTTTCCCCAAAGGACACCGAGTCGAGATTCGTATACACAATCTGAAATCTGGGAAATATCAACACTGCTGAAATATTTAAATTCTCCGTAGAGTAAGGTCCCACAGACGAATATCGTTCTTCAGATCTTTTGTTGCCTGAATATCCTTGGTAGTCTTATTGACTTCGGCTTTTTTGATTACTGGTTTCCTGTAACCGAACGCAATGTGCTAGGATTTTTACCTCCAAGGATCCGGGTGGCATTTATTAATGCTCCAAGGCTAGTATTTACGAATTCAATCAACCTAGGACATGGCCGAAATGGACAGCATTGTCACTTCAGGCAAGGGGAATCTCTTCCTTTTGGGCCGACAGCAATCTTGGGGTGTGGCGGGCAGGGACAGGTCGACAAACCTCTCAGTTTGCTCACCTTCAAAGAGTGTGCGAGAAAGTATGCGCTCTGAGCTGCCGCCTTTAGGAGGGGAATGATTGGATACATGAAGCAGTTCATTGCTGAAATCGAAACTATAAGGTGTTTAAACCCCCACCCCTTCGTCGAGTTCGTCGGAAGCTATACGGACACGAAATGCATCCGCTAAATAATGTCCCCGGTTGCTGAGTCGAACTTGGCCACCTACTTGAAGCGCGCCAACGCTTTAATCATCCAAGCTGCGGATCTTTTTGTATGCGTAACCACAGCGCTCTGGTTTCTGCACGAGCAGAAAGTCCGACACAATGACATTAAGCCGAATAATATCTTAATAGACCGTGGAAACGTCTTATTTGCGGACTTCGGCTTGTCTTTGACCTCTATAGATGCAAACGGTAGCACTAACCTAAAAGTGATTAACCGGATGACCCTAAGATGCTACGTGCCGGTCGCTCTATATTAACCTCGGAATACAATGTCTGACATCTGGAGCCTAGGTGTTGTGTTCATGGACATGATTGTGATTCTCAAGGGTAAGTCTGTTGAGTACAAGAATGAGTTCTTTAACTGTTATGGGTCACGACAAGCGCTCATTTGCACAAATCTTGGTGCATTACCAGAGTTTGTTGAATAGTAGAAGGAATATGTGAGTTGTTTGACATCAAACTCTTGGCTGGGCTCGTCAAATACTCTCGAAAGAGCACTAATTGCGCTCAGTGCATCCTCTCGAGTCGCATCATCACAGCTTAGTAAGGGAATGGAGGGAACAAGTCTCTTGTAGGATATGTTGTATTCTTTCTGAAGACGGCTTTTCGGATTGGATGAATAAGATATATTCTGCGAAGTATTTTGGAGTTCTCTAATGTGCTCTAGTCTCTTCAAAACTTGCTTAAAGGCTAGTATAAGTCAGCTTCTCTATCGGTAGAGGAGCAGACAAACTCTTGCGGCCATTCTAGACTATTTCCTTCTCGAAGCTGGCATCAGGGTCTTGACTTAGGCGTTCTTAGCAGCAACACATCATGTTTACAGCAGTGAACTAGAAGGTCAACATTCTGTATAGTCTTCCTTTCTATCAGTCTTATATAAGCTATCATATGCTAGTCAAACATGGAAGTAGGGAGGGCCGCCGACCTGCTCGGGCCGCACTCTTATGAGCTCAAACTGTAATGAGGAAGTACTCTCTTGTTTATAGCAAATCACGTGTTACATAGAAGAACACTTTCCTAGATATGTAAAGTGGGGTTCACAATCGAGATTGAGTTTGTTGCGGCTGCACCTTTGAACAGAATTCGATTTCGCTAGCGACTGCACAGTACTAGGTGAAATTACTACTGGAGCCTGTACGCGTATACCTTCCTTCTTTAAGTCGTTCAGAACCTAACCCTGTCGTATCGCCGATGTCCTTCACGGCGTCGGAGCCAACGGCTGCTCATCCCATCGCCCTGTAACTACGTAAGCTAAATGCAGCCGTGAAGAAAGCGAAGCACAGGCTTCCGGTTCTCACCTCCTTCCTAAATAGATCAGCTGTTTGAACCACTGCCTCAGAATCCGATGACAGCCTGTCGGACACACCTCCGTAAAACAGGGTTACAGCGCATTTTCAATAAAGGTTCCACAACTGTGGGTTCGGATTTACTTGGATTTAGTCATGACACGATTACTTTATGCTCGGTGCGGATTTTCACGTTTGGATGCAAAGTCTGTGTGGGTAATTTGGAGGAAGTTGGATGTAGTGAGCAGGGATCGTGATACAATGCATGCTTCTCCGATGACCTGGGAGTAAGGAATGAGGGACTGGTATGATTACATGTGCAGTGGATGCAGTAATCTTGCAACCAGTCCAGAAGAATACCTTCTTTCTGAACGTGGGGCATAACTGGGGTTTAGAGTCTATCTATGAACCTTCTTGCTGGTACTCAAAAGAATGTCAACAGGATGCAAATCCCTGTCGTAAATTACCCCTGACATAGTCCACCCACATCAGGTGACAAGACGCAGTCGAAAGGACAAAAATGTGCAAGAGGGAAGCTCTTGGCAAAGTATCCCGATTAGGTAGGCTTAGTAACTGATTTTGCATCATGTCTTCGAATTTTCACAAGTTTCTAGGTTGCTCCATAGTGAGTCAAGCAAATCTGCGGAAATTCCATACGTGTCTCTGTGAGAATGGGATGGCACTCCAATTGTCGCCACGGGACAACCACGGATACGAGTTGCGCCTCTATCACGTGTACAAATTCGGCAGCCTAATTCACGTTTCTTCTCCTTGACGACCACGCCTCGCAATAGCAATATCAGCTCCTATTCTACTCAAACAATGTCTCTTCCAAAGCTTGTTCGATTTTTGCTAAACCCATCGCATAAACTAGATAATTTCTCGCCGTACCTGCAAAATTATCTCCAAAGCTCTCCTCTGACCCTTATTATTGAAGTATTCTCCGCCTGCCTTGCTTCAATCACTCTCAGATTCCAAGGTCTCCCATTTCGGGATATTTGGAGGAATTTTTCACATCTTTTGAATCGTATCGAGGAGAATTATGCAGATAATTTGCATTCCAGCATCGGGACTGCTCGAGCCCGGTTGTTCTTTTCGACCACTTGGACGAGCTGGATGATCTTTCTCGGAGTACGCTGCCAGCCTTCGAGTTTCTCACAATGTAGAGGATTTGGATGTTGGCCAGACCGATTGTTCTTCTGGGCGAACATTCTGTCCACCATCCCCATACTCATTCCTCTTTTCAAGAAAAAGCTAGTTTTGGGCGAAATGTGGACACCTTTGAAATCCTTCAACTCCGATCTCGAGCACCATAACATTTCCACTCAAGCGGTCGACAAGATATACCACTGGACAGAAAACCTCGCTATCTGGCTACATGTCATTATACTCTTGTACCCATTCAGAAACTTCCTTTCCTCGTTTATGCGCCATCCTTGGCTAGTTGTTAAATACTACATTAGCTTTTACACATGGGCCTTCTTCGCGGTGCTTATTTCATTTTCTCTTGCTGCAATATTTGGTTTCATCATTTTCCATGCTCCTGGATATGTACTTCAACGCGACCCTTACACTAGAGAGGCCTCAACTTTCAAGATTATCCTCACTGGCGGAGTAGCTTCACTATGCTATGCATCTTTATTGAGACTGTTTAGGGCAAGATGTGTTAGTTTTACAGTGTGGGCATTCAGCGATGCGGCGATATGGGCGGGGTTTGAGGGATTGGTGGCGTGGGTGGTTATGATGAATCAGGATTCTTTTGGAGAGTTTATGCATCGGGAGTCGTATGAGAAGGAAAAGAGGAAAAGAGGAGAGAATGCGAAGTTGGACTTGGGGGCGGAGGAGGGTAAGGGGAATGAAGAGAGTGGCAAGGTGGACGATATTGCTCGTTTGGGTACAGAAGCCCGAATGTGGGAGCAAAGACGGCAGCTTAGGGCGGGCGAGTGATGGCTACGATTCCCCGGTTGGAAGGAAATGTGTCATAGTTGGGACTTAAAGAGACGTAGCAATCTAGAACATGGCGCTCTAAACGCGCTATAATGAAAGATAGTACTTTTGAAGCAGTCGTTAGTTAGTTGACCAGTTTATGAATGCGTAGCCACAAGGGAGATGTATCAAGCTTTAGCTTTATAGGCACTGGAAGATGAGTTTACAGGGTACGCGACCAGAATCCTCTAATATCCTTTCTTTGCGGCCTTCATATTCCAATTTCGCATAAGCTTTCCGAACGACATACACAATGAACAGAAAAGAACTTTATCCTGATGAAGCTTTCAAACTCCCGAAGAGCTGTCTCATCTCGATCATAAACTCGGGTAATTAGCACGACTAAGCCTGCTAAAATTCAGCACTAGAAGTCTGGAAACTACCACAAAGTTTTATTCGTTCAGTCTTATTAAAATCCCGGCTGCAGGTACACCCACTGGAATCTGAGGTACTGTTCGTAGCTGCCGTACCTGTGGATGGAACCCTTCTAAATATGGAGTTCTGCTTTGAGCCTCCGAGAGAGATAGAACTTGTCGACTCATGCTTGATCCTCGAAGTAGCGAAGCTAGTAGACGAGCGTGGTCTTTTTAGATGTCCCATTCTGAAACTAAATAGGGAAGCATTTAGGTGTCTTGGATTGAGTATTGGCGTATAAGGGGATCGGGAACTAGTAGGAGATGATCTAAAAATTGAAACAGGAACAAAATCGCGAGTCGTTCTTAAAACAGATCGACTTTGATCCCGGGAGAGCGCTACTGGATGTCCCTGGGTAACAGGTAAGCTGGTGGACTTGCCTTGTAAGGCTGGTAGAAGGTTGAGGCAGGAGTGGTGCTGAGGGACTCGTCTGTGTCACAGAGGGTAGATAATTGGGCGGCGAGGGATGTTGACCAGGTTGAGCGCATGGAATGCTGGTACTGTGCACATATTTGCGAGAATTCGCGGGATTCAAACCAGGTTTAGGTGAGCTACCGTTCGACGAACATGCGGAGTAAAGAGCATGTCGACTGATCCACCCTATCCGATATTTATCACATAGTTCCTTAGAGGAGAAAGAGAGCAAATAAGCTCGGACTTTGGCGCTACTTTGGTCATGGCCCAAGTTTCGATGCAGTTTGGGCAATGCTGATGACACCAAATCTTTCTTCCCCCAAATTTTCTGCACGCTGCGCTTCGTGGTTCTTCAAATAGTGGCCTCCGAGAGACCCAAAGAGGGTTGGGGTCGACTTCAGATTAGGATTTTGCAATGAAGCAAAGCCGGCCGTGTTCTGAAGCTTCTCTATGGATATCTGGCAACTTCTTGTTGGAGGTAGGGAGCTGGATTCCCATCTTTGATCTAGGTATTGGGCTGCATTGACTTTAGAGTTGAGATGAACTAATATTACAGTTGTAAATTTTACTTCCGTTTTGGTACATAGAGCCTTCCTCCCATTGATTATCCTGGGATTTTATTTGAGTTGCCCTACCTTTACGAATCCCTTCCGCAATCCAAGAACCGTAGTCGCCTTGCGAATAGGGTTGCACCATCTTTTAGGATAAAATATGGCTCTGTTTCTAGATTTGGTGATCGATCCCGCCGGAAGAGTCTGAATTTCACCATCTCACTGTAGCTTGTATCGACTCTAACGTGCCGCTCAAAGCGTCCATTTCTGAGTGTGGCTGAGTATTTCCTTACAATCCCCTTGAGGTTCTTCTCTTTTCCCCTTTCCCAAAAGCTGGTAATAAATATCTCTTGTTCATAGCGCACCAGAAAGAGTTTCTCGAATAATAGCAGTAATGGGGCAAAATAATGAGGGTGATCGAGGTCAAACACGAGACTGAGAAGGTTGTGGATAGTGACTAAGGTTGAGGGGCTAATTCCTCTGTAGGATGTACCAAACCAAAGTTCGCAAAGGCCTTTGGGGATGCTAATAATCCTTACACTAGTCACCCGAAGCTTTCGCGAAAACTAGAGCCCGACAATAACGAGAAGATCAGAGATAATACCATTGAAATATTTACATTGCTTAGATAGGATAAGCCAGGATTTCGGAATCCTTGAGGACAAAGAGCGAAAGAGCGAAGCTAGCTTCTCAGTGAAAATAAATTTGGGGAAGGTGAGTTTAATACATACTTTCTATACGGGCAATAGTGACTATTTCTAAGTATGTAATAGCATAGCATACCAATATTGTTCGAAAGGAGGCGAAAGTACTCTAAGGGTGCCAGTATTCGCGTCTAGTAAATGTCTAATCACGGAAGGGAAAAGACTTCTTCTTAGATTAAAAGTATCTTCACAGGGCGTTCGTTCATTAGGTTAGTAAGTCTTCTTCCAGGTCCGCCCAACCTAATACTCTGTTCGACATGTAGAAGACTTTGAAGGGTAGCCAAAGAGCCAAGGAAATGTAGCCATCTGGCTATTAACATGATTCTGGGTCTTCCTCATACCACTCAAGCGTTGCCGCTAGCGCTTTGCCATCTTCAATTCTTTCAACATCAAGACGCCACCTCTTTTTGCCCTTACATAAACTTCCTTCACGAGGGTCGAACCGAAATGGTTTGCTATCCTCGGTGACAGGCCATATGTAACGAATATTCTGCCTCCGGGGTGGGCAGATAGCTTCTACCCCCATATTAGGTTTTATATGCCACAGAGCGAAATGACAATAAATGGCAACGAGGTGTGCAGACGCCTCTTGATTGGGGACGCTTCCATGTGCAATTCTGATGGTCAGGGAATCGAAGTATAGAGACTTGAGGGACTTGAAAAGAGCAGCGTCGTCTGGCCAATAATCTAGGGATAGAGTGAGGTTTTTCCTTTCCTGGAAGGTTCGGGGCACTAAGATGTGGATTGTGATGTTATGGGACTCTTTTAGCAATTTTTGGATATCACTAAGCTCCTGCGCCACCTGTTTAATGGCATCGTGTTCAATTTCTTGTTTGATCTGTTTGCAGGAATTCAAGAGGCCTGCGTATTGGGGGAGAGGAGCCTGCGCCTGGACTGGAGGTGCGAGAAAGCTGTAGATGTGGATACGGATCTCAGGAGGTAATTTGAGAAGAAAGCAGACGTTCTCAGCCATGTTAACCAAAGTCAGGTGCGGCGATCGCAGGATGCGGTATGTAACAGGAGATATTAAATAGTCGTGTGAGATGAAGGAGAAGTGAATTGAGTTGCTTTTGCCAGCTTTTGGAACGTTGGGGTGTTGTGGGATTCCAACAGACTACTCATGTTCATCGAGTCACGTGTAACCAAAACCCTCTGTCGATATGCCAAGCGTTAACGCACCAATCGTCTGCAACTTCTCACACCAACCCACCACTGCACAAACACCACTATGACGTCCTCGGACTACACAACCGCATCAGGCGGCGCCCTCAAACTAAAAGGCAGCTCAGGCATCGAAAAGAAGAAGAAGAAGAAGAAGAAGAAAAAGAAGCCCGCTACGGACTCTGACCCCACACTCCCCGTCTCAGCCTCCACTGAATCCAAACTCTCCTCCGAATCCAACACCCCCAAAGAGCACACATCTGCTTCTGCAACACCGCAACTGGTTTCCCCGAAAGATTTTGAGAGAGAATTGCGCGAATCAGGAGGCAGGCAGAAAACGGAGGCCGAGAAGCGTCATGAGGAGCGGAGGAGGAAGATGTTAGATGAAAGGCTGAAGAGGGAGGGCGTGAAAACACATAAGGAGAGGGTGGAGGAGTTGAACCGGTATTTGAGTGGGTTGAGTGAGCATCATGATATGCCCAAGATTGGACCTGGCTAAGGTGCAATGGGCTGAAGATGCGGGGATGGTGGAATGGCAGGGTGCCAGGTCCTGGGGGTGGGTGAATGAGAACATGAAGGAAACATGGGTGAGCAGGCGCATATGGCTTTCACATTAGCAGGGAATTTGGAGTCTATTTGAGGAATAAACCCTTGCATTCTAGGTACTGTCCAAGGCTGGATCTGCGAACGGTATTTGCCCACTTATCCTTGAAGTTTTAACAGGATTACAATCATAAGTACAATCATCACGATATTCATTTCTCCCCCAAGCTCTCTCTTCTCAATCCTTTAGAGAACACTGCCAGCATCTGAACACAAGTATCGTGCTTCCCCTCCGACATCCTCTCCCCCTTATGAACCACCCATAACCCCCCCTCCTGTAGCCACCGTCCCTCTTCTCCAGCTGCAATGGCTTGTCCACCTTCCAAACAACCAACACCCTCCTGCTGCTTTGGATCTAAGCTATGCGCTTCAATCTCGAGAACGACGGGCAAGATTTTGAACAGATTACGCTCGTTCACTAGTCCACCCTCTTGCGCTCTGGGAACCTCAATGCCGTGTTGTGGATAGCATAACAGGTGGTACATCAACGCTTGGACTCGCTCGACTGCGAGCACCTAGCAAGAAGTGAAGGCGTTTATTGTTTGCCATAAGGCGGGGGTTTGGAACTTAAGTTCTTACTGGTGGAAGGATGGTGCTAGGGTTTCTGATTACGGGCGGATTCGGCATGATGGTTAGAGGAAAGGGGAGAAGGACCTGAGGCCTGTTTCCAGGAGAAGAATGGGGATTTGAGGGTTGTGAAGTCCATGTGTCTATCGCATTCTGATTTGCTGAGGCATTGTTAGTGATTCAGATGCTGGGGAATGGTGGGCGGGGTGCCTGACCCATAGGCAGCTTTGGGAACTTAATACCTTCATGTTCTGGTAGAAGAAACATACTGCTTGGATTTCTGAAGGAACTCTAGGACAATAGTCAAGTTGGGTAAGTGCAACGACCGAAGCTGCAGAGTTTATGTTCGTTCTTGAGTGGAGAAGCTGTGTTAGCTGCAAAGCTGTTGCAAAGCTAGTGATGATCAATATGTACGAATAGCATGAAGACTCAAAATATTGCTCTGAACCATCTCCCGAAAACCATTTCGTACAGTCTCGACGCCTCTCACCTCATCCATCATTCCCATCCCACGACCCAAACACCATATCGCGCGACTCCTCAGTCTACGTCTCGGGTGGAATCCGAAAGGAAAATTCTTCACGTAACATGGGTAGGGCTGGCCTTGTTGTATGATTGCGGCGAGATCTCAATGCCCCACGAAACGAGACCTGAAGTGGCGGGTATGTTGTGTGTCGGGGCCTTGAGCGATGTTGACGATCAAGCATGTGACAACGGATACTCCACGAGCCGGGAGTTGGCATTTATGTTCCATGAGACGGATGTTTGTAGCTAGTGTGACAGGTCTTGTTTTCGTGGCGGCAATTCCTAGGTTTTAGTTTGACATCAATGATTTATGCGTAAGTTGGCAAAAGCAGTGGAATCGTGATCTGTGAGTAATAACATGCCGTTTTGAGTAGTGACGTTTGCACTCGCGCATTCTCTAAAAGAGCCCACGAACCCTTCGCTCGAAGCCTGGCTTCTCAAAGGGTTCTAGAAGTTTTACGTAGTCCTAGTGCTTGGCTTGAGCATGTCGAATACAGTCGGGGCGAGTGTGATCCAGGCACCGTTTGGTAGGCATCATGAGATCGCAGCGGAAGTTTTCGGATGACAACTCACCTGGTAAGCTTGTTCTCTTATGTCCATAAGATGAGATCCCTTCGAAGTGACAGGAACGAGTACGAAGGAAAAGAAGGCATGGAATTACGGAGATCTCCATTCTGTGGTAAGTGAGTTCAGACGGATCCTTTGACGGACAATTGGCATCGGAGAATTGTGGTGATATTTTTGGGTCTTGGGGCTGTCGGGTTGACGGGGAGGATGAAACTATCCGGGAAAGACAGGGAAAGGGCAAGGACGAGCACATGAGGCTGCGGGAGGAAAAGGTCAGATGATGGGTATTGATGAGAGTGGATGCAATCAGTTCCCAACCCAGGTATCTGGGGCTTCGAACATCAAGACATAGCGTACCTATGGATCGCACGCACCGCAGTTCTCCGACTTGAAAATTTATCGTTGAAGCGCGCAAACGTCTCCTAACGTGTTTCAAGGCGATTGTACCTCTTGTAAGCATTGTAGATAACGAATGTGGCGTCTGAGTGTATCTCTACAGGCCTCACGATCTCCAACGTTATCGTCAGTTTACCATATCTTTTTATGCAGAAGTGAAAGACGACACGAATCGCGCGCCTCGCATCCTTCAAGGGTCGTCATCACGACTTTGACATGAGAGTGGAGTGATGAAGGAACCGTTGGCCTGTATCTGTCTTAGATTGCGCCGTCTCTTCGCCAGGGTGCGAAAACTTTCCAGAACGAGGTTCAATGGACCGATATCACTCCTCGCAAATGCACTAGTGTTCCCCGGGGCCAATAATGCGGGTCAAGAGATGCTACTAAACCGACAGCGCCCGGCATGGCGACGCTAGTTGGAGCAACTAGATGGAGAAACGGGCGGCGAATTCTGCAAAAGACTGGGGTCCTGGCGTTGATCAATTCCTCTTCACTAGATTCCTGGAATTGCGGTTATAGTTCAACAGCCAGTCGGAGGACGCGCGCTTTCAATCGGATGAAGCGCAAGATGGGGTGAGGGGCAAGGAACGGGCAGAGCTCAGTTGCCCTTGGGATAGTCGAACAATCCAATAATCGTGAAGGAGTCTGCCGAGTCGGCGTGGCTGGATGGCGCAGATCATGTTTGCAAGTTCACAGAGAGCAACTGCAGTTTTGGGAAGTTCGTGAACTGTGATTGGTGTTGGTTCCGAGAAGTGCAGTTGTGCATCGACGAGGCGCTAAGTTCTCCCTGACGAATGATTAGACAGTTTACAGGAAAGTTTGCCTTGGTCCTTCTTGTGCTCTTCCCAAGAAGGCCCTTTGTTCTTTTATATGCTGTCAGCGTTTGCTTCTGTGGCGGAGCTGAGTTTGAGTTGTTAGGAGATAGGAAGACAAAGAAGGCAGGCTGTCGCGTGAGTCTGCCTGCGTGAAAGCCTTCGCGAGCACAGTCCACTCGTGAATCGACCTGCCGTTTTGCACTTGCGCCATATCGACGGTCAATGCGTTAGCTCCAACGCCTCAGCGGGCACAAGCAAGGCTGCTCAGGCTGGTGTTACCTTTGGCCTGCGCGCCTTGGTCTAGGACCCACCATGTTGGAGGCTCAAATCTCGAAGCTGCAAATCCCATGCCACAAAGCAGCATGTGAGGCTCGAACTTCGGAACATACCACTCGAATTCCAGAAGTGTGGTAGGGACAAGGAGTGAAGCGTTGGATGGCAAGATCTCTTCTCGCAGCTAATAATAAAGCTGCCCCGATGAGGCAGGTGAAGTCCCTCGTGTTGGTGGACGAAGCCGGTCAGCGCAAGGCCAGCACCGGAAATGGTCTGACCTATTAGATCAAGTGACAAGCACTGGGTGATCCTACTCGAGGAGAGCACGAATCCTGTCGCGTTGAGACTCGGACGGGCTTCAGTATGGCGTTTAGGACTCCCGAGAGAAACTCTGTGACTCGCTCCGTCGCGCATTTGACTGATTGACTTTCACGGCGGTGCAAAATGTTCGCTGCAACCCTTCCACGAATCGTGACCGCTGTTGGGCGAAACATAATCGGCGAGACCAACTCTGAAGAGCGGCGTAGCAAGACAAGAGGCTCGTCTTCCAAGTGTCCAAGAGACGCTAGAAAAATGTTCGAGAAGTATTCCTCTTTGGGGAGCGCTATGATCGCGGCTGCTTTCCTCCTACCACTCGTTCCGCGAGATCTGCCGTCTTTTGCCCATGCCCAGAATTTTCCCCAGAGTCGCCGGTATTGCTTCGACCTGAGCTTGATCAAGTTGCCAAATCGTACCATCAATAACTAACGATCTTGCTAGGACTTTTGCATCATAACATGCTGTGTCTGGCGCATTCGTTTTCCTCGCAATTGAACGGCCACTGTCGATGTGCCCGGTGCTGTCAAGGCAGATATGGAGAGCCATCGAGCATTGCCACTGACCGGGCGCAAGGGGCGTTTCAGCGTGCGGAGAACCCCACGCCAGAGTGTGCATTGCGGCCTGTCTGTGTGATGCCTGTCCATCTCTTCGGAGGTCGCCTCTCACCAATGGTCGTGCTTCCCACTCCGCCCTGGCCGTAAACAATTACCAGTCCTTATCAAATCCCTTCCTTGCTGAGTCTAGGCAATCGGTGCATCCTGCAAAGCTGAGCGGCCAGCGCGCCCTTGTTCGCCAAGGTCTGCATGGCCCCAAATATTGTGTTCACTGCAAGTCGAGCAGAAAGCCGCGGCGCTCCCGAGTTCCAAGTCCGCCAAATCGACTCCGCTTATCCTGGAGGCTGTTATGCTGTTTTAGCTAAAGGTGTCCCATGCGCCCATGCACATGCTGTGCTGGGGAACGGAAGGGTCTAGGGTTGCACTGAAGCAGTCAACCGCTGCAGTTCCGAAATATAAAGGCCTCCCTTGTGCTCCCGGCTGTACCCCGTCATCCTGGAGAGGTATTTGCCCTCATCAATTTAATTGCGGCGTGGTGCTAGTCCCCGCTCCTTTCGGACGCTTAATTCCTAACGCGCCCCATCTAGCTTTCCCTCCCTCCATTCCTTCTCTCAACACCCCTTCTTACTAGGAAAACTGTCGAGGTTTCAAGAAATCGACATGGCGGATGCGGAGAAAACCCAATATACTGTCGGCGCGGAGTCGCCGAATGGCAACAATGATATAAAAGGTGTTATTGCCAGAAAAGGAGGAGCGGTCGACGAGGCAGCTGATTTGTATGGCGATATTCAGACTGCTGAAGAGTACGGATATGTTGAGCGAGGGTGAGCTTTCGAACGTCCAGGTTCACGGTCGCGTACTGTGAACTTTGAACACTGAAACTGACAACGCACAGTCTCAAGTCCCGACACATCCAGTTCATTGCTCTTGGTGGCACGATCGGTACCGGTCTTTTCCTTGGTATCGGCAGTGCTTTCGCCCATGCTGGCCCACTTTCAGTTCTTCTTGGCTATACATTCACCGGTGTTGCTGTATTCGCTATGATGCAGTGTTTGGGCGAGATGTCCACCTGGCTTCCTCTTCCTGGTGCCATTCCGCAGTACTGTGCTCGATATGTTGATCCTGCTCTTGGTTTTGCCGTCGGTTGGAATAATTGTGAGTACAATCTTGAATAGTGTAGTTTCCTACTACTTCGTGCTGATAGTGTTAGGGTATCAATGTGCCATTACGCTCTGCGCCGAAATCTCCGCCGCCACAGTCCTCGTTACCTTTTGGGATCAAGATACAAGCATCAACCCCTCCGTCTGGATTTCTATCATCATCGTACTGATCATTTGCCTGAACATCTTTGCAGTTGCCATCTACGGGGAGGCGGAGTTCATCTTCGCTAGTATTAAGATCATCACCATCCTGGGCTTGCTTATTCTTGCGCTCGTCATCGACCTCGGTGGTGGGCCCAAGCATAATCGCCTTGGTTTCCGATTCTGGAGGCATCCTTACGCCGCTATGAAGCAGTATGTCGGCACCGGTAATACTGGCCGCTTCACTGGTTTATGGTCTACCCTTGTCAACGCTGCCTTCTCGTACGGAGGTGTAGAGATGGTCGCCGTTGCAGCTGGTGAAGCTACAAACCCGCGCAAGAATATTCCAAAGGCCGTCCGACGTGTTTTCTGGCGTATCTTGTTCTTCTATGTCCTCGGTTCTCTCGCAATTGGCGTAACTGTCAGTAGCGACGACCCGCAGCTGACCAATGACAACGCAAAGGGTGCTCAGAGCTCGCCTTGGGTTATCGCCATCAAGAATGCTGGTATTCCGGTGCTCCCGCATATCATCAACGCTGTGATCTTGACCTCGGCCACTTCATCCGGCAACGCCTTCTTATATACCGGCTCCCGATATCTCTTCGGTGTTGCCCAGAACAGACAGGCTCCCAGATTCCTCCTCAAGTGCTCCAAGAGCGGCGTGCCGTACTACTGCGTCGCCGCCACCGCAGCGATATCTTTGCTCACCTATATGAGTGTGTCCACTGGAGCAAACGATGTCTTCCTATGGTTCCAAAACCTCACCACAATTGCCCAGCTCTTTACGTGGTGCTGCATTTGTATTGCGTACATTCGCTTCCGCGCCGCTCTTCTTGCTCAAGGAGTTGATCGGGATACGCTTGTTTTCAAGTCGCCATGGCAGCCATATACTGCTTATTGCGCTCTCGGGTATTTCGGACTGTAAGTTAAATCGTCATTTTCCATGTTTTATTCCTAACAAATACTGACTTCTTTCATAGCATTATCTTCTTCAACGGCTTCAAGGTCTTCACGCAAACACCATGGGGATCTGATCAGCTCACTGATTTCTTTACCGCCTATATCGGTGTCCCGATCTTCTTCTTGCTCTACGCATTCTGGAAGATCCTCAAGCGCGATCCCTTCGTTAACCCTGCGAACGCGGACATTTGGAGTGGCAAAGCTGCATTGGATGCAGAGGTGTGGCCGGAACAAATTCCAAGAAACATCTTCGAGAAGATCTGGTTCTGGGTTGCATAAATTGGAAGCGAATTTCTGGGTTCAGTTCCTGAGGAGTCTATAATATATTGTGTGGGCCGTTCATTCGTTACTGCCATCGTTTGCCATGTCGACACTCGTGTAGGATCTATGGCGTCGTGCTGGGCTCGTCTCGTGAGGTCATCTTAATATACCATGATATTGACTTTAAGACTATGCGTTGTGAAAGTGATTCTCATGACCAGATGTGTGTCCGCCTGATATGTGGTCAGTTATTATGTTTGTTATCTGTCTGTAGGTCCAACATTGCCAGTAGCTTGGAAGAAATATTTGGCATACCTTTTGATGTTGTCGACTCTTTTATACATTTGATTATTTAGCCATCAAATTTCGCTCACAGTGTTTTTAGGTGGTCCAAGGAAGCTCTTTAACAGAGTCAGAAAAAGTGTGGGCCTCGTGTTCGCATACTAATCCGAGCCAGCCGAGTCAGCCACGGGCGCCCTCGGGGTGAAATGTTGAATGCTGGATAGGTCTGACGCGATGCCGGGCTTGTTGATTCGTTAGTTCAAGAGCTGCGTCGCATTTGTCTTGTGGAAGGGCGCAGGCACGTGCCGACGTGGCGCCATCGCGTTCTCTTTTGGAAATGCTCGGACTCAAGTATTGCCGATAAAGAGTCAGTTTCTGGGATATGTAGCAAACGTAATTATGTGATGGTCAATGTAAAGTTGGAACAAACCTTTGGCAATTTAGCGCCGTCGTCGGAATAGGAGTTTGGGATCCGGAAATAGGTGCAAGTGCCATTGGTGCTGCGGTCGTTATTGAACTGAGAAATAACGTAGACAGGCCATGGAAGGAGAGAACAACGCAGTGAATTCAATTGAGCATTTTAATACATTCCCTTCCAGCACGAAAGTTCTGCATTCGCACGACACAGATATGAGTATTCCAACCAGAAAAGAAAATAGGAATGCGTCGAAGCTCGCTTAGCTTCCAAAACAACTTCAGTATTGTAATTAGTACCATAGATACAATTGCTGAGGTACTTGAGGCTTTGTCAGGGTCATCCTGGCGATAGCGTTCCTCACGGCTATTTGGGACCTTTTGTCTGTTGCTGCAATTAATCTTGCCCAACGGGCATCGCGCATCTCAAACCTGTGCAACCGAGCGAGAGCAAGTGCAGTGCCGAGCCTACAAACTGCATAAATCCATCAACCCCGTTCGAACAACCATCTCCCGAGCGTCCGAACGACACCTCTACAATATTCACGATGCCGGTGTGAAAGTTAAAGAGAGCGTGAGGGGAGGAAATGAGGGGCAGCCAACATGAAGCTGAGCGGAGGAGCTTTATCCCGAGCAGAATAGTGGGCCCTGGAATCCCTGTTCGACTCTGCGATGGAGCGGATCTAAGGTTTTGTCCGCTCGAAGGCAGCCAAGATCATGATCACCCACGCCGCATCAGCACTCGAATCTCAGTTTGCATCAGCCTGTCCATCGCAACTACCTCAGTCAAGTTCAAAGCTCCTGGACGTGTTCGTTGCGCCCCTGCCACACTGCCCCCTCCAGCTTCCGGATACTGTCTTCTTGCTCTTGCCCCTCATCCCCCTCTGCTGAGAAATCGCAGCTAGGGCATCTCGGCCGTCTAGACCATCCGCACGGGCTTGGAATTAGTTTCCAAGGAACTCTGCACATATCCTTGGCGTCCTTCTTCAGTGCGATATCTCGAGATCAAATCTTGAGGACTGATTTAAGCAATGTTGCCTGGCCCCGCCAGCACTCCCGAGCATGTGCCTAAGAAACCGACAGATCAGCAGCTGAATCGAGCCTGCGAAGCATGTCGTCTTTCAAAGGTTCGTTGTTTAATGAATCCAATCCCTGGATCTTCTCAATGCCAAAGATGCGCAAAGGCCGGAAGGACATGTGTCTTCGCCCCACCGGCAAAGAGACGGCAGCGGAAGAGGACCGATGTACGGGTCGCTGAGCTAGAAAGAGAAGTCAGGCAAATGCGATCCCTTCTGAGGTCAAATCGAATATCTCCTGTCGAAACTAGCGACCACGAATCGGGAGACGAAGATGCAGAAGATGCAGAGATACAAACCGAAAAGGCATCACCGGCCTATGCTCATAGCCATGAGAGCAATACCACTCCAGCAACAAATCCAGAAAAGTGGATATCTAACCGCTCCCAGGATGACTGCAGGCCCAAAGACACTTTGGGTGCATCTGACATTGACATCATCGATCGCGGTCTAATCTCAAAGGAAATGGCAGAAGAACTCCTCGAAATTTACAGGAATGATCTCGTCATCGCATGTCCTGGAGTTGTCATACCGAGCGAGTGGACAGCGACCGAACTTCGATTCAAAAAACCAGCTTTGTTCCATGCAGTCATGGCAGCTGCATCGCACTGTAAAGGTGCAACGCTTTCAAATCGGCTGCATGAGGAGGTTGTGTATCTCTACGCAAGATCGCTGTTTATTAAAGGCGAAAAGTCGCTGCAATACATTCAGGCCTTGATCGTTACTGTAGCTTATTACACTCCCCCAAACTCGCCAGCGCAACTGCAAATCTACCAGTACGGTAACATGGCTGCGAGCATGGCTTTGGAGCTTGGTCTGGCCTCAAAACCGAGAACGCATGAACAACTCCCTAAAAGAGCCATCCGATCACTACAGCGCATATCCTCAGCAGAGGAACTCCTTGAGAACTGTCGAACTATATTGATTCTGTACGTTCTGACAGCTGGGTAAGTCCTCTCCTGGACCGTTTCAGAAACACCACTAACGAGATAAAGCTTCGCTATGCGACTGCGAAGACCCAACATTCTGCTTTACAATAGCTGGATGGAAGAGTGTCTGTCCTTGCTTCAAAAATCACCAATACTAGATGATAGAAGGCTTGTCGCATGGCTGAAGCTTCAAAGGATAGCGGACGAAGCTATGACAGCATTCGGCTTCGACGACGCAAGCACAAGCTTCAGTCTCTCCGAGCTTCGTTTGCAGGTTATTCTCAGAATCTTTGAGAGAAGGATGCAAGACTGGAAGAAATCTATTCCTCCTGAAGTCATGACTCGTAAGTTCAATCGGTGCTACTCTAAATAATTACCAATCGGGACCCCATCTAATCATTCATATAGTAACATTGATGATAGAGCATCACCAAAACATATGCTCTATGTACGAGTTCGCAATGGACGGAGGCCGATACGACGCCCCCGAGTTCAAGAACCGACACTTAACTCTGCCCGCCCTTGACGATGACTGCATCCAGCCTGAAACTCTCCTCTCTCGCTCCGCTCTTCAAATTAACGCTACCATCAAATGCATAAGCCATGCACACGCCCTTTTGGATTGTTTCTTGCAGGTATCTGTGGAAAATCTACAGAAATCTCCCAATCTTCTATTTGTCCGCGCCATCTACGCACTAGTGACCTTGCTGAAAGCCGACTACGCTGTCGGTACGGATGCCGAGGGCATGGGAGAGGTTCTCGACTCTCGAAGTTTAAAAATCGATTACTACATGGACACGGTGCTCCGAAAAGCGACTGAAGCAATTGGACCCCAGAAATGTCGGGTGCCGTCTCACTGGTTATTCGTGCTAAACCACAAGCTAAAAACGTGGCATGATGAGCACCAAGCATGGAGGAAGGAAGGGCGTCACTTGAAGCGCAATCCACCGCGAGAGCATAAGGACCCAAATGAGATTCCAATGCCTGAGAACCCTCCCCCACCTTTTGGAGAGATGAAGTCACAAGAGCCAGCATCGACGCAGCCAATGCCGACACCGGCGGCATCTACACCTGGGAATCCTAGCCCCGGCCAGATTCCAACCTTTGGGATGCCCAACGCCTATTCCACTTGGCCGGCCAACGGCATCTCAATAACGAGTACGGACTCGACACAGTTCCCTGCAGACTTGACGGACTTTTCGACGGCTTTCCAACATGGAGATCTGTATCTTTGGAATGATGTCAACGACAATTTCGGGGGCTGGATTCCCCAAGGCGGGAGCATTTACAGTGAGATGCAGTTCGGGGGCATGAACGGACCGCCAGTGTGAGGAACTGTAGATATCAGACTCTCCCGGGGTAGCAGGAATACCCCCAAGATGAAGCGGTCGATAGAGAGGGCTATCCGAGGGCATCAAGCCACGTACTCTACTTTCCCGAATCGAGAATTTCACACAACTAATTTACAGCATGCGTACATGCTAAATCCTTCAAACTCGAGCATAATGCTGCAGCCTGAAGAACGGACTCGCCTTTATGTCTGGATTTGGCTAAGCGGTTTGCAGTGTCGGCGGGCATTTCTCGCGAAACACGTGAGTCGGTGGTTGCGAACCACCGACACGATATCTGATGACTAGGTTGTCGGCGCCTCTTTCATGTCCGTATATATTTTAGCATGCCTCCTCTCGTGTCTAGCATATCCCTTCTTGCTACTGTAATTCTTTTTCTCCCTTTGTCTCTACTTACAGTCGACTACAGAAAATCCCCACCCTCTGCAAACCACCCATTGTGACCTTCACCAGAGACACCTCGAACGGGCTCAAGTCACAAGACTGTCAACGGCATTAGGGTGTTATTTCCGGCTAAAAACTTCCAAGTGGAAGATTCGTCGAGAGTGGAAGGACGGATTCAAACTTCCATAAAATCGCATTCTGAAGTTGGCTTCGTCGGTACCTCACCTTAACGCCATGAATAATAAAGATGCCGCCGTAGAGAAGGCCCCTCGGCCCACCGATACAACAATAGAGAACCCAGAAGCGATTACAGAGCCTTCGGCCTCAACAATTTCAGAACTAAAAGATCCTGATTCTGAAACTCCCAAAGAAGATACTACCGAGTATCCTACTGGAGTCAAGTTATACACTATTGTAGCCTGTCTCTTTGCCCCTGTATTTCTAGTAGCCCTAGTAAGCTCAACTCCCCTTCATGTCCTTCGCTAGATTGTGAACTTCAAATTTTGATGTGGAATAGGACCGCACCATCATTGGTACTGCGGTACCAAAGATCACGGATGAGTTCCACTCCATCGACGACATCGGCTGGTACGCCAGCGCCTTTTTGCTGCCCGGATGCTCGTTCATGCTCATGTTTGCGAAATTGTATCAACTGTATCCTATCAAATGGGTATATCTGTACGCATCACCCTCACACCTCATGCTAGCCTGCTCCGCACATCTCTCATCATGAGCCATTACTAACGGTTCAAGACTCTGTGTTACAACCTTCGAAATCGGCTCTGCTATTTGCGGCGCTGCTCCAACTTCTACAGCTCTCATTGTGGGCCGAGCAATCGCTGGCCTCGGCTCCTCTGGCTTGTTTTCAGGCACAATCATCATACTGGTGCATAAAATCCCGCTCGCAAGACGGCCTCTTTTTCAGGGCATGTTCGGCGCCGTGTTCGGTCTAGCTTCCGTCGTAGGTCCACTTCTAGGGGGAGCATTCACGGACAAAGTTAGTTGGAGATGGTGTAAGCTCTTCCTACATTTCTACTCCACTGACGGTGCCTGGACTGACGCTTATAACCAAAGGCTTCTATATCAACCTCCCAATCGGCGGCGTCACGATCATCGGCCTCCTCTTTTTCCTCCACGTTGAAGGCACAAATCTCGCCAAAACTCTCACGCCCGCCGAACAAGCCCGACAACTTGACCCCATCGGTACACTTGCCTTCCTCCCAGGCGTAATCTGCCTGCTTCTCGCCCTCCAATGGGGCGGATCCACATACCCCTGGTCCAACGGACGGGTCATTGCCTGCCTCGTCCTGGCAGGTATCCTCCTCACCGTTTTCATCCTAGTCCAAATCTACAATGGTGAGAAAGCCACGCTCCCGCCCCGAATCCTCAAACTACGCTCCATCCTCTCAGCGCTATGGTACTCTTTCTTCTCGGGTAGTTCTATGATGGTCGTCGTGTACTACATCCCCATCTGGTTCCAAACCATCAAAGGCGTCTCCGCGGTAAATTCGGGTATCCGCACCATTGCACTCATCCTCGCGCTCGTTGCCGCCTCTATGACGGGCGGCTCGGTCACATATCGTACGGGATACTACACTCCATGTATGATCGTGGGATCAATGATCATGTCCATTGGCGCGGGTCTGCTAACCACGTGGACCGTTGACACCGACCGTGCGAAGTGGATCGGATACCAAGTTATCTATGGCTTCGGCATGGGTCTCGGTATGCAACAACCCAATATTGCAATCCAAACCACGCTGTCGAAGCGTGACGTCCCGACAGGCACTGCCCTGGTGTTCTTCGTCCAGCAGTTGGGTGGCGCGGTGTTGGTGTCCGCCGCGCAGAACGTGTTTGCATCGAAGCTAAGGATTTATTTGGCAGGGATACAGGGGATTAACGTTCCAGAAGTTATTCATGCGGGAGCTACCGGGTTGCGGTTAGTGGTGCCGAAGGAGCTTTTAAGGGCGGTTTTGGTGGCGTCTAATCGTGCGTTGATGAAGGTGTTTTTGGTGGGTGTGGTTGTGAGTTGTTTGGGAATTGTGGGTGCGTTGACAATGGAATGGAGGAGTATTAAGGATGGAGAAGGGCAGGGGGAGAGGCCAAAGGAGAAGAAGGGGGATGAGGAGGAAGGGAAAGAGAAAGTGGGCGAGGAGATATCTTAGAATCGCAGAGGGTGTGGTGTGGGAGAGGAGGTGGTTGCGGCGTTACATATATTGGCTAGGGGACAGCCAGAGGCGCGGTAATACGGGTAGGTCGACTACCAAGCCATCAGCGAGATCTCTAGGACCCATAGACTGGAATTTCTGTACACTAGATACCCTTCTCATTTTGTAAATATACCGGATATCTCACCCTTCTTCGTGACATCGGTGTACTCTGCCCGCTTGTAATACAAAGACTAACATAACGCCAACGCGTCAAGTCACCCTCTAGAATTAACCTGTCTCCGTAATTGCTTGAAATATGCTACCTTCTCTTTGAAATCAGATATGTGCTATACCCTGTTGTACGTGCTAATATATAGCATGCCCATTTCAAAGAGTGCCAACTCCCAGGCTGGCATGCGGTACAGTTAGATTTACATCGACACTAAAATCACCAAAAGCCACTCTCACAAGCTCCTGACATATGAATGAAATATGTATACGCATTAACTTTACTAGGAGGCTATTGTGAATTTCAAAAGGCCACATCTACACAAAACCCCAAGATCCAAGTTCAAATACCCCAGACTTTAGAATCATGTCCGTATCCTTCAGAAGAAAAAGAGAAGGAAACCTCACCAAGAGCTGCCACAGGCGCCGACAAATGCCAATTCTTGTCTGTCATATGCAAATAATACAAACCGCACTCCCATTTACACGCGTTTTCCCGTTTCCAAAAGCACGTCAGCTCATTACCATGCCATACCACGCCATATCTTGCAACTAAAGCTTGACGGGATCAACCTTAGTCTTAAGTCTCATGACCCCAATCATCCCACTCATTATTCTTCTTCAACGTAGGTTTCCTTTCCTGACTCGCCTCCGCACTCTCACGACCACCACCCCTCGGTTTCCCTTTCGGCGGGGCATTCAGAAAGCCGTCCGGGATATCATTCCAATTCTTAGTAACCCTAGACTGTGGCTGAGGCTGGGGGTTTTGGATTTTGCGCGTCGGACGGACTTCATCGTCAGTTGATTCCGAAGACTCGTCATCCTCAGAAATATAGTTGTATTGGTCGAATTTCCGGCGATCAATTGGCTGGAGCTGCATGTCGCCATCAGCATACATGCCACGTTCACGACCTAGGATCTGGTCTGCCTTCCCGGGACTACGACGGCCTTCAATTGGTGCTGCGACGACACCGTTCGAAGTCGTTAGATAGCGGGCTTCCTCGCCGTGGCGGCGCGGAGACTGCCATTCCGGTCGCCGGGGGAGCCGCGGTGTCGGAGGGGAATGTCGGTTCGCTTGCCAGCCATCCGGAACTCTTCCGCTCCTCCTGAATTCGGCTTCGGTGGGAGAATCGATACCCCACCCAGCAGCCCGCTCGCGCTGCTTCTGGATTTGGTCTTCTGCCTCACGTTCTCTGCGGATGCGATCTCGTGCGGCCACCCATTTCGGCGAGGCTTCCCAGGACCAGCCGTCACCGGTAGTGTTGCAGATCGGGACGAGCCATAGTAGTGGAGAGGGACCAAAAACATGGCCAAAGTTCCGTTTCCAGGCAAGGTCAAACGCGTTCGGGAGGAGCTCATTGTCTCGTTCGTCGAGGTAGGAGTCGTAGCGATCGAAGTCTCGCTGACGCTCTCGCTGTTCATATTGGCTGTAGCCCGAGGGAGAGTAGCCATTGCTTAATGGGCGGTTATCATGTGCTGGTGAGCGGGATACCGAACGTGAGGGTGATTCGCCCTCTTCGGGCCGAGTTACTCCGGGAAGGACATTGGCGTGGATCTCGCGCAATTGGTCACTTATGCTCAGTCGCCCATTTGCTTGAGCCTCGAGATAATTACGGTCCTGGAGCTGGTTCTTCATGGATTGCCGCAGCGGTGAGAGGTACCTGGTCTTCTCCAAGCTCTCGATCGTGGTCTGACCCCTGCTCGTTAGCCATAGATGCCATCCAGTGAATCCGCTAATGACGAGCCCGATGATTCCAGAGAGAACAGCGAGCAAGACATAGTTCACAGGCATGAAGGACTCGGTGTACTGTCCCTCGCTCAAGACTTCTTTCCAAACCCACGACGCAGATGCTGCGAAACACACCCAACAGAAGAAAGTAAGGTAGACGAGAAATAGCACGAACGGCTTGTAGTTCCGGAGTCCGACGCATGTTGCAAGCCAGGGGCAATGGTGGTCCATCTTCAGGACGCAGCGCTTACAGGTTGAACAATGATGCGCTCGGTCTGGCTTCTTGGTCTGGCATTTCTTGCAGAATCGAATGTCGCCAGTCGAGGCCTTGACGGTGAAGGACGTGTACTGCAGGCCTCCACCCTCCTGGGTTGGGAGGTGGCTGTAGCCATTGTTCAGATTGAGGGGCGAGCCGGGATCGGTAAAGACGGCGGTGGTGTAGCTCCAATTGAGCATCAGGTAGAAGAAGATTCCCAGGATAGAAGACAACTTTCCTATGAGTCCGAGTCAGCATCCTCACGGTCAACCAGTGGGATTGAGATTGCTTTTCCTGGGCGACGCGGCTGACACACATATCGCGTGCGGCGTGCCCCAGGAGCTTCTCGTCACTCTCCTGCAATACATGGCACATGGCGGTGATGCAGCGGACGGATACGGAAGGGGATGTATACCTGTCCAAGCATGCTTAGTCGGCGCGAAGCCGATGCCCGCTTCCACCCACACGGCCCATGATGTCAGCCCGTACACGAACAGTAGCGGAAAGTAAGTGATGGTGTTGCAGCAGTACCGCTCGACCTTCCTGGCCCAGCCCCTGCGGCGCATAGTTCTGGATGGCGACGAAGGGGGGGAGGGGGAACCCAGGGTGGCCATTATTGGCGAGGAGAGCACTGAAGGGAGCTCCTCCCTAGGTATGCATGTGGCAGCGAGCGAGTGTTGAGCACCTACGAGCAGTATCTGGTACGACGGCAGGCCATTTGCGGGCAGGAGGTGAGGCCAGCGGAGGCGGCGCGGTGTGGGTGGCAGAGGGGGAGAGGACGGGGGTTACGACAGGAACCGTTTCAGGGAGCACGAAGCGGCGGACTGGTGATAGATAGGCGAAGCAGGGCGGGAACAGGAGCGTGCAACGAACAGACAGCGTCGCACACCGGCACGAACAGCGGCGATGGGCGCAGTCGGAGGGGGCTAGCGATGCTGCGAGAGGGACGGGGGTGGAGAGAACTGGAGATGTTGCTGGCGTTGAGGCGCGGTGTTCTGCTCTGCCTGCTGCTCTGCTCACCTCAGCTGGGCGTCTCAGGGACCCAGCGGCTGAGCCGCATTCCCGCTCCGGGGTTCATGGCTGGGCGCTGACTGGCACGTGACCTGTGCTGGTTCTGGCGAGCAGCTGTTTCTATTAGTGCCGGCCAAGTGTCAGAACTGCCTCGATGCGCCCGACACCATGCTGAGGATGCTTGTGAGAACTAGAGCAAGGCCTCTGCTGTGAAACCCGTAACTCTCTGATTCACCCCCCCCCCCCCCCCCCCCCCCCCCAGGAAACTGGCACCCTCTCTCGGTGGGTCTGCATGCGCGGACCAGCCTGGCTGTCTGTCTGTATGCTCATCAGAAGCCCACCCTGTGCCGCCACAATCAATTAACCATCCAAGTCTGTGCAGCTCCCGCATTCCAAACCCCTACCTGTAACCGCCACTACTGCTGGCTGTGACCCAGATGGTCGCCCAGCGGTCCTCCAAATCCAGTTCACTCGATAAATTGGCCGCGACAGATCTCCGCTCCACCTGCCCTTAATGCCCGGTGTGCCACCTACACGTAACCTCCCACACCTCTGCTTTGTTTCTCTCCTCACCCTTCACCCACACTCCTCCTCCCTATGGCGGTCCCCCTCTCCATGATTCCCTCCCCGTTCTCCAATTCCTAAACACGCCGTCGTCATGCTGGCTCCTAGGAAACGGCCGCTGCCCTTGCTTCTTGCCCTCACACTCGCTCTCGTCCTTTTCTTCTACCACCGCGATGCCGACCGCATATACCTGCAGTTGTCGTCGTCGATAGATGCCATCCCCGACAGAGCACCCGCAAACAAGACGCTGGGGTTCGGTGCAGTGCTGGTCGTCTCCAAAGATGGCTCGGACCGACGCCACTCGCTTCTGCAAGCCGCGAACGTCACCGACATCGAGCTCACCATCCCCCAGCAGCCCGAGTGGACCGAGGGCGACGTGCAGAAGTTTCGCAATGGCCAGGAGAAGGGAGTACAGAGAGGCTCACTTTTAGCCTGGATGGGTCACCACCACGCTCTGCGATGGTTCGTACCTGCTGTCTTTCTTGGTCCTCATGTCCCAATCCGCCCTAATCTGTTGGTCAGGTTTCTCGATTCTGGCCTGGAAACAGCCCTCGTACTCGAGGACGACGTCGACTGGGACATTCGTCTTCGCAGTCTCCAGGTCCCCCTTGCTGCAAATGCTGCGCGCTCTGTACTGCCCCCCGCGAAATCATTCTCGCCCTTCTCCCGGACTGATGCAAACCACACGCAATACTGGGGCAACCCCAAGTCGTGGGATTTGCTATATCTCGGACACTGCGGCGACTACTTTAATGAGGTCACGTACGAGGGACTGGTGCCCACTGAGAAGGGCTTCAATCTCACCGACTTACCACATGTCTTATACAACGACCCCTCTCTCCCTGTCAAGTCCGATCTTCATCCCTTCACCCAAAGCCTGTTCGATGCCCTCAAGATTCCAGAACACACTCGCGCCTTCCACCGCTCCAAGTTCCCACTCTGTACCTTTGGTTATGCTGTGACACGGCCGGCAGCCGAGCGCCTCCTTACAGATCTGGCCCCGGCAAGGCTTCGTCCCAAGGGACCCAGAGCGTTTGATGTCGCCCTTCTCCATGCCTGCTCCAAGGGATCCAAGACCCCCTCGCCCACCCCGAAGAAGAACCCAAAACCCTACCCCGACCCCGCGCTAAGACACAAATACGCGAGCCCTGGTCTCCGATGCTGGACTCTCAACTCTGAACTGTTCCATCACATGCCAGGCGATTCTCAAATAGCACAGATTTCGGAAACGATGGGGCAGAAAGTTGGCATACCGCCTGTCGACTTGGCCGGCCAAAACCAAGTCATCTACCGCAACGAAACGAGTAACATCGGCTGCGGATTCTGGGGTGGCGCTTTCTCATTTGGCGACGACGACACAGAACGACTCCAATTTCTGCAAGATGAGGTGGGAAGGAAAGGCAAGTGTTTGAAGGAGGGGAGGGATTCGCTTTGATATGAGGCGTCATGATTGTGAGCGACTTCTCATACACACGACGGACGACGGACGACTTTTGGAGACATTACTGTATGGTGAAGCTTGGTCTTCTGCCACACTACACCTTTCAACCGTATATGATTAACCCTGAACCAAACCACACAAGTATATAACACCAACCTCTTTCCTATACCTCTGCATATCATGCCAATGGCGTTTCTGGACTGGACTCATTGGGCCGGGAAGGACTTCGGGATTCCTCAGGCTCCCCAATGGGAATCAGGCGGAATATCAGGAGTTTCAGTCGGTCTGGACAGATTACATAGATACCACGACAGCAAGACCTGCCTGCGGAGCGGGCAAACTGTCAAACTTGCAACATTACCGAATTCAAAGCTCTACGAAACTGCGGTTCTTCTCATAATTGTCCATCGTTTTTATTGTTATGTGTGGCATGAACGCATTGCCGATCACAATACCTAAGCAGCCACTAGGAGAATGCAAGGTGATGTCGAGGGTTAAGTCATTATTCTATGAATCTCAGAGCCTTCTTGGCCTCGATTATGAATATCCGAACAGAGTTACGCCTTTGACCTACCAACAGCCCAATAATCCTGGCCATCAGGCACACTCCAGGCATCGCGTCAATCCTCTCATTTCACCTAAACCCGAAATCATGGCAAAGCTTAAACGTTTATCGAACTATGTTGCCAAAATTAACACGCTTGCTCAAATAATCTATAAATAGAGCGCTTACTCAAATACTTCGAAGTTTCCTTCGTACTTCCTTCATGCGGAGAGATCGTTATCTTGGAACGGAGGTCTTTGCTGTCGGATCAGAGTGAGGTCTTTTGGGTGGCAGAGCAGAACATAGACGCAATAAATGACGATCTGAGCAGGGCCGTATGGGTACCAGAATACAGACTCATAGGAACGACCACTAAGCCCGACGCCCGAAAGGTTCCTTCGATTTCGGGCCCTTGTAATTGCTTGAGGTTTCAGTGTTTTGGCTTTTTGGTAGCAATGGCTGAGACCTGATGGTGTTTCTTTCTTTGAAAATGAACTGCGAGAAATAAACGTATCTATGACGTTGCAGAGGAAAATACCTCCACTACGCACCAGGATTATTACCATCAGGGTCCCCATCACCATCACCGAAGATTGGACCAGGTGTTAAGCCTCAGCCACAGCCTCGGTCGAAGTTGAAGCAACTTCTGACGGTACCTGGTCCGCGATCGGCAGGATCCTGGTCCTGGGGGCGAGATGAAACACGCGTCGAGGACGAATCCTAAACGAGTCATCAATCTGATGCGACAAGCTTTGTGCAGAGGTACCGGGGCCGTGCTTTGGTAGGCGGGAATGAGAGTGGGAAGCGCTGCTGTTGTTCCATGCCTGTAATTCGATATAGGAAATTGAGTGACTGTGTTACTTTTGGAGTGTTCGTGTGTGCGTATGAGTACAAAATATTGCAGCAAGGGCGCTGGACGCAAGGACTTGCATTCATTGCTGTGAGCTAGATCAACAAGTACATTGTACCTTCACCTACCGTGTCAGCAACCCATCCTCTCACAACATTCCTCCACCTTCGCCACTTCCTTCCATCCTTCTCAAACTAAGAACCAGACCACTATTCAAACAAAACGAAACATCTCAAATCCCGGTGGATTCCTCATCTCCATCTCCATCTTCTCTCCACACAATCTCCTGATGCCACCAAATCATCTACGTCTTGTATTAAATGATTCCTTATCGATAGGATTAGAGCTGGCGCTATGTGGGGAGCGGTGACGAAGCGCGGAAAGGGGGAAGGATGGTGATGGTGCGAGCCGCGCAATGGGGATTTGTAAGTGGATAGAGTGCGTGGGTGGTGACGAAGAGGAGTGAAGGAGGAGGGATCGGTGGGTGTTGACGTTAAAATTCGAGGTGGATGGTGATGTTGAGGATATGGGACTGGTGCGAATGCCTGTGGAAGATGACTTTCCTCTCCTCTCCACAACACCACAACAATAGCATCATTGATAATTAGGAAAATTCTGAAGTCTTCGCAGCGGTAGTCATATTCCTTCAAACTCCGTTTTATTATTTTCTTAGTCGAGAAGTTTCCACCACTCTCGTTCACGCGACTTGTTTTCACTCCCTCGGCTTCCTATTGTTCTCTGCGATTCACGTTTTCTCCTATCAGGTCGATATAGTTGTAAGAATATGTGAACCTTCTGTTCCGATTGTATGATCAGAACCTCGAGCCAAAGACGCTTAGCTATAGAATGCAAACTTTACAATGGGCAGTGAAGCTCCCACGCTCACAGTTTCCCAACAAACACGCACCTCTACGGTCTCGGTCATCTAGCTCGACGACCACCAATTTATGGTACGGCGAGTCTGGTATTTGTATATAGCAGGTATCGTGCGGGACTACATGCGCGCTTCTCAAGCTCTAGGGTATTGGGACGAACACAAATCTGTATGGCTGCTGAACTATGCGCTGTCTGATATGCAACATGCAAGAACCCGGTGTGCAAATCTGTTAAACCGCTGCCCTGGGCTAAACATGTGCCCTCGAATTATTCCCTCACACATCTTTATCCAGTGAGCGCGAACAATACTGTTATGCGCTGGAGTGGGAGACAAATATTGGTAAAATATTCTTCCCCCTAGTGAACGTCGTGAACAATAGCATCCGCAAAACAATAGTAAGGAGGCGGCCACTCCGCCCACATACTATATAAAATTAACCTCTTCTACTTCTGAACCAACTTCCCAAACCTCTCATCAACTCCTACAAGCCCTTTAGCCAGCTTGCCAGCTTTTCGATATATTTTAATAGCTTCCTCTCCCTACTCCACGTTACCAATTAACGTAACATCTACGCCAGAAATGGAATTTCCCCTCTACCTCCTCGAAACCTGGTTCTTAGGTTGGATTGCACAGACCCCTATCTCCCCGAGATCAACAGTCGTAATCAGCGAGTTCGTCCGTTACATTACCAGTCTCGCTGGAGAAACACTTCAATCGTCGTCACTTGTTCTCCAGGAACGTCTCTCCCGACCGCACGAAGTGAGGACATCAACACCAAAGGCCAGAGTCAACAGCAAGGACAAGAACAAGTACTACGTCAAGTCATCGCATTCACTAGCATCAATGCCCCTTCCGAATATGGCTCCTCAAGCTGGGACACAGTGCGCCGTAATGTAGTGGGAGAGTGGAACATGGAGATGCAAGGTAAGGAGATTTCTCCCATCCCTTACATAATTTATAGCGCGAACTCTGACGTAACCGAAGTAAGAGACTGCCAGACGAAATTCCTAGTATCTCATCCATTATGGTGTACTACACATTCCCCTTTAACTTACATTCCCTCCGCTCCTCGAACACGGCCAGCCCTTCCTTCATACAACATAAATGCTCACCAACTCCACCCGCCACTTCGAACTCTCCAATGTCCATTTGGCATATCTGCACACCCACCCTGTTTATCCGAACCCTGCATACCATACCACCTGTATCAGCCACTCCCCCCCTACTTACAAAAAGATTCATATACGCCAAAAACGTGTTTATCTGCACTCTACTAGCTACGAAGGAAACCATCAACATACCTTCTTCCCGTACGAACAGCATCTCATTGGCCTCCAATCCCGAAACCAGATATTATCTCCAGCCTAGATTTTATCACAGAAATGTCCCAGGAGAGAGCAAATTGTTAGAGAAGAGCAGGACAGCCTGGAACTAGCGAGAAAAGCAGAGAAAAGCAGTACGCGAAACATGACCCAAGATTATTTGCAAAGCGTGGAATTTCGGGATGAATCTGTCATGAGCCGTCATTTCTCGTCCGTAGGGGTTGGACGGATGGAGGCCTTTGATTGGCTTGGAGGTTTGCTTACGGAGGCATGCTCTATGGTTTCTATGGAATGGGTTGGTGGTGTGTGTGGTTGGCGTTCGGGTGAGCGTAACACACCCTTATTCTCATTTCCATTCTCTGCACTTTTCTTTGCTTGGCTATCCCGTTTTGTGTCCTTGCTGCATTGTTTCAGCCAAGGTGAAACACGACAAGGTAATTCAGGATAGAAAGCTGTATCTAGTTGATGTGCTCCCTAGTTCTAGCAAGAGGTTTAATAGATAAGCTCTACCCTAGTCATGTTCTCAGTCAGTGGAGAAGACGTAGGTGGATCTCGTTGAGCTTCACTCCTAGGCTCGCCCAATAGATGGACCCAGCTTAACCAATCGGAAGTAATACGATTCGACTGGGAGTTTTCAACCGCCCTACAACTTAGTTTGTTAGTACAATTATACAATTACTAGAGGAGCAGAGGGGACTACGAGTTGTAGTTAGTACAAACTAATTCACTGTACTTACAATACAATTACTAAGAATTAGTTTGTAGTACAATTAAATAGGACAGATTTTATGTAATTAACTAACTTACTAAGTTTACTAGCAACTAGCCTATAATAAAGCTAATTCTTTTGCAGCTGTAGCGCTTAAATTATTGCTCCACTAAAGAGATTTCTCTTAGCTAGTATAGAGAGGAAATTAAGGGCTATCTTAAAAACAGTAGGGTACTGTAAACAACTAATCTAGAGCTACCAACCAAGTGGATCTGTATACATTAAACAGGTTATGAGATAGCTAATGCGAAGATAAGTGATTCCTTACTGTTTTTTTATATAATTATACTAAGAGGCGATACAGAAAACTCTGCTAGTTGCACTGCCTATAGCCCTTACGTGCTCTGTACAACGCTAATAACTTTACCTTAGGCCTCACCTTAAACCTTACCACTAAAAAAAGCCCATACAAGTTGTAATATAATATACTTTCTAGGCTTAAGTATAATTTAATACAACTTAGAGACTCACTACAACTCTACAATGCACATGATTGTAACGTATTGTATTCTACAAATCGTAGTCCTTCCTGTTGGTCACGCTGGATGGACCTTGGAAAAATCTAGTCACGCGCATTCATTTACATAAGTGTAGTCGTATTCAAAAGGAGGATATAGAATTTTGTGTATGTACAGCACGGAGGTAGTATTCCTACGGGAGAAAAAGATTGAGTAGTCTTGTTCCGTGTTCCCTTGGTTGGGGTTCGTGATATATCCATCCCCATCCATCCACCCATCTCCTAACGCCAGCCATTTCATGAAGTGTTGAATCATGGCGTTTCACATCTCGACTCATCTACTACACACCGAGTAAGCGAATCCGAATCCACTGCTCCTATTATAGCCTACACATCTCGCACACATCTAATGATTCGCGCCCACAAATGCCGGCGGCGCAGCCTCTAGATCGACTCTCTGAACACCCTCCATCAAACCATTGCTACTGCGGACCAAGTTACTAAAGTACTTTCTCGCGGTTTCGGATTCCGTCTTAAACTTGCTGGTCTCTTCTTTCTTGAGTTGCAGCTTCTCGACATTACGTTGCAGGCCGATGCGGACATCGTTGGCTGGGCCTTTGAGCGCACGACGGAGCTCCGAGGAAATGCGAAGAGCGTTGGCGTGGGTGTAGTCGATTGCTGTGAGCTGAGACGACAGTTTTGTGCTGAGGCGGTGTGGCAGAGAATGAGGAATTGAAGTTAGGACGTATGATATCCCGATGGCGACTGTCACCTGATTAGCAAATACATCTGAGGAAGAGAAGGCAATGCACTCACCGCCAGCAATGATGCCAGGTATTATGAGCTTCCGCACATTATTGGAGCCCATAATCTTGGCGGCCCCAAACACACCGTCGATCCACCCAACACCACCAATCATTCTACCTCCAACCATACCTGCAACTGTGATAGCCATGCTAGTACCGGCAACCTTCTCCTGCCGTTCCCAGAGGCTGGCAATGTCAAAGAAGTCCCAGAGCTCGATGTCAATATCAACCTGGCGGGCTAAAGCGTGCATTGGTTTCCTGAACATCCTCTCTGGACGGAACATGATATCAGCGTAGAGGTTGTTTCCAAGGTGGATTACGCCGATGTTCTTGATTCCATTGAAACCTTGTACGGCTTGTTGCCGTGCGTGTTCCTCACATAGGCGCACGGTTTCGGAAATTTCATGTAGCATTGAATCTCGGAGATCCTCTGCATATTGGTAGGCGGAGAGAAGTCCTGGATATGAGATTCCATGGTCCTGTTCTCCTATTCGTGCGATGCAGTTGTTCAGCGTATCTCGGGTGTAGCCGTAAACTTCTGATGTTGTGTCTTCGCCGAGACGATCAACGGTCTCGCCTGCTTCGGTCCGTGCTTTCTTCGACTCCTCGTACTCTGGTTCAAGAGCATCCATCTCTTTCTTCACTCTGTCAAGCTCCGACTGAGCAACATCCCGATTGATGGTGGCGAGGTTGTGGATGTCTCCTAGGACGTTCAGAAGATATGTCTTCGCGGGTGCAAGTTTAGACCTTGCCCTCTTCTCCAGGACAAATCGCCGCAGCGATGTTTCCAGCTCTGCGAAATCGCGAATCTTTTCCTCCTCTTTTGCCTTGCCCTTGCCTTTGTCGGAAGGGTCATCATCTCCATCGCCGTCGCCAGGAGAGCCGCTTCCACTGCTTGCCGCAATCATGGGGATAGCATTGCTTGATACGAAGTGGACTAGTTCGCTTGACTCCTTAAACGTAGCCGGACTCAGATGTTTAACCTGCTTCAGGATCATCTCTTGGCATCTCTGCTGATCTCGAATATTATCGAAGCCGTTGACCACCATGAAGATGTATGCTTTCTCGCGGGCTGCATTGAAGATGAAATCCTTGGCTGAGAGAGTGAAATGATTAGCAGCAGAGACTACAAAAACAACCACATCAATCTCTTCCTGGCGGGCAAAAACTGCGGTAGTCTTTACGGAGTCAGCGTTTAAGCCTGGGGCGTCTATAAGGGCAATATTAACGACTCCGTTGTTGAGCAATGATTCGTCCATAGATCGAATGTCTTGAATGTAGACCTTGCATTGTGAGAAGTGTTCGTTATCGGTCACAATCTTCTCCAGATCCTTCAGCTCGAAGACAGTGTATGTACTCTCATCGTGGCGGTTGTACGTGGAACCAATGGGTACCGCATGGACCTCTTCTACGCTACCATTCTCCCGAAAGTCAAGGACCTCGCAGAAAATGCTAGTACATGGCTGCTGATCCTCTGGAAGAAGTTTCCGCCGAAGGAGGGCATTGCAGAAGGTAGATTTTCCTGCGTTGAGGTCTCCGGTTACGAGGACCTTGCTTGACGTGTCCTCGATTCTCTCCTTGATGGCGTAGAGATGACGAATGCTCTGCTGGATCTGGCCGTCCAGCAGAGAAGCAATCGAGCCCTTCTCTAGAGAGTGTACCAAGTCCGTCTGGTTCCGGCTTCCTAGACGCAGTTCTAGTTTAAGCACAGAAAAATCATGAGCAAGCTGTGGCGTGACTAATCTAGGTTCTTGCTTCGGCTCCCGTTCTGCGGCGGAACTTGACTCTGCCACAGTTGTGGCTTCTCCCAGCGATGTGCCCGCTCGTTTTGGTGGCTGGGGTCGTCCACCCGAGCGCTCGAGGTCGAGGTCGGTCAGGGAGGATTGAGTATGATGGAGGGAAGGCCGGGGGTCGGCACGGTTATATGTGGGAGACTTCGGATCGGGCTGTACAGAAGGATAGTGCGCTGGCCACTTCATGTTCATCTCTTGGAAACTTTGGAGCGTCTCGATGGTCCCGTGGATGGCACGCGCGAGGACATTCTTGTTCTGGTTATACCGCAGCTGCAGCACATGGCTGCGCTGTCGGTCATAGTTGGCAGAGCCTACCCCGCCGTTTAGGAAGGGAGTGAGAGGCGGCGTAGGTCTGTCTTCGCCCATGTTAGGATGCCAGCTTGGTCCAGAGGTTTCGCCATTGACTAAACTTCCTCCATATCCCGAGTCATGATCGAGCATGTTTACAAGACGAGCCGCTGCTTCTGGTGTCGATCCGGAGCCGACTGTCAAGTAGCCTGGACGGGCGGGCCGGGGGACGAAGGGATCGGACGGCGGTGTGACATCGCGACGGGAGGAAGAAGACTCTTCAGGGGATCTGGGAGTGTTGGCGGGTTGGTCGGAGTCCATTGCGATGGTTAGGTGAATTGCGCGGGGAAATAAGGGCGCATAACGAGCTGAATTGGAGGTGCGCTCGAGGGGTGCGAGATATTGTGAAGGTGTCGACGGGATGTCGTAACGTGATGCAGGTGAGGGTTGTGCTCCCAGGGTGGCGAGTGCCAAGAAACGGCGGCGAGTGACTTTTGACAATCACGGGAATGAAAACAGTACAAGTGACCAGGACAAGCGAAATAGTGAGGGCAATCTGATGTTGGCGATTGCGAGTGTCGTTCACTAGAGTGGAATGATATCCTTCGGGAGGGGTGTAAGTGATATGGGAATTCATCTTGGCTTGGTGCATTTTGCATTTCTTCCTTGCAAAAACTCCCTACCTAGGTTGAACCACCGACCACCGATGTCCAGCCTGGGTGCAATACCTGCCTACTCTGTGGAGCGCCAACGTTCTCCACGAAACTCCTCTTGCGAATTCATCCCCCCCACTTCCCTAGAATCCGGCCGTGTTCACCCTCATCATGAATGTATGTCGTTTGCTGAACGAATCATGGTCAACCCTAACCCACATCGTCTTAGATCGTCGAATGGGCCTTTGGCAAGCGCATGACGCCCGCTGAACGGCTGCGCAAGCACCAGCGAGCACTCGAGAAGACCCAACGAGAATTAGACCGAGAACGCGTCAAGCTCGAGAACCAGGAGAAGAAACTGGTGCAGGATATCAAGAAGAGCGCCAAGAATGGACAGATGGGCCCACTGAGGATACAGGCAAAGGACCTGGTGCGGACAAGGAGGTGTGTAACAGGCAGAGCCCTCTAAATCCCCTCTGGGGACATGGGCTGACTCTGAAAACCAAGATATATCCAGAAATTCTACCAGATGCGAACACAGTTGCAGGCCATATCGTTGCGGATACAGGTTAGTGAGCTGGCAATCTGGTTGTCGGCGCTAGGGATCTAATTTTGAACAGACGGTGCGCAGCAATGAACAGATGATGCAGTCCATGAAAGGTGCCACTGGTAAGTTCTGGCATGGGAAGTTGCTTTGGCGACCCGGGCAACACATCTAACACATCCAGCGCTACTTGGGAGCATGAACCGGCAAATGAATCTGCCAGCCTTGCAGCGGATCGCTATGGAGTTCGAGAAGGAAAATGATATTATGGATCAGCGGCAGGAGATGATGGACGATGCCATTGACGACGTCACCGGTCTCGAGGACGAAGAAGAGGGTGAGGAGGTGGTCAACCAGGTCCTGGATGAGATAGGCATTGATCTTGGCCAGGCGGTATGTTCAGTTCTTCCACCAAGTCTACATATTCTAACGCTGGCGATCCAGCTGGGCGAAACGCCTACAGGCCTGCAAAAGACTGGAGTTCAAGAAGGTAGAGTGGCGCAGGCAGTGGGTGGAGGAGACCCAGGAGACGATGACCTCCAAGCGCGGCTAGACAGCTTGCGGAGATGAGTGAAACGGAACCCATGTCATGTTACGACGGAGTTATGGAGTCGCGGTAGGTGCCTGGAAGTGTAATGTCACGGCGCATGCATAGGGAAGACTCAGTCATTTCTGGGATTCACAGATTCTCTCGAATTCTCAGCCATCTCCTCAATCAATTTAGTATCATTCCAGCCATCCAGATGTGTGGAAGGTCTTCATCTTCATCTTGGTGGACTGCACCACAACACGCCCAAACGAATCAGCGCGTCATGCCTTACTAATTCAAAACGTCCTCAACTCGTAGTTCTCGAGGGTTTCTGCCGGCCTAAAGCTCACCGGAAGGAAGCCATGCGCTCAATGTCATGCGTTACCACACGAGAGCCTTGTGGCCGCAGTGAGGATATCTCGGGGGAGAAAATTGGCGGGGTGGTAGAATAAGGCTGCGGCTGCTCCTCGTCTCCGCTTCCTGAGGCCTGCACTGGCCAGGTTCCCATTCATCGCCATTGACCCCGACCCCCGCTTCCAATGCATGCATGGCCCTCTGCCACAACACCAGGCATTTTCCTACCGCATATCTACTTCACCTTCCCTCAAACCTGCCCTCCCATCGCTAACAGCATTTACACCTGCATTGTTCCACCGTCCCCTATCGCCCGTCCGCCCCCCGCCGCCTGCATCCGACGTCATTCGCCAGCCGCCCCCCAGCGCCTAATTAGCAGCCTCTTTCACCACATCCTTCGCATCTACACTTACCTCCACTCTCTTCACCGTCCCTGCCGCGCCCCTCTCCACGCGTGTTCCGTGACCAGCATTGCTAGCGGTACGTCAGACCCTGCGCAACGCGGCTTTGTCATCCACGGTTCCCGCAGCTCCCGCTATCCCGACTTTTGCGCCCCTCATTGCTTGCATTTCTGCAGGCCTCTTAGAATAACAACCATTGCTGATACATCGTCCCTGCGCACACTGTTGACGTCCCCACCCAGCGCGCCGCTACTCCGTTCCTCCTCCCTAAATTTAATCGTCAATTACCCCACCCGTCCTGCGCGCAGAGCGAGCTTCCGGCGCGAATCCATCAACCTGGCAGGAAACAAGCGTAGGAGCTTCTCCAGCCAAGGAGGCCTGTTAAACAGGATGTTTGGCACGTCGCCTGGGAAGGACGACGATGCTGCTGCGGTAGACTCTCCTGCCGGGGGTGAGTCTGCAGCGTTAGCTTCCACCAACGAGACTATAGAGCGGAAGAACAGCGATGTGAGCCCCAGCGGCGGGGGGAAGCGAAGAAGCAGCGGAGTCTCGCGCGCCAGGGATATGTTCTCCAGCGCCAAGCAGTCATTACACCTCCATGGCTCTTCTCCAACATCTACCACCATCAACTCGGAGAAACTAAACCAAACACCGATACAGAAACTTGGAAAGTCCGATCCAGCGCTCAATGTCCCTCAGGGTTCTCTGAATAATTCTGCTGGCGAATCTGCGCCTGGCCCGCGCTCGACCTTTAGGGTAGGCGTCACGGAAGATAAGAACAAGAAATGTCGTAGGACTATGGAGGACACACACGCATATTTGTACAATTTCCTCAGCACCCCTGCACCCTCATACAGCGGAGACAAAGGCCGAAATTCCACCTCTGACTCAAGTTCAAATCACTCTGACCCAACAACCCAACCTATGGTAGAGACAGACAATGGATATTTTGCAATTTTCGATGGCCATGCTGGAACATTTGCGGCGGATTGGTGTGGAAAGAAATTGCATCTTCTATTGGAGGACACAATCCGAAAGAACCCAAATACACCGATACCCGAGCTTTTAGATCAAACTTTCACTACTGTCGACCAGCAACTAGAGAAGTTGCCGCTTAAGAATAGCGGCTGCACTGCAGTAATAGCAGTGTTGCGGTGGGAAGACCGGGTTCCAAACGCTCAGTCTTCGACTGGCTCGGTCCTCTTCGCACCGGCTGCTGTCTCTGCAGTGAAGGGTGCGTCGGAAAGCGGAGATAAACAAACGGATACCGCTGACCCAGCTCCAGAGTCGGCTGCAGACTCACAAGCTATGCCCCAGGCAGAAGCTCACCCTGCCGAGGTAAGGCTGCGCAACGATGCTAGTCGCCAGAGGGTCTTGTATACGGCGAATGTTGGCGACGCCCGAATTGTCCTCTGTCGGAACGGGAGAGCTCTTCGCCTATCGTACGACCATAAAGGCAGCGATGAGAATGAGGGAAGACGTGTCGCTAGTGCTGGTGGCTTGATACTGAACAACCGCGTCAATGGTGTTCTGGCTGTCACGCGAGCCCTGGGGGATGCTTATATGAAAGACTTGGTCACTGGGCACCCGTATACCACGGAAACCGTGATCCAGGCAGATCAAGATGAGTTTCTGATTCTTGCTTGCGATGGTGTAAGTTTATTAGGATAGCCAAGCGAATAACAACTAACAGTCTTGTAGCTGTGGGATGTATGCTCTGACCAGGAAGCAGTCGACTTGGTTCGTCATGTTCAGGATCCGCAAGCAGCCTCGAAGACTCTGGTCGACCACGCTTTAGCGCGCTTCTCGACTGACAATTTGTCCTGCATGATTGTCCGGTTCGACAATAAGGCTCTCAAACAACGCAGACACGAATCTCTGATGGGGGTTGACGGCGACAGCGCCAAGGCTGGAATCAGCGAAGCAGACGCGATCGTCTCACAGGTAAGGAAATACATGGGCGAGTTCGACCAACCGACCGAGAACGCCACTGCTGAGATGATCATGGAGGAGGAGGAGTCCGAACCTGGACCTGAGCCGAATGTGGAGGCGTTGAAGACCACGGCCAAAAACAGCTGAAGCACACCCTGTGCAAAAGTCTGCATGTAATTTTCAAATTACGGGGCTCAAGCAGGCGCGCTGTTGTGTTTCTGGAGTTGTGGTATCCTTGAATTTTACTAGGTGTACTCTTTGAGGTCTCCTTTCTGATGAACACACTGTTTGATTTTAACTGTACCAATGAAGCCAGGTGTTGCGAGGGTTTTCCTTGACACCAAAGCATATGAGCTATTCGAGAGCGCACTTGGTAATGAAAACAATCAACTCTACACCGCTGTCATCCTCCACCTGACCGGATCTAGTGAATGATCGTTTGCACCCCCATCCATGGTTGTTGTCAGATCTAATCGCTGCCACACGGACCAAGCCCCACTTTTAGCGCATGGCAGCTCGTGACGGCGTAGTTTCAACTTCCACCTCGACTGCACCACAGCCCTACAACCTCACATTCATTCTCCCGGCTCTCGCTCGCTTCATTCCCGCCAGCCTCCGTTTTTGGGGTAAATTACATTCCCCCATGCGGCTCCATCCAAAGGAGCACCGCAGCCACAATGTCTGGTGCAGACCTTGCCGAAACCACGACGCCTGCCCCGCCGCCGAATGCCACCACAGCTAGCGATGTGCCGGAGCGACCGCTTTTCGTGGCGCCGAGGACATATCTCGAACAGGCAAAGCCCATAATGCCGCAAAAACTACTCACCGTGTTGGAACGAGAACAGATGGACGCACTGGTACGTGGAGACCTGCAGCTTGTGGAGGAACCGAGTGTTTGGACGGATTGGGGGCTAGTACCGGCTGACAGGAAGCATAGAGAACGATTCGAGCTTTCTTGAAAGTCAGGACGAGTTACGATGTCATGCCCCTCAGCTTTCGACTCATTGTTTTCGATACCAGTTTGTTAGTGAAGAAGAGTCTAAATATATTGATACAGAATGGTATTACTCTCCTGTTCACCACCCAAAGATTTTTCTCCTGACAGCGGGCATAGGCATTGTTTCAGCTCCGCTATGGGATTCGAAGAGCTCAACATTTGCGGGACTCTTGACGACCTCGGACTACATCAACGTCATACAATATTATTGGCAGAATCCGGATGCACTGGCAAGAGTTGATCAGTTTCGGCTGAACAGCCTACGGGGTTTGCCCCCTTTCTTTCTAAGCTTTAGAAACGGAGGATAACAGGTCGAACCAGATATTGAAAAAGCTCTCGGCGTAACGCCAATCGAAACGGTATCCATTCACCCGGAACGTCCGCTCTACGAAGCCTGCCGTAAGATGCTCTCCTCACGTGCGAGACGTATACCCCTCGTCGATATCGACGACGAAACACACCGTGCCATGGTTGTATCTGTCATCACGCAGTACCGCATTCTCAAATTCGTCGCGGTAAACGTAAAAGAGACTCAGATGTTGCGGATGCCACTGAAGGATCTGAATGTAGGGACCTACGAGGAGTTGTGTACCGCGAATATGGATACCCCAGTTATGGATGTTATTCATATGTTGGTCAAAAAAAGTATTTCTAGCGTCCCCATTTTGGATAAGGATGGTATGTGGTGCAAATATCATGTCTTGTTTGTGGACTCTTGCTCATAATTGTAGGCGCTGTGATCAATGTGTTCGAAGCAGTTGACGTCATCACGCTTATCAAGGGAGGCGTCTACGATGATCTCAATCTGACCGTCGGGGAAGCTCTCCTGAAGCGTTCCGACGTAGGTTACCCTCAACCCGCCATCCTGTTAAAAGCAGTTTACTAAGTGTTAGTAGGAATTCGCAGGCATTTACACCTGTTCGATGAACGACCAAGTCGGCACAATCTTCGACACCATTCGCCGGTCCCGCGTCCACCGCTTCGTCGTCATCGACGAAGAGCGCCGGCTCAAAGGCGTCCTAACTCTCAGCGACATCCTCGAGTACATTTTATTGGAGGGCGAAGAGAACGAGTAGAAGGACCTGTTCCAACTCCTCGTAAAGAAATGCCCAATTTCCTCATACTCACCAAAACACTTTAATTAGGATCTCGATGTCAAGCAGGCAGGCTTTTCTGGAAAGGGATAGTTGGGGCGGGGAGGAGGGCATTGGTAAGTTTTAATTGTAGGATTCTTTGGCAGCGGAGCATAGCATCCCAAGCATCAAAGGAACCCACTTATACATGATGGTATCTTAAATGAGTGGGTTTGATATATCCCGTTCTCTCTTGACTCGGAGTTGAGGAAATGCATAGACGATTTTCGTATACAGAGTTTCAAGAATAATGGTGCTTACTTCGCTTGGACTGAGATCTTGGCTGGTCCCAGTCGGACCGTAGGTAGGCTCAGAGTGCTGAAGATATATAATGCCTGTGTTTTCCATATGCATGGCATTGGTAGACAATCTTCCCCCATATTTTGGTTTCATCCATCTCCTATCTGCTTTTCGAGTCATCCTGTTTTAGTTCTCTACGAGGTTTCGCAATCATACCAAAGAAATATTACACTCAGTGCATTTTAGAGAACGCTAGTACGGATCATGAGCAGCGAGAAATTATTCTATAAAGAGTCCACCAAGAAAAATCAGGCTTCAGTCCCAAATTTTCGAATAACTTCAAAGCCCTGTCCTTGTCGACGAGCATCCGAAACCATTCCCAGCCCCCAAATCGTCAACGATACCTTCGAAACCTAAGCCAATAATCCAGAATTCTTCATCGCTACCTACCGCCCTATTCTAACTTTGGTATCTGAGGCCTTGAGCAGCAAAAGCTTCCTAGGCCTATCATATTGGCCGCTCTCGGCCGCCACACAAACAGCCCCATCTTGGCGCATATCATGGAAACTTTTAATGCGAACAATGCGAGAGGTATCTCCAAAATACCTTCTACGACCAACAAAACCTGGGGCTCTTCAGCTTTGCGCTACTATTCAGCTAGGTGGGGAAAAGGTATAAGGTAGGTTCCATTTCTCATCTCAACTCTCCATCACCCTCCTCCTTCCAACTTCTCACTCAGTATGGAGAAACACGACCAGCCCGTTGACGAAAAGGACGAAGATCTAATCAAACAAGGGATCTTGAAAGCCGATACCGAATCCATCGTCTCCTCCGCTCCATCCCGCAGCGAACAAGTCGAGGAAGACGCCAAGGTGCCTATTGATGACACCACATTTTCTCCCACGCGCACCTTCTACATCCTCAGACACAATCTCTTCTCTACTGAAATCAACCTCATCGATATCAGCTCTGAAATTGCCGTGAACTCGCCCTACAGTGGCGGCGAAATCAGTAACGAGCTGCGTGATGCTGCGCGCGAGTTAAGCAAAGATGAAATGCGAACGTCCAACCCAGCGTACCGGCTCAAGCGTCCGCATTGGTGGAATTCGACGTGTAAGATGAGTGGAATTGCGGCGGAAGAACTGGAACTGGCATCATGGAAGCATCCGAGCATGTCGTTCGGAAAAGCGTCCATTACCTTCCCGCAAAACTCGACCCACAGCTCCCACAATTTCATCATGGCACCGGTGAAATGGTATCGTCGCACAAACGAGTGGGTACAAGATAGCGTGACCTACTCCTGGCGCTGCAATAGCAAATATAAAGCCAATCGCATGACGCTGTACAAGAAGATTGGAGGAAAGAATATAGTTGTTGCGCGGTATGCGCAGCGATGGGGTAGTTGGGTTACTGGGGGAGTTTTGTTGGTGGATGCAGTGGAGGTGGATGAGGTTGTGGCAGGGTTGACGGCTTGTGTTATGCTGAGGAGAATGCAGCAGAGGGCGGCTGAGAGGATGAAGAGTGCGGGTGTGGGAGGGGGTGGGGGTGGGGGTGGGGGAGATTGATCATTTTGCGAAGGGAAATGGATGACTCGTTTGGAGATGACGGGGATTTGGGGGTAGTAGAGAATAGAATTGAATGCAGTCGGCATATGTTTCTATCGAATTAATACAACATTTTGGTGTTTTATGAGATGCGAGATTTCACAATCATCGGTCTGCTTGAGCATACTTTGCTGGAACTAAACCAAGCAAAAAGGTTGATCAAGGTGAGCTAGAATAGTGTAGCTATACTTGATTAAGGGAAAGACCTGCGCGCTCTCGATAGGAGCTTTATGCCCTTAACTTTGACGATTTTGCCTTCTTCTTTAGCTTTCTAATAGGAAATGGCTCAAGGACTCGTGAGAGAGAGGCACCCTGCCACATTCCTATCGAACCTTGTATCCCATTTCAGTATCACCGCGTAACTTGAGCAAGACTGTGGGGGAGGAAACTAACGAATTACTTAGAGTGAAAGATGCCGTCTGCACAGTGGAGGCGTAACTTCAAATCCATGCCTCTTTTGCCATAAATGCCGTAACTTTCCAAATTTGACAGTAACTCTTGTTCGTAGGACGAAGGGCTTTTAATCTTGTAGACTCCATCACTTAGTCGACTGAACTTCTCCATAACTCCTCCCCAAATCCTTTGACCAGTTTGGGGAGTGTACGGAGAGCCTGAAAGACGTGACGCGAAAGAAAAACAGAATCAAACTTGCTAAAAAATAGGGAAGGACAATTTCCAGTCGTTTAAAAAATGTCACTTATGTCCAGCGTGATGAATACTTAGCTCATTCGGTAGAAGAATACATATTATCTTGTTCCTTGAAGCTGTTGGCCCGTTGCTCACCTTCACACTTTTCAATACTCCCTCTTGCCCTCCTTTTACATGACTAATGAAATTCCTGCCTGTAGCTACACTAGCACTACTAGTCAGTCTCGTTGCTAGTGTAGTATTCTTTCCGTATAAAATCCCTTTTGAAATTGCCAAGCGCGAGGAAGGCTTCGACGAATACCACTTGGGCCCTATTAAGAAGACAGCTACAGCCGGGATTCCTCCTCTTCTAGGACTGGCGCTGGAAAGTGGGTAGATTCCTCCATCACAGTCTTACCATCTAAATTCGGAGTTTGGAAGGGTAAACGTGATTGTAAATTTTGCAATATGGGAAGGATTCAGGCAGCAGATGCGAACAAAGCTACCCTTCTCTCCTCAATCCATATATCTAAAATGAAAACTACGACAAGGGAAAATTTCATCCGTGCTCTTGAGCCATAGTTGCGGCCGTTATTTACAATCAACTCTATTATGTAACTAAAGACCAGGAAGCCTGCTTCCTCATTACAGGTACGCCGTCCATAGTTTCGGAAATGGTGTTGAATTAATTAATATTCTCCACCAATGCGTGATTTAGTGGTATGCTACGAAAGAGACTACGGTAAGGCTAGCGGCACTACCCGTTTAATTCGAGGCCAATCACGGCTTCCTCATATGGTTCCAGAAGGCCAAAGAAAGTTCACTCGTACATGCGATGAATAACTCATGGAAGCGGGAAAGCTAATCAACAATTCCGCACTCATCGACCCCATCGGTAAACTTACCGACCATGCTCGACCAAAGAGAAGCTAAGGAAAGACGGGGGTGTCACCTATTATACTTCGTTAGAGAACCTCATCACTGGGATCACCCTGCAGGAGAGTCAAGAATAGTAATACTAGACAGATTTGCAAGCTTCCCTTCTTCGATGAGGATATGGAAGATAACAATTGGTGCCCTAAACCAGAAAGTTAAGAGGAAGCTTATCCATCCCACAGATCCCCCGGGGCTTCCGATAATTGTACAAAAGGCATAGTATAGAGACAAGATTGCCCGTACACCCATACTAGAGGTATGGAATCTTGCGACCTTGAATCCTACTGCTCGTTTGAGATGAAGGTTTAGGGAGCCTTCTGTGTGGAATATAGAATCGATGTTAGACCAGTATCCACGAAGGCAGCCCAACTGAGAACTGTAGCGTTATCTTGTATTTACCTCCCGAGGATGTTCGGTCCCCCGTGAAACTAGGAGCTGAGAAACAGATGCAGTATAGCGCCACTAAGACAGAGAGATTCATACAGGACGATGAGAATGCGGCTATTGGGGATTCTTGTGAGAACGACTAGCCATTCGGAGGATAGGGCCTAAAAGTCACAAAGGGATTAGTTAATATATCAGCCAGTATTGATATCGGTTGGAAAGACGGGGCCCTAGAGGAGAGGGTTTTCGCTGCAGGAACTTATGTTAAGTCGGATAGTCGAAGTATAGGACTCGATTGTATACAATAGTGTAGAAGGATAGCTAGCTAGCTCTTTATACGTTCATGCCTAGCCTTGGCTAGTTTGAGTCTCCTTGTCAGGTCACAGGGCTGGCCCCTAAGTAGAGTGCACAACACGGGCGCAGCCATGTCCCTCGAATCGAGATAGAACCTCGGTTTTGTGCAAAAGAAAGTAAAATGTACTGTTTTCGCTGAATATCTGTACATCATCAACGCCCGATATATACAATGGCTGAAAATGGTATCTGGCAAAAAAGGTTGCTGTTTCCAAGACAGTGCTGAAATGTATGTAACCCCAAATAACTCCTGCGTAAATGCTATCTTTGATATAGATGGTGCGAAAGATTTTTGCGACCCAAAAAGTCCTTGCGATGGGTTCCTACTTTTGGCTCAACATATGTTTGAACTTCTCGATCTAAGATTTGTCAGTCATAGTCTCTGCTTCTTGCTAATGCTTCGTGCTCACCTTTGTGGACAAATACTTCTCCACTTCCTCACTTCTTATCCCAGCTTTCCCCCCAGTCTTCCAAGCCAATGGCACCATAGCCACTCTCTCCCTTACCACCACTTCTCTTCCTGGCCCCTCCACCGCCCTGACCTTATCGGGATTATTCGTCAACAGTCTGATGCCATCCTCCCCTCCTAACCCCAAATCGATCAGCATAGCCGTCGCTAGACCATAACTCCTCGCATCCGCCGGATGTCTGAGTAAAATATTCGCCTCATATGTATCATTGCCCAGATCCTGGAGATTGTACGCTTTGAGTTTTTCGCCGAGACCAATACCGCGGCCTTCTTGGCGGAGGTAGATAATGGCACCACCAGATGGAGAGAGCGAGGGGTCAGACATCAGACGTGCAGCTTCGTCGAGTTGCTCGCCGCAGTCGCAGCGGGCGGACCAGACCGTCTCACCGGTGTAGCATTCGGAGTGGATGCGGACGAGTGGCAATTCGAGGTTGGAGGTGGGGGTTTGGACTTCGCCAGATTCCGACGATGCCGCTGAAAAGGGTGTGAGGAGCCCATTTGTCTTCACAGTTTGTAGATTGCCAGAATCTGGATTATTTAAGACCTTTTGATTTGGCAGCACGCCCTCGGACCTTTTGATTTGTTCTATCCGGGAGCTGGTTCGTCCAGGATAGAGGCGGCCTACGTATGCGCCCCGCGTCATGCGGTCAAGTTCAGTTTCTCCAGGGCGCTCGGCATCTAAGCTGCGGGAACGGATATTGTTTCCAAAGACAATTGCTAGGTGCTCCTTCGTATCTATGCTGTTCCTGTAAACATGCAGCCACATTTCCTGGCCCGCCGTGGTAGGTATTCTTGCACGCACTTCGCATTCAACGACTGGAAGGATCTGTAGCAGATTCGGGGCAGGGGTATCCGAAGGCAGAGAAGTATCAACTGGCGTCGAGCGGGGTGGCCTGGGGTGCGAAGGAGTGGAGAAACCGGGAGTGGCGGGAGGCGTGAATGCGGGCGAGATCAGGGACGGCGGAGGTTCGTGGGGAGTCGCAGTCGCCAAACTCTCGTCCTGCATCGACTGGTCTTCGGCCTCATCCACCGAAGGGACGAGGTTGAAGCCGTCTAGCCGTCGGGGGCTTGATGCCTTTGGTGAATACAGCGGGGCCAGGGCTGGCGAAGCGTGTGCGGGGAGATCTGGCATGGTTGGAATTGGGTATTCAGCTGAACGGAAAGGTAGCAGAAGGTTTGCAGAGCGGCGATTGGGGTTGCAGGACTGTTAAAGAGGAGTTCCCATTGCGCAATGAAATCTTTGGGTTGCGGCTATGACACCGAGGCTTGAGCTTTTGGTGGGGGCGAGTCGCTTCCGAAGAGTGCGGAACCTCAACGGCTTTTGTGCCGACTTCGGGAATGTCATATGTAAGCATCGTCAGCTAAGGCGCCGTAAGCAGATTCAAATCAATTTAAGGCATTTCGGAAGCCGTGGAAGCCTCGATATCATCATTCCTGTCGTACGACCATTTCGGCGTGTTTTCGGCCCGAGTGCTACGTGCTACAAAAGCAAGACAGGTGTCCAAAATAATCCCAGAACGCCAGTTAACCACCGCTTGATCCAATTAGGACATGACACTTTAATCAACACGACGCTCCCTACCCCAGACTTCATCCACAGTCTTCTTACCTTTCGTCTCTGGAACAAACCAAGATATGAAGAGGAAGAAGAAAGCAGACAACGCCGCGAAGATGAAATAGACTTTGCCGTGCAGGACTGCGCTGGCTAGGGGGAAGAACTGTGCGACAACAAACGTTGCAATCCAATTGGCACCAAGTGCGATGCTTTGGGTTGCGCCTACGGCATCAGGTCCGACAAGCTCGCTTGATAGGATGAATGGAACAGGGCCGAGCCCGAGGGCGAAGCTGGAGACGAAAAGTAAAACGGCGACAGCGGAGAGGATGCTGATGGATCTTATGATGCCTATAGCCAGCAGAAGTGAACTTATACCCATGCCAGTGAGAGAGTTCAGAAGGCAGGTTTTGCGACCTAACTTGTCCACAAGAGGAGCACACCCGGCCGTAACAATGATGTTGATGGCTGAGACAGCGAGGTTGAGAAGCGCAGAGTTCGACTGAAGCAAATCTGCAAGCAGAGACACACCGTACATGACAATGCTGTTAATACCTACAGATGTATAATTAGCTAAATTCTCTTAGGGTAATGAAAAGACACATACCGCTGAATTGCTGAGCCAACATGACCATTATAACGGCGATGGCGGCTTTACTGTACTCGGGGTGGCGCAAGACTTGAATAATGCTGAGCGCGTCCTCTTTTGCTAATTTGCGCTTCGAGGTGGAAGATTCGCTGTGATGAGATATGTGATCTTCGTCTTGAAGTAATGTCTGCTCCTCATCTAGAGTTGAATTTAGTGTCGTGAAGTTCAGAAGCTAGGACACGAACTTACCATCCATTTCGTCGGCACTTTCCATCCCCCAGCCGCTGACTTCCTCGTCGATGTCAAACTTCTCACCCCGAATTTTCCGGAGTATCCTCTTTGCTTTGACGGAGTTTCCCTGATCCGCGAGGTATTTTGGGCTTTCGACAGACAGGAGAAGACCAAGGAATTGGCCGACCCCGATGACGCCACCAGCAGCAAGAATGATTCTCCAGTATTGCCCTCTACTCAAAAAGTAGCCCAGAATTTGTGCGACGAGGATTCCAAAATTACACATAATCTGCGTGAAGGCTCCAAAGAAGCCTTTCTCAGCTGGTGGAGCAATTTCTGAGATGTAGATAGGCACCACTACGACCGCAGCTCCAGCTCCAATGCCCGACACTAGTCTTCCAAAAGCCATTACGCCGATATTTGGGGATAACGCTTCAAAGACGGGACCAAGCGCGAAGAAGAAGGTAGTGATTCGCATAGTATTAAGGCGACCGTAGCGGCCCGAGAGGGGCCCTGCAGACAAGGCCCCTATGAGACCGCCGAGTGTGTACATGGAGCCAACCGCACCCCACTGCGTGGAATCCATTTGAATGCATTGTGGAAGACTGGTGGAGGCTGCTACGATCGACTTCTTCTTACACCGAATGACATCCTCGGGGGCGTTCAGTTCCGCCTGGCCATATTAGCTAAGGTAGTCTATCTCCTGACTTGCGGCTCATACCAAGTGAAATCCGAAGAGAAGCGGGCCGAGAGTCGCAACGAAGAGCAGGTAGAGGAAGTAGGGCGTGAGGTCGCGGAACCACGTGCGTAGGTCCATGGTGTGAGGCTCGCGGAAGCTGGGGCGGTTGAAGTCAGAGGGGTCCTCGGTGAATGTGTCGTACTACACGCGCACGTTAGACATCATATTCATAACACAGTAGTCGCAGCAACAAGCAAAGCAGTGGATAAGGGCGCGGCATCCGCTACCACAGCCCGGGGATTATATAGTACCTTTTAGCCTGTCACAGGCACACGATGCTTTTCACGTCGTCGTCATTGAGCGGCGACTTTGCGGGCAGTTCCAGCAGCGGAGCGATGGTGGAAGCGTTGATGCTTCGGAGGTGGCCGTGTGTGGGAACTCTGGGTGGTGATGGGTGATGGGTGAACAAGAGGACAAGCCTGAGGCTCTGCGGGGAGCCAGAACAGGGACTGTATCAAAATGGCCAACAGGGACTCTAAGCCCTCCTCCCTCTATGCCGTGCCCACCCATCGATCGATAATTAATTCACTCCATCCGCCTGTCTCACCTTCACGTCAGCGTGTACCCCGTCTAGCTGCACCTCGCGATTTCCAGTCTGGGTGGGTTTCAAGCAGTGATCCACAGTGCAGCGTGGCCGCCTCCCCGGGCAAGGAGCTGGTCGGCCTCAATGCGCATCTGCCGACCGCGGAGCCATATGTAAACGAGCAGCTAGACGCAACAAAATGAATCATCCGTCGACAAATCCCCCGTCTTCGGGAGGCCCACCCTCAGCCTCTGCTTCCGCCCGAACCGCGTTGAGGAGTAGTGTCGTGGCAGCCTTCAACGGTCGGTATCCCCTCTGCAATTGTCTTCCGAGCTCTCAACTTCCTTTCCTCTTCTCCTCGCTGCTTCTTCTGCCCCCACCGGCCTCTTATCGCCACTTGCTTTTGTTTTTCTTCCCCTTGCAGCTTCTGCTTTCTCTGATCGATCATGGCTGGTGCATCAGCCGCCTGATCAAAGCTCCGCGTGCCTCGCCCGAGGTTACAGTGCTGAACGCTCACTCTTCATAACACTTTGCGCTCCTCAACCTGTCCCTCTCTTCCTTCCTGTATCTAAACTTTGCAACCTCTCTGCCTTTTAATCACTAATACTTAATTTGCCTCGCCAGACCCGGCGGACTCCGGCCAGGCCATGTTCTCTGGCTACAACACCAAGAAGCGGGTGAACGAGCGATATAAGATCGTCGGCTTCATTAGCAGCGGTACCTATGGCCGAGTGTACAAGGCTGAAGGCAGGAATGGACGCGTCGGGGAGTTCGCAATCAAGAAGTGAGTTTTCGTGACACCTCTCCCAGCCACCTCCGCTCACGGACGCAGGTTCAAGCCGGACAAGGAAGGCGAGGTTCAGTACACCGGCATCTCACAATCAGCCATACGAGAGATGGCTCTCTGCACAGAGCTCTCACATCCCAATGTTGTACACACTGTCGAGATCATTCTCGAAGAGAAATGTATTTTCATTGTATTTGAGTATGCGGAACACGACTTGCTGCAGATCATCCACCATCACAACCAGCCTCAGCGAAAGGCCATCCCTGCGCGAACGATTAAGTCTATTCTTTATCAGCTTCTTCAGGGACTCGTCTATCTCCATAGGAACTGGGTCATGCACAGAGATCTCAAGCCCGCCAACATCATGGTCACTAGTGCTGGGAAAGTGAAAATTGGAGACCTTGGTCTTGCGCGACTGTTTTACAAGCCGCTTCATTCATTGTTCACCGGAGACAAGGTTGTCGTAACTATCTGGTATCGGGCCCCCGAATTGCTCCTTGGCAGCCGTCACTATACTCCAGCGGTCGACTTGTGGGCTGTTGGGTGTATCTTCGCTGAGTTACTATCTTTACGGCCAATCTTCAAGGGAGAGGAAGCCAAGATGGATAGCAAAAAGACTGTTCCTTTTCAGAGGAATCAGATGCAGAAGATTGTGGAGATCATGGGGATGCCAAACAAGGAGAAATGGTCATTATTAACTTCCATGCCGGAATATAGCCAGTTGTCCTCATTGGCTGCTAGTAGCTCACGATTCCATCGTCCACAAGGCTTGGAGAATTGGTATCAGGCTTGTCTGAAGAACAACCAATATCCTCCGGGTTCGTCACCCGACACCCCTGGTCAGGAAGGATTCGTTCTTCTCCAACAACTCCTCGAGTATGATCCCCAGAAGCGATTGACCGCCGAAAAAGCACTTCAGCACCCGTACTTTACGACGCATGGGAAGCCGTCGGAGAACTGCTTTGAGGACTCTAAAATAAAGTACCCAGTGAGAAGGGTAAGCCAGGAGGACAACGATATCCGGACTTCAAGCCTACCCGGTACAAAGAGGAGTGGTCTTCCGGATGATTCACTCATTGGCAGACCAGCAAAGAGGCTGAAAGAGGGTTGAGCCTATTATACCCGCTCATCCCGCACCACCTAAGATTAGCAGTCTCCCTCCTGCTAACCGGTAATGCAGAGTCTGTTTTGCGATTCAACAGTGTACGAACACCGCCAATTTTGAAAGCTACCTCCGTGCAACATTTCAACTTGAATTGCTTACAACACTACAATTTTGGGTCCATTGGCACACCTACCACCTGGGTGCAAAAAATCCACTTGAATTGCATGCCACCATCGCTACTCTTCAACGGCAAGCTCCCCATCGATTACCAGCAGTTCGGCTGGTATGGATAGCTACTGGCCTTTTGGACCTAAGCCATCCGAGATCAGCAGTTTCTGTACCTGCCCGACCATCTCCTCTCTACCAGTCGTCTCTGGGATAGAGACCAGCTCATCGTTTTCAGCAATGTTCAAGTGTCAGCCAAGTCTAAGTCTTTCCAGGCCGCTAATCCATCATTTTCGGCCAATTAATTGTAGGCAATGGAGTCCAAAGCGACAGGCATTCAATTGAGTTCGGACGACCTCGGACTTGTTTCCACTTCTCAATAGTCCCCGAGAACGGGGCCAAATCTTCCAACAAATCGGGGCACCTACATCAATCTTTGGACAAAATGAGGGGTCGCATTGCGGCAGAACTACACAATGCATGACATTCAACTTAGAGGCAGACAGGCGCTGAACGAAAAGGTCAAAGCAGAAAAGGGTGTGTGGCAAGAAGCAACGGAAATGGTAACAAAATGGATACAAACATTAGAGTAGATTGCTGATGAAGAAGATGTGGAATGTAAATTGGATTGCGAGAATATTGTCCTCCGGAGTGAGGAGTAGTTCAAATTGGTATTCTTGTGAAGCTTCCTTTTCTGTCGACATCGAAGCCGCCAGACCGGGAACGATGTGCTTCTAAATCAAACGGGCATCATTTCCATCGCTCTCCTTCCTCCTCTCTCATTGGCGTCACTTTTATTCATGTCCTTCATGTTCGTGCTCGATCATTTTTTTGAGAAGTATTCCTAGGTTCGGGAAATTGACTGCAAACGCTTGTCGCTTCGGGCTACGTTTGAGAACAAACCGTGCGCGTTTGCAAGTGATCTGGATACATGTCTTGTAGAACATGCCATGGATTCTGTAGAACATGCCGTAGGTCCTGTGGCACGTTCGAGCATCGGCTTGAATCCTTGACCTGGTTCGATGGTTATGATTGCCGTGGCGTTACCGCTACGCCAATAAATACCTGTCATGGGGCACAAATCTCGACGGGAACACGCTGTTGGGTACACGATCAGTAAGGCTAGGCCTGCAAACCATGGGGTCTGTTCCGTAGAGTTGGGGGTTGTAAAGATGGAGAGAAGTTCATTCAGGATGGATCCGTGATAGAAGGCACCGACAGCAACCTCCACCATCAGCACGGCATTGAAGAATGAACAAAAGGGAAGGGCCAGTACAGGTGAGTGAACACGGTCCTGAAGCACACTACTGTCACCCATAGTTACACGGCTAAACAAGCATGGCGATACTCACAACAAGTCGCAGAACGCAATGCTGATGCTGGCAACTGGTGTTTACTTGCCTGGTAGGTTGGTTCCTGCCTCGTCGCCCTCCCCCTTCACTCCCACGGCTGTCAGGTGGCCCATTCGTGCTTAGGGCATTCGCAGCCAGCCTTGGAAGGAAGGTGTTGCTCACATACGGCCCGGTGTGCTGCCGCTATCCACATTCCGCCGCCTCCAGCAGTGTCGCCGAGACGACCCTTATAAACACCTAATTTCCCCGCCCCGGCCCTCGTTTTCTTCTTTCTCCACACACACACACACACATTCCTTTGATCAGTCATTCCTTTCCAAGATTGTAAACACGACCTTCGTGTGTCGTGCACTACATCCCTGATCAACTGCACACTCCCCTATAACCTCGGCTTTACCTTCTCTAACTTCATCTTCTCTGGTGGCTGCCTCACGTCAACATGAAGGTCTCCACGGTTCTCTCCTCCCTCGCAGCTGCTCATGCTGCCTTTGCTGCCCCCGCTGTCCAGAAGGCTGCCCGGGCCCAGGTTTCAGGCGATGCTCCAAAGATTGACGATCCCAAGTTCATCAGCGCCGTCATGGATGCCCACTGGTACTGGCGAACTGCCCACTGCGCCCAGCAGCTCAAGTGGGATCCACAGCTTGCCCAAGCCGCGCTGGACTCGGTTGGTGCTTGCACTAGGAAGATGAGTCATGTTGGATCCATCAATCCTTTTACAGTTGCAACCTCTGACACAGGCAGGATCGTGGAGGTAGCAATCTCTCTGGCGTGGACCCTCCTCCTGACAACTATGGTATGTGGATTGATTTCGCTCGTTCTGTGGTTCATGGATGGCATGACGAGGAGCCCAAGTACCCGTGGGACAATCCTCACTATGAGGACGCCTGGGGCCACTTCGCGCAGGTCGTTTGGCGTGACTCTAGCCATATTGGTTGTGCTCTCGCCCACTGCAACAGCCCCCAAGCTGGACGCCTCTACTGCTGTAAGTCTTTGGCCAAACGGAGGGATGGGCCTTTCGAATGCTAATATGGCCAAGTCTATGAGCGGGCCGGCAACAACATTGCCGCGGGTGAATTCGCGAAGAACGTCTACCCGCAGATCTGCCCTCGCCCACACAAGTAAAGGACGGCTTGAACCTCTTCACCGACAAATAGAGTTTCTATGGGCAGGTGATCCCAGCACACGAAACACCGCGGTCGACAAAAGGAGGACACACTGGCACACACTCATATGGAGGGACCAGTCACCAGGCGGCTGCGCCCTTTCCTGTGGATTTCATTCTTTCATTTCCCCACACTTCCTTATCATCTTCCCTTTCATTTTTCTCACGACTTTGACGACAGCTCTTGTCTGGTGACATTGGCTCTCTTCATGCCGACTCGAAGAGGTAAATGGGGACCATCACCAACATCATAACCACACGGCTAGGCATAGCCCGGAACACCTGTACATTGACAAGACCCCTTTAACAAACTTTCAATATCCTCTCCATTCTGTTTGCTCTGTGTCTACTTGTGAGGCTTGAAGTCGTACTTGGTTGGTGTCGGCTGATTTCGGCAGCGGTGACCACATGCCGATATCGTGACAGGTCGGGCCGGGGCAAGAGCTAACCCCGTCGTCTTACGATGCATCTTCATACCTCCGACTAGCAGGTGCGATAAATGCCCACCGTCAAGGACATCGCCTTCCTTTCTCTGAGAATTTAAATCTACCCTCATGAAACCAATACGAGTGTTGATTTTGCCCTTCCTCTGCTCCTTCCCCACACTCTTTCCCGCGTTCATACGAGCATTTTAAAGGATCAAACACCATGCATTCCTGAAGACATCGACACTGCCACGCCACATCATGTGCAATGAAGACATGTTATCGATCAAGGACCGCGCGGAGATGACGTTGTTGGATCTTGGTCCGTGAAACAACCCATTCGGTCCGTGCGCTGTTTCGAGTGGACAACCTCGAGAACTACCGGACCTCGAGAACTACCGGACCTCGAGAACTACCTGACCTCGAGAACGGTATAGTCAACGGACAGAAAACTGTTTGCATAACAACGATTTCTGTAGCGAAGGAATACGGACACCTGTTCAGTGTAGTGCCCCAACTTTGAAGGATGGCTCCAACAAGCATACAATATGTCCCTCTCATTCTTGGTTTCATTCACTGAGCAGGTCCTGGACTCCGCTCGGGATGACATCCGATAATCGAAACAGATCAATATAGGCGTTTCGATTGAATTTCATCTTGCTCCGGGTTCTAGGAGCGGACAATACGTATCTCGAGACCTGCAGGCATCCTCAGTGGATGGAGGGCTGTGGCCCAGACGATCACAGACACTTGTTCGATCGTTTTAGTCCAGAGCGCCAAGTAGTTTTTGAAATACCGCAGTGTCTCCTCATAGAGCTTTCCCACCACCTAGCCTGTGTCTAGAGATTAGATGAATTCGAGAATACGTTCTAGCCGTCCCCAACCCCAAACTTCTCAATATATCTTTGTATTGGTATTTGTAACTTCACATGCTTCTAATATGCTGGATCTTTGAGCTCGGATCATTTGCTAAAGCGTGATGGCTATGCTATCCAGCCCTTCGAATACGGATATGTGTTTGAAACAAATCCTGAGGAAGCTTCCCAAGTCAGGACACTGAGACATATAAGGGACCACAAGTGCTTTGCGGCGTTGTTTCTCAGGTTTCTACCTTACTCTATTATTCTTGAGATTGTCTATCTTCACACTCATTTGCTTGTATACTTCAGTCACTCCTTTGAAACATACTCTTTCAATATGCTTTCTAAGATTCTCCTCCTCACAGCAACAGCACTTACATCTGTGAGCGCCCTCGGCAACGCCGTCGTTAGCAACCAGTGCCCCTACGACATCTATCTCTGGTGCCTCCCTCCCCCTTCCTCCTCCCCCCTCTCCTGACTTCTTTTCCTACACCATTTACTCATACCTACTAGGTCCGTAGACCAACAAACCAACCCCTTGTCCGGAACCCTCATACCTGCCCGCACCCTCTACACCGAACCCTTCCGCACCCCCTGCCCCGGCTGCGGCATCTCGCTCAAAATCTCGACCACATCCTCTCTCGTCGGCGGCCACATGACTCAATTCGAATACGCCATTGACACAGGTCTCATCTACTACGATATCTCATTCGTCGATTGCGCTGTCGGCCAATCCGCCGACAATTGTCCCGGTCATGAAAAGGGACTCAGGATTGATAGCGCAGAGCCTAGTTGCTTGCCGTTAAATTGCCCCAGCGGGACGTATTGTGTGAACGATGCGTATTATGTGGATGATCCGAATGTCAAGTTGGGGATTCCGGCGCCGGTGAAGACGTGCGCTAGGGATATGTTGGGAATGGATTTGGTGTTTAGGGTTTGTGGGGATGAGGCGCCTTTGTAGGAATGAGGAGGCTAGGGTGGGGAAGAAGGGGTGTTGATATCTGGGATTGGGGGTAGAATACGGGTTGGAGTTGAGATGAAGGGAGAGGGATGGGGAATGAGGGATGTGTTTGACTTCAGTTTTTGGTGAAGCACCTTGACAGGCTCCTGGTGAGCCGGCGAGAGGGCTGGCCATCTGTGACGGAAATTCGCTTCGTTGTTTATACTCTACTTCCTATTGTTCGCTGAGAAATTAACCTCTTGGTTCGACTTCGTGGAATACAGTTCTGCAAGCTTTGTAGCGATGCAGTGGAAGAGTGTTGTATTGATGTGGAGCTTCTGGAGTAGTCATGCTATGTTGAGAGGTATAAGCACTAGTAGGTAATGCCTTAGCCTGGGTACAAGTTTAGAGGGACGACCCACAAGTAGGGGCCTAGTTAGTGTCTGCACCAATAACACCTCCAGTCGCTCCGAAACACCAGTAGCCCTCTTTCTTTCGGAGCGGCCTGTGAAACCTGCAATGTCCCCCTCTCACTTTTCCCCTCTCCAAATGCACGAAATCAACCCTCGAAACCTTTACCTCACCAACAGCTTGTATCAACCCACCCTTCCTGTCCTCGTCGTCTCTTTCTCACGCCATACCATCTCTTCGCGCAGTGTTCTGCCACAAAATAATAGCCACCACTTCCACTAGGACTGAGACTCGTATTCGTATGCCGAGTTGCGCTCCCGCACTAGCTGCATGACATGATGCAACTTGAGTCTTCTACGTCAGAGGGGGTGGGGACAAGCTGCACACATCGAGAAAATGACCGGTGAGGGGTACATATTGAGAGGGGTATTCCGTAAGATGGTCTGGTGAGAGAGCTTTCGGCCCGTTTACCTAAGAAATAAGTTGGAGAAAAGGGAACTGCCGATGGAGGAAGCATTCGAGGGATTTGTTGAAGACATGTAAGTGGGTGTATATGCGGGTAGTGGGAATTTTGGAAAAGCAGGTCCGCATGTTTCGGAAGGGGAATTGAACTCTGGCTGCATCCTCAGTGGGTTATATACCTCAAGCAAGGGACCTGCTCAGACTTGAACTGTTTTCCAATTCTCACCTTTTCTCACACTCAGAACGTCCCTATTTCCTTCTGCTTCTTCTTATTATTATTCTCCTCCTCTTTTGATCAACCTCAACTCCCCCAACCATGTCCTTTCCCCTCCACCGCAACCCTCCTTTTCGCGCCGAACACCTCGGCTCTCTCAAACGCCCCCAATACCTCCTAGACGCGCGCTACAAAAACGCTGAACCTTTATCCTCCCTCAAGCCACTCGAAGACAAAGCCATCACCGACATCGTCCAAACCCAAGTCTCTCTCGGCTTCCGCGGGATATCGGATGGCGAATACCGCCGCCACATGTTCTGGGGAACCTTCTTCCCCTCCCTCTTGGGCATGAAAGAAGTCCAGAACCCGCCTTTCGAGACTTTTCGAACCTATGTACCGGACATTGCCGCGTTCATGGAAACAGGGCACAAGCCAGGGGAGTCTGTATACTGTGTTGGCAAAATACAGCATACGGGACAGTCGACGTATATTGACCAGTTCGAGTTTTTGAAGACGTTGGTGTCGAAGGAGAGGTGGGGGGAGATTAAGCTGACGCTCGCGGCGCCGAATTGGTATCATTTGCGATATGTGGATGGGAAGGCTTACCCGAAAGATGTGTATCAGAATGATAGAGCGTATTTCGGGGATGTGGCGAAGGCGTACCAGGTTGAGTTGGATATACTATATAAAGCCGGGCTGAGGAATGTGCAATTTGATGATCCGAATTTGGCTTGTGAGTATCAGCGTCAAATTGTACCTTGCTTGCCTGCGCCAGAAGATGAATGTGAGGTATGGTGTACAGACACTGACGCAAATTTTTGACAGATTTCTGCTCGGAGAAAATGAGGGAGGGGTGGAAGAATGACAAGAATAACACAGTGACTGTGGACGAACTGTTTGACATGTACATCGACTTGTACAATGACTGCATCTCCAAGATTCCTGCTGACATGCATATCGGAGTGCATTTATGTAGAGGTGAAAACCTCCCTACCACCTCCACCTCCAGTCCACATATCGCAACGCCCCACCAATTCCAATCCCCCTTTCCTACTACCTGATGCATTATATCTAGATCAAAACTAACCCCCCACCCCCAGGCAATTTCGTCAACTCCCGCCACTTCTCCGAAGGCGGCTACGACGCCATCGCTACGCGCCTCTTCACGCGTCTCAATGTCCACACGTACTATCTCGAATACGACACCCCACGTGCCGGAGGCTTCGAACCGCTATCCTCGCTCCCCGCAAATAAAAATGTCATTCTCGGCGTTATCACCTCAAAATTCCCCGAACTAGAGGACAAGGAGGAGATGAAAGCTAGGATCTACCAGGCGGCAGATATTGTGGCGAAAGGCGCGGGGGAAAGTAGGGAGCAGGCGTTGAAGAGGATGGGTGTGAGTCCGCAGTGTGGTTTTGCGAGTCATGCTGAGGGGAATTTGATTGATATTGAGGGTATGAAGAGGAAGTTGAGGTTGGTGAGAGAAATTGCTGATGAGGTGTGGCCGGGGGAGCCTTGAATGAGAGCAGAGAGAAAGGAGATGGGAGTTGGGGGTACGGCGGGGAAAAACTTCTTCTGCTTGGGATATTGGTATATGTGGTAAGCTAGGTTTCCGGAAACGTAAAACGTGGAAAGTGATTGCATCGCTCTCGTGCTGCGTAGTGGAAAAAAACGAGGTTGGGCTCTCTGCTGGGGTTATTTTCTCCTTCATTTCCAGAAGAAAAAAACATGCCTTGCTTGTTTCCGCAGGGTATACAATCGGGAAAGCCATATTTGTGTTTGGCAGCGCTCGTAGCTTATTTCGAGGAACAGATATGTCATTGAATCCTCAGCTAAAGATGTCCCCATCCACCATAAACCCTCGAAAAGTCTATCTCCACCATGAAGACAGAGAATTCGAGGATTTGCACCACCTCTAAAATAGTAAACCACCTGCAGATGTCTCTGACCAATTGAGAAGATCGAAAAGACAATCCTAAAATCAACTCGTCCTCAGACCATAAAGTGACGAAAGAAAGAAGAGCAATTACAAGTTCAGGCCATCATAAACGGGAGAGCCGAGAAGAGAATGGAAGATTATGCTCGCAAATATGCTCGTGAATACTTTTACACCTCACGTTGGTAGATGCGTCTCTAAAAAAAAAATCTAGAACGGTCCTGCAACTGGTTTGATAGTGCAGGTACGTGATCTCATCCCACCGAAAAGTCTCAGTTTGCATATCTGAATCCTTTCTTGCAGCCTTAGACAGAGGACGCGGGCAATGTGGCGAGGGGTTTAGTTTAGACTCGGTTGGTGGCAGGACCCCCCTTGACGCTCCACTCTCGATGGACGTGGATGCGTGCGTCGCGCATCGTATCCTTCTCTTTATATGGTAAAGTAGGAGTGGTAGGGCTATTAGGGTCCTTCATGCTATTCGTATGCATGCTATTGTCGGTGAAGGTACTTTCGCCACCACCGAACTTGCTGTGATTGACGCTGGATCCATCCAACGAGCGGCCGAATTGTCCTCCAAGCAGACGTTGATGGGCATCAACGCCACTGGCTCCGATGTTTGGTTCACTAGCCACAACGCCGGCCCAGATGGCGGAGAGAGGCAAGAAGATGCAGACGATGGTGAGCGTTTGGGAGCCAAGTTCCGGGATTCGTTCGTAGAACTCGAGGATGGAGAATACCGCTGGTTTGGGTTAGCGATGTCCATTGCAGAATGTAGCCGTAGTTAGTTTGGAGATGGCTTACCTGGAAGGATCATGGTCTGGCATCCCATGATGAAAATAATCTGCATTGGACCGAACTGGGTCATTCCCAGCCTCCTTCGCTGCACCAAAGCATAGCCAAGCTTGAAGGTGAAGATGGCACAATAGGCCCAGATGGCTATCGCCAGGGTGATGTACTGCGCGTCAATGAGCCAACCCCAATTCTCCATACTTCCGTTCACCATGGTCTCTTCATTGCTAACAATCGTAACCGCGAACCGCCATCCGACAGCAAGCAAGGCACACAGGGTAGTCCCAAACATGATCCAGAAGCGCTGAACCTTGGGGGTGGTGAAGCAGACTACCCACACCTGCAGACTCAAAGAGATCATGACGAAGACGACTAAGATGATATTCAAGGTGTTGGCAGCAATAGTGGTGGTTTTGTCGGCAGGCGTAATCCGTGAGTAGTCTTGAGAGAGGAAGGTGTAGGGGTTGAAGTATTCGCTGGTAAGGAAGCAGGCCTGAAGAGTTGTGCGGATTATGTTGACGGTAAGGCAAAGGGCGTTCATGATGAAGATAATAGAGCGACGTTTCTCTTGCTTGGTGAGGAGAAGAAGAACGATGAGTAGGACGAGCGAAGCTCCGATCTGGCTGCCATAGTTGATGCTAAGTTTGATGCCAAACTTGCGGGCCCATTCAAGATCGGCGATGGAGGCATGGAACTGCGTGCCATTGGAGTAGAGCAGGGTGAAGGATTGCTGCCACACATCCTTTGGCGGATTCATGCGGTTGATGGGGGTCGACATGGTGAAGAGATGTTATGTCGACGTCTGGTGGTGTAGAAGATTCTTTGGTTGGGAGGACGGTAAGAAGGTGTGGTCCCAGATGGGGTAGGAGAAGAAGGGCGTTGAAGGCTATTCTTCGAGGGTAGGATGTAAGGCAAAGAAGTTGAAATGACGGCAGTAGATGTCCTTGGGCAGGCACGTTCGGGACGAATAAGGAAAGGTTGAAAGGAAGAAGTTCGAAGGAGTTGCAGGGTTTGAAGGCGAGTACTTGAAGCAACTGGAGAGAGTAAAAAGATTGTAGGCTGGAAATGAGGCAACATAATAGCAAGATCGGGGAGGCACTCCCCTTTAGCATTGTGGTGTTGGGGAAGGAGCGTGTGAGGAGAACAATAGTAACGGAAGACCCAGCTCGACAGACTTGTGGTGGGATTCACTACCACACTGACTCTTGCACACATCTGGCCTGCGTTTCAGAAACCCATCGCCTAAGTCGCTGTGCCTGAGACACGGCAGAGATTCTTGACATTGTTCTTCAGGAGCTGAGGCTCTTCACCCTGACTTACCACAATTTGTAAGCTCTTAGCGAACAGGTATTAGTATGAGGTTCGCTAGCGTGCGGCCTGTGGAAGATTGGGGCGACTAGCGCAGATATCCTTACTATTGTTCTTCGGGCTCTTTGTCTGGGCTGTGAGTCTTGTGAATTCGTTTTGCACAAAATAGGGAACATGGAAGAGAGAAGGAAGATGAGGATTCGTGAATGGATTTACCATTAAATGCTGCCCTTTATACTACATGGGCCAAATGCCTGGTGGTTGAATTGCGAAAGTTTTGCTTAGGCTAGGGTGGAGGTGAAATCTTGGTGCTGAGGCTTGTGGTTTCCCCGGGCTCGCACGGACCCGTGCTAAACAACATAAGCCTGAAGCGCGTCGTTGCCTCACATGACTCCGCGATTCCGCGATCCTGCCAGTCTCCACAAACCGACGCGACACACCCCGCCGACTCAGCACATCGACGCACAACATGGCCTGGAAGCTGTTGGAGCGGTCGGCGGCAAGCCAAGATGTTGCACAGCATGATCTCACGCAGACTCACTTATTCTACCATCTTGTCCTAGGTCCGAAAGAACGCCTGTCGGTTATTCCAACTAAAGATGTCCAGGACGAGCTCAACGCCCTTGGTCGAATATGTAAGTACTCCACTCCTTGTGCTCATGTGTTATTTAAATGACTTTGGCTCAGTAATTGGGCCCTGGGGTGTGAAGTTGGAGGCACTGAATGATGATCTCGCAATCCAACCTGCACGTCCCCGCAACTGCGTGGGGATCGACGCACCAGTTGAGATGTATACATTGAATCAGCGCGCTACAAACGGCAACCCTGTCCCAACAGAAATCATATTCCTTCGAGAAGACGATAAGATCTACTGGACCAAAACAGGTGGCAACCTGACTCTACGCTACAATCCGTCTGAGGTTCAAGTCAACAGCTCCGAGACAGGCCAGGCCGAGATACCCCTGTCTGAAGAGCTAGATGAAACGCATGTCCTTCCCAGCCGCGAAGATTCTCGAGCCGAATCGGAAGAGACCGAAGATGAAGATCTCGACCAGACGATTACGGCAGCTGCCATCTCGCGTGCGACCCCGCACCCCTCTGCAGCACGTTCAGAGGTCGTTCAGGAGACTCCGACTGCTAATCGTGTCACACAGGCCGCGGAGTGGGCTTCTAAGGCGGCCAAAAATGTCGTTACTTCTGACACGGTAGAGAACACGCCTCCAGAGGGCTCCTCTGGTATGGAGATATATTCCACCGCCCCTCCAAAACTAAATGCTGGAATTCCAACAGGCCCCAATCGTGAACAGTCAAAAGGGAGTGATATCTACGAGGCTGTTGAAGAGACTTTAGTTGGCGCCACAGAAGCGCATGACATGAGTCCTAGGCTCGGTCAGGTTGGACACGATACAGTTTCTGTCCGCAATAAGTTGAAGACAGAGGGCAAGACGGAGTCTGAGCAAGGGTGTCCAGCTGCAAATGAACCGCAGCGACGTGGTCGCCGAACGCTTCAATCTGTCAGCATCTCCAAGTCGAAATCGGGAAAGAAACGACCAAGCCTCTCTCCAGTCTCCGACAGAGAGTCCGTTAGCTCAACACCAACTCACCCCAGGAAGCGAGCGAAGAAAATCAATGAAGACAGCCAGGAGGCAATGCCCGCGACCACAATGGCTGGCTCCCAACATGAGGATGCAGAGGATGGTACATATAAAGGGACGAAACCGAGAGTCGCTTTTAGCAACTCTAGCATTGAGGAAACAAGCCAATTCTTCAAATTCTTCAAGCGACAGGGCGGTATCAAAGTTGAGTCGGTCAAGGACGGGAACTGCAACATCCTTTGGTAAGCACCCAATCCATCAAACATTGTCGCATAACTAAGATGCTTCTAGCGTACGCCCCGGCACCCTTAACAAGACCATGAAACTTCTCCAATGCATCGCTCTCGGCATCCCCATCGTAACCGACAAATGGCTCCAGGACAGCGCTGAGAAGACACACTTCCTCGACATAAAGCCCTACATCCCTTCGATCCCGACCCTCGAAAAAGAGCTTAAATTCTCACTTGCGGCTGTCTGGTCAACCCCCCAATCCGATCTCCTCGCTGGGAAGGTTGTCTACTTTACACCAGCCCTGAAGCAGGTGTACAACAAATGGAGAGACGTCGAGGAGCTATGCAAGGCCATCGGAGCTCGACGAGTGATGTCGAAGCCCGGCAAGGAGGTCAGAGATGGTTCGGATATAGTGACTCTTGCGCTAGGAGAAGACGACCCAGATCTAGCCGTATTGATCGAAAAGGGGTACACGTGCTATTCAAAAGACCTTCTTACGGTCGGCATTCTTCGCGGGGATATTGATCTCGAGAGTGGAGAGTTTAAGATCAAGCCTGATGCCGGCAAGCCGAAAAAGAAAGGCCGTGGAAGGAAGAGCTAGGCTTTTGACAACTTCTCTAAAACCAAAAAAATACTCTTCCGCTTGCTATGAGGCACTTCGGCGCAGTTTTCTAAACCTAGGGCGGCGAACGATGTAGGAACGCGGTGCATTTATCCTTCATAGTCCATTCGGAAACACTTCACATTGAGCAGCTGTGTTAACTACAAGGTACAGGATCGATAAGAAGGACGTCAGCACATGTTGAAGCAATTGAACAACTAGCAACTAGCAGACAAGCTCCATGATGAAGAGGCTAACAACGAAGCTCTCGTTAAGGAAACATCTGCAATCAAGCCAATATATACACTTTCTTCTTCTCAGTCATCTGTTTATATCTTGGCTAAAATCGAATGGAAACTATGATCCTTTGAGCACCCCGTACGTAAAACTAGGTCTCACCTAGTGAACTCACAAGGGCTACACACATCCAGAAGGATCCCTGCTAGGATAAGATGTGATGTAAAAGACCGTGCTCGTCATTTATGTTTCTAATTCTTAGCACAGGATAGAGCCCTTTGGCATCGGACAAACTTCTCCGGTCCTATTTAAATTTTTTTTGGGATAAGACTATTCTCATATCCAGCTTCAAGAGCGTGGGTACTTATTAGCCCACAGTCTATTCGCAACGAAAAGTTTCAAAATAGAGAATGTGTATCAGAATAGTGGTATCATTTTTCATTCCATATATCACAGTTGCTCGCAATATCAAACCGCTAAACGCCTCCCATGAAATGCCGAACCCCCTCTATATTCCCCCACTCTACTTCACATCATCTTAATCATAACTCATCTTCTCGGACGCCTTAAACCCACCACCCAACATCCCCATACTCTCTCCTCTCCTCTTCCCCCTCCGTCCCCAGACCTCCAATCCCCAGTCAAAAAGCTGCCACGCCCAACCACCAGCCACCATAACCCCACTAACCACATTCACCAACCTCACAATCAGCCCAAGAAACCCGCCCCACTCCTCTGCAATCGTAAGTGTGATCGGCTCAATATCAAATTTCACAAATATTCCCGGGACGTAATTCTCCCCGACAGCGTGGCTTTGCGAAGTGACTGCGTACTGATTTGTTTTGATAGCGTGCGGGGAGTAGAAGATTGATTTTGCGGGGTGCGAGGGGTTTTTGTTTACGGTTTCAAGGAGTGGGAGGAGCGAGGCGTCGTCGGTGTAGATGGTGGGCACAATGGAAAGGTAGTATTGGTATTTGAAGAAGTGAGTTGGGGTGGTTGTGATGGTATTGTCGAGCGGGTTTTCCAGGGATGGGTAGAAAGGGCCGAAGGAGAGTTCGTTGATTTGGTGGGAGAAGTTGAAGGCTGGGGATGGTGTTAGTATCATCTAGTCGAGAAGGAAGAAGTAGACTGGGAGAAGCACAAAGGGAGGGATGCTGTATGCCTTACAAGAATGATCCAAATGCTCCCCAAACTCTGCATACCCGTGTCCCCTAGCCGTAATATGGAAATCACCCTGCACTTTATTCCCCTCCAGACTCCCAAATATCCTACATGCATCTGGCGGATTGCCGCGCAATTTCGGCGTTTTGGGAAACTTCTTCCGCTTCCTTGCCGCGCCCAATTGATCATGTACATCCCAGAGCTCCTCCCAGCCAGGCAGTCCATCGTCGCCCTCTCCTAGTTTGTGCACGTCTTTGCCTTTGCCCCACTGCGACCATGACGTCGGATCCTTGCGTAACATGTCCCCGGCAAGCGTTCTGTCGCCCGCCGCATCTTGCATGTTGACGTGGAGGTCGGCGCAGTTCATGGCGACGACGATGTCGAGGTTGATTTGTAGGTCGTGTGAGACACCCTTTTCAACCGAGAAGTTCTGCGTCGTGGTGCCGGTGAACCATCGTGAGATTTCGGAAAACGCCAGGTACACGCATGTTAATATCAGCGTAGCGGTCCAAAGCGACGAGTTGCGGCCGCGAGTTAGGTAGGTTTGTTTGGTTTTGGCTGGAGCATCTCAGTACGCGCCCAATGCCTGCAGAATGTACAGACAGAGTAATGACTTACGGAATGCATCAAAACTTGCCAATCCTCCCTTCGCCTGCCCAAACGCCTCGTCCGAGAGACCACTCTCTGTGAATCCGTTCATCGGGCAGTTGGTGGGCGAGTCGCGCAATGAGGGCACAGCTAGCCCGGAAGCAACTCTAGAAACAATGCGAAAGGAAAGAGTGGAAGAAGGGAGGGAAGAGGGTGACGTGAATAGTTTCGGTAGGGTTTGGTGAAAGAGGACACCTTAAAGTTTCAGCCCTATCTACAGCACGGACCACATATGCACGTGCTTAGGATTCAGCTGCAACCTCCACCATCGCGTATACTCTCCTCTCTCCTTTGCTTGTTTCATTACTACTTCACGTTACTTTCAAGGATTCAATTCGGATAGGTGGGGTATGGGTTGAGTTTGTCGAGTCATCTAATGAAGCCATCATGATCCATCGCTATCAGCTTTTCTAGCCCGTGGGAAGTCCTTTGCCCTCAAAAATCAAAGGCTAAGCCATGAGCAATTTTATGCCCTCTCGTCGTTCTTGAGAACATCATAAATTACCCCTCCAGTAATACCACCCTGCCTTGGACCCCCTCTAGCATCAATTCCAGCATGCACATCTCGTAATTGGAAATTCGCCTCCGCAACCCTTCCCGGATCCTTTTTCGTTCCGATTTCCTGGTTAAAAGAAGCATTCGGCGCGCAATTGTCAAAACCGCCCTCAATGATGTTTTCCCCCTTCGGCTTTAGATCTCCATGATTACGTGCAAGGCCCGCTGACCCGACATAGCCTCCAGTTCGAACGACCGGAACATTTCCTTCGTCCGCTGAGCCTCCAGTCGTACCATACATCGGCCCAACGTCAGAGTCTTTGCTAAGTCCTCGTCCAGCATTCAATTGAGACGTCTCGCTCCAGCCTTCTTGCGCCTCACGTGCCTCGGCGTCCAGGGCCGGCTCCAACCTAGCGGCATTGGAAGTGTCTGTTACGTTTGTGGTAGTAGATTTGGAAGGCTGTTTTGAGGCTGCGGCGTGTGGATTGCCATCACCGAAAGACCCGTCACCCTTTAGGGACTCGGCGGCGAGGGAATCGGATGTAATTATGCCGACGGCCTCATGAATCTCTTGGTTGGAGCGAGGGTCTGTGGTAATCTTGAAGGAAGTCAGGACACTCTAAAGAGGAGTTTATTCGGTTCGGGGCTTTAAGGATATTGAAACTCGCGTGAAGACGACTAGGTGCGTACCTTTTGTCCCGCGGAAGATGACATGGTGGCAATGTTTTGAAGTGGCAGTTATCTTCAAAATCGATGTAATTAGGATTGCAGTTTTCCAGAGAGCTGGCTATATCAGAGATGGTAGCTTCAGAGGTAGCAGCACGAGAAGAGGGGACAAATATACTTCTTGCTCAAGCCGTATATGACATTGCCTCCACATGATGTCACAGGGCCCGCTTTTTCAAGTCCCGCCACAACGCCACAGCCGAAGGAGGCTGATCTAAAAGTTCTCCAGATCGTTTCACGATTTGAAATTTCTGCTATCCTAGTTATGCGGATTAACAACATGCTCAGAAGCACATGCTCAGGAAGCAGGTTCTGAGGGCCGGCAGCAGCGCAGGGAATCTTCACACCAGGTTACCAATTACATATTTTGTATAAAAAAATGGTTTAATTTTTTTTAAAGTAAAATTAATTTTTTCAATTCTGTGCCATGTCGTTATGCTTACGCATTCGAACCTACTCTGATTTTCTTCAATGAAGTGTCGACGAATCCAAGTACAACTGTGATGGTGGTATCCTCACGCCGAACGTGCCCAAATGCAAGTCCTACTTCTGCAGTCCACTACTCGGGTTGCTCTTTTGCGGGTATCCGTGGTCTGGACTTGTCGTATCAGCAAGTCCCGGCTTATTCTTAGCATCCCGCGTAACAGCATCATTTGGAATTCCGCTCAGATCATCATGAGCTTGACGTCCCGCTTCCGCCGCAGCGTTGGTCTTCCATGCCTCGCCGGTCGTTCGAACACCACTGGTAGCGGTAGCTGGCTCGCGGAGAGTGTCACCCCCGAGGCCGGCGTGGGAAAGGTCATCTTGCCGGCCGCCGGCACTAACGTTGACAGTGCAAGCATCGGCCGAGTTCCAGTCAGAAGTAACTGGCGGTTGCTCTGGGAGTGGAAGGCTTGACTGAACTTCCTCAATGATCCTCGACTTTGGGGGAGTAGTGTGTGGCATAATGGATTCTGCAAACTCGTTAGACTCAGGAGTTCGACGTCTACTACCCTGGTGATGAGAGATGCACTCTAGGAGCCCCATAGAAGGCCTCTGAACCTAGAGTTGGGCCTAGTATATGAAATCAACGTCACTTACGATTGAGTATGTCGAAGCTAAAACAATCAGTTGCAGCAAAAGAAATGTGGTATGGAACTGAGGTGCTGAAATGGGATAAAGAAAATTGCTATCTCTTGAAGCTGCGCTCTGTATTTATGGTAGACCATCGTTAGTGGGGGCCGTGACGTCAGAAATATGCCATCGAAGATTTCTATAAGCTGCCAGAATATGCGGTACGCACAGACCACTCTATATCACTTCTCGATCTTTCGACACCTGCATTTAGCGAAGCGCATTTTTGATCTGCATCATGTTTCTACCTGAAACGATTTAGCGCAATATCTTGCAGCAGGAGCCCTTCTCGAGATGCTAGCAACACCCATACTGATATTCGATATAATCTATCCAAGTGCTTGTGTAGTAGTTCGGGTTCTTGTTCACTTGTATTCCCCCCAACTTCCCCTTCTAATTTAGGGTTCCGAAAATCGAACCGGACCTAAACATCTTCATGCCCATGAGGAACACATTCTCCGTGAGAAGGATCCTAGTACCTACATATATCACCGCGAATTGGTCCGCAGTAGAGACTTTTTGTAGTGCGTCTTAGCAGTCATCGCTTGTTAAACCTCACGTCTGACATGCGCCACCCTCCATTTCCTGAGACAACCTCTCATCCACTCGAATACCTCCGAACGTGGGACACTATGTCGGAAGGCATGCCGGCTGGATGACTTAAACGAAATATTCTAGTTCAGCTGAGTCTTGCCTTCCTCGTTTAGACTCCGGACCGTCGAATCACTCCAGTATCCAACATCTCACGACAGGCAACCAAAAATAATGAGGTTTGGGAGAAAGAGGCAAATGGTTTCGTGTTCGCAAAAGAGGACAAGATCATCCAAGCTGAGTAAGGGATATCCAGAGCGCTTCCTACCCAATCACTGAACGGTCTAAGTAGATGCTAACAACACAGTCTTGAGAAGGCGTAAAAAAGTGCAACATCAAACGGCAAATAGAGTGGACGAATTGAATATCAATCTCAACATCGGCGGGGGCTAAAACACTCTGCTCCCTTGCCCCCTTCTAGAAGGTCAGGTAACGCACAGCGCGCTGACTAATCAGAGCAGAGAGCCTCGTATTTCAGCCCCAGGCCAACCGAACGCTCCCTGGTCTCCCAAGTTTCCGCTCGCCGGTCCGGATCGCCACCCGGCCGTAAACAAAGGCAAACACCTGAGGCTGCTAAGGCACCGACGCCCAATTTCTGGTGAACCAGTCTCGGAAGCTCATTGGTCGAATGTCCGGGAATTGGGTGTTGAGGTAGGCCGGGTTGGCAAAGTCGTAACGCCCTTCTGCCGTTGCAATGAGGGTGAAAAGTCGTCGTTGCCTCCGGACGTCTCCTTCCATTTGAGCTAAGCTTAGTTGATATCTTAGACCTTCCGGGTTTTGCCACCCAACATTGTTGAGTAGTTTGCCTGGGGAAACATTAGCCTTGCTCGGCCAAAAGGGGGTGGAAAGGGGGGTGGAAAGTGGAGCAGTACCTCGACATGTTTTGACTGTCTCAATGAGTTGATTGACACTCATTCTCTCTCCACACATGGAAAGCTCCGCAGGCCACTGTGGCATATCCAATGCTCGTACAACGAATCGTCCAAGATCATATGCTGAAATCATGCAAAGGTATGCAAGGTTGCCAGCTGAGTCGTAGACGGGTGCTGCTTCGGACGTCATATTCCGGGCGTCAAGAATGTAATCTCCCTCATTTCCGTATCCAGTGTTGGTACCGATTCGGTGTGATACCATGCCGTCGACAGAGAACCTTTCGTAGAGTATGCCACAAACAAACACGGTGAATTGTATGTAGGCGCGGTAGTTGTGCAGCAATGCAAGTGCAGCTGCTTTCCCACGATCAAGTGGATCGCTCTGAATTCGTAGACCAGGTTGCCCTTCAAACTCAGCTGGTGCAAATCGGCGCACCCGGCATTGAACAGCTGCCTCGATCAAACGCAGTTGAGCGTTTCCCGTAACGGTGGATATGACGGTATCGACCCCCATCAAAGAATGTTGGATTGAGTTTGTGTCATTGTAGTCGACGACCTGGCATTGGTATCCTTGGGAAATAAGACCCGGTTGATGCTAGAGCCCGTCAGCATGCTGCTTCTACTCAATTTGAGAACTAGAGCGCGCTGTACACCAAGAGCTTCGTAGCTTTTCACGAGTCAGTCGTCATGAATAAAAATTGGAATGCTTACACTTCTTGATAGAATCAGTAGTTGATGGCTTGTCTGCTCGTGAATCTCTCGGGCGATGATGAGTGCTAGACCGCAGGTACCTGCTACTGCTATGCGCATAGTGGACATAGTTGATGGTGCTTGGCTTAATGGAGGAACGCGTGTTTTGGCGATATCTTGATACCTAACAGTCTGCACGGCAGCCGAAATCCATTTATGCTCGTTCATAAACTGCACAAGAATCAGCCTGACCCTCAATGAGAATCAAGGTGCCCCGGCAGGTCCCTTACAATGACACAGAGGATCGATACCCGTGACTCACAGAGGGGAGGGGGGGTTTACAGGACGGTGAGGGGGTAAAGAAATGCATACAGCTGGCTTGAAACAATCGCCAAAGAGACCTAGGACGGTTAGAGGAAATGGATGAAAGGTATGTTCTCAAGAAAGGAGACCGCAGGATGAACAATATCGGGGGAACGTACCAATAGCAAAGTCAGAACCCATTATGTCTATTTAGACATCTTGTCGACGACTGACGAAGATGTGATGTCGGGTTAGTGCGGGATCGAAAATGGAAGCAGTGCCCACCGTCTTTTGAGTAGTTCAAGGGTCGTCGGAAGCGCCCGCCAGTTGGAAAGAACAGTCTGTTAACCCAAGACCCATGTGAAAAACGTGCGGTTGCCTTGCTAAACGCCTCTTCCGCGATCCTAATTAGTCTCCGGCCCTATGCTTATATGATGATTCGGGGCCCGCGAAGTCGCGGAAGCGCCCTACAATTCTTGGCGTTTACTGATAGATTGGTCGGAAGCCAGACAAACGTACGCGGGCCATGGGATATGGGTCCCGCATGACAAAGACGAGAGTGATGCCTAGTGGTGATGTACCTGTGGTGTGTGAATTTTCTGTTCTGTCCACCTGCATGTCCTGCATATCCTGCATGTCGCTTCCCTGCGACCAATGGGCCTTCTCTCGGATCTCGACCTCGACCATGCTACGGTGGTATCTAGAGGCCTGTCACAATTACATCCCGAATCCGACATGGATCCAATTTTACGGCAGGACGCAGGGCCGGATCGGATGATAGCCATTCAGGCCGAGTGGGAGATGGAAACGGAGCCGGGGGATTTGAAGCCCGGACACTTCACGTCAACTGTCTCAGCCCTAGCCTTCAGGACCAAACGGTAGGGTTCACCGTACACCGTCCCGCAGCATGGTATTCTTGAGAGTTTTACTCTAAGCAAGAAGCGGCTGGTGGGGTGCGTAGAAGGAGAGCCCCAAATGCATGGTGACGATCCTGTGGCGTCCTGCGAATTTAGGCTCGCATGGATGGCAGACCAACCAGATACGCGGGACCAGCATATCCTTTGCAGAATTTGATCAATGATTCACTCTCGAAAGTTGGTGCTGGGGACATGGCCAGAAAAGGAAATTGGGGGCCAAATCCGGTGAGGCAGCAAGGGTGGGAAAAGGGTCCTCGAGGCCTCAGGAATTCGTAGAAAGAATTGTAAGAAGTAACTCGAAGAAGAGAAAAGATGCACCATAAGACGTGGCGGATTGTAGATCCAAGAGCCTGTCCGCTGGGTACAGGTCATAAAACCCCCCCGCACCGTGTAGCGGTCACTGGAACTGCACTTACTCATTGCTAGCGCGGGGACTAGCGGGGCTGGTAGAGAGGTTCGGGTAGAGGAGGCGAGAAGCTGACATTATTGGTGAGAGCCAAATGAGTATAAAGGTGAGATGAGGTCCAGCTTGCTCAGAACAGCACTTCTGCCTTGAGGGTGTGAGATGATCAAAAACCGGTGACAGTGGAGAACGATTGAAAAGCAGGACTGGCAGAACTAGAAAGAGAAGACGCAAAATGGGGTAGGGCGCATGCAAATGGTCAGATGGGCGAAACAAAGTGTTGATGTTGTGTGGGTGAGTGTGGGACTCGCAGAGAGTGGCTTTCCAAAAGCGATATCAGCCCGAGCTTACATACGGTGAGGCGGCCCAGAAGGACGCGACAGTCGGTCGGTGGAATGAGGGTGGTGCAAACTCGATAGATAGGAATGTCGTTGCCTGCTGTCGGTTGCCTTCTCAGCTGTCGGTGGCGACTTTGGGCGCGAATGAGCAGAAGGATTTCAAAAAGAAGAGATCGAGTCGAGGATGGAGAGGGATTTGAGTTTCAACGGTCCAGCAAGATCGCGATCACGTGCCGACGCGTCCGATCGCGACCACTCCATTTGAAGATGGGAGGCCCAGGATAGCAGTCATATAAGTATGAAGATAGCGATGGTTTACACGCGAGGATATATTAAAAGAATTGAACTCTTCAATGAACCTCTCTTCCTGTTTCAATGAGGATTCTGCTAAGCAGCCTCAAGTGAAAAGGAACTGGTCGTTGTGTTGGCTTTCCTCGCAGACGTGACGCGAGAGAGTTCATGTTATTAGCCGCACGATCGTGGACAATTGGTGGTCCCAGGAAGGAATTGTCCATGTGTCGTTGTGACCTTCGATGAACCTGCTCTTCGGCTGCAACAGAGCGAGCGCAACGCGCATAGAGATATGTTTGAACCCAACACTCGAGGAACTCTGTAGTATCAGTCCAAATGGCAGCTACACATTTTAGGCAACGTAATTGAAATTGCACAGATGCTTCGCCTCGTTGGGGTTAGGCGCATGCGAGACATAACTGATGGACTGTGCTTCGCGATAGGCGATGACGCGAGAGCTTCAACGCGCGCCGCCATCACAACATTCCCGCCACACATTCCCATCGTCTTTCGAATACCTTTGAGGTTCAGCTAAATAATTGAAGACTTCGTTCTCTTTCTGTTGTTACTGTTTCTAGTCATGGCCGACTTGCCCCTCCTATACTCATCATCGCCCACGTCATCACCGTCGTCCCACACAGGCAGTTCCAGCCCGAACTCTTGCTTCCTCGTCCATTCAGTCCGAACATTGGCTGCAAATCTGCCTCCAGACATTGACAACAAGCCGCTTGCACGCCAAAAACGTAGGCGAACAAGGTACGTTGCGACCTTACATCTTTGCAGTTCTTTATGTCTCCGAGGAGTAGTTGATTCGTCCTCGACGCGTTGTTTGGAACGTTGACGTGTGTGGTCCAGTGGCGACCCCAACACAGCCCCACTCACCTCACCACTTCTAATGCTCCTGCTAATTACCATGTTAACAGCAAAGACGACGAAGAAATTCTAAAAGCCGAGTATGCAAAGAATCCAAAGCCGGACAAGGCGGCGCGCATGGAAATTGTGAGCAAAGTTGCGCTTGGAGAGAAGGAGGTCCAGGTTCATTTTGTCTGCCTCAAGACCACGTGCCAATGACTAACCACTCGTTAGATCTGGTTTCAGAACAAACGACAGAACGACCGCCGACGCTCTCGACCACTCGACAATTCATCGACTCCGCACCTTATGTCATCATCCTCCACCATGTCTGATCCATCAACCGAGGAGGAAGGCAATCTGCACGGGAATGAGAATGAGAATGAGAATACTGAAGAGCAGAACTATAATGAGGAGGAACCAAAATTGGAGCAGGTGGAGCAGGTAGAAATTGTAGAGGTTGCATCTGCAGGCTGTCGGAATATCAACGCCACCATAGCACCTATAGCGGCAGATTCCCAGGGCACCGTCGAGTCAATTACCGTAGCATCCACAGATCCGCGCACCATAGACACTATACCAACGGAGCTTAATAGCTCTCAGCAAACAATGGCATCCTCCCAAGGCACTTCGCAACCACGCACATCCTGGATCTCGAACCGTCGTAGCGCGTCCTTCATCCGCTCCCAGGAAGAACATTTATCTGATGTTACAACCGCGCCGACGGGTACACTAAAGCGCGCTCACTCCTTTGTCCGCCTGTCTTTGACTGCTGACGGGGGAGCACGCGTCATCACAGATGCAGACCAGTCACCCTCTCCTCCTCACGTAAAATCTGATCCTTCCATCCTAGCTCATGCCGCTGCTGGGCTTCGTAGAAGCTACAGCGCTGCCGGGTTGAATGAGCGCTTAGCAGCCGCCTCTAGAGGAGAACCTATCCCAAAGATGGCCAGGACCTTGACGAATGCTGGACGCAGCAGGGATTCACGCGCGTGGGAGTTTTGGTGCGACCCAGACAGCCGTCACAGAGGCAGTCTAACGGCAAAAGCAGAACAAGAAACTAGTGGCAGTGCTGCGGACGCTATCGGATTATTACGCGCGAATCGAAGGGTCTTAGGCTCGAATCAGTCCCGTCAAAACACTCCCGTCTTGTCTCGAAATGATTCATCCAAAGGGTTAGGTAACCACGGAATCAAGAAATCTCGTCCGCAGATGGAACGAGCATCTACATCATACGGCCGCCTCCAAACCAAAGATGACAAGAAAGAAGACTCTGTATCGTCCGACGAACTTCCCCAAACTGAATCTGACAAAGAGAACTGGGAACCCGATGTTCCTCAATCCCAATCACGTCGCCCTCGGCCTCACTCAGCTTCTATCTCATCACAGCACCCGCGCCAGATTCTGGGGGAGAACACGGATCTCATGTCACAGAGCTCGAGTCTCGGCACTATGATGGCTCGCGAAAAAGGCAACGGTGGAGAGGCTAACGGAACGGAGAATGTGGACCCCGATCAAGACGAGGAATTGAGTATGTTCATGAATGGTGGTAGATTAAGTGGGAGGACGAGTTTGAGCAGTGCAGAAGAGGCAGGATGTGTGGAAGGGTTGTTAAAGTTGAGTCAGGGGAATTGGAGGTAGTAGGACGCTGCATAACCAAAGTTGTTTGACTGGACTTAGCCAAGATCTAGTCTAAAGAGTGACGATGAATTGTAGGAGCGTTCAGCTTGGACTTCTTTTCTTCTCACCTCCCGCCTTTGCATTTGAGCGCGGAAGGCTTAGTGTTGAAGACTAGGCTGCGGATCATGGATGGTGTTTCGCGGTACCCGAGTAGTGTTCAACTGCATTCTATCGCTCTGTATGAGATCTCTTAGAGTTCTCATTGTAACACTACCTGGTAGGTCTTGGTCCATACTCAAGTAGTATCAGATTACCCTTTGATAGCTTCCAGTTCGCAGTATATGAAAATCCAGTTCTAATTGCAGACTCAATTCGAGTTAAAGAGTTCTAGTGAGGGTAGAATTAGGTCTTCTAACCGTTCCCTGCGAGGCCGCAATGACGCCCATGCTTCCGTGAAGGTAATTATCTTCTCCCAAACCGAACGCCTGCAGGAAAACTGCGCAAGCAGTCACGGCGCCTGACAGCTCCCCTGATGAACGGAAAGCTTCATGTCGCACCAAGACCACTTCCCCAGATGAGATATCCTTCGGAATCCAGCACCAGAGTGCTCTTACTGCAAAACCCCGCTGAAGCCCACTCTGTGCTTTCGATGTATCCTGAATGATTCCCTCTCACCCCCTCAGCTGGCTTCAATAGTCGAAATACCCTGGCCACCGCTTTTTCTGCCTCTGCTTCAGCCTCAGCAACCCCCTCCCCACGACATAGCCACCTTGAGCTGCTGCACCGGATTTTCTTGCACTGGGACCCACGCCCCTACATTCACCTGCATTACCAGCACCATTTCCACCCGTCTTCATCATATCCAATGTATCCGGCCTCCCACCCACACTGTTAAAAAACGGCCTATTCCAATTCGTTGCTGGCAGATTTCGACTCTTCTTACTCAGCCCGTTGCGCTCATCTTCCTCTCTCTTAAGCCTGATCCGTTTCTCTTCTTCCAGCTTCTCCATCTCCTCCATCTCCTTCACAAGCGCACACCCAAACGTCCCCGCCTTCGTCAACGGAACCTCCATACCCGGTAATCTCAGCTCTCCCCGGACATACCCGTCCTCGTACCCTTGGTGTGGGAGTTGGTGGGTAAGACCGACGGGGAGTCCGGCTGAAGGCTTTGCGTAGAGGAAGGGTTCGACGTTGTAGGATTTCGCGAGGGATTTTTGGAGAGCTCGGAAGGAGGGGTGAAGACGTTGTTCCCAAGATAGGAGGGTAAGGTCCTGGAAAGCGTGACGGAAGGTGGAGAAGGCGGGTTGAAAGGGGGAGGAGAGTGGGGTTAGGATGGTTTTGAAGGGCTGGATGGTCGGAGTGGGAGTCGTTGGTTCTGCGCTGGAGACGAGAGAGATTAAGCGTGCGTGCTTCTCACTGACGTTCGAGGCTGTGGTTTTGATGTCGGTGTTCCGCTCCTCGATAGCCCCTCCTGCTTCCTTGCTCTTCTCCCTATTACTATCCCTCGTAATCTCCACAATCTTTCTCTCAACTTCCCTCGCTTCCTCTTTCCTTGCAAACCCCAAACTCCCACTATCCGCACTCGACCACTCCCCTCTAGCGGGCGCGTATTGTACCACCGTGCAGTACACATGTGGTACAGTATGACTCTCATAAAGCCGAATATTGTATCGCTCAGACTGGTTCTTGAGCAGATTTGCGCGGATGAGTAGGATGTTGTAGGAGAAGCCCGTGGTATCGTGGTATAGGTGGTACAAGTCTTTGAGTTTGAGGGTTGCGGGATTAGCTTGTGCGTTAGAGCTCGTGGGGGGCTTGAGGGAGAGAGATGAGGTGGGTGTTGGGAGGGGGAGAAGGGTGGGAGTGGAAGTTGATTTTGAAGTAGGGCGCTGAGACGACTGGAAGGATTGGGAGGACTTGGAATCCATGGGTGGTGATGCCTCTTGCTGGGCGGTAGCTTGAGCTTGAGTCTGAGCCGAAGCAATAGCCTTTTTCTCAGCCTTAGAACAGGCTTTAGCCTCCGCCTCCCGCCGCTCTCTTCTCTCTGCCAACTCGACGAACGCAGACCGGAAGAAACTAACCGACAGTGAGGACTTCGACTTACCGGATCCGGTATCCGTACGAGCTTCTTCACACCCCTTTTCGAATTTCGCTGCTAGGGTACCGCATCGTTAGTGTCTCTCTCCCCTGTTGTCAAAACTTAACCAATAATGACCAGGGGAGGAGTATTGAAAAGCAGGAGTCCTCCAAGCCAGTAGAGAATATGGGGATTACATCGATATACATACCATCAACCTTCCTCCCCATCCTAACCATCTCCTTCTTCCTTCTCCTCTCACGCTCAACCGTATCCCACAAATACTTCTTTTCCGTCAACTTCCGCTTCTTCTGTAGCGAGTCTTCCAGCCAGTCGTAGTTGATGATATACGTGCCGTATTTCTGGGCGGCCGTTACAGCTTCCGATTGCTTCTTCCAAGCGGTCTTTGAGCAGATTAAATGGGTAACGCCCTTTGTGATCCGTGAAACGTATTTACCGCCGTTGTTTTCAATCCATTTTTTTAGGCGCGAGTCGATGTCAGGACCGTGGTCGTTGGTGGATGATAGGGTGAGTTTGGAGAGAACTGCCATGTTGGGCTTGGTTGTATGTAGGAGAAGGGTTGAGGTATGGATAGCCAGTGTGGGGGTTGGTGGGTTGAATGGAAGGAGACAAGCGGGACAGTGGCGTAGAAGAGAGTGGTGAGAGAGAAGGATAGGAAGACGCTGTTTAAAGTTTAGGTGACAAGGGATTTGTTGCCTGACAAAGAGGCGGTGGCGTTGGGGACGGCAACGAGTGAGATTTACTTCACTCAGGCGGAAGGTACAGCAAGCAGGTAGGGTGAGGAGGCGGGGGGAGTTGCTGGTAGAGTGTAAAAGAGCGGAGGGGAGAAAGGAGGCAGTAATAGAAGAGATTCTGGGCTAGATTTACTTTGATCGTGTTGGAGGGTGTTGAAGTGAGCGAAACAAATTAAGTTCAGGAAGTAATGCTTGGGAGCGATTTGAGAGACACTACTGAGGAAAGGTGAGAGGTGAGAGATGTGACAGAAGTAATGGAGTGGAAGTCGCTCTAGTAACTATTGGCTTGTCGAGCATGCAGCAAAGACAAACGAAGGTTGAGAATGTACTCTTTCGAAATGAAGTGCCAAGGTGAACCCCGATATGCTACGTACTTTTATTCCTCTTTCGCAGCCGTGATGAAAGCCCGGATTTTATCCAAGCTTTGCTGGCCATTTTCTTCAACACCACTGCTAACATCAACGGCTTTTACTCGATTCCTAAACTCTCCAAGTCTCCCTAGAACACTCTGGATATTCGTTGGATCCAGACCTCCTGCTAACATGACCTTCACGCCATCATCTTTTGCCAATACTTCTTTAACATCCGTCAAGTCAAGCAATTGGCCCGAGCCACCAGCGCCAGCATCCAGAAGCGGGATAGAATGACACCCGCGTAACCCAATACCTACGTCCTTAGGATTGAAACTCTTGATGAGTGGAACTGGAATAAGCTTTGCCCACTCGACAGGCTCAGAACCGTGGAATTGAACAATGTCTAGATTAAGTAGTTGTTGCTGTTCCAGTACGTAATCGAGGGATTGATTCTGGAAAACTCCCACTAGGAGCGCCCGAGGAGAAACAGAGACTTGCGAGAAGGTATATTCGAAGAAATCTGACGCGGCTTTCAAGGCGGCGGGAGAGGTAGCTTTGACATTATGTGCTTTCGGGGTAGAGTGAACGACTTCGGATATCGCAAGCGCTGTCTCAGCCGAGACTGCTCGCTTCCGACCGGGTACCAAAATCATGCCAATGAGATCAGCACCTGATTCGATGGCGACTTTCGCGGCCTCAGCGCTTCTTGTCCCACAGATTTTGACCAGCGGAGTGGATTTGCTCGCTGTTGATGTGGATGATTCTGCGCTGCCAAGGAGGTTCGAAATGAATTGGGTGGTATCAGAAGCACGCATCAAAGCCTCCCCTACTAATACAGCACCCACACCACTCTTTGTGTAAGGCTCAACATCCTTTGGCCCTGAGATACCACTCAAGGCGCAGACAATTGCCTCTTTGGGAACAGCGTCCATCAATCGACTGGTAGTCTCTAAATCAACCTCAAAGTTGGTCAAGTTTCGGTTATTCACTCCGATAACCCTAGAGCCCAATTTTAGAGCGATTTGCATCTCCTCAACGGTGTTGACTTCAACGAGCGGCTCCATTCCAAGAGACTGGGAATAAAGATACAGCCTTTTCAGGAGTGCCTCATCCAGCATTTTCACAATCAGGAGCACCGTGTCAGCGCCCGCTAGCCTCGCCTCCAGGATTTGGTATTCGTCGAAAATGAATTCCTTACGCAGTACGGCGGGCCGGTTCGGCATTCCCTCCAGAGACTGTCGCACCGCTCTGAGATCATCGATACTTCCCTTGAACCATTCGGGTTCAGTTAGGACAGAGATGACACTCGCGCCGGCTACGGCATACTTCCTGGCCTGGGCAGGAGCGCACGTGGACAGCGATATGATGCCTTTGGAAGGGGAGGCGCGTTTGATCTCCGCCATAAGAGACAGTCGGTAAGGAGATTGCCTCAGCCGCTCTGTGAAGTTGAGTTGTGGAGGCGCTAGATTGAGGTCATAGGCTGCCTGCAGATCGCTGGGTCTTTGCGACGGAATTTGCTTCTGTTCCGCAACCGCAGCTCTGCGGTGGTCGTATATTTTCTCTAAAATCGAGGTGTGCTTATCCTTTTTGATGGCTCCATTAGTGGCTGCTCCGGTCGCATCGACATGAGCCGCTTTGGACAATCTGTCATTTTCCGCCCAAGTTCCACCTTGCATGCGCAGGAAATTCTTGATCATTACCCGACCCTCGGCGGTGAGGATGCTCTCGGGATGGAACTGCACGCCTTCGACGAGATACTCCTTGTGGCGCACTCCCATTATGACACCCTTACCACCATCAGGGCCTGTAGCAATCCATGACGTGACCTCGAGACAGTCTGGAAGGGTCGGATGGGTGCCGGCCAAGGAATGATATCTTGTCACCGGAAGATCCTGGGGGATTCCAGCATACACTCCCTTTCCGTCATGCCTCAGAGGCGAAGTTTTCCCATGGAGAATTTCGCCAGTGACATCGACGCGGCCGCCGAACGAGTAGTAGACACATTGCCTACACAAATGAGTGTCCATACGGGGGGGGCAGCAGGTGGGCAGACTTACTCTCCCATGCAGACTCCGAGGACGGGGATCTTTCCACTGAAATGCTTGATTGCGTCGTTGCTGATGCCAGCATCCTTCTCTGGGTGTCCAGGGCCGGGACTTACAACCAGCTGCGTTGGCTTCTTTGCAATGAGTTCATCGAGCGTGATTTTGTCGTTGCGGAAGACGGTGACGGTGGCGCCCTCGAGGACTAGATATTGGTAGACATTCCAGGTAAACGAGTCGTAGTTGTCAATCAGGATCAGGTTCGATGCGGTGGGAATGGGTGGAGAGGGGGAGGGGAAGTGGGGGGAGTGGTCAATGAGTCCTGCAGAGGGCATTGCGGTTGCTGGGTGTCTAAAAAGCGAGGAGAAGAGCGCAACTTGCAAAGGGGCAGTGGAGTAATACAGGTGTCTTCTGGATCGCGAGTCGAGAATCGTGAATTATGAATTGTGGGTGACTCACCCCACATATATTGGGGGTGGTGAGCACCGGAGGTGAGCACCGGAGGTTTACCGCCGCTCTCATAAAATTGTGCCGGTGCGCGGTGGAGAACGTGCACGGGCGTTTGGCGCGCTCCAGAGCTCACGACCAAGCTTTCACATTCACTCCAAACATCCTGAGCGCTCTACTCTGTCCCCCTCCCCCCAATCCCACCGCTCCAGTCTCTATGGCCTAAGACCAGGTCAGCTCTCCAGCGCACTCCGGCGCAGACATGGCTCCCATCCAGGTGCAGGCCCCCGGCGAGCCACTCGACCTCGCTAAATGCTTCAGAGGAGAGGAGCAGCTCATGTATGTTCAAGCATTTGTCGTGCTGTAAGAAATGGCCTGCTGATTGTGATAGATCTTGGGATGTCGCGTATACAGCCCTCTGCGACCCGAAAACTGCCTCCAGAAGCGCGGCACTGCGCTCCTTCCTGACCCCCGATTCGAGCCTAGAGATCCTCAGCAGGCCATGGCGGCCGTTTGGTGCCCCCTCCCCGCAGGAAAAGGCCAGGCTCGAGACTGCCACGGCCCCCATCAACGTGACCTCTGCTGCGAATGCGCACTACAACATTGAGGAGATCAAGGCCGACAGCGCGTGGCTCTCGCAACAGGCCCACATCTCCGAGTATGCTGCCTTGCGGCTGACCATGCTCGAATGGCAGAGCCGCCCGGCCGCCCAGCTTCTAAGCGGGCTGACCGAAGAGGAGGCATTAAGTGTCCAAGAAGCTGCTGGTATATCCAACCTGGGCGCGTCCACCTTCGTCACCAATTCATCTATCCTCACCGCCCCGTCGGGCTTCGCCCTGCAGGCCGATACTCAATTCAACTCTCCCGAGCACCGAAAGCTGCGACTGATAGATGTGTATCACTCGGAACGCGCATCCGTTCTCCGCGTCAGCCAGCTGCTCATCTGCTGGGGCGCAGCGAAGGACTTGCGCCAGGCATATGGCCGTGAATATCGCGTGTGCGATGACTGGCTGGAGCAGCTGGGCCAGGCTGTTGCTTCACGGCAACAGCGGCCAAGCCAGAGTTCTCCGGGAGCTAGCTTCTTGAGCCAGTGTATCCGCACAGTGAACGCAATCTCAGACGGCTTGGTGGATTTGAGCGGCTTTACTTGGAATGTTCCAGATTCTATCCTCCAAGCTGCAGCAGAAAAATGGGTAACTGCTCAAATCTCCGAGGCCATTCAGATTCTTCATATAGCGCTTGCTCATGCCGATCTTTTCCACAAGAAATTCGTGCCTGCCGCTATTGTCGAAGAATGGTTCACCTCCATGTCGGATCGTGACTTCTTCGTGAATTACGCGGCCGTAAGTTGAACGTCTCACAAGCTTTGACCATATGCTAACACAAATCATAGCAATACCCCAGCTTGCAGCCTCTTGTATCCGTACTCCATTTGCTCACATCTCTCCTATCCCTAGCTATTCTAAAGGTGCAAGTTGTCCTCGATGATCTGGACAAGGGAGACTATGCCTCTTGGGATCGGTCGTCCTACGTCTTGAATGGCGCTATTGTTGAGACCATCACAATGGTTTTTGGCCATGCCAAACGACTCGGACCCAGTCCCGCAACCCCACCAGCTTTCTCTTGGGCTATCATCGCATGGAGGCTCACTGCGCAAGCCAGCGCCATTGAGCAGCAACGCGACATAGAAGATGGGTCAGGGGGTTCAGCGAATACTGTTAGCCCTCTGGAAGAAGCTGTGCTCTCTCTAGCGAGGCTTGAGAGTAACGAGCTGTTCAACAAAAGGATACCCTTTCAAGACCTCGCGGAAATCTGCTCAGAGCACCATGTTCTCGAGCTGGCCACCCAAATGATCAGTCTCGGAATGTCAGTGTTCGGAACTGACGTCGACCGTATCTCAAGAGACAGATTTCGCTTCCTCCTTTTGCAGCTCGTTCGTGCAGGGCTGGCCAGCGAGATCGTGGCTTATAGTCCTGAGCTCATTCTATCTGCCCACGCTATCCTCTCAGGAGAGAAGACATTTCGGAGATGGGTTGATCACAATACTCCTCATCCTGCTGATCCCCTCATTGCCTATTTTCTAGCGGACAAAGCTGTTCTACGTCCAATTCTTTTGGACGAAGCTCGACTCCGTTACCCATATGAGACAATACCACTTCTCAAATTCTGCAGTGCTCTAACCAGAGGAGAGAAGTCAATACACGACGGGGTGCCAACAGCCGCAAGCTTGCTCATTAATGCTAATACCCTCATGCAACGCTTACCTGACAACTTCAGCGGGTACAGTTCAATTCGCGAAGAGGAAAATGCAAATTTCGTGGCATTAAGGGAAGAACTTCCCCAATTCTCTCCAAAACCGACCTCAAATTTCCGTGGCCCACAACGAAGGCTGTTGATGTCCGCTGCTGCCAACAATCCATTGGAAGCCATGGTCATCCCTCCAGGCACAGAAGGCAACATTGTTGATGACAGGGCGTCACCATTCGTTGCTGTCTGGCATTATCCCCACTCAGCACTCGAATACCTCGTCCGGTTACTCTCTACGTACATGGTCGGGAACAACCAAGTCGAATTTGCCACACGAGCACCAATCTCTCTCGAAAACGCAACAGAGATAGTCGGGTTCTTTGCTGACCTACTTCATTCCTCCCTTCGATCCTCTGCAGGAAGCGATGGCGACGTAGTCTGCTCGGCCGAGCTATTGAGCGCTTTGGACATTGGTGTTGACCGCACCCAAGACACCGTTAGCATTGTCCTTTCTATTTTCGAAGAGGTGCTCCTCCGTCAGTGCGAACAGCGGGGGAATGAGGAGTCACTAGAGCTTCTTGTGAATTGCATCCACTTTCTTAACGCATTGGTCATAATAACTCCCAACCGTGTGTGGCCATGGTTAGCTAGGAGCCGCTTGCTGGATACAGACGGAAATGGAGGCAGCCTCGCAAGTGTCCTCATTGGCACTGAGATGGTTATTGGTCGCTATGACTTCCTCATTGGATGTATTCACCTATTCCATGCACTCGTCCGGGATGCTGTCACACGATCGGTCACCCGCAAAACCTCTGGTAGCAAAGCCCTCACGCGTTTGAATGCTGGACCTACACCCGACAGTGGTACATCCGACAAGATCATGAGCAACATGTTGCTTATATTTGGAAGAATGCTTGCAGGTGTATATGAAGGCTCACTCAGTTGGAAGTATTTTCGAGTTGAAGACCGCCTCGAGATAAATATCGGCATCTGCGGCGCCTTCAAAACCGTTCTAGAATATGCTTACGGTGTAGACGACGCACCGAAACTTTCTTCCAAGCTCACTGGACTCATTGCTCCAATTGCAGAATACATTGCGCAGCTTTTCCTCTCAAATTCGGAGAACGACATGCCAACAAATCCAATTCTAGCCTCGCTACTATCCGGCACGAATTTAGAAAATGGCTCGATTTTGACTCACACAGCAGCACTCTGGAAGCAGCAAACCCAAACGACGCTTTCATTCTCTGATCTCCTCGTACGAGTCGCTATGCTATTGAACAAACCCTGGACGCACCTAGAACAACAACTTTTCAAAGCCACACCACTGTTGGCTAGGCTGTATGCTACAAGCGATGCATACAAATCTCCAGTCGTTCTACTGCTCAACAGCCTTGTTCGTGGTGCCATGCGGGTTGCCGACGAAACAATCAAAGGAGAAGGTGGTGAGAAGAAGAAAGATAAGATGGAGCCGCCCTCTCTTCTCGGCCATCTGGGCCCGAAGACTGCAAAAAACTTCCTCAGCATCCTTTCTGGGTTAGATGAGCCATTGGGAATCGTGGACATCCAGACGAATGTTTGGAACTTACTTACCGCCGTCGTTACATGTAAGCAGCAGTGGCTTGCTCTGTACTTGCTAACCGGCAATACACCACGCGAGTCTATTCGGAGCAATGCTACCACTAGTCCAGGGCACTTCAGAAACAAAGCCCTTCTCAACCGTGCACTCGAAGCCTTATCTAGGCTAGATCTAGATCGACCCACTAGGCCTTGGCCGCTGTTCACTGCGATGCTCGAATTTGTCTCCGCAGCCCAAAATAGTTGGTCGTGGGCTATGGGTGACCTACGTCAGCACAAAGACTTCATTAAGCACCTTCTTGCGTTCTTCAAGTGGATGGCAACCCAGCCAAAGGACGTCAAGACAGATCAAGGCGTTGTAGATCGCTCATATCAAAACAAATTCGCTGCCCTGGCGAGTGGAATTCTAGCTATGTATATTCATAGTTCACGCCAACTCGGAGATGTAACTCCTTTGAAAGATATCGTCCCCGATTTGACCTATCTCCAAGAGAATGCGCTTGCACTACCCTCGTACAACGCTTCTCTTCAGACCAACCTCAAGAAAAACATCGAAGGGAAGATTCAAGGGATCTCACTATCTAACTTTAAGCGGACGACACTATACCCGGAGCCATTTGGACCAAGCTTCTTCTACAATATTGAGCTGGCTGACAAACTTCTCGGATTCGATGTTAATTGGACTGGACGGCGGCCAGGTCAAGGGTTTTCCGCCGAGGTTGTGAGAGCGAACCTGAATCTTGGCCTCGTCGAATCACAAGTCCAGCTTCTTCACAGCTGGAAAATTCTGGCGCTAGAGTTGAGCAGCGTTATGACAAAGGACGACCGTCTCGAAAAACTTATCATTAGAGTGGTTGAGGACTGTATGAAGGCAAATGCTCAATCGACGCTTCCAGAAGCATTATTCGGCGAGCTCATGCTCATTCGTGCAGACTTGTCCTTCGTACTTCTACAGCGGATGGTGATAGCAAGGGTCACAGCTCAGGAAGCCAAGCGATTGCTTCCCAGCATATGGAATACCGTTCGTGCGTCAACGACCGATATCGAAACCGTTTTCTCCAGCGAGCAAGTCAACTACTATCGTACTATGCTCCGAACTCTCTACCTCGCCCTCCAATTCTATCTTCTCGACCCATCCGCATCCGCCCAAGACCAACTATTCCGTTCCAGCTTCCGGGCGTCGATGCCTGAGAAGGGCATGACGCTGCAGGAGGCCCCCATCGCGAATCAGCTACTGGAAATACTGTCTGATGTAGTCGCAAAAGGATTTCGCAGCCTGGCTAATCAACTCCATTCCGAACCCGACAGCATCTCACCCACCGACTTCGCTCTTCTAACTGCCATCCTCCAAACCATTCTCTGCATACCAGAAATGAAGAATTGGCAAGCTCAGGCAGCGTTGTTATTCTCCAACAGCAATACAATCCGCTATGCCACAAGCCTCTTCTCCTGGTCAGATAGACTTACAATTCGAAACAACGGGGTCGAAGATCCAATCTATGGCGAGCTCAGTCTTCTCTTTATCCTATCCCTCTCTAGTATGCAAGTATTAGCAGAGAACATGGCAGTGGAAGGCATCTTGTCCCAACTCAACACCGCAAATCTCATGAGCTACTTTCGTCGCCAAGGCGGAATGGGACCCTTTGACTCGCCCAATCGAATGTACTCTATCTGGACGAAAGGCATACTACCTCTCTGTCTCAACCTCCTAGATAGTGTTGGCCCGCCCATCTCCGGCGAGATTTCTGCCTTTCTAAACCAGTTCCCGGAGCAGCTCGTCCGAGCTTCCAATACACTCAGCACCCGAACTGCCACTAAAATCACCCTTTCTGTTGCTTCCGAGACACACTCTCTTGCTCTCATAGCTGGCATTCTTGAAAGCAACAGAGACCAAGGACCTCGCTTAGGTATTCAGGCTGGCGACATCCCAGTCCTAGACTGGGATAGAGAGAATGTGAAGGAAGATATTGAGAGCTGGATGGCGAGAAAGGGTGCGTTAAGAGAGAAAATCGTGGTTGTGGACGAGACTGAGGCGGCGTTATTTGATAGGAAGTTGGCGGGGGGGGAGGCGGAGAATATGCTGGAGGAGCGGATTTTGAGGGAATTGGATGCAGCGGGTGACTGCTTGGGGCTGGGGAGGGGGAATGGATCGTAGAGGGAGGGAGTGTTGAGAAGGGATTAGGATTTTGGACTTGAACTTGTTTTGTAGGAATTTTTTGTATCAAAAGCAGCGAGCGTGGAGTTTAATGGCAAGAAAGGGTTTGGAGGGGTTTTGGATCCATCTTGGAGATATTGAAATAGCCTTCGGGTAGATGCATTTGGTCTGCATTACTACTCCATCACCAAAAGGGAAACATGGCAGGGGTAACTTTCATCCTTTTAACGTTCTCCTCGATTTTAGTGAGAAGTCCAATAGATAAAACTTACCCAGTTATGTTCCGCGTTAGGTGAGAAGTTGTAGTAGGTACCTCAGTATGTGTCGGCCTCGTGTTGTGCCTGTGCATAGACGTTGAGAGTATCTTCGGCGCTTCCTTGATTCCTGTCTAGCGCGTTCACCTTGATAATTAAGCTGTCGACGCAAATACGTATGCAGCTAGAGTGGTGCAAGCGAGGCGGTAAGCTAGACTAATTCCAGCTATGATACATAATATGCCCTCATACGGTCTCAGGGTGGAAATGAGCAGTCTGGGAAATATAGAGCGTGCTGAGCGGAGTGAGGAGCCACCCCGAACCAGAACCACCACCCATCTTTCACAATCTACTCAGTTCTGAAACGTCCACATTTCATTCAGATTCTCACGGCTTAGATAAGCCACCATCACCATTCTTCCCCTAGTTTCCTGATCCAAGTTTTCCCGCAGGAGATTCAGTTGTGCGATGTCTCATTTAATGAATGATCTCTGGCACAAACTTTTCCTTCCAGAATATCTTTAATTACGAGGATCTGATGTGTATGCACGACCTTTTGGTCTTTTAAGCGCGTCAAAGGCGTATCTTCAAATGGGCAAGGAGTCTACGCCCAAAATGATTGCTTCATAACTATTTAAGGAGTGGTCTTGACTCTTGCAACGAGGAATAAAGAGCCTTTGCCTCCACAATAATTTGCGCGTAGTAAACAGCTCTTTCTTTTGAGGAGATGGGTCGTAGGTGTTGTTCCTTTTGCTTGAAGTGAAGGATTTGTGCTGACAGCATTCCAGCCACACGGCCCTACAGTTGACCCAAGATCCTCACACGTGGGACAGTTTCCATGCTTCAAGGCAATATCATGTGTTCTATAACTTACCCCTGTTTCTCTTGCAACCTACTGGTGACTAAATTGAGTTGATGGCGTTTCGTCCCTGATTTTCGACTTCTCAGAGTTGACTACGCTCCAACGCGCTTGTGCCGCATGAAATGTTCGTTACTTTCCCCTTATATCTCTAAAGCAGTATCTCCCTAGCTTTTTTCACGTCATGTGGGATCACCCAAGACCGCAAGATGACCAGAGAGCGAGCCACGATTGTTGTTCTCGAAACGTGCAGCCTATAGCGATGCAGATTTCCAAGTGAGATATGGCGAGAAGACACTACTGATTATTACCCAAGCTTTTCACACCAACCTCACCAACTTCATCACATTCCTTCAATACCAGTGCACTGTTTGCTCTCGTACCTTTGAGACTTCATCTTACGTTTATTCTCATGATTTACTCCTCCGCGCTTATCCGACAATGAGGCACGAGGATATGGCTCTTATCGCCAAGTCCCACGCTCTGGACGAACTAGGCAGGTATAAAGCTGACCGCATTCGCAACACCTGGGTATCTCAACATCGCTCTCGTCACTCATTTCCAAATGGTGAACGCTCTCTTGAAATCACCAGGCATGCTCGCTTTTCTAACTTTTATGACCTTTTGGTCTCTGGCCGCGTCCCATGTTATCCCCTCGCTTGCACTTCCTTCAGACCTTCATTCTCGACAAGCCCCGAAACTCAAGGCTGGTGCGTGGTTGATGACCTACAAGCCCAGCGGCTCCTCCCAGACTTATAAAGGCTCTCTACGCGTGACTTCCGATAGCTCTTCGCTTCATATTTCTGGCGATTGGTACAACAGCACAGCACAACCCAACCCAGCAGATGGGATTCCAATTCTCCCTCGATCGAATTACTACGCCTTCATCCGCGCTACAAAGCTTACCTCTGGGAATAACCGAGCCTTTACAATGGGATTAGAGGCTTTTCGCTTCAAAGGATTCCATGAAATCAATAACTACACGGTATGGGATGACAGCAGCGCCCCCTTGGATGGAGGCTATATTACAGATCTCTCTCCAACAACTGCACCTACCGGATATCCAGATTCACGTAACTATTTTGAAGGCGATATGAAGATTATTGGGAGTGGTTCTGTGGCCGGCCGTTTCACCATGGGGTGGGTCAATGAGTATGTCCGCAAGATCACTTTGGAAATTGGGTCCGTGAGTGGGATGGAAGTACCGAATAAAGACATCTCAGGCCAACGCACTTGGAAGAATATTTTCAGCGAAGTTGGTTGGGATATCAAAATAGTCCTAGGGAAGACTGACATTCCGGAGCCTACAAACACAAATTTGCCGGCAGGCATGTGGAAGTCCGAGCAACAACATGCTGCTATGCTTCAGTACCGCAAGGAGACGGACTTTGATAAGGAGTGGAAATACTATCTCCTCCTGGTGAAGCGCTTAGAAGGAGTCGAAAGAGGCGCCATGTTCGATCCAGGTTACGAATACAATTCTATACCCAGAGAGGGAACTGCCGTAGCCAACGAATGGATCGTTGGCACAATCTGGGACGGAACCAACGACACAGGACGTAACTGGGGTACCGCTACCGGTAAAAAATTTGTTACCGTTCATGATGCCTGGTTTCGCACCTGTGTCCACGAAGTTGGCCACTTCTTCAACCTCCAGCATCCGCCAGAGTTCGTACAGGGTGTAATGACTGATACGCAAACGTATGTAGACGCAGGTCGAGATGGATTGACAGCCCAGAAGTTTCCAGAGAATGTCGGCTCTGAATCACTCAAATTCACGGATTCGGACAAGTTTCTGATGATGCATCGACCGGACTTGTTTCTTCGGCCTGGGTTTGTTAAGTTTGGTGCTGCTGCTCAGGTTTGTCCTTCTTTCTTGCTAGTATGATATGTATAGATACTTACGGAAGAAGCAGAATAGTGAGCCGCCCGAAGCAGCTCCCTTAAGATAAGCAAGCGAATGATCATGGTGGATGGGACACGATACTCAGCTAGAGTGGCTACCGCGAGGAATGTGACCTCGACACTCGTCCACACCGTGTCATATCGAGGCCAGAATGCTTGGCAATTTTGATGAAAGGCGACTCCACCACGATATGATGCAGGGCAGAGATTGCTCACCAAGTTGCACGGGGTATCAGATCACCCAAACGATCGGATCAGAAAGGCACATGTTCGAACAATCCCTCCTTCTTCGCTGCATTTCTCTCTGACTTCTCATTTATTTTCGGTCTGTCTCAGCATATTTTATTCTCGTGGGATTTCGGCGCTACCCGTAGATCTCCGGACTCACGTCCTGCGTTTATCGTTTCTTGTGGCACCTTCCCAATCCACGGACAGTCCTGCATGTGTGCTTAATCTATCAGCGAGCGAGTAACCTTTAGCTTTCCCAACAGTCATGTTACACTTGCATAGCTCAATGCCAAGACCCTCCCTGCGCCTTCCAATATCCATAGGACTTGTGATAGGAGACGAGGCGAGGACGTGAATCTAGGCGATCAATCGTGAAACTATACGAGTCCCTAGTCGCTAACTTGTGTCTGCGATGAAGGACTGGAATCAACAACCTCGATGACGTGCTAAGTAAGCTCTACGAGCCTCTTGCAATAGTACTATGCTTGTATCTTGGGCTAAGGAAAAGGGTTTTTAAGGATCTTCAAATCTGGCGTACTGCGAATGTGTGTCACACACCGTTCTTTCCGAAGTACACTGATAACGAGAGTTCCTAGATTGCTTCTTAGATAGTAGTTACCAGACCCAACATACCTACGACTTCGTAATAAATTGAGATCAAGCTCCTCTAAGGGCAGCTTCGTAGGCCGTCTATAGATACGCTTGACGTTCTCACCATGTTCCCCGTCAGTTGTTCACTGATGGCTGCGTATAATCCCTTATGGAAAGACTTAGCAACCATTTAACGTATACCCCAAAGAATAGGTGGCAACGCTCAAGCTTCAAGCTCAACTCCCCGGTGGACTTGGAGAGAAGGTCCATATATATCTAAACTTCCCCTCAAAGGGGCTCTGACAAAAAGCCTTTCTCTAACCTCCCATTAGAGATTATGGGATGGAACTAAACTAGAAATGAGAACAACGTGAGAAAATCCTATAAAAATATATAAGGAATATGAGTGGAACAGCAGTATCACGACTGAGATGGAATATATCATAAAGGGGATGTTTTAGTATATACTAGCGTCCGTATAATTTTGGAATTACGGAGAGGATAGTCTCATTTCTATAATGACTCAACCCCCGGCCGAAATATCTTTCACATTATCAGGCCATCTAGCAAAACAATACTGCGTTACCGCTTAACGTGGGATCCTGTTTACGCTTCTTACCCCATCTACCCTCCGCACCGCACAGCACCACGAATCATACGCCGCACTCCCGCATAAACACAACCTACTTCTTTCATTAACTAGATACTACAGAGCTACAAAGGTGGGTTATATCGACCCCTTCTTGGAGCAGGCAACTATAGTTAGAGAACCAGGGGCTGAACTGCGGACGAGGGAGGAGAAGAAAGCGCCTCCAACACATTGAGGGAATGCGAAATATGACCTTATATGACTTCACCTTTCCGAGTTTAGCCGCGAGAGGAGTTTCGATATCGAGCTAGGGTTGTTCCACCAGTTTAGATGCAGTCTAGGGGCCAGGGGCTCAACTATCGCAGAGGGTATCTCACGCCCAACAAGCATGGCAGATGGAAGCTTCAAGAGCAGCTCGATATCAGATTCATACCCATATACAATCTCCACAACACCCCCATCAAGATCAAACAGCTCTGAAGTTGCCCCGAATGCACCATCACATTCTCGTCAACCTCGGTCTCCCCTTGTGAAAGTGTCACAGCCTTCTAGAAACCCAAGGCTTCAAGGTGGAAGATAACCAATTCTATACATCTACATGCCTCACCAACGCCATCGAAACCGCTTGAAGGGAAATAGGAGGATATAACACCCCAGTCACCGTTGAGCTCATCTGTGATCTCACCCATACTCGGACTAGGTGCGCAATAAAAACATCCGCATCCTCACGAGACTAGAGATCGCCCGTATCCACTTCATCCGCTCAACACTCATACAGCAGAAGGGCGGACGAGCCAAGACTACCGCGATCTCCTACAATGCATGCCCCCATCTTCCGACCTCCAAGACGACAGGTTCAGGGCCGCCATTATGAACGCTATAGGGTTTCTATTTAATATGGCAAACAGATTTCGGAATAGTTTTGGTAAGTGCTTATTACCACCATTTGTCAACATTATCTACAGGCAGACTACAAAGGATGAGCAGAAAATGCGTTTCTTGCAGAGGCTATCGCACGATTTGGGGGCCAGGACGATTGGGGTGTGTTCTTCTACGAAAATCGCGGATTTTGTGGTGAGTCCACAGAAGACACCAACCCAGCGAGGGCGGAGCGGATAGGAAGGTAGATTAGGGGGTGTGAGGTAAAGAATGGAGGCACTGGGTTGTTACTGGGTATAGTGCATGGTACCTGAGAACTCCTACGGTATCTGGGTGGGTGGATGGATTTGTGTTAAGAAATATGCTGCACACCTGTTATGCCATGCTGTTCTCAACATTGATGCGATATATTGCATGAGAAATAGCTATGATAGTTTTCCTACTAAAGGAGGCATATAGCATGTTCCCACGGAACGGAGAACATGACTAGAGTAGAGTTCATCTATTAAACTTCTGGTTGGAATTAGAGAGTTGTAAATAAGATACCAATTTTGGTCCTAAATTACCGCACTGTTGTGTTTCATGGTACAGAGCAAGTCGATTTAGAGACATCGTCGCCAATTCAACACGTCGCTCACGCTCGCTAACTTCCTTTCTTCTTCCTTTCAAATTTTCTTTCCACATGACCTATCTTTCCCCAAACTATGCCCAGAAACAGCTGCAAGGCTCACAAGATGCCTGACCACATTTTTGCTCCTATATTCCCAAACTAGTGGAGTATCTCATTGGATTGTTGAGTCTACATCATGTGACATTTGTTGATATAATTCCGTAATGACTAAAGACAAAACGAAGCGTGGGGCTTTTCAATCTTGCAACTCAGAAATATGTATAGACAGATTAGATGGCGATACCTAAGTAGTGCCACGATATCTCGAGTGGCCTTTCGTATCGCAATAACTTACCTCTTTACCAACCGAACTTTTGCCATACATTCAAAATCGAGGATGAAACTGTTTTATGAAAGAGGATCCTGTGGAGATTGCTCCAAAAAGAAACCCAGTCAATATGAGCAATGAAGAGTGCAAGCTGCCATCCCTAGCGGAAGAAAGTCTAAAAACGATGAGTGTGCCTTAACGTACGGTGTGTGGTACATTGTATTGAAATAAAAATGAGGAAATGTTTCATCATGGAGGTTGGAGGTTGATGACTTTGAAGCTTTACTTATCTTCTTTCATGCTTTCTAAAATCCGCATGGATCGAAAAGATATTGGAGATAATAGGATGGTTTGGGCGAGGCGGGGACTATCGCGTTCTGTTCATGCTGCGTATCTACGCTAGTTCGTGGTTATCGATGGTTCCTCGGAGGACACTTCGGGATAGGGAGGTAAGCGTGGGGTATGTGAATGTGTATGCATGCAATTGAGGCGAACAAGCCTGAAGGATTAAACCTTTCGAAGTATTTTGGCGTTACTGTGGGTGTGGGTTCACTCTCTGGTTGCAGGCTGAAAATCCATTGCTTGTGGCTCGAATGCAGTTAGTAGAGTAGAGCAAGTATCGCAGTAACTTGTGAACGGAATTTGCACAGCAATCGACCCTAAAAATCACTGTAGAAATAGAAAACTATACGGGAACTCATACTGTGATATCTTTCACATACTACGCTAAAAGGTTATGCTATGACTCCCCAATTGGATTCCACTCCTTTTCATCACAAGCCCCTCACCTTCTCTCAACCCCTCCCCTAAAACTTCATTCCAAAGCCCATATATGCTAAAAAAAAATCGAAACCCATCAATTCAGTGAACGGAAATACGTTTAGACACCAATCCTGATTAGGGTAATAGTCAGCATACGAGCGCTTTATATACCTTCGAGATCTGGGTTTGATACTTGGGTGGGGTCCTTCTTCTTCCATGTTTTTGCTTGTTCATCTGGTTTCTTTCGATGCGGTGTAAAGGTTTTGTAGCAGTGGTTGGATGGTTCGCAGAGGTTCGCGGCGGTGAGTTGAGAGATGAGGGCATGGTGATCCTACGACCTGGCACAGTGGTGAGCGTAAGTGTCGAGTTAGCAAGTAGTATGGTATCTTTGTAGATATCTGCTTGGAATTTAGGTTTTCTGTTGAATATCCCTTGGTTATCATGTGTGCTCTATAGTATCAACGTACATATATATATTTCGTTGGCTACCGCAAACCCTAGACCCAATAGAAGCTAACGTGCCGATTCAGCTTTCATACATAGTTATCTATTATGTGTGTTTGTAGCTAAGCCGAATCAAGAAAAATGAGCTCTGGAAGTAGGAAGAATACACACTATGAAAACACGAAATTCTATCCACAGTGGGCACCTCGAAGACCCCAACAACCAGCTCCTATCCATCAACCGCATTCGGATGTGTCCCCACCCTACCCACTTCCGAAGACTATCTGCAGTCTCCCATCTCCCGTCGTTTACCTTTATGCACGCTCTCAGACTTCTATGGACTCTTGCGAATCCTCCCGGTCGTCCTTACCATCCTCAAAGACAACCTCTCTCCTGTTTCAACACGATCCGAGGCCCACAATTAAAAATACCTCAAAATATCTCGCCATCTTACGTACGTATACCTCTCACAAGATTCAGGCCATTAAAGGTGGATACCTTATCCACTCCATTCAGCCTGCCTTGCGGACGCACGCCTGAGGCACAGCATGATAACCCACACCAGCCAGCAGCAATCAGTACCCACAACTCCGCCTATGCCAAATATAGATAAGGATCTTCAGAGAGACAACCGAAAACAACGGTGGTCCATCAATCAACACGGACGGGAGAGTTGGTGAGCCGTGGGTCCTCGAGCCGTTGTTTTGGGAAAGCGGGACTAGTGCACCACAGGCCCAAGAATCGTGTGAGGGATCATGGATTTTGTCCGTCCTGCCCGAAGGGAGGAATTGTGGAATTTTTAGGTCTGGGGTAGGCGATGATCGGCGACGAGGAACCTTGGACGCGACACAGGATACAGCCTGGAGCCTGGAGTGCAGTAGTGCGGCCCAGAAGCTTCAAACAAGGGATGGGATGGCAGTCTGCATGACGCGAAATTAACCGCGCGCCTACCCCCTCACCATTATTTTTTAAGGGAAGTTTGATGAAAGGAGTAGGCGCTAATATCCGCGTTCTAGCCTCCGCCCGAAACCGAGCCAGCGGTTCTGGGACGCAGTACCTTTGGAACCAAGTCCAAACCCAAAGCGAGAGATCCCAGAAATCCAAACTCTCTACCCTAGCCCGCGGTCGGATAATCAAGCGAGACACGAAATCTCCCTTAGGAGTTTCAAACTAGGTCCTGTAATCTGTGGAGATGAAGGAAGGAGATCAATGGCTGAGGGTGGCTGGAGGAGGTGCGATTTGGTCGGTGTTATATTGGGACAGAAAGGGCCCTGGAGGGATTAGGACCGAGTGAGGTTTGGCAGATATGATGGGAGAGGGTCCGGATAGCTAGGCATTTAGGGGGAATTCTTCAATAATATTGTATAGAGGATATGGAGAGAGAAGGCTGGAGTCAGGAACATTGATCAAGAGATGGGGAAGCATGTTTAGAGAGTTGGGAATTTGCCCGTTTCCACATGGGAATAATGACATAAAGCTCAATTCAGGGCCATAATGACCATCGGCCAGCTGCGCTGTTGACTGGAGAATATCACGAGCACGCAAGCTAAATGGTAGGTTGACACTGACGTTCACACACTGGGGGCCTATTCTGAATGTGAAAGGAAAGATGTTCCATTTACACCCCTGAACAGAAATAACTACCTGAGAAAGTTTTACGTCGTTGATTCTGCCGACTGTATAAGTTCATGACGACTGAAATTGTCACCAATATCTCACGTGGTGTCATCACCACAGCCACCTATCTCTATATGTTCCTATGTACATGCCTGAGTCTATGTGTATGCGAGGCGAAAATCGCCGTTCTATGCAAGCCTACTGGTTTTAGGCTGATGATGATGACATCGAAATCAAACCACCCACGAACGCCGGATGCTATGCTGCAAATTGAAGATATGTGAATTTTTAGTCCATTCCATGCGAAGAGATCTATTCTTCCATGATAGCATTGTCAATACCTGGTGCTTTCTGAATACTAGCCTTCAAGGCTTTCTTATATTCACGCTCCATGCCATGCTTGACAGCCTCGAGGACAGTGTCGACAGTTGCCTTTGGTTGGAAGCGTGGCTTGGTACCCTCCTGGAACACGCCAGTACGGACGAGGATGGAATACCAGCTGTTGTTGGCATGACTGTCGAACTCGTTTGTGCCTCGAATATCGGATTCAGGAGTGTCTCCAACGAAGTATACAGTGTCTGGGGGAGAATCAATGCTGTGGATATCCTTGCGCCACTGCTGTAGCAGACGAGTGGCAAACTGGAATGTGCCAATTTGAGGCTTGCCGAATGCAGTAGTTCTCAGGTCCTTTCCGGTGACGGCCTTGAACATAGCTTCGAGAGACACGCGAAGGGCGCCCATGCCGATGCGAGTAAGGTCATGCGAGGTACTCCAAACGACATCGTTATGCGAGAAGAAGACAGGGGGGCCTTCATCAAATGTCTCGGACCGGGTGCCCAAGCGACCATTTTTTGACATTAGAAGATCGAGAATGATCTGCTGGTCCGAAGCCCAGTCTCGGCTATCTGCAAACACAAAAATTGCGTTGATTTCGATTTCGCCGAAATTCCGAAGTCTAGAATTGTCGTACTCTTCAATGGTGAGTTTACGGAAAGGGGTCGTATCTTGGTTATCTTTGATGATATCACCAGGCGTAACAACATCCTTGAAACCGTATCCCTCGGCGACTTGACGGCACTTCTCCCCTTCGCCACCAACGACGAGAACGGTGTGGTATCTCTCGGCCATTTCTCGCATGGGAGTGTGGCCACAGATGAACTGTCCGGGCGAGACCTCAATCTCTAGTTGTTGACTCAGTTGAAGACATCGTTCCTGCTCAGTCTTGCCGCCACCGTTTGTGACGAAGATGTATGGTCTGATGAAGAATTAGTGGCGTGCAGAAGAAGGGATGTAAAGACTGGGCATTACACTTTGATGCCATATTCATTCTCGCCGTTCAGCACTTTCATGGCTTCGATGGCCTCGGGAATAGGTTTTCCTCCGCGGATGAGGACACCATCTATATCGAAAGCGTAGGCGTACTTGTCAGTCATGGCCGTCTCCGGGGGCGTAATGGGAGTTCCTGGGGTAGCTGACGAGTCCAGTTCATGCCTCGCAGTTTCCATGGCAGAAGCTACTTCGTTGGCGTCTGAGGGAGCCATGAGGTGCTGATTTGTATTAGAGAGTACCGATGGGAAGGGCTGGAGGGGAAAGCACTTTTGGAGGAACAACGACAGTTGGCCCCATCGACAAGGACTCGCGAGTTGCCTCACTCGAGCTGAGGCGCCGCACGAAGCGGCTTCCAGAGGAAGGCACAATTATTGATGGCCCTGACATGATGGGCAATGTTCGGGGAGATTGATGGAGGAGTGGGAAAGGTGTCGTGTATAAAATGTTGGGGTATCAAGCTGTGTGCGGAGAAGTAAATGCGGATAGCGATGATGGGCTAGGAACAGTCCACCTTTGAACTCTGGTGCAATTATAGTGAGGCTGGAGTTGTTCTAGGCACCCCCTTGAAATGGAGGAGAGGACAGTGGGTATTGTGGAGATGGTTGAGTGTTCAGTGACCTCAAGCGGATGAAGGGAGAACTGTGGAGTCATATACACGACGAGTACACGCGGCGCCGACCCTGTTGGTAAACAATTTCATCGGTGCGCCTAATAGCAGGGTGCTATCGACGACGTCGTTGTTGGACCCTGAAACCTCGAAAGTGCATAGTGTAGAAGCTTATCAAACGAATTTTATATTGCGGATACACTTGCGTCATTGTGCCGAAGCCTGTCAATAGGAACGTGCCCACATCAACCTCGCTATGACGGGTGGCGGATAGCTCTTTGCCATGTGTTGGGGTTATGCCCTTTTGAGCGGCTGCCATTCGATAAAAATGCTGGTCATGGTGCTGCTAGTGGTGCTGCCGGGTACTCGCCACAGTCAGCTACAGGAGAATAACGTCCAGGGCGCAAGACACAACGATTCGAACGTTCTGGTCAGTTGAAGACGGGGGATGGAACAGCAAACCGATGGGAGGCCCTTACAAGTCCATGTGCATGACGGCCGCGGTTGGTCAAGAGAGGGTTGAAATCTCTGCCGAAGGATGACGCCATGGAACCGCCATGGAATCGTCATGGAGGTTGAGCTCGCCAAAATGCCTCGATTTGGGATTCCTTGTCAGTCAACTCCACCCTTCTGTTTGAAATTGCCACTACAGACTTGACACCGTTGCAGTAGCCGGCGGAAGAGGCTCGGAAGCGTGTCCGATAGACACTCTTAATTGCTAGTGCTTCGAGAATGGCCCGGCATCCATTCCTGTCGCCAAGCTGTCGAACAGAGCCGAATTAACCCTTTCTGCAAACCGACGCGTGAAAAACCTGAGGCTAAGCATTCGCGGCAAACATGCCCACACTTCTTTCAACAGATGCTAGATGCTAGAAACCCAACAGATTCATGTTATCTAACCCCCCGAAATCTGCTCCAGGCTGTGGTGGTTCTAAATGACGACGGTACCCTGCATTGCCCCTTATCGTACCCCTCATATTGAATCGTAATACTAAGGCATTCGTAATATGCGTGCTGGCGGGATACATCGTGCATGAGGTGGAATTACAAGGGGTTATTGTGGTGGGAGCGGGTGGCAGAGAGTACCCACATAAATATTAGTCTCTCAACACTTGACATCACAGTACATTATCAATCCATGCCCGTTGTCGGCGTTGCTGAATGCTGTAAATAATCCCACCCACTCACGAGAGCAACAATGGCCAGAAAATTGATCATTCCCTTGACCTTGTGTCCTAAATTAGCCTTATTCCCCATGATGAGGCCCTTATGCGTGGCATCGAATTATGAGCGGCGAACATCCAGATGTTCCTCCCAGGAGTCATCCTACGACAACGGCAACTACGGTTTGTGTACTGAGTGCTCTAGGGGCGGATTTAATAGATAGTGAGAGAGGGCAGTGCAAGTAGGTCTTCTCTTTATCAGACGGCATTTCTGTAACGAACAATTATATCAGATCTCTAATCCACGAAGTTGCGGAGCACTTTAGAGAATTAAACACAGTTCTCACCAGCGGCAAGATATGCATAAACTCGCTTCTCTAGCGACTGGACACAAACCTAACTTTCAAATCGTACCTTCAGACCTGGAGGACCAAATGTCGCCGAAATCGCAGCTCCAGTTTCCATCCTTATTTTAATAGAAGAGTCCGAAAATAGCATAGGTGACAGGAAATCGGTACCTAGGCTTCCTCATTAAAGGGGGTTTCAACAGACGATGCTCCTGCGTGCCTATAGCTCTATACTAAGGCCGGGAACCCGGCTGGTAAATGCTTCATGGGGTCCCTGGAAAGTTTGCATTGAAGGCGCGCCATTCGAAGCTGTAGCAACGCTGCACTCACAGTCTTTCATTCACAACCCTTCACAGCTACGTCGATTAGAGCTCGTTGCTACATATATTTTTGAGGATCATCGTGGTTGGGAGGTTATGCGGCGTAGGGTCTGAAATAGCTCCGCGTCACAATCTATTTCTTCTGTATAGGAGCGGATGCTAAAACCTTTTTACGGGAAATGGAAGAACGCCGAAAGCGTTGAATTGATGAAAACTTAACTCACAGGCTATGACCTATTACCTCACATTTCTACAGGTCATAGGCCCGTAAGCGCCTCCGCTACGTATCAGCTCTTATCTTATAGATCATCCACCCTACCCAAGGATGTAAAGCAACGTCAATCACCCGCACTACCAATCGCACCGGACACTATCAACGCCGCAACCTACACTATCCCACGCTTAAACTTACCTGATGCTCAGGTGAATGATACGTAGCTGGCACACAGGTAGAGACATGGCTCGGGACATTCTCGATTAGAGGAAATTAACTAGAGAATATAGAGGGGATGGGGGAGCGAATGTTCACTCTACTCTATTGTATTAAGGGCACTGTTGGACGGTAAGATCCAACAATATTGACTTCGCGTCGAGATGGAGATCGCACGATCGACTTCTAGTTGAATTGCCAGAACCGAGAGGATGGGTACATCAAATTTAAAGTTAACGACTTAAGTTGTGTTTGGGCACCTACCTTGGTAAAGTGTCGCCACATGCGATTTATTTCGCCTTCATTGCGACGAGTCAAGTGCTCCTGACAAGAGAAGGATAGTGAGTGGGAAGAAGGGAAGGTGCAATATACTGGGTAAGCGCGGATGGTTCTCGCTCAGCTCGACACTCACATCTCTTTCCGCGATATTCGCCCTCTCTTAGTGAAGTACGCCTGTGAATTGCGAGTCATGCTCTCACGATGAATTGGACGGGAGGCAGGCTTCAGCGGCACTCAAGGGGTGCGGCTGGAGGAGTTGTACATCGACAAAAGCAACATTTCGCCAAAATGCGCGCTCAGCTTCAGAATGGCACTACTGCACTCTCCACACCCTTTCGTCCAAACTATTTGCAAAATGATGAAGTCCTCGACGTGGGGGGCAAACTGCCATCCTTTGGTCGGGGTTCCGTTCGACATGTCGGCCACTCGAGGCGATTATTGCAAGCCCACCACACAGAAGAGTCGCCTGGTCCGGACATGGGACAGCACGAGCAACAAGCAAGCCATGGCCTCGAAATCCGGATGGAATCTTCTAGAGAGCGCCGTGCGACCCACAGTCACAAAGCTGCTGCCAATTTTGTAACTACCCGCACCAATGATAGTCCCGGTAAGCTATCACGCTTCCACGATCGGTGTCAATTCTGTATGTTGCTGACAATTTAAATCAGGAGATCCAAATGGACGCTCTCAAGGAAAGCGGAAGGCTGCAGGTGCAGATGCGGAGGACCAGTTGGTTGAGGCTAACAGGAAAGGGCTGCTGAAAAGGCAAGACTGGGCCGGTCTGGCACCATCGCGTCCGGTCAATATGCACTTCCCATCAAGAAGAGACAAGCACAGAATCCGTAAACGAAGAAAGGTCGGAGGAAATCGAGTCGTGCGGCTAGAAAAAAGAGCAAAAGACACGCCGCAGCATTTTCGCCATGTCGGTGTCAATCTTGGTCTACACATGGGCGAAATCATCCAGGGTAATGAAGATATCAGAATCCGTATTGGAACAGGTGCATTAACCAACCAGACGTCGACGCAGAGGATCAGCCGGTCGCAGGAAGGCAGCAGATCGCATGAAGGTGGACTGTGTCAAGCTGAGTCGTTGGATCCCATGCTCTTTGACACCCATGAAGAAATGAATTCAGCAGAGTTTCCAAACACCACAGACAGAAGATCAAGGTCCCACACCCCTCATCCGCGAGTAACATCGCCCCAAGAGGGTGAAACTCAACAGCCTGGGATTCAAAGACCACATCAGCGGAACTACAGCTGTCCAGCCGGTATCCACCCGGAATCATGCAAGGAAAGGAGCGCCACCCAATTCGATCGGACCCCGCATCATCATGCCCAGATACATGCCTTAGCTGACGCAGGTTTTCGAAAAGGGAACATTGGCTTCGACTTCCCTATCATGCAGCATGTCGGAGGTGCAACTGGCCCCTTCAGACTTGTTTTCAAGGAACCTTCTGAGATCTCAGACCCTTCGGTGTATGACCTTCTGCACGGCAATACCGAAGGGTTTACCCATAAAAATGCAGGGCTGACCAGTTCTGGACGTGGAGATAATGTAGGAAGCAACGGACATGGGACTTTAAGCACGGGCGAGGGTTTCGCTCACCCTTCTCCGATCGTCGATGACGCTCCGTGGAAGGCGTTCGTCGCTATCACTGATCGTAGCTCAAGCCACTCGACAACATTGAACAGTTGCAGAACGCCTAGCACATCGTTTTATCCAAAGAGGCTTGAGATGGAAGACAACGCTGATGTTGAGCCCAATGCCGAATCACAGGGGGCAACTCTTGGTAATCGGACACGCTTCAGCACATCCTCTTGCGCTTCTGCCTCTTTGCCTTCACTCGAACAAGCTAACCAAGATAATGCGCCTGGGAGAAGGCCGCAAGATCTGGCCGTGCGCGTAGAAAAACGGGCGAGTAGGTCGCATGGAGTGAGTGAAGGCGAAGAGCTATGGAAAAAATTCGTCTTCGAGAGTGACGGGACCTTCGCGTCAGAAGCGTGCAGCGAGTCCGTTGGGGAGAGACGGACGTCGGTCACAGCATGTCGTGAGGGTCGTTCACGAGTGGCCCCCTCACCGCTTGCATCTCCATTCAGCTCGAAGCTTTTCTCTACCCGGTCAAAGTTAGTTTCTCGAGAAGCAGTATACGGAAGCGACAACATACAGGATGCAGAATATGACGCCTCACTTTCGGCTCTAAGTAGTCCCACACGCATGAATGTCTCTCAGTCGATCACCTCATCGGAGGCTGCGCTCTATTCCGAAGAATATGCCCAATGCGAAACGTTTACTGGGCATGAGGGAATATCTGATGTACTGGCAGCGGCTCAACACAGCGATTTCGGAGAACCACATTCGGTGACTCACGAATCTCTTCAGAACAACTTGCACAACACCGACATTGGCCTTTCTCTGCTTTCTGGTGACTCAAAAAAGTCCCGCAACGGCCTGGACCGACGAGCCGGAACGACGAGAGAATGTGTTGGAACCAGTCAAGGAAAAAGAAGCGAGGGGGTCAGTCTTCGGCAGTCCTCAATCGACTGCATCCCAACCAGCGATGATTTAGATTTGGTGAATCCCTACAGACTCACATGAGCAGGATGCATTCCTCACAGTTTTCTCCACCATCTTGCATTGTATCACGCACCATTTTTTCATGGTGTCACGCGAAATCTTCAGAGAGTTGGGTCTACTTCACCGATATAATTATAATCTTAGGATGGGGCCTATGAGGGCTGTGCGAGAGATGCATTGGTCGACAACAGATCTAGACTATCGTATTCAATGCAAATGGAGTGTTGACAATGCATCGCATTTTCCAATTGGCATGGTGGCACCAACAACACCGTATGCAAGATGGGCTCAGCTCATATGCAAAAGAATGTTCTTCCATCCACGCCTTCCCACAATGTGTTCTGAGGAGCCGCAGATTTGTAGGCGGCTCACTGCTGAATCTTGAGATACCTTTGCGGCTGCCCACGACAAGACGCACGAAAGGATGGAGCTTGGCGGACCCACAGTCCGTCCAATCCTCGTCTTGTCTGAAATTGAGTCTGCGTGTCATTCGGGTGTTCGCGAGACGTCGGAGCATCCTCAGATACGTGCGAGGACCAATTGGCCCAACTCGGTTGGAGGAGGTTGTACAACCACAGCTTTGGGTATCCGTCTCGAGCCGAGAAAGGAGGCGTTTATCAGGCGCGCAACAATCTGGCAGGGAGTTGGGCAGCACGGTGCTAGGGAAATCCTCCGAGCTGCATTGGCACACAGCTGACCGGACAGGCGATGCCGAGACGGTCTGAAAATGGCAGCAAGGAAAGGTGAACTGTGGACAGCGCATAAAGAAGACGCATTTGAGTGCTGGAAAAAACGAAAGGCCTCACAAACGATTGGGTGATGGATACCGCTGAACAAAGTTATCACACCGCCTTCGTCCTCATGTGACCTTTCCGCGGCGACCCCTGAGCCTGCCGCGCTGAGGCCTGCCCCCACAATCTCCAGCCAGGATGAGAAATCCTGCTGGTGCGGGCTTCTGGAAGCTCTGGAGCACGCGACGGCCTGCATTGCATTTGCATGAAGATGGACATCAGCTTCACTTTGGGGTCACCAAGATGAAGACGGCACCCTGCATCATCTCAGCATGTCGCTGCGATTTCCTCTTTCTGACTGAGGTGCGCAAAGGGCGAACAGGCTGGGGGAGTTTCAAATTTCTCGTCACTCAAAACTATTCTGCAAGCGAAAACGCTGGGTCGGCTGTCGGCGGCACACCTGTGAGATCAGCGTGGGATCCCTGCCGATCGTTCTGAACTTAAACCACACAGGCGGCTCCTCCGTTTCAAAAAACATGATGACACCGACGCCACGTGTGCTGGCAGAATAAGGGAGCCCTCAACGCTCTACGCGACTCATTGGCGCTGTGTTTGATAACTCAGCTCATCATTCACGACTCTTGTCGTCTTGTCGTCTTGTCCCTTTCGCGGTGCGGACGACGTAATCCAAGGTGCCGGCAGTATTACCCGGGCTGACCATTCGACGGCACAGTCATCGGCGAGGGAGCGGCACGAGGAGGGACAACAGGAGTGCGGCCACGATAGCAACAGCCATAGTCACAGAACAGGAAAGCAAAGCAAGCGCCGGTTTTGGGGAGCCTGAGCGCATCCGTATACGTAGGGCATAGACATGAGGTGAGGTTCCGTCTCGTACTCGTACTTGTTTCGATAGTTGCCATGAGACAGACAGGGCAGGGTTAGAATGGCCAAGTCACTTTGGAGTGACTGGCTATTATTATCTGCCCAAGAAGGATTACGGGCACACAACACAAGCCTCAGCCTTGTTCGTTCAGGAATGTGGAGATCTCCTCCGCTTCGGAAGGCACGGCGCACAAGAATTGCGACTTGTCACTTCTTGACTGAGCACATATTTGGGGGCAGGCCAGGAGTAGATCCTTCGGACAGGGGATACTTGGCCTTCGACAGCCAGTCCTGCTTCTGCGCGCTGGAGCCCCTCACACCGATCACGATCCGCCGTCCAGGCGGTGCATGCAGAGCCGGTGAGCGACAAGGCGCGCTTATTCAGCGGTAAAATGAAGACGCTGTGCGCGACCAGGGGGGTTAGTAAATTGAACCTTCGCATGTTCGATGCGTGGCTAGCAAGTGGGCGCGGGCCTAATTGCGACGGAGATTTTCAGATGGAAATTTGGGTGGGTCGGGGGGGGGGAGAGAAGGAAGCGCCGTCCAGACGTCATGGAGGACGTTTCACTCTCCCGCAGGCCGCAGTTCGGCCCAGGATTTGGACAGCACACGTCTCCAGACTAGGCACGGACGAGCCAATGGAAGGTGGCCTTGTCCGCGCCGATGGGGATTGATAGCCGTCCGACACGAGAGGAGCCCAAAGTCCAATGAACAAAGGCGGGTGAGGACCGGAGCGGTGCAACGGCGGGACTCTCGTTGTGGCCTGACCTGGCGCCAGGACTGATTTATTGTGTGATGCGCTGCTGAGTGGTGAGGGAGGGTCTCGCTGGACGGCGTCTCCTGTTGTTGTAATTGGAAGACACTGGCGGAATGCGGCTGCCCTCAGCGCGCAACAGGCAGGGGTGATGGGGCTCCTGGCTCTGGAAAGACTCAAGAGCGCCGCTAGCGTCGCTCGCCCGGCCAAGATTTGGTGGTGGCCGTTGGGAGCAAAAAGGTACGTGACGGTACTTCAAGGGGAATGGTCATCGCATTACTGGTCTTTACTCTCTCCCTCACCGACAACTGCCCTACACTCTGCACTCTGCACGCTTTTATATCCCCTCGTCCTTAATTGCGTTGCGTCTTGTCCGGATACAGACGTGCTGCCTTCTGCCTTCTTCGACCCCCACGGCTGGGCTCGTGCAACCACGCACTCGTTCCCTCTCTGCATTCACCCCTGCTCTGCACCTTTCGCAGCCCTGCAAGAAATAATCTACCAGCTGACTCCCCGCCATCGGGCTCTGCAGCTTCTGCATCACTGACTGCAAGTACTTGCATTTACTGCATTTCTTCGCGCAGCGCGCTTCCAGTGCCCGGCCCAGCTAGGCCACAAAACCACACCCCACACCTTGTCCTGCTGAAAGACCACAACGATGCATTGTCACCGCTGAGCCCCTCCCCCTCCCCCCTTGAACCTCTTTTCCGTATAATAGCAGCAAATCCGACTATTCTGCACATTCATGTCTCCCCCCCCCCCAAAGCCATGACGGAGAGCATCACAAATTAGGTGGCCTCGCGTTTACTCACCACCCACAACCACCACAACCACCGCCATGTCACATTCGACCACCTCACTCCACGCATCGCCCGTCCTCCACGGCGAACGCCGCCCCCGGATGCCGTCACCGCAACCTTCTTCTTTTGGCCGCTATGCTAGCAAACACGTATTCACCTCTGCCGTGAGCATTCCCTCATCGCGCGCCAGCCCCGCATCCAATCCCTCCAACATGGGAACAAACGGCTCGCTCCAGTCCACTCCAGAGGGCATGGTTCCTGTGTCGCACTCGTCGCTACCAATTCCTCCCTCATTGAACCTGCCCGAGTCTATGATGTACCATTACCAGCCTCCAACTTCAAACCCGCTCACGTCGTCCCCATCCGCTATGTCCGAGGCTTTCAGCAAGGGCTCCGGCCTAATACGAAGAGCCTCGCGTGGCGCCCAAGGAATTCCGAGCAAGTTCCGACGGAACGGTTCCCACGCACACCGCGATACTAGCTCGGGTCCGGTTATTATGAGGAGGCGGAGTGATAGCAGGACTGCGGCAGATGCGGCAATGGACGTATCTGACCTGGATCTGAATTTTGAAGAAGAAGAGGCGGTAGAGGATCTTGGCGCATTGAGCCCTGACCCTGTCCATGGCCTTGGAATTACATCGGATGCGAACAACAGAAGCTCAATACCAGACGCAACCGTTGTTGGCCCCAAGCGCAACTCGAGACTCGAACAGGGCACTCTCCTGAAGAAGATCACTAAAAAGGACCGCAAAGATATCAATCTCCGCCTGGATCTTGACTCCGCCAAAGTGTACTGGGACCTGTCGCGACCTTCCAAGACATTCTACATTGACGATGTGCGCGAAATCCGGTCTGGTCCGGAAGCGAGGCATTACCGAGAAGAGTGCAACTACTCTGAGGCATGGGAGCCATATTGGTTCACCATCGTCTATACCGATACGACCCGCTCAAAAGGCAAGATAAAGACTATGAACTTGGTAGCACCAGATATTGGGACCTTCAACTTGTGGACTCGCACCCTTGACACAGTCTCTCGCAACCGAATCGATCTCATGGCTGGTCTTCTTGGGTTCGCCGAGAAGAGCGCAAAGCTGGTTTGGCGACGAGAAATGAAGAAACGATTCAATAGAGCTGAACACTCAGAACATGATGAGTCAATGGATCTTCCAGGCATTGTCCAGCTTTGTCGCAGTCTGCACATTAACTGCTCCGAAACGACCCTACGCGCATATTTCGGCAAGGCCGACAGCGATCACACGGGCAACCTCAACCAGGCGCAGTTCCTGTACTTTGTCAGGCGACTTAAGGAGCGCAAGGACATCAAGGCTATCTATAAGACACTTGAGTCTCACCATCACTCCGAAATTGACCAAGACACATTCTTCAAATTCTTGAAAGAGCAACAGGGAGTTGATGTCGACGCTGACATTTCGCAATGGGCATCCGTTTTCGAGAGATGTGCACGTGCATCGAGACCCAAAGCAACTCCATCCAATGGCGGGGAGATTCCCATCCCACTGACTATGAGCTTCCCTGCCTTTCAGACATTCCTCACCTCACCCGCGAACCCCGTATTTCTGCCTGCGAATTCTACCCTACAGCATAACCGTCCTCTAAATGAATACTTCATCTCAAGCTCGCACAACACCTACCTGCTTGGCCGTCAGGTCGCAGGCGAATCTAGCACCGAAGCGTACATCACTGCCCTCCAGAAAGGCTGTCGATGTATCGAGATCGACTGCTGGGATGGTGGCGATGGCAGGCCCATCGTGATGCACGGCCGCACTTTGACCAAGAGCATCTTATTCTCCGACACTATCAAGGTCATCAACAGATATGCCTTCAGCGAATCTCCATATCCTTTGATTCTCTCTCTCGAAGTTCACTGCTCTCCTGAACAACAAGCCCTCATGACCAAGACTATGATACAGGAGTTTGGTGATAGTCTTCTCCTCTACCCTCTAGATTGGGAGTCTACAATTCTGCCATCACCGGAACAGTTGAAGGGTAAAATTCTGATTAAGGTTAAAGCTGCAGCTGAGGATCTCGATGCTAAAGCATTGACAAACGAACTGACTAGTCGGAAACGTGAGCTCAGCTTCAGTTCACCATGGTCCCGCCCAGTGCAGCTCAACGACAACATTGTCCCGAATTCGCCACTCATCTCTAGCCCACCTTCGATGAGCCCACCAGAACGCGCAACCACCTTCTGGACGTCACCTCGAACGTCAACTACATCCACTAATGCCACAATGCCAACGTCGGCTCTCATGAGCTCTGCAGAGGACAGCGACAGCCCTCAGCTAACGCCCGGGGAGGATTCTAAAAAGAAGAAGAAGAAGACGTCTACCAAGACCAGCAATATCATCAAGGTGCTCGGCGATCTTGGCGTATATACTCGGGGGATCAAGTTCTCGGATTTCAAGTCTCCCGATGCCAATACTCACAATCATGTCATCTCCTTTGGTGAGCGCATGTTCGATAGATGTTGCCGCCCTGGCTCGCAGACGAAGCAGTTACTGGAAGAGCATAACATGCGCAGTCTTATGCGTGTGTATCCCGCTGGCCACAGGATCAATTCGTCTAACTTCGAACCTCTGAAGTTTTGGAGACGCGGTGTCCAGATGGCCGCCACAAACTGGCAGACATACGACCTTGGTCAGCAGCTTAATGAAGCCATGTTCGCCGGTGGGAACGATCGAACGGGATACGTTCTTAAGCCCGCCGAACTACGTCTTGAGGATCCGACTCCGGTTGTTGGTCATAAGAGGGCGCCTAAGCAGCGTGTTAGATTTGCAGTTGAGATCATCTCTGCTCAGCAGCTTCCTCGTCCACGGGGCCTAAGCCCCGAAGCAAACATCAACCCGTATGTGGAGTTCGAAATGCACTGCGCTGAAGATAATGGCCCCAACGCCACTGGAGTTGGTGGCCAAGATGCTTCTGCTCGTAACGGACTTTCTGGAATCGGCAATCCGGTTAAGAAACGCACGCGCATCGTACAGGGCAACGGATACAACCCCGAGTTCAATGACAAGATCACGATGACACTCACTACACGATACCCTAGCCTTGTTTTTGTGCGATGGTCCGTGTGGAATTCAATTAATGCGCGCGATACCAACCACGCTCCGTTGGCTACTTTCACTGCTAAACTCAGTAGTCTGCAGAAGGGCTACAGGCATCTCCCTCTTTTCGACTGCAATGGCGAACAATACCTGTTTTCTACATTGTTCTGCAAAATTGAGAAGGAGGACTTTGTAGTTGTCGACGTCGATGACTCGATTCCGGAGCGTGCCGGGTCCAGAAAGTCTTCGGTGGAAGCTACCAATCCCCAGCACGAACCGACCAACCCGCAAGGCGGCGGCCGCAGCATCTTCAGGAAACTCCTCAGCCGGAACCCCAGTGAGCGCAAAAAACGCAAGGAAGAACGCAACAACAGCGAATCCAAGGAATCGGATTCAAGCTTCCTCAGTCGCAGTAGTACTATCGAACGATAACCTCCTCTTGGGGAAGTCCAACCACCCCTCTCGATGACGACGACTCTTGTCTGTATCTTCATCGCATTATTCCGAGCAAGGATCTACCTTCTTGTATCATACATTTTCATTTGTTGACCAGGCTTTCGACGATGGTGTTTTTTTACGGAGTTTCGGAATCATGAATCCAGCATATATTGACACACGTTTGATACCAAACCCTCGGGAGCGGGTACCTCGATCCGGATACCGCTTTCGGGCATCCCACGGCGCGTGCCCAACAATAAACCCAACGAACAGGGACGGAACATCTCATCTTTTTTTTTTTTCTTTTACCAGCGATTGGGCCAAATCAAATCATTGGGTGGCTATCTGTAACATTACAAAACCTGCTTTTTATCGTTCTTGTGCCTGATCTCTTTCCACCCACTACGTTTTGTTGTTGATTTTTTGGCCGCCTCCCCGATCGTTTAGGAAACGATTATACCCCCTCCATCTACCGTTTTCTTTTTGCTGCGAAATTTCGTGCTAACGTTTTGTGTTGTGGGTTTGGTAAAGAAATTCTGTCGCGGGCGTATATGCGTTGGGATCAAGGTTTGTCTAAACACGCATCCTGGAGGCTTGGGAAACATGAATATCCTATAGATTTTCCTTTTTTCTTTTCCTTGTGGCAAAGGGGTTCATAGCCCGGCCCGAGGTACTCCCTGTACTTTTCCACCCTCTTTCCTTTGTATCACTCTGGGTGGATTTGTGGTTTGGCGGATAGTATGGGGCATGGAAGGATGGAAACGACAACGGCTGGCTGGCTCCCCCAACACATTTCCCCCCACGGTCTTTCAACGAGCGAAGGGCTTAATTTCTTGGGTGGCTACTTGTCCGTCTTATCTCTGATTTTCCGTTTTGTGTTCTCTACTCACCCAAATTTTTTTCCCTTTCTCGGAAGTCGCTTTGTCGATGAACAATGCCATCATCGAAGGCAGACATATCGCATATGCGGGACACAGCAACAAGCGACATGTGCACTTTTCAAAGCGGGTATGGAAATTTGTACTGTACGTGCTGTAGGCATACAGACTACAGACAGATTCATCCCTCATTCTCTCTCTACACTTCACTTCCTCACTTCTATTACTTTATCTTACAACTTTCATCAGCCTACAAGGAAGGGCAATGGAACTAAATGGCGTTTTTGGGGGGGCTACAAAAGTAGTCGGTTGATAGAAATGATACCTCTCGCACAAGACCTCGGGCGCGGTTCTTGAGTGAGACTTCTCGATGCCTTATTTGTTTTTCTATTAGATATTGTGCTTGTGATCTGATTTTTGCCTGTGGAATCGCGTCATGTAGGAGAGATGCAAACATCCGAAACATCGCCAACCTATCCTAGGGATTTATGGATGCCACATAAAAAAAGGCAACGGCCATACCCTCATAGACGTACGCTCGGCGTCAAGAAGAAGCAAAAAGAACGAGAAATAGATCATGTCCCAATTTCTCATCTGATGTCGATCAAATGTCGCCATCCCGTCTTCCCCGCGCCAGCCACTGCATGCACGGCATGGCCCACTCACTCAACGGGCTGGACTCAAGCCCCTAATTTAGATGCGCACCCGTTGTCTCCAGAATATTTGCTTTTCCTATGTACAGCACTGACCTTTTCCCCCGGAGGCTTTCACATTTCACTAGGTAAAACGAAAGCTGACGCTTATGTCCGTCTAAAGAAATATTATACAATAGATACGATGATGAACGATGGACGGATGGAGCTAGAACGGAGGGGATCAGTTCGATAGTTCAGTGTACGTAACTATCGTCCTCAGAGGCGAAGTAATTGCTGCTATGTCAATGCCAGCGCCAGCGCAATGCACAGCGAGTCATTTGATACGTACGGTGAGGCTTCCTATCTCCTACGAGTATTCGCAACTTCCGAGCGTGCGTGCGTGCTTGCGTGCGGACGGGCGCGTGTGCTGAGATTCTGCGCACTGCATTCAATCCTGCACGCAATACTTGAGGCTTTCACATTATGTGCGTGCGTGCGCGCATGAAGGTGGCTTCGAACTCGGGCTCGGGCTCAGGCTCGGGTTCAAATAGGCTTTGAGATTGGCCTTTTGCTTTTTTCGATGCTGGCAGTCCTGGTCGAGCCGCGAGACTTGGCTGAGGTTGAATATGGAGAAGATATACTTGTTTCACGACATGTGCAGTTGGAAAGGAGGTCTGATATTGAAGGTCTTACAGCGTTGTATCAATATCAATAGCTTTCGTGCACCCCCTCCTCCCTCTAAGGTGGGGAAAAGGAAGGCTGAAGATGGAGAGGGAGGTGTTGATGGTGTTGATGGTGCAGACGCTCACTCGCTTGCCGACGACTCAAGGCTGGCTGTGACTTGCATGAAAGGCACAATTATTTCGATGAGATTGCATTGGATTACACAATCGCTGATGCAGGCTGCGTGAGAAAGACGCAGCTGAATTGAAGCAGCGAAAACATCTGATTGTGGGTTTCCGAAGGCGTGAAAATAGTCGAAAGTGGGGTGGGGAGTCGGTAAGCATGCACTGTGTGTGATAGATCCCTCACACGCGCAGGGGAAATTATGCGAGTAAGAACATGCTTCGCCGCACAGAAGGAGCGGAGCCCTGCCTGTTTGCTGCGTACGCATTGAGAACACCACCGAAGTTAACCCGCGAAAAGTCGAAGAACGACAACTCAGCTCAAGAGACCCACCTTCTGCATACAGTGCGAAAAGCGATTGAATGACAGTGTATATTTACGGTACACAATTGCCATAAACGGATAAAGGACAAGGTGACACAGCGTTCCAGTGAAGGGGCCCTTGTGCATATAGATTTCAGGCCCCATCATCTGACAAAGATCAGGCCCTTCGGAAACTGGCTGCCGCAGTCGTGTGTGCAACTACTCGAGATAGGTATGTTGTTGCTCCAAAGGCTGCATAGAATCTTAGGCGATATCTCCGATTCGCTCGACCGATGCCTTAAAGCCTTGGAAGATTACGTTGTCAGAAAAGCCGTTATCGAGATTGTGCCTTGGTGAAGGAGACGAGTGGGATACGCTGGGATGCGGTGTGATAATATGCGGACCCAGGTTGGATTTAGACAATCAATCTTGAACTGACGAGTTTGGCGTTTGATCTAGCATGTAATTGTAAGCTGATGTATTGTTTCTGAGCAGCTCGTACCTATATTAACAGATATGTTAATAGAAGTTAGGCGGGCCGTTTCAAACCTCGGGCATGCAGCTAAAGCCCAAGTAGTTTTCTGCATAACCGCAGTTGACGCTCAATAAACCGAGGTCACAAGATCGTTCACTTCAGCCTGGATATTGTGGTTCCTTCGCAGTTTGGGGGCTGTCGTAAAGGCAGGGGTCGCATCCCCGGAAAAGTTTGATCTCAACCGCGGTATCGTGCGGATGCGGAGGCTTGTTCAATGCAAGGTAGGGTGCGAAAAATAATTGGTGAAAAAAAGCGGATAAGCGGCTTCGAGGAAACCTGTTATAGCACGTTTGCTCCAGCTTGACGATCAGTGCAAGGGAAACAGTGTCCCTGAAATCTGAATTGTAGTCTGAATTGTAGTCTGAATTGTAGTCTGAATTGTAGTCTGAATTGCATGCAGTAGGTGGCCAGAGATGCGCCAAAACAGGTTATGCGACGAGAAGGTTGTGCTTAAGCGAGGAGGTATCATGTTCTCGGAACCATGGAATACCTATGACTCCGGATACTCCTGGAATGGATTTTGGTCCTCAGCTGGTGTTGCACCGCGCGACTGCAAATGTCCTCGGGTCATCTTGGTCAACATTGGCCGAAAAGTCCGAGAGGATATGAGTATTCTGTCAACATTCGCTGGCATGCAATGCACGCGCAAGTGGAGCCGAACGCCATGGTTAACCTGGTAAATGTTTTTGAAGCTCTCTTCAATCTCGCCATCATCTGGCCATCGACAAGGAACTGCAGTTCGTGACAGCAGCTGTTGTGCACAAACCATACGTGCGATAATTTCCAACTTCGACGCTATGCATGCACCCCGCACCGGCGCTCCATGAACTGCAATTGATCAGCCGGCCTGTCCCGCTTTGCACGTTGGTCTGACTCTGTGGAAACGTCTTCTTCAGCCGTCAAAATGCGTGTCCTGACGCCGCCAGCTGGGTCCGGATGCATCCCGACCGGTCCGGCGATATTGCTCAGCATGGTCAACAAATTACTTTCGAGAAATGGCGTTGGAAGCATCCAGAACTTCTCGAGGTACCCCTATGTACTTGGATGTACTTTAAGTTAGAGAAAGCCCGTCTACATCGAGACTAATGGAGAATTGTGACACGCTCAAGAAAGTATATATCACGTGATTTGAAGAAGTGGGGAAATCTTGACCTCAGAAGTTTGGAGAGACCTTGGACCCATGCTCTTTTGTCCGCGGGGCCAACAGCGTTCCACTCAAAAAATTATATCCTTGGCCAAGTATCCGGACTAATATCTTCCCCCTCCCCACAGCTCCAATGCCAGTCGACGTTGCTTCGAAAGGGCGGGACAGTGCGGGGAAAAAGGTTGCAGGCACGTTGTTTTAACGCAAACTTTTGTTTGTTGAGACTTTTAGAACCAGTGGATTGGATGTATTCCCCTCCGCTATTGCTTATTGGGCGAAAGCATGGCCAAATGGTTCACATTGCGTATTATTCTTTGCAGTCAACGCGAGCCCTCGCTAGCCCGCGAAGAGATGTCCAACAGGGAACACCGATCCAACTTGCAGACTGTCTGGTGTGAAAGAATACGGTTCGCATGTGGAGAGCGTGAAGAGTCAAGCGTTGGGTACCCCTAGATATCTCCGGTGTTCTGGGAAAGAGTTATATGGACATTGTTGAAGACGAGGCGAGGACACCAGTACCAGGCGGAAGTACTCCGTGGGCTGAAATGAGTCATTAGCAAGGAAAAAGAAAAGGTGCAGTGAACTCTTCCTAACTCGTGCGTTCATCCTGTCCTCTGTTTTTCACAGAGCAGGCGTCTCAAGATCTCAAATGATCGTCCATACGCTACACCCAAGTATCCCTTTTGAACTCTGGGATATGACAGACGAGAATCCTGATCAAGATGGAGGGTGATTTGCGATATGGCTGCTTGTGCTCTTCTTGGATGAGGCTCCGCAGCAAGCTAGACAGGCGCGTGTCTTGTATGCAGCACAAAGCGTTAGACCCACGCGCGTCACATCGGAGTATACGCTGGACGCGTGAATATCACGACCCCACCAATTTCCAAATTCTCATCGTCGTTGAAGAGTTTTCGAGAGGTGGGCGCGTAAACAGTTTCGCTGTTGAAAGTAGAACGGAAAAGACGAGGATAGTGGTAGGTGGATGGATGCCGTTTGTGAAGAGGGTCGCGCTTCGCCAAGCCTGGAAGCTCCGATTGCCGACATGATTTAGATGGACCATCCCACTTCCTTTGCACAACACCTCTGCCTTCAACATTTGCCCCTCCGCCTAGGAGCCTCCCCCCAAGCTCACTTCTGGGGCTTATATAGGCGCTTTGGCATGGTGTGAGGAACCTCTCTTACCCTCTTCGTATTCCCTCCCCCCCCCTCAACTGGGCAGAATTTACCCCTCAGAATTTCTCTCACTCTCAAATCCTCCAAAAGTCTTCGGAAATCTCCAAACCGTCGTCAGACGCGGTACACACCTCCACAAGCTAGTATGGAAGGCGCGTTCACCCATATGGGCAATCACCTTGTGTCCGACTCTGCTGCGACAATCAACGCGGGCGCGGGCGATGACGAAAGCATTCTTGATGGCGACCTTACGCGCAGCGCCCTGACTGGGTCCCGACGGCGGCGCATGGATGATGATGAGGAAACCGATGTTTACGATGATGATGACATGGAGAGCATGGTGAGCATGCCCGTTGACGGCACCAACGGCAAGGCTGGCATGAAGACTGAGGAGGACGTTGAGCTCCCCTCTCATGCTTGCGCGTAAGTCCCAATCCTGAATGGCTTCATCCAGAACACCAGCTAACATAGGGCCCATACGTAGATACTGTGGGATCCACAATACTGGTAGCGTTGTCAAGTGCCTTGCCTGTAACAAGTGGTTTTGCAGCGCCCGTGGCAACACTTCGTCCTCCCACATCATCAACCACCTTGTCCGTGCGCGCCACAAAGAAGTCCAGTTGCACCCAAACTCCTCCCTCGGAGATACAGTCCTTGAATGCTACAATTGCGGTACCAAGAATGTCTTTCTGCTTGGATTCATCCCTGCCAAATCGGACACGGTCGTTGTCCTCTTGTGCCGCCAACCGTGCGCCGCTATGCCCTCTCAAAAGGACATGAATTGGGACACGTCGCGTTGGCAGCCACTCATCGAGGACCGTTCCTTCCTTCCGTGGCTCGTCCCTGCCCCGACTGACCAGGAGCAACTCCGTGCTCGTCATCTCAGCCCGCAGATGATTGCTAAGCTGGAAGAGCTGTGGAAGGACAACGCCAATGCTACCATCGCCGATTTGGAAAAAGGCGCTGGTCAGGAGGAGGTAATTGCAAAGGTTCTTCTCCGGTACGACGATGCTTTCCAATATCAGAACGTATTTGGTCCTCTGGTTAAGATCGAGGCCGACTATGACCGCAAGCTGAAGGAGTCCCAGTCTCAGGACCAGCTCGTTGTTCGCTGGGATATGGCCTTGAACAACAAGCACACAGCGAGCTTCATTCTTCCCAAGCTCGAGCTCGGTGATGTCAAGCTTGCTGTTGGCGATGAGATGAGGCTGAGGTACACTGGAGAGCTCCGTCCTCACTGGGAAGGCGTGGGTTACGTCATCAAAATCCCGAACAACCAGTCTGATGAAGTCACTATTGAACTGCGGACTAAAGGCGATCACAAATCGGTGCCTACCGAGTGCACTCATAACTTCAGCGCGGATTATGTTTGGAAGGCAACCTCGTTCGACCGAATGCAGCACGCAATGAAGACATTCGCTATTGACGAGATGAGTGTTTCCGGCTACATCTTCCATCGCCTCCTTGGGCACGAAGTTGCTGCGGCGCCCATGAAAACCCAATTACCCCGGAAATTCAGCGTCCCTGGTCTTCCTGAGCTGAACGCCAGTCAAATAAACGCCGTCAAGAGTGTGCTACAGAAACCGTTGAGCTTGATCCAAGGTCCACCAGGTACAGGAAAGACTGTTACCTCTGCCACTATCATCTACCACTTAGCTAAGATTAGTGGGGGTCAGGTTCTGGTCTGCGCACCATCTAACGTTGCTGTAGATCAGCTGTGTGAGCGAATCCACCTCACCGGATTGAAGACGGTTCGTGTCACCGCTAAGTCAAGGGAAGATGTCGAGTCCTCGGTCGGCTTTCTCTCCCTTCACGAGCAGGTCCGCATGAACGACACTAATGTGGAACTCAACAAGTTAAACCAGCTTAAAAATGATGTTGGCGAACTCTCAAGTCAGGATGAAAAGAAGTTCAAGCAACTTACTAGGGCAGCTGAGCGTGAAATCCTCAACGCTGCCGATGTCATTTGTTGTACCTGCGTGGGTGCTGGAGATCCTCGCCTCTCAAAGCTGAAGTTCAGAACCGTCTTGATCGACGAGTCCACTCAGTCCGCTGAACCGGAATGCATGATACCTCTCGTCCTCGGATGCAAGCAGGTCGTGCTCGTAGGCGACCATCAACAGCTTGGTCCCGTAATCATGAACAAGAAGGCCGCCACTGCAGGCTTGAACCAATCTCTGTTCGAGCGTCTAGTCATCCTTGGATGTTCTCCCATCCGATTGCAAGTGCAATACCGCATGCACCCTTGCCTGTCCGAATTTCCATCTAACATGTTCTATGAAGGCTCTCTCCAGAACGGTGTAACAATGCAGGATCGCGTTCGCCGCGACGTTGACTTCCCATGGCCAGTCGGTGACAATCCTATGATGTTCTGGTCGAATTTGGGCAATGAGGAAATTTCAGCCTCCGGTACCTCCTACCTCAACCGCACTGAAGCCTCAAATGTCGAAAAGATCGTCACTCGCTTTTTCAAGGCTGGTGTTCAGCCTAGCGACATTGGTATCATCACACCGTACGAAGGCCAACGTAGTTATGTCGTTAGTTCGATGCAAGCAACCGGCAGCTTCAAGAAGGAGAACTATAAGGAAGTCGAAGTCGCATCTGTTGACGCTTTCCAGGGACGTGAGAAGGATTTCATTATCCTTTCTTGTGTACGTTCCAATGATCATCAAGGTATTGGTTTCTTGAGCGATCCTCGTCGTCTCAACGTCGCCCTTACCCGAGCGAAGTATGGACTCGTCATACTTGGAAATCCTAAGGTCCTCTCTAAGCATCCTCTATGGCATTACCTCCTCCTTCACTTCAAGGAGCGTAATTGTCTTGTCGAAGGGCCCTTGTCAAATCTCCAGGTGTCGCTGCTGCAATTCAGTCGCCCAAAACAGACCTATCGCGGACCACAACGTTACCAGATGGCTTTCCAACATGCCAGCAACATGACATCTGGTCGCCAAGGTTTGAACGGAGCTAAACTGCCTCGACAGGAGTATAATGACAATGGTTCAATTGTCGGTTACATCCCGGATGACGTGTCCTCTGTCCACTCCTCTGCTTTAGGTGGCGTTGGTGTCTCCTCCAATTATCCCCCAATGTTCTCCAACTTCCAGGAAAGCTGGCCCCTTCCTGGTCGCAATGGCCCTGGCCAAAAGATGAAAGGGAATGGCGTCGCGGGGAGCGTTGCGGGTGAATCTGTCGCGGCGAGCGAGATGACCGACACCAAGAGCTCCATTACCGATGGCCCAGGAGGTATCAGCTTGACCGGGTTGAGTCTCAATGATTACACTAAGCCCACATCCATGAGTCAGTCCGATCGCTTGAATCGTTTTGTGGAATCTACTCGCCGTTCCGACAACATGGCTAGTGGGTTTGGTGGCAATCGCGGCTTGCGGGGTGGACTCGCTGGGTTCGATGATGACGACGCGCGGAGTGTCTCCACCGCATTTGCGAGTCAAATTGGCGGCATGGGCAACTATGACTGATTACGCACTCAGTCTGCACCTACTAAGATTGTATCTTCAGTAACGGCCAGTATCACGTTTTGTACGTGAGCTCTTCTCATCCTCCGACCAGGGAAGTCCGCGCTCGACACTCAGGGCCCTTTGGTGGCACCGGCAACCTCCTCGAGATCCTGGGCCTGCTGGATACAGAAACGGCTGTCATTGCCAGCTAAATCTCGATATCGACCTTAGAAAAACAAGCCATCCTGCAATCTTGTACCGCAATTCGAACCTACGGCCTTACGTCGTCAACGATGCCAACTATAGTCCGCCTTTGACCTAGAACGGATGCGGAATGAGGGAGAGAGCTGGGTCTCAGTGCGGTATTCACCTCTGCAATTCGCAGTTGCTTTGCCTACCCTTCTGTTATGTCAGTTTGTAGTCTGCGCGACTGAAGAGTAGGGCAGTGTCCTTATTCAGAGTGTCATGGATATGGTACTCTTAGATGCTGTGTGGACCGTTATCCCGACTAAGTGGTGGGTTTATGACTATGGAATCTTTCACTTTTCGGAGTCAAGAACTGTCTTTACAAAAGGTAGAAAATCATACTCGGTTTGCGCGTTTCTGCGATTCGTTTTCTGCCTTTGAGGTCGCATTTTAAAGTGTGATTAGGATTCGTGGTGATGCTACTACATTTCACCTGCCTTGCTCTCGGAAAGTGCTAATCTTATTCAAACCCTGTCTGCAAGGCCTCGTACTATAGTGGTTCCATATATCGAACGCTCATACAAGTACGATTCCCTCCCCTGGCTCTCCCGGAGAGTGAGGTTGAAGTAACATCTCCCTTTCCTTAGGGTGTAGGGTGCCCCTATCTCGGACGTCATGAACCTTTAAGCAAAGCCCTACCCGCTTGAATGTCCGCTTTCTAGAGCGGCTGGAGTCACCCACGGGACGGATATAGATACCAGTGTACCACCGCTCGTCCTCGTGCGCATGCAATCGAGAGAGCTCTGCCAGAGGAAGAAAATATGTAGGCTTCTCTGAATCAGGGGATAATTCGTCGTCGAAATGGCTATGCCCTAGGAGACGTAAATGACTACAGCCTTCTTCGCGATTCCTCATTTCGAAAAGAAAGTCCTTGAGAACGATTTCGCCGTGTGTCAATTACCCGAAGACATTTTCGTGCTTGAGGATCGTTCGCGCGGAGAGGATGAGAGCAAGTGTGCGTGTAATTAGGTGAAACGGATACTGTTATACTAAGCCATCCTTTGATGCCCATGACCATTAAGGGGTTATCTGAGATTAATGCGACTTTCTTCCTCCAAAAGTAGTGAGGCCAAAATTCAACTCCATATTCCGAGGATTCGATAGCTCTACGCGAGGGACCGTCTTGGAGCCTCCATAGCATCCCAGGGATGAGATATTTGCCACCCCACAGGCCAGCCAAACAAGGCAGTTTTATAGTCTTAGAAAAGGCTTTTGCAATGCCAGTGAGTACAATAAGTTTGTCAGAGGCAAATGTTAGATCACACTTGCTATAAGTGAGGACTAACTTCCACCAGAGGTTGATAGAGTCTAGCATTCCCTTAGCTGAAACCAGCAACGGGGGGCTTCAACGGTGGTGGAAGAGTGGGGAAGCGCCATCGTTCGTAATCCATACCATTAGGATACATCTCCGTTGCTAGATCCTCGATGCACTCGAAGAAGGGAAAGCGTGAAAAATGCATGGTTCGTGGGCTTAGCATTCTTTCTTGTACTACCCATCCTCAACAGTATAATAGTGCAGTACCCTAAATCCAGTTTACCCAGTCTGAGAGAAGAGAGATTTGAATAGCTCTGTCTGAGTATTCTTGATAGATGCGCAGTATGTGGTTTACGTTTAGAATTTGCTGGGAGAAGATATTGGGACTGGAGTTGATGCCATCACATGCTGCAATGTTGCACACACTGTTGCGGTATACAAGATCCATGAAAAAAGACTCGCGAGCCCAATCTTCGAAGTCGTCTTGGACAATACTAGAAGAGTGAGCTCACAAACACTACAGAGGCCCAAGTCAATCCAGATGTACGGGATATCCAGCCGACGTGCGATATGTACAGCGTTCACGAAACATTTAGAATAACCATCTTGATGCCTCTCTTGAAGTCATCTTCATTAGGCTTAGATAGTTTTATCGTTGATACATTTCCCCAGACGTAACTAAGCGGAAAGTACCTCGGACTAGTATTTGCGGCCACATTTCGAACTTCTACTCTCTCGACAAGTTTAATATAGTTGGTTCCCAGGGCGGTACCACAGACATACGGCAGACAAGTTGGGTACCAGCTCTTATTCTGGCTAGAGCAACTCTCGTGGTTCTCGAGACAGTGACTCAACGACCGGGAGAGAGAATCAAGTTAAGATTCATTGCTCGTCCCTGTGCTGTGAGGTGCGTTGTGTGGTGAAACAAGGGCGCCTATGTATCGTAAGAGCATTGCTAGACGACTGTACAATTGTAGAAATCAATATCAAAGCAGCAGATCAACCCACCTATCTCATCATCCTCCACGGATGCATGGAATTTGAGCGATATGACCTGGCGATGCTCATACACGACATTGAAGTGAAGGGATTGCGGTACAAGGGGCCCAATCTTCAAATTCCAGCCTCCGTTTATGGCTGCAGTACCATCAAATACCTCTGTTTCCTGGTTTTCCATCATGGTATTAATTTTTGCGCAAAAGTTCGCAGCCAGTCGAGGCTGCAGATTGCTTGATATCGCACCAGCGGCGTTTCTTCGACGGGGACGAGGTTGTTCCAATATGATGGAAAGGGAGTTCGGGAGGCTGCTAAACACCCCAGGGGCACGGGAATTTGGCATCATCTTGCCTAGATGCCAGGTTTTCTTGGTACCTGTCAAGCTCATGCTTAAGGAGTGAGGTCTGTGTGTTGTCAAAAGTCAAGGTCTTGGGCAAGTTTAATAGCTTCCTTTTTCGAATGATCTTCCCTAGATGGACGAAGGTAAAGTGCTCTAAGCAGTGGCCGCATAGCATCTTGTAGGAGGAATGATGTTAATCCTGGCCACGGCGTGCTGGCGAACTTGCTCTCCTAAGGAGCCACGTGATACACGAGTATTTCCGGTCAAGACGAATTTGGCTGAAGAAACCTTGGAGCAGCCTCGCTCCTCACAAATAGCACAAAACGCTAGCCATCATTCAAACTCAATCTTCCTACGTGTCTATTTGTCACTAGCCACTCTCATCAGCCATGTTCTACCTTTCAGAAAGCTTATCCGCTGCTCTTCTCCCTCCTCCCACAAATTTCCACTGTCATATCATGACAGCTTTCCTTGTGCTTTCTTCCTGCAGTTTCCTTCAGACCTGTAACTTGGCTCTCTCCATCATTTTGTTCGATAGTTTCCCTCAGATTGTTTCTTTCCGCTCCTACTGGTCGGTGTCCACCGCAATATATATTGTTCCCACTTGTTGCTAGTAGGGCAGTACCATTTACAATCATGTTTCTTAATGTAGCGTCCACAATACCTTTTCCTCTTACGGCATGACTTGCTTTGTGATGCTCAACGTAATTCGACCTCCTCTTACTTCAACCTCGTTTCTCTCCTCAAACAAAAGTTGATTGTGAGCCCCCTCAAGCATTTGTTGCCTGATGAGTACGCAGCAGTTTTCTGCTGCTCTCGCCCTTATGTCTCCTTAATGATGATTTGAGCTCTCAATTGTGTTCCCGTTTCCAGTTTCCTCGAAAGCTTCTTACAAGCGGAACTACGGTCCTCCTTCTTGGTGTAAGACTAGGCCTGAGACTAAGGCTTTAGATCCTCACTAGTGTTCGAGCTTTCCTCGGTCGAGTCCCAGTAAAATTCCTTCCACTGACCCTATCAGTTTTATTATCTTCCAAGCCGAGTCCATCGCGAATATGTGTCTATCAGACGCTGAGCGTGCTCAAATCCTCAATAGAGAAGACACGGCACCATGCATTAGATGGGGAGAGGGACATTTTTATTGAACTGCAATATTTCTCAATCAATGATTAGAAGGGTATAGCGCGGTTCAGGACCCAGACGTCCTCACTGGAAAATACCTACATAACCACACTTGAGAGGCAATATCAGACTCGGGCCAACCTTCCCCAAACGGCGAGCCCTCACCTGCCAGAAATTCTCCACCGCTAGCTAACACTCGACTAACATCGAACTCTTTGAATTATTCTTGTTTACAATAAGCACCCAATCTATCGAATATTTTCAGCAATCTGATCAAGCCGGTGGTAATACTCTTGACGTGGTGGGCTGTCTCTCAGAAACACCAAGCAACCACCTTTGGATCAAACGAGAAATCCCGTTACCAAATAAAGCAACCACTCTCTTTAGCAATTGTTAGTCAACCCCACGTTGGCTTCATTCCTCGCCAGCAACCTAAAGCCGCCAGGTAACGTGAAGGAGAACGGCAGTGTTCAGCTTGAGAAGGGACTTCGACCACCACCACTCATTTTTCGGAAATATAGAAGAATTTCAAGGCATGAAGAATGATGCAGACAGAGGTGGAGCGAGCACAAAGGTCTTTCACATTCGGCCTGACTTCACTACCTTTGTGCAAGAATCGGGTGAACGCCTAACTCAAAATGTCAATGTGCTCGCTGACCACTTTACTTCCCATCCTCCACATAAAGCCTGTGCCAGTATTCTACTACCAGTATCTTAATCCAGGAGCAGGGAGACGAGGGCTAGAACCCTTCTCGTTCCCCGAAGAACAAGTGATGCGCAAAGCAATTCAACACTGCAGTCTTGGAGGTATAACGACTTTGCGACAGAAAATCTAAAAGTGTTCGTTACATGGGTAGATTTGAGACCCAGGAAGAGGGAATATCCTAATATCCTAACTCGCATTTAGAACACACGTCGCGGAAACGCTAGATATAAGACTTGCGTACAATGACACAATCCCAATATATCAAACTGTTCAAGCATCTGTAGGCAACTTCGGCAATCTACCTCTTACTCTCAATGGAAAGTCTACGATGTCTCCTACACATGCCATGAACATTGTTATGTGGAAAACTAATTTAAATGCATTGCAATTTAGCGGGAACAAGCTTTTCTAGCTTCAATATTGGCCCTCCTCAATGTCGGCAGGTCTACAACTGCCTTCTACGAGCCTCTTCTACGTGTATAAATTAGAGTACAGATACTGTTGTAAACCCCGCGACGGAATTTCTACGACGTGGACAAGGCGAAAGTGGAAAAGGCTCTGAAATCTGTCAGGGTCAGAATTCCATATCAATCCTGGATCAAGTGTATCACTTCTTTAGGTAGAACTCCCACTCGGAAATCCTTCACAAAGAAATATGGAACTCAATGGACGCTGGCGGATTATTTCGAGAGCCAGGACCGTAAACCAACCCAATACAATTAGCACGTTACTTGCTGACACTATAGGCGTTGACCTTAATCTTGCCCGCGCCATATCCTGACCGAATTGCGTCAAGATTAGAAGTATTAATAATAGACCCTAGTTTCTGCCTGCTGAGACAGTTGAGGTTGTGGAGAAGCAGCCTTTGAAGATCAAGTTTGTTGGCAATACTAATACAACTATGATCAAAGCAGGAGGCTCGGTGTCACATGGCAGAGCGGCTAGAGCGTGGTATACGGGAGGAAACCAGAGATCATATTTGAGCGCAGAAACTGACAGAAAGATAGAAACTCAGAAGGCAGAATCGGGAGTCCTTTGTCTCAATCCGCAAAAGGGGAGCGAGTATGCCAACCACTCCCCGATTTCAAGGGTATGTTAAACCTGACACTTGGTATCTACTCATCTGCATTTCGGTCAAAACTGCAGATGAACACCAAATTGTTTGAAATAAGAGGGATTGGAGATATGAAGATCAGCTGTGGCAGTATATGTCCAATGTGTCCTTGAAGGCAAATCTAAAACTAGGCAATTATATCAGCATCGAACTTTCTGACTCCGAGGCAAGGGCTCTATGTCGGAAAAAAGATAAGGCTAATTTTACCACCGACACTCTTATTCCGGGTGCAGATGTGACTCACCCCTAAAGTGATAATCCTCAATCTGCGCTTTCTGTAGCTGTAAGCCTGGTGGTGGTGCAGTGGAACATTTTTGCATTGGTGTGGAGCCTCTCGGGCAGCTATGATAGAGAAATGCAGGCACTAGTAGATAATAGCTTGGCCTAGCTACAGTAGTGGTAGTTGTTGACAGCCTAGACCACACTTTCTGCAAGTTCCTCGGAACAGTTTGTTATCAAGAAACAAACATCGAAGTAAGTATCCAAAGACTTCGTACAAGTCATCACCTTATAGCCTTTGCTATAGATGATTAACTAATTGACTCATATGGTCAAAGGTCAGTCGAGGGACTAGTTCTGTGAAAATGGACGGCTGTATTCGAAAGTCTTCTGCTATCGTGACGGCGTATGCGATGGTCGGTACCAGAAAGTCTACGAGCAGGAATTCCTGAACAGAGAAGCCTCCTGTGATCAAATTCGCTAGAAGATCATCGCTAAAATCTTAGAGCCGACAATGCCTAAGAAAGGTTCGCATTATCGCTGTTGTGGTTACAAAACGCTACTGCGCTCCCGTTTCTACCCAAAGTAAGGAGACAAGAACTGTACTCCAGGCACTGGTGTAGATTCGGGCATCACTACCCCTGCTATCTCTATTTATTCCTCCAAGCTCATACCCCAGTCAACGGCACTGGGAAACCAACATACTACTTCGTCCCCATCCTCCGTCCTGCTTCTAAGAAAGGCCTCGCAGATGGGGAATTTTCGGGTTTGCTGACCATATGAGAGCACAACGAGGACCCAATACCACAACATTGCGGTCTTAAGAACATTCCGACATCTCCGCTGCTCCTGCTACCTCCCCTAGAAGCAGACTCTAATGAGCGAAGGAACGCCCGCCGAATTTGTACCGAGTGCTGCCTGATGATAATTCTTATATGGATTTATATGCCTCGAAAAGAAGTTCGATATCTTGCTGAGCTTAGTGGGACTCAGTGATCGTGAAGACATAAACTCAGTAGCCCTTGCTGACCAATTGTTCTTTCTAGGTTCAAGAATGCATTTCGATAAAAGATCGAAAGTGTTGCCAAGGCAGTGTTTCAGGGTGCCAATGTATACATCTTGGGTAGTTGTGTTCTCACAGTCTACCACGATTTCGCCAACGTCAAATTATCCTGCTAGCCCAAACAACCCATATACTTTGTCTTCTATATCTACTGCAAGGGATGCCCTCGAGAGTGACATGTGTAAGTATATCGGAATTTCCAAGTGTCCATTAGACTGGCTCCTTGAAGCTATAGTCAAAACTGGAATATTATTTAATGTGTCTATTATGGTATGAGGATCGCTGATTAATGTGATTCTTTCACCCATACTCACACGATATTGGAATGCGCCATATATCCAGTGCGTGGTATCAGCCAATCATGCCCAGCAGATGGAGAACCGGGCTTGGAATAACAATGGAGGATCTTCTAGTAGTGAGAGCTCTTGGACGGCTTAGGTGCTATGGAACAATGGTCGACTAAATAGTGTGCCATATGAATTCCAATATTCGTCAATGATGCGGAAAAAATCCTGCCTAACCCATTTCCAGAAGGATATCGGAACACAGACGCATTATAGCAAAGGGATGACAACGTTTCTTCGGGTCGGTCCCCATCTTCCCCAAGCTATACCCAGACTTTGGATGTACAAGAGTATACGTCTTTCAAAGGGGGTCTTGGTTGTGCGCTCGGAACGAAGGTTCCACGAAGGAAGGTCCATTTACAGGCGATAGTGCTCTCTTAGAAGGAAGAGAGAAGGCGTCGAGATCAAACTCATGAAATGATGATTGTTATGAGACCTCCCAAGACACCTCATCTTTCTAGACATCCTGGCTATTTTCGAACCACGAAGATAAAGAGGGGCTTCGATTGGGGAGAAAGAGTAGGATGGACTCTTTAGTCTGAATCATCGGGAAGGTACGCGAGTTCGCTCTTTCCCTTTCTCGCCTCGATGGCGAACGTCCCGTTTGGCTTATTTTTCACGTCTTGCTCAAAAGAGAAGAAAAGTGAAGGCGTGATCTGAAAAGCGGATAATGTTTCCATGAATGCTACTCCGTGCCAATATGCAGGTATAGATGTACAAACCATGACTCGTACAAGCGTCATTGCATTATCTCCTTCCCGTAGACTCTAGGCCTGGCACTTTCCATGACGATTATAGATGTCTTCCCTTGCTAAGGTTATAGTGCGAAAAAGAGAATATCGATCCCATTGGGCTTGCCTGGTCTCCTGGCTTTAATGCAGGGATATCTAAAGGTATGGACCGGAGACATGAGGTCATCAATAATCTACTTATTATATCTCCTTTTATCATATCTCCTTTAGAGTTGAAGCAGCCGAGCTCTTCCTGGGCTGTGTGGCTAGGCCCTTCTTCATGAGCAGAGGGATGATATCCGAGGTCTTGGTGCGGACGATGAGCTTTCGACAGACAGGACACCGTGATCGTTTCGGCTCGTTCGGACCAGATCGATTCTCGCCAGCGATGAGAGCTTCCATAAGACACGTATGACAGAAAAGATGACCTAGAAGGTATTAGACCCTCAAAAGCCAGCCGAAGTGTATTTGAGTACTCACCACACGAGGTCGCTGTGATGTCCGTCGGCGTGTCCATGCAGATAACGCAGTTGAAGGTGTTGAAGGTAGTTGCCTTTTCTTCTGGCTTCTGTTGTGCTTTCACCGCCTCTGCCCGCTGTCTCTGGAGGACTTCTTGAATGGGCACTTTTTCGTTTGAGAGGTCTATTTCCTGAATCCTGGCCGCTGGAGCTGGAGCTGACTTCCCCGCTGATGCTGATGTTGATGTCGATGTACCATTATTCCTCTTCAGCCGTTTTGTAGACGGACCAGAAGGGCCTGGTGTTGGCGTCCGTCGTCTGCTTCGTCGTAGGATATGTTCTGCGGGAGAAATGGAGTTTGTGTCATTGGTGAGGTCGACGTAGCCATTGGGAAGGCGCGAGGACCGTGTGGGAGGCATATGGTTGGAGCTGGGGTCGGGGATGGAGGGTAGCACCGGGGACTGAGGCCTCTGCCGGGGCGTGGAGTCTCTTTGACGGTACCCAAAGGGCAGGAAGCTTTGATCGGCGGGGTTAAGTATATTGTCCAGGAAGCTCGGTGGAGGTGACGATGGCGGATATGCGGCGAACGCTTCTTCAAAATACGATTCGGTCGGGGGGTATGGAGAGTTGCGCTGAGAGCTGAGGCGTGAGGCAGGCACGAGATGATCAAGGGGCTGGGCGTGGGCGTGGGCGTGGGCGTGAGTGTGAATGTCACTGTTCGCTGGGTGAGTGAGGGACGGGCGGCAGTGGTCGGCGAAGGAATCAGAGGCAGACATGGTGGCGACGGTCGTCCATAGAGGCAAGTAGAGGGGCTTTGATGCTACACCACCCGATGGCGATGGGGAGGAGGAGTATGAGTAATGGCGCACATGGCTGCTCAGGCGGACTCCTTCCGAGATGATCTGCTTCGGCACCGTCACGGGCGTGCCACCATCCATGCAGCCGCAGATGCATCCACGAGTTTCTCAGCCGCGCCAAGACATCGCGACTGGCCCAAAAACTCATGCCGACAAGCCATCACCGCTGAAATCGCTAACCAACTCGCCTTTGCACCGCCACTCCTCGCTCCTGCTCTGACGGAATGCAGTGACGCGACAGCCGCTTCCCACTACTATGCGCTGCTGCCGTCGCGCAGTGCTTGACCCGAAGCTCCTCGCACAATGGCGATGCTCCCCAATAGCTCCCAGCACCCCGATATGGAGTGCACCACATCGATGTCTTGCCACAGTTCGGTCAGCAAAGGGAGAGGAAGGTAGCAACACCAACCAAAAGGGCCTGTCTGGTGTGAATTCTGGTCTTGCTGAGTTGTCTGGCGCGATTACTAACTTTTCTGCAGTACGGTCTGAAGCTCGATTCAATGAGATAGGAGTGCAGCAGCTCAGCAGTCATGTCCACTCCCAAGTATTCCCAGGTGCAAGCACCCTGCCACCCCCCGAGCTCATCGCCCTCTCAAAAGACCATCTCACTCGTCACGATCTACTTGGGAAGAACCAGGACTCCTCCCCGCCGGTGGGTTTCGACCTCCCCGCCCTTCATGGCTCGACGCTGGACGAGCACTTCTACAAACTTGGGATGGATGCTGCCGAACCGTACCTGAGCATGGCGAAGAAATTCGCATGGGCAAATCCTCCTCCGAAGCCCCGGAAGTGGGAACGACGTAGCGGCTGGACGAAATACAATAGGAACGGAACTACGGAAGCTGTGGATGCGCCGAATGAGTCGCTGTTGACATTTGACACGGAGGTTATGTGGAAAGAGACATCGTTTGCGTGCATGGCTTGCGCTGTTAGTCCTAACGCTTGGTATGGCTGGATATCCCCATGGCTGCTTGGAGAGTCAAAATCAGATCGCCACTTGATTCCGTTAGGCGACCCATCGCTGCCGCGAATAATCGTTGGCCACAACATTGGTTATGATAGGGCGCGCATATTGGAGGAATACGACATTAGACAATCCAAGAATTCCTTCATCGATACAATGTCGCTACATGTCGCTTCAAATGGGATGTGCTCTCGGCAAAGGCCGTCTTGGATGAAGCATAGAAAGAGCCGGGAGCTGAGGGAGAAAATAGCAACATCGGAGGAGAACGCGGATTTATCGGCTTTGCTGGATTCAGGGGCACTACCCGAAGAAGAGGAGGAGTTGTGGATTGGGAGGAGTGCGATCAATTCGCTTCGAGATGTTGCAAAATTCCACTGCAATATTACTATCGATAAGGCGCGTCGGGAGTATTTTGGAGAATTGGATCGAGCCGGGATTCGGGAGCGACTCGACGAGCTGTTGGATTATTGTGCTGCCGATGTTGAAATCACCCACCGAGTGTACCAAAAGGTCTTCCCACTGTTCCTGGAGACATGTCCGCACCCCGTCAGTTTCGCCGCCCTTCGATTTCTTGCCGCCCAAATTCTTCCTGTAAACGAAACCTGGGATGCATACATTGCGAATGCAGAGGCTACTTATCATAAGTTAGAAGATGCTGTCCGGGAACGATTGGTTAAATTGGCCGAGAAGGCTCTAAAGGTGAAGGAAAAACCCGATATCTACCTAAACGACCCTTGGTTGAACCAGCTCGACTGGTCAGGCCAGGAGGTGAGGATGGTGAAAGGTAAAAAGAAAGGTGATCCACCAAGGCCAGCAGCGAGACAGAAAAAGCCGGGAATGCCAAAATGGTACAAGGACCTGTTCGCAAAAAACGATGCACCAATGAGTTTAACGGTACGAACCCGGGTAGCTCCAATTCTCTTGAAATTATCCTGGGACGGACATCCATTGGTCTGGTCGGACAAACATGGGTGGACGTATCAAGTGCCGATGGATGAGGTTTTTCTCTACAACCAGAAAGGGTTCCGAGAGCTAGATATGTCCGAGGAGGAAGATATCAGGCTTCGCGACGATGCGAAACACCGGTATTACAAGATTCCACATAAGGACGGTCCACTTGCACGGTGCGCCAACCCCCTAGCGAAAGGCTACCTTCAATACTTCGAAAAAGGAAAGCTTACCTCAGAGTACACCTACGCAAAAGAAGCGTTGGAAATGAATGCCTCCTGCTCGTATTGGATAAGTGCAAGAGATAGGATTATGTCTCAGACAGTTATTTATAACGAGGAAGTTCCAAACACGCCGAAACTGTCGTCCGCATCCGGCAGGGGACGAAGCAAGAAGGTCGGATTCATTCTACCGCAAATCATTCCTATGGGCACTATTACCCGACGAGCCGTTGAGAACACATGGCTCACAGCAAGCAACGCGAAGGCCAATCGTGTTGGATCAGAGCTCAAGTCGATGATTCGGGCACCGAAAGGGTATTGTTTTGTTGGGGCTGACGTTGATTCCCAAGAGCTCTGGATTGCGAGCCTTATTGGCGACGCGACTTTTCAGCTTCACGGTGGAAATGCTGTTGGTTTTATGACCCTTGAGGGTACCAAAGCTGCAGGCACGGACCTGCATTCGCGGACAGCAGGCATTCTTGGAATATCGAGAAACGACGCGAAGGTTTTCAACTACGGGCGTATCTACGGCGCTGGGTTGAAGTTCGCTGCGACGCTCCTTCGCCAATTTAATCCGACCTTGACCGAGTCGCAAACCTCGAAAACTGCCAATGACCTGTATCAGAACACCAAAGGAAAGAAGACCACCAGGAAACAACTACACGAACGTCCATTCTGGAGAGGAGGAACTGAATCGTTCGTTTTCAACAAACTGGAAGATTTCGCCGAACAAGAGCGGCCGAGGACGCCTGTGCTCGGAGCTGGTATCACTGAGGCTCTCATGCGGCGATACTTGACCAAGGGGGGCTTCATGACTTCTCGAATCAACTGGGCCATACAATCTTCTGGGGTTGACTATCTCCACCTTTTGATCGTCAGTATGGACTATCTTACCAGACGCTTCAATCTAGAGGCCCGTTTAGCCATCACGGTTCATGACGAAATTCGATATCTTGTCAAAGAGGAGGACAAGTATCGAGCAGCCATGGCTCTACAGATTGCAAATGTCTGGACTCGGGCCACATTCTCACAACAAATGGGAATCAACGAGCTGCCCCAATCCTGCGCCTACTTCTCAGCTGTTGACATCGACCATGTCCTAAGAAAAGAGGTCGATATGGACTGCATAACACCAAGTCACAAACAGAAGATACCCCACGGTGAGAGTCTTGACATTGTAGAGCTACTTGAAAAAGGCGATGCAGCCCGACTGGACCCTTCCGTGGTACCCAAGGATCCTCCCCAGGTCGAGCAATACGCATCCACTTACACGCCACGCACACCAGTCATGACGGCTCTCGAGGGCGATTCACCTACGTCGATTGCATCGTTAGCATATCTCAGAGCACAAATTACTGGCGATGACAAAGAGCTTCGTGAGATTATGAAAACAGTGCGTGCTCCACGATCACCAAACTCGAGGAGATCAAAACAATCCAAGGAAGATGATGAGGAGATAGAGCGCAGCATGCTGCACTATGAACAGACGGCGCATCTGCTCCCCGTAGATGAACCATGGACGCAGAATCGCTTTACGAAGAACTGGGAGAGCACCAGGAGTAGCAGCTGGCATCATCTGCACGGACGCGGGAGTTCAAATACTTCGAGGTTTGCAGGGAGGGTGTAACATATCCGGATGATCATCTCTGGTCTGTAGATAATTTTGTGTAAGGTATGCATGTCGCGGCCTCGCGATGTTTGGAATCCGGCGCTCTGGGTGCTTTGGATGCACTGGAGGACTCTGTTGGAGCACTTCGCCCTCGTTGGATGCATCTCGAATGTTGAATAAGAGCATCTACCTCGTATGAAGGAGAAATACCTCATGGCAATCCAGAATGCCATTGTCGGGCATGATCTAGATGAACCTCATTTGAATCGCGAGATACAGCCAGAGCTGAGAGCCTCAGCGTCGGGCCCTGCCGATCGGGTCCAGGTGATCGCTTCCCGTGCAGCTCAACACCACCATGACGGACCCTGAGCATGTCAGTTTTTGCAGAGGATCAGGCCAGAATGGGTCGCGGTCAGCCGGCGCATGAGGCCAGCATTGACCTGAAGCCTGGCGGAGGCTGGCCGTGTCTTATTTTCCCCACGTTTGGTAATGGCAACCGACTCATCGTGGGGTGAGCACGACACTGGCGTGCCAAGAACGTGGCCCACGATTGGCAGGAACTGGTTCCAGCCCCCTGGATGCCAAGCCGGTGGAGTTCACCGCCTCGCGCTGGGAAAATTCGACATCGCCTCCTTTCCTTTTTTTCTGGCGCCATTTTCTTCTCCTCGACCCACTTTCATCAATCGAATAAAAGCTGCATAGACCACGCTCGCTTCCCCGCATTCTCTAATCACCTCACCTCTTCCACTGCGACTGAGCACTTTCACTAAAGAACCTCGACGCGCTCAGCTTCACGCTCCACGGTTGATACAAACTACGTGTCGCCAGCCTCACCACGCCGAGCCTCCCCCTTCTTCCTCTACAGCAAGCCCGAACACCACCCTGCCCTCCCTATTCACAATCACTGCGAAACTGCCTTTCTCTCTCACCACAATGGCTCCTCGATTCGTCATCCCAAAGCGATTCCCCATAACTGCTGCATCTGCGGGCAAGCGCACAACTCCGCTTGCTCGCTTCAACTCCAGCTCGAGCACCTCGAGGGCTGCGAGGGTCATGGAGATGGCCGCGCAGGCCGAGAAGCCGAGTACGTCCCACTTACCTCCGAGAATGTCCTCGCTGGGGCTCTAGCAATTGCAATGCAGGGCTTCCCCTTCGCCCGAACCTTCACTATCCGATGACAATCGCGCTAACATACCCGCCCCAGGTGCTTTCGAAGCCTCTGTCCCCATCCTGTGGGTCCTCTGTGGTGCCGCTATTGTGACTGCTTGGAACCGTGTCGATGAGAGGGAGGATCACGTTGAGAAAGTATTTCCTCCCCCTTTCTCCCTTCCTCCATTTACCCCTTATGCCCGGATCCGGCGCTAACGCGACTTACAGCTCCTCATCGTCTAATGCCCATATCCATCATCGGCGGCGTCCCTGCATACAGCATATTCGCTTTGATTCCTTCGATTTGAAAAATTGCATCCATACGCACGGCTTAGTGTTATGGCATAGGCAATAGATCTCCTTTTTTTTTCCTTAGGGCTTTCGGGCACATCATATGGATAACGGATATGCAGCGGTCTAGGTCAATAGCTGTGGACACGGACTTGGTATCGGTTTGGTCTGTGAGGTGTGATGGACGGTAATTCATCCTCTGGCGTTATGGTATTGTATATCGAGCTTTCTCCAAGATGAAAAGATACCTGATTGATTCTCAACATCTCCTTTGTCAGTCATTGCGCAGTCGTTTCCGCTTTTGGCATATTTGTCTTCCTATATTTGCCAGTTCCTTTCATCATTTCTCTTTCATTGTGCACACGCCCTGATAGTGCTGTCTACTATCCGGAGTCCAGCAGTGTGAAAGGAGGTATTGTTTAAGGAGAAAGCATACTCTAACGTCGTCGAATTCCGTCACATGTCTTTCATGGTGCATAAGTCCCGATCCCGCTGTCTGTACACTGGAATCCAGCAACTGTCAAGAAAGACAATTTTCAAAGGAGAAAGCATACTCGCCCGTCGTCGAAAGCCGCTCCGTGCTTTTCATGTTGCATAAGTCCTGATTCTGCTGTCTGTACACTGGAGTCTATCAACTGTCGACGAAGTCATTTTCAGGAAGTCATTTTTCAAGGAGAAAGCATACTCAGACGCCCTCGAAGTACGTCACGGCCTAGACTTCCCAGTGAAATGCCCATATTGAGCTCTGTAAGGCGTCAGTTAGAAAAGGGTCTTAAGTCTATTCACAGGATGGCGAAATACGTGAATGTATACAAGACTCATCTGAAGAACCCCAGGGATTGAAACATTCACTTCAATGTACAGCAAGAGCCCCTTCTGTTTACCTCTACATATATCCCCTGAAACTTTCTCATCCCTTCCTTTTTTCACCCAATTAACCCTCAACTTCTTCCTACCACCAACCGCAATCTAGCCAGTATGGATACCTTCAGAACTTGTACCCCACCCACGTCAGTCCCCCTCTCTCTCTAGCTTTCCCCCTTAACCCCGATCCTCACACCATACTAGACCTACTGGCGCGTTTATAACCATCCGCCTTAAAACGAACCCGAGAAACGGACTCCAGTGCGCTCGCCTTTACAACCACGACATATCCCTCCTAACCACCTCTGTCTTCTTCCAACAAGCAACTCTAAGCGCACCACAACCACCATTTGCCGTTTTCACATTCCCAGATCCGGAGGTATTCGAGATTTACTTGTCCTGGACTCGAGATCGGATTGTTAGGAATAGAGTGAAGGATGGGAATCGGAATGCTAAAATTCCCGCTGTCGCTGTGCAGGGCTCTAGTTCTGGCTCTGCGGAGGAGGCAGAGGCAGCGAGAGAGGGAACAGTAAGAAGAAGAGGTGTAGTGGAAAAAGTGGGGTACTCAACCCTCCTCAGTCTATGGGTGCTAGGCCATAAACTCCAGGACACGGAGTTTATGGACACAGTCATGTCCTTCCTATCCGAGAACTTGAATCGAATTCTCCTAGACCCAGACCCAGACAGCACTAGTACGCCGACCCAGTTTCTAGAGGTCCTAACGCCTGCAAAAGTAAAGTTTGTCTGGGATAACACTACAAAGGACTCGATGATCAGAACATTTGTTCTAGAAACTACAGCACAGTTTGCTAGTTTCAACTTAGTCAAGGGATTTTTAGCCAAACCTGAGACTGGACATAGCGGCCGAGGAACGTACGCCAATATCAAGAATTTCCAGGCGGAGCTAGAGACGGTATTGCAGTTTGCAATGCCGAGGTTTCTGGTTCCTGAAGGGGTTCGGGGTGTGCATCCCAAGTTACTGAGGATTTTATTGCCACCGCCACCGTATGTAGTAGAGCTAGTTGGCGGGGTGGATGTGGGGTGGTGTTGTAGGATGGTGCAGGTGGATACGCTGACGGGAAAGGAGATGCAGGATTTGGCGAGGAGGATGATTGAAGGGATGGGGGCGGGAGGAAAGGGAAGGAATTGTAGGTATCATGAGCATGGGAGGGTTGGCGTGAGTTGTTGGATGGAGGATCTGCAGTAGACAGACGATAGGGGGTCGTTCAAGGGGCATGTAGTATGATACCCTAGACGAAATAGTAGATCTAGACCAGCCTAGATTTACGCGGATAATGTAACCTGGTTTCCCCTCAGCTCGGTCCAGAAAGCGGTCATTGAGAACACTACTAATTTCACGTGAGCATGCTACCTATTAACTGCTACCTATCAACCCCTTCTACAACGTTTCTTTGCAAACTAGCCTCAGTTTTGTCAAAGACTTCTTTTTCTCATCATTACTTCTCTCATACCAGGCCGCTTTTGCTACAGTTAGATATAAACCAGAGTGCCTCGATCTACCCAGCGCGTAAATCTCCAAATTGAAAATTTAGGCAGCGTGGAGCCTTTTAAGGTTATGTATGATCGCCAATAGTCTTAGCGACGCAACCGTAGTGAGGGGATAGCACACGTGATCGCGATGACCTCACAGTCAGTTACAGACACTACCATCTTAGAAACGTTATGATAAGATGCGAGCGGTTTCGAAAAGCTAGATTAAGTCACTAAACTATAATATTAACTTTAGAGATGTGTCTCACTCAGATGCTCGCCAGTGACGTCGCTCCACCGGGGGACTCAGTCACGAAGTGAAAGGTGTGATTAACTACCTGTCTTATATTTAATGATACAGGATCTCTAGTTCGCACTGCCGCAGCAACACCAACCCTTCCACTAGGCTCAATGTCGCTAGGATTTAGATTCGTTTCCATCCTCATTATCTAATTCATATTCAGCACCTACAACTCAGAATGAGAGCGTCCCAAAGTACTAAGAATTTGGCCCGCGCCCCAAGCACTACTTCAAGCTCTTCGAGCCACCCACGCATGAGCGCTGCTACGACGACATCCACAGAGACATCCACCTTCGCTTTTAGACCAAACCAAACCATCACAGTCAAACTCCGCAATGACAACACAACACCCCCACAAACCCGCCAATATCTCCTCCCTCGAGACCGCGTATGTTACACATCCCTCTACTTCCGGGACCATCTTTCCCCATCCTCACCCTCCAGCCAGAAACACCGCGACGGTGTGATCCGACTCAATTTTCCCGATTTCGTGATCTTCGAAATATACGTCGAATGGCTTAACACCGGAACCGTCCACACGAAAGCAGATCTCCAAGCCCAACTCGAACATACTAGACCCAGTGCAGAGGTGCGAAATGAAAGATATAGAACGCCGGAAGATATCGCAAGAGCAGCATACACTGACTACCTAGGCTGCTATTTCCTTAGCGACTGGATCCGCGACACTACCTTCAAAGATACCATCATCTCCCTTCTCATTTCTACCATGAACCTTCCCAATAACAGCGGACACCCTGAGCAATTCGTCAAGTGTCTTAAACCCAGTTTAGTGGATTTGCTGTTCATGGGTTTCCAGCCCGGTGACACGATCCGGAAGTTCCTGTTTTGTGCGGTTGCGAGATTTGGCACAAAGCAAGATCTCGAGAGATTCATGCCGGATGAGGGAGGCGAGGAGTGGCCACGGGCATTTGTAAGGGGGTTATTGGGATGGTTGTATGGGGAGGTTGTGCAGAGCCGGAGAGCAGACTCGTTGGGGAGGGTGATGGAAAAGGATCAAAGTTCAGAGTACCCGTTTACCTCAACAGGCTCTTCGGTCTTGCCGCCAGTGTCACTTCCCTCGTTCGTATCGCTGACAACTTCCTCGGAGTCGACTTGCCAGGGTGGTATGGGGGAGTCTGAGACTGTGCGAATGACAACATGTGATGAACAAGAATCGGGGGCAGGAGTGAATGAGGTACAGCCAAGATGGCCGGAGGATTGGGAGGAACATTGCTTCTTCCATGAGCATACGTATCTGACCCGGCCGTGTCATAGGAATCAGGCACCGGGGCTACGGGTTGGGCGAAGGAGCTTGATGGGTGTTTGTACAGTTTGGATATGATCCATGCAGTGAGCTTCTTCGGTATTCGTATGTTTGTCCGCTTTAGCCGCTGTGGACGCGGTGGAACCTCATATTCCGAGCACACCCAGATAGAATGAACGCTGTGGTAAACACTCACAGGAGGATCGCGCGAAGAGGAACGAGGGCTTGGGCATGAGCACTGAAGTCTCGGGAAAAGCGGCTGCTGTATACACAGCACCGTAACCAACCCCACCTCCAATGTTGTCTCCTAAGCATTGCAGTGTTACACGGTACTTGTAAGTTGGAACGCCGTCGCTATCACACTACCACTACTAGCCACGAGAAATTTTCACAAGTCGACACATCAAGATATCCACACTCCGAACCCAGATATCTTCCTCAAGTCCACAGAACAACCCATGAATCTCAGTGAAAAGAAAATGAAGACACATCTTTCGCGACAGTCGCCGGTAGTTCTAAGCGACACCACGATGGATTCCATGAATGGCAGATAGTATTTATCGTCGTCCTCAAGGCTCTGAAGATCTTTTACACCCGTATAACGAGCCATAGTGTCAGGAGAAGCGTTCGAATCAGGGAACCTATCAGTATAAATCCATACATTGATGCAACTTACGTAGAGAGCATGAAGCAATTGACGGATCAATCCTTATTGTCCGGGGAACGCTTGAGTTTTCGGACGATTATGCTCGCGACCATATCTTCAAAGAAAGAATAGCCAGAACTTCGCCCAAACACCAAACAGCAAGGAAGTCCATGTAGTCAGTCTCCGAAGTGTTCGCCTGCATGTGTTCACTATCGACCTCTGGAATAGATCGTATCTCTAGCCATGGAGCCAATAATAGTACATATCAAAGATGGGCGGATCATTCCACAACACCTGGAGAACAAGTACGCCTGATCCTCTCCATGACTCAACGCTGTTCTTGAGATAATGCGAGCCTGGCTTAAGGATGATGCTCTAACGAATCTTGTGCCTCTTCGAATATCGCAGCACCAACCTCAAACTACTTTGTCTTGATCATTTTCGTGGTTATCTTCCTTCTGGGGGCCCACTGTTATGATCAATTAGCGAGCGACTCAAGAGCGGTAGTCAGAGTAATACTCATGGAGGAATTCTATCTAGTTTGAATAGTACTTAAGGCACTCGTCCTGTAATCGACGCTTGAGGCAATCCTCGAGAGATTGATGATCGAGACAACGCTCGCGGAATCGACAGTGAAGGACATCCTCTCAGAATGGACAATGGGAGAAATCCCCCTGGAGATTGATGAGATTGGAGATTATCTTTATATAGCTCCTGCTTTTTAAATGAGCTGTTCAGTATTCGATCATGGTGGGAATAGAAAAAGATAACCAAAAACTACTTTGCTACCCTTCTAAAGTTCATATGCAAGGACATTTGGTAAAATTAGGAAACGTAGACAATGCTGATAGTAAGGAGCAATGGAGCAAAGAGTGGAAAGCCAATCCTAAATTCATATAGTCGGCTTCCCATATCATGTTCATACAATTACGTATTTTGCAAGCGATACCATGAGCCAGAGAACTTCACCTTTTTCAGTCATCCTCCTCGTGGAAGGGACTCAAGGGTACTACCCTCAGTTTTGGGCAATGGCCTTTATATTCATGGCATTTCCGCACCCGCACCATTCACTCGACTCCGATTTGGGTATCTTCGGATAAACATGGTAACGATTCCAGCCAGGAGACGATGGTCGTTGACTCCTGTGACCCTATTCCTGTCGATCGGACAGCGGCTATCCCGAGCCATGAATTCTCGTGCGCATTCGGCTACGTTGTGTAAGAGCTTGATGTTGATAGAGTAGCATTGTGTATTACCGCAGAAAGTGTGAACTGGTCATAGGTTAGCATACTTGTCATTCCTCCTATGGGCTAAACTGACGGCATCCCTGGTTTCGATGTGTTTGGGATGTGATAACGGAGACTGGGTTGCTGAAAATGTCCATATAAATGGGGTAGGTGAACGCCATCGGGAGATTATCCTCGAATGAATCAATATCGACATTTCCGGGGACTCGCGCGTCTATTAGACGCTGAACAAGATTCCGTAGAGCATGAAGGTTGGTTTCGATACCTCCGAGTCGCTCATCGAGCGCTCTAGAGCCCCCGAAACCTCCACCAAGAGCTCCCGGTGTACGATTATTTTCTAGGATGTCTAGAAGCAGCTGAAAAAAATGCTTCAGTACGAGAATTAAACCTTCTTTTTCCTTCTTCTCGGTGCCGTTGGTCTCTTTGATCTTATAAACGCCTAATCGTTTTCCCGCCACACCATATAGCAAGCCCAAGCATGATTATGAGAATGATAGGTACGGCGATGGCTAGAGCAATCGTTGCGTTGAGTTTAGGACTGATAGTTGAAGGAAAAGGTCCGGATGAGGCTGAGGGCATGACCGTGGGTATTGAAGACAATGAGCATTGTCCCGAATAGTAGCAATTTTATCCCGTCATCCATTTGGAATCGGCGGCAGTCTGAACTGCCCATTCCTCGGCTTTACTCGTCTTCGCAAACTAACCAAGGGAGTAATCCATTTGAGATAGGCAGACAGCCCAATACCATTGCGCAACTGAAGTCCTTTCAGGCTGCCCTGTGCAGACAAACTTACAGGCTGCTGGCCAAGATAGATGAGAGCAGAAACAGTCGTTCACTGCACTTGCCGTCGCACATGCGACATTGGCAGTGAGAATTTCGGAGCAGGTTGCCGCACATGTCGGGTAGGCTACACTCGCGGTTGGAGAAGGGAGATCGACGAGGCTGGGCTATTCCACTGCCTGTGTCAAACGCGGTCAAAAAATCGAAAAACCTATAATATAATCACTTATAATTGTGTAATTAACCTGTGTTTGAGTATCGTTAGATGTTGAGCGACTTTCAGCACATTGTCTTTACCAGCGTTTCCAACAGGAAGTAGTACGATTGATACTTTTGCTCCACCTACAATCACGTGAGGCAAACAAACGTAACTACATTTTTAACTGTTACAATTTAATTAATAAGGCTTAAAAGTAAGCAGTATACAATTAAGGTAGAATTTTTTAAGGTTGCAGTCTCTAACGCGCGTGAGGGCTAGGGAAGCGTGTTTGTGCCACTATTTACATGTTAGTGTAGCCTTAGAGCTTGCCCTGTACTATAACAACCTTTTAGACAACCTTATTATAGCAAAAGATGACAGTCCCTTGTATAGGGAACCTCTGGGTTAGTGGCTCTAGGTTAGTTAGCGCGACTATCCTGTACTCTTTAAGATGGCACTTAATTTCTACAAGCTGCAACTGCAAGAGAGCCTTTAGTAAAAGAAAAAAAACAGTTACTATCTCTTAGGCTTTATAATTAAAGCTTTACAACTCTAGAAGAACTAGCTATGTTATAAAGTTGTTTTTAGTAAATTAAATAACCTTACATGCTATATTAAAAGTAAAGGAGACCCTGCTACTCTAAAAGCTTTAACAGTTATGTTGTAACTTTTAGTAAAAAGTTAAGAAGTACAAGCAGCTTTAATTAAACTGTAACTTAATTGTATTAACCCCTACTGTTAGGTGAAGCAAACAAAAGTATATAATAAGTGAGACGTAACTTGTCTAGAAAGCCTGAGTCGAATCGTACTACTTCCTGATGGAAACGCTGGTCTTTACCGATATCAGAGTCAAGTGGTGGTGAAGCTCACGCCTATCAATATCAACAAAACAAAACAAATCCTAGCAGGCCGTGGGGTGAATAGAAGTCGGTAATTCGAGAGGCAGTGACCAAAAGTCGCTCTCCATGCTTCAGACTCCAGTCTTCGTCTAAAACCGACGCATCTGGCCTTGCATTCGCGAGCTCGATACTCTACGTCCCATGATTCGACGCCTTCAAAGCTTGGCTAAAGTTTGCGGTCTACCTTATGGGCAAACGAGAGCCTCTCTCGAAATCCTTGGTAGCGCAGATTGATTCCTCTGAGGGTAAAGATGAAACTCGATTCGTTCAGTCATTCGAGATCCATCCCGACTTTTTCCGACATATTTCTTCTTGCCTTTAGCGCTGAGAGTAAGGTACCGAACGGTGTGACAGAAGTTCCTGAGTTCCTGAGTGCTCGGCCATGCGCTGGAGACTGTATGTGGTGGTACATGCTTGATGGAATGGGCCATCCGAATCAGGAAGCCTATTGTTTCTGCAGGGAGGACCTCAACCCGAATAGAACATCCTTCTTGTCATCATGCGTCAAGACAGACTTCAAGGCCAATTCTGTAGATATGGCGTATATTTCCTCAGCGTGGAATGTCTTTTGCTCCTTCGAGGGCAGCGGTGACAGGTGAGGAATCATCTTTCGATCCTCAGAAACCATCGGTATTCGCTCGTCCAGATAATCGTCTTGACGGCTACCGCAACCTCAGCAACCACGCAGCAACAGTGACAGTTACGAAGGTTTTGGTAAGAACTATACCTGCGACAGGTTCTGTGACGTTCCCTATATCTACAGGTTCCGGTGGAAGAGTAATGAACAATGCTCTCGCTCTTAGAGTGATCATTGAGGTGCTCGTTGCGGCCGCAATACATCGGTGATGGCATTGAGGCCTAAGTATTGGTCAACAGTGCATAGGAGGTAACTAGTTGAAAGAATTCGGAGTCGGATGGGTAGAAGGGAATGCAGCTTGATGGCATACATCACTCGTATCGCTGGGGTTTCGAACTACCAATATTCAAGTCGTTTGGAGGTAGTTGTTTCAAGACATATGCTGCATTCCTAAATGACTTCCATTGTGCAAGGGCTTGAAGAGCACCTTCTCGGAATGGAAAGGTTTCATGCACATTGCACATGGGCATAGATCCAGGCCATGTTCGATATCTTGCTTCGTAGCAAGCTTAGCTATTCCTCGAATCCAGAATCCACTCTAATTTATAACATCAGCGCCGGTAGCGAGGTGTGAAAAAATGTGTCCTTTGGTGTGTCTTCGTCTCTAGAACCCGAAACTGCCTTTCGAAAGTGGGTAATTTGTTTCAGATGCATGCGAGGCGTTGTGCTTGACAGAAAATGCTGCGAAATTTGTGACCTTCTCTTGCTGTTGGCCGGTCCAATCGACTTATGCTAAGTACCGAGCTAGCTAAACTAAGAAGTTTGATGGAGGCTTGTGAGATCTTCATCAGTTTGAGCCCAGTGGTGAAAACTAGGTGTTTAAGGATGCAGAATCTAAATGGATTGTAGCTAAAGCATTCATGTCTGACATTTGGGAAAACTCAGCAAAATTCTCTTGATCTTGGATCTCCTATGGGGTCATCAGTACGGAAGAGTAGTTCATTGAGCACAAGTGTTGACCATCTGGGACCTCGTATCCGATTGTTCCCTGTTGTCCAGTTATCCTGGTTCCAGTTTTTTGGACGTGAATGGCCATACCAAAGTTTATAACAAACAGATTTGGTGCGGTTTCGTCCGAGATCGGGTCTCAAAGGTTGCCCAGTAGACCTGTTAAAGTTGGGGTCTTTCAGAGTCAGCTGTAGGATTGTACAGAATCATCCATTGGTTTTACGTCTTGGGGTAACAGACTCTTCCCCATGGCAGTAATCTAAGGTGGCTGCAATCTGATGGCCGATCTCGATGATTTGGCTCTCTGTAAATGACACCCCAGTATCCTGTCAATGCACTTAATACTTCCAGGCATCTTTAGGATTTATTCTACAGCTCGGATCGTTTCGTTTGTCTGTCAAGGGCCTTTCTTTTTCAGTAGTCTATGAAGAAAGGCAGAGTTTTGGTTGTTCTGTTCTATTCGACTTCGTAATGAAGGGTAGCAATGTGAGACCCGCTCTAACGAGAGTCATGTGCCTGTGCTCCTCCAGAGCGAAAACTGGGTCACTTGTTCGTATCTGTTTGCATCCGACGGCCATCAGATACACTAGTCTTTCTTATACACAGGCAAGGAGACCGTAGCTAAGAGAATTATTTTGGAGGATTTTGAAGGCCCACCCGAAACCCTCACTTCCAATCCACAGGAGGATTTGGTAGGACCACTACTCCATCTCTAGCACTCGGGCATCTTTGGACATGGTTGCACTGGTATAGAGCTGAAAGCTTTGATGAGGCCTGGACACCGAAGGATTAGGAGAAGTTCATACTAGTTTAAACCGTAGAATGACTAGTGTCACTTACAACGCGTCCAGTTCGCGTCTCACATAGAGATGATGAAGGAGGTACGTCGTAAAAGAGTGCGGTAGGTTAGATCGTGACAAAGAGTGCTCTAGCGCAGTATAGTAGTTACATTAAAAATGTCGGACCCACGCAGGCGAGTATACACAAGCTCTCGGAATGAGAACCGGAATCACCCAGCAATCCAATTTTCACGCCTATATCCTTCTTCTATCTCCTGAGGTTAAGTAATTTCCTCTGATATGCGACGGTCTACCATCTGGGCATGTCCGCCATGTGCCACCTGATCAAGCCGTTAGAATGTAGAAGTATCGCAGGAGACTCCCACCGGCTTTTTACTTACCCTTATCAGCTGGAGCGTCTCTTTCAGGTGTTAAGAACTCTGATTGGCCCCGCCACCTCTCGAAATGCGCAAGCGTTAACTCTGGGTTTCATTGGCCAGGGAAAGTGAGGTTGCATGACATCCTGGCACAGGTCCATGGGTGGCGGGGCATTTCTTAACCAGTTTTGACCGTCGCCAAGAAGACAAGCGGCAGCCCATCAGCTATCAACGCTTCCTTATACTCGACGAAGCAAGATCTACTCAATCTAATCATCGACGTAGCTAAACGACCCCATCCCCAAATCTTCATCAATGCCAGACGAGGTATTGCGAACAGCTATGCAGATTTGCCTTTCAGAAACCCCCACGATATCGACGACGGATCCAAGGCAGCATTCCGGGATTCTCGATCTTCCCGAAGAGTTGATAGACACCATCATTCGAGTTGTCAAAAATACTGCACCTGTCTCAGACTTCTGGAACTGCTTGAAAACCTGCAGGAAATGGCACCGCATCGGCCTTGCTATCCATGGATGCCTAGACTTTTCAGTATCAGCGACTATTGAATCAGGGGCTCGACGTCACGCAATTCAGCAAGAAGAGAAATCTACAAGCATCGAACATTTGACGGACTTCTCAATGAACCCTCCCTCCCAGCTGTTCTTATGTGAACTTCGATCATTAACTGTGCATGTCCTCCATGGTCGCATTTCCAGCCCGTTCAACCCAGTTTCTGGGAGAAATTTCTTCGAATCCCTCTCTGACTCCCTCAAGATTACCAGAAAACTTGCCATGTTCTCCTTGAAGTTCGCGGACGATGGCTGGGATTTCCCTGTTCGAGATGTTCCGGCGATTCCGGAAACTCAACTTGCAAAACTCGTTTCAGTGCTTCCGAGCACGGTGATCAATCTTGAGATCGATACCGCCGGTGTGGATCTGCCTCCGAGTGAGGAACTTCTTAGAGCCGACCAAGCTAGCCATCTGTGCTATCAGATCAGCCGAATTTTCCCCCGCCTCCAACATTTTCGGCTGCGGGTCGCACATGTCTGTGAAACAATCCTTGACTTAGGTCCTGACCTCGAACCCTGCTTTTGCACAAAAGCATACTGTGGTGTTGGCCTTGGGAAATCGAGCTGTCCACGGATATGTTCATGGGATCTGCGTCGGATGACCGTTTGGATACCAACGGGACAGGACAAAGAGAACAATTCCTTTGTTCAAGCATCCAAACGCCTAACGGAGCACTGTGCTTCTCACGCTCCTTTCACCATTCTCGTCAACCAACAACACACCCACACGTGCGTCCTCAGCCCGGGAATAGCCGTGTGCACGAATTTCACTTGGTCGGTGACAAGCAACTTCTGTTCTAACAGAACCTCCGGTTATTCAGATCACAACCACCGCTCTGGATCCAACGTCCAGAACATGCCATGCCGCGATCATAATTTTCTCTTGAGAAGCCCCAGACGATACTTTCTGCCTAATGATGACAACCCGCGGACCCCATTCCCATATATGGCTGAATGGGCCGTAGAGTCCCAGAACAGGTGGACACAAGACAGCCATCGCGGTTGCCGGTACCCTATTTGCGACGGTTCCCAACCTGGGGACCCGTTCTGGAAGACTACTCGTGATGGGAGGGGACTCTGGGCCTGCCTGTTCCCAAAGTGCCAGATTCGGTGTCAGTCGTTCTACGCCCTTCAAGGACATCAATTATACGGCCATCCAGAGAAGCCGCATGATGGAATGTACCACAGTTACTATCCATGTCCGTCTGTTGGCTGCTCTCGTGTCGGCCGGTGGGGGTTTTATCGGAAGAAGGAGTTGGAAGAGCATTTGTTGAGCCATCATCTAAATCCTTGTACGATGGATCTGCCCTCAGATTGATGGCAACTTGAGGAAGCTCACCCTGTGTGGCACTCCGCGTTTATGACGGTTCATTTGGTAACTGATCTTGCTTGGGCTTGCCTGAAAGAATGGCTATGGTGGTGCGTGTGCGACATCCAGGTATACTTTCTCACTAATCCGAGTCTGCAGTGACCATCCCAATGAGATGCTTTAATCTGATAGAGATACAGGGTTGAAAGAAGATCACGCGAACGGGATTCTTGGATGTATCTCTTATCTTCCGCACTGCCTAAGGCTCATTTCCCATAGCTATGGGTTTTACAACTCTGGCCCTATGATTTAACTGCATTCAGTTTCCCGCTTTGGACGGAGGTGAGGAGGTGCAGTATTAGGGCCACAATCCGACCGGCTCTACGCGGAGATGCTATCATGTAGTGTCCTTCATTAGAACTTAGTGTTAGCTTCGAAATTGGAGAACGTCTTCTATCAATCTCACAATCCATCTCAAAATTTAGCTTCCGCTTGCAAATCAATCTTGGCATAATTACTTCGATCAGCACAACCTGTACGGCCGTATTCAGAAAACCATGCATGCCAAACCAAATCCACACCAACATCAGGTTCAAAGCCCCAACACACCATCCTCTCTATCCCTCTCTACCTCTCTCCCTCTCTCCTCCCCAATCCCTGAGACAGGCGCGATTTAAAAGCCACCCGCTAACCCCTGCTTCATCCCGCGAGCCTCGGCTCATCCAAACCCTGCCACCCCAGACCCCGCTTCTTGGAACGCACGAGCTTCCAGAAGCGACGGAAGTTGTTGCATGTCGGTACGTCCGTTAAGGCGGGTAGACTGGAGCAGCTCGCTCCGGAACTTGGATTTTTTTCGGCCGTGCCGACGAAGGCCAGGGTTTGCGGCTTGATAAAAGTGCTTTGGGCTGGAGCTGCAGCTGGAGTAGAAAAAACACTTTTCAGCTTCTTACGAAGGCTTCGTTGCAGATTTCTGCAAGTTTGCTGGACTCTGTGCCTGCGAGCATATCATAGAAGGAATTATTGTGTTAGGTCCTCCCAAAAAGCAAGCCTCGCGTGAGCCTCAGTGGGAGCGAACAAAAGCTCCACCCTTGAAAGCTAACTACATTTGTACAGCTCCGTGGTCACCCACGAGGGCTTACTCGACCGTGCGGCCTGTGTGGTATCTCTGTCGACTTCATAAGTTTATCGGCCGCCGCTCTCTACCCTAGATTCCCCAGCTACTACTTCCATTTCGTGGTTCGTGCCTTCTATGCCATACAAGACCAAAAATTGACGAACATCTTCTAATCGCGCACCCACACCTACCCTCTCTATCCCCACCAAGTCAAGAGCCAAAAGTTCAAAATGGTACTCAAGTCGCGCTGGTCCTTTGAGACCCCTCGAGTCTCTCTCCCCTCATTTATATTCGAATCGCCAACTGCTGAATTGCCTACAACACCAGCATTCATCTCCGTCCGCGAACCCGAGAAATTCAATCTCTCCCTCGCTGACTACCGACTATGGGCACAACGTCTCGCCTCAGGGCTTCTCCGCTCTGGCCTCCAGCCCGGGGATCGTGTCCTGTTGTACTCGGGTAACACGCTGTTCTTCCCCAGTGTAGTCTTGGGTGTGGTAATGGCTGGCGGAATCTTCACTGGTGCAAATCCAACATACGTAGCTCGGGAACTGGCATATCAGTTGCGAGACAGCGGGGCACGGTATCTAATTTGCGCGGAGGGGAGTTTGGAAACAGGACTCGCGGCCGCAGAAGAGGTGGGTATGGGAACAGACGGGATATTTGTCTTTGACGACGGAACTGCAACTTTTGAAGGACGAACGGTGGAGAAAGAAACACCAATGGGGAAAATTCGACCCTGGACTTGGCTACTTGATTCCATTGAAAAAGGCCAAGCATTTCACTGGGAGGATTTAAGGACGGACGAAGAACTCGATCGCGTGGTTGCGCTTAATTACTCGTCAGGGACAACGGGCGTTGCGAAAGGCGTTATGATTACCCACAAGAATTACGTCGCAAATTGCAGCCAGCAAATCTACATCAGCGATCAACATCCGGATCATCTGGCACAGAAATTGCGCATGCGCCAATTATGCTTCTTGCCAATGTACCATGCGATGGCCCAAGCGATATTCTGCGTAAATGCGATGAAGCAACGGGTTCCAGTGTATATGATGCCCAAGTTTGATTTCCTCGAGATGCTGCAGTGTATCCAGCGGTTCCGGATAACGGATCTGATTCTCGTTCCACCGGTTGTGGTAGCCATGGCTAAGCACCCAGCAACGCGTAAGTTCGATCTCTCGTCCGTCGAGCGGGTCGGCTCTGGTGCCGCACCTCTAGGGCGAGAAGTCTGCGCTGAGCTGGAGAAACTTTGGCCAGACGGAAGAGTAAACGTGAAGCAAGGATGGGGTATGACGGAAGCGACGTGTGCGGTTACTACGTTCCATCCCGCGGCATTATCTCTGAGCTTCTCTGTCGGGGAGCTGGCGCCTAATTGCGAAGCTAAGATTGTGCTGGACGATGAGGGTAAGATGGAAGCATCGCAGGGCGAGAGAGGTGAGATATGGGTCAATGGACCGAATGTGATGAAGGGGTATTGGAACAAGCCTGACGCGACAAAAGAAACGATTACGGAGGATGGGTGGTTAAAGACGGGGGATATTGCGTATGTAGATAAAGAGAACAACTTCTTTATCGTCGATCGGAAGAAGGTGGGCCTATTGGGGTAATTTGGAGGGGATTTCACCTGCTGACGACTTGTTAGGAATTAATTAAGGTCAAGGGACTACAGGTCGCTCCTGCAGAGTTAGAGGCGCTGCTACTAGATCATCCGGATGTGCAGGATGCTGCTGTCATCGGAATCACACTGTCGGTCTTCCTCTTGACCACTAGAAGTTGGGATATTGACTCCTTGTAGCGATGGCGAAGAGCTACCACGAGCCTACATTGTACCCCTATCACCAGATAAGGCCACTCCAGCAGTCGCGGAGAATATCAAACAGTGGCTTGCAGAGAGAGTGTCGAAAGCGAAGCGACTTGAGGGAGGTGTTCGGTTCATCGATGCTATTCCTAAGAATCCAGTGAGTACTGAAACGTGGAGCTATCAGCGTGTCGCTGATATGATTTGCAGTCTGGTAAGATCATGCGAAGACAGATCAGGGAACAGGCTGCGCTTGAAAACACGAAAGCTAGATTATAGATCATCGCTGGTTATTACTGGTTTCCTGAAGGCCTTTCCGCAACTGGAGCGAGATACGTCGGGCTCATTAGTGGCACGCATGCATAAATACCTAAGGCGAGTTAACGAATAAGAATCCTCTTTCAGGCTTAGATCGGGGTTTCGTACTGCTTCGAGGCATCGCTTGCGTATGGACTCGCTGAAGGGAGAGTTGAGGTGGGTGAGTAGAAGGTTCGAAATCTGACATCCTCCAAAATCGACTGGATGGGGTTTCTCATTTCCAATGTCTAAATACCCTCTCCCCAGTCTGCGTTTGCCTTTCACTACTCTCAAATCCTAGAACCAGTCCGTAATCTTCTTCCAAATACTCTTCGCAGTGTCTTCGACCTTGTCAATAACCTTGATAACACCCTTCTTAATCAACCATTCATAAAACTCCACACAATCCCCTGCTGTTTGCAAAGTAGCCTTCAACGCATCGACACTTCCAAACAACTCCTTCAAGCTCACTGTCGAGATAATATTATCCCAATCAGTCGGCGGCAGAGCACATACACCCGAACTCACATAACACCCCGGGTGCGTGGCGAAGGCGAACTCTTTCAACGCAGGACACGACGCGGCCTGTTCGCCCGTCGCATATGGAACCAGGTTACGTTGAAGACAGAGCATGGTCTTCGTAATCCATGCTTTCCCAGCGCTAGAAAATCCTGGTGCTGCGGCAGTGAATAACTTGCAGTACTTGAGGCCATAGCCGAGTGGATAGCCCGCGGCACCGCATTTGACTTTCGTTTCGAGACAGTCGGGGTAGAACGTGCAGGTGTTTTCCGCGGGATTGGAACACGAGGGTTTGTTCGAAGACTCGGACTTCACGCAGCATTTAATCGTAGAGTCACCGGGGCAGTGGTTGGAGATGAAAGAGCCGCCGCTACAGCCTTGGGCAGTGTGGCGGCATAGCGAGCTGGTATAGGGGGCGGAGCATTTGATGGGGACACAGCACTGGACGTCAACGGGGTCTAGGAAATTGTGAGATGGGGCGTTTCGAGAAGATGGATCAGTGGGACTTACCATGTGGGCAATACCCGTTAGGATAGGCAATTCCGTTGCAGTTGGACGTCTTTTGACATGTTCCCACGCCCTGAGAGAGCGGTCAGCTTATCGTTCATGGATCTAGTGAACTCAAGGGTGATCAACCTCTGGAGCACTGCAGTAGTCCCCAATCGCCCTCGGCAGGTAGTGATTTGCAGCAGCTGTGAGTGCCGCGAAACAAGACACAACAAAGTAAGTGACCTTCATGTTGTTCCACCCTCAAGATTAAGTTAGAGATTGGATGAGTGCAGGAGTACTTCTCGCGGTGCGCCACAAATAGTCATCAAGGAAGTCACAGCCTTAAATACTCGCAACAGCGGTCTCACCCGATGACGTCGGCCGAAATGCTAGGGCTTCCAGCGTAACAGATTCTCCGAATGGAAGGAAGACCCACAAATCTGGAGAACACGAGGGGTTTCTGGAGATGTTCAGCTGGAACCTCCTTGTAAATGTGGAGCCTGGGCCAGGGATGAGGCCGTGATTTTAAACTCACACATAACGAGTACGGGGTATAACAACAAATGATTCCGGTAAGAGGACCGTTAAGGGATATGCTAGATAAAATAATTAGACTAGCTACTATCGCTACCATTGCTATCAGTTCTTTTCCTTCAATACACTGTTGCAGCCTCCTCAACCTTAGCATCGCGAAATCGGGGATCGAGAAGGACAGCACACAGAGACGGGTGGCACGATCGACATCTCGAAATACATTTGTGGCGTCCTGTTATCATCGCGATTGTCGAATGGCATGCGCAATGAGTGTTTCGAAACACGAGGCCATGCACGAATTAATTACCGCCTCGTAACATAAGGCTGTGCACACCGAGACTTCAACAAAATTATACAGGAACACGACGAATGCGAAGGTTTGGAAATATGTGGAGTCGAGATGTTCACTGTGAGTGTAGGACAGGAATTCTGATTGTACTAAAATCCTTGGGCACTACGAGCTCTGGTGGCTTCGCTCATCTAATACTGAGATGTATCTGCGTCCCATTTCCAGCATTTGTGCTCTCCAAATATACTCTTCTCCGGATCCTGAGCGTTCTGAGGGTGCACTCAAAGACGCCTTAGATTATCACCTTTCCTTCCACCTGCCTCCTGTTCATTACCCATATATGCGTCGTATTGGTCACCACGCTCTGAATCCTGAGTGCAGCTGCGGTGGAGCACATATATAAACCAGATCGTTACTTTAGTGCGTCTTGAGCCCTGAACACTACTGTTCCAATGGCTCCTCCAATACCTCCGCTCGCGACAATCGTTGCGGACGTGAGAGCTCACCATAACTGTCCGACCACATTGTTGGCTTGGTAAGTGATCGAGGCACAGACATTCTAGCTCGCACCCGCTGTCACGAGATAGGCTCCAAAGTGACGAACGTATGGTTGACTTGCGTAACAGAGTAACGTGACGTCAATGGCGTTGAAAATGATTTTACTGCCGCGAGTCTGTATCAATTAGAGCGCCAGGCTTCGACTAGGCCAAGAATGAAAGAGAAAGTGTAGTTAACGTTAGCGCTGACGCGGATTATTAATACCAAGGACATTAAGGGTCTTACGACAAATTACTGGCGCAGTTACGCACTGAGACTTAAAAACACAGAGAATCCGAGATCATCATTGAAGATGATGGGCAGGAAATATGAAACTGAGTATGACTAGACCGGGAAGTCCGGAGTTGATGGCAGAGCACCAGATTTTCCAAACTTTCCCTTGTGTTAGGTACGTCCAGATGTTTAACTCGGTGATGTGTGCATCTCCTCGATCTCGTTCCACACGGTCAGCCATGATTTGAGTCTCTTATTATCGAAAAATTTCCATGGCTTGTAAGCCTCTTCCAGGAAATTTGGCCAGCATGACATATCTAATAAATGCAATGACAATAAGGATTTCCTCCTCTACAGACAATTTGTTAGTCCAATCACTATCGTAACTTGACAGCGCTTACTTTAGAGAGAAAAAATCCATCTCCATCCTGCACGCCCTTGGACCCCGTCCATCGGACTCAATCCAAGCGCCAGTAGCCCTCCAAATCCGCCGAGAATATTTCCCAACAAGTAGAAGAAGACATTTCTTTTCGCTATTTCTGCTCTCACATACCACATACTAACTAAAACAACGCGCAGGGGAAGGAGCATCCTTCAAGGAATCTTAGTGCTGCCTGGAGTCCAACTTAAGCTTTCTAGTTTTTCACGAGGGTAAAGATCTTCTTGAGGGGATGTATGAAGTTGCTCGAGATGTAGTTGCTCAGCTTTACCGATGCCTTTGGATTCGGGACTATCCATTTTGGTCACCAACGGTATAGGGAAGAAAGCGAATGAGGTGTTGTAGTGCCGCTAGCTCTAAACAAGATATGTAGGGGCGAAATGGTTATCCACAAGAGTTAGGGCTCAACCTCGGGTACAACAGTCTGGGCGGTATGGTGAGAAGAAGTTAGGGTATAAGAAACTGGGCCATGGTATCTTTATCACTGTTGGTGTTGCTGGCCGACAAACTCCACATGAAACATGAACAAAGAAACCTGGGGAATTTCGGGGTAATTTGGGTTGGGAAATTCCCGAAACCACTTCAGAGGGCAGCAATTTGAACTTAGACATTAAAGCATCCAGAAAATAAAATAGGAACACAGGAATGACACGTTACACGCTGATCTGCTTCAGCTGCGACACGTCACGACTCCAGGAGCCATCCAATCCTTCATTCAACTCAAATTGCTTTGCTGCATCACTTCCTAAAATGGTGATGCTCTTGACACCGACCCTGGTCTTGTAACCAAATGTTCCGTTCATCTCAATTGTCTTCCCGTCATAGCTGAATTGGATTTCGCTGGTGCCACTCGGGTGCAAACTCTCGCCGTCGTCCAGATACAAAGCTCCGTTTGCTTTTCCGTCTTTGCCCGGCGCGATTAACAATTCGAAGTCCTCGCTTCGGAGTGCTGTGGTGGTATTGGCACTTTTGACGCGCGCGGGTATGATTGAGCCGCCACGAATGTAGACTGGGATGGATGTGAAGTCGATGTTTTTCAAAGTTACGGCTCCGCCAGTTCCTCTAACTTGCTTAAGTGACCAAAAGTCATAAAAGATGTCATCGGGAAGGTACAACGTGACTGAGGTTGCTTCTGGCTCAGTCACAGGGCTAACTAGAAGAGCGGGGCCGTAAAAGTACTGCAATTCGATTGCATGGGTGGCTGAATCCGTAGGATAGTTGAACCTAAATGGAGTGGTTAGGTGGAAGTAAACAATATTTTACAGCAATGAAACTCACCACATAGGCGCTAACATTGGAGTCCCATCTACTGTCTGCTTGTGCATTGCCGTGTAGATGTAGTCAAGCAATCTATACCGAGCATCGATAGCCTTCTTCGCTGCATCCGTAACACTCTTCCACCGGTACGCCTCTTGAGAGATGGCTCCGTCCACGTTATGATTACGGTAAAAGGGATAGAAGGCCCCTAGCATCGTCCAGCGAGCGCACAGTGTTTCCGTGGTGTTTCCAAGGAATCCACAGACGTCGGCCCCAACCTTAAACAGTCAACTAATAGTTGAGTAGAGATCTCTTTGGAGACTTACCATTGGAATCTGGAAGAACGACACGAACTGTAGAAGATGGCGTATGGATGTTTGATACTGGTCCCATGCAGAGATATTGTCGCCAAGCCAATGACCAACGTAACTTCCAGCACCTACGAAAGTACTACGAGTGATGACCATTGGCCGTTTGTCGGGCCGTCGTTTCAGCAAACTGTTGCGGCTTGTCCTACTCATCATTGTGCCGTATCTAGTCCTTTGTTAGAACCTAGCTGAAGAGTGGTCCGTGTTGGCTTACAGATTATGCGTGTCATACTCAGCCCACCCGCCTTGATGGATGATGTCTGTCTTAGCAGTCTTATTGCTAAGGAGTCCAAAGGCATTTTTTATCTTGTAGGATGGGTTGATGAGGTTACGTCCTCGGAGACCCCTCTTTGGGTAGTCTTGGTCAGATTGTCGCGACATTTTGCGGGCCTTTACCTCAACGATGTCGGTACCTTCGTCCTCCGCCTCCGGACTAGCACATGGCCATACGCAGAAATTCGAGGGTTCGTTCATATCGATCCACCTGGGAGTATCATGTCAGCCCATTTTTTTGCGGACGTTTCAGTGCCTTACAATGCATCAATATCGACACCACTAGAAGGGCTGAAAAAGGATTCAAATTCGCTATCCCAATAGCCCTGAGTATTCTCGTGAAACCAATCAGGAAATGCGGTTACACCGGGCCAGACCCTTCCCTTGTATATACTCCCGTCGCTGTTTTTTATAAAGATATCGGCATCTTTCCCTCGGTTGAAGGCATCGTAATTCTGATAAGCGACAGCTACGTTCATTAGCGGCTTTAAATAACCTGACATCCACATTCCACTAACCTGGATCAACCATTACAATGTAGTGTTGGTCATTATCGTGCAAATCATTGACCAAACTTCGCATGTCCTTCAAAGGAAATCTTTCACCCAGGGTGAAGACCTTATATTGGTCCATGTAGTCGATATCTATCCGAGTCAGAAAACGCTGAAGTGGCCACGCGGCTCTATTTACCTGTCCACATTGTCTCCAGAGGGATTCCAGCTGCGGAGTAGTTCGCCACGACGGCTGCTACTTCATCTACACTCTTATATCCAAACCTGCATTGGTGGAATCCAAATCCCCAGTACGGCATCATTGCAGGCTTTAATGATATCTCACTGTATTCCCGTGCGACATCATATGGTCCTGGACCAGCCAAGAAGTACAAGTCTATGATCCCGCCTAATACGTTGTATTCGAGGTACTGGCCGTCGTCGTTGTTGATTTTAATGTCCATTCCATCGCTGTTCAGCAAGAGAACGCCATGGGTCGTGTCTGATTTCGGTCGGTATTCGTAGTATACTGGATGATTACCGTATAAGTTCTCCCCAGCTGGGACGCCACCTGCGTCTCGAGCCCAGAACGTCCTAATATAATTCGAAGTGGGTAGTTGTAAAGAATCTGTGTGCTCTCCAAGTCCGTATAATATGGGGCTGTCTGGTAGTGACGTTCGGAGCCGCAGATATTGCGTCTCAAAGATGATTTCAGAACCCTCGGTTGTGAACAAGACCTCGCCATTGCTCTTTCGTTTTATCATGAATGAGAATGGATCCTCTTCTACCGAAACTTCGAGCAAAGAGCCTCCTGCGCTGGAAGAACCTCCTGGCCGCGGAACAACAAAATCTGGAACCTGGTAGACTTGCTCCGCTTTGTCATATATCATAACATGGAGTCGTGAATCTGGAAACAATCAGCATGGTTGTTTTCTTGGATAAATTCTCCCCTCAGGTTTGCGGTCTGCGGAAGCTGTGTATTTACAAGTACAGATCTCCCTATATGGGACAATCCGAGCTGAGGCGTTGCACAGGAGGAAGCCCGATCACATTGGCATTCATTCTCTGGCCATAGTGCCCCCAGCTCTCGATGGAACGCTTTCTGAAAGAGAAGAGCAAAGCACGCACCTGTTTGGTATTCGGCCAGAAACTTCAACTCGTGCAAGTCCTGTCCGTAGATGTTGCATTCTGAACCTGCCAAGGTCAAGTCCGCCGTTATGCCACTATCTGTCTTCTTAACATTACTCGCGGAATACCCGGGGCAGTCTGGGCCCCGTCTCAATGGCACTGAGAAGCCCCACTGAGCAATGGTAGACCAGAGGAGGAGAGCAGACTGTAGGAATGTTATAGTTAAAGGCATGACTTGGGAGATGGCCACGGAACCATTGTGGGTAAACCATGACTGCCCTATATAGTTGACTACACAAGGACCTTAGCCCTTGCCTTTCTCATGGACCACATATTGCGTGACTGCTGTGCCAAGCGAACCCAGGTTGGTCGGCCGGATTCCACAGCAAGCATGATGTGCAATCGAGGGTTGGCTTCTTACAGGTCGTCACGAGGGTGTCCATTGTTTTATGCTAAAGTGTGCCGACGGGTCGAGATGGATCAAGGGGACAAGTTAGCAGTGCGACCTGCCGAATTAAGGTGTTTGAGAGAAGTGCCGGAGTAAATCTGAAGTGAAACGTCGATGGAAGATTCGTTTTTCCGCGTCCGGTGCCTAGGTGAGCATGGGCCACCCATGATCTCCCACCTGCATGCAGCGCGGACGTTATTTCCCGGCAGCCAACGGGTCACAAGCCACCATCATTCACCTCATTCCTCGCCGCCCCTGCCAATGGCGGCCGCGCGATGTCTGTTGCTCTCCGCACTCTTCATTCTTTCCAACGTCATATTGATCGTGCTCTGTCTCTCTCCCTCACGGCCAGCCGGGGCCATCGCGATCTTGCCCTCAGTTAAGAGCCTGAATCCAGGGAATCGCCATAGATCCGGTCCCTTCTGCCAGGTTCTGTCCCGTCCGAGCACACGAAACGTGTAGGGAAGGAATCAAGCTCCTCGATATGACTCGTTGATCAGAGTGCCCTCTTGGTGGAAGCAATATGTAGTGTATGTATTCCACTAATCTCGCAGATCAGGTCAAATTTTCTCACCGCACATCTCATCCTTAACTTAGCTTACCATGCCTCTGGGATAGTTCAACTACGTAAAACGACCATGAAATCACTTAAGAATGGTCAGGCGGTGAAGTCGACTGCTTTGATGCATTTTTCCTTGTCGCAGCATCTGCTCAATATCACGACGTCACCCTTCCTAGGCTCCACCTGATGGACGCAAGGCAACTTCCGCATGTGGTTGTTACACAACAGATCTAGAACGACTAGAAAAGGCTCCACTTGGTGGTCGGCAGAACGGAATCCAAAATCGCTCTATTGTACAGCCGGTCCTGTCAACATCTAATCCATCCGGAGTTGTTGTCTGAAATCGTCTAAATCCTGATCATGAGCCTATCGCCTGCAGGGTAGCTTCCGTCAACGCTCTATACCTCCCAGGATACCGCTTTCACACCTCTCTCACTCCGGACGGTCTCGGTGTTGATACTCCATACCTTGAGTGCTGCGCCACCTCGGCTTCCCACTTTTCCATTGTCGAAAACCCTGGCATGGCTTGGGATGCCCCTCTCCTCTGTGCGCCTTCCTCTCTGGGCTCTTCGCAGTGGGTGTGATTTATTGCATCCCGCCTGTTGTGGGAGTGTAAGGTTTGAGCTAGGTTGCCTTGAGGACTCCTAGTCCTTGGGCCGTAGGCCATTACCTGTCCCACCTGCTGAAGAGAATACCTGGCATACTCCACATTCACTCCTTCCGGTACTTCAACTTCTACCTTTCGGAATTGCTGAGGACTTTGTGCCCATTGGTCGATTTGTGAGGCAAGCCACGAATGTTCTGTAAGTCGTGCTGACGCCGGGATTGCTGGTGATCGTAGGAATGGAGAGGTGGAACGAGTTCGTGCTGCTCTATAATCCTCTCGTAGATTCTGTTCTCCTCGCTTTCTTTCTATCCTTCGCTCCTGCTCAACGTTGTTTGTGATGGTGGACCCTTCCCCATTACACTTCCCGACCCACTCGAGTGACAACATCGACACTTCGTTAATTTGGCCTAGCCGGTACCTCGAAAGGTTTCTGGGCATTTCCCTCACCCCATCCTCTTCTTTCCGCTCCGTCTCCTCGTTCTCTTCTTTCCCCCCCTTTCTCCAAATGCTGCCAAGAATAGACCTGAATTTGTACCCCCCCTTAGCATTGTTGAGCCCTCCCGTGGCCCCAACCGTGGGCCCACCCAGGTGCCCTCCCCTCCCGAATGGCCGCCTCCCTCTAAATGGGAACGGCCAGCCCCAACCCCAACCCATCTGCTGTTCGAGGGCATCCACAGTTTGGTGTTCTCCCCCCTTTGTCGTCAGGTTACTGGCTCTTGACGTTGTGTGTGATTGCTTGACAGTCGCCAATCGTCTCTGTGGGGCCTCGGTTTCTAGTGCTTGCGGTCGGGTATCCTGCACGGGACTTGATCCAACCATCCTTGCACTTCCGGTGGCCCCCTTAGGAACGGGTGGCCAGCGAGGACTAGAACGGGGAATTGAGGTATAAGGACCTCCACCGGCCGTACTGATTGCCACTGTCGTGTGTGAGGCTCCTTTCTTACTGGTCCGGTAGGAGCCGATTCCGGGCTTTTGCTGTGGCATAACAGATGATGCCTGCATGCCTAAGCCCTCGTGCGCCGGCGGAGCTTTCCTTGCAGCATGCCCTCTCTCCCTTTGGTCGACATTGGACGGTGAAACCATTTGCTGATCTCCTCGCGTACTGTCTGGGAAGCCGGGAGAACTTAGCATTCTGAGATTTCTCGCTGGTCTTTGTCGTCTCACCGACTGCTGCAGTCTACCTACTTTAAGCATCGATGGCCGTTGCTGGTTCTGTTGCGCAGTATACGGCAGTCGGCATTCCCCTTCGAGCATTCGATGTCTAACGGACTGCTGTGGTTCATCCATATCCAGCATCGATGGCCTTCTCGGGTTGTGCTGCAGATAGTCTGAAAATCTAGCAGGATGCGGCGCCTGAGGATCTCCCTCAGGCATTAGCCGTCTAGCAGAGTGTTTTCCTGCACCTGCATGCAGTATTAGAGGCTTTCGCTGGTTGTATTGCAGTTGACATCCTTGAGCGACGATTCGATGTCTCATGGAAGGTGGCATTGAACCCAAGCTAAAACTCCTTCCAGTGCCCGGGTCTATTATCGGCGTAGGCTTTTTTTGCATTTGCTGACTCGAGTCTTCTCCCCGAGTGACTGAGACGTGAGAGTCTTTTGCGAGCGCTCGACGGTTGGTGTGAGGTCCTGATGAAGCTAGACTATTGGTGCGGTTGCTAGACATTGTGGCAGGGTGCGAATGGAGAAGATAAAGGCAAGATCTTCTAAAACGAGGGTATTGGAGTGAGCAAAGTTCCAGGAAAAGAGCCAATTGTGAGATTGCAAAGGTGAAGTGCAAATTGATAGCACGCTGAAGCAAGTGAACAGGCTGTGACGATGGAATTGATCAAACACATTGGGCTTGCAAGTCCCCTCACCTTCAGCATCCTGATTCATGTTGCATTGGTACGCTTGTAGTTCTTACAATTGTTACTAATTTGTGGAGAGAGAATCGTGGGTTTCTTCTCAACGCAAATATATCTCGCAGAGATCTGTTCGAAGTTGGTCGGCTGAGTCCCATGGAACCAGATCAACAGTTTCAGATTCAGCCCCGACTGATCTAGAGTCCCCACGATGCCATCACTTTGATGCAGTAGAAGGTAGCTTACCTTGACTTCAAAAGACGCAGTTGTGCGCACTGGTCATGTCCGACGAGAGATGGAAGGTGCTTCTTCCGAAAGCCGGCCCTCACTCTACGCCCTGAAACCTCTCCCAGGACTCTCTCTTCGAGTTTAGTGCAGTCACCACTGCACATGCACATTGCTTACAGCCCCACTTTAATCGCTCGCCTCAACCGCACCACACTCCCACCATACTCCTCCCACACTTAGTTCTTCGAGTCTTCTTCCCATCACCCAGAAGCCATGGCAAATGTCAATCCCCTCAGCCTAGACCTCAGCTCGGCCCACAACCAGATCTCGGTCTTCTTACACAAGGACTTAAGCAAGTCGCCACGGGACTCCAGCAAGCAGATATTAAGTTGGCAAATTTTGCCAAACTTCTACGCCCTTCTTACCACACTCTGTGAATTTATGACAAACCTTGACGTCCAAGGTTTCCTGCCACACCCGCTTAGCTTTTAAATAAGTCAGGGCCCGCACTAGATCATGTGTTAACAGCACTAAGACTGCCTAAGACTGCCTACGAAAGGCACGACTGGGGGTAAGAAACAATGGCTGAGGTTCTATATTAGATTAGCTGATATAAAAATAAGAGAGGTGCTAGCATATTAGAATGGATGGTTAGAACGGAATAAATATTGCTTTAGTTTACGCTTGCTAAGGTCCTCCAACTGTACTTGGCTCTACCCAACATCCAGTTAATGTAATATGGCGACAAAGCCATAAACTTCTTGTACTATAGCTAGAGTAGCTGACCCTAGAGTGGCTGCTCACGCGGCACTTATTCAAAATTTTCTAGAGATTACGAAAACTTACAGGTGCAAGTAACTATAAAAGCGGCGACAGAAAACCTCCAAATAAGGAATAAATAGTCCCCGGACATAGGTTTACTGTGGTAAAAGTCAGCTATATCAAAACAGTGGGAGTTGCTGCGGTACAGCTACCGGTATCAGGCTCTACCTCTTCCGATATCGCTGAAGTTTTAATATCGATGTGTCTCAGAGGCTCAACCATACCACCTTCCGGGATGGGAAAGGGGAAACAGTCCGCTCCATCCGATGTCGTCACGCTGCACTCAATTCCAAACGCACTTCGGCTGCAATGGCCAAGGATTGTATACACCAAACTTCACGCGCTGAGACCGGTTCCATCTTGCATTTTCAGCTAAGCATCCCAGAAATGACAATCGCGTGATATTATTCTACCGGGTGTCTAGATTCCGCGCCTGGGTATATGCTCCGAACTTTACTGCGGTGCCTCGGTGCTTGCCACACCTGGAGGATGCAGCGTTGCAGTCGGTGTCTACATAACCACACAACAACCTTTTAGCGCCTTAAACAGCTTCGGCAAGCCCTTCTTAACCAGCTGCTCCACTTCATCGTTCTGGCCTTGCTGCTGCTGACCGTGGTGCTGTTGCTGACCGTGGTGCTGTTGCTGGCCTCCAGGATACCCGCCATACGACGGCGCATGCGGAGGGGGCGGCATGTGCGCAGGTCCACCCTGGAGGTTGATGAACATCCTGCCCTCATTCTCCTCAGTCACATACTGCAACCCCAACTCTCGACACACCTGCTCTACCCCCGGTTTAATCTTTTGCACATGTCCGCGACTGTGATTCCCTTTTCCCACAATAACATGTAAATGAGTCTCACCCCGCTCCTTCGCCGCCTTAATCCTCTGCTCTAGGATCTCCTCCGCTTCCTCGACAAACAGCCCGTGCAGATCGATCGTATCGCCTGCGACACGGCCCTCGGCATTATTTTCGCGGAAGATGAAGTCGCGCGCTTCCCTGTTGTAGGCGTCCATTTTAGCGGCGTGTGATTTGCCTTCTTCGCTGAGCGTGTGTGCGAGCGCGCCGTCGCCGGAGGCGTATGCTGCGTGTGCCCGGTCGAAACATGATGATCGTTTTGCGGCTTCTTGTCGTGCAAGGTCCCGGAGTCGATCGTATTCGGCTTCGGTATCGCTGGAGGAGTGGTTGAGGGCTGCCGCAACGTTAGTTCGAAGGAAATGCTTGAAAAAGCATGGAGATAGAATGGAAGGGTTAAACCTTACCGCGCGCCCCCAATTGCATCATAGCAATGGACATAATGAATGTGGGCGTTAGCGGATGGGTGGAAGTAAGATGAGTGAATCCTATTGTTGTAGTTATTGTTCCTGTCGCCGCTAGGAAGTGGAGACAGTTCGAGAGATCTACATGCCAAGAGATGTGGCTGCAATATCGCGCATGGGGCATGCCCAGATGTTCGTGTGGGTAAACGTGGGGAAGTGAATGGCGTTGGTCCTTTGCGTAGTCGGGATCATGGGCTTTCCGTCTTTGAATGAGATCAAATTAATGATGATTGTGGTATCTGGGCCGCTTGGAATCCCTCGTCAAATTCCTGCAGGCTGGAAAGGCCGCACAAATGCCTCGTCCCCAAACGCCAGCCTATGCGAATGAATGACACCCAAATACTCCTTCCAAGCAGTTGCGGAGGTCTCCCTTAGAATCTGATTTTCGGTCCAACGAAAACAACGAGCAATGCTATCACCCAAAGACCGAAAATCATAGCATATAGCTTCAACCTATCCCAAAAACCTTTTCCCTCTGTCATTCTTCTCAGAGTACCTATTCGCTGACCTGCTGCGTCCATGCCCTGTGTATTCTTATCCAGGCCGTCAATAGCACGGTCCAGGATCCCTTTGTCTGATTCCAATGTACTCCCAAAATGCATTGACTGTTGCTTCAGCTGCTTTGCCATGTCTATCAGACTCGACGTCAAAGCTTCCTGCTCCGTACGATTATGCGACAGTATTGCTTCGGTGTGCATGGGCAACGGATCACCCGTCGTCCTTGAAGGTTTTGAGGGGAACAATGATGTGCCTGTTGTCGTCGCGCGTCCATCTTTCTCGCCTCCACCCCGCCGTGATCGCAGCTCTGATGCGAGATTCTCTGCCGCTTCCTGTAATGCTTCATGGCCGCCACCGCCAGCCCTGCTAACTTCAATGCCAGCCTCTTCTTTCACCCGTGGCGCATAAGAGGGAAAGCGGTCTTCGTCTTCTTCATCCGAGTCTGCCGACACTTCTAAGCTTGAATCGTCTAATTGGTTCAGCTCGTATAATCGCTGGTTGAGCTGTTTAATGAGTTCGCGCTTCTGCTGGAGATCGGCTTGGAGGGCGGATTTCTTCGACTTGCTGGAGGGGATGGTTGCGGCAGAGTGTTCGAGATTTAAGAGTAACATTCGTGCATGTTCGATGTTCTACATCGATTCAATGTCAGCAAGTCCTGCCACAGGAATGTACCTGCCATACGAAACATCGCAACTCACAGCGCCAACTTTTGCTCGTTCATGGCCCGATTTTCGGAAGCTCGAGGGCGAGTCTGGGGAAATTAGGCTATGTTCGAGTCGCGAGAGAAGCCGGTTAAGGTTTATGAGCGTAGTATTGGGGAACTGGGAAGGTGGTTGTGGTCTTGCAGCCATTTTGGAAACGTGGCTGCTGATGTTAGTAAGGGCTAACTATTGCAAAAATACCAAAATGTAGAGTTGGTCGCGGTTGCGAGGAAACTTCCCGCGAACTGAAAGCTTCAAAGCGCACTACAAGGCTTGTTTTGGTTGCAGAGATAAAAGGTAGAATATGAAAAGTGATGGCGATGATGCAGGTGGATAATTAGTTCCGTGTCGTTACACCAATGAGGTCGCGACACTCCCTGTCTCCGCTTGGCCCAAGCTTTATTCACCCTCTTGGTCAAGGTACTTCGATACCACACTCTCATTATCCATGATTAGCTATTTACGAGCAAAGCAGTTTCAAGATGAGAACCACAGCTCCTCTTTTTATTTTAAGTCCCCTAAGAATTTCTATTGTATTTCCGTCAAAATCCGTGGAATAGAATACTTCTATGCACCTCTATCCCATCTCCCTCAGAGCGCCGAGGGGGCGTTCTTCCATCTTCAAGCCAAGGCTTCCAGTCTCGAGATACTGTTGTAGGCGGATATAGCGGATAAACAACGGCCCTCTCAATCCCCAACCCGATTCCCATAGCAATTCCCTTCGTCTCTAAATCGGTTTGCATTGCCATGCCCTTCATCTCTAAATCATTTGGCATAGCTAGGTCAGCTCTGAGGCCCTCCACTATCTGCGCCAGAGAGAATTCTTCACGCTCAAGGTTCTCAGCTTGTCCCTCATAGGCACATCTGATCAATGAACTAGGACGCCGCAGCTGTAAAAAGTTGATGCTGATGGCCCAGCCCTTTCGATAGATTCTTGAAATTCTTGAAATTCTTGAACTCAACACTAATACGCATCATATTAAGCTACACCTCCACCATTCCTGTTCTTCCAGGTGCCAGCATAGTGGTGCGTAACTAACGGCAGCCAAGCCCGCTTCCTCTCTATATGTATTCGACCACGACACAAACGCATATCAAAGCATAATTAGGTGATCCCCACCCACTTCAACTCGATTAGATTCGAGGTATCAGCTATCAGGATGGTTGTATTGAGAAACCACCCTAGGCTCTTCAGGACGCTTAATGTCAATATCCTCGGACCAGTGATATTCACCACATCCCCCACCTTGTCGAGCATCAAATCTGCGAAAGACTCCATGTTCTGTTGACGTATTACGCATTCGCTGTAGGATATCCTCGATGACTAGAGACATATACAGCAGATTCGGCTTTGACATCATGGTATAGCTCGTGACTTGGCAGACATAGTTATTTGCCCTACCTATGCCAAACTCTCATTCCACAATGAGATTGGAATTTCTCTTGAGTTGCAGGGAAATTCATTTGCCGGTGATATTTCTTCACGCAAGATACCAAGATCAGACTAGAGCCGCCCTGGTTAAACAGCAGCAAATAGCGGGAACAGTCGCTCTTTGAGAATATGGATAGCGAGACCGAGACGGCTCTCGAAGATATTCGGACGGAATGCAAACGCCTTATCAATAAGGGCATCAGACCGCAACAACCGGTGAGCTGCCGCAGGCACTCTTCTTGCTTGAACCGCTTGGTATACAATAACGGCTGCTTTAACGTGGCAATATGGTGGGGGTTCAAGACCTGTAGTGCGATTCTCAAGGGCTACGAGGTACACATTTAGATATCTAGATATATACTTGTACCTCTGCTCCTCTTAACTAGCTACGTGTAGTTTATAGTCATTTAGTCCCTTCCCCCCGCGATTGCTTCTCACCTGCTCTGTTCCTTACTGTTCCCACCTCTGTGTAGCGTTGTATGAGGGTCACTAAGCACAATTTGTGGGCAGCCTATTCCACATGTCTCTTCCTTGTGGGGCGTAGCCTAGCTCCTGACCAAAAGTGTCACGTATAGATTTCATAAATCTTCCGTTTAGAATAGAGGGCGATTTTAGTCATAATACCAACTATCTCGAACGGCGAACGATAAATATTCGATGAACAGGAGAAAGGAGAGAAAATTGCGCCTCCTTAACGCCCTCTCAACTGAATGGCGCCATGTTTATGGTGCCTGGTCAAAGTCGAGACTGAAAATGGCATCGTGTAAGAAAAATTCCAAACTCCATACGATTTATAGATACCGGTTCAAACACCAACAAGATTCATATAATGTGATTATGCTAACTCTTGTACTAAAAAAAACCTTTTCTGAACTCAGTGTCTAGGATCTACGTGGTATCAAGCTATGTGTCCTGACAGCGTCATAATACTACAAGTTTTACCTGGGTTATGAGAACGATAAAAACCATACATTATGCAATATATTTTCCATTTATGCTTTCAGAGAAGGTCCCACTAGCGCTGGTTCAAAGAAGCACTACTTTGACATCTCTCCACGCTCGACGATAACAAGAACAACCGGGTCCAGCCCACCCTGCTCACCTTATCTGTATCCACATCAAATACGCTGCCTATATCTCCATCTAGCAACCCGCTATCATCAAAATGTTCACCTCTAACACGTTCCTGTGGCCTATCTACTGAATTTAAAATCGGAAACGGCGTTGGCATCCACATTACAATGTTGTCCAACAGTGGCATATTTCTCTTCATGAATCGTAGGAAACAGAACCACTGCATCTAAAAGCCACCCATACCGGAAAGCAGATACCATAGCGGTGACTGCCATAACAACAGCTTCTACAAAGGGATGTTCGAAGGGGAGGTAGAGGCCCTGATTAGATCCGTAGAAATGGGCCACTCAACATTTCTATGTCACTGGATTATGATAAATCATGTCTAGTGAAGACAAACTAGCTATGGCGGAGGACCGTATGAAGGGTTTCTGGAGCTTCTGTATTTGGGAGGTGTTTGTGCGTGAGGCATGAATGGGAGTCAGAAAATTTCGTCACTTAGCCATTTGAACTCAACTTAAGTCATACTGAGTAGTCTTCCGGCACAGTTGACTAATTCCTTTGAGGAAGTTAAAATACATACATTATCATTGCTATCATTATTACGTTATTCGAACATTTTCCCAAATAGTCAATAGCATCATTCTCGTATAATACAACCTAGTTCCCCCAATAGATAGAGCGTGGAGGACCGAGACTTCCAAAAAAGCGAAAGAAATCCCTTGATCACAGATACTCAATCTTTCCACAGGAAATCGCCCGCTCAAAGGTAACAGTCTGTTTGGCCTACCCCTCTGATATGAGACTCTTACTGCCTCAAAGTAGTGGTATCTCGTGGCTCCTTGGGTGTTTGCTGTGCCGGTGTCGCGCCGCTTGGTCCGCGAGTATAACTGGAATTTAGGTCAGGATCACGGCATCGGTAAGGCAAAATTGACACGTACTTATTCCACCATGAGCCGAAGATACCGGGCTTTCCAATCGCTGAGTCTTGGAGACTGGCTCGTCGGGTCGCGGACTCTGCATCAGTAGGCCTCTTCAAAGCTTCTAGAGCTGCGAATCGGTTTGTTGTGGAGGACTACTAGGGTCAGAAAAATCGAGACTGGGCAATACCAGAAAGGGAGTAGGACATACTCTTCTGCGTTCAGTTGGTGATGAAGGTGGAGGCCCTATTGAGGCATCTGATGCTCTCCGGTCTGTCTCTTGTTTTGGCCCCTCGGGCATTGCGGGGGTGGGATCAGAACCGAAGAATCTGTGGTTCTGAGAGGAGTACTTCTGGTGGAATGGGGAAGGCATATTTAATCGAACTTAGGGTTGTTGGTGCAGGCGAGTGACTGGATTTGGAGTGACTACAAGCTGAGAAGAATGAAAACAAAGATGTTTCAATCGAGGAAGAAAGGCAGAGGTTGATAAGAAGCTGAGCTGCCCCTCAGCAAACAGAAATCATATGGACGTGACGCATCTGATACGGGATCGTGCCAATGAGGGAGCAGACCAGCTTCCCCGCATTTCATTGTGAAGCTTGGATCCTGCAGTATGGAAACATTGATCGTGAAAGGAAAGAGATAATGCTGATCGCAATACTTCTACGCGATGAGCGAATGAACGTAAGCGGACTCTTCGGGGTGGGTTTAAAAACACCTTTCGGAGTTGGCAGCTTTAGGATAGCTGCGGAAGCCGACAAGACAGGACCAAAACGAAGGAATTCTAGACTTTATTTTCCTTGGGAGATGATGTCTTCCCAATCTGCTGAGCACAAGCGGACAGCACAAGTGCTACTAGAAGACCTTCGATACGCGAGCTGGTGCGATCGTAGGCCCATGATATAGATCTTGTGTGAATGCTTGTCCAGGGACGGATATCCTCACCCCCATGGGCTCATCCTCGTCTTGGGCTGAGATACCAGGAATACGTTTTAGGAGGAACTGCGATGAGTCTAAGAATGGGTAGATTTCGAGCTTTGCGCAACATTGTGTTGGAGATGAAACTGCGGCCACTTGGTGGCAGCCCTTCAGCCCAACTGAAGGGGGGAAGCGCAGGTTTGGACCCTTTCGATGTCATTCTTGACAGGTTCCTGACTCGTTGTTCATCCAGCCGCCGCACGAGAAGCTCCTGCAGATCTTTGATCCTCGTCGCCAGAGTCAGAGTGCGAGCGCGAAGCGGGATTCGCTTGAATGACGTCAGACATACCCAGTTCTAACAGAGTTTTGCTGTTTGATGAAACACGTGATGCCAATCGCCCCGAAGTCTTCCCGCGAAGCGAGGCACAAATTTGTTGACCGTTTCTCCAGCTGTCTCAAGCTTCAACACCAACCTTCCTCTCGCCTTCAAATTGGCCACCATGAGGAGCCTAACCTTGTCGATCAATCAAAGAAAACTTTGTGCCGTTGTATTCGAGCGGCTCATGTCATCGAGTCTCACCCTTTGCACAGCAGATCCTCCTTGAACTGGGGGAAAGGCTGTGCTAAAGGTTTTGAGGCTCTCAGGCGGTTGGGCATCAACAATCCTGTCCATCGGGCATCGAGATTGACAGGGGCCTTTCCGATGTCACACTCTCGGTTCCGGAATCTTGTCTTCACCGGGCTGGATCAAGCCCTTCAACTCTCTCAAATTCAGTTTTTCCTCTCAGACGCATCGGGATACTCCCGAAAGCATAAATTGGACGTCCGAATGAATTGGTTCCTGAGTCAGTCCGTCATCCATTCCTGCAATGACACGGCCGTTGTTAGCAGACTTGTGGCATCTACTCGACCACTGACAATCAGCAACAAAGTCTTGGATACTGTCCTTCAAGTAGGGATCTCTTCTCGGCGAAAGTTTGTGCGCCGCCTACCAACCACCAAGAAATCGTGACACTGAGGCATCTAAGATCTCTAATTTCGGTATGTTCAATTCTCTTCAATCAGCCTTTCTGTTATGATGATTTCCCAAAATTAAGCATAGTTCAACCGATGGTCTACGGACCGCTGGGGAAACAACACACCATCTTTCGCCCCTATCTGATCTAACTGTTCTGTAACACGCTCTGTCTTTTCAGTCTTTTCAAGTCTATGAGTGCTAACCTTGGGAGCAGATTGCAGCTTCGGCTGCCAATAAACAAGCAGAAGGACTGTTCCTTTGTGTTACAATGGGCTCGTGGCTCACTTCAGTCGACTCGAGCCACACCATCTTGGGGACAAGTACCGGTTGAAAGCACGTACGTTACACGCCGTTATCCTAGGTATTGCCGCCGATGTCATTTTACGCAATGAGTCTTAACTGTGATTGATACAATTGCCTTGTGTTCCTGTGAATGTGCACGTACGGCAGTCATTTATCATGCGATTATGTTAGACTGCAGCCCTTCCCGTTAGTTAACTGTGATGCACAATCAATTGCATTCATCGCGGCGGCAATTTCCACGCGGCCTGGTGGAAGACCAAATGTAGGCCACACTGTCGAGGACGGCTGAAGGGAAAAGCAACCGTCTGTCCACTCGACTAGAGCCGTATCAATCAATCCCTCACATGCTGGCTCAGTGTGCGATATATTCAGCATTTATTCGGCGTGATGCGTCCCCTTCTCGAACAATCTAGCGATATGTCTGCGACTAGCCTTTCTCATAATCCCAGTGCAGAACGAAAAAGCAATACGATAATTAGCGTGACAGGGTCTCTAGAAACCAGTCCGAGGCATCGCGACGCTGACGGCGTTTTCGAGCCGGATCCCCTTCTCGCCCATGGTGTCAAGCAGCGAGGATGATCGTTTCTGTAAGAGATGCAGTGCAACACAGCACGGATGTCCAATTCACTCCCCAAATAGTGGCTTGTGCTTCCGGCGGGTGAGCTGCATATCGCCGAGCGCGACGACGGTCGTCCAACCAGTCCGACAGCGCTTGCTGGTGTCGAAGGGGCGGGACGGGAGCCTCTCACGCTCACCGTCTGCGAGGATAAGAACGTGGCGGTCCCCGTCCAGCATGCCAGCCAATCTGCCTGGGACGAGAGAAGGACGCAACAGAAAACATGGCCCCACCTTTTGGATGAGTTGTCACCCCCAGCGCTACCCCCGTATTGGTCGGAGAGGGCCTGCTCACCGGATGCGCCCTTGTGTTTTTGGTTTTTGAACTCCCCCACCCGCCTTCGCTCCTCTTTTCTCCCTCACTCCTCGCACCTCACCGCCAACACTCAACGTTTTTCACCACCGCAACCATCGCTAATTCAACGCCCTTTCGGTGCGATATTTTCTGCAACAATTATCCAGAATTTTTAGAGGCAGCTCAGAGCCCTTGCTCAGGATGACAATTCGGAGCCCAGACGGAGCCTTTACCAGGTACTTATTGCCCGCCGGTCTTTCCCCGAGTCGTTTTGTGCAATTTGATGAGTTTGAATTTTCTTTATCTTAGCATCTTGTATCGAGCAAACTATGTATTTTCATCGTTAATTATTTCATTCTGTTACACCGCCATCACAGCACCAAAGGCCTTTGAAATTACCAGATTGGACAACGCGGGAGTGGGTACCGTAAGATTAATTCCTGTCCAAAGGATTTCCCATGGCCCCTTGTTTTCGTTCATGTTTCTCTATCAGTTCCTCGGACAGCCCAGCACATAGTTCTCACTGTTTTCTCGTCCGGATGCTAGATCCTGGTGTCCGACTGCCCATGCAGCGGCCGTAGATTCGACATTTCCAAGGTCCTGACTTGATGCACTGGTCTCGGGGTTCTTTTTAGAGCACCTCCGATACCGGTTAGCACAAGAATCGAACCTGCACTAGGTACGAGGTTACCGTCGTGTCCAACTCCGGACGGCCCTCTGTGAACAACTTGTTATCCTGCGATACCGCGGAGATTAACTAGTCGCATAATAGCGATGCCGTCCACAATGATTACGTGCGACTGAGCAAAGCGACAATCGACAAGCCAGCCATTATGGAGCTAGGACTACCTAGGTTTGAACTATTCCTACTGGAAGTACCACATCGGATCTGCCACAAATGGACATTTCCAAATGGAACAAGCCAGGGAGATCATTGCCCAGGATTCAATGCCAGAGGAGGTCTTTTGCCGTCGAGGGTCGCTGGTCGATGATTTGGAGTTTTGGATGGCGGTGTTACGAAGTACGTAAACAAGGCTGATGCTTGCCTGTCCTGTCCACCCAACTCCATTGATGCTTAGACTGACTTGTAGCGTGCTTGTTGAAGGAAGTTCGAGAGTTCTTAGGACATTCGCGCGGTTTGATTTCCCTGTTTTCATTTCCTGGAGCCCTACGTTTGTCCTTTCCTATGCCGGATCAAGGTTATTTTCCAGTTGAACTCCTAGGACTTTCCCACATGGACATGGAGAACCCCAATAACCCCCAAAGCCTTGTCACAAAGCGAAAGATACCCTGCCAAATGAGAAATTTGACCTGCGGGCTTGCTCTCTGAAATTGGCACACTGTTTCTGGTGCGTACCCGTTGCTTACTGCTCGCTTCTCACTGTTGCAATGCTAATCCGCTGTTGTGGGTAGGACCTTCCCGGCGCTGGCGGAGCCAATTCGTACTAACATGGCGATTTCCTTCTGTACACAGTCATGACTATCTTCGTTCTATAATGTTTCTGCGCATCTTGTGTTCAGGCACTAACTCCCCCTTTTAGCGAGTCTTGTTTCGACGCTTTACCAGAGAATATTTCCTATTTTACTCCAGCCGTGGACATTGCCAAGTGGACTGAGGACGTATCAGGAGCCGCTATTCCCCCACAGGATTTCCTTTTTTCTTCTCCAGATCCCCAGGACATGAGTGGTCCGGATGCTATCGAATTGAAGCATGATACAGCTTCTGTATACAGCATGGACAGCGCATACCAAAGCCAGACAGGCGCTGACCGGCGCGGAAACACTGTTCCAGAAGGATTTCAATCGCTTACCCCACAGGATACCCGGAGTCGTGTGAGCAGTCAGTTCCTACGGAGCGACATATACTCGCCAACTCTTAGCCCCGACAACTTTAATGCTTTCCCGGAGCAGCATACCGACATGACTCAGATACATCTACCGTCCGCAGCCGAAGAGCCAGAAATTGGAGGGATCCCATTCGGGTATTCTAATTACTCCGCTGGACAGGACTTTACCCAGTTCTCAACCACTAGTGTACCTCGAACCACATCAGCGAGCGGGATGGACATTGGCTCCAACTGGGTTTTCGCTGACTCACACAATTTCAGCAATTCGTACGATTTCTTGTATCCCAAGTCATCGCACAGCCTCGAAGCAGCGCTTTACCCGAGCCAAGACCCAGGAGAACTAATGTTCACGAACACTGTCCCTCAGCAGAGGACTATTCGCAAACCTCCACCGCAACTCGACACCAACATTCGTTCTACCAGTGTCCGAGGCTCCTCTTCGTTCTCTACAAACCAACGGGATACGCGGCCGCCGTCAACAAACGATCCAACTTTTGGTACCTTCGTCATGTCTCCGACAAGTTCCGTAAATGTCCAGTTGTCCATGAATACGGCAGCTGATTTTGAAGAGCGACGTTTTGAAATCATGTAAGGAGGTTCCCTCTGAAGTATAATCCTACTTGTATTGATATATGTATCTAGAACCGAGAAGGACGATACCGCGTCTACTTCGTTAGCTGCTCGATCAGTGAATGATGAAGACGAATCGATGTCCCCATCCGACGCCGCCGAAGCTAAGAACATGGATGATGAACAGGGCAAAGTGGCTCGCAGCCATCCCCTCTACCAGGCGAAGCCAGACGAAAACGGAAAATACCACTGTCCCAATGAGGGTAAATCCGGCTGCAACCACGTCCCTACCACTCTTAAGTGTAACTACGAGTAAGTTGACTTGCATAACAGGTGTCCTGCTGTATACTGATATAGATATAGTAAATACGTGGACTCCCATCTGAAACCTTTCCGCTGCAACAAGAAGGTTTGCGTTGGCGTCCAATTTTCTTCCACTGCTTGTCTTCTCCGACATGAGCGAGAGGCCCACGGAATGTATGGGCACGGATCAAGGCCTCATCTCTGCCAGTACACGGACTGCGAGAGGTCTCTGCCCGGAAATGGTTTCCCACGTCGATACAACCTTTTCGACCATATGAAGCGTGTTCATGACTGGACTGGTCCGACCGCGGAGCTATCCCCTCCCGTTACCACTGGGAGCACCCGGAAGCACACCACGCGGAAACGCCGGTCTACTGCCGATGAGGGTACAGAGAGGCGCCACAAGATAACCAAACCAGACCCTCAAAAGCAACTTCAACAACGACGCCAACAACTTAAGCAGGACTTCTTGAGCAAGAAACAGAGTATCATTAATATGCTGACAAACCTCACCGGTCCCAATGACTTGATGGAAGATATTCAGCTCACCAAGGAGGTTATTCTTCTCCACGATATCTCCACCGAGTACAAAAAGAGTCTTGGCTGAACGGCGTGTGTTTAGGAGACCATGTCTATTGTGAACAAGACTTATAAGGTTTGTTCTCGTCCTAGACCTGGATCTACTGGATGCTCTTACCCACCTGGGTTTGCAAGACATTTCGTCTGCATGCCTTGTTTTCATCCTCTGCTGCACGCATTGATCTGCCTTCATAGACTCTAAGGCCGCAACTGCCCCCATGTCGGATGGATGCTATTCGCTCCCGGATATACCGCCATAAGCCATGCAAGGACAGGCCGTTATTCCAACCCATTCCACAAATGGACCGAAAGTTTCCATGGATTAGTTGCCTCGAGTAACAAACCCTTTTGAAGGACCCAAAGGACTTCAGTCCTGATTATGCAAAGTAATGACATGAGTTGTATGTGGCTCCTTGTATGAAATTGTTCTAGATGACCGATATAATCGTTTCGTATGTTGTTTTAATGGAGTTCTGGATTTGGGATGCCGAGACGAGTAGTGTTTTCTATAGTGTGTAGCGTCGTCGACCTTATGCAGACGGGAGATTAATTGTTTGATTTAAATGTAGTTTTCCACGTATAGACCAATTGCTAAAACTGTAATGAAATTTTTTGCCCGACATACAAGTGATTATTGTGATCTTTCCAATGTCCCGAATCACCAAATCCAGACCAGTATGCTTTGTGATAAACATGGGGATCTCGCTCGTGCTCGACCTGATCTGGAAGTCCGAGGGCCGACGTCATGGGCCGTGCACCACCACGCCACCAGCCTCTTCAACGTGACGGAACACCTCGGAGTTTCTGGACAGCAAAGGAAGGTGGGCCTTGGTCCATCGAGTCGCACACGAAGCCTGCTTTGAAATCTTGCAACGGGTTCTGCTTCACATGACATGATCCGGTCGCTAGACGCGTTTTGCACTGCCTCTCGGTTAACTGCTCCTAGACACTGTGTCCGTGTGCATGCTCGACATCGAGGGGTTTTGTCACTTGGACGGGCTAGTCATCACGTCAATAAAGCTTGCAGATCGACACAACTGTTGCAAAGAAACAATACCAGCTTCTCGACGTCTATCACGACTCGGACATTACAGTTGCAGTTACAGAAGACTCGATTCGGACAGCAGATAAGAAACATGGCATCTGCGACCACCTTTTTCGAATTCACGCCGAAGGACAGTATGTTGGGGCCTCATGCATCACTGTCTGTATTCACTGCTGACTTTTGTTGGCAGAGAAGGGTAATGCGTTCCCGCTCTCAGAGCTCAAGGGTGGGGTCGTGCTTGTCGTGAACACGGCCTCGAAATGCGGGTTCACTCCTCAATTTGCTGGGCTTGAGAAATTGTACCAGGTCTGTTCTGCTCCCCTATGCCTCCGCTATACATGCCCATCTTTCCTCTGGTCTGGCTTGAAGATTTCGGCGGACCACCGAGATAAAGCTTGTTTGGAAGTGACATGAGAAGATAACAAACTGACTTTGGGGCGATATATAGGACCTGAAGACGACACATCCAGACTTCACGATCCTTGGCTTCCCTTGCAACCAATTCAACGGTCAAGATCCAGGCTCAAACGACGAGATCCAGAGTTTCTGTCAGATAAACTACGGCGTCACTTTCCCCGTCCTCGGAAAGATAGATGTACGCAACCCTCTCTTTCTTCTCCCCCTTGTGCTAGACGCTGAGAAACACTGTACCATACGACTGTGTCATAAATTAATACTCTTGCATAGGTCAACGGCGACAATGCGGACCCCGCGTTTAACTGGCTCAAGAACGAGAAGCCCGGGCTTATGGGCCTGAAGCGCGTGAAATGGAACTTTGAAAAGTTCCTAGTCGGTCGGGATGGCAAGGTCAAGGGGCGGTGGGCCAGTACTACTAAGCCGGAGCAGTTGAAGGACGCAATCCTAAAGGAGTTGGAAAAAAAGGCATAAAGGAGGGGCATTTAGATCCCACGCTCTGTTTGGCTGGCACTGGCACTAGCATTGGCACCGGTATTGGCATCGGTATTGGCACCAGGATAGATGGAATGGGTCGGAATAGTGTGAAAGAATCTCCTCTTCTTCGGAACACGACTTGGTTCTGTTTACGTTACATGGGCACCCACCTAGGGAGATGTACTTCTGTGTCTTGGACAGTGTACTTCCGAACGTGGGCTAAAGGGACTGAGTTCAACATCTTTGCCCTCGTACTGGTGGAATATCAATAAGACTTAGTCATCCACGCTCAATGTCAAGAGACGGCTTGATATGAGTTCGCTTACTTCCCTCCCTGACATCATAACCCCCAAGAATCATGCGCATCTCCATCTTCGTTCATCTTTCGTTCATCTTTACATACTACGTGCATCACACCGCTCACTGCTTTCAGGAACCTCGTTCCGGTGGCCACAGCACTATGGAGCCATGGTTCTGATCTATTCTGCGTCGCATCTTCAGCAACAAGCACGGAACCATCTCACCGATGCTGACAAACTAAACTGAGATACAAGGTCTGGAAGAAGGGTAAATGAAACGCATGTCACACTGCAGATTGCCTTGGGGATGTGTACATGGTTCCTAGATCCGGCGTCTTGGATTAGGGTAAAAGCAGGTCCCTGATCGGATTTACGTGCACACAGAGGAGGGGATAGATGGAGCCGGATCGTGGTTCATCGTTCATCATCCGAAGGTCCCGAGACTGGTGTTGTGGCCCGAGAATGGATGAATGCTGAGCGGGTAGTCGGGCCGAGCCCCGGGCCAGAGCTTGGAAGCGCAAGCCCTCATGCATCGCTCTTTGACAGACAATCAACCTACAACACCTGCACTCACGTTATCTTCCTCAGCAGGCACCATGAGCGTGTCACACTCCCTGCCAACCCATCCACCCGACCTGAGCGCCAAAATCCCGAAACTGGTTCCCCGCAAACGCGCACCGCAGCGGGACGTAGAGAGTGCCCCGCCCCCCCCACCTACACCAGCTCTTCCCCCCCCCCCAGACCTCACGAACCATACGTATGAGACGCCATCGAGGAGGATACTAAGCCCGGCGGACCATGAGTTGTTCCTTAAGAGTGAGACTTGTACGCTGGTTGAGGCGTGGATATTTGGGCTCAGCGATGCGGTGAGGGATCGGAGTATCAAGAGTGTGAAGGAGGGCGATGCGTCACCTGTTGTCCAGACAATCCTGAGGATTATAAAGGAGGTAGGGGGCATACTGGAGAGATGTCCCCCCGAAGATACAGGCTCCCGGTTTGGCAACCCTGTCTTCAGGACGTTTATCAACGAAATCGGTGCCGCCCTTCCAGAATGGCACACTTCACTCGGCCTCTCCAACTCCCCCCAGATTACTGAAATCTCCACCTACCTCCACAACGCCTTCGGCAATAAACGCCGCATCGACTATGGCAGCGGCCACGAACTAAACTTCTTCCTCTGGCTGCTGTGCCTAAACCGCATCTCCCTCCTCCCATGCTCAGCCTTCCGCTCTATCGTCCTAACCATCTTCCCCGCCTACCTATCCCTCATGCGCAAAGTGCAATCAGCATACTACCTTGAGCCGGCGGGCTCACATGGCGTGTGGGGACTAGACGACTACCAATTCCTCCCGTTCCTATTGGGGGCCTCGCAGCTACTACACCATGCATACATCACCCCCAAAGCAATCCACAACGCGCTCACGCTGGAAGAATTCTCACCGGAATACTTGTACCTGGATCAAGTGAATTTTGTCAATAGCGTCAAAAACGTCGACGGCTTACGCTGGCACTCCCCCATGCTCGACGATATATCGTCCGCAAAGTCCTGGTTGAAAATAGAGAGCGGCATGCGCAAAATGTTTATCAAAGACATTCTGCACAAACTTCCGGTTATGCAGCATTTTCTCTTCGGATCCTTGATCCCTGCTGTCGAGGGCATGAGTACAGAGGAAGAGTGGGGGGTGAGTAGAGAGGAGGATGAGGCTGAGGGAGGGGAGGTCAAGGTTTGGACAGATGAGGAGGGGAAGAGACATGTGCATGCGAGTACTGGGTGGGGAGATTGCTGTGGGATTCGAGTTCCTGCGGCGGTGGGGGCAGAGGGGGAGATGAGGAAAGTCGGTAGGGCGGGTGGGCTGAGGAGGGTGCCTTTCGATTGATTGAGGATGCGGGGGTAGAGTTTGTGTATTACTATGGATTCTAGGCTAGGTCTTTCAGGTTGCATGGTATGGAGTAAGTTTGATCAATCCGAGCGGGTCCTTGGTAGAGAATGTTAGACGTATAGATGGTACATACTATCTCTCACTCGTCTCACCAGTCAAAATCGTCAAAGGAGTCAATTCAGTCACATCCAACAGCCATCCTCCCCCCTTCTCTTTCTAAGAATATATGGTCGCCTTAGGTGGGACGATTCCTTGGTATCACATCACATTCATTCGTTCGCAATCCAGACCCCAAATCCAAAGTCTCTCTCCAACAAGTCGAAACAAGATAATCCATCAGAGTTAAATATCATATCATACATACCAGAAACCAAAGCAATTGCCTCCTAAAACGCCATCTATGCTGAGTAATCATGCATGCAAGCTCTCAAAAGATATCTCAGCCCATACCCGGATTCAATGCAGCCAGTACCTGTAGTAGCCAGCCGGCCAGCCATGTCTTATAACTCTGTGCAGCCTGTATGCGTGTATGACGAGAATGCCTCCCATATTGCGCTACTAGCCAGGTAGCTAGTCGGCGTAATGAATGCCAAAAATCCTAAGCCTAAACCGAAGCTCAAATCCAAGTCCAAAAGCGTGGTGTACACGGATCTACGTTGAACGCCTTGTTGAAAGCTGCAAACCATAGGGGGTAGAGGAGGAGGGTTTTAAAAAAAGATGTTGTGGTTGTGTCTCACTCTCACATGAGATTCAATCTGAGGTCTTCATTCTCGAGACGGAGCACGAGGTGTAACACCTATTCATCAATATCACTCCCACTCTCCTCAAGTTTCTTCCTTCTCTCTTCATCCATTTCCTTATAAGTTGCCCAACTGAGCAAGATAAAAGCGCCGATAATAAGCAGCCCACCAACAATGGCAGCGGGCGTAAGAGGAGAGTTCAAGGGTGGGGGAAGGAGCTGGTCGACGATTGCGACGATGAAAATGGTCAGAAGGGCGGCGACAGAAGATAGGACCGGGGAAGTGAGGGAGATTAGGACGAGGAAGGATCCGGAGAAGGCTAGATTGGCGTGCTGTTAGTGGGTGGGAGGGTAAGTGGCACAGGAGAGGGATTCTGGGGAGGACGTACTGGCATTGGCAAGGACAGAGATGGCCATCATCCAGGCCTGCTCGCCTCGAGGTAGACCAAACTCCTCCCAGCCCGTGTAGTTGAGAAGTGGCAAGGGGATCCAGAGCACTGAGAGGGTGAAGGTGCCAATGAGGCTCCCGAATGTATTTGCGAAGATCATGCCGCGCCCTGGGGAACATCCATCGGGCGGACAGGCGAGTCTCTTATACAGCACTTCGTAGAAGCCATACAGCACACTCCCAATTCCTATGACGAGGTTTCCGAGAGCGCGAGCATTGGCTTCGTGAGAGGGAGGTGCTTTGTCGCCGCCCGCGCCGCCCCCGGATTTCGACCCGTGTTTCGCGGGCGCTTTGTCCCCGTACGCCACGACGAAGACGCCCATGATGGCCACGGCTACGGCAAGGACTTTGGAGAGGCGAACTTTTTCGTGGAGGAGAGGGATGCTAAAGGCGTAGGCGAAGAAGGCGGAGCAATTGTAGATGGCCGTCAAGTCGCTAGCCGTGGTCATGTTGACGGCGACATACCAGCTCCCACCTGCTACGGTGAGGGCACAGGTGACGAAGGCCGTCATCTTAAGCATATACGGGATGGGAGAGTGTTGGGATTGGCGGACCGAGGGGTGGAGGGTTTGGTGTTGCACCATAAGGGCGGTTTGGCGGAGGATTTGGACGTGGCGGCGCCAGAAGGTGTGCCACGGCGTGTTCCAATTTTGAAGGCGGAGGAGGAGGAGTTGGACGGGCCATAGGAGGACCCAAGAACCGTGGGTCATGTATCTAGTCGGACGTCATCAGCACCCCGTGTACCCACGACACAGTACAGTACTTTCACGGCCTTGAGAAGGAGAGAATTGTCTTACAGCATGCAATATGGCTTCTCCCATTTCAGCTCGTGCTGAATATAAACCGCCGTCTCCGTCTGCACCGTAAAGCTCACCAAGCTCAGCGCCAAAAAGATGGCCGCATACGTATACCGTCTCCTCGTTTCGAACCTGGCCTGGCTCTCAGGGTCCCTTTCATGGAACGTCGACCGCCTACTCAACGGGGCCTGCGGGCTGGCCTCACCCCTCTTGTGATTGTGCCCTAGCAGCGGCGACGAATGGTGGTCTCCTCGCTCTAGCTCGGGGCGGAGGTCTGAAGGCATGGTGACGGTGCCGTCCTGCTCATCCCAGTCCTCGAAGTCGAGGTCCGAGGTGCTGCTCTCAGGGCTCTCGGGCTCTTTGAACCTCAGCTCTCTTTTATTCTGATTCTCTTCTGTGGTTATGCGTGAGGGGATGTCGGAGAAGGGCGTCGAATGCCTCGAGCTCGCTTGTGAGACCAGCACAGGCGAACTAAAGGTCCTGCTCGCGTTGTCCTCTTGGTCTGGGGCGTGGTCGGTGGGACGTAAGTTTGTTGAAGGGGGAGGAGCTGTCTTCCAGAGCGGGATGGATTCAGTAGGCATCCAAGCGACTGTGAGGAGACGGCCGCAGGGGCTACGGAGCGTGTGGGATGCGTGCCTAGTGTGGCTGATGATATCTCAATGTGGCCCTGGGGATGCAATGGTCGCACGTCAAGGCCAAGCCATGCAGGCATGCATCGTCGGGAGCACCAGGGCCCATCGTTGGCGAATCGCACGCCTCAAAATGGAAACGATGGGGTGCGGATTCCTGGCCGTGCCAGCTGCAAAAGCCGGCTTGCCGCGTCTGACGCGAAGCAAAGTGAAAGGTAAGTCTTCTTGAATCGTACTCGTTCTCTGAAAGACAAAAAGACAGACATGCTGTCAAATGACCCCGGTCAATGTCTGGTGACTTGTCCGGACGGTTTATGTAAGCGGGCATCCACGTCCATGAGCAGTTCACCACCCACCTTTGGCATATGAGAAAGGTACGGATGACCATACCAGGAGCGTCGGCGAGTGACGTCTCATTTGATGCCATATAGCGTCAGTTGCACATGGGAAGGTACCTAGCTCTCCAAGGGAATCCGCATTTACATTCCTCTTCATCAGGTTGTCCATCATCATTGTGAAATCTATCATACAGACGCTTGGGCTTGCCTCCAGTCATCATCGTTCAAACCACCTGCAATGACAGGTACATGGCATGTATCCAGAGAAGTCCACCTCCCCTCGCTTTGAGACAACAGAGAGGACAAGTTTGAGAGGAGGTCTACAAGGGACTTGCTTCTAACCCCTCCGCCATCTCTGCCATAGCGCCCTCCTGGAGCTCGTTCAATATCTCTGGCAACATTGCTTCAACATCTTCTTCCCTTTCGCCTAGCGCTTTGGCAATCAAGCTTTTGTAGACAGCTTGCTTTTCGCCAATACCTGCGACCGACATATTGGACACAACCTCCTTGACCAATTCTCTCCGCTCAAGTTGCGCTCTATGCAGAAGTAAGGAGAGCCTCATTCTCTCATTAAGATCGACGGTGGAGCCTGGGGGTGAAACGCCTGATCCAGAGTGGTCATGTTGCGGGACCTCTGCACACAAGTGCCTCAACATATTCTTCTGCTCAACTTCTAGTAGACTCTCTGCCTCCTCAACTAGTAACCTAAGCTCCTCTTCTTGCGCTCGGTCAGCTTCTTCATCACCTAATCCAGAATTGTCCTGCAGGCTGTGGTTCATGCTGACTAACTCTGCAACCTGCTTCCGTATCGCTTCGATTTCAGCTTGTCGCTTCTTGACCACGCGTTCGGCATCTAACGACTCCGCTTCTTTCTCTTGGAGCTCGGATTCGTAGGCTGCCGCCAGCTCTTCGCACTTCTCCAGCAATGTAGGCGCGACCTTCGTCATGAGATGCGAGGCAGTCTGTGAGCGATATTGTGCTGGCTCGCGCACCGCGAGGCTAGGGAATGGGAGTGGGATCAAAGGCACTGGCCCATCAATCTGGCTTCCGTGTCCATTGATCCTCTGCTCCGGTGGCGGCGCAAACGGTGACGAAGAAGCTTGTCGCGGTCTGCCATGTAATCTCCTCCGTTGATTAAGCTCCCGAATAAGGTCGTCGGCGGTTTCCCCTCGCTTGTTCGGTATATCAACAGCGACATTCCGCCCGAGTAGACTCCTCACACATTTCCTTGCCCCATTGCGGGCCGCAATCATGATGGCTGTATCTCCGTTCTGATCCTGCATATTCAGCACCCGTGAAACTTCGTCAGGGATCCAGGTTTCGAGTAGTTTGTTCATAATTTCGTCCATATAGTACCGTGCGCACACAAACTTGTTAGTGCTACTTGTCGTTGCTGCAATATGGTGGAATACAGTGCTGCCAAACCAATCCGTCCGTACGACAGTCTGCGCCAGTATCTTGACCATTTGCGGCATGGTCTTTTTGTCATGATTATTAGTAAACATGACCGCTCTCATCAGTGGGGTCTCGAGATTGTTTGATAGGCAGTCTATGCGCGCCCCCCGTCGGAGCAGCTCCTTCACCACCGCAACGTCACCCATAGCGGCCGCCCAATGCATAGCCGAATGCCCTTTTTCATCAATCGGCCTGTCAAGATTGACGTTGGTTGGCGGTTCAGGGGGGTTAACGAATTGATCGTCGGAATCTAACAACATGAAATAGTCGAGCAGTGCATCAGCCCAAATCTGGTGTTGCTGGTCTTGGACAGACATCTGGTCGGCGCCTCGTTTGCGCTTGCGGCTGCCAGTAGAATACTGCGAGGCATGGAGCATGTCCTGGTCGCCGAGCATGGATTCCGAGACCACCGTGTCATTGTCGGGCGTCTCTTCGCGGTAGGGGTGGGGCTGTGACTGTATCTGGGAGTCTTCATACTGCTCCTCGCTGACTTGCGATTGCGAATTGGCGGTTACGAAGGCTGCGCAACTCGTTAGCTTCTGTCTAGCAGAGAGGGACGAAGGCGAAGGAAGGTATCCGCCTACACTGCAGACTTTCAAGTGAATATATGTTATTACCGTTTCTCCTGGCCGCAGCAGCGCTCTGTCTCGGGGCTTTGGGGCGGTTGCTGGCGGCCGTGGCATGCTTCGGAGCGGGCGGCGGGCTCCTGTCGCCAGGCACGAAGTCGAAGATGGGAAGGAGCTTGTGGAGGACTTGGTTGCGCTCTGCCAGCAACCGCCCGTCGTGGAGTGGCACCCATGTTCCTTGATACTTTCCGTACCCGCCCTGCACCTTCTCATGGACGCCCTTCTGGACTTCGCGCTCGAGGATGCGGGTTCGCGCTGGCTTGTCGAAGTCGGCGACCTTGAGGATGTGGGTGGCGTTGATCCAGTCGTCGGCGCGACGGCGCATTACATGGTTGCCGGCGACATTGAACTCGTAGACAGGCACCTGTGAGGCCATCAGTCTTGCTCTGTAGCAGCAGCCATGGCCCAGGGGAGTCGTGATGCGCCCAGGCAAGATGCAAGCGCTGCGAGCAGGCGGGCTGGGGGTGGGGGAGGGGGGGAGGAGGAGGAATGCGCGCAGCTCTTACATTGCTGTATGTAGCCGAATAAATCTTGCCATCGGGCGCCGGTGGCATCGTGTCCTGTCCTGTCCCTAATAGTAATGGCGCAGAGGCTCGAGGGGGAGGTGTGATTTCGCGATGAGGGTGACGCGCACATTCGCGTTCACTCGGGCCTCAACCGCCAACCGCCAAGCGAGGCGTCGGGGCGCCAGAGCTCTCTACCCCGACCCGACCTCACCACCACAACTTGGAACACCGCTACTCCTCCGGCTTCACACCCCCGTCGATTGAAGAGTCAGAGACAACAAAGCCACAATGACTGTCACCGAGAAGATAAAGGAGGCCGTTGGCATTTCCGGCGAGACCAAGCAGAGTATGTGTGCCACGCTCTGCCTCCTAATTGGCTGCATGTTCCGGCAAATCCCCTCGACTGACTTGAGGACGCAGAAGCTACCCGTGAGGAGATGAGCGCCGCCCGACTGCCGCTGCCGTATCGAGATTCATGCGCACATCTGCTGATTCCTCTGAACCGCTGTCGATATGAGGAGTTCTACTTGCCGTGGAAGTGCGAGGTACGAGGGCCACAATCGGAGGGACAGGCAAGGATGTGCTAATCCGACACATACAGGACGAGCGACACTCGTATGAAAAATGCCAGTATGTCGAGTTCAAGCAGCGCGTGGCCAAGATGGAGGAATTAAGGGCAGCCAAGGCCGGAGCCAGGAGCAATTGATGGAACACCGAAGGCCTTTGGATAGGGATATCGATGGCCGAAAAATCGTTGTGGACCGACGCTGCATGTATATATTCGCAGCTGAATCCGTGTGTACACCAGATCAGGGTACTTCGAGACCAATTACTATCATACTACGTCTATTTTTAAATTGGAACTAGGGGAAGAATCCTGCACACTCCCTATTACAGTGACCCGCACTCCCACATGATGATTATAGCCTCGCACATCGAACATAAAGGCCACCATATCAACACAAAACTCCAAAAAGCAGGTGAGATATTACTAAGTAGTCCTGCATCTTGTCACCGAACGCGGAACACAGCTAAGGAGATTTAACACAGAAATTGGCAACCTAATGACTTTTAATATTATTCTAGCAAGGAGATTAACCAATGGATTACTCTAAGCATGTTCCACGTTATGTGATAACAGGCTGTACAAGTTGAATTCAACATTAGGTGATTACAATATACATTGGTATGGATGCACCTTTTCTACCCAAACTCCGGCATTCGGTCGACCTAGAAGTTCTAATGTAACCACACGACTAACTAACGCTAAGGAATACTGCTCCCCCACAAAATTTTTACAACTGACAGACCAACATGGAGCCAAAATTTGTTTATCCACGCTAACAAGTTCACATAGCTCACGCCAGAAGCTCCACGACGGGCTAGGCGTAGGGGAGGCGGAAGCACTCGCCGGAAGCTATTACAGTCTGAAAAATCGTTGCATTTGAAACCGAGACGGTGGGAGAAGATGAGGGGTGGAGTGCATCGTCACCCGCCCAATAAGCATCGAGTGCGGAGTAAAACTTCAGTTTCTTTCCCATGATGATAGGCATCGGAACTGTAGAACCACGATAGCTTCTTCACAATAGCGTCTGAGGCGTAGTCAGCAGGGTCGATGTTCTTGGGACGGTATTCAGGTTCCATAGGATCGATTAGGTGTGTTGATTCACCGTAACCCCATTTACCTAGTTGGGTTACGTTGAAGGCGACGAGCATGCTATTATACGTTAGTCTTATATGTACGTAGTAGCTGTTATGATGAAGAGGAAAGGCTTACTCATGATCCTCGTGAACCAGGTTGTGGCAGTGGAACATGCTAAGATGTACAGTCAGTCTCCGCTAAGGTATTGAGGAGTCGGGGGATGTCTTACTAGACGCCGTCCCAAGGTGCGTAACGAGCTGCAACCCGGACTGTTCTTCAAAGAAGTTAGGGAGCGCAAAATGCTGACCAGGAGTAAAAATACTCACTCGCCAGCCGCTAGCCACACAACATCCTTTAAACCAGCGGCTTCATACGGGTAAACTGTATTACGCCCACCGGTACGAGACAAAACTTGGAAGTCGACGAGATGGATGTGGACAGGGTGTGTCCCCTGGCCACTATTATGCAGTGTCCAAACCTCGACCGCTCCTCTTGGTGGCTTGGTCAGAATACGGTGTTCGACGTCCGAAAACCCCACACCGTTGATAAGCCACTCATCGCCAATACGCTCAAAAGTGAAGTCTTTGTCCGCTTCGGTCTTGTCCGGTGGAAATGGCACATGTACTAGATTTGAGGGAAGATTGTTGTTACTGTTGTTACTGACGGAGTTGCCGACGGTGAATCGCATAACCATGTCGGTGGCTACATAGTCGATGTTTTCTCCCATACCCCGAGCGTTCTTCATGGTGATGTTCTTGCCCCCATAATTGGAGAAGTCGACAATGATTTCGTAGCGTTCGCCCATAGATATTTGGAGATTAGTTGTCTCGACCGGGTGGGCGAACAGTCCTAGGAGAAATTAGCAAAGCCCACAGCCTTCAAGCTCGCGGAAGCATACCACCATCAGAAGCAATGACATTGAAATCAATGATTTTGTCACCAAAGCCGTCAGTTTTTTCGACTGAGAGGGAAATACTGAAGGCTTCTAAGTTTTAGGACCTGTCCAAATGGATGGTCGGGGAACTCTTGGGGCGACATACTGCGACTGATAGCTCCATTTAGTAACCTAAGTCGGTACTTTCGAGGTTCGACACTAAGATATGGCCACGGCTGGCCATTCCTTGGTAAGTCAGCGATGGCGATTGTGTAGAAATAAAACCACACTCACGCATGAATAATGTCACCCCAAAGCCCAACATTATCATTCGTATCAAATCTCAATGAGCCATCCGGGTTGTAAACTTTAGCATCAATTGCAATCGTGACATCATACTCTCCAGAGGGTAGCCCCAAGCCCTGCTCCTCCACATCGGTGATGATGTAGAAACCTTGCTGTCCCCGATACGTGTCCTCGGCAGTGGCATATTCCGAGTGATCCTATGACCAGTTAGGACTCGGGGGAAGTTCTGACCCTAGGACGCTGTGTCTTGCATATATGCGATGTAGATAAGGAATGCATTCATAGATATGCTATACTTACGTGATACCAGATCGTCCTCGCATTTTGACTGTTTGGATAATAGTAGTCCTGTCAAATGTAAATCCTCACATGTTAGACTGACAAGGCCTCCTTTTACCTTGTACTGACCAGGCAGAGCTATATCACCCGCCCAACCGTCCCAGGGTGCCCGATCTAATCAACGGCTTAGCATCCTTTTGAGAGTGTGGAGGAATTAATACGTACTATATTGACCGTGAACGTGCACAGACAAATTTGTCGGTCCTTTATTGCTGAAACGAACCACAGCCTCTGTGCAACCAATTCACATTAGCACGACAGAAGCTACGAAAACTCGATGCAGAGTGCGTCACTTACCGCGCCCTTTTTGCATAATGAACATTGGTCCAGGTGATATCCCATCGTACCCCACTAACTCGGTTGGCTTGAGGTTTGGATAAATTTGTTTCTGGAAAGATTTCAATTCCACCTCGTAGTAATCAATGGTGTCCTGTGTCGAAGAGTTTGTGTAAGTCCTTCCCGCGTGTTAGAAGCCTGCAGTGCAAACGGTATATCCAATCATACAACTTGGAGCTTTTAATAGGCGCAACTGGCATCGGATATTCGAAGAACCACTCATATGGAGGACTGAGCCAACTTCCGGCCGATCCTGGAACAAAGCCACCTGCCGTGTTCGTGACGCTTGATGACGGGTTTCCTCTTAAAGCTTTGATTTCCGCTTGGGAAAAGGAAGCGAATGTCAACGAAAGACAAGCTAGTGTCCAAACATTAGTCAAGGGCATGTTGAAGGTAAAATGGTTCAGGATAGGAGACGATGTCCTTGCAGCGAGCCTGGGATGATGCATATATACAGACCAGTGAAATTATAAAAGCGTGGTATTGACCTACGATCTATAATTACCATGGTCATCGGCGTACAGACACAGGCTTCGCCGATGGTGTAAAGCGCCACCACATCGCCGAAATGCACAGAGCGCCTGATGGGGGTATTCGGGAATCGCGTAGTACCCATGCATCTTAATTGGCGGAGTGAGCATACGGAAGAACCAGTTGATGATACCTCCAGAGAGAAAGGTTGAAGCAACCACAGGACCATCAGCATTTAGGTATGAAAGTGGAGTCTAGTGCCGCCTAAATGCACGTTTCGATGGAATAACAGCGTTGACATTGCACGAAAGTCAAAGAAGCCTTTGCCACAATCGCCCAAATGAGGACTCCATTAAAGCTCATTCAGACATTCCGGAAGCATAGCCGTGGAAAAGGCAATATGATTCGAAGGCAGTGCTAATGGATCCAAATACTAACAATAGAGGAAATCATGATCAACAGTATTCTACAGTACTTTGCCGATGGAGCCATGGACAAGGAGGAAATTCCCAGACGAGATCATCGGAGATCTACTGTAAAAGTTAGCGCTAACCAAATATGGCACGCTAACATACTGAGAGTTTACTATCGACCAAGCTTGCGGTCTTCCACTCGGTCCCCGCGCCAAACATCGATTTCTTGTCCTCAGCATGACATAGTTAGAGTACTTTCGGTACTAGTATCAGGACAGTCTTGAACAGAAGCTGAAACAACATTGTCTACCGAACAATGGGCTCGAAGGTACGGCAGGAGTGTGGTTGCCGAGGAAACTCATACTGACGACAAATGCTATGTCTTAACTGCTGGATTTCTGATAGATCCCGCGGATCTTCTCTTCGTTTGTGTGACGCCGAGCCTTTCGCTGGTGAATACTCACCGCCTTTGGTTAGCGTCTGCATCTCGCCGGAACAAGTCCTGACTCGTGGCCTAGGTAAAATGTGCCGTTCAATGGTCGCTTCTGGCGCGAACCCTCAAGTATCAATGACGATTTATGATTTACCTCAGACTGGGCTTTACTACCTCATCAGCCCTGGCCCTTACGTACAAACCTAAGACAACGGATAGCACGGGAGATCTGAGCGGATGTACCAAGGTGCCTTTCAAACGTGAAAGTGAACCAATCACCGGCTATGTCCCCTGAAAGGCTCCAAAACTATAACAACGTGTTACCCATATGCTTTTTTCGCATCGTGGTAGGATTCTCTGACCTAGGTTTGTTCTTACCTTCATTTTCGTATGCCAGTTCATGGCTCATCCGATCGGATGTTGTGCAGGAATTATCAAACCCGCGGAGGTACAGCAGCAGCGGTGCAGTGTGGATGCATAGGACTTTACAAAGGTTGTAACTGCATTAAAATCATATTACTTTGCATTCTAACATTTGTACGACAGCTGCAATAGGTAGAACATGTTTCAAGATATCGGCAATTAATAGCTGATTTCCATTGCAATCAGGCCACTTTCAATACTACTACAACAACCCTTCATCATTACCACGTCCAAACCCGTCCAGACTTAGGTCGCGACACTCCAACCCTGACGTTTAATCCCAGATCCAGCACCCGGAAATGTTCATCGAATAGATCCTGCATGCTGCAGATCCGCTAACCCAAACCCCAAAATATACCCCAAGACTAGCCCCCCGTCTAGGGGCATCTCGCAGACCGAATAAGTGCGCTCTGGCATGGAGCGTCATGACCAGCCCCTCCATCACACGTCAAGCTATGATGTGTGGGAGTGCAAGTGTCTTCGGAGAATGTAGATCGTTTGGTGTCACCTATCGAATTGGTTTCACTTAACACGGTGCTACTGCAGGTGCGCGCAGAGAGAGGGGCCGGTAGACAGACACGGGAAGGAAGATACAGAATATAGAGCTGTCGAGACCACGAGCTTGAGAGGAACGTGGGTATGATGACGTAGGGTGGTGGTGATGCACACAATGAGCGGATATTCATTGTTTCCGCATTGAAGATAGTGGTAAACAGTGGTACAGTAAGTATCGGGGTATCAAAGTAAGAAATCTGTAAAGGACATCTCTCATCTCCTCTTATCCTATACCTAACCAGCCCCTCTCTTCAATCTCATCTTCCACCCCTGATATATTATCAAACCCCTTCTCTCCTCAATTCATACCATCCCCAACCCAACAACCTGATCCAACAACCCCCTTTCCTCTCCCTTCGCAGTCTCCAAAACTTTGTCCACAAGATACTCCACCGACTGTTCCCACCCCGGAATCTCGATCCCCAACGCTGTCTTAACCCTTGCAACCTGCATCGCGAGAAAGAATTTCGGCACCTCAATCGCTAGATCCCCACCCTCACTCCTAACCCCCGCTTCCGTTGCTATATACACCTCCAGCTGCTGCTCTAATATCCGTAGACTAGATGCCGAAAGTGGAGTCGCTGTTGCGAAGTTATCTAGCGCGAATCGTAAAGGGGTGGAGGAGGATACGAAGTTTATGTTGGAGAAGGATTGTGTGGAGGTGCTAACATCAGGGACGTTGCCGATTGTCCGGCGGGAAAAGTCGCATGTTATACTGGATGCGAAGGCATTGGCGGCTACTTGGATTTCGGTGGGGAGAGGATTCGAGCCAGTAAGGAAGCAGGGTGTTGTCTCGCGACGATAGAAGAAGGGCACTGTAAGTTATAAGTAGAAGTGGAGTGGATTGAAGGAGGGTGTTGAGGTCTGACTTGATGCTGATTGACGTGCGAATAACGAGATGAAGAGAAGATATATTGAATAAGTATGCATTTCGACAGGAAGAAAAATGAGCCTCAAAGGAAAGGCTGACAGGGTTGCGATTGTCTGCCTTTGGGTCCCTCCCCAACGACCTCTTTCCCCACGTTGAAATCCAGTGGACGAACGAACGACTCCAAATACTCGAAATGGTTGGAATCTGACCAAAACGTCAATATCGCAAACGCAAAATATCAACCCTTAATACCACACGAACTCGCTCCGCGCCGCTGCTTTGCCTTCCCTCTGTCTCTCCCTCGCCTCGTACATAGCCTCATCCTTCCAATTCAGCCGGCCCCCAATTCTCCATCCTCGATGCTACCCATCCTCCCAACACCCTCTGTACCCTAAAGCCCCCTCCCTTCCTCTGCGCTCGTATCTAACCGAGCCAACCCTGTCGTTAATTCGCCTCAGCTTCGCCCCAGTTGTTGGTGTTTCAAGGCCGTGTGTACGCCCAGATGTCGTTATAAACTCGAGGTTCGCCTAGAATAATCTCCGTCTACTGTGCAAAGGCGGGCGGTGCAAACTCCAGCGCCTACCTGAGATTGCAACAACCCTTCTGTCGTGCGAAAATTGCTTGGCTTAGTCTTGAGGCTTCAGCTCCAAGGCATCGTATTCCGCATCGATGCATTCCTTACATGGAAATCATTATTCACATTACGAGTGCGTTGGTTCAGTCAAGTCTGAATCAAGGGATTAAGATGTGCGAAATATTATTTCGTAATAAGCCAGAGACGTGGGAATTCCAGTGAGCGAGGGAGCGGAATTGATTTTGAAGCCCACCGCATACGACGATGGGGAGGGAGAATAGAAAACTCCTCGACGCAAGAAGGAATGGGATGGTACTTGGTAAGTTTTCGGATTTGAACATTTGAACACCATGGGCGCCATCTTTTTCAGGCTTGGCATGACGGAACAGATTTACTGCCTGCTGTGAGACAAAAATAGTACTGAGTTAGCGTTGTATTGACCTTCTTTTTACTTTTGCTTTTGCGTGCTATTCGGGGGTATATTAGATTCCAGATTGCCCAGTTCATTCCTGACAGTCGTCGGTACGCTGTCATCTACCATTGATGCGAGCAAGTCTAACAGCTAAAAAGGTCAAGGAAAAGCCTTGTAAACACTGCCAATGGCTTCTAAATAGTCGAGTTAAAAACACTTGAATGCTTCCCTACACTTCCTTTTATATTTACTACTATATCAACGCCCGAGGTCTCCCTCGTTATGAGGCTGGTTTTGAGTTTTTTATTAGGAGAGCTCGAATGGCGTTAGGCATAAATTCTAGTTCTTTAAGGGTTTAAACGGATAGTCCTGAATTCGGAATTCCTCAAACTGTCTCGACACCAACAACAGAGAAACCTATTACCCCTTACACCTCCTTCTCCCTAGCGAGATGCTGGACTCTGCCTTGGGCGTTGGCGAATAATAAAATGTCTTGAGCAAACCTGTTCTTATGTTTACAACAAGCGTAAAATCTCGTCTCTTTCCCTCCAAACGACGTTCAGCACACTATCGACTCCATTCGACGCCTGCTCTCTTATCGCCATTTTCAAATCCACCAAACCCTTGTTCCCACCTTCGACTATCGACTTCACTTCTGGTCCAACAGGTCCTGCCACTAAGTACGCATTAGTAAGGGTCAAACGGGAGGGGTGTGTGTGCGCAGTGGGAGAAGTATTGGGAGTATAGTGTTAGAGTCCATCCGATTAGCACCAGCATTTGTCCTCCTCTCCCCACCACAGCGTCTCACAACGTCGGTCGTCGTTGCCAATGGAAGAGCAAATGCTGGGGCAGAGATCAAGATCTTTTATCTCACATAAACTCTAGAAACCCCCTTGCTTCACTCTCCTCCCTCCTCTCCTACACAACACCCAGCACCCGATGCGCATCCAACGTCCCCGTAATGATCCCTCCAAAATCAAACCCCACACCCTCCGCTCGTCCTAAACCTCCCATATACGCAGGATATATCGCCATTTCTCGTCACTATCACCATACTGTGATTTCTTATATCATTGAAATATGCCCTAGCTGTCTTTACTGGCTTCGGGGTAGAGTTGTTATGGGAGGATTTGAGGAAGGATACGGGGGTATTGGGATGGGAAGAGTGATACTGGGTGGGGGCGCGCATAAGACGCAGGTCTGCTAGGTATGTCCTGTGGTGGTTTAGGTGGGGGAGATAGGTACCAGGGTCAAATTATGTCTACGGTGAAGAATATTGTAATATTGTGGATTCAAATGGCATTGCCAAGTTTACGGATAGGAAACTAGAACAATCAGTGTATGGAAGTTGTAGAGGAGAATGACGAGAAACCTGTGTACAGATCAAGGAAAATACCATCTAATTGAACGAAAGCGGGGGTTCAAGAGCATCGGAATGCAGGCCAAATAGCTTCCAACCGTTGTCATGCGGGGCCAGCTGTACACTAACAATAACCTTAAATCCTTACCTCCGTCCTTCCCTCACGAACCTCTGGGTAGGGTAGCAAGGCTTTTCGACTGCAAGGGAAGGCTACTTAGGGAGTCCAAATGCTGCTCGACTCACAAAAAACGCCCCGCGAAGCGATCGGAGTCAACAAGAATAAACTAAAACCGGGATCTGCTCCTCGTCTCCCACCCAACTGCTGATCGGTCGGTCGCAGCTTAGATATCAGTGACCACACTGGTTTATATCGGCGTCTTATACCTTTGGCTGTATTTTCTAGATTGAGATAGGGAGTCTTCTTATATATGCTTTCCTTGTAGCGAAGAAATGTTGGTCAGTAGAGCTAGACAAGGCCCAGCGGGTTGAGTCAACAATATTGAAATTGAATACAAAGCTGCCTCGCGATACAAGAGCGCAGCGGAATAAGAGTCTTGGAGAGTCATGTCTTTAACCAAAATCGGCGCCTACTGAAGCGTACGAATGGAACAAGTTAGAAATCGATACCTAATGCTGGACTGTACTGCTTGAAAAGGACCACCAAAAACTCCTTCTTACACTACCGCCACCCCTATGAATTTAGTTTGACATAGTTACCTGGCTTTCATTAGAGATTATTCTCCTAGAGGAAAGTAAAAGGCACATACCGGGAAATTGCCCTGTCTTCCCCCTGACTTTTCCAGTCCACCATTCATTGTCGTTTGGAGTCCGGGTTATAATCTCGATGACGTCTCCAGTGAGGAAGCTTAAATCTCCTTCGGCCTGAGCCTCGTAATCATATAGAGCGGTGACAGTTTCTGTAGCGGGCGTGCCGCTTAACCGAGATGGCTTCGGTTTCGGTGGTGGTGGAGCCGCACCCTTTGACTTGGCTACCGAACCCCATGACGTTGCCGAAAGGGGGGGAGAAAGAGAATTGTTGGCTGGACTAGGACTATAAGGAGGTGGAGGAGTTTCTGTGGAATCGGATAATGTGGATCGTCGCGTGGACGGAGCTTCAGATTTGGCTTCAAGGGTTTTCTGGCCGTACTTCAACTGCCCGGGCTTGCGACCGCCTGTAGTTTTGAACTTTGTAATGGAGATAGCTTCAGTCTGTGCCTGGACATCCCCTCTCTTTTTCTCGAACGCGGCCTCAATGTCCAGGGTCAAGTCAAAGTACCCAATGTCAATGCTCTGCATGCGCTCATGTAATGTGTAGAAGACATTCAGCTGCATATAATAGAAGGACTGGAACAGAGGCCGAATGAACTCTCTTTCCAACCTGAAAAGCTTGGGTAGCTCATCCTTGAGTAGGTCGTTGAAATAGTTGAACTCCTGGGTAGCTTGTTCAACGTCATTCTCGGCCTTGTACATGGCCTTTTCATCCTTCAGCGTCTTGTCCTTCTTATCCTGCAACTTCTTCTGGGTAGCGCGATGGCGATCGTAGTCGAGCTGTTTGTGATCTCGCTTGACGGCAATCTTGCGTACGGCCTTGATAATCTCGAGGAGCTCGTCTGCGGGCCGTATTACTCGTGTTTCTATCATCTCCAGCTCGGGCTGCAGTGTGGCTTGAAGTTCCTTGACGATGGACTCGTATTCCTCGCACGCTCTTATGCCTTCTGGGTTTCCCTCTGCTATGAACGAGTCAGGGTCCGACATGCGCCCGGAGATGGGTTTGTAGATTTCTTGTATAGCCTTGGAGAACTCGATTTGATGTGAGAGCATGCCTGTTGGTGAGGAGATTAGACGAGCGCGTCCCGTGTCATTGGAATGTGAATACGAACCATTTATGGCTTCAAAATACCTAGCATGTGTTAGCGGCCATGTTCCTCACCAACACAGAAGGCTGCCCTACTTCTTGGATTCATCGTGGAGCTTCTTCGTCTCCTTTTCCAGCTCCTGAAAGCGTCGCTCGGCATCGGTGTAGACGGGGTCCTTTGTGATTTCGCCCTATACGATTGGTTGGTGTCAGCTCGCTGCCCGATGATGCCGGAAGGCGGCGCGAAGCACGACAACCAGATGTATTTGATCGAGAGAGGTCCGTACCAAATTGAACCGCTGCTTGATGCTTTGCGGGGCCTGCAGACCTTCTCATTAGCCCAGTCCAGCGGGTTGCGAGGCCTGTGGAGGGGAGCTCATACCCGAGTGACACTCTTGGTTATGCCCTTCCAGCTCATTGGTTGGCGATGGTGGTGGGAGTAGTGCTACAAGATATATGCGTGCCAAGGGACGGAGGCCAGGAGCAGTGCGATTGCTAGAGGAAGTGCAGGACGGGGCGGTGGGTGTTGAAAAGGGCAGACGGACGTGGGTCGGTTCTTTCAGGAATCAATCGTCTCTTGTCGCGCCTGGCTATGACGAATGCCAGTCGTGGCTGAGCTGTCCCGTGCACTGTGGCAGACGCTTGGCCGCATTCGGAAGAGGTGCAATGTGATATGTGATGCAGCGCGAAAGCGAATACGTGAAGATGTGCACAACCGCGGAAAGCGTCGCGCGCTGGTGGATATCCTCTGATGAAGAACAACACTCGTGCGCCAGCAGGGCCAGCCAGGCCAGCTAGGCCAGCTAGGCCAGCTAGGCCAGCTAGGCCAGCTTTCTTTGATGCGGGCACCGAAGGCTCCAGGGCTGTTTGCGGAGAGTGAGCAGCCAGCGGACAGCCAGCGGGCAGCCTGCCACCAGGGCAGCCCCTCCTCTCGCTTACGGAAGCAGCTGGAAGCCAACCATCGAACCCAAAAGAAAAGCTTGAGCTCCGAGGCAAATCTCTGCGCGGCTTCACCCATCCCTTCAGTGCCCTTCTCTTCATCGCCATGTCCAACCTGGCACCCACTGCTGCGAGGCAGGCCCTCCGAATATGTTCCCGTCGCTGTCCTTCGAGTACCACTCCACGCTTCTCGTCCCTTCTCGCCCCTTCCCTCGCACATGGCGGGCGCCGAAACTATGTCTCAGAGACGAAGCCCTCGAGTGCGATCGTCAGCGTTGAGACTGCCATCAAAGCCGATCAAAAGGCGTTTCTGAACGAGACAGGCAAGACCCCGCAGGACGAGAAGATGCCCACGACCACCATGAGCGCCAACGCTATGGTGAGTCCTACTGCTGGCACGTCTACCAAGCACGCAACAGTGCCATTTCTCAACGCTGATATGAGCCAGGTATTCTCAAACAGGCGACCATTATGGATGAGGGCTCGCGGCCAATCTACCTGGATATGCAGGCCACGACTCCAATGGACCCGAGGGTGCTAGATGCCATGCTCCCCTTCATGACTGGCCTCTACGGCAACCCCCACTCCCGGACCCACGCATACGGCTGGGAGACGGAAAAGGCTGTGGAGCAGGCTCGAGCACACCTCGCTGACCTCGTCGGCGCTGATCCTAAAGAAATCATCTTCACGAGCGGCGCCACCGAAAGCAACAATATGAGCATCAAGGGCGTGGCCCGGTTCTTCAAGCGCTCAGGCAAGAAGAACCACATTATCACATGCCAGACAGAACACAAGTGTGTTCTCGATAGCTGCCGACATCTGCAAGATGAAGGCTTCCACATCACTTACCTGCCAGTCCAGCACAATGGGCTCATCGATATGGCTCAGCTTGAAGCAGCTATACGGCCCGAGACAGCCTTGGTCAGCGTAATGACCGTAAACAATGAGATCGGAGTTGTGCAGCCTGTAGAAGAGATTGGAAAGCTTTGTCGGTCGAAGAAGGTTTTCTTCCACACTGATGCCGCACAGGCCGTGGGCAAGATCCCTATCGACGTTAATAAGATGAACATTGACCTTATGTCCATTTCTGGGCACAAGATATACGGACCTAAAGGGGTCGGAGCATGCTACGTTCGTCGAAGACCCCGCGTGAGACTCGACCCAATCATTAGTGGTGGTGGCCAAGAGCGTGGATTGAGGAGTGGTACTTTGGCACCCCCACTTGCTATTGGAATCGGCGAAGCCGCGAGGATTTGTAAGGAAGAAATGGCGGTATGTAAACTATCTCGTTTGGCATACTTGTTCACGATGATTATTTGCTTTATACATGCATGGCTTTCAGAGTGTTCGGCACGCCCTTACCGGCTGCCCACGCGCCATGTTGACAACAGTGCAGGGGTTATGAGAAGCGAACTTTCGCTCCAGTTGATATTTCTCCTCTCAGAGAGGCCCAGTGCTAACTCGCAATAGTACGATTCCAAGCGCATTACGACCCTATCGAACCGCCTTCTTGAGGGTCTTTTAGCACTAGAGCAAACCTCTCTAAACGGTGACCGAGAGCGCCATTATCCGGGTTGTGTGAATGTCTCGTTTGCTTATGTCGAAGGAGAGTCTCTACTCATGGCTCTGAAAGACATCGCTCTGTCTTCCGGCAGTGCCTGCACATCGGCGTCCTTGGAACCGAGCTACGTTCTAAGAGCGCTGGGAAGCAGTGATGAGAGTGCACACAGTAGCATCCGATTTGGTATCGGTCGATTCACGACCGAAGCCGAGATCGATTACGTTCTCAAGGCAGTGAAAGAACGCGTTAGTTTCTTGCGAGAGCTTAGTCCGCTGTGGGAGCTGGTACAGGAAGGTATCGATTTAAACACTATTGAGTGGAGTCAGCACTAAGCGTAAGAGTATACCCGGAAGGAACTTGTACAATATGATTATGAACTGGGATCCACCATTGGGATATCTACGCTCGCTGAGGCGTTTATGACGACATGGCCACCATTCGCTGTACTATAGCAACATTTCTCAACGGGTGGAGTTAAGGAGCACGTATAGATTTAGTATGATCAAGCCGACTCTCCGGTGATGCCCAGAGCCGAGCCTGAAGTTGTGAATGCCCAGCTTCGGCAACCTGGATGGCAGCCAATTAACTCCGCTGCTTGACATTTAAAAGCCATCGATAGACACTCGTGATATACCTACCTAGGTAGCCACCTCTGAGTATCGCCGTGAACGAAAACCTCATCTTTGCGATTTTGCGCCAAGTTGGTTGACATGAGGTGTCGATAAGCTGGGAGCTTCCCCGCGCCACCTTCCAACCTCGAAGCGCAGCATGGCCGGAGTAACTGAGAAGGTGCTCAATTGGCTGTACAGTGTCCTCCCTAGCGTAGATACCCACCATACCCTCTAAGCATTTCCGTGTCGCTGATATACAGCATCTAGGAATACTCTGATGTCAATCGCACGTACAACGACGTCGCCGACACCCTCTCCAACTACCCTTCCCTATCCCCGCGAACCGAAGTCTACAGTGCGCCAACCCCCTCCCATTCCTCCATGCCCCCCCCGAACATACTATACATACTGAGGTATTACAGCATACGAGAATGGGGCTTCGGCGCTCCTGCTCCTGCTCAGCGGAACTCTCCCCGTCACTTTTCGAGGCGCCACGTACGGCTTCCCGGTTGCGATATGGGTGCCCCACGCCTATCCCCGTGAGTCCCCTATAGTCTATGTCAAACCCTCTCAGGACATGCTGGTCAGGCCTGGCCAGCATGTTAGTGGGGATGGCAGGATATACCACCCATATCTGGCACAATGGGGCAAATACTGGGATGTGAGTCGCCATGTTATTTGGGTTGCGCCATCATGGTGGAGGTGCTGACGGATACTGGTCCCCTAGAAATCTACTATATTCGACTTCCTGGCGGTCCTGCGCGGAGTTTTTGCAAAGGAACCACCTGTTCGATCGAAGCAGCAGTACGGTGCTCCCACACCGCAAGCTCCTCCGCCTGTGCCCCCCCCACCTGCTGAATGGCGACGCTCCATGCAAGGGACACCAGCCGCTTCTCCCTCGCCGGACCCATCGTCATCACAATCTCCTGTACCACCACCGAAACCCCCAAAGCCCTATGAGCAGAATCGACCCACTCCTCCGCCACAGCAGGATAGGCATTCCGGTTATGTTCCACCGCCTCCTCCTGTACCACCCCATCCACCTCGGCAGTATCAACAGCAACACCAGCATCCTACCCGGAATGGATACCCGCCGCAGAGTCACTGGCCGCAGCAGAACGTTCCTCCCCAGAATTTCCCACCGCGGCAGTCCAGCTACGATACGAATCCCCCGACACCAATATCAAAGCCCATGCGGCCACACGTACAGGCTCAGGGTGGAGAGAAATACCCACCAAGTCCGCACGAAATTAGAAGTCCTGTGAGCCCAATAAGTCCAGAAGACCAACGTCCGGCTCCACGGTATTCGAAACCAATGCCACCTACATCGGGCCTAACGAACTTCTCTCGACCCCAACACTATCAAGCCCCACTGCAGCATCGACATCATGGCCCTCCCCTTCCAGCTCAGCAGACGTACCAACAAGGCCCTCCCCACAGCTATCTACCACAGCCCTACCAACAATATCAACAACCTCCGCCCCAAGTTCAACCAGCACACTCAGCCCCGGCACCTCCGACAAATCTCCTCGACGAATCTCTAGAGGTAACCATCCCATCCCAAACTGGCAACCAAGTTCCCCTCCCTGTCCCACCAGTCCCTCCCAACCCAGAAAAAGACGCCCTCCTCCGCGCCCTCAGCACAACCCTCGTCTCCCAAATCCGACAAATCGTGTCCGCCAACCATTCCGCTATCACCCCCCTCCATGCCCAGCAAACGGCCCTCCAAGCTGCCTACTCCCGGCTGCAATCTGAATTCGACCAACTCCAGCAGCTCGACGAGGCGCTCGCATCCAACGAAAAGATCCTAAGAGACGCAATGCTGGAAGCAGACCGCGTCATGGAGGAAGCGCGGACAAGAAAAGTCCCGGATGTGGATGAAGTCCTTGTTGCGCCGATGGTGGTTGGCGGGCAGTTATACAGTCTTGCAGCGGAGGAGAGAGGCATTGCAGAATGTTTATTTGTGCTGGGACGCGCGTTGGACAAGGGCAGGATAGGGGCAGATGTTTTTGTTAAAGTGAGTTTACCAACTATCCTAAAGTAGGGACGGGTTAGATGAAGATGGTGGGGCTATAAGAATTATTTGAAGCTAACCCCTGCATCTACAGCAGACGAGGAGTCTAGCGAGAGAGCAATTCTTGAAGAAAGCATTGATCAAGAAGATTGCGAGGGGCATGGCTTTGGACGAATATCAAATGCAGTGAACCATATATCAAACAAGGAGGAGGACGGGCGGTCTTGAACGAAAAAACTTCTTGATCATCATACGTTTTGCATGCATTCGGCCCCGGAATACCGCTAATGTGCGTATACGTAGCAGTAGGTTCGCCATAAAAGGGAAAATATTATTTTTTTACTCATATCTTTGAATTGTCTTCATATTTCTCTATCACTCTCCTTCTAGGCATCTTCACTACAAGACAACAGAGTCACTTAGCCTGCTTTCCATATTAAGAGGGGTTTCTCGCTCGTATGCCTTAAAAGTAGCAGATAAGTCTAGGCGGAGCGATGTCAGTATTAACAGATTCATAGTGTTGTATATACTTATTCACTCGCTGCCTGCCCCAGCTCCCCTTCCTGATTGAAGGCCCAATGTAGAGGAATCATAGCGATCACCCCTCATACCTTACTCATACCGGACCGTGTCGGTCCCTTCTCAACCTACATCTGCATATGTACAAAACCTGCACACTATCTCACCCTAGATATGGAAATTCACCACATTCTTCAGGATATAATCATATGAGTCACTCCTAAAATCGTCCTTCAAATTCCCTGCACTGTTGGCGAAGAACTGCTTCAGCTGCTGCGCTTTACTCCACTGCGGCCAATCATCAAGGTCGTTATTGCTATTTGGATCAAGGTCATATATGAACGAAAAATAATACCCTCGAATACTCTTGGCAGCGTAGTTCGGCAATATCCCGTTAAACACCTGTAAGATGTCCGAACCGTGAAAGGTTCCCATAATCGGGGTCCCGTAGTCATAACTCGCGAGGTAGGACCATGATGGCACATTTGGATTATTCGTTGCTGCAACTTCGAGAAAGGCGCGACGGGTCAATGTGAAGGTTAAGTCGCCTAAGATCGCCGCGAGCCGTTTGAATTGCGGGTACCAGTTGTTGAGGATAAGGGTGCGGAAGGGGGAGCCATCGTCGGTGATGGTTTGGTAAGTTGCGATAAGTCCGTCGATGAGGGTCTTTGGGGCTGCCGGGAAGAAGACGGTGTTCAGGTAGCTGGAGAGCTGGGAAATAGTGCTGATGTTGGATTGGAAGAGCGCGAAGAGTGTGCCTTCGTCTTCTTGGTCGCCAACGATGAACGGTATTTTCGCATAGCTGCCAGATGCGATTAGGGCGTCTGGAGAGGCGGTTAGGGTTTTGCCGTCGGGGCGTGGGAGATAGGATAATGAGACGGAGGAATAGGAGAGGAGTCCTGGGACTGAGTTCGCGGCGTTCAGGAACGTTGTGTAGTCCACGGAGCGTAGGCATGCGAGTGTGTCGGATTTTCCAGCGCAGCCGGCGTTTTTGATGACCTGTGTTTTCGGTTAGTTGGGGATTAAAGAGAGCCTCGGGGAGATGACTGGCGTACAGTATCGTAGACAGCTTGACCTTTGGGACAGTCTACGGGATCTGCGGGGATTATGGATCCGGAGTTCATGATGCCGGCTCTGAATAACGGTTTGCCTTTATATGTGTTATCCCCTAGCGTCATTAGTTGACTGGATCGAGCCAAAGTCAATGGCTTGTTCTGAAGAAATACCATTATACAGCGCCATCTGATCAAGAACAGATATACTTCCCGCTGATTCTCCCCAGATAGTGACCTTCGTGGGATCGCCTCCGAAAGACGCGATATTATCTGCCACCCACTGCAGCCCTAGCCTCTGGTCCAATAATCCCAGATTCGCAGAGCCGTCCGCGAGAATTTCTTTTCCAGGGAGGAAACCGAAGCCACCCACACGGTAATTCACCGCTACAAAGACTATGGGTTTGCCCTGGTCTACTGATTCCGCGACGAGTGAGCTGCCATCATACATTGATGTCGAGCCTAGCTCGAATCCGCCACCAAAAATCCAGAACAGAACCGGCAGTTTAGAAGACGATGTTGTGCCTGCGGGTCGCTGAACGTTGACAGTAAGACAGTCTTCGCCAGCATTGGTGACTGTTTGTAAGAGCGGAGTGTTAAGAATGTCTCCGAGCACGTTGGCAGGGAAGTTACTATCGTCGACGCTGAAGAAGAATTGCGGACATGCTTTGGCAATTTCTGTTGCTGTAACAGTTCCAAGGGAAGTAGTGAGAGGCTGAGGAGGTTTTAGACGGAGGGGGCCTGTAGGAGGCTTTGCAAATGGAATACCATTGAAGGTATCTATCGACGACAAAGTTCTGCCGATGACTGTAGCTCCTGGAGATGGAATGACAACAGTTGGCGCAGCGGCTCTTTCAACGGGTGCTGGTGTTGCAAAAGCTAGCGAGAGGAAAGAGAGGAACCAAGTGACCTTCATAATGCCAAAGAGGATCCTGTTTAAGAACGCACCAGAGCAGAAAAAAGCGGACTGTCCACACGACGATCACTGAGATCTATGCGACTTTAAATACCCTCCACTCACCTTACCTCCAATTTCACAAGCTCCCCGAAAATACATTCTTGAGCAGGGCATCGTTTCTTCTTCCTCGGTCTGGAGAAGTGAGACGTGTCCAGGTGATCCGTGACAGCTATGTATTAGGCTTTACACTCCGGCTGCTCCGTCTGTGCATGATATCCCCATGCCAAGCCCGATTCGTGCTCATCGTGGTGTTGAGCAAACAGCATGCTTCCGAGTCCTAAATCGAGAAAACCTCTCTGAAGTGGCGCTTGTAATAGAGGAATTGACCTATCGGTTCGATCTCTGTCCGCGACAACCAGGGGAAAACAAATGAACAGAAAACATGGCGGCAGAAGAGGCGGTATGAAAGCAGCCAACACTCCGTGAAGTCATTGCGTTGGAGGTCATGAGGATGTCTTACCCTTGGCGCTGTCAAATCAGACACGAGGGTATGTCAAGTTCCGAGATGCTGGTATATGTTTCGCTCATAATGGCTAGGCAGTCTTATCCCCCCTCTTCTGTGTATTTCTTCACATTTCCCTTTCTATTGCTTACCTTTCAAATGCTGTACTTTGTTTTGGAGAAGGGGGTGAGAAGCCTAATGGCTGCATTATGCCTCAAGGTGATAGCTGCGTAATACGTTGCTAATTCCACATTTCGGATTCGTGTACGATGAATTTCTGGAGTACAAACTACACTTTTTGTTCGGAAAAGATCAAACAACGTTTACCTACTTTTCGTGGTGTCGCGGACTTTTTGCCAAAACGGTAAAACGCGGGGTACTTCGGATGCAGCCGCTCCATAGCTTCCATCCCTCCACGAGGCCGCATAGCATGGCTGAGGCAGCGGGGACGACAATGCAAGATCGAGAGATGTGCCTCGGTAGAACTTTCCATAGCCAATGAAAGCTTTCGCTAAGATGTAATTAGTACATGTGAAAGACGACTCAGCGAGATCGGCGGGCGGCCCACGGGAATACTACTCGAGAAGGTTTTCTTTTGAATAATCACAGACCCCTGGAAAACGAGGGCTCGACTGACATACAATCTGAAAGGGATTCAATGTGCTGGACCCAGAATAAAGTGGAAAGGTTCAGGAATTAGAAACCTTACAGCAAACGGTGACACACACAACTCCCCCGAGGGACAATCTTGGAGTTCCTTGTCCTGCAGTCGGATCCGAACCAAATGGGTTCCGTAAAGACTGGAAATACGCGGCAAGAAGTTGGACGACCAGGTGACATGTCGGAAGAATGCCGCACCTTGTTCGATAACCGCACAAAAGGCCGAAAAGTTTCCGTAAGAGTGATTAACTCACTCGGTTCCGGATCCGGGGGATGCTCCGTGCTTGTCGTGGTTATCGAGGGAAGGTTATACCTGGCCTCCGATGAATTTTGTGGAAGTTACGGAGAAGTGGAGCCAGCAACACGGAATGTGGGGAAATTTCGACTACGAGAAGAGTAGGCGAAAAAGGCAGATTAGCCGTTCCGTCTGTGATTTAGTCCTCCAAGGTTATACTCTCCGAGAAATTAGTAAATTGATGGATGAGGAGTGATGAAAGCATTGTGTGAGTGTCAGTTGTGTTAAGCTTCCATTCGAGTAATATAAAGCCAAAGGAAAGGAATTTATTGAGATTGTGCAGATGGACAGAATTAGATATCTAGAACGGAAAAGTGACAGTAAGGAGGCAATCTATCGAGGGAACTTAGGCTTGTGGAACATTTCAGTCTACAAAGCACATGCTGTTTGATTATGTAATTGCAGGGGATCTTGTTTGTGCTGTTTGCAATCCATGACGTCGTTGAGTTCACTAGCATCAAACGTCATCTCCACTGAATCAAGGCTTGAGCCACCTCAAGCTTCAATAAGCATCAAGCCTAGAATACTAATTCTAGGCCCTACAACGCACCTCATCCAAGGTACTAAAACAAGTCCTTTAGGCCAACTCAAAATAAGCAAAGTCGGGCCACGACCGCCCACTGCAATCACCAGTGGTCATGTTACCAGGTCCTGTGATTGGACATACATCGTGGTGTAACAAAGTTGGGCTAATGGGTTTAGGGAACACTGGATTCTCCGTGCCCTGCTGTGACGTGCACCCTCGCAGATGGCAGCATGGTTAAGTGGGGGTGTGAAGGAAGCTTGCGCGACTTGTCACGATGGACATTCTGGCTGGGTTGAAGAATTACGTCATATCTTGCCGGTTGTATATTTTACAACTTTGCACCCCCGAGCGTGGTTGTTTACAACTATTGACCTCGAACTCAATTCCTTCTTCCAAAACCCAAACTATCGGACAATACCACTACAAACATCCCAGCTCTGGCTACGTTATGGAGACTATCAGCAACGTAGCCTCAAGTGCCAGCAAGATGATTTGGGGAGAGAAGAATATTACTACTACTCAGAGAAATGACGTGGTGGGCCAGGAGCCGATCTCCGGCAAGCAGGGCAAGGGTACTGCGTACGAGCCCTTTGACCAAGGTAACTTAGGTAAGCCGATTCTGCCTGTCACATCACTTAGCTCCAAACTTTATGCGAGACTGTTACTAAAGTTGTGTAAAGAGATCTTAACTTCTACAGCTACCAACACATCCGGTTCCTCAGACCTACTAACCTCAGCTTCTTCCGAACCAAACATGTCATACAATGCAAACAACGCGGCAAGCAGAGCCCCACCCCGTCCTGAACACGAAAACGAAAAAACAGGTGTAGTCGGCGGCATGAGCGACTCCGCAAAAAGGTCCGATGTGATCCCCTCTGAATCCCAACCTAGCTCTGGTGGTGTCCCCGAATCCGGAGCTATTCCATCCCAGAAGCAACAAGGCGCCGACCGACCAGACGAAACTCCCGCCAGCGAGTCGGTAGGCGCCGTCGGGAAGAAAAAAGACGAATCCGAAAACGTGCTCAAGAAGCGCGACCCGAACGACCACTCAGGAGAAACCATGCAAATGCACGGCGCACAGAAAGTTCCACATTCCCAAGAAGAACGCCGAGAATCCAAAGTTGGAAACCCGGGTGGCCAGGAGCATGGCAAGGAAGAGAGAGGTACTGGCGAAGAATGGGTAAAGACGTCTGGTCTGGCCGCTGATGGTGGGGACTTCGATGCCATTAAGCCTGGCGCTGGCAGAGAAGCTGATCGTAGGCATCCCTTTATCGTCCACACCCTGAGCAGTGCTGACATGATCGCAGGTTTGATGGAGGAAAGGTTCAAGAAGACTGCCTCAGATGAACATCAGCCCGCGCCCTCGGCTGGTCCTGCTGCTGGTGAGAAAATAAAGGTGCCGATGGGTCAGAAGATTAAGGAGAAGTTGCATATTGGACACAAGGAGAAGTCCTAGAAGTCTTAGTCATGCATCATGAATTTGGATGACTGGGTAGGGAGGTATACTACCTTGGAGCTCAACCTAAAATGGCTCTTCACATCGCTCCGTGCCACTAGTTATCTTTCTCAGGCCTAGTAAATGCTTGTAAAGGGTTATGAATTCGGTATCAAATTTTAATACTACTTATATAACAATATACACATCGTGCACGACGCCAATCCATTACTACTACTCCCTCCCCGGGCTGACCAGTCCTATTAAATGTAGAGTTGCCAACTCGTAGGTGGCTGAATAAACACCCAATGTAAAGACTCAATATCCCAAACGCCTTCGCAGCAACTGTTAAACCCGTCCAACACATGGAAGCGAGTAGACTAAGCAGGTAAGCAATAAACGGAAGCATCCAACCGAGCTCATAAAGTAGGGAGATCGAAAAGCCCTGAGTCGCAGAGGCGCCGTATTCGTACATCGAAGGATGAAGAGAAGAGAAGAGAAAGTAAACCCGAAGCAATTAAATAAGTCTGTGTGTAAAAAGACCAAAAACGACGTCTTCCCAAAAAGGAACTTTATCTTGCACTGAAGCGAGTGTAGTCTAGCTATCCGTGTAATACAACCCCTCTCCTCTCCTAGAACAACTGTTGGTGTCTCGGAGCGAGAGAATTGAAGGAAATGTACTTGAACACCAAATTCGTATGCAAGATTCAAACCATGCCGGACAAAGACTCAACAACCAGCCACAACTCCATCCATCACACCCATCATAGTTCATCTGCGCATTTGTTCATTTCTGGTTCTTCTTTCGCTGCTTGATGCGTGAGCTGATCCTTACTGGTTCTGTGACAGCGGAACCAGATGGGCTCGAGGGTACAACACTATTCACCGCGACTTTGGGTGCACTGTTGAGGCCGTTAGCAAGTTTGCCGTTAGCGGAGCCGTTAGCAAGTTTGCCGTTTGCGGAACCATTGGTGAAGCCATTCATCTTAGGCTTCTCATTCTCATTCCTGTCCTCCCTATTCTTATCCTCAACCTCCTCATCGCTTTCTTCGTACTCGCTTCTCTCGTCTTCTATTTCCTCACCCCAGCTGGCAACAAATCGGTATGCGATCCTGCAAATTAGGAAAAACCAGAACAAGTTGACGGCCTGGAGGGCTGCGAGAAGAGAAAAGGTGATGACTTGTGAAATCCAGCACTTGTATTGCTGCGTCTCCCAATTGAGTTCGAAAGGACCAACAGTGGAGAATTCTGTGAGAATAGACCAGAGGATTTTGAGATTGAGATAGTGACGTAAGTAGCCCCAGATAAACATGAACGAGAAGAAGTAGGGCCCGACGATTGGAGAGTCGACATAATTGAGAACCTTGGATGTCTGCGCTGAATATTAGTTGCAGACGTTAACTGAAGGAAGGATTGGATGGTCTATCCTACCGCGAGGAAGAAATCAGATATGTCCATCGTAATGTACACCGCAATGCCCATGTAGGTAAAGTGGAACCTGTAGCTCAACCAAATTAGGGCCAAAGTGATGAAATGGTGTGCAACAAGCTCTTTGAAGTCCTTCCGGGGTTTCTCAAGCATGAGGAGCAAGACAATCATCTGCTGCGTCCAATAACTGGCCTGCAGTAAGTAATATGCCTTGAACACGGCTTCGTGTGTCCGATGCGGAAAGTCTTGGTACATGGCCGCCGTGTTGAAGTACCAGATGGGCGTCCGCGACATAACCCATAGGCCATATGGCCCGAAAATGCTAAAGTATACAGCCGTGTAGAACTGTTCCATGAATCTCGATTGCTTCGCACGTGACTTGATCCCGCACCAGATTGCAAGCGGCCTAATCATGCGCTGCATAAGAAACTCGCGCGTGAAGGACAAGAAGATGGTATAGAAGGCGACAAAGGCAAAATCACGCGCACCCTTGCCATATTGAATAGGACCGTCGGAACCCGGAGTGTGCGGGAGGGGGTACGAGATGAAGAGGGCGGCAGAGATGGGGTTCGACGGTACCGGATTTACGAGGTAGAGTGACACGATGATGAGGCAGAGGATGAGCGGAGTCAGCCAGGTGTGTCGCAGCGATATCCGCTTCCACCTTGAGAATGCGCGTTTGATCGTTCGCCGTTTCGAGCGGCGACCCGGCTTCTCGGAGGCGGGTCGCTGGAAGAAGAATTTAGCAAGGAGTAGGAGGATGGGTTGGAAAATCAGCAGGAAGATAGGGGAGCATACATATATCTGTGGAGGCGTCATAGGCGGCGACATTGTCGCAAACGCGGCGACATCGTTGTCTCCTGGTAGTTCACCCCCGAGGCCGCTCGACTTCCGCCGCCGTGGGCTGTCGCGGGATCCATGCTTATGGCTCTCCCTGCGCACAAAGTGGTGAGAAACGCTCAGCGGAGGGAAAGGCTCAAGACCAGACTGTGCTGTCATCTTAAAGACCAGATTTCTTTGAAGAAAGAACAGTGCAGGGTGGAGAGCAAAGCGTCGGGGCGGAGATCATCAACAAGCAAATTGCGGAAAGGAGATGAGCCGCCAAGCCGCGCTGTGATTGGAGCTGCGAGCAATTGGTAAGTTACTAATCGTGGGGACAGAGGTTTCGAGCAAGAGGACAGTCATAGATACATGGAGGAGAAACTATAGATTGACTGCATCTAACATTGCGAGCCGATAATGTTGATGACAAGGAAGGTTTGCTTTCATTTCATGGAGCCCCATTCAGATGGAGCACCACTGCGAGGCACATGTTAATATCTCATACTCTATGTTGATATGTTCTATTGACTCCAACTGAGTGTGTTGCGGTCAAGTTCTGGCAAGATAGCAATGGCGCCCGCGGTTTACAATACAAGCGCAGCTGTCAAGCAACGATTGCCCAGAGCTTCAGCCCGCTGACATGCGTCAACGTTGACGTTTGACATGGTCGTGACGTAACTGACACAGCCTCCAGCCCTCCCACCTTATGTCAGGTAGATGTCATGAAGCCCAGCTCATTCTCTGCAATAGAAAATTGATTTACTGGACCTCCCTGAGCCTGCTACTTTGTACGACAGCAGGTTTCTGTTTCTGTATCGATTGGATTGGAGATAGTGCTTTGCCATTCGCCTTGGAGGCATCGGGTTTACGAGCCCCATTTGCCACTCCGTCTAATGTCTCCTTTGGTTCTGGTGCGCCTGCACTACTCGCTGTTGCGGTGCTATCCATGCTACCTTTTCGAGACAGCACTCCATCCTGTCGTAGTAGACCCCTTATACCGCCAGCTTTGCGAGAGGGAAGTTCGCCTTTCCCTGCTGTTGCTACAAACAGGAGATACTTTAGGTTTGGTAGTGTGTGCCGTACATCAATCGGCCTCAACTCGAGCGAATTCGACAGTATCTCAATATTTTTATTTAGAAGGAACACGCCGTACTCAAAGCGATACCGAACAACACCTTTCATGAAGAGAGGGTAGGTTCTAGGGTTGTTGGCGTTGGTGCTCATCGCGAGGGGGTCGTCGATTGTGGATGCTGAACCATTCGGATTTACTGGGTAAGGAAGAACAACAGACAGGTAAGGTGATAGCAGAGACACAACTTGAGCAACATACCCTAATGCCGCTGCAGTGACATCCTCCTTTACATCATCGAATTCCGAATTTGGTAGCGGAAGCCCGCGAATGGTGAATGTGAGAGACTTTCCCGGTATCGGTTCGACAGGAAAGATCTTTTGTAAGTCTTCACATATCCGCCGCCGCTGGCCTGCAATGTCCTCTTCCGTCTTTTGGACTAAATCTTTAATCTGTCCATGTTTCTCTTTTTGGTGAAACATGTCGCTTTCCAAATGAGATTCAAGCTCACGGCCTTCCTGCATTTTCTCCTTCCGGCACTGTATACTAGCTTTTAATTGGTCGCGTCTCCGCCTTACGGCATCCACGCGACGTTTCTCGGTGGTAACGGCAATTTGCACTATCTTAAGGTTCTCCTCCGCCTCAGGGACCTGCTCAACAGTTGATAGGGCGTCCCTGTTCTTCTCTAGAATTTCTTCTATCTCCTCTGCGAGCCTGTCGCGAGTAGCTAGGGCATCCTGGATGCAATCGTCGAGGGTTGATAGTCGCATCAGTGCATCGTAGGAAGACGTTCTGAGTACTCGGCCGTCTGCCTGTTCTTTCGGAGGAGCTAGAATATCTGCCCGAATACGCTCTCCAACAGGCAGGTCTGTGAAGCTGGTATAGATGCCATCGGTCATATGAAAGAGGATGCAGTTTGGCGGTAAGGGATGACGAAACTTCCCAAGCGCCTTTCCGATGAACTGCAATGCCCTCAATTGTACCGTCAGCTCAATGAGATATTGCCACCCATTTATATTCTCGTTCTTTGCCCAGACTTTGACCGTGAGTTTCTCGAGCCGCGTTACGTTCGGGCCCCAAGATCCAAGGTCAAAGAAACGAAAATTGGGGTTCATGGCCTTCTCGACAACTTCGGAAATATACACTGGACGGTCTTGATCGTCGATATGTAGGGAGAAAAAAGTGTCCGCCATGCGGCCTCCAGTCACATCTTCCAGCTTCTTCTGCCTGGCAAGAGGACTTGCGCCTGACCAGTCCATGTTGCTTCGTCTCCGCAGTCTTTTCGTCATCGCGGGCCTCGGCGCCTTCCTGGGAGACACCAGCTGGCCCACGTCACCAATGCTGCGTCTTGCCGTCTCTTCGGTGGATCTTAAATCGCTTGAAGACCGGGAGTGGCCAAGACCTATGCTCTCCCGCAGGGCAAAGGTCTTTGTTGGTGATTTCAATGTGCTCGGTATGGCTTCATCGTCAATGGTTTTCCCGTGGGATCTCGCCGGAGCGGGAGTGAGTGTGAGGTTGCGAATGGTGATGCCTTGGAGATGCCTCAGCTTCCGGTTCTATCTCTCCGATTAGTCGCGTGGGCCAGCCATGGACAGACACGTACATAAGGAAGTAGCCAAGGTCGCTCACGACGAGACGGCGGGAGGTCGCTCTGGTCGCCGGAAGCGGGATCTTCATCGCGAGCCATGTTGTGTAGTCCTGCGCTGTCTCGATTCCTTCAGGACGTTGCTGTTCGGCGCATTCCAGGGTCTCTGTGTCTTAAAGGTACAAGCACTCTCTGTGCCCCTCATGGTAGTCACGACAATCTGACGCTAGTGAATAAGGCGGTCGCGGTCGCGGACCTGTTGCATTGGAGCATGCGGACCTAAGGTAAGCTCCTCTGTGTGCTAGGGCAAAAAGTCAACCATACCTGATCGGGCGGGAAGCGTGGCCCGTGCCTTCAACTGACATGCATGGATTCAACTTTTCCTTCCCCATCTCCATCGCTCCCAAGAGTCCCCATCGGCATCCCCAACCCTGTTGCCAGCATGCCGCGATACAAGTGGGTGCCTCTTCAGATTCCCAATGTGGAGAGAACTGTAGCGAGGCCCATCCTTCCTCAAGCGGCTCGGGTGGTGCAGCATGGGAAGTACATTTTCATGTTCCGGCACCGACGAACGAACCAGATTCTGTATTCTTTCTCTCCCATGCTCAAAGTAAGGAGCACTGCCGTATCGTTGGCCTTTGGTATCTACTAATTGGCCTAGGATTCACATCTAAAGCAGCTGCCCTTCATCGGCAAGAAATCCGTCCCGGCCGCCATCCGCCCAGACCTCTGGAAAGCATACTGCACAATCACATTTCCAAGCCCCAATCAAGGCCTCTACGCTTTCCGCAAGTTGCGCGAACTACGCAAACTTCACGAGGCGTATTGGAATAAGGAGGAAAGAACCATCAATGCAGCCAATGAAACTTCCAAAAGGGAGAAAACGGGAAAAGAGGAGGACGAGGAATTCAACGAAGCAAAGAAGACGGGGCCCAGAACGTTAACAGGTAAAAGGAGAAAAAATCTAATTATGCACCAGAAAGAGAACGCCGTCGCAGACCTGGCCAAAGTGTTGTTCTTACAGAAGGACCAAGCAAAGCTTATGCAAAAGACGATCGAGAAAAGGAAACAGGTTCAAGAGGAAGTATTCCAGAACAGGTGGTCAGAAATTGTCAATCTAGCGAGGCTTGCAGAAGACGGTGAGGTTCAGCGGCTGGAGAGGCAGATTGAGAGCCTTAGGACTCAGTTAGCGAGAAAGACTAGCGAGAAATCGAAGGCGGACATGAAAAACAAGCTGTCAATCCGTCAGCGCCGCCTTAAAAAATTACTCTGGGCTCAGCGACAAACTGTCATGCATAAGAAGGCGCAGAAAGCTCTAAAGGAAGCCGCGGACTTAGAGCACGAAATAGCGGGAAAGAAAGCGGAGGAAGCTCTCTTGTTGGAGCTGGATGCAGCTTATGAAATGCAGAAAGAGCAGTTGATAAAGCAGGAAGCAGATCTGGCATTAGCTTTGTCGATCCAGTCACGCCGTTATCAGGATTTCCTTAGCAAGATCGAATTCGAAGGAATAGGCCGCAATCAAATTGCGAGGTTGGATCGCGATCAGATTGAGGCGATACTTAGGTCCCGACCAGAGGAGTTAGTGGGCTTTAAAAGACAACGAGGGGAGCTTGAAAGCTTAGAAAGACTACAAACTCTTACCAAAAAGGATATTTGGCACTTAAAACCCCTTTCGGGTCATTCTAAAACAGAGCAAGAGGTCTTGCAAGCTCAATTATCTGGAGAGCTGCCAAATCATTTGCAGGAAGAGCGAATAAGCCTACTTGAACTCAAACTTCGGTCCGAAGAGTGGCGAAAGGATTTGATATTGATGGAAGAGGATACCGATGCGGACATCAAGCTCAGGCAGGGCTGGAAGCAAGGTCGCGTTTCCGAAGAGCGCATATGGAAAGGAGAAATGCAACAGCGCTTGGAACTGCTTTCCATGGAAGAGGCCCCACAGCGCCTACAAATCCTACACAAGCTTGCCACCGTGCAAAAGGACATACGGCGTTTTCAGCGTCAAATAAGCAGTCTGCTTCCAAACTCCAAAATTCATGATCACATTTCTCCCCTCCTCCACAACCCCGTCGCTCGGTCGCTCGTTCCGAAAAGCCTTTTGAGTCCTCTCCAAGCGCCCTTCACATTAGAAGGCGTCACAATTGAGTGGTCGGATGTATACGACGCGGAATGGGCAGATCAATGGCCTGAGGAGGTTGTGCATGACCATGTTGGAATGGTTAAGAGGGACCGATTCGTGCCAATTCCAAATACGTATAGGATACCCCCTCAGTACCCACTTACAGAACAGGAGTTATTACAGAAGTTTCTGGAGATGGCTTCATCCGAAAATGGAAATTCTAGCAAGGTGGTCAACGTGCCCCTCGTAGTACAGGAGGAGCCAGTCGCTGCAAACTCACAGAAAACAGGTATTTGGAAGTACCTTCCTGATATCAGGAAACCATTCACTCGCGCAACCGCTTGATTCTGTGGCAACGTTGCAGGAGATGTTGGAGACCGAAATCATGTATTATGTTACATCAACATTGTACTATGCGAAGCCTGTAGCACTATATATTTCTTAGTTCTTGTTATTCATGGTAATGGAACTGATCGCCTTTGCAAAGACGTAGTCCTGTAGTATGTTCCAGGGCAGGGAAATTGGTGTGTTAGCGAGGACGGATCCAACGTCGCTCTGCGACCAATCAAGACCTCGGGAGGGCGCAAATGAGTCACGTGCAGGCGCGCAAGCCCCAAGCCCCAAGGTCTCTCGGACGTGGTCCACATTCATCATCACGACAACACATTCAACAACAGTGGTAAACGCCATTTTTCATCGTTCATACTTAAGATGGCCCACAATCCTACTGTCGCTGAGCGTAAGACCAAGTTTCTCCGCACCCAGGACCGCTTTCTTTCCCGCCGTATTACGCCGAGTGAGAAAGCGATCGATGTCGCGAGACAAGCAGGTATTCACGATGGAGTGTTTAGAGATGTTATGACCAAAGTTAAGTTGTTTCCACGCTTTCAGAATCGATACTTATAGGTTTTTTCTTCTCCTAAAGCATAGAAGATCGCTAGATTGATCGCAAGCACTCTCTGCGAAGATACATCTTTTTCTGATGGTCGTTCCTTCGTTGCATAGCTGATAATTGTATAGTCAACCAAAATCTGAAACGTCATTCGAGGATCGTGCACAACCTACAAGCTATCAATAGCATTGTTCAGCAGATAGATGATCTGTATTGGAGCAGCGGCGCTGCGAGCCTCGACGATGATGCCGAAACTGCTACCGATGCGGGAGGCGAGGATAGTAACACTTTGTATCAGGGAGATGATTTGACTGTGGACAAGTAAGCTTTCAATTTCACATACCCCTCTCAAAGATCGCGCTTTTTTGCCTCAACTACTCTTTCATACCTCCGCTTGCGACCTAAGGGCTTTCCATGCCAGTGATGATGAGACCTAACTGACTTAGGAACATCTCCAAGCTTCCTCCGATATGGGACACATCTGCGGACCATCTGGCTTCTGTTGGGAATGAGGATCAAAACGCGGGTCAGGATGACTATATTGCCGTTGTAACCCGCCTTCAAGATCTATCTGCGAAACGTCTGACCATACAGCAAAAACTCAACACCTACCGAGCCCTTCTCTCGCTTCTAGATCCATATCGCAGCCCCCAGGAGAACGTGCAGCCAAACATAGCCACCCAGAAAGGACCGCTGGTTCCAGAATTAATGAAGACCCGAACATTCGCAATTCGAGTAGCTGGAAGAATCAGTGAGAGGTTTGGAGATGTGCAAGTTTCTGCTACGGCAGAAGAAGATGACGGTTCGGGTGTGGTTATGGGTGAAGATGACGGAAAGACCAAACTAGAAAATATTCTGTCCGGGTGGTAAGAGGTCATAGACAGGGATCATAGCATAAGGGGCTATTTCAGGTACCTGCCTGGTGTTGCCATTGCACAGGTTAGGCATTGAACTTTTAATTACAGAACACTCTCGCACACCGTGTAACATGATAGGGGTGTGTTTGGTCTAGCAAACCTCTTTCCAGAAGACTAATGTCTATCTCAAATCCCAAAACAGGTTATTATATACCACAGAACATCACCATGGTGAGTTCGCTCTCTTGAACCTCTTCCAGGCCTATAGAAAATGTTAAGCGGATATTAAATTATGTCTTAAGATTAATTAAAGCACAGGAGCACTTTCCGCGATTCTCACCCATGCACTAGTAGGATCGCCGCTATTTAGTTTGGTTTTGTACAGCATTGCGAAGAACAATTAATTCTAAATAACATACACTACAGGCAAGTTGCTTACACACCTAAGTTGCTTACTTTTACTAAGACTCTACTAAACTACTCTTTTACACTAATGTAAGGACAGAGCTCTGTACCACTGCGCTAATACAACTAAAAAGGTGCGAATAATCAACTAACAGTTAATCTTGCGTACAGAATAGTATATATACCTATTGCACGTAAGCGCTATCTTAGCCTTACAACTAATGCATTCCTAACAACACTACTTAGATGTGCTAAAAGAATATTAGATATAGCTTATACTTTAGGCTTTTAAATAAGACATAACGTACCTAACAGGTTAGCCGGCCACACAGGTTAGCCGACCACTTTTGCTAAGCCTCTACCACACTCTACCTATCTACATAATGCCTTAACAACAACACTAGATTAAATTTTCTAAAAAACATTAAATATAGCTTACTTTTTAAGCTTTTAAATAAGACTTAAAACTTTTTTTATAACATGCTATAGCTATTTATAATGTCTTTTACATAACACTAAGTAATTAACGCGCTAGACAGCCTTTAGAAGCAGAATGCTAGCCTAAATTAAGAAATCTAACTAAGCTTAAAAAAAA